TGTCGATCTTTGCATATCCCCCTCTGACAGCACTGCTCACTTGTACTGTCGAGGCTCATGGCAAAGGCTCATGGCGAAAGTTCAGACACCAAGGGCTACACCAATAGCATCACCGCCGTGACCTTCATCAAGCAAGTGGCTGCCAATCACTGAGCCCTAAAAAGACCCTCTCAATGTCTGGCTCACAGATATGGTCGCTGCTGACACCATCGATTTCTGGATGCGAACAGTCACCAGCAAGACAGCATTGACAATCATTATACCTGCAGATCTGACGCCGAAAGAAGAAATGTTGCACATGCGTGCATGCTTGACCTCCGACTTCATCTATGCTGCGACATGGGAACTCTTTCTGATGGCCGCACCGTCTGCTTCGATTGCTCGTTGGCAGGAAACCCGCCTCCACCGGATCTATGAACGTGCATCGTACAGTTCTGACTGAAATGAAGAGACCATCGACCGCCTTTCCGGTAATGTCCGCGAGATAGAGACTAAGTTTGGCATCCGTCTGCAGAAGACGCCCGAAGGTGCTCCTTGGATCCGCGAGGAGGATTCGGAAATCAAAGACATGCCTGGCAACTGGAGCTGGGCATGCTGGTCAATGTTCGTATGCACACGCGCTTGCAGAGAATGCGCACTGTCTGTAACCGCCACGGGATCAGTAAGTCTTCCCAAAGCTAATCTGGCCTCTAGGTGTGTTGGAGCTGGTTACGAGATGGCTGCAAGTCGCCGCCCAAAAACAGAATGAGGCCTGCAAGCTCATGAAGCAAATGACCGACATTAACATCGTGGCTGCGAGGCCCCCTATTGGACCGCTACCAGAAACAGTTCTAGAGCCCTTGTCATGTTGAAGACTCAAAGCACAATGAGTTCGTCTTTATACCCTGAGAGACTGCGGCTTCGAAATATAAAATTTATTCTGACAGCATGCCGATTGATGCTAAATTCTTCGGGTTGCAAGTCAAAGGTATTAGCCTCATGGACGCACTCCATGCCCAGTTAACAGAGCCAAGTTCATCTGGCCTGCAGGCGTTTTGCAAGTAGTGAGTTACGGAGATCCTGAGACGACGCCTATGGGCTTATGAAACAAAGCCCCCTGTCTGACGTCCTGAGACAGGCGCTGTAGAGCAAGCTGGCGCTGTGACTGGCCTCCAAAGTGGCACTACTGATGAGCAAACTGCTATGTTGCTGATCAGACTGCTCAGAATGCTGATGACCAGACTGCTGATGAGCAAACTGCCCTTGGAGCCGATACTACTATCGCCCCCTGGAGCTGTTGCCGCCTCTGCTGCCGCCCCTGGAGCTGCTCCTAATGCCGCCGCTCCCATGACTGCGCTTACTACTGCTCAACTGCAGACTGCCCTCTTTGTTACCACCCCTCAAACCCTGAGAACCTCTTGACAGATCCACCAGGGCGATGCCAACGGCGGCATCAAGGTTGGTGACGGCACTACACCATACACTGCCTACCCTACTTTGTCAAACCGTTGTCTGCCACAAGACTCCGATGGCAACTATGCAATTCGTCACTTGCAAGACACCGGCGGCATACATAAACCACCTGAGAGGGAAATCAGAAGCCTACGTTTGAGGGATGCAGGCCATCGCGAGCTCTAGTGAGGCATCACTTCGCAGCATGGTGTCTATTCAGCTTACTGTTTGCCTACTTCAACGATGTTTACCTTCTGGGGTCTTCAATAACATGCTCGAGGCCAACAAGTCTACTCACGAAAAGATTGCGGGATCGTTCCCCCCTGGCTTATGAGCTCGGAAGGATCCAGAGACGTGCTACAACCTCCAGGTCCGCCTAAACCCCCAGGCCCGTACCACGGAAACGGTGTCAAGGATCCGGACGGATGGCATTATACCATCACTGACAGGTTCATAGCCTCCGTGGTCGCACTGGCTCTGCCTCAAAGAGTCGCTCCAGCCGCAAGGGTCCCCCACCAGCAAGGCCCCAGACGACAACACCGCAATCGACGACATTCTCAACACATACTACGAACAAATCCAGAATGGCGTGATTGCTCATCACGCCACTGGAGGCACCATCTACCAGCAGGGTACCCCTGTGAAGGTCAAGAAGGCGGCCCTAGAGTGATTCGGCCAACTTGACAAGCTTGACCTCGCTGACGATTTCTACCAGAAGATGAAGGCTTTCACTTGCAAGAACAAGGATCAAATTGGAACCGAGAAGCATATTACCTCGCATGGGTATACAGCTGGAAGACATGAGGTCGTGCTCATCAGAACGATTTATTATGAAAGAGAGCAGACGGTATCTTGAGAAAACGCAACATACCTATCTGGCCACCACAATTAGCCCGATCCTTTGGTCTCGCCTTCAAGGGGATTCTTAAGCATTTTAGGCTGGTCTTGCCATTACTCAGCAGGTTTCAGACCTCGAGAGCCTAAAACAAGACTCGCACTGATCAACCCCAATCCCTGGCACAGATGCAGATCTGAGGCATCGATTCGCGGTCGTAGCGGTTCTGCACTTGGAGCAGGAGCCCGAACACAGAGAACTCCTAATGTAACAAGATAACAGATCAAACTTTATATAAACTACGATCGCTCAGCTGAGCTTGCCCGAGAACCAACTTGGGAATCTGAAGCGTATATCGCTTTCTACGAACTATGCGACCTCTTTCTCGACAACAGTGCCTGCCAACAACCTGCTTCGACTCCCACGTCCGATCGCTCGATTATTTGCCACCCTTCGAACCCTTTGCCTGAAGCCACCATCCAGCGTGATGCTGTCGCCAACGATCTCTCCAAGATTAACATGACTTCTGGTCACGCCTTGAACAACCTGCCTGGCGCAAGCAAGAAGCAAAGCGACGACCAAAACGCGACAGGAGAAAGAAGGTCCAGCTTAGATCCATTCACATTCATCAACATCACTCGGGCTTACCGTTTTTCCTCTTCATCAAAGCACATACTCAGAATGTCTCACAATACATTCTGACATTAGTCCAATGCCATCTGACTATTTCTGGGAACGGTCGAATTCTGTCGCCGACTCGCAGATAGTAGTATATTGTTGGAGCTAGAAGATCAGCTCCTCATATACTACTAAAGATATTGAGGAATGCATATAGCATTTTTTTACTCGCTTCTCTATAGGCTAAATTTAGCATGCTTGCCAAAGGAAGCACGGTAGAAAAGGAGCATGCGTTGTGTTACATCGCTGGAAAATCTAATTGGACAATATCCATCATCATCATAACAATATCAATTTATCTTGATTTCTCCCCTCACTGCGCCTTGCGCTAGGTCAGCATGCCAAGAAGGAAAGCAATCATCTGATCGTTCACGCAGCAATGTGAGAATGATCCTTCTAATGCGGAGGTGAGGGGCTCAGCATATAAGTAATGTTCTCCTTCTACTGGAAAACTTGGTGTATAACACTATCATCTCAATCTGTTGATTGCTCTGACGATTATCTCTCACTATGCATTTCTCTTCCATCTTTTCTAGTCTCATTACAACGCTATCGTTTGCTGTTGGCATTAACGCAAGGCTCAGGTAAGGAGCATTCCGTTTCCCTCATCGTGGCTTTGTAGAATCTGTGCTAATCTCTGAACCCAAAAGGCTGCTGATGGAACCTGGGTTGCCAACTCCAACAGATATCAAATTCCAGACCGCCTCGGTGACAGTAAGTATGGTGGTGAGCTAGCGATGTCAACAATGTGCTCAGTGATCTGCTTAGTCTGGAACGCCGATGAAGCTTGTACCTATCAAAACACGAACAATGTTCATAACGATGGTGATGAGTGTGCGGTCAGTATATGCATCGATTTCTCCTGCTATATTGTCTAGTTACTAATGACTGACAGTTCTGGGTGAACGGTGAGGGACTAATCTATCACGGAAGTAAGTCAGACTTTGAGCGTTGTTCAGACTGAGCTGATCTAAGATTATGGCATTAGGATGTCAAAGCTCTTGCTGTCCTTGGACTAAAGAGTGTGATTAGTAACATCATTTGAGATCATTTGTTGTCACCGCAGAATCATTGGGGGCAAGGCAACCAAATAACAGGAGCACGGAGCATACTGATAGGAGAATCTAAGCGAAGATTGGAATAACTTTTGACTTCAAGTTCTTTCAACTGCCACAATAAATCAGCTGTAACAGGAACTTTCCTAAGAACTTGCATTATATTGTTTTTGCGACCTCTCTAAGATTACAGCCAACCATTAGAGGATGGAGGTAATTCTCGGAAGGTATTGTGATAGCTTTTGTTTGTAACATGAACACAACAGTTCGTATCTTATATCGCAATCGTATATCCATGGAGAAGCGGGCATTACCTCAATTCTTGTTCTTAGTCTCCTTTTGAATTGAGATTTCTGGATTCTCGTACTTGTTTCTTTGATACTTCCCCCTCGAACAAAGATCTGAGAACGAGCTGGTCCGCTATGGCGGCGTAGCTGGTCACAGGTATTCGAGTCAGGGTGTTAGGTGACTGCCAGGGAAGGCTCATGACTTCCGCTTGAAGTTGAAGTAGGTCGGGCTGATTCGTGGCTACATCACCCAGGCTAACGCCATTTACTAACCAAGATCGCGGAAGGATCACCTGAAGCCGAGTGAGAAACCACGGCAATTCTTGGAAAGATTCATCTCTGTACAAATCCATCCCTGTAACATATTTACTCTTGGGCTTTATCTACCTGTATGACCTGTTTTGCATTGTCTATGCCCGCATAAACAAGAGAAGACCTTCCTAGAGATTCACCTGCGATAACCACCACCATCTTCTTCCTCCTTGACCCTTTCCTGATCTTTCTCATTACCACAATGTCCAAGCTCATACGACCCAACTGTAATGCCGCAACCTCAAGCCTCGCTCTCAGCATCAAGACCTCCGCTATCTCGTCCTCACCGCCGTGTCCCTGTCCATTACAACAAGCAGAACAGTATCATCTTGCATTGACTACTGTGTGTAACGACTGCTTGTGCCGATCATCTTAAAGAACAGAAGCACGACCCTAACGGCATCAAGCATCTTGAGGAGCTTGAGGGAGTGCACCAAGCTCCTCCCGACGCTTCAGAGTCTCCACCCTGGATGGTTTTCTGAGGATCAGCGTCCAGTCCGTCGGAGGATATATAATCGTTGGAGGATTTTTGGCTTCCCAATCTGCCTTCTCCTTCTTCAGTTTCTTCCAGGTATCATGGACCTTTGCGTTCTGATCGTGATCAAATGTCAAGTTGCTGAGCCTGGGTGCATGGCGAAGCAAATTCTCAGCGATTCGTTTGAAAGGAATGTTGCCCTTGTGTCCTGAGATGACAGTCCTTTCGAGTTGAAGGTTTCGCAAGTTGGGGAATAGGAGGCGACCAGTGTATTTGGACAGACCTTGAAGGTCCCAAGATCCTCGGAAAAAGATGTTTCTGAATCTGGCGTTTCGCGCTAGTTTGATGAGGGTTTTGACTGAGAGGTCCAGCCCGGTCAGCTCCCAGCTCAAGGTGTGTAGTCGCCTGAGACCGGCAAACATGGCTTGAAAGTCGAGATCGTTGAAATGCAACAGCCTGACGATGTCAATCTCCGAATCAGCGGGCCTGAGTACGAGGAACTCTAATTTTTTCAGTGCGCCCAATTGACACAAGTCCTCGCCCTCTACATACGTGGTGTCTTCTCCCTCGAACACCAGGGTTAAATCCTCCAGGTTCTCCATTCGCTTGATATCGGAGAACATAGCCATTCTCGCAGACACATGAGACTTGATTCGCAGTTTGACTGTCGATGCGTGCCGAATCGCTACAATAGCAGACTGTACAGCCTCTCGTTCAAGTATAAGATCAACCTGTTCTAAGTTATCGAAGAACGACGTCCCTTCGCTGAAGATGTATTCTGGAATCTGCCGCAACGATAGGTATGAGGTGATTGATAGATTTCTGAGAGTTTGCATTCTCCCTAATGTCGAGAACAAACTTTTGCTCATCAAAGGCGATTCGATACTCATTCTCAAGAATTCCAGTGACTTGGTACAGAAGAAGTCATTGAAGTCCTCAGGCGTGATATCGGTGTTGTGGGTGTCGACCGTTTCAAGTACAAGAAAGCGCAATCGAGGACATTGGAATTTTATGGTAGTCAAGAGGTCCTTGTCAAATCCTTCGTCCCATTCCCAGAAATCTATAAAGTCAATTGATGGACACAGGTATTGCTTTATCGGCAAAACGGAGGGACCAGTTTCCTTTCCGACGAGGCCAACACACAACGTCCTTCGTCGAGGAAAAGAGAGTGCAAGAATGCTTGGTGTTTGTCCAGACTTGTCCTTAATTAGTATTGACGTGAGTTTTGAAGCGTAGATCTCGCGGCGAACAGGTTCGATGTTGTCCAATATTTCAAGCTCTGGGCACCCACGCTCGAAGCTCCAAAGTACTCTCGTGGCCGTCTCGAACCAGATGTTATCGACTCGAGCGGCTGTTGCCAGAGTGGATCGATTCAAGCGGTTTTCACGACGTTCGAGTTCGTCACCCTCGTCATGTTGTTCCTCGAAACATTGTAAAATCAGCGATAGGAGCTCAGGAGAGCCCAACACCTGTGCAGCTGCCATGCTGTGAATCTGAGAATTTGTATGAGTTGTTCGAATCTCAGCAATGGGAGAAATTCATGTTTAGAAGGACCGTGTTGGTTGCCATTGAGACGCATGGTGGTATGACGCCGATCTCTCCGCATGAAGCCATTTCGTGCAGAACACGACTCCCAACACCCTTTATCCCAATGCTGTCCGCGGGTGAGTCACCCATACATGCTGTACAATGGAAGCTGTGTAATCTTCTGTAGAGAGCAAGATTTTGACTGTGTGGTCATGGAAAAGGTCCAGGGCATGGATCGTGAGAACACTGTAACCCGGGGTCAATGCTGGCTTGGCGGTAGCAAAGTCGACACTTTGCATAACTTTGCATAATTCTGGCGACTGACCCATGATATCTGGTGAGTGTGACTGTAAAAATGCACGACACAGCCACAGAACGAGTGGTGTAATCTTGCAACTGTCCCATCTCCATCCCGAGGCATGCGAGAAGGGTTTTCACAACCGATTGAAACGCACAGTCATGACTCGAATAGAAGTCTGGCCATCGAGATGGCCTTCATCGAGACTCTCTGTGGAGATCATGGTTTGAACGGAAGTATTGTGTATTTATGCAGCTGCATCGTGACCGTCTCTAGCACATGGATAGGTCATTGCATGAACATGTTTCGAGTCTGTTCTTTGGCGTGACGTGTTTGTCCAGTCTCCTTGATTCGTCCATGGGCCCTCATCGTCATTTTCGACAGCTGATCACCAGCATTGGGATGGAAAGTGTAACGATCAAGTGCCACAAATCTGTCCATATTCGGCGCATGTCGATCAAGAACCTCTGCTAGAAGCTGGGCAGTTGTCTCATTTTGTTCGCCCAGAAGATTTCGATCGCTGACTTTGGAGAACCAGCAGAACTTGAGACTCGGGAAGACCGGCTCGGGTATATCCATCCATGCTATAATATCAATGGGACAGTACAAGCGAATAGTCTCGAGCTTTGGACACGACTGGCCGAGATCCTTCAAAGCGGTGTCTGGGTCGGGAATGTCCAGAGGAAACATGCAGAGTAGAGTCTCCAATCTCGACAGGTTCGCGAAGATCTGCTTGAATTGATAGTTTGTGACTTTGAACTTGGGCATCGGTGATGGGAAGGTCGACGTGTTGATGATGAGACTTTTCAGACTTTGTGTATCGCGTAAGCACAGAAGTTCTTCTGAGGGTACTCTGGCGCCAGCACCAACGTGGAGTCGAAGGCTTTCTAGCGGAAGACCGACTAGCGCATCAAGGTCATGAGCATGACCGTCATTGGAATCAACTCTAAGGTTGAGCGAAAGATCGGTCATCGCGCTGAATATTGTGGGCAATAACGGCAAAGCTGAAACTCTGACAATGACTTTGATCCTGCGCACTGATCCAAAGTGTTCATCCGGACGTGAAGAGATGGACTCATCATGTTGGGAATCTCGAAGCTGTTCCAGTGTGACCGTAGATATCTCGCCCATGATTTCGAGGTCTTCAAGAGTGATAACTCTTCTAAGAGCTGTTAACACTGCGAGCATTTGGTGCAGATCAGAAGGACTGATCATTAGCCGTACGCGTCTTAATGTCCTATTCGTATTCAAGAATTCTACCAGACCACATCGTTGGTTGTCGTTCCGCACACTCACATCCTGATCCAGCACCTGAAGTCGTGGGCAGTACTTGTTGAGCCCATCAAAGGACGTAGCAGACGGCCAATGTTTAAGGTAAACTTCTTCCAAAGCTGGCTGCAGGTACTGACTAAGATCCTCGTCATGTTGAAACTCAGGAAACCCATCAACGCGTAAGATGCGCAGCAGTCGAAAATCAAGGTTGAGATTAGTATGTTTTAATCCAGGCAGAAGCGTGAGATCACAGATCTTGGGAGCATATATCGCGCGACGTGAGGCTTCGACAGCTATCAGGGCTTTCATATTTGATGTAGCCCAGAGTAATCGTGTCGCTTCGTCAAACCATACCTGGTTAACACATGCCGCTAGTCGTAAAGTCTTGTGATCGTTGCTCAACCAGTTGAAGATACACGATAGAACTTCTGGTAACATTAGTGCGGCTGCAGATGGTTTGGCTGGAGTCGTCGGCTGCGGAGCCTCCTCACTAGTAAGCGATGACATCTGATAACGGTCGTTGTTCGTGTAATGTTCTGATACAGATAAGATGGTGATGTTGTGTAGTGGGTAGGAGTGGAAGGTCGGGAACTTTAAGTAGTAGACACTGCGAAGATAGGCAACAGCGATCGATCCTCTGAAGGATCTTTGCGAGTCAGGCGCACAACAAAATGCAGTCTTCCTTGGGGCCTTGGCCCCATCATCGAACCCACTTCAGCAAAACGATCCGCGCATACACCCACACGATGAGATGACTGGAGGAGCAAAAGAGATGATGCATGAGTTGACGGCAAGCTTGGATCGGGTCGACAAACAAAGGAATTCCGGTGCGGGGAATCGAACCCCGACCTCCTCGGTGAAAGCGAGAAATCCTAGCCGTTAGACCACACCGGACACACGTGATGTGGTTACAGTGATGATTTGCAAACATATATTTTCGAATTGGCAACAACACAGCCTACATGATTGACTCATCGTGTTTCGGCCTCAGGCATAGATCAGCATCGCGGGAACGTCAAGATGTAATCGTGTTCAGAAAGACTACGAAAGTTTCCTTGCAGCAAATGGTGCAGTCTGCATTTCCCAACAAAGACGCGGCGTTTTGCGAACGGATCAGAAAGCAATCTCTATACAATGGACAACCAAAAGACAATCATACCTCCCGCTCTACAACCCAGCGACACCATCGCCTTCATCTCTCCCTCCTCTCGACTAAACACGCTCTTCTCCCGGCGAATCCAAAATGCCATCTCCTTCTTCCAACACCACGGTTTCCCCATCAAAGAAATCTACACCTCCAGCCTACCTTCCTCACACCTCTCCGCCATCCAACTCCGCTGCTCAGAACTCCACACCGCCTTCCTTGATCCATCCGTAAAAGCAATCCTCTGCACTATAGGAGGCCTGTCCGCCAACGAATTGCTTCCCCACCTAAACTANCCCCTAATCTCTAAACACCCCAAAATCTTTTGTGGATATTCTGATATTACGATTTTGCATCATGCGATTTTTGTGAATACGGGACTAAAGACNTTTTATGGTCCTGCTGTGATTCCAGAGTTTGGAGAAGAGCCAGAGCCGTTGGGGTTTACGGTGGACAACTTTTTNGGGATGGTGATGGGGAGGGGTGGGAGAAGTGTGGATAGGTCGGGGATGCATACTCTAGAGTTCAAGAACTGGTTGGATGAAGATGAGGACAATCAATCCAGAAAATTGGAGCCTGCGCCAAAGTGGAAATGGATCAAGGCTGGAAAGGCAGAAGGTAGAGTTTATGGTGGATGTCTGCCTTCTCTGGTTCAGCTTTGTGGTACGAAGTATCTACCTGACTATACTGGACGGATCCTTCTTCTGGAATTGCCGGAGGGTGATAAACCAGGGACTGCCTTCTCGCTGGATGCTGCACGGTGTGCGATGGCTGATCTGCGCAATGCTGGGATACTGGAGAAAGTTGTTGGTATTGTTGTTGGACGACCGTATATGTATGATGAGAAGATGACTGCTGCGTTTGAGAAGATGATTTTTGACCAGTGTTATGGTATGGAAGTACCGATACTGGCGGGTGTTGATATCGGACACTCGGATCCCATGCTTACCGTACCATTAGATGCGATGGTGTCGCTTGATTCGGAAGCCATGGAGCATGAGCAGTTCATGATGTTGGAGGAAGCTGTCAAGGCATGAGTTCGAGACTGCGAATCTGAGCGATATTGTCATTGGTGACTAGGAAGAGAGACGTTGATCATCGACCTCGGCTCCTCAAGAGGTTTGTTGTGCATGCAGGTACTTAGCAATATAACATCAAGGTAGCCAATAGGTGGCGTGCAGATCGACACGTCGAATGGCGGATGCATGCAGCTCAAGCTCTACCGAAAACCTCAGCATGCCCCAAATCTGGAACGTTGAGAAGAAAGCAGGTCATATCTACAATGCTGGCTCGAAGGCCGAACCCAATAGTCGTTGTGGTGACCGTGTGCCTCTACCATGCAACATGGAAAGAGTCTAGATGATGAGTGATAATGATAGTGTGAACAGGGCAACCAGTGAAAATATTGGGGGTCAAGCCCTGCTGCATGCGAGGTTGCCGACTGGACAGGTCTTCTCCAACAGCAAGTCAGACAGCGGAGTACAGCAGGATGCGCGGATATTCAACAGATGATGATGGCGAGGAATTGTGTCTGACTTGCGACATGGCGCGTGATGAGTGGTGGCGGTTGCGTGCTTTGGCTCCAGCCAGGGTCTCTCTACTTGCGAAAAGAAGGAAAGGTCTCCGAGGGTCGGTCGGGTGCAGTTGCTCTGTCAAATCCGGGGAAGGGACGGTTGATGGTGATGATCAGTGTCGATGATTTGGGCGATGAGTCGTCGAGGCGATAAGGAATTGCTCATTCGACCGTCGTGCCTCAGTCGTTCTTTCTCTCTCCTCGTTTCTTCGTTTCTCCTCATCTGCACTTGTTTAGACGCGGTGTATCAGCCAGTCAGATTACGTGGGGACCTGTCTGGAGCTTTGTCCAGCTAGCGGGTTGTCGAGTCACAAGCTGCATCGGCGATAAGGGACCACCAATACCACCACCACCACAAGACCCTGTCACGTCCGCTCGACCTTGATTCTTATTCCTCATCCAAGTCACAGCCTGCCATCCTGCCTCAGGTCACCATGCAGCCATAGTCCACCATCGCCATCTGCCCCGTCGTCGTCCACAACCGCCCTGTCATCGACCACGTCCGAGCCGCCATCAAGGTTCAACACCTGCCGACTGTCACTATGATGGATCGCTTGCCCATCGACACTACTCCCATCTAGTATATACACCACCAACGACTTCCCTTGTACAAATCCCAACCCCATACCATGCACCAACACCCACGACCCTCGACAAGGGCCCAACCCCCGGCCCCCATGCCATCAACCAACCCCTCCAGACACTCCAACCCGAGGGACACCATGTCGACCCGGACATACTCCAGCGAGGACCTGTCATCGGCCAGCCAGCCTGTTCGCTCGTCCGACGGCAAGGAGCAGACTTCAAAAGATAGGGCCAACTTGGTTGTCCAGGTGCGTCGCTTCATACAAAAACATAATCCCAACAGCCCCTGCTGATACCATACCACAGCACTTTTTCACAAAAGCTGCCCTCATCATCTGCTCGTCTCGAGTCAGCCTTCCTCCTGCCATGTCCAAGACTGGTGAAGCAAAGATCGATAGATGGGTACGTAACCTCTCCTCAGCCGCCTCCACCCCTGCAGTTGCCGCATACTCCCTTGACCACCGCAGTAACTCTATACTGTTGGAGAGAGACCCATCTGTCTCGGCTGGCCTTGTGCGATCATGAACCTGGCGGCAAAACAGCCGCCAGGCACTCTTGTTTCGAAGAGTTTCTGTCGTCTTTGTCAAGTGTCATTCTAGAACACACGCAACCAAAGACAGTCTTGCATCCCTCTGCCGTCTTACCTTGCTCCGTCTGTGCTGTATCAAGTATCGTAACTGTGTCTGACCATATCTANNGTTCAATACCTTAATAGAGGAAACAGACATGTTGAACCAAGACTTGCAAGAGTGGAGGTCCATGGATGCAACCGTAGAGCGACCTGCTCCATTGGTAATTGATGTTTACCTGGATACTTCCCAGCTCGCCCCCAACCAGACTCTGGTCGCTATAGATGAAGAAGGCAAACCTTGGGATGTGAGCGAGACTCTGAGAAGACTCGAAGCTTCAGCCCCGACGCCTCAAAACCACACCCTCTCCACTTTCGTATACGAGAGATGGACCATCAGCTTGGACGATGCTTCATCAGTGTCTCCGGCTACCCTCAACGAACCTGCCCCTAGCTTTTATAANAAGGGTGTCATTACATGCAGAGCACTCTGCACCTACGCCCGGCTACTGCCCGCGTGGAAGCTAAGGACTCGTCTTGGAAAGCAAGCGGCGACTGGTCCAGCCACCTTGCGACCCAGATATCGTGTCTCAGACGGGTCACTCGCTGAGAAATCACGAGTAGACACCCTGAGCTGTTCCATCTTCCCTTCGGACAAACGCCCGACTGAAACGTATCGCTTTTCGCCTCTACATTGCCCTTTGGGGTCTCTGAACATCTCGGTCACCTATCGCAAAACCCTTGATCTGCAGGTCGAGCTTTCTGAGCGCCTGATTAGTGCTAGAATGGCCGGCCACGAACGCCCCGACAGTCGTCTTTCAGGCGAATCGAGCAGGGAAAGAACTTCTCTGGACCAGGAGCGCCCTTCTTTGCGTTCACAGCCGTCCAAGTTCTCTTCGTCCTTTCAGCGCAACACTCAAAGAAGCGCGAACGTGGGATCATCCCCCCGAACTAGCACTCTCCGTGAGCCCGCCGACCGACCTTTATCAGCACAAGCAATCAACGAGCGTGAAACATCACAGCCGTCACCTTCATCACAACAGGACGAACAATTGCGTCGCTANCTCCTCACAGAGTCAAGAGATCGAGAAGCGTCCCGCTTCACACCCTCGTCCTTGAGAGAACAGAACGCTTTCCAACGTAGACCGTCTGTATCGTTCCAACCCTTCAAGGCCGGCTCTTTGTCGTCGTCACCCGCAGCTGGCAACTTCCTGTCCAGTTCGCCGAGCAGTTCTGTTGGTCGAAGCGCAGGCAATCCCTTACTAGCACACGCCAGAAAGTCGTCCCTGTCAACACTGCCCCAGATGGCTTTGCGCAATCCTGGCGCTGTCGCCGAGACAGCTGTCGGCTCTTCCGCATCAAGCTCGCCCAAGCCTGCTCCCATCCAGAGATATTCGTCGAGCTTTAGTAATAGAAGAGCACGATTCCCTTCGGTTTCCAGCAGCAGAGTCGAAGAAGATAACAACAGCAGCGGTAGAGCTAGTGTCTCATCCACTAACCGTGAATCGAGTACACTTCAAGAGGGTGAAGGGGGTGCCAGCTCAGGCTCAGCACAAACTGATGAGGATAACATTGCCGACTTCCTCAAGTTGATCGACAGGAACAAGGGCTTATCGAGTCTCAACAAGACCGATAAAGCTTCCTTGAGCGCCAACGCTCAACGCACTGCCGCGCAGTTTTCCAAGTTTTCGCGTATGAAGGATTCGACAGCCCAACTTTCTGAGTCCATGCAGTCATCAACAATGTTGCACAGATCTTCCAGTTCGTCAAGTCGACAATTGCAGAATGTCCCAGGCATGAGTCCAGGTCTAATCTCGACTTCGTCTTCGCCCGGTAAACCAATCTCGCCACATACACCACACATACCTGCCATTCCCTCACGACTGAGCAACAACAGTATCACGGCAGACTACACACGTGATCGCAGTCGAAGTCGTCTTTCTGGCACGCACCTTCAGCCCTCTGGTGATGGAGCGAGAGATGTATCTTCTCATCCGCCAACACGAGGCTCAGGTACACCTCTATCCACAGCCATCGATATTCCAACATCCCCTCGCACCTTCGTCTCGAACCGCCGTTCATCGTCTACAACACAGCAAGCACGCGCAAGAGGAGTCACGAATGTTGAAGATCAGGATGCCTATGGCATGCGCTCAGCCAGCATGCCCGTCGCTGAAGGTGGTCGAAGCGAACTCAGTCTCTCCGAGCTGCTCTCACAAGGAGAGAGTGGAATTGGTGGATCAGGTGGTGTAGGAGGCAGCAGCAGACGCCGCAACCGTGAAGGTTCTGGTACTGTCGACGATGACGAGCCTTTGCTTTTGCTTTGGCTGACTGATTGATTGAGTGTTCGATTTCCTCACCCTTTGGTTTGATTGTTTCAGCTGCTTGCCTTGTTTTCTCGTTCTGCATTCTGCGTTCCATTACAACAAACAATCTCCTCTCTTGCTGCTGCTTTTCTTTCTTTTTTTTCTAGTCAATGGTTTTTCCTCTTTTCTGTTTGATGCATGGAAAGGACAGGATAGCGTGGCGCTGGGGTTTGTGCTTTTACAGACTGAGAAAGAGCGAGAATTGAGCAGATGAATGGAATTCCTGCTGGACATGGGGTTATAGCTTTAAACAGCAAATGCATACAATCCTTTCATATATCCATGGTCGTTACAAGTCTTCCATATATCCGTGTAGTATGTACAAGTCTATCGCCCTTTCACGACTCAAAATACTTGGGCACCCTTTTAACCAACTCACCCACCTCCTCATCACTAACAATATACTCAAAGCCTTCCTTATCAACCACTTCCTCGCCGTCAACTTGTCTACTCATCCGTCTATACCCGTAACAATTTCTCCATCTCCAGCCNNTTTTGCTTTCTTTGCCTCTGCTTGCTTTCCTTTGGCTTTAGCTTTTTCNTTCATCGGCAATGCTGAAATCATCGATTACCAATTCCCAAGTTACGAATACTGCAGCAGCGAATTCGCCGATTTCTTTGACTGCTAACCGCACCAACCGGATATCCGCGCCTACGCCTGCGGAAACGAGGTTTTGGAGATGGGCCAAGGTGCCTTTGGAAGCTTCTGAAGGGGTGGCGATGGAAGTGGATGTGCCCAGGGTGAAAGAGATTAGGTTGGGCAGGTAGTGGGTGCACATTGCTGTTGCAGCGGCGGAAAGGTCTGAAGGCTTGGAGGTTGCGGCTAGAGCTGTTGCTGTTGCGTACGAGTGGATGAAGGCCGTAGCGTGAGGAGAAATTCCTGTATTAGAGGACATCTTTTGGTTTTGGTCTTTGATGGTTTGGCTTGGTGATAATGGCGGAAGTTGTGGGATTTGGTGTTATTGCTTGTTGGAGAGAGCTTTGTTGGATGGATATTGCCCAATTGAGAGGTTTGTAATTCAGAGATCCAAAGACCTTTGGGTTTTGAGACAGAGATCAGACAGCAACAAGGAATGATTGAAAGCCAAACTCGATGATTCGGTGTTGCTGAAGTGTGGTTGGAAAGATGATGGTTTCAAACATTCAAAGCTCACAAGGTCTACAAGTTTACGGGCCGAGATCGGAACCATCACACAACCATCTACTCAAGGTCACGGCAGGCTTGAGAGGTACGATTTTCATATGTTGCCTGCTTTTCTACAAAGATTCCGCCTACCAGTTCAACGGCAAGAACGACAAGTACAAACCATACTGACATGGAGCGTAGGAGATCATCTCTAGTATACTTCACATATACAGTCATTGTGTGGTTTTGAGCTGTTTGAATCTTTTATGCTAGTACATGGTATCTCCTTTTTTGTTGTTCAGATCGATAGAACATCTAATCATCACCACCGCCCACCTGACCACCTGCTGTCGCGGCCTTCTTGGCACCACAGATGTCGTCAACTCTGAGCAACAAGCAGGCCGACTCAACAGCAGTCTTGATACTCTGCAGCTTAACAGCCTGAGGCTCCCAGACACCAAGCTTGTGCATGTCACAGACCTTGCCGGCGTCACCATCAATACCCCAGCTGCTGTTGTCGTTTGACTCGGCGTGCTTTGCGCGAAGCTGGGTCAAGACACGAATGGGCGAGTTGCCAGAGTTTTGGATCAGGGTGCGGGGAATGACTTCCATGGCTTCGGCAATGGCGCGGTATGGCCATTGGGCTACACCTTCGACACCCTTGGCGAGCTGTGACAATCGTACGCTGACGGCCATCTCGGTGGCACCACCGCCGGGGGAGAGGTAAGGGTGGAAGACGACGTTGCGGGCAACACCCATGGCATCTTGAAGGTTGCGCTCAATCTCGTTGAGAATGTCTTTTGAAGGGCCGCGGAGCAGAATTGTGCAGGCCTTGGGGTTTTGGCACTTTGTGAGGAAGGTGAAGTATTCGTCGCCAATCTTCTCAATCTCGAAGAGACCGCACTGAGTACCGACGTCTGACTCGGTGAGATCCTGGACGGTGTTGACGATGGTGGCACCGGTAGCGCGAGCGATACGGTTGTTGTCGGTCTTGCGGACACGGCGGAGAGCGGTGATGTTGTGCTTCATAAGGAAGTGCTGGGCAAGATCTGAAACACCCTTCTCGGTGATGACAAGGTCGGGCTTGACAGCGATGATGGCGTCGCACATTTGCTTGACCTGCTCCTCCTCAATCTGCAGAATGCGGTTCCAGTCCTCCTCTTTTGTGATCTCAATGTTTGTTTGCGACTCTCCCTTCTTGTACTCGAGTGTGCAGTCAAGCAAAACGATACGGGGGTTCTCGATGCGCCTCCTCATCTTGGGGTGGGTGATGTCCTTGTTGAGCATGACTCCATTCAAAACTCTGCTGTCCTCGATCTCGCCTCCAGGAATCTTCTCGACACGAGCATAACGCTTGATGTCAACTTCTTGCTTACCACCACCACCATTGTAGGAGACGGTGCGCACAGCGGTCAAGGCCAAGTTGCACATCATGTCGGACCATCTTGAGACGAATTTTGTGCCGATGGAGGAAGAAATGAGCTTGTACATTTGCTCGTCGTCCGAAGTGTCGACGGGGATCGAGACGTCTTGGATTACTTGAAGGGCATCGCTGAGGGCGCGCTTGAATGCTTGGATGATAACAACGGGATGGATGTTGCGCTCGAGCTGAGGGAGGGAGAGAGCGAGGATTTCACCAGCGAGGATGATGACTGATGTGGTGCCATCACCGACTTCCTCGTCTTGTGTTCTGGCCAGCTCGATCATGCTCTTTGCGGCGGGGTGGGCGACTTCAATTTCTCTCAGGATGGCGTGGCCGTCGTTGGTGAGGACGATACCACCCATGGGGTCGAGCAGCATCTTCAACATGGCCTTGGGACCCAGACATGATCGGATGATGTCTGCGANCGCTGCGAATTGTCAGATGGGCGCAGGTAAGGAGGTGAGTTGTTTAGCGTACGTCTTTGCGGCGGTAATGTTGGACAGTTGGGCTTTGCGACCGAATTGGCGCTCACCACTGTTGGTGTCTGGGATGGGCTGTCAGTATGTATAGCAGACAGATCAAGCATTAGAAGCTTACTCATGACCACAACGGGGGCCTGCATTTTGACTGTCTTGTTGTTGGACCACGATCCAAGCTAGCAGATAGGTTTGGTATAGACTTTTTGCAAGAAGCTCTGACGTGGTGCAGAGGCGACTGGAGTGTTATGTCGTCGAGGGATAGCGGTGGACTGTCTGTTTGGGCCCTTGACCAGCAATTGCGCGCGCCTCAACTTTTGGAGAAGTTCCGTCGGAAACAAACGCCAAGCGCTCGGAGGTGTCTTTGTGCAGACGCATAGGTTATGAGCACGATTTGTGCGTTGGCATAAGTGACTTGCACAGTTATGCTCGTGCTCGATCAGCACTTCTGGCCATGTCAGCGACAGGCGAAAATCAGCGCAAGGCCGTCCACTCTGGCACGACCTTCTAAGCCGGATACGGCAGTGTGGGTCTGGCGATGGCCCAATTGAACAGTTGCTTGGCGCATGTCTAGCTTCCACCTTTGTCGAAGTCGTTGTTGCCCGGCAAGAAAGCTGATCTTAAGGGTCCAGTCGCAAGGCTTCTCGGAAAACCACAAGACAAGCTCTTTCTCGCTCCTCAAGAAGACGTCCTTTCCCTCCTTCCACCGAATCTCACTTCTTCCCTGTCCTCCCTCCGACACTTTGTTCCGTCCATCTCTCACTCTATCTCGTCTTACTTGACTATAACCACTTCACCTCATTGACTCGACGTCATTTAATCAATCTTCTACTTTCTCCATCTTATCATCGCCGTCGCGTCTTCCCGGCTTCGCGACGCGACAAGCTTCCATCACCAATCCGACACCACTCAACTTTCACGCTTCTTTGTGCATTGACTGCTCAAACGTTGTAGCTTTCTGATTTAGCAAACAGTCTTTACTACTTACCCTTCACAATGTCTTCCTTCTACGCTTCATCGCCTACCGTCGTCCTCCCTGCTCCTTCGGCGCAATACTTCCCTCACTCGCAAATACACCAACCACCTACTACCATGGGTAACAACACTTTCTTCAAGCAGACTGCTCCACCTACACAATCCCTCCCTTCTGCTGCTGGCCGCAAACGCTCACGCGACGATGATGACGATGACGAGGTCGCTCTGGCTGCTCCTGTCGCTACTCCACCAATCGACCGTGGAGAACCTGTCTATGGCCCCGGAATGACACTTCTCAACAATCCTTACGGACAATCCTCTACTGGTTCCTGGGTTGAAAACACGTGGGTTGAAACACCCCAAGTCAGCCCTGTAGCCACCCAAGCATCCAGGCCCGCCATGCCCAGTCGCAAATCCCAACGTCTCGCTCCCTCAGGCCCTGAATCAGATGACATCGCCCTAACCATCGAGGCATCGGCTCATCGTCGCACTGCATCAGTTGAGCCCCTGATTGACGAGGTCACGCGCCTTCTCGGCATCTCATGGATGCGTCTTGATGCTAGCGAAGCACTTCAAATCTCAGCAAAAGCCTACACAAGATGGGTTCGCAGACACTATCCTGGTCTTGCCGACATCGAGCTTTGGTTCGAAAACTCTTCTATTCCTGGTTACCTTGGTGTCGCAACCAATAAAGCCTCTGGTCAAAAAGTCTTTTTGCTTTGGAGCAATGATCTTAAGCAAGCTGTTCTCGTAACGAGGAACCCGAACGAGCTGGTTTCGAAACTGATGTCTCCTCAAACAATCATCAGCTCGGCAACTGAATCCATGTTCGCCAGTGACGAACCTGTCGCCGACGACTCGTCAGACAAAGGCTCGCCAAGCCCAACCTTTGCTATTCCTTCTGTCGTTCCTCAGGCTTCGGCTGCCATGGACATCGATTAGACACGAAGAATCATATTGCTTTTTGGCGTTCGATCATGGGTTATCTGAGGAAATGAGACCAAACGGGAGGGTCAACCGGAATTGCTAGGAGCTGGTATGCTTGGGACTGGCTTCACGGAAGACTTGGGGTGCTTTGATTTGCATGCGTGACGTTGCAACAACGTTACATCTCGCTTTCTATAGAGCGAAAAAGCTGACTATTTTTTTGACACTGTACTTTAGCCAAACAGGTGCATTTTATCTATCCTGCACGCTTTGCTTCTTATATATCAATCAAGCTTTGGCGACGAGCCAATCATTTATAATATACTCAACATTAATTTGTGTTCCGAATTTTGTGAATTCCTGATGTTATGTTATCCGCCTATGCTCTTCCAGCTTGAATGCAATGCACCCGTGCAACCATGATCTACCTGCTTCAACCCGTGCGCTCATCAAACAAGCTGGCAGTGGTATTCGCTGGCGATCAAGCAATCCTCAGCGGGCAGAAAGGGTGTCAATTTACCAGAGAAGCTGATCAGGAATCACCATGTTTACGCCCTGATGCGTGACGAAGGAGCAGGCCGCCGGTCACTGACTTGGCCTTGCGATGATTCTTTTCAGCTCAAGGAGCGGGAATTCTAGCCGTGGATTTGTGAATATTCCAACCCTGAATCATAGATAAGAGTGATGGCCCAGCAGTCGAAGTTACAGATCTTCCGGATGCATGGAAAGTGATGCCTTGAATATTGTTTCTCGGTGCAAGTTCCGAATCTTGTCGATGGAGGTTTTCGAGAGTTCTGAGAGTTTGGTATCGCAGTCTTCTCACTCGATCAATTCGTCCTTGCCCAACATTGCAGCCATGGGATCATTACCGGCACTTCTCTTTCTCCTGTATTCGTCCAATTCTTCTTCCGTCACGCCATCTCTGATCTCATCCAGTTTTCTTTTTCTGTCTTCTGGTGCTGGTTTGCTGCTGCTTTGGTCGTCTAGTTTGGTTTTCTCGGCTCTGTCTGGTGCATTAGGGACGTGTTCTTCATTTCGCTCTTCTTCCTTCCAAGCTATTGATTTTGGGACGTTTGTTGCGGTGGTGGATTCAAGAGTTGAAGGATCGTCGAGGAGAACAGAGCCGGAAGATAGCTTTTCGGCATTTTGGGAAGCGAGTTTTCCTGCTTGGCCTACGCAGTAGCTGTTTTTGATTGTTGAGTGGCAGCAGGCGTAGCCCCAGGTGAAGTTTTTCCACCAAGAGCCAAAGACCGAGGTGTGGTTGTTGAGAAGCACGTCTTCTCTGTACATTGATTTTTCCTTTTTCTCGGGCAGGCCTTTGATTCTGCCACGCGCGTCGTACTCGACAAAGACTTCGTTTTCGGTGATTGCGGCGTGTTTGAGAGGGTCCGGGGCTAGATGTTCTTGTCCGCCGTATTTTTCTAGCAGGGCTTTGCGGGTTGCTTCTTTTTTTGCTGCTGCTTCTTCTGCTTCTTTTTTGCGATAGTGTTCGCCTGCTGTTGGGTTGGCTTGCAAGTGGACATTGTTGCTGCCGCTGTTCTCAGCGGTTTCCCAGGCGTAGCGCTGGGCGCGCGCGAATTCTGCAGCGTCGCCGGAAGCTCGTTGGAATTCTCCTTCTGCGTCGTCGATTAAAGTGCGGGTTTTGGGATCGTATTTTGCGGATTCGAGGTCGAGGTNTTTGAGGTAGCCTGCTGTGTCTTCTCTCAGACGCAGGTTTCGGGATGAGTTTGGCTGTTTGCGACCCATGTCTGTTTCTTCTTCGTATTTGTCTCCGTCTTCTGCTTTTGTTGCTTCGTCGTCCTCATCGCCCTCGGGGATTCCAGAAGCTTTACGTTTGGCATCCTTGATGGCTTGCAAGTCGTTGTATTCGTCCACGACTTCTTGGTATGCGCGCGCATCATATCCACTCCAACGATCTCGTTTCGCTTCCCAACCCATATTGATATCCTGACCCTCCTCATCCGCCTTAATATCCCTTCCGGTAAACTTTGCACCTATTTTCCGCTGCCGGTACAAACAATCTTTCTTCTGGTGTCCCATAGCGCCACAATTCTCACAAGCGCCTTTGCGGTATTTTGTGGCTGTGGCGGCGCCAGCACGTTGGCCTCTGGTGTACCATTTTTGGGTTGCGAGGGATTCGTCCTTTTGGGCTTGCAGACGTTGGTGTTCGAGGTAGTCTTCTTGGGAGGCGGTTGCGTCGTCGATGTAGAAGGGTTTCTTGGAGATGAACGAGGGGATGTATTCGTTGCGTTCGTTTTTGCCCTGGGGCTCGGTGGGTTTCTTGGGAGGTGGTGGCGGCGGCATGTTGACAGTCTGTTAGATTTGGTGAAGATGCAGAAACTTAGAAGTTGTTGCTTCCAAATTGTCGAGGTTGTTCTGCCGTCGAAAGATGACGATGGAGTCCGGATGCCAAGACATTGGAAGTGCTCCTTCTTTTGGAAGTGAGCTCCGTCTTCTACCATTATCACCGAACACCTTGACGCAACATTAAATCTATTGAATATCGTCGATTGTCATTTTCTCATAGGCGGCTGTCTACTACTCATTCCCCAGCTCGGAGCGGTACTTGTCCCAACATCTATGCTTCGCTATATACTGCATTCAACATGGCGGCCGTCGAAAGCGCATCTTTTTCACCATTCTTTCTTCCACCACTCCTTCAACATGTTACTTGCTCTCGAGATTCTGGCGACCACTGCCTGCGATGCGATCTCCTAGAGTTGATTCACTACAGATAAGTCCTATACTGGGTATGCATTATGATAAAGAAATGTCCGCCTTGTCGCAAAGAATTGTTCTCTTTGTCCTCGAGCCTACGAGTTTTCTTTTGCGTACATTTCTTGATTGACATCTCCAAATTCGTGCCAAGTCCGGAAACGGGTACCACGAGATAAGTCAATCTGATAAATGATAGTCAATGGTAAAACACTCTCGAATACGTATGTGGAATTATACACTTTTCTGGCAGGATATCCATACGCATCTCTGTTATCTTTGTTGAAGCACTCTCACACAATGAACATGCCAGGCACATTTGACCCTATACCAGGTTTCGAGAAGATTGCTTCAGCAGTCAACAAGGGAAGAACGGGAGAAGACGATGCCAGTGGCTTACCGCAAGGCACCTGGTTAGGGGGCGTTTATCTAGGTCATGGAAGCTTTGGCACCGTACACTACTGGCTCAAGGTCGACCAAAACCAGAACGTCATCGATCGTATGGTTATCAAAGATGTCGAATGCTTCGATAACACCAAGGAGTCCTCAGCTTACCGGGGCATATACGAAGAGCTTGTTCGCAAGGATATGGATTTTGGTATCAATCCCGACAAACCGGGCAAGGCGACAATTGACGAGAGATTTTTGAGAGAAGCCTATCTGCAGGGGCTTATGACCGACAACAACAAACCCTTCTCGGCTACTACTGTTCCACTTCGAGGATTCAAGAGAGGTCATCTCGACAGGATGGAACAGGGACGAAAACTCCATCATTGGCGCATTTACATGGATTTCTTCCACGCAGGCGATCTCAATAAATTGATCAAAAGCCATCTCACCGACAAGGGAGTCCCAAAGAGACCCATACCTGAGCCGTACATCTGGTGGGTCTTCACCTGTTTTGCCGAAGCTCTACTCCAGCTGGAGAGTGTTGTGCAGGCGAGACCCAATGCACGTCAAGAACAAGACGAAGTGATCGCACTAATGGACATGAAGCCAGCCAACATTCTGCTGGAAGCCAGACGAGACGATCGGTATCCAGTTTACCCGAAACCTTTGCTGTCTGATCTAGGCGCATCCCACATCCTCCACAAAGAAGATCCGCTGCAGAACCGAAGTGTCGAAGGCAGTTACCCTCACGGAGCCACACCAGGCTTCTTTCCTCCTGAAATGTGGAAAGCCACTGGGACTGAATTTGGTACACTACGGGGCATCGACAAGCCTGTATACTCTTGGACCAATGTTTGGCAAGTCGGTCGAACTATCGAGTGTATGATGCGTCTGAAGACAATGCTACTTCACGAACAAGTTTCATTAATCTGTGATCGCGATTCACGCATCAANAAAGACCCACCCAAGTTCAAGAGGTTACCTAAATTCAAATACAGCAGCGACCTCATCGACCTTGTCGAGCGTTGTCAGCGTTTCGAACCAGAGGAGAGACCTACGCCAGCCGAACTGCTAGGACTAATCAGATCGCTTGCACCCAAGCACAATGGTGGTATGGATGAATGGGGCAATGCCAAATGGATTAAGAATCGAGAAGCGGCACCACAACCCAAAACTTACTCGGTAGTGGCCACAAGCTCGGCAAGCAGCAACATGGATTTTCTTGATGGGTATCCTCCCGACTGGGCTGAGAGATATCGCCAGCTAGATGTGAGATTACCTAGGGGTGCNGATCTTGCCTTCTATGGCAACAAAAATCCCGCCAGGCTCAACACCAGAGCTGCCATTCCTGAGAGAAAGCCATATAACCCGCTCAACGACGTGAACTGGAATTAGTAATCGACGAATATCTTGCTTGGTTGTCGCACGGCAAACAATATACTTGTCCATCTCGAACGAAATGGACATGTGTGGATGTACGATTTAAGTCGAGATTTTCAAAGAACTTTCATTGTCAGGACATCATCAAGACAACATCAGTCTTGCTGCTGGGAACTTCGAACCAATCTTTTTCTTCTCTTACATTTCAACTATCATTCTATGTCACCGCGGAAGGATGCAAATGACGAACCTCTACGAGATACCTTGATGACGCGCAAGCAAGTCCACACGTTGATCCTGAGGTGCATAGTCGATAGTTGAAAACTTCTTCTCAGTACCCAGCACGTTTCTGCGTTCTGCCTTCTTGTTCGTGGTTGCTGTGTTCTTATGTGGTTCTTCCAATGAATTATGACGAAGGGCAAAGACAAGAGCGTTGAAGCTTTCAGGGTCTTGGAGGCGGGAGTGAAGGCGTTGCCGCAAGGCGCCGATGGTAACTGGACCCCCGGTATAGCATGCGAACTCTTATGATAAACATGCTCAATAACGAAACATAACCTCGAAATCAGGTGGAGTGGTGAGAAGGAATCGTGATTTGTCCAACCTTCTTCGAAATTACATTCATCCACCATCGGATTAGAAAGTCGTGAATCCAGTTTGGTGAGGATTTTTGCCAAGCCCACCTTAACTGGATTCACGACTTTCTGATCCCATGGTGCATCTATGGAGTAGAGAGCGCAATTGCTGAATTCTGCTGAACATCCATAGGTGCTTCGACACGTCAGGGTTTCGTTACCGTGACCGCGGGCGAGTTTGCCGGCAGCCGAGCCCCCATCGAAGCTTCCCAGTGGCAGGATAAGCATTCGTTCAAGAAACACTCCAATTGGCTGGGCGACGAGTTCACGACACCGTGCAGGAAGATCGCCTCAATTGCAGATCGCAGGATCCTACTTCCATAAAGTTGGTCGCGTGCCCTCGAGGGAAGGATCTTCTCTTCCTTGCATCGCTTCCTGCCTTGGTTGTTCGAAGGAATTCACAAATCTATGTTTCTCACTACCTACATCTTTTCCTGATTACCTGTATCTATCATTGCGACCTCGCATTTCTGCTTAGTGTCTCTCAATCCTTGATATTCGCACCTGGATCTACCGACGCGGCTGAGGACTCATTATATACCCAAAGCGACAACACGACTGCCCATTGCGACTTCGAGCAGCAAGCTCGGCTCAGATTGAAACTATGGAACGACCACTGAGCACCGAAAAACACTCTAGCGGGGCTAGCCCAGAAATTGCACCTGTCCAAGAGCACCCATCCACCTCCTATGAAGGACAGCCTCCAACTACCTATGAAGACACCGAGAAGACCAGATGGGAACGTCTTTGGCCAGTCATCGCTTGCGGTGCTGGTCTCTTCAGTGACGGATACCTGAACGGTGTGATCGGATTTGTCTCTACCATGCTCGGAAAGATCTATCCTGATGCTTATGCTTCTTCGCCCGCCCAACGCAACGTTTCGTCCATCACCTTTGCTGGAACTGTGGTTGGTGTAAGTACTGTGGATCCTCGTATTGTACGATCCTTGTCCTGACAAATGCTTCAGATGTTGATCTTTGGCTATACTTCTGATCATTACTCTCGCAAGTGGAGTTTGTTTGCCAGTACTGTTATTTTGATCCTCTTTGCTGCACTCAGCGCAGGCAGCTATGGAGCTGGTGGCAGTAGCTCTGGTTTGTTCGCTGCCTTGACCGCTTGGCGTTTCTTGCTAGGCATCGGTATCGGTGGTGAATATCCTGCAGGCAGTGTAGGTTGTGCTGAAAGTACTGGAGAACTCAAGAGTGGAACCAGAAACAGATGGCAAGTTAAAGTAAGGACCATTAATTATGGATGTGCTAACTTAATCTTAGGNTTCATCCTGTTCACTAACGTGCAGATTGATATTGGTTTCGTGGTCTCTGCGCTGGTGCCCATGATTGTGGTATGTTCCTGATCTTCCCTCTCTCTCTTCGACGTGTCTTTGCTAAAGCTTCATGTTCTANNGGTCCTCTGTACAGGAGAGAACCACCTTCGCGCTGCCTGGCGCATCTGCCTTGGTCTTGGTGTAATCCCTCCTCTCTCCCTTCTCTACCTCCGTCTCAAGCTCAACGAGCCCGAGGCCTACCGTCGTGAGACAATGGCTAAAGCAAAGACTCCCTGGCTCTTGGTGTTCAAGTTTTACTGGTGGCGGTTGACCATTGTTTCGTTGATCTGGTTCATCTACGATTTCTCGGGCTACTCTTTCTCGCTGTTCAGTTCGACCATTGTGGATAACCTTCTAGGCACCAACTCTCCGCTTTGGAAGTCTTTCGGCTGGACTACTCTGATCTATCTCTTCTATCTCCCGGGTTGTATCGGTGGTTCCTTTGTCAGTGACTGGCTGGGTCCCAAGCTGACTCTCGGCATTGGTGTGCTCGCCCAAGGAATCGTCGGATTCATCATGGCTGGCGTGTACAGTTATCTCGCCCGTCCGTCCAACGTCGCTGGCTTTGTAATCGTCTACGGCGTCTTCNNCCTTGCACTTGGAGAGTAAGTCAATAACGAGTAGGACATCAGAATTAACATGCTAACAGGTTGCAGGTTTGGTCCAGGCGACAACATTGGTCTGATAGCTTCCAAATCCTGTGCCACCGCGGTCAGAGGCCAATACTACGGCATTGCAGCCGCCATTGGCAAGATCGGCGCCTTTGTAGGCGACCAAGTGTTGGCTATCTTGTACAACCGCTATGTGGATACTGATCCAATCAAGGCTGGCCAGTATCCCTTCTTTGTGTCCAGCGCATTGTGTATCTTGAGCGCTTTCATTGCGTTCTTCTTGTTGCCTCACATTGGTCAGGATACTATCGATGAGGAGGACAGGAAGTTCAGAGCTTATCTGGCGGAGCATGGATATGATGTTAGCCAGATGGGTGTGCAGCAGGGTGCTGAGCATATTGTCGGACAGACTGAAGTTGAGGGAAGTGAGGAAACTTCTGAGAGAGCGGTCAAGGCTTGAGAGTAGAGATTATCGAAATATGCTAATGAATAAAAAGTTCTATGATTGTTTTCCACACAAGCATGTCCAAATCCGTGCAAGTGCAGACGAAGTTGACGAACAATATTTGATGGTACAGCACATATTTTTGAAATGGTTAGCTTAATCGTACTATCCTTGTGACATTAAGTTTATTTTCAAAGCAACATTTATCTCAATCTGATCAACTTCTTACCTTGCTGTCGTCGTTCCAACCTGTGGTCAGGGTGCCAGCGACACTATCTCAGTGCCAAGGCTTGATATTTGTTCTCGACTCTCGCACGACAGTCATTGCGATAACATACCTTTCATTGACACATCGTGTAATGAAGTCCTGAAGATACAGGTGATCATATGAGTGTGAGTATTGACTTCTTGTATCAACTGCATTGTTCGACACAACGAAGATGATGCATTTTGCACTGCGCAGGTTTGTGTGTGACGCGATCATGACCACCTTTTTTCCAGCGAACGAATCCTTCCATATCTGGCTCAATAAGCCCTATGCAGTTATACCTAACCACATTAGACCGAAGTCGGCCCATTAATTCTGGTTCTTCTTGCTTCTCTACCTTTCTTGCACAAAACCACCATGCGCACGTATGGATAGCACTTGACGCTGGCTACTGAAACACGCCGAGGAGGGCAAGCAAACATCACCTGGGTAGTAAATGACATACGCGGATGGAACAACGATGAACGCGAATATGTCCGATCAGGATTCATCTGATCACGGACGTGACCTTGACCAAGCGACGCTGAAGAGGGCGCCGACGAATCGAAGCAGGGACTCAAGAAGAAGCGTTAGCACCGCACAATCGAATAAATCTGGTTCCCAGAATCGTGCTTCTATATCATCCGGTCTACGACACAGGAACTCGAACAGACGCGGGACGCAACGATCTGATCGGAATCATGCCTACACGACTGGCAGAGACCAGAACAATAGACAACCATTCACCTTAGCTGGTCCTAGCCATCAAGATGGCGAGAACAGTGGACGCGCGCAAAATCAGCACCAACCATACGTTGAGCCGGGCTATGCAGAACTCAACCCTGCATACGACCAACCTGGAAATGTGCGACCGATCTGGGGACTGGCAGATCCTATGCCACGCATTGTACGTCGAGGCATGAAGCCATCAGAGGATGAGATCCAAGCAGACAGACCAAAGCCTGGAGAAGAAGACGATAATGTGTTGCAGCCTACTGACTCTCAAATGGAGCAAGGCATGGGTCCAAAGTTGAACTTGAACAAACTTGGCAAGAGCATACATGATGCGACAAAGGACCGAGAACGAAATTATGCCGAGAAATATGGCAAGAAGTTCGAGCCGCCATCAGAGATGGGTCAGGAATCTCATACGCAACCAGTTGGGTTTTTGCAGCAGCTCACACCTCCACAAGAGAACGATGAGGAAGGCGAAGAAGCACTACCGAGGCCCTCGACCAGACGGTCCGGCACAGAACATTGTCTTCACCAGGATCGTAGTGATGACGAGAAGAAGGATGAAGAGACCAATGATGAAGAGGCAGAATCTACATCTGATCAGATGAATGAAGGCCATGTGCCAATGAACAACATCCAAGAAGAGCTACACAACCACCATACGCTATGGGCAGTTCTCAGGACAAAANNCTACGTGAACCTCTCGCAGAAGCTCTCGCCGTAAGTCTGATCAGATGTCTCACCTTTACACATTGTCTAATCCTGACAGGTATTCGTGCTGATAACGATTGGCATATGTGCTAATGTGGCACACAATCTTGCTGGTAGCGGCTCCGGCGATTCAATGGCATGGTCATGGGGGTTCGCGACAATGACTGCTATCTACATTAGTGGTGGTGTGTCTGGAGGACATCTCAACCCGGCGATCACGATCATGCTCTACATCTTCCGTGGCTTCCCGAAAAGGAAAATACTCATCTATATCTTCGCGCAATTGCTTGGAGCATATCTCGGCTCGCTCGTTGCTTATGGCATTTATCGAAATTGTATACTGAATTATCTGGACTCTAACCCGACGCAAACAACAGAAGTCTACAACTCATTTGTCACGGACCGCATGGCTGGTGTGGCTGATGCTGCTTCAGGGTTTCTTACGGAGCTTGTTGCTGCAGCAATCATTGGTGTTGTTGTATTGGCTCTTGGTGACGACAGTAATGCACCCCCTGGAGCGGGTATGAATGCATTCATCATCGGTCTAGTCATCAGCATCGAAACTATGGCTTTCTCTGCCAGTACTGGTGCCGCCATCAACCCTGCTCGCGATATGGGACCTCGCTTAGCCCTGATCACAGTTGGCTTCGATAGACACGATCTGTTTGGAGATGGCTGGTGGGTTTATGGAGCTTGGTGCGCGCCCATAACCGGCGCCATTGTCGGAGCGATTCTCTACGATGTTGCGATCTTTGTGGGTGGGGAGTCCCCTCTCAACTATCCTCGAGGTAGTGTTAAACGAGTTGGGAGCAAGGCCAAGACGCGGTGGAGGCATAGGTTTCGACACAGGAGAAGATAGCGGCTGTCCTATGCACTATTGGACAGGAGTCTCAGAGCCTCCAAGGATCATACCTACGCGAGAAGCACTTCAAGTTGAAGCGAAACCCTTGGTGTGGTTAAGAAGCACTTGCCTGCGAGATTTGTATCGCCAACCAGCGCTGACAACAACCCTGTCCAGCAAATGGCCCCTGGGATGTCAGTTCAGCTGTTATGGCGGTTCACGAGTTGCTTACACATCGAATTCTCATCGACTACTTCTTGATGCGTACAACTACGATGTCTCACCAACAAGATGCGCTTTCGGCAACTCTAACTATATCGCTATAGAGCACTGACTCGATGAACCTCGCCCGTTGAAGTGTGGCTTGAAGTTTGCCCACAACGGTCTAGCAACCGTCCAAAAACGTCGTCAAACTTTAGCATTCAATCCGCCAAGACATTGTTTGACTACCAGGCTTTTCAGGAGATGTGAGACCTTCTCGAAGACTTATCTGAGATGTTCAGAGAAAATTGACCTGCGACGATGAGATTCAGCCTCAGACAGACAACGTCTGTTATACAGCAGCTGTGTTCGGTCGAAGCCGAAACAATTGAACTTGAGTCTCAAGCCTTGCGAGATGAAAGCGCCTGAGATATGCACATACCGAACTCGAGATACTGCAATCACGAGTAATTACCATCGAACAACCTCTCGCGTCAAACTCTGTTTAGGTTCAACTCGATTCATACGACGCCTCGTGACTGTCACGGTCTGTTGCGCGAGCGAGCTAGGGCTCTTTCTCAGCCTCATACGTCGTATCCAAGGTACGGCCATCGTGGCAGAGAGCCAAGTTCACACATCACATGCTGGTAACCATGGCTCATCATGGTCATGGCATGCAGGAACCACACGGGGTGGCCGGTAGCAATCATGCTTGTCGTAGTACATGAATCCTTGATGGTGACGACCATAGTCGAGAGGGTCAAGAGAAAGGGATACAAAAGCCGAGACGATCCCCAACAATAGACGAGAAACATAACAGAGACCTTGAAAGTATTGGAAACCTTCGTTCAATATGCGTACGACTTTCGTTATCTCCGCCCTTGTTGCGGTTGTTGCTGCTTTGCCGGCTCCAGCACCTCAGGAGATTGACCTTGACTTGTTTATCAACATCCCCACTCCGACTGTTATCCAGGCAACTGGCACCCCAGACAAAATCGTCACCTACGACACTAAGGCCATTCTCGCTTCAGCTACCGCAGCTTCTTCCATCTCCGTAGCTGTTACGGATGCTGCTTCTTCAGTTGCCTCTGCGAGTATAGTGAGGCGTTCAGCTTGCGGACCCGAACCTTCCGGTTATGGACCCGTCACTACCAACCCCAAAGACAATGCTGCTTCGTTTCTCGCCAACCCTGTTTATGCAAATGCTGCCAACTCTGCCGCTGTCCCTGCTGGATATGTTCAGACCTTCAAGAATCTGAATGCCAGTAGCAGTGCTTACGGGTACCTGGGTTTCAGTAACCTTCAATCTTACAGTCCTCAGACTTGTGCCGCTAAGTGTAAGTTATGCAGACTGTTCCTTCTGTTTCTGGGTCTCTAAAGCTGATATGTTTCTTTACACAAAACAGGCAATGCTATCAAAGGCTGCATGGGCATCAACCTGTACTTTGAACGCGACCCCAAATACACCCCCGACAAGACTTTGTGCCCGAACCCTGCTTCGCTAACTCAAATCAAGTAAGTCTGAAATCACGAACTACCTCAAAATTATTCGCTGAACGACTTCAGGTGCGTATATTGNGGAGGTCCCGTCACCGCCGGAAATACCAACAACCCTGGCAGAACTTGGGTGCAGTTCTCTGTGGTGGTTGCCGGCTCCAACGGCTACGTGAACCAAAACATCGCTGCTCCTCCCGGATACTCGGATGCCAATTACCTTGGAAACACAGCCATCAATGCACCATACGATGTTCTGGGCTACAACACTTATATGGGTGCCAAAGTCTTTGCTGCTGGTCCCTTCAACGCAACTCTCTGTGCTGAGGCCTGCAACGCACAGAACGTGTACAACCTTGCCAACCCTCCCACAGATGGCAGCCCAGTCCAAACTTGCCAATTCTTCAACACTTACATCTTGTCTTTGAATGGCAAGACGGCATTGGGACAGTACTGTGCCATGTACAGCAGTACCTGGACCAACAAGTATGCCACCAACAACGGTCAATATCAAGGCAACAACCACTACACAATCGGATCTTCATACTCATTTTCCAACCTCACAAACGCAGGCACAACTCCCAACCCAGCTGCCGCTGTTGCCCAAGCCAAAGGAGAGATTTCCGCATCTTCTCTGCAGAGTTATTGTAGCACTTTGTTGGGCTACAATGACCTTAACGCCTATACCACTGTGACGTATACCAAGATCCCTGTGTCGACTGTTACTTTTACATCTACGGTTAAGGTCAAGGCTTCGTCTTCTGCAACCTCTTCTTCTTCGTCAAAGATGTCTGCTTTGTCTAAGCGTGCTGTGGCTTCTTCCTCTTTGGCTACTCCTACGGCTTTGACTAAGTATCCTGGCAGTATTATTTCTAGCGCTTGTGCGGCTTTGGTTACTAAAGTGTCTAAGACTGCTACTGTTACTATGTCGACTGCTACGGTTACTGGTGCTACTAGCAAGTCTACGGTTGTCAAGACTGTTACTACCACCACTCGATGATGGGATCTGCTATGTTTGATGGAAAGCGATGGAGCTAACTAGATGCGACAATTTGCGTGTGGGAGGCTTGAAGTTATATAGGATTGTGCTATAGATTAGTTTAATGCTTTTGTCTAATGTCTTCACGAAGTGTTTTTGTTTTGGCCTTTAGTCGGTGTGTGTCTATTCTCTTTTCTCTAGTCTGATTTATGCGCTCGACAAGACATTTGGTCTCACATTCGTTGAGGTCGTCATAAACCAGACTAGTGAAAAAGACTTGGGCGATGACAAGTAAAAGCATGTCCATCAATCTTGTCAAGGCCTACATCGTTAGACTCTGCTAGGCGCTCCAAGCCACCGCGCAAACTGGCAACGAAAGAAAAAAAAAAGCAACATGGCAAGACCAGCACTTGCATTACCCTTCAGGGAGGAGAAGAGAAGTGGTTTAGAAAAGGGCAAAGAAGAATTCCGACACGGGGAATTGAACCCCGGCCTCCTCGGACCTAGTTGTTCTTGGTAGAACGGTTTGAGAGCGAGAAATCCTAGCCACTAGACCATATCGGATGTTGTTAAAGCATTATCTACCTAGATCGAATATATCCTACATCTACCAAGCCGCTTCCAGGCTCATTGAGCTCCCTTGCCACCTGCGTTCCTTGGAACAGAGCAAAATCTGGAATCATCTACATAATGATGCCTGCAAGCGGACAAGTATTGTAGAAAGTGTTGAGCTCTCGCAAACCTCTCGCTGTCTGTTTCCGCAATCTTGAAATATGAGTGTGAGTTTATCCAATGATCGTGCGACAAGCGCGTGTTTCAGCGCCAATGTCTATTCCTCATTGTATCTAAAGTTATTGCATAGGGTATCGTAAAAAGGGTCGTTGAATGCCGCAAAGAAAGACAGCCACAACCTGTTGCTTTTTGTTCCTCGTGTTTCATGCACCGCAAACCGCTCAAGGACCACCAAGTCTCTTCTCGATCTTTGCCTTTTCGCCCTCGCGGATGTTTTGCAGGTCCTCTCTTGTGCTGTTGTAGGAAGCATTGGCTTGGTTGAAAGGGTTGTCGGGGTGCTTCTCAAACTCCTTTCTGATCTGCTCGATCTTTTGTTGACGGCGCAGGCCCTTCTCGTCTTTCATCTCTTCTAGACGGCGTTCTTCGTATTGGGTGTAGGCGGCCTTGAAGCGGCGTTCGGGGTGACGGTCGATCTTGTCTGAGCTGTTGGCGGTCAAAGACAAAGCGTCCAGAGCGTTGTCGATACCGGTTGCGGAGAGGGCGGAGAGCGAGGAAGGACCATCAAGGCCAGACAGATCGAGACCGCGGGACTTCTTTTGGGCGGTTTTGGCGTTTCCGGTCTTCTTAGAGGGGGAGAGAGGCCTCTTCTTCGGCTGCGAGGGCTGCCTTTTCGGCCTTCTTGCGATCGGCTTCAGCTTTCTTTTCAGCGGCGGCAGCACTTGAAGGACAGAGTCAGTATGGTAGCCAGAGATTGAAGCTGTACGGGTGCACACTTACGCCTTGGAGTTGTCCTTTGCGCCCTTGCTCCATTCTTCTGCTTCAACCTTTGCCTTCTTTTGGTTCTCTACTGCCTGCTTCTGAGCAGCGACCTCGGCCTTCTTAGCGTTGCCTAATTTTTGGTTCAGCGATTGCATGTACAAGATTGCTTGAAGTATTCATTACCTGCGGCCTTCTTGCTATTCTCTCCCTTAGCCATGATAGATAGTTATTCGTGTGGTGACAGACAGATGGGCGAAAGACAACAAAAGTCTAGAAAATCGTTCGACTCTCGAGGCCGTGTTCGGGAAGCTTCTGTTGCGTCACATGCCAAGCCAAGCATTCTGCCTCCCAATGCGTCTATACCACAATCCAGAATATCTTACGACCTCCCCGTGTGCTAAGGACAATCATAGTTGTAGCTGCCGAAATGCACAATACTATTGGAAAACAGGTTAGTGTCCATTGAGAAGCGATTCCCTGTCAGCTCTCTGGCCGAGGGGAGGGAGTGACCTTTTCTCCATCATGATTAAATGGGTTATTGTATACTATTAAGACGCAGAGTGGTAATCTAAATTTGGTTCTAGCCATAGAGGTAGTCTTATATGGGGTCCTCTGTGGAAACCAGATTCTTTGCGAAAGTATTGTATGTTTCTGCAGCTGCACTATGACACCCTTTAGCACATAGAGAGGCACAAACTAGATGTTTCCGAAGGTTTCGACAATATTTTGCTATGTTCTGATTGCTCGTTGTACTATCTCCTCACCGGCTATTCTTTCAGTATATACCACATGTGCTACTCAACCGTCATTGACTCTAGTGCTGCTTGTCTCGCCCCTTCCTCTTCAATTCTTCGCACCTCTTGCATAAACAACCTGCACCTCATCTTGAGTATCTTCTTTGAGGAATGTGGCGGTATTGCATAGAGTTCCATCTTTGTGGTTGTGTTTCCCAGAACCCCTGCTACCGAGACCTCGGGTAGATAATGTGGAAGTTCCTTCATGTTGACAGTGTAATTGACCGAGCGGAACACTTGCTCCATGCTCATAATTCCATCCCTGAACTTTCGCATTTTCATGCAATCGTCTTGTAGACGTGTCAAAAGTGGATCCGCAATGTCCGAATCGGCTTCCAGGTATCCCCTGTCTGAACATGTGTCGACGACGACCTTGACATCAAGCATATCCGTACGGTCTCCGAGATGGTAGCTGACGAGAAGTAGCCTGTGGATAGACTTTTGACTAATCCTGAGATCCCCATGTACATCGACAGCAACCTCGACTGTCACTGGATGAGGTGCCTTTGGGCGTGCGCAGAGTCTTGCGAGAAAGTTTATGGCATTGGCCTCGAGTCCGATATCCATATTCTCGTCATAAAAGCTTGTTCCACGATACTCCGGAGCCGGCAAGACGAAGTTGATGTTTTGGAACCAGACTTCCTCGTAGTCAGGCGTCACCCAATCTGGGATCCTGGATTCCTCACTGATGTCCCAAGGAGGGTGGTTGTCCCTCAGCCAGTAACCAAAGATCATGAGGCGGATCTCTGTGGGAAAGTCTGCATAATCTCCTATTTCGTGTATCTTTTCGAGTGCTGCTCTCGAGGCTGCGCTTCCGGTAGTCTCGCCAAAGTAGTCCGGGTTGTTGAATGGGTCTAGTAAGCCTGTGCCGGTCACACGATCGAAGACCCATAGCAGCCATCTACTAAGATGGGTATCCATGCTGGTGTAGCTTCAACTCGACTGTTGGCTATCTGTGCGGTGATCAAATCTGACTCGAGAAGTTTAAGTCTCCTCGATTTTATGGATCTGAGGCACACAAAGAACAGCACCCAGAAGGGGCAGTTCATTCATGGCGATGGTCATAACAATGATGTCGCGAGTCACCCTCGCCGGATCCGGACGTGCCATTGTTGACGGGCTACGTCCTTGGATGTGTAACCAAATCGGTGGATGAGTGATGTTGTCAATCAAGGTGACGCGAAAACATAGTGCGTGGTCGCTGCTTGAGGACCCTACCTTCTCATCAGAGCTTTGTACCTACCGGACCTTCAGATACTGTATTAGATCTATATCAGATCATTTGTGACCAGAAATGACCAAAAGTACTAGCTTTCGCAAAGTAAATGTTCGCACGCTGCCCCAAAGCTAGCAATTCTGATCAGCTTGCTGTTTGGAGTGTCGCAATACACTGAATCAGGGTCTGTCCAGCTTGACGATAAAAATTGCCAGATAAAATCATCAATGATCCCGACTTGATTTGAGTAAAGATGTGTTGTGGAACGACAGCTGCTTGGATGTTTGGACGTGGTGATAGAAAGGGGGTGGTGATGATAAGAAGGGGTCTCGTCAGGTGCAATACCCCGCAGGGCCCGGCACGGCAGAGAGATGGTCGGACTACGGGCCGGTGTAGGGCGTTGTTTACCGATTGAAGTCCGCCATTCGGGGGAGTCGCGGAGTGTGATTGACTCATGTCTGGTTGTCGGGTTTTCTTATCTCTAGTTCTTTTTAGGCTGATTGTAGATTCTCCTCTCTTTCTCGATTGAGGGCTCCAGAGTCACCAGATTTCCTCACCTGCCGACCCCCAATCGCCCTTCAGTTTTCGTTCAATCGTATGACGGATCACCGCCATGTCGTCATACAGGATTGCCGTGGGTAGAGCGACCACAAGGTTCGGAGGGGTTCAGTCGGTGCCGCATCGTCTATCTACATATCCTGCGCTATCCCCATACTCATCCCCACGCTCGGTAATCTCTCCAGCATCAGGATCCGCCGCCATGGCTTCGCAAGGTCTCCTGTCTTCGCTACCGGTCCCAGCTTTCCTTCAAGGCCAGTCGACTCGCGCCTTCTCCACCACACCTCGCCAGAGACGCCTCACAATCGAGAACATCAACCAGAATGTCGTTGAAGCCGAATACGCTGTCCGTGGTGAACTCGCCGTTAAGAGCGAGAAGTACCGCGAGCAGCTGAGAAACAAGGACACTTCACTGCCCTTCGACACTGTCATCTCGGCCAATATTGGCAACCCGCAACAACTCGACCAGAAGCCTATCACCTTCTTCCGTCAGGTCCTGTCATTGATGGAGAACCCTCTCCTTCTCGAGCACCCCGAAGTTCTTACCAAATCTCTTGGTTACAAGCAAGACGCAATCGACCGCGCAAAGACACTGCTGGACGATGTCAAGAGCGTGGGAGCATACTCGGCCTCGAAGGGTGCCTCTGGCATTCGTCGCAGTGTCGCCAACTTCATTGAGAAGAGAGACGGCTTCCCTGCCGATCCCGAGAACATCTTCCTTTCCGCTGGTGCTTCAGGTGGTGTTAGCACCCTTCTGAATGTCATGTGCGCCGATGCAAACTCTGGAGTCCTTGTTCCTATTCCGCAATACCCTCTGTACACCGCAACCCTCGCTCTTTTGAACGCAAAGTGTGTACCTTACGAACTCGAGGAAGAGAAGTCTTGGGGCACAAACCTTGACGCCATCCGCGCATCCTACGCAAAGGCAAAGGCTGAAGGTACAAATGTCCGCAGCATTGTCATCATCAACCCTGGTAACCCTACTGGTTCAACTCTCTCTGTCGAGGATATCAAGTCAGTTCTGAAGTTTGCTGCTCAGGAGAAGCTGGTTGTCATGGCCGATGAGGTGTATCAGACCAATGTGTTCGTGGGCAAGTTCACCAGCTTTAAGCAATGTCTTAGGGAGCTTCAGCAAAGCGACGAGAACAAGGATGGCAAATTCAACACTCTTGAGCTTGTCAGCATGCACAGTATCAGCAAGGGTATGATTGGTGAGTGCGGCCACCGTGGTGGTTACTTTGAGCTTGTCGGCTTTGATGAGAAGGTAAGTCTTGCACGTACCCATACCTGTGATGCCACAAACTGATCTTCTTACTTCAGNGTCACCGAGCAAATCTACAAATACGTCAGCATTCAGCTCTGCCCTCCTGTCATCGGTCAATGCCTTGTTTCCCTTATGGTCGAGCCTCCAGTCGAGGGCGACCCGTCCTACGAGACTTATCACGCCGAGGAGCGCGGTATCTTCGACGGACTTCAGAAGCGTGCCACCGCTCTTTACGAAGCCTTCCGCGAGATGGAGGGTGTGTCATGCCAGTCACCTACCGGTTCCATGTACCTCTTCCCTACCATCACCCTGCCTCCCAAGGCCATTGAGAAGGCCAAGCAGGAAGGCAGAAGCCCAGATGAGTACTACTGTCTCAGATTGCTCGATGCAACCGGTGTTTGCGTTGTTGCAGGAAGCGGATTTGGACAAAAGGAGGGAACACTGCATTTCAGAACAACTTTCCTTGCTCCTGGCACTGAATGGGTTGGCAGAATCACCAAGTTCCACCAGGAATTCATGGATGAGTTCCGGTAGTTATGGACGACTTCTTTAAGGACATCTCATAGGGTCTCAAATTCTTGTGTATATAAGTTTTAAGGGAAGGATGATACCTTTCCAACTGTCCTTCAAATGAGCAGGCATGTGCTGTATTACGAAACTAGGTGCAGGGCTCGTTCATTCGTGTGATGTTCCGCGGCTGCCTTGTTTTGCCAGGAAGGAGCGACTATGTCGAGGCAACTGCCTGAATATTGGTCTGTTTGCTCTCTCTTTCCATGTGACAGGCCGCGACAGCTGACTGACCTCTTTTCGCAAATCAAACTTCCAATCTACCACGACACATCGCATGGACATACTCTAATGCTTCGGACTCGCAATCTTAAGATATTGATTATCAGCTGGGTGCCTCATAGCACAGATCTTGCAGTTTCCACCAGCGCATCACAATACACCGAGCACGACTATCTCGAGCGACACCTGCTCTCGCTGACCTTTTGAGACCTCTCAGTCTACGCATACTGCTGAGATCATGCTTAGTTGAACTTATGTATGCCTCAACCAGCTAAGTATATTTCTTTATTCTTACCTTCCCTTTTACTTCATAAGAAAGAGAGAAAAGCGTCCCATACTTTCTTCTCTTGAAACGAGCCAACCTCTGATTTGTCTATCTCTCCGCAAACATCGCGAAAGACAACGGAGAGAGCCCATGATGTTCCTATCACCCCTCTGGTATGCAGTGGAAATAGTGTATGCGTTATGCAAATGCAACGCTGCATAAAAACTCGGATGGGCAACCAAATTTTCTCTCGCTACTACACCACTACAACATATCTGCTGTCGACAGAGGTACCTCTAAGCCGCATATCGCAGCGTTGATCGATCTGGCTGATTAGTCCGCCTGGTCTATTGCCGTCGAGAACCAGTCTGCGAGCATTAAGGAGATACTGTACAAAGAGTTCCACGACCCGGCACCTGCAGTTCTCTACTCCTCTTGTGGCTGTGTCTCAACATATACCGTCTTTGAGGGCAACGTCCCATCCAAAGCCACAGAAAGCTCAGCTTTCACATCTTCCGTGGCGCAATTGGCTAGCGCGTTCGACTGTTAGATTTGCTTCGGCAGATCGGCTATCGAGAGGTTGACAGTTCAAGCCTGTCCGGGAGAGCTTCTTTTGTCCTTTGCTGAATATCCAGTGCCCATATTGCAACGCGACATGAATGCTGAGTGCTGTCTTTTGCATATCGTACATCGGTCAGAGCTACAGAAGGATCAAGAGCACTCACACGTCATAATACGGAGGATGCGGGAAGCTATCCTTTTGCTTTCTAGGTTGGTTCTAAACCTGGCAAGTTCTGCCGAACGTGCTGACTCGTAGATGCTGAACATACCACCCTGGTCGCTTCTTTACAAGTGTACCGACAAGGTGATCAAAGAAGCCAACATGTTTCTCGCTGCTCCAAGGACTACTTGAAGCTACCACCTTACCATTAGGCGGGGGCTTGGACGATACATGTCTCGATGTGATGAGATGTGGGTCAATTTGAAGCGTTTCTCCAAACCGCACAGAATCCCATACATCTGCGCCCAGCGTCTTCAGTCTTATCGACCGGCGTATCGGTAACACTTGTTTCAAAGCAAAGAATCCGTCTCTCGCTCGCTATCATATCCTTCGGACCTTCATACAAAGATGGCAAAAGAAGAATAGAGCATTGGGCCATGTTTGTATTGTCTAACCAGTCTTCTCGAGTGCTCTGTTTAGTAAGATAAAGCCGCGTTCCAGCTTCTCCATAAAGACCCGCAGTTTACCCAGCCGTTTACCCCTGGATATACACACTTAATCCCACCACAAGCCTACCTCGCCCAGCATACTTTCACTGTCATCGTCGACCATGCCTCAAACCGCCGACAACCTCCTCAGTGATCCTGAGATCGCCAATGCTTACGAAGACGTACGTTCCGACAAATCCGCCACAACATGGATGGTGCTCAAGTACATTTCCGGCACTTCCGATGCACTGAAGCTGGATTCTACTGGTGAAGGTGACATCGCGGAGATGGTGGAGCACCTTGGAGATGACGAAGCTGCATATGCTTTTGTGAGGATGACAGTGGGAAACGATGAGTTGTCGCAGAGGATAAAATTCGTCTTCGTTTCATGGTGTGGTGAGTTCATATCCTTTCGTTCTGTTGACCGGTATCAGCTTCTGCAGGGAGGAGGATTGGGATATAATTACATGAGATTGCTCAGCTGCCTATGGGCATCTCAGCTACATCCCAAATGAGAGCGACCTGAAGCATCTCAAGTAGGCGCAATATCAGGCATAAAGACTAATGCGTCCATCTTTCANGGCCCCAACACAAGAGTCATGCGCAGAGCAAAGATGACCACTCAAATTGGTCAAGTCAAGCAAGTCCTGCGAAGCTACGCCATCGAGATTCAGACCGACAGCAAGACCGACCTCAAGGAGTCGGAGGTTACCATGAAGTTGAGAAGGGCCATGGGTGCCAACTGTAAGTTGCTGTCACGATGTGCGTTGCAGAGAACGAGACTAAGTTAGACACCAGACGACCGTCAAGCATCAGGCTACTAGACCATACGAGGTTGCGGATGTGTTATGTTAAGCAGGATGGGTGATCACAGCCACAACTAGACAAAAGTCTTCACAAAAATCAATTAATTAGAGGTTGGAGGAACGAGCAGTTGGAAGCGTGGAACGACACATGACAGCTTCTGCGGATGTCAAATGCCGCAGCGCTCGTCCAATGCGCTCGTAATGCGAAGCGCAATCCGCTCAGGGATCATGTATGCATAATTACATTCTTATAAAGCCGGTAGCGATCGTCATAGGGGTCAGGAGGATTCATGGATATGTCGGTAGCAATTGGCTGGCTCAAGAAGCATTAGTGTTTCACGTAGAGTATTATACAGGGTGAGCCTTCTGGTCGGGGCGTGGCTTGTCGTGTTTCCTCGTTCGCGGATTCGGCCAAGGCGGTGAGAGTGCCGCTGTCGCAACGCACGAGCCGTAGACCCTGTTTTGGCCATGTCGTTCTGACGGGTGGATCACGATCTGCCAAAGCCTTTGTGGACTCGAGTCGAGTAATGATGGCTTTTCCATTACAACTCCCCCGGACCTGAGGGAGGCTGCTTCCAAGTTTACCTTTACATCAGCGGCTAAAGAGGGGGAGGAGCGCCATGTCGCTCGTCTTTGCTTCTCTGCTCGACGACGCTCTTTCCTCCTTCGCATTCGCATAACGCAGGCATCCGTCCGTTGGGAGTCATGTCCCAGCAGCGGACTCCAGGACCGCCGCCGCGCCAGGGAACCCTCAATATCATCACCTTTGGCGAACCACAAGAGTCGACATCTGTGCGAGCCATCCGGTCCCACGCCGCCAAAGCAGGATGGAAGTCGAGGAAGAACTCCAAGACGCTCGCCGCCAAAAATGCCCTGCTTGGTTCCACTGCGGAAGCCGCTCCGGCTGCGGCTCAACCTGCACCACCACGCCACAAGAACTTACCTGCTGTACCATCTCGGCTAGGAGATGATATTGCCCGCAGCATTGTACCGCCTCTGGACTCACATAACTCACCCTCTCCTCCTTCAACAAACTCATCCCACTCAACCCCGTCATCAACTCATTCAGCACATGATACCGCCATGGCCTCTATCACAGATGACATCGATCTGCCAAAGTCTGGAACCACCAGCCATGACGAAGAAGACATAGATCATGGCAATCACCATGCATTGCAGCTTATTACCAAAGAGCCAACAGGCTCACAATTCTCATCCATCGTACATCCTAGCCAACTCGGCTCTACTCACGATCCCTTCTCTCAATTCCCGGTCCGCTGGGAAGAGTCGTTTGGCCCATTAATCCACTTCTGTAGGTTCATTCCTATTACTCTGGCTGAAAGTACCTGCTTCCAGCTGAAATCCTGTCTCACCATCCGAACCTTGGTTGCTTATGACTAACATGTTCTATCTTCAGACCGCAAATGCCTTGGTGAAGTGTGGATGGGCTTGATCTCCGCCGATTGGGGCCAACAAGGCAATATCGAGTTTGTTGATTTTGCTCTAGAAATCTCCATCTCTCAGCGGGAACCCGCCATGTTCTATGGCGTGCTATCCAACACTAGCGTCATGGCTCCTGCTTCCAACTCGTTATCCATGCGACAACAACCATACATGTCTCAGTGGCTACGGCACAAAGCTGTCGAGTCTCTGAGAGAAGCCATTATGGATCCAAAGCGTGCTTACACGGATGCCGTCATCTTGGCCGTCAATCACGTCTTCTTCAACGAGGCACTGCGATATGAGCGTGACATTGCGCTCAATGTGCATGGACCTGCAGTAAAGAGGATGGTCGACGCAAGAGGAGGCTTAAGTGTCATCGCCGCAGACGGCAGGAATGGTCTCATCCTCTCGCGGTACCTCTCTTGGTGTGATCGCATCGTCGCTTCGACACTTGATAGCGAACCACTTTTTGGCAACTATGTCGAAGATCCGACTGTCGGGAGAACTCAGTGGAACGGCATGTGGTCCAAAGTTCAGACCATCCTGTGATTCAAGTCGACATTGTGATCCAGTTCGCTTCCGTCATGGAGGACAACACCACAAGACATTGCGAAACCAAGCACATTATCCGCGCATCCTCGACTGTTCGCCATCTTTCGCCATGGGTCTCGATTTGCCTACGGCAGACACCCCCGAGTCAATTATACCGCCGATATCGACTAGCCATGAACCTCACCGTCGCTCTAGCATCGAGGCATGTATTGCGTCGCAGCACCGAATGACTGGAAGCTCATTACTGGCCCTTGCTCCACCTATCCAAGCATCCATGCTCACAATGATCGCTACGAATGCTTAACTCGACACCTCATCAATACCACATCACACCGACTCGTCCTCGGCACAATAACGAGAAGCTACGAGTCCTTTCTCTTGCTAGTTGCTCATCGCCGCTTCTTACGAAACGTCTCCACAGAAACAACCTCACGCGTTCATAATATACATACGCACATGACCTCGATTCAACGACAGCATTGAAAACACAGCATCACCAGCATTGGCATTTTTTTTCTCTTCCATTACCAGCAACAAGTTTTTCATTCGCAAGCTATATATACACCTAGCATTTACATCGTTACCAAACTCCTGGCTTTCGAGGAGAATACACGTTATTTGTTCGTAGCTCACCTCTACTCTTCGCGTCCGGTCTCTTTGATTGTTCTGTGTATCTCGTTTGGGAAAGCTCGAAAGACTGTTTTCGCCGCAATATCTTCGCTGTAAACTCATGAAGCTTGTACTTGGTGCTCAAGGATCACCCTTTTAGCAACCCCGACGCCCCCCCGTGATGGGGATCTTATGATATTCGCCCAGAACGTTTCGGGACGTTGACAATGCAGTCGGAGATCCACGATTAAAGAGTGCCTTTATGATTCTAGAACTATGGATTTCGGACTGCCTATAAGGGCCATGCGCTTTGTTTTGAGTTGCTTGGTCAAAGACGTTTAGCCTTAAATGATCTTTCTCTAAGAGAATGTTATTATTCGTTTCTGTTTCCTGTATCAACACAACATTGACGTTTGCTCATCTTCCAAACATACAGATCCAAACATACAGAGGTACTAGAAAGAACCCAGTGAAAAAAAAGACACAGTTTTGATCAAAAGACTCTGGCAGGAGAGGATGGAAGGAATGATGGAGAGACATTCAATTGCCCCAAGTCGGCAATACTACTCCGTCGACACAGGCGATCAAACTTAACACTCCTCCATACATTGCAAAACATCTTTTTTCTTAAAAGAGCACACTGCCCAGAAAAGGGAAAATAGAAAGGTTCGTTAATGCCATTGTGGCCCGGTCTAAGATTGAGAAGCTGGGTCTAATTATAACGGACAGAGGAAAAGCGTGTCATGTAGACCTCCCCCTCCCCATCCAATGCCACCAAAAAAACGCCGATCCGTCATGTCATGCAGGAATGAAGCAGAAAATCATGCTTCGGAAGAAAAGTCGAAGAAAAAGGTATCCGCTAAGCGCATATCATGTACAGAAGAAGAAGAAGAAAAACATTAAGAGAGGTCGTATCCAGGTATCGTAGCCGGAGAAAAAGAGGATAATTGAGGATATCCTAGGATGTGAAGATACACACCAAAGCGACAAGGACGACGGTGAAGAGAGTCTTATCCGTCAGCATGATGGTCTTTGAGCTCGATGAATGCGCAGTCACACTGGCGCTGGCGCTGGCACTAGCACTAACGACGCTGCCTGATGCCGCTGCAGCCTGGATGTCTCCTGCCGGTGTGGTTGCGGTTGCGGATGCGGATGCGGAGGTACTCACTGTAGGTGCGGCGCTAGTGCTAGCGCTAGAGTGGTGGCCAGACTGACCGGAGCTTGAGTGACCAGAGCCAGAAGATGTGGTATTAGCGACGTCGACAGGGGAGCGAGCCAAGACGAGCACCAAGGTTTGCAATGACGGCTTGGGAGTCGCGAACAGTGATTGTTCCGGCACCGTTGCTGTCGAGAACGACGGTTTGGCCACTCTGGTCCTGAACATTGCTGGCAGTACCCACACTGTCGCTTTCGAAACTGAGGCCGTTCCAGGTGACATTGTGGATGGTGTCGGCACCATCAGCACTCAAATATGACAGGTACAGAGTCTGTCCCTTGAGGTCAGGAAGTGAGACAGCAAAGTCGATGCTACCCTTGTCAGCAGCAGAGGCGTTAACCTGCTGAGCGTTGATGATCACCAATGAAGAAAGATCGTCGTTAGCGTAGGCAGCGTAGGCGCGGACGTAGGAATTCTGTGTGGCCAATGGAGCGAGTCTAGTGGTACCGTTACCCGAACCGAGGAGCTGAGCCATAGCAGCTAAAGCATAGTAGCTAGGACGAACGTTGGCGGGGACTCCGTTGTTGAAGATGGGCTGCCAAGGAGCAGCGTACGAGTTGTCGGTCATGTGCATCTCAACTGAGGAGATGTTGAGTGTGGCGCCGTAACAATAGAAGTTGAGGAACCAAAGGGCAGCTCCAAAAGTGTTGCTCACGTTTGCCATACCAATGGGACCAACGTTTGCCATCTCGCGGAGGTTATAAGGAACACCAGTAGATAAAGCATAGGCAATTTCGGTGGTCCAATACTTGAACTGATCTTCGGTTCTGTCAAAGTCCATCATGATGTTGAGGGTAAGGTCGTAAGTCGAGACGTCAACAAAGTAGAAGTAATCGTGCTGGTTCCATGACGAGAGATAGGTGCCACCGTCAGTTGCATTCTGAATGCCCGCATCGACCATGTCGCTGATGGTGAAGGTTGTGCCGATTGTCGAAGCAGTTTGGGCGGCTTCGANAAAGTCGCAGGTCATGCCTCTGGGCTTCAGAACGTTGTTGCAGACAGACTCTGCTCTTTCTAACCACTGCTGGGTGTAGATTTGGCCGTTCCAGGTACCGTTTCTCATCTGCTGCCAGCCCTCCAGATACAAGTCTGGCTCGTTGCCGATCTCGAATGAGTAGAGCGAAGTGTTGTTGAGACCATCGACAACGGCAGCTGCTGCCTCGTTGATCTTTTCGAGACGGTCGCCCATGTCGTAGGCCATGTTCAGCTGGAAGGTGACGGGCATGCCCTTGGGAAAACGCTCGAGGGCCTCGAGGTAACCAGGTCCGAAGACGGAGCCATCAGCGGGAGTGGGGTTGGTCTCTTCCTGGTGAGGGTTCTGGCCGAGACTGAAACCTTGGTAAGAGGCATCCCAGACCATATGATCACCAGTGTTGCCTCCGAGTCTGAGATGCGGAGGTGCGCCCGAGTAGTCTGTGAGATGTTGAAGGAGATTGATGGAGAGTTTATTAGGATTGTTTCCACCAGTGAAGGAGAACAAGTTGGAAGGTTCAATTCCAAGACCAGCGAATGAAGGACCGACGACTTGCGAGATGCCAGAAGCTGCAGGCGCGCTGGCCGCCGGTGTTAGGGAGATAGAAACGGCATGGGCGGTAGTAAAGCATGCAGCCGATAGTAGTAGTGAATTGATAGCCATGGTGTATGGTATGCAAAATGTAGAATGCCTAACAAACAAACGAAGGTTATGCAAGGAAAACTGAAAGCGACAGGAAGCAACCACTGCTCTATTAAGTTGAATATTGAAAAGCCCAGGACGCGGACGCGGCGACAGTCGTCTACAAAAGAGGCCGTCCGGCGGCCATCCAACAATCAAGATCGGGGATAGTGCACGGACATTTGGTGACGTATATGGGGCTCTCCAAACAGGCCTGCCTATCGTCTACCAGCCGTCTCCCACAGTTCAACTGTGAAAACGCTCATCTCAAAGTGGAGTCAAATCCATCAATTCTTCTTGTTAGCTGGGCGCCACGCAACCACCCTGTCTCTAAGCGTCATTCGATGACTATCCATGGCTGTTTGCCGACACTCGGTCATCCTTTCGGGATCGCTGATCCGTGTGCCTGAAACTTGGTTTAACGCGTGTACGCACATGCATGCGCGCGCCCTTGACTGATCCTCTCCGCATGTGTCAAACCAAGTCGTTCATCGCTCGAGCTGGCTTGGAAAGTTGGCATAATTTGGTCCAACCAAGATGCTGCTTGCTGTGCTACCTTGGCTCTGGATCTTTTATATCATGACCAAGATCTATATGCATATTGCCTGCGCCTATTTCGTCGTCCCGCGGCTCGTCTAAACTTTGCGGTTAATATAAGGTGAATGTCCAACCACAGACCTCCTGTTGAACTGTTAGTAGAAAATTCTCACTGAAATCAAACATGTTTGCACATACCCCTCTGCGCTCTTGAAAATCATTGTACAACCAATTCCAAGCATCGCGGTTACGACAGTCCTTGTGCGCCGAACCTATTATAGTGTCACAGGTTGGTTGCGTTTTGAGGAAGATGTCTTCGGTTATGGGGAACCATGGCTTCGGCCGCGGCCAGTCTGAGAAATGAACAAGCTTCGTCTCGTTCAACACTCTGTCGGGATCCCAGATCTCGCCTTCGTCCAGGTATTTGTGGTGAGATTTGAGCCGGAATTCTCCAGATACAACCCAATGTTCGTTGGGCAAGATCATTGCCTCTCCAGCGTAAACGTCGTTGATTACTTCCATGTCGTAGAATTCACTTGAATTTGAACGGTTGGTCATGGCCTTCATCACACGTTTGAATTCATCCATGGATGGCTTGATCAGCAGAATTGCCGACGAGATCGTGTCAGGATCAGGAAGCCAGTATGCATGCGGTGCTGCCACTGGATGGTCAGGCAGAAGAAAGAGCTCATCAAGAGACTGTGTTTGGTAGGACAGTCAGACGGGCCCTGACATCAAATTGACGGGAATACGGAGACAACATACCTTTAAGATTGTCGCATCCGAATCCAAGCTCAGAACTCTGTCGTACTGAGTTTGCTTGAATGCCAACAACTTGGTGAAACTCTCTGCCCATGTACCATCTCCTGACTCTGTGTATTGAGGTCTGACTGGTTTGATGTGGACTTTGTATTGATCTTGAGCCTGTCGTAAGAATTTGCTTTCCCACGTCGCCGGCTTCGGATTCAACTCCCACTGTTGAGGATAGAGCAAGACACGTTCTGCCTTGCTGCCCAGCCGATGCAGAGATTCAAACATCATCAAGCTGTTGCAGAGATATTCCTTCTCAGTAACATATTGAACGTATGCATAGCGTGTCCAATCAATGCCATCATCTGATTCTTCACCGAGCGGTGTGACACGCAGAGGCTCAAACGTATGGCGAACGGGTGCTCGCGGAGGAGGTCGTAGCAGTCGCACTAAGAGATATATGCCTGCGGCGAACAGAATCCATTGCCAGAATGTTCTTGAACGAAGTGTTCTTTTCAATGAGTGTAGATTGGCTTCTAGACTCATCACAGTGTGCCACTTCAATGGTTTGAAGTCAAGCGTCGAAAAAAATGTTTGATGCGAAAGTTGTAGACATGATAGTCACATTCTCAAGTCTGTTCATAAATCGCATCAGCGTGAGAAGGAGGGCTTCGGGGGCTTCGGCATGTGTCTTGGCTGACGAAACAAGCAAAGATCGTTCGCTACCATATCGCTGTTGCTGTGAGATGATTTTCCATTCTATTTCTACTGCGTTCAAAAGATTCTAAAAGTGATTGTAATTTCACTGTATGCAAGAAACGTCTATGTCATGCAGAACACTAAATTAATGGGACGCCTGAAGTCATACCTCAAAGGACAGGCAAAACCTTTATACACTTTTCTGCTCGTGCATAGGACACCGAAACTCACGCCGTCTTCTCATTCTGAACACCTTCAGGGACCGTAGGGTCGGCCAATGATCTTGAAGGGGCAGGATTGAGAATACCAGCGGCATCGATCAAAGGAGCAGAAGGATTCACCTCGAGACCAAATCCAGGCTTGTCCAGAACGGACACATCGAGGTAACCCTTCTCAGGGATAGGCTCGTTGAGGAAAAGGTTTCCGAACACAGGTAGAACCGACTGGCCGTCAGGAGAATTGGCAAGGTATTCCTGGAATGGTGAGTTTGTCTGTGAGACAACGAAGTGGTAGCTGTAGGGACCACTTGCGTGGGGAACCACAGGAATATCATATGCAGCAGCCTGAGCCGAGACCTTCAGCAATTCAGTCAAGCCACCAAGCCACATAACATCAGGCTGGAGGATGTCGATGTTGCGACCCTCGATGAGCTTGCGGAAGCCGTATCTAGTGTATTCGTGCTCACCGGTGGTGAACTTGATGGCAGGGTGAGCACGCTTCAGAAGAGCATGACCATCAAAATCATCGGGAGAAAGAGTCTCTTCCCACCAGTTGATATTAAGGTGCTTGCACTTCTCGGCGATCTCAATGGTGTAGGGGACAGTCAGACTCATCCAACAGTCGACCATGAGCGGAAAGTCGGGACCGACACTCTCACGCATCTGAGTCAAGTATTCAATGTTCTTTCTCATGCCCTCGAAGCCCTCAGCGGCGCTGTAAGGAAGGGCGACTTTGCCACCAAAGAAGCCCATTCTCTTAGCAGCAGACGGCGCGGGACCAGTGCAGTAGAAGTTGAGTCTGTCTCTTGTTGCACCACCAATCATCTTGTATACGGGTTCGTTTCTAATCTTGCCCAGCAGATCCCAGACAGCCAGATCGATGACGGAGATAACAGCTAGTGGAAGGCCCTTTCGTCCGTAGAACATGGATGCTCGGTACATTTGATCGAAAAGGAGGTTGGTATCGCGTGGATCNNTGTTGTAGCAAGGTCAGTGATAGTTCTGTGACTGAAGGTGCGACGACATCTCACCAGCGCCAATCAGGAATCTGTTGAAGTGCTCAGCAACAAGCCAACATGCCGGTGGACCACCGAAACCAGTAGCAAAGCCCTTCTTGCCATCTGTAGACTCAATCTCGACGCAGAAAGAGCCAAGGACATTGATGCCAAACGAAGTTCGTGACTTGCGGTACTTGTCGTATCCAGACATAGGAGTCGCAATCTTGGAGTCGATCAGCCAATGACCGCCCTTGACATTGTGATAGTCACCGCCAGAACCAACGCCCTGAACGACGAAGGTCTTGACGGCCTTGATTGTAGGGAAGCTGTTTACAGAGGCCATGATGGATGTCTACAGCTAGAAAGGAGGGAGAAGGCACAGGGAGGTGGGGGGAGTGTGGAAGAGGAGATCTAAGGCTTAGACTCTGGTCCTGGGGGGAGCATGGTTATATGCCGACGACGGGCGAGCATGTTTCCCTCGGCACGCGTGTGAGTAGGCAGTATCACCTAGCATCTCGTACGAAAGGTACAGCGACCGGTACAAACATGTCGCGGCATCGGCTTTCGCAGACAATGATGTCCCGNNTGAGGGCTCTTGCTTGGCAGAAGCGNNGGGCAGTTCCAAACAAAAGCCTTCTTGCTTCTCGGTCTCCATCCCTCCNGATATTCTGACCATGGCGGCTCAAATCACCCCGAACAACGAGGCTCAGTCACCCTCTTCACCCAAACTCGTCCAACAACACGCCCGACCTTCCATCGATGAGGCTGCCGAAGACCGTGAGAACGGCAACGAGGAAGCCTGGAGTGATGACGATGGCGATGAAGAGGGCCCAAAGAGGAAAAGACCGCGTCCATTGAGTGCGTCCTAATCCTGTAAACCTAACACCTTTCATACCTCATCCCCACTGCTTTTCGTCCCCGACTGTCATGTGAAACTTGTCTTGATCTTAGTACCTCATGTCTGACGGTTACGAAGGTGTTTCGTGTGAGCTCTGCAAAATTCGCAAAGTTCGTTGCGATCGTGGCAAGCCGTCATGCGGCTGGTTAGTTCTTTCCTTCTGTGAAATCATCAACATGTGCTGAGCTCGATCAGGNTGCGTGCGAAACAACCAGATATGCGAATACAAGGAGCGCAAGAAGCCTGGCTTGCGTGCTGGTCAGTACCAAACTCAAGGAACATTGTACAAACTTCATCTGAATTATCAANNAGGTTATGGTAGAGAGCTCGAAGCTCGACTCGGTAATTTTCACGACATCGCTTTCGTCTTCCATGAATTGACGTTGGCCNNAGACAAGTTGGAGAACGCGCTACAGGCGCAGCAACAGCTCTTGCAGCACTTCACCTCGGTCATCCCCGGCTTGACATCTCAACAGCTCAATCACCAGTCACCATCAGCTATTTCTACTGCCCAGTCAATCGACCACGGTGCTCGTTCTGAGGCCGCGCTATATATGCAGAGACCAGCTTCATATCCATCTGTCACCTCTCCTGCTTCTGCCATTACTAACCCAGGCTTTGGTGTACAAGCCATGAATACCACTCAACCTGCACAACAGGGCGAACAGTATCCTCAATCATTGCAAGAGGCGCAACAGCAGTTTAGTACGCCTCACACTAGGCTTGGTTCGCATGCAGAAGCGCCCTATGCCCCGACTAACCCACCACTAGAATCTCCTAGTCTGAACATACCTGGGTCCGGACAAAGCGGTAACCTAACAAGTCCTCAGCTGCCGACGCCCAGTCAGATAGCTACTAATCAAGATGCTGAACTGCCACCTTATGACCTCCTGTACTCTCTTGTCGACCTCTTCTTCAAGCATGTCAACACATGGGCACCAATTTTACACAGGCGCAGTACTCTCGATTCCTTGTTCGGTACCTCTAGTCTTGAGGAAGCAGACAGGATTCTACCGCATGCCATAGTGGCCACGACATTGAGGTTCTCGAACGATGTACGCCTGACTGAGCAAGCTCGAGAAAGGTATTACTCCAATTCAAAACAGAAGGTATTACTTTACGGGCTGGAGAACAGCTCGGTCAAGGCACTGCAAGCCCTGGTCATTCTGGCGCTGGATATCGTTGGATGCTCAAATGGTCCACCTGGCTGGAACTTGCTTGCTCTGATTGCGCGTTCTGTTGTGCAGCTCGGTTTGGCAGTTGAAACCACGTCGACATCGGTGTCTCCGCTGTATCCTTCCATCTACACTCTTCGCGCAATGGTTCTTCCAGAATCAAATGATTGGATCGAGGACGAGAGTCGTCGGCGTCTTTTCTGGATGGTCTATCTCCTGGACCGTTATGCTACCATCGCCACGGCCTTCGAGTTTGCGCTTGACGACAAAGAAATTGATCGCAAATTGCCATGCAGAGATGATCTNTTTGCTAGGAATCAGCCCGTCGAGACTCGATGGTTCCATACGCTGGAGAGGACCGATTACACCTTGAACAAACCAGAAAATCTGGGATCACTCAGCTACTACATTGAGATTGTGGGCATCCTGTCGAGGATACATCGATTCTTGAAAAAGCCAGTTGATATTGGAGACCTGTCAGATGTCGAGCAATGGCAACGCGAATATCGTGAGCTCGACAGTGCTCTGAACAGCTGGAAGTTCTCACTTCCTGGCGAGTATGGAAACATGGCACGCTTGTTCAACCCCAACGGCAGCAGCAAGATTGTCAATTGCATCTGGATCATGTTGCATATTACATATCACACGTAAGTTGATCTCCCACGGCTCATCCCTCATCCTGACTCATCGCTAATGTCACCTAGTGCGGTGATCCGTTTGCATTCATCTGCTGCATATCCGACCACTAGATCCCCCATTTTTACACCATCGTTTAGTGCTAGCCAAAGATGCCACACCGCCGTCGAGGATATTTGCTCACTTTGCACTTACGTCAGAAATAATAACATGCTTACGAACCTCGGCCCGCACTTTGCCTTCTCGATCTGGGTCGCAGCTCGCTTACTACTCGTTCATGGTTCGACGATTGACCACCAAGTCAACCCAGCCATATACCCTCTCGTCGAAACGTTGCGAGACATGGGCCGATACTGGAACGTCGCAGAAAGATATGCTACACTCTTGCAGCGCGTACTTGATGAGTATAATGAATCCGAACGTGCGCCTACTGGGGCAAACGGCGAGAGAGTCACACCGTCAACTGTAAAGATCCTGGCGGACATGCGACGGTGTGCCTACGATCTAGACTTCTTGATCTCGCGACAACCACGACAACAATACAGTGGCGGTAAACCGCATGCCATTACTCCCGCACGTACCCCTGCTCCACAAGAGCTGGAGTATTTGGATGTCTTCGATTTTTTCAACATGCCTCGTCTTCCCGTTTCCAACGACACCTCTCTTGCTGCAGCCGGCAACAGCGGAGACTTCCAGGCTCCTGATCTGGGTAGCAACAGCGAGTTCAATATCACCAATTTCATGTACGACCCGACCGTTGATTTCTTGAATGTACGCAACCCGGGAACATGAAGTACAACAATATGATATCTTGTGGATGTCAATTCTCGCATTTCTATCGCTAGACAGGCAACTCGAAGGATGTACTGCGAGATCGGATAAGTACCGTATGACTGTCATCGGCGGCCATCGGATGTCGCTTATTGTTTGATATCATGGTTTCGGAAAACCTTTGGCGAAGTGATCCAATTGGTATGGCGGTTGTCTTTAGAGCTCTGCGTCGCGCGAGCACATGCAAATGCGCAGCGCACACCTTGATACAAAGCCTTGACACTTTAGGCGGGATAACATGAAGTCAAATTAAGCCCCTTCGGTTATACTTGATCTGAGATGTCTCGGTACCGCGATCGTGCAGCATGCTGCATTTTTCCACCGTCGTATGGCAAATCATATGCGCCGAGCATGACCCATTTGATCCTGCCTATAGGTATTGCGCCAACGTGTCAGAGTGTGTCACTGTGCAAAGTAACGCCGACCTTCTGACACACATCCGCATACGTCTCCATTGAGACAAACCGGTACTTGGGCGGTGTCCAAATGAAATGGCTGATTAGCGATTCGTTGTCAAGGCTGCACCTGTAGTTTAGTGGTCTGTTCGACGACTCGGGCAAGCTTGTCCCCGTTTGCGCCTTTCATTGAGGCACTCGTCAGGCAACCCATATATACGAGATCTGTCGGTACCCCACCCTTCCCAATGTGCTTGCAAATCACTTTGAACTGCAAGTCGAAAGATTACATCAATGCTCACAATGACTTGAGTCTATTTTTTGCTGACTGTAAACACCAAATGTTGCGCCATCTATGTCATCGTCACTATAGTTTTGGCATGCAGCTCAAATAGCATGTGCAAGGCACTGCAGGATTTGCATGCTACCCCCATGACAAGCTTGGACGTGTGTCGAGGACCTGCAGCATACCTATCGATCGCCAAGATCATGGCTAATACCATGTGACTACAGACCTACGGTCTCACAGTTAGCTGCACAGGTAACATCAATCGGAAAAGTACAGTTGTTGGCGAAGACGAGCTTAAGTGTATTCCGGTCATCGCCAGAACAGCCTGTCAATCGTAGATGGAGCCGCTCCAGCCGCAAGACCCTGCCTGGCCATGACGGGTACCTGTAAGTAGCAGCCAACGCGGACTGAAACATTACGACCTTAAATGTTTGCTATCAGCATTATCTGCTTTGGGTTATAGGTGGCATCGATGAGAAATGGGGAAGCAATGACGGTGTACAGAGAATTTTGTTATCCTTCCGTCTACCACACTTTCATTTGCTTCCTGGTCCCGTCATTGTTCTTCACCCACCTTCTCCCACTGGTCAGGCCTTCGTACAGGATCACTAAACTACTTTGCTTTGGCTGCCTTGTCGCCGCAGAATGGTCGCTCGGAAGACCACGTACGCATGTCAGATGCTGGACACCCTGCGCGTTCAACCAACACACTACGTCCGTAGACCTGGCAAGTGAACTCGCACGATATATACTACCACGTGTCCTCCTTCTACAGCCAGATCTTATACGCAGCAATCGTCACGAAGACCAGCTAAACGCCCAGAGACTCGCAAGCAAAGAGCCACAAGTCTATCATCATCCTACGGTACCAGCATTGAAGCAACAATGTGCATCCAAGTCGTGGAGCGCTACGCAGTCTGCCGCTGCCTCTACCACAGACACTCTCTCGACCCCTGTGCTGCCTATGGGTCTCGCAGTCACGGCGTGACAGAAAGAGTGGTGCTTGTGGGATACAAATGCCCGACGCATTCCACCTCGCANAAAACAGTACCTCAACAATACAACCAACATTCTCTGGCTCGCAGTACCAAGCCGCCAAACCTCTCCAGACACTTTCAGTATTGGAACTAGCTGTGGATCAAGCATGAGCGGGCCGTACATCCTATACATGAGCTGCATACAACAGATGCAATGCAGGAACATGCCCAATCTTCGCCCAACACGATGCAATGGCACACGACAACACGACCTTGACGGGAGGAGACGATGGGCAACCGTCTCACCTGACTATATCGCTTGCATGATGTGTACGACAAGAAAACTCCCGAACCTCGGCAAATTGCAAGGTCCAACAACCACTACGTTGGGTCTGGCACTAACTTTTCCATCTTCAACATCTTACTGAGTCGACATGACCATCGTTTCGATACCCCACATCCTGTCCAGTACCTTACAACTTATACCTCTTGTTCTTTCTTACCCTGATTCAATGATTGATACCACTTACGACTGTTTAGATCATTTTTTCTCCTTCCTGTTCTAGCCGCATGTCACCAGGCGCTTGTTTTCTATCATACCTTGCCTCCTCTACCCATGGTTGCTGCCAAACACACTGTTGCATCAGACGACTGATACCATCGCTTACCATAGACCATGTTTATAGACATCAAAATCATTGTTACCTCTTCTTCTTCCATCAGCATTGGCTGTCTCTGTCGCTCATTTACTTAACCACCACCATGAGCGCGACCTGGACAACCCAGAGACCGAACAAAAAGTTTGAAACACCATAATCTTTCTTGGTCTGTCCAGGTCTCCCATAGGACCATTTGAAACAACAATGTTTCTCCTTGCTTTTGAAAATATAGATTGCTCTCTGACTCGATTGACTTCTGTTGAGACATTGTCGAAAGAGTCCTGAAATTTGTTTGTCAAGATATCATGCTTTTAACAAATATCCATATATCCTCACGGCCCTAGTACGAGCGACCAGTCCCTCATGAGTTCCAAACCCTATGGTAGTCGTTGATGACAGGCTTTGGTCGTCAAAAACAAGTCACGGAGAAAGTCAGTAGACACAAGGTCATTTTCGTGGTTTCGAGATAGCTAGTCTCGGTTGAACAAGACATGTGATAGCTGTGAAGATATGCTCAAGCACTACTATCGTTGCTTCTATAGGATATATCATCTTTGCTGTAGCCTAAACTGGAATGGAAAGCACAAAGCCCAAGCTTTCCCACCTGATACCTTCCTTTTGAAAAGTTCATCTCTCCAATGGGAGCAGCAGATGAGGACAACGTCCCAAATTCCACGCTAAGAATCCCCAAGCCTTGTGCCTGGCCTGCATATAGCATAGATCCTCCAATACCAGGGTTTTGGGTCTGCTAGCATTGCTACGGATCATGAAAACCGACCAGCCAGATCTGGTACAACAGTGACGGATGATGATATGAACGGCCACAAGATACATAAACCACACTTTGCAACCCTTCTCAATGTCTGCGTATAGAGATTAGTGCGAGCGTAGATGGCCCTCAAAGTTACAATTGGGACCCATAGAAATGACTCAAGGTGTAGGACGTGACTTGGCTCACACGAAACAGTTGTGAACGAACAGCCTCCTCTGAGAACCATTGAACAAGTATTGAACCATTATAATATGGATTGCATCTGGGTTGCGAGAGAAGAGAGTGCTGGGATAACAATCCCAATTCTCGATCAGCTGATATTTCATGGCCTATGAATTGATCCCCAGCAATGATTGACTGTGTGCAGACCTGATTTCGTGCTCGAAGCTGATATAGCTAGCGACCAGCGTCAGACTTTACCGACTGCAGCTTGTGCACGAAGGATGTCCTCCTCAAAGAACAGTGGTAGTTGATATACAAGTCGTCAAAGTATGAGTATTCATCCACGACTAAGCCTCCAGAGACGGGTTGAAACGGGAGCATAGAGCAATGACAGTTAACTTGCCATAAACCTATCTCTGGTGGATGATAATTTATGTTGGCGAGTCAATGTTGATAAAGCAACCTTCTGCTGCATCGTCAGAGATGCTGTTAACATGTGCCAATCCTCTTGATTTGCAATGTTATAGCGTGAGTGACGATGTGTATAGCGACCTACTTCCAGACCTCATTCGGTAGGATTTGTTCACCATGAGCAATTCCACTGGTTACGACAACAGGGTCGATCGACATCTGAGCGTCGTGGAAGCCCGAGAGAGGTGCCTAAGGGTTGTCTCGTTATCAAACTCTAGGCTTGAAAGGCATCTATACTTTTGTTACTATCGAGTCATATCGGCCGTGGGGCTGTTTTGATAAATGTCAAGGAAGAATGCAAGTCTAAAGGAGTGCTGATTGTGACAGGACGATAGCACTCTGGGGTGGAAACCCCAGCTGGCACTCGATGCTTCTGATGATGTCTTCGTGGGCCAGACACCAGTAGTGATATCCAAACATTGTTGTAAAGGGAGTTAGAACTTGGTGACTGAGAACGAGCAAGAAAATCACGATGGGAAAAACTTAGAAAGATAGAAGATAGACGCGATATAAAAGAGATTTGTTCGTTCTTTGGATGTATATGTGAAACGACATAATTAAGATTCCCATAGATCTAATAGTTCTGGACGTAGGACGGACTGCTAGCCTCCATCTAAGAATAATGTAAAAGTGGTCGCAGCGTCTCCAGGACGCATAGCGGAGAAGTTGACCGACGCGTTGCTGATGCGTAGTGTGACCCAGACGGCTCTCCGGTAGAGCCATTCGTAGCAACGAGCATCTCTATATGGAGATCTGTGAAGCAAATAGCTTCATGATGGTGAAAGACCGAGTAAAGGTTGCCGGCTGATGTTATCGATGGTGCATCATGTCATGGTAGCCTATAGCTCCATTGCTATGCTTTCATATGAAAGTAGCAAAGGTTGGGTGTATTTCGTGTCCGTGGTTTGTCGTGTTAATCGTGATAAAAATGATAAGATTCGTACTTGGAATCAACGCAGGCTTGGTCATCCAGAATGCCTTGATGACGTTTCTTCTTCGACAATGTCATCGTACTTTGGTGGTGCGAATGTCGTGTTTTGCATCGTTGAACCGTTTCTCGAATGTTGCTGCATCTCGGGACTGTGATCGGTAACTCCATCACCATACAAGGTCCTGCCGTCCAAGGATCCCTGATGTTCTCCTTGGTTGGANNGAAGTTGACGAACGCGATTCGCGTTCTGCTCCTGCAGGAAATCGAAATTTTCTTCATATTCTTGCTTGCGTTCCTTCTTGGCCCTTTGCTTAGCTCTGAGCTTGGAGGTTGTCAGACCTAGACAACTGAGGAGAAGAGCGGCCATGTTGGAACCAGAAAATCCAATTGCAGCCGAAATATTGTTGGTGGTAGTAGATAGATCGAAGTTGTTGTGAGTTGGCGATATGATGGAATAGCAATCAGGATGCAAGAGCGCAACGGTCACGAAGAAAGTGAGCGAGAGGTGAGCGAAATATATACAGGACGCAAAAGCACACTGAGTGGTTTAAACATCCGGTGGAAGGGAAGAAAGGGTCTACTAAGTACGTCGATCAAAAATGCTATTCGAGCTTCCGCCCGTACCGATTTGTACAGCTGTGGCAAGGTCATCATAGGCAAAGTGGTCATCGCAGAAAGGATGTTGCTGCGCTGCATCATGCGCAAACCATGAGCCTCATCATGTGGAGCTCATGACCCGGGGACTTGCGGAGTTTAGTGATCAGCGCCATGCAGATCGTAAAAAGGTCTTGACGGCATTTGAGTTTCAGAAACAGAAAAGGGATGTCCCATCTTCACAAACGTCTTTTGCCTATCCAAATCCGGTAATTTGTCCTGCAGCCCGCACATCGTCAGTATGCGGATCAGAGGAGAGCGATGCTGTGAATCGCTCGACGGCTCACACATGCAGTAGTGACGGGTGCATGTTTTCCATGCCAGCGAACATGGTCAAGCAGAACTGTTATGGCAATATATCCTGCATACCAGCCGCGCGTTCGAGATATGGATGTTCGTTCAGGCGGACGACAACTCCGGGGCATTCCGCTCGAATGAAATGACGGCACCAATAGATGACAATGATGATCAAAGTCCCTGCCAGAAGTTTTCGAGATCGAAGTGATCACCCGCCCATGAGGCTGTTGTGAAGCAGCCAAAAGATTGATGGTTCAGAATGACATTTTCCTCGCTGTCGTATCTCCTCGGCCCTACAAGGCCAGCCAAGGCTTCTATTTCTCGTCCAGATCGCACACCGTTAACGAGGAGCCAAAATATCTTTTGTTCCGTGTGCTGCGGCCGACGGGCTGTTGAAGTAGAAAGTATCATGACAAACGCAGCTTTCTATGACGCAGCCTTCTGTGGAAAAAGCGTTGACCTCGGGGCACTGCCGCCCCCAGTTTGCTGAGTCTGGAGAACAACCTGATGCAGCGGTGCTCCATCCGACGTCTCCTCGATCGAGGTCCACTTCATCGGTCGTGCGCCACAAGGAAAAATACATGAAGCAACAACTTGATCAGAGAATCAAGCATTTCTGTTTTTGTCCTTGGAAATCCTTCCCGCAGTGCCCGAGTAGCTAAACCGGGATTGTGGCTTGCATACGGATCAAACAGTGCTGCTCAACCGATGATTTTCTTCCTCAGCAAAACATATCGCACACTGATCTTCTGTTGCTCGAGTGAAGCAGACGGGAACAACGTTGTCTGTATCACCATCGTTCTCGTTCATCGACAGGGGTCAATGAGTTCGTGCGATTGAGGTCACTGCTGTTCCCACATTCCCGTTCCCATTTTATCCGCTCGCGGCTTGTGTCGCTGATCACAAAAACCTCAACTTCCGAATTATGGGGCCACAGTGGCTACAGAATACAGACAAGGGTCACAAATAGCGGATAGCCAAGGAACAAGCACGTTGTTGACGGTGCTCCATGCCATGCAGTAGGTAACTCCAGCATCGAACTCCGTTACACTACCCTAGAAAAGTAGCTTCAAGCAGTGCATTCAGTTGTGAACTCAAGTCTCAATTGTACCCTTAGGTTATTGACCTACTCAGATGCCTTGCACCGACGTTCCAGATTTGTGTGTATGTTGGTAACTCGCGGTTGATGACAACTTGTTGAGCTGAGGAAGAGAGACCAACCTGGAGAGTAACTTTGGTACCTACATGTGCTACTTATACAACCTTCTTTTCCGTAGAAGCTTGCGTGTATCAGGTGCCTGTATGCACAGACATGTGTACTCCATGTACTAAGCGGTTGCACCGAATACTCAGTGTTGCAATGCTGGTGACTGTGCTTCGCAGGCCATGCTGGCATCTATTCCTTGACCGCTTGCTACCCATGGCTCCTGAAAGTCCAGCATCCATGGTTCGCAGGCATGTCAACCAAACCTCAGAACCTGTTCCTAGATGCAGCGATGTACATGCAGTACATCTCACATATGCGGTGCCAGTAAGCAGCATGTCGGTATTCATGATTTGGAATTGATAGGGCACAGAATAATCAGATTAACGAGCAAGGGAAGACAATAGAGCGCTGAAAGCATGTTGGTAACGATTGAGATTATGGACAATGGGACCAGGAACTTTGCATCAACTTAGTAAAGAAACGAAACAAAGGCAACAGACAGTCCTCTCTGCTTTGCATACTCTCTTCTCTCTTTCGCTCAAATGTATCTCTCACAAAAACAAAGATCTTCCCATCCTAGGAATCATCCGGGAGTGTAAAAACGAACGTACTCCGAAAACAACCAGAACAACAACAATGAGTATTCTCCCCAATCATGACAAAAGGAAAACAACGAAAACAAGAAGCGACTGACTAAACGCTGCCGAGAAGTGGGAAGAGGCAAAAGACAAGAAGGCTTTCGTGGTGTGAGAGTGTGAAGAGAATGAAGAATTTCCTGAAGAGAAACGCCGGCGAGTACCAAAGCATGCAACTGGCCTATCCCCAAATAAAACTCCCTAGTTACGCCATAATACAATGTGAAGAGCTCCTTTTATTCCTTTCGGTGCGACGCTGAGTATGCTGCATTCAAAGTTCGGTCATAATTAGAAAAATGCGTGTGAGGCTTGGACAGCTCATGCACCTCCATCTNCCTAGAAGAAAAGTTAGTGTTTGTGTAACAAGTGAAGCCGAAGGTGCCAGAACTAACCATCTTGAAAGTGTTGAGCTCCTCCTTGATCTGCTGGGCGAGCATTGGGGTTAGACGATTGCAAGTTGCAATGTCGCCGCGACGATCGTAGTCGGATGCTGACCATGCATCATAGAATTGGATGCGAGGACTAAAGCTGATATTGCGAGAACCTCCTTGAGGAGTGTTGGGCATGCTCTTGGCGGCCGAAACACCAAGGCGGTTGTTGAAGTAGTCGCTGGTAGTAGATGACATGCTTCGCGAACCACGCTCATCTCTAGGTGTAGTTGGAATGCTGGATACCGGGCTGTGTGAATCGGTCGAGATGGCACCGTCGCGAGGGCGAAGATCGGGGGAAGCAATGGGCGAGCCGGTACCAGCGCGCTTCAAAATACCCTTCTTGACTGCGGCCAAGACCTCTGCCCTCTCTGCGTCGTTACCAACGATGCTTTTGCGCATAGAATCGTTACGACCATCCATCGACTTCCGAGCAGTCTCGATCGAGTTTTTCTCCAGCTTGGGGAAACCAGTTCCTCCAGCAGGTTGTTCTCCGGGATGTGCGTTGACATTAACGTTCCGCCTCTCAGCTTCAACCGTCACCATGGACACTTGAGCCATGCTAGGTTGGACCGGTCCATCGGCGGCAGGCACTCCAATGACTGACTTGGGTCTGAACAAACCCTTGATCGAACGGCCACCCTTCTTCATACCCTTTCCCATTTTCCGGAGCATCATTGACGCAGATGAAGCAGTCGAAGAGATGGACAAGTTGTCGGTCGACCCAGTGAAGCCACCTTGACCAGTATAGATGCTGGCACCAATACCGGCGGCTTCCTGTTGTCTGGCAATGGCAGCTTGCTCAGGATCCATCTCATCGAGAGGGTTGATGGCACCCTGTGGAGGCAGATTCTCGCTTGATCGTCGTAATTCTTGAGTAGCACCAAAGGAGAAAGCACGTCTTAGACGTGATCTCATACCTCTATTCAAATCATTGGCAGACAAATGGGCGAGTTGTTGAGCTGCTGGACTCTGAGGCTGCGCTGTGTTTACACGTCTTGGGGTCTCTTCCTCTGGCGATTGCGGCGCACCAGTGATGGGCGACTTGGAAAGAGGAGAAGGGTTGGTGGCACTGCCACGGATAGGCAGTTTCACAGGACTACCCGATGCAGCAGGAGATATTCTGCCTGACTCAGCCTGCGCTTGTTGTTAGTCTCTGGCATTGACAAATGGGTCGTGTCATTCACTTACAGGAGGAGGTGTAGATGAAGATGGGACTCGCCGACCAGTGCTATCGCCACTACTGGTGCGCGAGTGGAACGAGACAGGTCTGATGGTGGCATTGCCCTGCGAAGAAGGACGACCATCCTCGAGCTTGCTCATCTCCAAGCTGTTCAAGCTTCGTCGGCGGTATCTCTTGGCTGACTCAGATGTGTTAGATTTTGTGACGGTTATGTCATCACTCGAGGTTCGATTGAGTTGAGGGGCGGGCGGTGTCAAAAGGTTGTCGACTGATGAGGCAGGCGATGGTGCCTTCTGTAGCGAATGGTTGGAATCAGCACGCTGAGGTGTTCGGCGATATCTGTTGGGGGAAGATTTTGGCGTCGTCTCAAACGACGTTAAGGAGAGATCAGGAATATTGGAAGACAGGTTGATGAAGGCATCCTTTCCTGGGCTCAGCGGAGGCGTCTTTGTGGTAAGGTCGGCCGAAGAGGTGGTCGAAGTGGAAGAGGTACTTTTGTGGCCCTTCTGTTGGGCCTGAGGTACGTTGGAAGAAGCTGAGATAGTGCGTGATTCCTGTCTCAGATGAGGGGTTGTTTGGAAAGCGTAAGGCTGCACTGGAGCGGCAGAGGGCGAGCTGCGATAGTTGCTCCTCGGGGTTGAGCCAGCTCGTTGGTGGTTGGCTTGGTATGCGTCCGAAGACGAAGGGCGCGAGTGCAGCATATTGATGGAGCTGGGCGGGGAGGGCAGAGGAGATAGTACTTCCGCCATGGGCTAACGCGACGCGAAAGACGCTGGAATAGATAATGTGACGGTTGACGGCAGATGCAAGTCAATTATGAAGTAATATTAACGATTGGTAGAGTTGCAGGGCTGAAGTCAGGAGGGTCAGCAAGGTCCAGCTTGAAAGAGTATGAAAGTGGTGAAAGACAGTGGGGTAGAGGCGGTATGAGGAGTGGCAGGTAAGCCAATTGAAGAGAATTGTGTGTGTAGTGTTGGCGGACGTTGTGCTCAGTCGCCATGCGCCGTTTGGGTGCAGTGCCTTTGTTGTGCGAGTGTGTGCATGGAGACAACGATGCTAAAACGTCAGAAGAGGCGCCATGGAGGCACATCTCACAAGGCATGGCAGATAGGCACAACGAAAGCATGTGACAAAGGCGGTCAGAACAAGCAGCGAGGTGCATACCTTGGGAATTGAGTCGAATTGGATTGGGTTGGATTCGGTTGACGAGCCACACACAGGTCCGGCCGGGGGCGGACACGAATCCCTCAGACAATCATGAGGTAGAGAAGGGACTAGTCGGAGGATGCAAAGGCCAAACTACCAAGGGCGACGGCGACAGGAGACAGTCGTCGTGCGGTGGAGAAAGTTGAAGCCAATAATGTGCAGCGAGGGTGGTTGAGCGACGAGGCTGGAAGGCACGACGGGAGAAGAACGGCGGGCAGTAAACCGACGAGTTCAGGCTCGCAGACAATCAATCAAGACGGCTTTGAAGCACAGCAGAAATTGTTTCAGCAACAAGAAAACCAACAGTAATGGGCGACGGAAGTCGAAGAGAAGAGAAAAGTCGAGCCGATGCGTGTATGGACGCTGGATGGAGGAGGACAACGAGGAGGGACAGAGTCCACGGCCAGGGCAGATGGCGTGAGGCGCTAGTTACTGCCTGCTTGAACGCACGGTCATTCTACAAAACATACAGGCCGCAGTGGCCGCACTTATCGACGGCAAGCAACACAGACCACAGGTCGTTTCGCCATGCCACTTTAAAAAGAATCCACCGGCGGCCACTGCAATCATCGTCATACTGCTGCCAAATCTCCCTGATCCCAATTATCATTTTGCAAAACCTCCGTCGCTCCTGCCTTGAGCTCTTGAATCTGTCTTGTCCTGCTTCTCCCAAAGGGCAGTTGCCCAGTCTCTCCCCACCATTTGCTCCTTCCCCAAGCTCTCCTCAACCGTCGGGACGCGTCTCCCTTGCCCGTGTTTGTCTCAAGAGAACCATGCCCTGGCTCATGCCAAATGCACATGCTTTCTATAAACTTCTGCGACACCTCCATCAAAGTACAAAGCATCATCACTAAACAATCGTGCCCGTTCAGCTATAACAAGCCAATCTCTTGTTTCCCCATTTCCACCGCGACCATTTCCCAACTGCCGCCATCTATCCGTTGGCGTCTTTTCTACGAATCGTCTTCATCTTATCATTCGAGTACGGCATACGGAACGCCCGTCCATCCGGCTTGGATGCTCCGTCATGCCGGCTGCGTGCATACCACTCTTCTTGTACTGGTAGTCTTTATCTGCCGAGCCTGCCGACTCAACTGAACCACGCTTCATTGTTGTGTCGTTCTTGCAATACGCTTCGATACGAACATAATGTGTATACACTTGGCGAACCCTGTTCATCCCCCATATACTGTATTTTCCTTGTTCGGAACCATTTCTTCAACTCAGCCCTGTCATTATTGTCCATTGGTAACAACATGCGAGTCAGAGACGAGGAAGGGTTCACAGCAGTCTGCAGCATTCTGCAGCTTACCTGACACTGACTCACGTTGTCACAGGATTAACGGAGAAGCTTCCACAAGCGGGACCCTCCCTTTGGGACGATCCACCCTCGAGCACTCTTGCGAGTCGCGGTGAGCCCCGTTCTGGTGTTTTTCAACCTTCTGGCTCGCATGAGACACGACACACGACGAGTGCAGCTGCGTACCTTTTGTTTTACATCCATCTCAGCTCGGCACTCCGAGTTTCTGAAACGCCGGCTTTGGCTTCAAATCTCCGCACTGAGACCTCGGGGTGGGTGGATCTGAATACCAGAAAACACGCAGTCAACTCGGCTGAAATCGTGCGATCTTGTTTGGCCCAGCCAGACCAACTTTCGTGACGACGTCGACTTTTTCTGATGCCTCGTTTCGGCTGCCGAAAGGTTGAGGCAAAAGTAAAACAAACAGCGACGTGAACATGCAAGCGGCGCAAGCAGCGCTTTCGGCTATGCGCGCATCTACTCGATATTGACCTACATATAAGAAGTGCTTATTGGCAGGCGAACAGAATAATAACGAACCAATAGCCAGATGGCAATCCAGGAAGAAAAGGAGCCATAAATACGAATGGCTTTTGATCTTTCTCCACACCAAGTGCATTTTTAGATTGATTGAGACGCTCTGTCCATCGCTCGTACAGGCCGACCCCCTACTGCGCTCTAAAGAAGCGCGGTTGTTCTCTTCTTCGTTAAGGGATGCTGTCGAGGAATCGCCTTCAGCTGATCACAACATGGAGAGAACATACAAAGGTTTGTGGCAGCCACGAAACGAGTACGGCAGCAGCAGTTTGTGAAACAACAGATAAAAGACCAGCCCAGGCGTCATGGTGGTTATTCCATTTTGCTTGGGCCTTCTTCTGTTGTGGCTTGCTGAAAGAAGCATCCAATTGAGAGATGCGGCTGTCGGCAGTGGAAACTGTCGATTGCCGATCAACGAACGCTTTCTACTTTTCCGATGTCTTCCATGTTCTATCCTAGCGATGACAGTAGCCTGTGTCTATTTGGATGGCATACAAAGCTACGATGAAGGTCTTCACGAAGTCGCAATCCTTGCGGACTGGCTTGCGAAGAAAATGACCTGTCAATCGTAGCTCTCGGGTATCATTCAGCATGCCTTCTTCAAGGATAAGGGGCGCGAGCGGACTTCGAAGCAACAGAAAGCAGCAGCAAGAGCATCCCTGCACTCATGCATAATACTCGGGAGGCGGAACGCACAAGCGAAGTCAAAGGAGGATTTACCCTTCATGGTGCAGGGCAGCTCAATGATTCACATGGCATGCAGCTGTCTGGCTCCAATCAGTATCGCTGACCTTTGTTTACATTCTGCTTGTTTCGCGTCCACAATGGTGGCCTGTATGAACGAACTGCTCTCCACGACGACGCGGCGCGAGTATGCACTCGCATCTTGCAGTACTTGGTATCCTGTTAACCGCCCCTTCGGTTACCCATTCAGATGCATCCCGTCGGGAGCATGCCTTCATTGTGCAGGTTGTACGTATGCGTCTCCATCACGATGATCACATGAACTTGTTTGCGACAACAACAAAAGGAGCAAAAGATCCGATGGCCGTGTAAAGTCAAGGACCCTGCACACCTGCTGCCTGCAACCACTGGACAGTGCATTTCACACGGTTTGTATCTTTTCGCCAGCCACAACCCCAAAGGGTTTTGCAGAAAGCAGATCTCATGACAACGAATCAGAAGCGTCAAGGTTGCACGACATAACGATCCTAGTCCCAAGAGATGCCGTCAACCAAGCAACCCACGCGGCAGCTTTCCTTTCGCACACCCTCTATTACAACAAAACAAAATGTCCACTCGCACTCCAAGGTTTCTTCACCGCATGATGGAGATCCCTTCAGCTTCTCCTCTCCACACCGCAAGATGGCAAAATGTGTGGCACGAAACGATCAACCGCACCAAAACAATCTATCTGGGTTTCCCGCCTCGGAAGCAGAAGCTAAAGTCTGCACGTCTGCATTGGGGGTTGCTGCAAGAGGGCTAAACCCAAGATCGACGAACCTGCATAACGGAAGGGGAGAAAGCAACGATCTTGCCTATCTTATCACCATCTTGAAGGTTCAACACCTGCGAGTACTGATAGCATGATTCTCTCCCCCTGGACACTTTTCAACACGACGTTCCTTGCCTGACTGAAAACATCACAAGAGAAATGCCTAGAACAACACTTCTTTTGCCTTTTCCTCTCTGTGACATGTCTGCCGAGGCCTGGTTTGCGGAATAGCAGACATGCAAGGTTGTATATGCTGCATAGACTATAGTGCTTCGCACATTTGGGAAAAAGGCCGGAATGATCCACGATTCGTGCTCGCGCGTACGTGCATGATACCGAGGCTAAGTGATCGTCTTTAGCCATGGCAACGTCATGAAATGTTATAGCACGGGTATTTTTGCCACTGCTACTGGACATGCGCCGAAATCAGAAGATCAAAGGGCAAACTCAGCGTTTGGGTGACTATGTACCTAGCGACACAGTTCTCCAATCTGTTTGGGTCAGCGATTTCCTCTGCCTCTGGCATTTATTCATGTCAAAGCATGTTGCACACACAAGCATCGTTCCCACTGATCCTTTTGACGCAAAGTTTCAAACCGGCTCGTCTCGAATGACCGTCAGCTCACGCTCCTTGCATAAAGAGACAGAACCCAGTGCGGGGATACCAAGTGCATCTGTGCACTAAGTACGTGACCTGCTCGTGCATAGCGACAGACCCCCGATGTTCGATAGTGAGCGGTTACCGATGGGAGATGGTGAAACAACAAGACTTTGTCACAAGACCATCTTTTGATGTCAAAGGGACGATGCGAGTAGCAGAAGACAGTTAAGGTCGTGCTTGGATTTGAGAGCATGATTATCAGCAGACTACAACTAGTCTCAGAGTATCATGCCAATCACGGTTTTGTAAAAAAAAAATTGGCATGATTGATTCGTGTTGACCCATGTGTTCGAAAGAAATGGATGTAAAACTCGCAGATACCAAGAAGAGGCACATCTGAATTCCCTTCGTAAAAAGACCAGAGTTCTTGGTACCTGCCACTAAAGAGTGCAAAACCCTCCAAGACAGCAAAAGAATAAAACGCCGTATGCTATGCAGAAAATATCGTGAAAAGAACAAATAAAGCGAAAAGCCATCTCGAGAGCCAGAAAGAAAGGAACAAAGTAAAAAAAAAAAAGTAAACGTGAAAACCAGACCTTAGAGGAAGACCTTTCTGGCTTCTTTGGGATGTCCTTCGACGGGACAGTATGGACACTTGAACCNTTCTCGAAAATGTCAGTACTTTGTCTGAAGCAAGACGATTTGATGCAAAACTTACTTGTTTCCCCTGCTAATCTTTTCGAGCGATTCTTTGGCAATAACATGACCGCAAGGCAGCATCATGGGAGGATTGGCATCGGTTCCTTGTTCTTTGCTGACCGGACAGACAAAGATGGAATGGAAGAGATATGAATGTGGTAATGGGATCTCGACGGGCAGTTCATTGACACTGGTCCACTGGCCTCCGACCTCGCCCATGACGCGCTCGAGTTTCTCGAGGACGGGAAGAGCGATGGAGCCAGCTGTTGCGGCGGTGTACAGAGGGCTCTTTTCACTCAGACCCAGCATGGCGCAGAATTCGCGGATGAAGCTGGATGCTGCGTGTTCCCAGGCGTCTTCGTTGAAGAAGACGGTCTTGTAAGGTGAGGAGGTCAGGGCGGGAGCAAAGGCTAAAGAGCCAAGTAGAGACGACGTCTCGCGCATGTATCGAGCGGAAAAGTTGGGGAAGGTCTGGCGGGCGTACTCGAGAGCTTGCAGGGGGCCGGACATGTGGTCGTTGGGATGGTGGCGGGTGTAGAGCTCGACAAAGCGTAGACGGCATAGATCGAACTCGAGATTTGAACCTCGCAGCTCGAGTTGATGGCTGTGTTGGCGAGCCCAGTCGATGGCAGGATTCAGGTCGTGGTTGTTGCGTAGGGCGTCCAGGACGAGGTACATGTGGGCAAATCTTGACTGCAGAGCACCAGCGCTGTCACCGTCCATGTCGTAGAGATGCGAGTCTTGTCCGTTCTCCATGAGGCTATCCCCATCTGAAGCAGTTCTTGTGGCAGTGGCATTCGGATTTGCATTTGCTTCTGCGATGAAGGTCTGGGCTACGTTGAACTGGCCTTCACGCAGGAGGTGCATGGCAATTGCGCGGTTTACTAGGGCAGGTTGCGACGAGAGGGCATCGTGGTGGGAAGCGGGCATGGATTGTGGTTTGAATTTNNCTAGAAAGAGTCAGCAGGTATAGCACCAGGCAGGCTTAAAGGCTTGACAGACCTTATCTAAGGCCTTTGCGTAGTCCTTGTGGGCCGAGTAAATGTCCTTGATGTCCGAGTTGACCTGGTCTAGTGAAGCCTTGACCGGACGCTTCAGTCTAGCAAGCGTTGGCGCAGCTGCACCTCCATCTGTCCCGTATATCAGTATTTGATACCGGCGAGTAAATCTGATAAGGATCAAGCCAGACATACCAGCAGCTATGGCTTCTCGCGCGGCGACGAGCAAGTCGATCGTCTTCTGCACATCTTCAATCGTCTTTGACAGATTGCCCTTCTTGTCCAGCTTATCCTGCTCCAACCGCAACGACTCCATTACGCATTTGTGCAAGCTGGACTCGATGACTTCTGATGATAGCTAGTAAATGGTGCAACAGCCCGACAATGAGAAGGTCGCAGATGACGTGCCGCGGGGTCGAGAGGTTCGCTCCGAGGCCCAACCACAGACTTCACTCTCGACCACTGCACCAGACCCCCAAGCTTAATTATAATACAAACAATTCCACTTTCTGTCTGTCTCTACATCGTCGCCGCTACTAACAATAATCCCACTCTTCTCACTGCTCACAATCTTTTCACGTGCATTCAAATGCCAGGACAATGATACCATTTCTGCTGCTCCGACTAAGCGCTCATGAGCACTCCTTCCTCGGCCACAGAGAGGCCTCCCGGCCCTCATACACAGAACGTCAAACTCGTCACACAACAAGAACTGAAGGCAAAGGAGAAGTCTGANAAACAGTCTCCCAAACCTGATTCGAATGAACCCAAAGCACCAACACATCAACGCCTCGTCCTCACAGATCCCATCGCCTTCAGGTAATATTTACCCGTCTCAAATATACCCAGAGGCTGATTTGTCCANAGATATTTGCAAGAAGATCCTGGTGTAGAAGTCATTGAAAGCAGCAAAGAACTTCAGGGCTACGAAATTTATGTCGTCGAACAATGGGCCACTTCTCGAACTCATCCAACTTTTGTCATCACCACTTTCACTGGTGATCCCCAGCATGTTGCTCAGGTCGGCATTCTGAGCGTTCCTACAGACGAATCTGGCTGGTCCCAACGTCTGCGCGTCTACTTCAAAGCCTTGAATCAATATCATGCCCGCCGGAGAGAGACTTCGCTCGGTATATTGATGATCACGAATCTGTCTGGCTTTCCTTCATCCTTGACCGTCATTCCCGTTCCCGACGGCGACCTCAAAAAGCATCGCTTTGAATTCTTCGTCGCCGAGAATCTCAAGCGCATGGGTTGTTCTGGACGTGTTGGTCTTACTCTGTCTGCACCTAATAGTGCCACAATCGCCAAGTTCCATCAGCTGTACAAGACGAGTGATAAGAACCCGATCCATACGTCTGTCATCGAGCTCGTCAAGCTATGTCAAGCCGCCCTCAATATCTTCGACAAACTCGATTTTGACTATGTCGATGGCCTGTTGTGCGACATCACCGAGAAAGCAGTCAACGACTGGTGGTTGGACATTGGTGCAGAGTTCTATAATATAGAGCCGCACGATGGCATCCTTGGGCCAACTACGGTGGCTGCTTTGCTTGGCTTGTTGATGGGTGCTCGCAATCGATTGAGTGCTGTTGGTGCACCTGTACCAAAAGATCCCTTCGACATGGAAGGCATGAAACGTGGTATCTCGCACTTCCAAAAGAGCAACCGGATGGAGCGGACTCGAAGACTCGATCGACACACACTCGACAAGCTACATAGAATATCTGCAAAGGCAGCTAATGCTGAAGGCTGGTCAGTACCTCGTGCTGTCAAGTCTACTGTGGCAGAGCTGAGCGGAAAGGGCGGTGAAATGCTTGCAGAGGTTGTTGGAAGACGCGACAAGGCAGGCATTGCCGATATTGAGACATCATACATTGATCGGTTCGAGCAGCTTGTTTACGGTCAACGCTGTAAGTGGCTTTGGCTTGGAAAACCTCTCAAGAACCAATCTGTCGACCTCAAAGACCAGAAGTCAAATGAGCCCAGCAGAGGCTTTGGTCCAGTGGAACGAAAGCATACACAAGAGTCGATATCCACTGCGAGAGCGGCTTCTGATGAAATCCTGTCGCCTACGTGGTCTTCCAGCAAAGAAGGCGAAGGATCGATCAGGGGAGAGAATCATCATATTCATCGCTCTGTCACCAAGAGAGCAACAGGATTGTTCAACGAGGGCAGAAGGGGTTTCGACAAGTTCAAGGATGCCGTTCGTGGCCACCAATCCAAGGGTTCGAAGGACGAATCACCAATGTCTCCTGCAGACTCTTCGCGACAAGACTTCAAATTCCCTCAGACCCTCGAGCGAATCGATTCTTCTTCACCACCTGCTAGACCTAAGATCCCTCAAGGCGCAGACGGGAGCCTCGATCAAATTCTATATCAGCGAGAACAGCACAAGGAAGCCGATGCTGCTGGACGTTCCGAAGTTCAAAACTCCAACCATCTTCTCACCAGTCCTCAGGATCCAGACAACAGCGTCTTCCCTGTCGAAGATCCGCAAAGGAAAAAGGCCGAAGAGGAAGCACGGGAAGGCAAAAGCGACAACGAATTCGACGTTGACGGATTTGAGACCATCTCGCGTACCATAAGCGGCGAGCCTTCCATCTCAATAGCAGGTTCCGACTACCACGGCGTCGACCTCAAAGAACTTCTCCCATCACCTCCAGACCTAGCGCAAGATATTGGTCCTCTGCTCCGTCGCATCCATTCCTACAGCGACTTTGAGACTCTGTCTGCCACAACACGCTCGGACGGTTTCTACCCCCGCCGTCTGAGTTTCTCTATCGCTGCAGATAGTATACTGCCTCCCTCCCCATTACTCCTCGCTCCCTCCTCCCCATTACCAAACCATATCCCCCTCCCCCAACAATACACCCACGAAACCACAATCTCGGGCGATCTCAAAGCCATCCGCGCACAACTCGCCACCCTAGATCGCAAAGAAGCCTCCTGGACCCGCTCCCAACTCCTCGCCACTTCGTCTCTGCTCACCCACGCTGACGACGACCAAACATACCTCGATTCCATTTACCGTCCTTCCGCCGCTAACCTCCAAGATTTGAGGGATGCGAGTGAAGCGTTGTTGGTTGATGAACGCGATGCCCTACACGAAGGCGCCAAGGAACTAGAAACCCTGGCTCAGAGACTGGACTATGAGATTGAAGGACTAAAAGGCAAAGTCGAGGATGTAGAAGTCAATGTTGAGGATTTTGAGCGTGCGGTCACTGGGATCGAGGGGAGGATTGCAGAGCTGGAGGATTTGGACAAGGGGAAGGGGGGTTTGGGGTGTGTTGTTTCGTAGATTGTTATCTCTCTTTTGTGTTCTTTTGCTTGTTGGAGTTTTGGTGTAGGAAGCGTGGTATTCGTTGGTGTTGATGCTAGGATGTTCTCTAGAAGAATTAGAAGGCTGGATATTGACATTGTTTTCAAATGTTCTGATCTCCGATCTTGATACTGAAATGTGTGTTGCCAGGCATAAGTCGATCCGGTCGAGAGACAAAGCTTCAAAATATGGGTTACAGAGCATTCTATTCGTTTCTAATATACATGATTACATGATTTTGTTTTCTCTTCCGAGATAGCTTAGAACTTGTAAACCTGGTCCTTGTTGTAGCCAAGCTCGGCGAGCATACCGGTCAAATCACCCTGGTCCTTGGGGCTCTTCTTGGGGCCAGCAATAGCCTTGTACATGCCAGGAGGACCGCAGACGAAGACCTTGATGTTCTCCTTGCTAGGATCGGGCAGGACAGTCTTGAGGAGGTCCTTGGTGATCATACCCTTCGGGCCGGGCCAGTCCTCTGGGGNGTTGTCGAGAGTGTAGAAGGCACGCATGCGGTTGGGGTACTTGTTCTCGAGGTCCTCCCATTCGCGCTTGAGAAGAACGTCCTCCTCGGAGACGTTACCGAAAACAAGAGTGACCTTTGTGTTGTCGTTGGGGTTCTTGAAGATTGCGCGGGCGAGCTGGTACATGGGGGTGATGCCGGTGCCACCAGCGATCAAGGCGATGTGGTCGTGCTTGTTCTCCTCCCAGGGGTACTTGGGAATGGGACCCTTCATGTCGAGGCGCTGTCCAGGCTCCATGTTGTGAAGGTGCTCGGACATGGGACCACCAGGGTACTTCTTGACAATGAAGTCGAGGTAGCCGACGGTATCTTCATCACTGACGGGAGTGTAGGGGCGGATGACAGGCTTCTCCATCTCGGGACCCTTGTACTTGGTGATCAGAGCGGCTGCGAAGATGTCAGTATGAACTAATGAATTGTGTCATAAACTCAACGTACAGGCGATGGTAAGACCAGAAACAGCGCCCTCCTCAGGAAGGTGGAAACGCAGTCTCTTTGTGTTGTGGTTGATGACTTCGCTCTCCATCAGCTTCAAGCTGACGAAGCCCTGGTCGCCGCCAGTGAAGCACTTGGAAGGGTCGGCAGCCTGCTTGGGGATGTTGCCCTCCTCGGTCTTTGAGGCGGGCTGACCGTAAGCACCGCTCTCGTTGGTGTTGCCGTGCTGGCCCTCAGCCTGGGCACGCTGCGAGTACATGTAGCCAGCGAGACCGGCACCAGCAGCAACACCAGAGTAGAGGAGAGTGTTTGAGCCAGACTTTGCGGCGGCGTCGGAGGCGTAGCGGCGGACATGCTGATAGACGTGTTAATAGAGGCGGGTTGAGGCGCGTGTGGGCAATTGAGGACGTACGCTGGCGGCAGTCCTCGCGGGACGGAATACTGATCTGGCGAACATGATGACTAGATATTACAATATGTGATGTTTAGGAGAGAAGAAGGGAAGAAAGGCAATTGATGGAGAAACGGCTGCCATGTCTTCTGCGAGGCCGGCGGGAAAGAGCGATGATGCAACTGCTGCCAGCCAAAATGTCCGAGCTTCCATCAAAGAATCGCGTCCTTCCAAATCTGTATCCACTTTGCTCCACGGTACCTGATAAGCGCCTGGTATTTGTGCTTTCTGTGGCTGCCAATGACCCATGCGTGCTACTACGAGTCGTCCTCCGAGTTGGTCTTCTTGAGGGTAGCACCGGTGGAGTCCATCTGTTTCACTTCACAGTGCTGGAGCATTCGGAAAGAGCTATCACGGAGGCCGAGAGATGCCAGGGGTATGACCACGGATATAGAGTACACATTTGAAGAAGATGGCGTTGTCAAGTCAACATGGTTGATTTGACGTTTGCAAAGAAAGTCGCATCTTGCTCAGCATCTGGTTACTGAAGGCTTCCGTTTGCAGCTTGGATTATAGCGTGGAGATAAGGCACGCAAACGCCGTCACCGTCTGTATCTCCAAGTTTTCGCATGACAGCAACTTTGACTTTGTCACAGTCGTCGCAATGAGAATTCGGCTGCAGGTGCTCAGGCATCAACTGCCGCCGACCAAGGTGCTGTGGAAGGTCGACGCTGCTAGTACCACGGCCGAACTACTCACTCAGATCAGCGACTTCTTTCCTCTTGAAGCTGAAGGTTGGGGACTGGAGGATTACGCTGTCCACCTTGGTGGTTATGAGCTGTTACATTTCCAGCAGTTGGGCGACATCTTGAAGGATGATGATGAGGTTGTGTGAGTATTACGACCATGATACTACCGCAACACGATACTGATCCCTTGCCAGNNAATCCAGCCACTGCAGACCAACGACATTCGCGCCAGGAACCTCTCAGGCAGACACCAAATCTCGAGAGACGGCAGACATCTCGTCGACGGCATCGCTTTCGGACGTCCCCTACTACGCGCCCCAGTCCACGCTCCCATCCACATCCCTCCTCGCAAACGCGCCAGGCTCGACCCATCCCTACAAGACTCCGACCTAGACACCGAAGAAGATTCAAACGAGGCTCTGCAACTCGCCGACTTTGGTCCACCTCTTCAAAACACAGAACCACGCCCCCGCAGCAAGGCTCACAAGCATGTCACCTTCAGCCCAGAATTCCTACAAGCCGACTACGACGATAATGGCGACAGAATCTTTGACGATTGCGATATGGAAGACGACGATGAGGATGATGACTTTGAGCCTCCTTCTGATGACGACCTTGACATTGGACAAGACAGAAATATGAAGTTGCTCGAAGACGTTGATCAAGCCTCAGCATCTACCTCAGAAGGGTCGTCGAGCGATAGCGACAGTGATGACGACAGTTCTGACTCTGACGGTGATTCGAGTGGCAGCGATAGTGACGCTCCGTCAGAAGAGCCTATCAACAAGGGCAGCAGCTCCATCGAAGCACTTCTCAAGTTCAAGAATACTGCAGCCCCGCCTCCTAAACAGGCTCCTCCCACCAAACAAGCTGCCCCTAGTGATGGTAAGCAGCGAACTCGTGCTAGGAACCGACGCCGCCGTGATGCAAAGAAACTCGCATGGTTGAAGTCAAAGGGCCATCTGCCTGCGAATGCCGCTCGTCAGGATCTGAAGAAATGGAGAGAGGAGAACGAAGAGCGTCGTGTCTCTGCTTCGCCATCTGATCCAGACGACGAATCTTCCAGTTCAGAATCGAGCTCGTCAAGCTCCGACTCGGACTCCGAATCTGAATCTGAATCCGAACAAACAGAAACGGCTGCTCCACCTGCAGTCAAGAAGCCAGTACCCATGATACCCAGACAACTAAAGGTCAAACCTAAGGCGAAGAAGCCTCTCACAGAGCCCACATCCGAAGAGTTCAACCAGAAGAGAGAGGCACTCCTGGCTGCTTTGCAATCTGGTGGTATCGATGTCAACAATGATTTGTCGACACCTTCAGAAGACGCTGTCATGAGCGATGCCGGTCCCAGCACAATGTCCGCGAACGAGAACAACACCACTCCGCAGCCCGAAGTCCGTAGAGCAAGGCTCGACCTGGCAAGCTCCAACCGTCTTCTGTTCAACTCTCTGGGTGTTCGCGCACCTAAGAACGACGCCGACAGACAACGCCTACAAGCTAAACTCGCTGCCCAAAATACACGCAAGCCAATCACAAAGCCTACGGCTGCTGCTGCTCCTGATGAGCAGCCTACACCCGTAGAAGAGGAAGAAGGTCCTACCGACATGGATGCCTGGAAGTCCAAGATTTCTCTTTCCGCTGTCGAATGTGCACCAGGATCAGAAGAGTATTACTATTCTACTCCGCCCTTCCCGTTCTACCAGCGCTGGGATCCTAGTCAGCGTACCAAGAAGCGCAAACGCGGCTCTCAAGCTTTCGATTCTTCCAAGCTGCAACGCACCGAAGAAGAGCTTGAGAACAGCTACAGTGAATACTACAATGACGGTGCTGATGGAGATGCCCTCAACTATGGTGACGATGAAGATGATACTGTTGGTGCAGCNTCAAGAAGCCGATCAGGAAGCCGCTACTGCACAACTCCTGGCGGAATCATCAGATGCCGCCGACTTACCACCTTGCCATCTGATCTTTCCACTCTGCCTCCAATGACAGAAGAAACCATACTGCCTGGTGCTATCATCGCTTTCACGCAGTTCGAAGTCTCGGCTGCTACAAACTGGGCACCCGCCATGTCTCCTGTGCGCACTGCTTCCATCCAACACGTTTCCGACAACAAGAGTTTGGGACTGCAATTGGCTAAGCGTGACATTCCTGGTCGAAAGTATGACAATCAGGGCCGTAGACTCTTTGACAAGTTCGAGATGATCACTGGCGACGAAGAGGATGATGATACTGAAGATGGCTTCCTGGAGGTCGAGCTATCTGAATTGATAGAACCCAGGCTGCTCCAAGCTGCTGGCGCTGGTGAGAAGAGTGTCGACGAGAAGGAGAAACAGCCGGTACCAAATGGGGAGCAGAGCAGCGAGATGATTGGTGTTGCTTTGTAAGGATGAGGCTATTCTATAGTACGCAAAGGTGTTAGAACACCAAAGTTCAAGAAGGCTTCGCTCTAATCTATGACCGATTCTCTTGCTCACTTCCGAACACGTAACTGCTAGCCCGCAAAATACATAACCTTGGGATTCCATGTGATGTCTTGACCCCGCCTATCTTGCCCTATCATCCCCGCATCGAAACACTATCATCGCTATATTCCTTCACAACCTCTCTTGGTCAACTCATCATAACGAAAACATCAACCTTCAACGTCGGCCCAATGGACGACCAAATGGAAGACGACTACGTCCTCGTCTCGGCGCCAAANCCCCCTTGCATGTCCACAGCTCCATCTCCATCCTACACACCACCTCACCTCTCCACCATATCAACCTATATCGAGCACCTCAGCCCAGAACTCAGAATCCTCAGCCTTTCCATCCACGACAACCCCGAGTTGAACTACAAAGAGTACAAAGCCTACGCATTGTTGGTGAGGTTCTTCGAAGGGCTGGAAGGTTGGGAAGTAGAGGAAAAGGCTTGTGGGATTGAGACAGCNTTTGTCGCTGTATTCGACAACAGAAAAAGAGCAAGGGTCAAGATGGTGCAGNNAGGGTGCAGAGGGNNTGAAGTTGTGAGCTTTAATGCTGAGTATGGTAAGTTATCCTTCATTTGATGTACACCTTCTAGCCGATTAACTACTGATATATTTGAGATCNNAGACGCTCTACCCGGAATTGGTCATGCCTGTGGGCATAATCTCATTGCTATCGCATCCATTTCTGCTGCTTTGGCCACCAAACACGTAATGCAAAAACACAACATTGCAGGAAAAGTAGTACTGTTTGGCACACCTGCTGAAGAAGGTAGTTTCCACCACATCTTCATCTTGACCCAAGACCAAAAACTGACAAAACTCAAACANGGTGGAGGCGGCAAAATCAAACTCCTAAACGCAGGAGCATACACCAAACACAACATCGGCGTATCTCTAATCTCCCACCCAGGAATAACTCCAGACGCTTCTTTAGTACGCACATCAGCCTTCTCAGCCTTCAGAGTCGAATACTTTGGNAAAGAAGCCCATGCAGCAGCCGCACCTNNTTGGGAAGGCATCAATGCTCTAGATGCATTGATAACAGCATACACAGCCATTTCTTGCCTGCGCCAACAAACCCAACCGGGAGATATTATACAGGGATGCATCACGCAGGGAGGAGTTAAACCTAATATCATTCATGCATATGCTGCTGGTGATTTCGTGGTTAGGTCGAGTACGAAGGACAGACTTGATGCGCTGAAGAAGAGAGTTAATGCGTGTTTTGAGGGTGCTGCCACCGCTACAGGTGCGAAATTGAAGATGACGCCACAATCGATGTATCTGGATCATGTGCCTAATAAAGCTCTAGGAAAGAGTTATGCAAAGCATTTCGTTGAACTAGGAGGAGAGTTGGCAGCGCCAGAAGTGGAATTGCTGACTAGTGCTACACAGGCGAGTACTGATCAAGGTGACATCAGTCATGCTCTCCCTTCTCTGAGTCCTGGATTTTGGATAAAGAGTGTAGCTGAGGATGGAAAGCAAGGTGGTGGACCACATACGCCTGACTTCACTAGAGCTAGTAGGACGAAGGAGGCACACGATAAAGCGTTGATGGTTGGAAAGGCTTTGGCTGCTACGGCTGTTGACGTGTTGACAGTAGACGGATATCTGAAGGAGATCAGGAGAGAGTTTGAACATGGTCACAAGATTTAACGACAGTTTAAATCTAGTGGTATACAAACTGTAAGAGATTCCGGTGCACAGCGCGAAGCATTTTGGCTTTCCATCTTCTCATTGTGAGAAATTTCGAGGATAAACTCTGTCTATATGGCTTCGGAAGCCTGAGGCTGAATCTAATACACAAGTTGAGGTTCAAAACAGACTGAGATACGTATCTAAGAGTATGATCTCTCTGTCGTTTGCTGAGTCGGCAGAGAAACATGGATTCTAAGTATATACCATTAGATACGAGATTATACTCCTGTCACTGCTCAGCGCCCTCCCCATGTACTGAAATCTATAACTTCCATCGTACTCCAATTAGCTAAGTACAGAACATAAACTATAGAAGCACAGTTATTCCAGAAATTAGAGGCGTGTCCACGGAGAGTCGACAGATTGTTGCCCTTTAGCAAATACCATCTTACTTCCAAATACCATTGTGCATTTCTATGACAATATTTGTTGCAAGCTGTAGTAGAGGGCCAAGGTTTTAATACCATGTGTCGGCTATCGCAGGATGGCGTGAAGGTCTTGCCAGCCCTTAAGCATTGCATAATATCACAAGTCGCCCGTCATCTTTGATACCAGTTCACCAGCATCAAAGTCTCTCATGATAGCCAGTATCCACCTTGTCCGCCTACCGTGTAAGGGGCTGTGAGTCAAACTCAAGGACTTTGACTCGTCTTCAACAAGCTGCCTACTTTTCCACTCGGCGAGCTCTTTACGAGCAATCTCCAGCATCTCGCCTTTCTTGCTTGAGTACTTCCTCTTGAGACCATGATCCAAGGTTGGTTCAATCTCAAACCCCTTCACGAAACTGATGTCGTAGCAGGGAAAGGGCTTGGAATGAGCTCCAGACAGCCAACGACTCATGTAATCAGTGTAGTCGCTTCTGGCGATGATCACCGCACCGCGTGTATGCTCGATCAGCCATGCGTATGGCGAGTCTGCAAAGGCCAAAAGATCCATCTGTACGCATTTTCTTGGGAGCAAGTGCCATGCATATGGCGAGTGTGCACGTTTTTTCTTAGATGCAAGGGAACGTTGTCTTTATTGCGGACAACAGTGCATCTGGGAGTGCGTAGGTGACGGGGCAGACGATCAACATCTGGATATGTTACCAGACCTGGGATCCCAATGATAACCAAAGAGAAAGTGCCAGAAAAAACGTCGATGTATTCAAGGCGTGTGGTTCGGCACACTCGAAGGAGAGGATGTATGAGAGCACGTTGGTCCTCGTGATCGAAGACATCTTTGAAGATCATGAGGCGAAGCTCGGTTGACAAGTCCGGTAGACTAGGCATTGTGTTTGATATGTAGTGTCGATGTTTGTTTTTGGAATTCGCAGTGAGCAGGATGGAAAGGAAAGAGGAAAATAAGTGCAAATGGCGATATATTTGTGGACGTCGAAGTAAGAGTCACAATTGCTGCCTTGACAGAAACGACCGCGTTCTATCTCCTACAACGCGATCCCTTACTATGAATGATGCACTCCCCTCACATGCTTGGCCTCCGCTCCAGTGCAGGGTCAATAATCTACAATGTCTTTTGAGATACAGCAACGACAACCAATGGTTTATGCTCGATCGTCTTTCGTTGTATATCACTCTGGCACGAAAATCGATATAACTCAAAAGGATTCTCTTTTGCTTCTGTTCGCCACATCTGACATTATTTGGCAACTGGAAGGTCATACTGGGGCAACTAAACATACGACTAGCTACCCAACAATACAAGTACTGACATCTAGCGATTTGACTAACTCTCGAGGAAAGCACTACGCACAGAGTGCCACTTAAAACGCGTAAGCCGATCGTAACCATGTCTGCTTCCATAGACCTCCGTGATCATATCCCCTATCAAATCGTTTTCAACAAGTATTTTCGTAAAGTCGGATATCCAGGCATGAGTGAACGTCGAAAGTCTCTCCTCGTCGTTCTGGTTCTCGGCTAGAGCTTTCCACTGAGCTAGTCCAGCCTTAGCAAGCATCAGGATCTCCCGATCTGGGGATCCTTGGTCTTCGACAGGGGAAGATAGTATCTGGTTTCTGGTCAATGCCATAGGTATGAGTCGATCCTTGCGCTGGACTTCAAAAGTGATGAATGTTTCGAGCGGGGTCGTGTATTCCAAGATAAACGGGTCAAAGACGACTCTGTGTACATGAGGGATCCACCACGAGAATGGAGAATTTGCAAAAGCTTCAAAGTCGTCTTCTAATCATTTTAAGGTGTGTACACGCTCAAAGTGGGACATGCAACCCGGCGGGTGATAGTAGCGTGGATTCAAACGTCTCGGCAATACATATCCATCATCAGAATTCCGTCTGATGGTGGAGGTTGGCTTTAGCTTCTTGTCTTCCAACGGCGTACACCAACCAGTCATGTAAAGCGAGATCTTGCCAGAGAATACAGTAATGTACTCGAGTCGTGTGGTACGGCAGACATGAAGCAACGGGTGACTGATGGCATTGCCATGTGCTTCTTGGAATATCTCTTCGAAGATCATCAGACGAATCTCTGTAGCCAGATCCATCAGTCTGATAGGTGATCGTGGTGCGAGCGTATTATCGTGTAACATCGATTGTGACATGGTAGGCATCTGTTCGTTGTGGCAGTATCGAGTTTCGAGAGACCTCTGTGAAGAGAAAAGTAAGGAAAGAAGTGAAGAAGAGAGAAGAAGAAGACTCGTAGCAGCTTCGTTAGAGATAATTAACTCATTTCAGCTCCTGGGTTACCTTGGCTCTTCTGCTTCTCCTTCGATGACCCACCATGATTACAACCACTTCCAAGGTCGAAACAGCAACATTTGCGTGCGGAGAACGTTACATTTTCTCATCAGTGGTCGCCCAAGAGACGATTGACCATACCTGGTGAGCTCAAAAGAAGTGGTAAGGGTTAGCGATCGCTTGCCCCAACCCGCTATAATAACAGATTGCATTGACTGGAGTTGCGTGACGAAACTCGAATTACACCAATGCTTGAAAACGATAGGCTGCGATGCGAAAAGAGCAGAGATCTTGCGTTGCAAAGGAAGGAAAATGAGAGAAGTGCAAAGAAGATTTCCGACACGGGGAATTGAACCCCGGCCTCCTCGGACCTAGTTGTTCTTGGTAGAACGGTTTGAGAGCGAGAAATCCTAGCCACTAGACCATATCGGATGTTGTTGCAGCATATTCCGTTGTGCTCATTCATGTACCACAAAATCGTTCATGATGAGACAACTTCCCTTCCACCTTGGTTGTCTGGCAGCCCCACCCTACGTCATGCAGATTATGATGCTATACCAAGCTCTTCCTGTGTTAAAGACCTTGCAGAACCCCAGAGTCCTGTCAAAATATTCTCACGACCTTGCATCCTACACATAAACAAGATCCTTTCAACTCACGTCACCCAATCTCAAAATTCTCGAACAGTACGAATTTCTAATTTGTCTCTTATCATACTTCCCACTAACTTCCACAGAACCTCGAACCATCACAATGTATTCGCGTCACCTTCTCCGTTCCACCCGCCTGCAGCGTCTGCGCTCATTCCCTCCCACCTTCCGCACCTTCAGCGTGTCTCCCTTCCGCAGCATCAAGGAAGACGCCTCTCGCTCCNNCCCCGAAGAGCTGGAGAAGACCAAGCAAGAGCAATTGAAGGCACAAAAGCAGGGCAAGGCGCAATGGAACGAGAACCTGGCTTCTGCGGGTGAAGCTTCGATTACCGCAGACAGAGAGAATGTCAAGGATCACGATAGCCACATGGAGGATTTGCAGAAGGAGACGGCCGGACAGGCGGAGAAGGAGCATCCTCATGGAAAGAAGGACTAAGATCTGAGAGGAGGATCATTGGGGATGTTGTTTGTTATCAAGGAGTCATTGTCGGCCTGCTGGCAGGCGTATGCATAATGAGTATGTCATGTTATCACGCACTCTATCCAACAAAGTTCACGAAGAGCAACGAACGAATCTTGCGTGATACTGAGCCACTGATTTGATACATTGGATGAAACTTGATTCAAGCAGACTCAAGGCTCGGAGGATAGTAGGCAGCAGTTGTACGGATCAGATGCGCCGAAGAGGCTGACGCCAGAAGATTTTTATTTCTGCTTATCAAGTGACGAGCACCCTTCAGGCAAGCCCTCTCAACAAGATCGGCGAGGTCGCGGTCCTCGGCATGGACTCGAACCGGCATGAGTTTCTCAATTCTGATGCACTCCATCGACCATGTGCCACCAATCGTCCAGTATGTCCTCTTGAAGTAGGGACGCGGTGTGGCTGGACTATTCTGTAGTAACGTAGGCCTTGACGCTGTCTGCTAACAGCATAACATTCGGGAGTCGTGATAACAAGATTGCATGGTCCAGGTGTCCTCTCAATCGCCAGTGTCCAATTCAAGGTCGAGTTGTACGCCATTGCTAACGCCGTAATCGTCCAGAGTAAGATGGTCCTTGAATGGACGTTCGCCCTGTCTCTTCAACATGATCTCGTGGGGCTGACGACCAATACGTGCAGCAACCATGGCCTTGAATGCTTCTACACAGAAAGTCAGCACTTGCCAAAGACAACGATGAAGTGTTAGACAGCACTTACTAACTGGGTCACTGCCCAAGCAAGGAATAGCAGCCTTGGTTCCCAGACGATCATTGACATTGACAATAATCATGGGCTCCGCACGACTGGGAGCAGCGACAGGTTTTGGCTTCTTCTCCTTCTCCTTGTCACTCTTGGGCTTGTCCTCTTTTCTCTTCTCTCTCCTCTCATCTCTGCCTCCATCGCGTCTAGGTGAACGTCTCCTGTCACCTCCATCTCTGTATCGATCACGGTCGTCTCGTCTCGGCGATCTGGGACGGTAGCTGTCTCTGTTGCCATCGCGTCTAGGCGAACGATCCCGATATCTGTCGCGATCGCGGGGTGGTGAAGAGCGACGAGGCGCATCATCGCGATTGCGGTCGTCGAAATCGCGGCTGAAGCTGTCGTTTGCGCGCGAGCCCTTGTCTTTCCAGCGGAATCCTCCTGATGATTTTGGTTTGCGCGGTGGTGAGCGCGAGCGACTCCTGTTCCTTGATGGTGAGGGTGGCATCTTTGCGATGTTTTGTGTGTGAGAAAAGAAGAAAGACGAGGTCTTGGGTTGAGCAGAGAGCTTGGATGGGCAGGGTTGTGGTTCGTCATGCAACGCTTTGCTTCGCGCGCGAAACATCCATGTCACTTTACATAGCAACTTTCTTACACCTACTTTAGATGATACCGGATCTGCTCTTTCCAATTAGTTTGAATTCAACATGAAGAACATGTTGACCGTGAAACGACCTTCGCCGACTACGGTACTATATAAAGTGTCAACTCGGTCAGCAAACAACACATTTCCAGCACGAGTCCGCCGCACCTTGACCGGACTAGTCAGAATACTAATAGGCCTGACTCTACTATGCATCCTCATCGCGAAAGTCCATGAATCTGCGACTCCACGCTGGAAGGTCCATACAGATTATGCCTCTACTTTTCTTCCTCCAGCGCTGACGGAATTGGCTGCGACTTCTGCATCTCGTATCTCCTGGCTTTACTTGGCTCCCATCGGTCTGGCAATCTTTTCTGTCATCTTCCGAAAAGGTTATACTACAGAGTCTCTCCTAGTGATACGTGGTATGGGTGTGCAGACAACGACAAGCAGCCCGACGTATCTCAGTACTGCAACTACGAGATTTATTCCCACCAACATGATTCAGGATATCTTTGTCTACGAAGCTTTCAAGGGTTTCGAAGTTAGATTCTATCTGGCTATTGTGGTTGAGGGTGAACACGATGTCGTCGTGGTCTTTCCAGTAAGTTCCTCTAAGATATAAATATACATGAGAATGCTGACGCCTGTGGAANNGAGCATACTACCACGCAGACGAGTTCTGGAGGAAGTTTGGAGGGGCGCAAAGTCATGTTTGTATGAGCCAAAGTCGTAGTCAGTGGCTTGTATCTACTCATCTCCTTCATCCTTGCGCATGAACTTTGGCTTATACGGACCCTTTCTCTCGAGATACCTGGCATTCACCACTTCAACAGGCTCCATCCTCTGTTTGCGAGCAATGGGGACATACGTGCCCACTGGTCTAGGCCAATCGCCGCCGTCGAACAATCTAGGACTTCTTTCGGTCGCCGGAGGCAGCTTAATATCCGCTGGTGACCGCTTGCCTTGTGCAGCAACAACGTCCATCAGACTGCCAGCCAGGATCTCGTCCATTTTGCGCTTGTGCCACACCTCCCAGATCGAGTCCATAATCCCTCCCTTGCCAAATTTGCTGTCTCCGCCATCAAGATCGGGGCGCTTGTTGGTTTCACGGCCGCCAGTCTCGCCCACATAGACCCAGTTCATGTCATCTTCTCTGCTCTGATCGTTGTCATGATGGTCTGGGAAGATGCAGTCCCAGAGAACTAGCGGCGCATCTGTTGCCATTTCGTACTTTGGCCTTGTGGGATACTTCTCCATGTCTAACAGATCCGAGATGATGGATGGAGGCTCAAACCCTTGGCCGACCAAGAACAATACTGCAACTAAATGGCGCACCTGGTGCCACAAGAAAGCAGATCCATTGACGTCGAAGGTATAAATCTTTGGAATGCTCAAATCGCCACTCACACCTGTTTTGTTTTCGCCGTTTGCAGTTTGAGCAAATGCCGGATACGATATGAAACCTGCAGGCGTCTGGCTCACATCAACCTCCTCAATCGATGCCTTGAAAATTCTCCTCTCAAAGTTTGTGATTTGTTTTGCTGGATCGACCTTGCAGAAATTGCGGAAGTCGTGCAGACCCTCATATCTCTTTGCCGCATCCTTCATGGCTTCGATATCCAGATATCCTTCTCTTAGTGTCTTTCCAGTTGCTGTGGTCATAAGTCCAGCATCTCCAGGGACGGGCGCAAAAGCGGGCTGGGTAANAAAGTAACGGTATCGACGTTCGCGACAGTTGAAGCGAGCATTGAAGTCGGCAGGCGGTGTTGGGCACCAAGCGAGCATTCTGATGTCTTCAGGCAAGACACGATTGAGTAGTTGGATATACGGTAGCTCATCCCTGATGTGATCCCAAGGCTTCTCTGGCTTTGTCTCTTCCTTGTTGGCTTCCTGCTCTTTCGCGTTTCCCTCAATTCCTTGCATTGCATCTGCATTCTCCTCTTGTGCTGGCTTCTCCTTCGGCATGGGCTGTAGACTTCGGACCCGGATACCAATGACTTGCCCAAAGGCACTCACACCTCTATCCGTTCTTCCACATTTTGAGTAATCTGTGCCTTCCCAGTCGATCTCCCCNNCCTCTTTCAATTGGCCCTGTCGTGAAGGGAAGATTAACCGTGTCTTGGTCAGTGCCTTCCACAGCTCTTCNNCCTCAATCGTAGGCAATGGCGTCTTGTTTCCAGTATGATGCTCAAAGCCATTATATCTCTGACCCAGATACGCAAACTTCAGCGCAATGTGTCTTGTGTTATAGCGACTAGCATCAAAAGGACGATCTTGCTTTTGTTTCTTCTTTGGCGGGAGCACAGTCGAAGGATCGGGCAAAGGCGCGATGCGGTTGTTTCGAAGCTGGTTCTCGAGATCTGCGATGCGTTTTTGTAGTTGTTCGGGTGTCCAGGTGGTATAGTCTGGTGTTTCTGCTGGGTCGGGGAGGCCCATTCTTCTTCGTCTTGCTCGGCGGGATGTGCTGGTGCTCGTACGTGTGGCAATATATGGAATGCGAAACGCGAATGTCGAGGCCCTGGTGTGTGAGAATGAGCAGCTCGCTGTCGAGGTCAAGGACCAGAGGGCTGAGCGCATGTGGTTGTCAAGGCGAGCATTATTTTTTGTGACTATCAAGATTCATGATGCTCATGGCGGGGAAACGCCAAGGCTGGAGATCTCGCTATCAATCCATCTGGGAGCCCAACATCTCAGGTACACTGCAGCATTATTGCGTCCAAGTAACAGTGCGCATGAGCGTGTAAAGACTGTCTTGACGATATTTGATTGTTTGCATTATTATGGTACTGTATTGTACTTGTCTACTATTGTTCGAGGTACGCAGGCCAAGGTCCGACCCGTCGTCCCATTCGTCTGCTCGTACACCATTACTCGATGTTGCTGAATTCGATAGTTGCATTGCCGACTTTAAGTATCTGACTCACGAACAACCCGTGTTCATGGGACCAACTCTGATTTGAAAAGCCATCAACAACGTGCTCAGCCCGTTCGATATTCCAAGCTGAAGTCGGAGGACGGAAATAATTCCCTGGCTTGACCGACTTGCCGAGTTTGGGAAAGCCGCTTCAGGAACCCAAATCTGAGTAACCAAGCCGGCCCTTTTTCGTGCTGTGTCGGTTTCCAATTTCCCCAAGCAGAGCCCAGCGCGATTTGTTGTTCTACCCAACCTCTTCCACCTCTTCCGAGCCGGATATGATATTGAATGACATTGGCTTCAATATTTTGAGGAGGCTAGGATGCACTTCCAGCCAACCCGGACATCAAGACGCGGCATGCTGTCACGCCGGCCTATTGTCGGTCGGCGATGCAGCGCGTTGGGACCGATAGAGCTCACACTGCGCCGCGGTTGTGGCTTGTTTTGGGCTTGTAGAATTTGCATGTGCTGCTTCCAGAAGTCTTGTTTGCTTGGAAGTCTGCCAGCCGCTTACTCCATTCAGGGGCCTGCAACTAGTGACATGCGGCGTGCGATGGTGTTCATCGAAGGCAGCTCCATTTGGAAAGGGTTGAGTGTCTGCCATGCATTGTTGACAAACGACTGGAGCCACTGTTCCTCTTCCTGTGCCATCTTCATCTGAACCTTGGCTAGCTTTGAACGCTTGATCGTGATGCCCGACACCACGGACTGCCTTCTCGGGTAGATGGTTTTTGTCGGAGTCATGAGGGACATTCTGCGCTCCGAGAAGTACGAGAATGAAGGCAAAGGGGTATCTTCTGGTGTTCCAGGCGGTGTCATGGAGAGCTCGAGCTTCTCACACTGACGCATCAAGTCCTGCATTCCGAGGTTCAAGTCTTCGGCCTTTGGTTCGACGTACTCGTAGTAATCAGGTCCCCACAACTCGTCTTCCTTGAGTGCATCTCGCAAAGAGCGAAGGAAGAAGTCGAATGAAGGAAGAGTAGGACCATCGCCAGGTTCCGGGCCTTTTGCACAGGAAAGCATGCACGCGGCAGCCATTAGTCTGATCTGGAATTCGGCATCCAAGGCGTGCTGCACTACGCAAGCAGGACAGTTCTTGCTAAGACACCAATCTTCGTCATCGGCAAGGAACGAGGTAAGCCAGACAAATGCGTTGCGACCCTTGTTCCTGAAAGCAAACTCAATGTCCTCTGGTTTAGTAGCCTTGGTGTACTTCTGAGCAATCCTCGTTGTATGGTCGTGAAGAGCTACGACAGGTGCGAGCAGGGCGTGAAGTATGTCTCTCATCAGGATCCAGGCATGTTTATCTTCAGTTATGTCGGTTTCATGATCCTTGCAGAAGTCGTTGCAGCACTCGTTCGAGAGATGGTCGCGTAGTATGCTGAAACCTTCCGAGTCTTCTAATAAGATGGCATCCTGGACTGTGATGAGGAATGGTGTGGTATTCGGCGAAGACAGACACGATGTTGTGGAAGGCATCTTGGCGGTTATGGGAGCTGAGACTGAGGGGGACCGATACAAACAGATGAGAGAAACCTTGATAGAGAGAGGGAGGGCGCCCGATATACATATACCTGGCTGGCCGTTTAGCGCCGGGATCTTAAATCAAAATTGGCTCTTTTGCGCCATGTGAACACTGAACATGCTCATTGCTCACAGGGTTCATGACTTCTGGTCAAGGCACTTCACCGGCGGAAATAGTCCTAACGCGCATTGACACGACACATGACCACGATTCGAGGCAGAGAAGCGAGCGACTAGCAGCGTTTGCGGACCTACCGTTCATAAGACATTTGCTTCCTTTTCGCGGAGAACACGGTGAATATGCCTAGCAGAGGAAGCAAGCACGATGATTGCTCTTGGAAGGACTCGGCATCACGATCGCCTTGCTTGAAGTCTACACACATATTACGCATGCTCCCTGCGGCCTGAGCCAACCGGAGCGCATCCCATGGGCTGTCACTCCCAGAGTCGGAAGGCTTTCTGCCATTTTGGGCAGCCCTGTCTCACCGCGGTTTACCGCCTCGGTTTAAAGGGCGGTTGAACATGGCTCTTCCTCGGTAAACTTCTGACGAATGTGGCTTCAGATCTGATCGACAGTTTCATTGCGGAGGCAGGCTGGATGCGTCGAGCCTCCATGTCGGCCCGCTTCAAAAATGCCATTGAGCAAAATCAATGTGAATACGTTAGAGGTATCGATGTTTCCCACACCAGCAACCGTTACAAGTCGACGACGTATGTTGTCGTCTATCATCCTATATATTGCCTGTAGCATCCTACCTAGACCCTTCTCTTGTCTCTACGCCTGATCAATCTATGTAATGGACCCCGCATAGTCATAGAGCCTGGATGCCTGCGATTCAGGCGCTGGGGATAGATCTAGAACTGTGACATATTGTGAATCCTGGGAAGTCTTGAACAGCTGGTCCCTTCTGTCTCAGCCTCTGTGATTTTTGCTGTGCGAAATATGCTACCGGCTGATCTCCTTTGACTTCATGAGCACCAGCACGTGGGAGCCCATGGGGTAAAGACGACAGCGCATGGGGAACACCCGTCAAGGACTCGGGTGAAGACGTGAAATGACTACTGACCGCTGAAAGCGATGAGGCTTTCAATTGAGCCGACAGTAGACGAGCGATTTGGATTTACCGACACGCCAGGCCATCACTCCAGTATCGCAAGCGGAGATGCCCTGGTGAAATTGACCTTCATCTTCAGGCGTGTATGCTTATGCAGCAAACCTTTGTCCACAGCGACTGCTTTGAGCGATTTTGCGATGAAGACGAGTTGCTGATATTGTAATCACTTCGGTGGATTGCCGTATTTGGTAGACTNTTCGTACTCGCAAAGGCGCCAGCTTCAATCTGAAATACGAGCATGCTTGATGTGACACCGAGAAACCTGTACGAGCATGGTAACTTTTCATTCCTAACGAGTCTNTTGAACACCAAAATGCCTCTTGGTCAGACAGCGGAGTGATACACATGGACAGCTGAAGGCGTCAAAATGGCGACTGGTTCCAAATGCAAGGGTATGGCCGTGTACACATACCCAGCGATAGTGCTTTTGGGCTCAGTCTAGCCACGCAGCACTTGCTACGTCTCAAAGATGGCTCGATTTTCATTGGTGCGCGCTAGAGCCTAGGGGTAGCCGTGCAGTGCTTGTTTGACAAGCACAAAGACTTCCTGATATTTGAGTCCCCGAAGTGGCTGATAGTACGTGGCTGGTGCAGGACATCGAAGGCTTGAAGAGCGGCTTGATATNGCTGCTGAGCATCGACGAACCACGCGGCCTTCCGGGGTCGACTACGGCCAGCCNTTCATGGATTTGGCAAACTACAAACCTTGCCCAGGAGGCGAACCACAGGCAGCNGGTAAAGAGAGCCGCAGCCGCGGCTCCAAAACTTGGATCGCAGACACTTTCGGGAGATTGTTGGCGGAAGACGTTTCTAAGCACAGACCACTTGTTGATGTTGTGACAGTTCAACGCAGGAGGAATGCTGTCGGCAGTCAAGAAAGGCAACGAGTCGCTGTCATCTGCGACGATGTGATAGAGATCAAGCAGCAGTGTTCCTTTGCAGTAGCACGTCCGGGTGCCTGCATGTTGACAAGCAGAAGATCTACGGTTCTCCATGGGGATGGATTGCGCGATGAAACTGCAGTGGATCCCCTCAACCTGAGCCAGATCATCCTTCTTGCTGCCGCTAAAACATGGACTAAAAGTCAAGTTGGGATTATACATGTGTAGTGGTGGCCCAGGACTTTTCTATTTCGTTCGAGTACGGCCTGCTTTTGTTGACTCTCTCTCTTTGCGTCGGGCTGTTCTTTCGTTCTCCTTCAGTGTCACTCGCTCTTATCCCGTTCTCGTCTTGTTTGAGGAAGCGACAACCCTTTACCTCGTTTGTCCTCGTATCCACTCAACAACGCCATTAAATCTCTTATCACCAAACAAATTCTTCCTGCCAAATCTGCTTCTTCCCAAAGCAGTTTGTTTTCCACCAAAATGCGCTCTTCTCTCAGCATTGCGTGCGGAATCGCATTCGCCGCAGTCGCCTCTGCTATTCCCACAATCTCGGTCAAGGGAAGCAAATTCTTCACTAGCGATGGCAACCAATACTTTGTCAGAGGTGAGCGATCTAACCTTTATATGTCGAGTTGTGGAAATCTAATGTTTTTATANGGTGTCGCTTACCAGCTTGTCCCCGACGACCCGCTTATCGACAACACCCAGTGCCAATTGGACGCATCATTGATGAAGACTCTGGGTGCTAATGCCATCCGTGTCTACCATGTGGACCCCACGGCTGATCACCAGGCCTGTATGAAGACTTTCGCAGACGCTGGAATCTACCTCTTTGTTGATCTCGACACTTTCACCACTCAGATCGAGCAGACCAGTCCCCAATGGAACCAGACTCAATTTGATGCATTCGCCAAGGTTATGGACGAATTCCAGCAGTTTGATAACACAGCTGGTTTCTTTGTCGGTAACGAGGTTCTCACTACTGGAAACGGCTCTGTTGCTGCTCCCTATGTCAAGGCTGCTGCTCGTGACATGAAGGCTTACCGCAACAGCAAGAACTACCGCAACATCCCTGTCGGTTACTCTGCTGCAGATATCTCTTCCCTCCGTCCCAACCTCCAGAACTACCTTGCTTGCGGTACCAACTCTTCGGACGCTTTGGACTTCTTCTCCCTCAACGCGTATGAATGGTAAGTTTCTCGGTTGGTTGATCTTAGAGTATAGTCCATGCTAACGATTTCTCAATAGNNGTGTGGCGAGAGCTCCTACCAAGTTTCTGGTTACGAGCAGTTGACTCAGAACATCACTGACTACAACATCCCCATCTTCTTCTCAGAGGTCGGATGCAACACTCCCAAGCCCAGAACATTCGATGACCAGGCTGCTATCTTCGGTCCTGAGATGTCGCCCTACTGGAGCGGTGTGATCATCTACGAGTAAGTCAATTTACCGGCAAGAGGATCTTTGAGTTGATTGCCACCCAATCTCATGAGATTGTGCTAATTGCTGTATTCAGGNTGGATTCAAGAAACCAACGATTATGGTTTGATCTCCTATGGTCCTCAGGTTTCTGCAACTGCAACTCAAGCCAATGTTGTTGATGGATTCACTCGTACTGGAACTCCCACGCCAATCTCGCCTGACTTTTACAACTTGAGCAACCAGTGGAAGACGCTTACTCCCTCAAGTATTTCCGAGGCTGCCTACACTCCTAGCAACTCTGCTCCTGAGTGCCCTGCCTACACTTCAGGTGCATGGGAGGTCAGCGGTAATGTCGCTCTTCCCACCATTGGTCAGACCTACGATGCTCAAGCCGCCAGCTCCACCTCGGGCGCAAGTGGCACTCAGACCGGCAGTGGTAGCCGTAGCACCGGCACCGGCAGCGCCACTGGTAGCAGCACTGGAACTGCTGCCAGCGCTAGCCACACTGGTATGGCCAGCCCTAGCAGAAAGATCGCTGGTATGAGCGTTGGCCTGGTCACCGTCATGCTCGGATTCATCTGGTGGTTGTAGAGTTTTCTCTGACTTGATCTGGTGTTATGGTTTGGATGCATTTGCGTGCGTGCTCAAGGATAGGTCTGTCCACAGATGGCGGAGTTTCGGCTACGTCCCTTTCAAGAACATATTATAATCTGTATAATACATTGCTACCAGTTCCAGCTTTATGCATGTTCTCCATTGCACAATATGTTCGCGTGAGTGTCTTGTTGCGATGCATCGAGGATATGTCACGACATCCAGAAGATGGAAAATGGAGACAGGGTTGTCCTGATAACATCTCTAACCAGGTACCACTTCCGCGTGTACTAAAGGATGTGACTTCGATTATACTTCAACTACAGCAGAGAGCAAAGTACACGCTATAGAAAGGCACAATCTCATTATAGACAACGGTGTGGGTAAAAGAGTTGACAAGGAAGTACCTCTCCAGTGCATAGCAGCTTATTTCACCTATACCTATATTCTTTTGGTTTCGGCCGCAAAGTCCGAAGATTACAGTTGGACACCCTACCCACGAGTATAGAGATAATGGGGACGTGAACCGATCAAGTGTGCCTGTATTTTCTGCTTGTGAAATTGCAACAGCTCATGCAAAACCGCAGGCCTCAGCTGATAGAACAGCCTTCTACTGAACTTATGATCATGGGGAATGACAGACGAAGCATCGAGAAGGACATGGATGCAAATTTCTGTGTTCACATCATATCGGATGGTGGTTGGTTATTGCTTCTCAGCCTCCGACAACAAGTCTCACGAAGGAAAGCAAATCACCAAGTGCGGAAGATAGGAAGAGATTGTTTGTTAACGTGGTTTTGGGTATCGTAAAAAAAGGTCCGAGGGGCTTATTTGGGTTCTAGGTACTAGCTCATCAGAGTTGCTTGACACTCCCCCTCGACGAGTGTGGTCAAGAAAGTCTAGTCCTCCCTTACATGATTGTGCGTATACATGAGTCTTTCATTGGATGGGGTACGTGATGGATGGTGATGACGATGATGTTGGATGGGATGTATGATGAGTGGGGGTATGGTGTCATGGATCGGTGTATTGTGGGTGTAGGATATGGGGGATGGTGCGTAGGGCATGCAATTTTGTTCATTAAAAGCGCTCTGCATCCTGTGCACCTTTCTCCGAAACTCAGTCGTCTTCTTCCTCCTCCTTGCTCTTCTGCAACTTAAACGTGGCCCCTAGTCTGCTGTGCAGTTGTTTGAAGTGGTGCATGTGCCCGCCTCATGTGTCAAGTGCGGGCTGGAGCCTGTAAGGAAGGAGTCCGATTGTCGATGCTCTTCTCATCGTCGTCTCTGCGCCGAGTTTAGATAGGAGGCATTGATATCGACGGAGTCTCGGGGTGCGCTAAGAAAACTTCATTCCAAGCAGAAGTGTGTCGAGAGTCTAGTCATTCGCCTGCTATACCTCCTAAGACATTTGGACGTTGGCAGCAGCGGCTACAAAGATTTTGGTTAGCGGTGGGATTCTGTTAAGGTACTTGGGGTTGTCAATTACCAGATTGGCGCTTGATCTGCTCGCGAGCCCAGCGGGCGGTGTCTTGGGTGCGTTGAGAGTATTCCTTGTTGGCGCGAACCTCGCGAGCCATGCTGGTGACCCACTGCTGGCTGAAAGATGCACTGTACTCGCCGTTAGGGAAGGTCTCGGACAGGTCACCAATGACACCCATGCTGGTGCGAAGCAGAGCCTCGGAGCGGTTGGGGTCTTGGTAGATGGTCTGCAAGAGGCTAAAGACGGACTCGACGTAAGGAGCCAAGAGTTNGACCTATAAACCAATTAGCGCCACAGAAGCAGAGAGAAGCTGCCATTTACACTTACTCTTGCCACCAGTTCTCATGGCCATCAAAGCACCAGACCAGGCATCCATAATGCCTTCGCGGAGAGTGACGACATACTCAAGCATCTCGAAGGAAGTGTCGGGCACATTGATCGAGGCGGCCTGCTGCAGGACCTGTGCGACGACAGAAAGGTAGGTCTCGAAGGCACCGCCGATTGCCTGAGCGATGTCACCGAAGCACTGGAGGATGGCCGGCTTGAATTGGTTGCCGAGCGTCGAGCTCTGTCAAAATTCGTCAGAAAAGTAGTGGAACTCCGGATGATTCGCTAGACTTACGCGAAGGTCGTTGAGAAGGTTATTCATCAGAGCATCGCAGTACGGCTGGATCTTCTCGTTCAAAGCACGCGAGATGTCGCTGACAAGACCAATGGCCATGGCACAGATGGCAGGCTCCTCCTGGTTGGCGAGAGCAGTGTACAGGAAGGGGGCGAAGGCCTCCATGTACTTGGCAAAGTCCTCCTCGACGGCACTGGCGAGAGCACCGACAGCAGCAAAGATGGTGTCAGGGACCGAGGACTTGGGGCCAACAGTGTTGAGCAGTTGGAGCATGAGCTGCATGATGCGGTCGGCTTGAGGCTTGATCTCGGTCTCGAGACGCTGGATGATGGCAATCACGACACTGGTCAAACTAGTCTGCATCTCTTCGAGCATGAGCTTATCTTCAACACTGACAACCTGCTGGCTCATAGGGATGGTAGACTCCAGACGCTCGAGGATGACGTTGGTAAGGTGGCCGACGATAGGGAGAGAGTCGTTGGCCGAGTTGGTGACGAATGCGTTGAGGACCTCGTAAGCGGCAGTGCGGAGCTGGTGGTCGGCATCGGTTCTNNACATGACACGTCAGTTTAGTCTCAAGACACAAGCGCACTCGTCGGCATACCTCTCGGTGACCTGCAGCAGGTGGGTGACGCTGTTCTGGAAGTGAGCAGACAGAGCGTTCTCCTGGCAACCCGGCTCTCCAGCAAAGCGGTCGGCAAGGTTCATCAAAGCCCAGCAGCAGGACGAGGCCATCTTAGGGTGGCTAGACAGGCCGTTGAAGAGCGAGCTGATCAAGGGCTGAAGGTGTGTGCTAGGGTCGATCGAGTCGGAGCATGTCTCGCAGATACGGCCCAGAGCGTAAGCAACCGAATCTCTAACTTGGATGACTGGGTCTTCCATCATGCCGATCATGACAGGGAGAGCTTGTTTGATCAGGGGATCAAGGACCTTCTCGTCAGGTCCTTCCATGATGGCACCGAAAGCAGAGACGGCTGCATCTCTGTAGTGCCAGTCCTCGGAGCGGAGGTGCTTCTCGACGAATTGAAGAACAGCGGGCACAATAACACCGCCGACCGTCTGGGCCCAGAGCTGCAGACATTGGTAAGCAGCGCGAGAGATGTTGTACTCATCGTCAGCAGCATCCTCGTCCTGCTTGGCGAGCAGCTCGAGCAGAACGGGCACCACCTCGGGAGTAGCGATGCGGGCAAAGTTGAAGTACTCGCGCATTTCTGTGGAACCCTCAGCAGTAGCCTGTTTCCTAGTCAGTATTGTTTACAACAATCCCCTTGTTCGGTCGCGTACCTGAGAGTTGTCATCCTCGATAGAGATCTCCTCCTCGCAGACGGTGCACCAGAACTCAACGGCAAGCTTGGCGACATCCTCCTCGTCATTCTTCATGCCTTGGATGGTCAAGCCGAAGAGGGCCTTCTCCATGTAGAAACGCATCTTGTCGTAGTAAAGACCCATGATTCTGTTCAAGCAGCCGTATGCACCCTGCTGGATGCGGTTGTCGTCGGCCTGAGTGGCCTCACAGATGACCTGCATGATGTAGTTACGCTCGCCCTCGTTTTCGAAGTTGGTGCGGACAAATTCGAGCGAGTCTCCCAAAGCAGTGATGGCGGCATTTCTGACATCAGCGTTGGGCTCCTCCTTTCTTGCGCCCTGGACGACAGCGGTGAGGATGGCGTTGGAGTGCTGAGAGAGACTATCTCTAAGGTCCTGGTCCTCAGCTTCGCAAATGAAGCCAATAGTGGTGAGGGATGCCTGCTTTTGGTGGTCGGCACCCTCGCCAACATTCTGCACCAGAGTAGGCATGAGCTCGGGCCATTGCTCGCGGGGAATCTCGATGGCGGCGATTGAGGCGATGAATTGAGCTGCTGACTGTCCTGATCTGGAGTCGTTTGACTTTAGTGTTTGGAGGGCAAGAGCCTTGATTGATTGCTTGACGTTGGGGTCGACTTGGTTGATCCATCGGTCCTGGACTTCGCGGAGGCGGGTGTATTCACGGGCGGAGAAGGAGTTTTTCAATGCGAGACCGGCGGCCATACGCACTTGAGGTTGTGCTTGCTCGTTGGCGAGTTCTTGTGATAGATGGGTGAGGTATCCAGACTAATCATGCAAACGTCAGCACGTGCCCGGAAGGCTGTGAAGAGACTGTCGGATACGTACGAAGTTGGCCTCTGCGGCCTGGTTGAGCTGCGCTTCAGCAGCAGTTCTGACTTGGGTGTNCTGTTGGCTGTCAGCGACCTGTCAAACACCTGTGCAAGACGACCAGCGCAGTCGAGGAATGGACGTACCAGGCGACAGAGTCGCCGAAAGCAACGCTGAGGCATCCATGATATGCGCAATTCGTGACAAGTAAAGGTGTGCAAGGAAAAGAATTAAACAGGCTGACCCGGCCTGACTACAAGAGCGTCGGAGATAGGGAAGGAAGGAGTGTGTTTGAAGGTCGTGGAGGAAACGATTAAGGGGGAGTGAGTGCTTTTGCTGCTTCACAGTGGTCGGAAGCTGGAATGGAAAAGGCCGGGCTGCAAGTGGAACCCTGGGAGTCTGGGACACGACCAACAGCCCGCTTCAGAGTGTCTTCACTCGATTCTTCCCAAACTCAGGAACCAGTGCATTTGACTCGCTCTTTGCACTTCTTTGTCTCATTCTACGATATCATATCTATGTAATTCTAGTCGTTGCTCGACTGCCGTGCTCCAAAAACAAAAAACATGTTCCTCAAATGTCTGTCTGCTGTTCATTCAGACAACTTCGCACCTTCCTTAGAATGGAAAGGAACGCTGTACGTCACCGAAAAAGCCAAGACAAAAATGAAGGAAAGCATAGTGACACCTTCACCTCTTTTCACCAGCTTCATCGTTTGATCTGAATAGAAATGTAGACAACTACACTGTATAGCCTACCGTTCTCAAAACGTCCTGTTACCATCATTATCCAGGGTCTCTATACTGCTGTTGCTGGAGGTCTTCTCCCATCTGAGGTCGTCGCTGAGCGGACCCCTCATGGCAGGGCTTGCTGTAAACAATGGCACTGACCATAAACAGTGGTCCGGCCTCAAGTCACCACCATCATTAGCAAACTATTTCGCTCGGCCCTTTGCTATTTAGTTCTAATTCATCGAGCTTGCTTTCCAGATTGGCACGACATGCCAATTTTTTTCTTTTGAGTAGTGGGGCAGCGAGAAAGTTTGGCCGTAGACCCGTCTTCGTCTCAGCCACTTTCTGTCGCCAGGGCAATGACTGGATCAAAAGGCATAACATGTCATACTGTTCTGAAACATCTTATACATGCTAATATGCCACGGTATACGATGAGCTCCTTTGCATATGGAGGCAGTACGTATAGGTTTGAACTTGTCCTCCAGATGCCCATCGTACTTCTGTCAGCTATGTCTAGTGCGCTGACACTACTGCTCGTCGCAGGGCGATGTCAATATCCTTGCGTCGATATCCTGGTGCTCGCATCAAGCAGGTGCCTGACAAACACATCTNCTGTAATTCGGGTTAACTTAGATCAGTTCGATGAAGACAGGGATGCTTACGCTCAACAAACTTCCCAATATCAATCGTGAAGCGAGACTTCCGCACTGGCTGGAAGGCATAGGTGTAGATGTTTCCTGTCAACGGCATGGTTTCATAATGTTGACCAGCAAGAGGAATTGTCGGCCTTCGCGCGTCAATCTGGTGCCCAAAGTTCGTCTGCATCTCAGGGTAAGACCTCCGAGGGGCTAGGTTGTCTACATCTGGAGGCATGTACCCTACGCTTGGAAGACCAGGGTAATATGCAGACTGGCTCGGACGAGCGACAGGTTCCGAGGTGGCCAAGTTCTGCACGAACGCTGTCATCGGATCCATAAGGGGAGAGCCTGCGGATGATTGTGGGCTGATAGACTCTTCTTCTGGCAGCTCAATCTCCGCATAGGTCGCGCTGGGATCTAAATGAATGCCTTTCTCCGCAAGGTAACCCTCGACGTCGTATGCGTCGAACCATTCACCATNCCTTACGCACCATTAGCTTTGGACGTTTAATTCCATGTGCGTTTGAAAGAGACTCACCATGCCCATGACTCCGCGCAGTAACATCTCTGCCGTTAGCGCCTCTTCGATGGTAGATCCACCGATCTTATGGGGCCCCACTGTGGTCACAGCCCAAGAGGTTGGAGATTGATAACTAAGACCTCCCTCTTCGGGCGGTCTAGGGTAATGGGTACCGGCACCACCGACATGAATATATGTAACACCCCAGTTCGAGAGTGGTTCTCTCGTGCTTCGACTCAAAGTTGATTGCAGACTGTACTTGACTCGATCAACGGTGCCAGCAGCCTTGAGCGTCAACTTGAAAACGTTGTTGAACAGAACGGGAACTCGGGTGGGATCGCAAGCAAGTCGATAGGCATACTCGCAACTCGCCCGGTGAAGCCGTCTAGCGAATGTTCTCTCGAATGAACTGTAAGACGTCGGGATACCTAGGGACCGTAGCATAGACGTGGAGACAGTATTGTCATCAATGCTGTGGGGAACGTTTGTTGCGTCGACAGAAGCAGTGAGTGGACTCCAGATAGTCTGCTTGTCCTTGGTACGGGGCGAGATGTCGCTTGCGTCCGTCGTCAGAGGCATGTCCTTCTCTTTGATGCTCGTAGTTGCGATGGGTTCGGTTGTGAAAGGACTCATCTCTGGAGATCCCTTCAAACTCAGCGAGTCAGCTCGGCTGTGACCAGAGTACATCTGGCCAATGTTCTGAAGATCAGCTAGCATAGTGGGTGGAACATTGGCGGCAGAACACTTTTGGGAAAAGTTGCTGAAAGTCTGGTTCATCGACTCGATGGTAGATTGTAGTTCTTGGACTTGTTTACGGAGCTCATTGATAGTGTCCTCCTTTCTCTGTCGATAGGCTCTTTGAGCCAGACGGATCTGGGATCTTCGTTTCTGTGCAAGTCAGTTGATTGTCTGTGTGATAAGATGAGGCGGCGCTGTCGTGTCAACATTGGTATGGTGACGAGTCAACCAGGTCTTTTTATTTTTTTTTCTTTCTTGTCTTTCGTTCGTGCACACAACGAATAAAGTACTACATCAGCAGTCGACTCGTCTTGTGTGTCTAATCGAGGCCTTCCTCTTTTCTTGTTCTCATCGTTATTGGAATCAGACTCATCCCGTGATCGTTTCGACTTGGATTTCTTCTCAGGCTGAGTTGAGTCGATCCGAAGTGCTGACATGCTTGTGGTATACCCTGACAAGCCGATTCAGACCAGTGGACCCTCTTGGTTCAAGTTCAGATTCAGGTTTTTGCTGAAGCCTTGAGACGACGTCCGAGCGCCGTAGAGTCTGAATGTATGCGCTGTATAGACCGATGCCACGTTCGCACTCAGGACAGAGGAACTCGACGATACAGAGAGAATGCCTGGCGCAATTTATTGATTAGGCTTTGAATATGGTGCAGAAGGGAGAGTATCAGTAATCCCAGGTTGGGGAAGTGATGGCTGTCCGGTCCGACCGCGACCGTTGTGGCGGGGCGAAGCTGACAGGCGCCAAGAATGTCCTTCTTGCTTGTCTCACTCAACATCATCATGACCGAGGTCCACCGTCCTTACACATGCGTTGCCCTCCAACCCGTCTGTCTACACAACGAATGGACACCACTGGCACACGTTTGACCTGATCTTGAGGCCAGAGTAAACTCAAGCTGCTCAGGATACATTCGTCTGACCATGTCTTTGCAGTGCGCTGCTCGTCGCAGAGTCTTGCCTTGTGTTGACCACTGCTTCGCAAACTCGAAACTCCGCAAGGTTTGTCCAACATAACAGGTGCTGAGGACATATATAGCTATGCTCCAGGATCAATCCTCTACCTTGAACGCGGACGTGTGTCCGGCCTCCAATCTTGGTCTCGCAAAATCAATCTATTTGGTATTTGGAAGAGAAGAACGATATATCATTCCGATACCCATCGACGATTCGCTCAACGACAACACATCAAGCAGGTAAATACTGGCCAGAGACTAATATAGTCTGAATCGATCACTCGGAACCTCGGGTCTTCTTTCGTAGGTCAAGGGATGTAAGGCAAAGTGTAGACCATGGATCGGGTCAATGAGGAAACTCCATATCACATGCAACGTCAACAGTCTTCACGACAACAGGAACTATCAAGATTCTGCATGGAGGACGAGGGAGGCTTCGACATCAAGGAAAATCTCCATCATCACGAGTCCTCCAAAGATCGGGAACTTCATGAGAATGACGAGACCAAAGGAACACTACGATAACAAGACCTACTGCAATGTTGAGCAGGCAACACACAATGATCTTCTAGAAGATACTGTCTACGATGTCTCTGGGGATCCCAAGTCTTGCACAACTCTTCGCTTTCACCACCGTGTCTTGGAGCCTTATTCAACCGTGAGAGATTTGTCTTCCTTATCTGAAAGTGCATGCCATGTCGTAAGGATAGAGTGTTTCATGTCCACCACCGAATTGCATTCTTGGTACTCAATATGCATGTCTTATCTCGCGGGAAGCTGGCTGCAATGTGTTTCGTTTGTCGTATTGCTTGAAGGTCTCGGGCGTGCACATCTGGTTGATTACATCCTTGCCATCCTCCTACTATAAGATGCGAAGCTGGGACTCCGAGCGGTCAACTCTTCTGCTCCTGAATCACAGCCAAACACAAAGCATCGGAGGGCAGTCTCATCATACATCCGCATCATCATCATCATCATCATCATCATGGTTTTCGTAAGCAAGCTTTCAATCGGCACAACCATCGAGTCGTTTAGCGACCACGAGCTCAAGTACAAGATCAAGAAGCGCATTGGAGGGGGCAGTTTCGGTGCCGTGTTTGAGGTCTAAAGACTCAGGGACCAGAGAGTTTTCGCCATGAAGGTCGTTCCTACGACTGGTTCCCATCGTGAACAACCCAACGAAGTCATCTTTCGTGCAGAGGCTACACGACTCATCCAAGCTCAGACCCANCCCCATATCATGGAGCTCTTGGACCTCCTGTACTTCGAGAATCTGGCGGAAGGCGGCCTCATTCAGCAATTCGCTAGCGAAGGCAACCTTGAGGACCTTCACTATCAACTTCCCAAGAGCCAACATGTGATGCTGTCGTAGCTCGTGACCTACGAGATGACCGAAGCTCTTCATCACATCCACTCTCTCCTACCAGCGATCGTTCACAGAGACATCAAACCCGACAACATCCTGGTCTTCCTGGCCGGCACCAGGCGCAAGCCACATTACCTCCTGAAGCTCGCAGACTTCGGCATCTCCAAAACTGTCGACGATGACGATGATCCAAAACTTCCTTATGAGCGAATGTCCGGACGCGCTTTCGAGCCTTACAGAGCTCCCGAGACTGCAAAGGAACTTGGAGATATTCACACTAGAGGCTTCGAAAGCAGAGCAGACATCTGGTCTCTCGGAGTCGTCCTGTTGGAAATCCTCGATACTGCTGTCAGCAACTTCATGGTCGCACCCACTCGCTGCAACATTCCCACGCAAGCTCTTCCTCTGATCAAAGCCATGCTGATACAGGATCCTTCGAAGCGTGCATCGGCTGGAGAGTGTAAGAGACACCTCTGGTACAGAGAAGGAGCCAGCGCAGTTGTTCACAAGGTCGCTAGCGCCTCCCACGGAAAGGATGGTCTTGGTGAGAGTATGAAGCATCTGAGCATTGAGTAATCTGTGTGATCGACTTCCACACAGCACACGGCCTCCCCATCTGATCTTGGATGATGGGTATCGCAGAGACGAAAGGAATCAACATGGTTACGCGCGCAACACGATCGGAGTATCATTATCACGAACAATAGATAGCATGGATGAGATTTGGAGTTACAGTTTGATATCACAATCCAAGATATTATTTCCCCCTCTTGCTTCAGTATATTTTTTGTCAGACACCATCCATCAGCGTGTCAGATAGGTTCGTCCTCGTCGCAATTTCCTCAAGTCACGGCTACTTCGTCCTTTCTAGCCAAGCGACTGCCTTTCGAGAAGAGTCTGAATATTATTCCTTTTCGGCGGCGCGGATTCTTGACTTTCTGTTGTGCAGGGAAGGAGTGTCTTGTTTCCTTGAGATTGTATAACAAACTCCTTCCTTGGAGCAGAACATAATGAGAGACAGCCATCATGCAACTAAGTCAGTATCCTTACGCATCGTCCCCGTGTGCTAAAGATAGTCACAGTTGTAGCTGCCGGATTGCACAATATCTTCGCGAAGACTATGGTCTCCATTGAGATAACCTTAATGAAGGCTATCTCAATGGCCAGACCTGTATTCATGTCAAAACTGTGCATTTCGACAGCTAGAATTATAACAACCCTTGTAGCTCGGAATGGAGAAGGGGTCAGTTGTAAATTGTGACCATCTTTAGCACATGGGGAGGATAGATCTAAACACAACATGTAGATGCAGCAATAGAGGTTACAGGCAACTTTGCTTGGCAAACTCACGAGGACGAAGAGAAATAGTTTGAAACGTAAAAGAGGAATGTACAATGTATATTTTGATTAAATGGTCATGTCTCATATCTTTTGTGTGGCACATTTATTAGAGCTTGGAGATCTCCAGGACGGCCTTGCCGAAGTTCTTGCCCGAGAACAGGCCAAGAAGGCCCTCAGCGGCGTTGTCAATGCCCTCAGTGACACTGAACTGGGGCTTGTAGGTGCCCTCGTGAATCCACTTCTGGACGTTCTTCTGGTGGTCGACGAAGTACTTGGGACCCATGCCTGCGTCACCAACAATGAAGCCCTGGACCTTCAGGCGCTTGGCGACGATCTGCATGAGGTTGCGGATGGGGTATTGCTCGCCAGGAGCAGTGTTGTATTGCGAGATCATACCGCAGCAGATGATGCGACCGAAGTCGTTCATGGCGTTGATTGCGGCCTCGAGGTGCTCACCACCGACGTTCTCGTAGTAGATGTCGACACCGTTGGGAGCAAGTCTGGCAAGGGCATCGGCAGGCTTCTCATTCTTGTAGTTGAAGGCGCCATCGAAGCCAAGGTCGTTGGTGATGTAGTCCTTCTTCTTGTCGTCACCGACGGAGCCGATGACCTTCAGGCCCTCGTGCTTAGCGAGCTGGCCAACGAGCTGGCCAACGGCACCAGATGCGGCACTGATGAAGATGGTCTCGCCCTTCTTGGGCTCACCAATAGCGTAGAAGCTCGAGTAGGCGGTAAGACCGGGCATGCCCAGGGCGCCAACGAAGAGCTTGGGGTCGAGGTTGTAGGGGTTCTCGAGTTTGCGAGCAGAAGCAGCCTGGTCCTTGGAGACGACGCTGTACTCAGCAGTGTCTTGCATCATAACAACGACATCACCAGCCTGGAACTTGTCGTTGTCGGACTTGAGGACGGTCGAGATACCAGAGTTGGTGATGGGCTTGTCGAGGGCGAAAGGAGCGGAGTAGGACTTGGTGTTGGCATCGCGCATACGGCCACGCTGGTAAGGGTCGAAGCTGATGTAGTGGTTCTTGACGGTGAAGCCACCTTGAGGAGGGGCCTGGTCGACATCGAACTCGGTCGACTCGATGGTCAAGTGCTCGCCGGGAACGGGGAGGCCCTGAGGGACCTTCTTGAAGATCAAAGCCTTGTTCTGAACCATTTTGTATGTGTAGAGCGTAGGAGGATAAGAATGCAGTGAGAATGAGAGGATAGCAGGACAGAAGACGAGAGGGGACTACTTTTTAACAAGAGAGGGGAGCTCAATCGAGATGACGAAATGGCCGACAAGGCCACCTAAATGAGCTTATAAAGCAGCTCCTTGAGAAATTTCATCGTACCCGACTGATGCCTCGGTCTCAGCAATAGCATAGAAGCTCGCTTGATCTCGCATCTTATTTGACTGCTTTGTAATCCTCGATGGCGTGTGTCATGTCAATCTCTCCTCCGAAACGGAGAGAAGGCGAGCCTTGTCGTTTTCAGGGTCTTTCTTATAAGCTCTCGGCGTCTTTGCCAGCTCATACCGAGCATGACCAGCAACGATTGAATATGTACAGGTCGCTCGAGCAGCCGGAGTACACTGTTTCTGACATCTCCGAGTCTGCTATTTCGATGATACCAGCATCTGACAGCGCTCAAAACAATCAAATATCTCAATTGCAGGTCTGTCGTCGAACTGGCATAAAGACATGCTTTCGTTAGTCGGCTGTTTTTCTCAAGGTAGAAACTCGCTTAAAAATTCCCTATATGGACAAACATGCGAATCTTTCCAAAATGCTTCCAGAGCACTCTTGACCGACATCAATCTACATACCCATCACGCGGCACCTTACATCCGACAAGGGGCCAATCATCGAATCTAACATGTCTCCTTTTGTTGATCCAGTGGCACAATTGCTCAAGAATGCTCCTGCCTTGATCTTGGATGGCGCGCTTGCAACAGAGCTCGAAACCCGAGGACTCGATCTCAGCTCAAAATTATGGTCTGCCAAAGCTTTGGAAGAAACACCCGAAGCCATCTATGGAGTGCATCTCGACTACTTCAAGGCTGGTGCTGATATCGCCATTACTGCAAGCTATCAAGCTACCCCACTCGGTCTATCACAACACCTGGGAATGGGCCTTGAGCAGTCCCAGAAGCTCATCCGTCGTAGCGTGGAGCTCGCTCAACAAGCTCGTGACACTGCTCTCCAAGAGGAGCATCAGAAGGACCCTTCGATCCAGCCGAGGAAGCTTCTAATTGCGGGAAGCGTCGGACCTTACGGTGCTTTCCTTGCCAACGGAAGTGAATACAGGGGTGATTACCACCTGTCAAACGAGGAATTCAAAGACTTCCACAGACCTCGTATTGAAGCTCTGGTGGCAGCCAACGTGGACATCCTGGCTTATGAGACCATCCCATCCTTGCCGGAAATTAAGGCTTTGATCGAACTGCTCGAGACTGATTTCCCAAACACATCAGCGTGGCTGGGCGTGACACTGAGAGAGTCAGATGCGTCTTTGCTGAGCGATGGGTCTCCAATGTCCGAGGTCGTCAATTTGGTCAACGCTTGCCGTCAAATTGTTTCTGTAGGCGTCAACTGCATCCCTGAGCAGAATGTGTCCGCAGCTCTGGATTACATCAAGCCTCTGACCGACAAGCCCCTTATTGTGTATCCGAACTCTGGTGAGACCTGGAACGCAGAAGCCCGGATGTGGAATGGTCCGCGTGTGGAAGGCAAGGAACATGCTGAACTGGTTCGAGAATGGTTTGGCAAGGGCGCCAGACTGATCGGAGGATGTTGTCGCACTGGTCCCAAGGACATTCAGAACACCCGCGATACTATCGTCTCTCCCTAAACGAGACATGTGACTGGACTCGGTTTATCACCACATAGTCTGCTATCTCGGCAAGAAATCTCACCCAGCTCTGACGAATGACAACGAAGATGCTGGACGATCCCTCATCACACTTGTGTATTCGATTTGAAAGTCTCTGGACATTGTGAAATATCAGACGGATTGTCGATCACAACCATGAAACCAGTTTGCGGAGCGGTTTCAAAATCCTCGACGTCGGAAAATCAAAGCACCAGATACCACGATCTTTCCTGTCGATGCGATCATACAACTCAACCATGCCTATGACCACAGTCTGACTTTTTTCGCGTGCTGGTTTGATGTATGAGCATCGTCGTTGCCTTGACTTGGTTTGCGGAGGACAGCGGTCTTATTGCCAACTGGTAAAGAACATATGTATACTCAGAGACCAAATAACCTCGCAGACTGCCGCAATGCAAGCATCGTGTGTCAATGAATCAGATTTTGGTCGTGATTTTCCAATCTCTGTGTGCTCAAGACTCTGAAACTCTCATGCCGCTACTCTCTTGTCTGCCTCATGCAAGTTTAATTCTTGTGTACTTGATATGAGTTGTAGAAACTGTTTCTCGACATTGTTGACTATTTTACAAACAAAGAACAAGAACTAGATTTAAAGTCGCACCTTTCGTACAATTCGTGAATGAAACCAAAGCCCCCTAGACACCACTGCTAATGGTTCTGGAGTAGCGGTATCTAGGGTCGTGGTCTGCGACCAAGCCACCAAGCGGTTCATCACCACCTGCAGCTAGAGGAGCATAGAGCTCCTCATTTGTTGCCATAGCCGGACTTTCCAATCTCGGCTCATTGGCAACGCTGTTCATTCTGGATTGGTGGACACCGGCACGACCAAGGTAGCTGAAACGACCGAGCTGGCTTCCAGTGGTCACAGCCTGAGGTCTTCGAACAACAGCGGTCTCTCCTGAGCTGGTAGAGCCCGTGTGTTGATGTGAGTTTGAGCGGAATCCGGTACCGTACATGGCGGTGTCTTCACCAGAGTTGCGACGGCCTTGACCATTGGCCACAACCGCACCATCTGGTCCGCCCTTTTCGGTCACGATTTGATTGGTCTGGAGTTCGTTTGCGACGTGGTGAGCATCGGTTTCGTTGATACCAGCAGCCATCAGCAAATTCTTTCTCTTCTCGACCTTGGCTGCATGATCCATATCTTGTCCAGGGTTTGCCTTGGGATGTGTTAGTCACTCTTGGAAAAGTTATAGTGAGCAAGAGACACAACTTACAGTCTCGTATTCCAGGATTTTAATGAATTTATAGAAACCGGCCGCGACGATGGAGCCTAGGATTGGGCCCTATAATACAATTAGCATGACCTCACAGAATCGGACAGGGGACGTTTTACAAGCCAGTATATCCAGTCTGAAGGCCAGGAAAGTCAGCGATGTGTTCAATTTGTTACGTGAAAGTCGATGGTTTGGGGTTTGGGGATGGGTGGGGGTCAACTTACGGTAGCCTTCAAAGTGGAGGTCTACGACAGCGGGTCCGAACGATCTAGCAGGATTGAGACTGCCGCCGGTGAAGAAAACTCCAGTGAGTTCGGCAATGAAAAGCGAAAGACCGATACCGACAGGGGCGATGAATGTACCCTTGTGCTTTTCGGCAGCCAACATGAAGATGGTAAAGACAAGCTGTGCGGTCAGGAACATCTCAATGAAAAGGCCCTGAACGATAGATGTACCTCCGCCGAGAGTAGTGCGGACGTTGAGGTATCCAGGGAACATGCATGATACTAGAGCAGCAGCGCTCATGCCACCTAGGATCTGGGTGATGAACAACAGAGCACCACGAACCCAGGGAAGTGCACCGATTAGACACATGCCAAAGGTAACAGCAGGGTTGAAGAGGCCACCACTGATACGGAAGAAAACCCAAGCATTGACAGCCAGAGAAAATCCGAAACTGAGAGCGATGTATTGTAGCTGTTGAGGATTGCTACCAACCTGCTCGATGGACTGGCCACTCGATGTGTTGACACTGTTTGCGACCTGAGCACCGGACAGAGCAAAGAAGAGGAAGAGCACAGTCCCGACAAATTCACCACACATGGCGATAAAGTGGTTTCTNNTTAATTTGTGTCAGTAGTCTAGACAAACACGTATCTAGCGCTTGAGCGTGTACCTGATGTTGTCCGGAATACGATGAATGAAGGGTAGACGTAGGTCCTGATCATCAAGATCATTGTTGGGGTTGGCAGCCTTGGTGAAAGGAATGGCTAGGCCTCGCCCACCAAGAGGTTGATTGATATTCATCCTGAACTACGATGAATAGAATATGAGATGGGAGAGTGAGTGGTAGAAACAACGAAAATTGAGGAGAAGTGTCTGGGAAGATAAGGAGAAGGTATCTGAAGGAGCTTCCTCGTCGTCATAGTCTTGTAGGCATAGACTTCAGCCCTCCACACATCCAGACAGACAGGAATGAACTGCTGAGGCATGACTAGAAGCAAGTCAAGCCACCTACTCTGAAATTAAGCAACGGGATCTGACGTCGATCTCACATAGAAAACGTCGAGACGGGACAAAGTTGAGGGAAAGATTGTCCAGAGCTGCCGCTTCTGTCATCACACTCTCTTGGACTTGCCAAAAGTCAGGATCTTGTAGGTGAGTGTTTGGAAAAGGGCACGTTTTGAGGCTGGTAGCACGTTGAGATCGGCAGAAGAAGGTTCCTTAGCGGGCGGAGTGACGAAATACAGACGAGAAATCGACAGTGGCTGAAATGCTCTAGCCACGATCTGAGGCTCATATTGCATGAGGATTCGAAGCAAAATTGTAGATCAAGATTCAGGCCGAGGAAGGCGAGCAGGTACAGTAAATCCCTCTCAACAGTATGTGCCATGTAGAGCGCGTAACGCATGTAGCTGTAAGAATGCATGATGCTACCAAGAAACAGATAGTGCCCACTGAGAAGGGTAACTTATCGACTCTCCGTGGTCACGCCTCTGCTCCCGAAAACAACTGTGCCATTTTATAGTGTACTCTTTGCTTTGCTATTGGTAGTCGATGGAAGTTGTAGAATTGACTCCGCGTAGCACGCCGCACGCGGGGACAATTGGAGGATTGACTTTTCCAAGAAAGTGCGTCAAAAGCTGAAATTCGTCGGAGCATTTGTCCTCGACTTTGCGGACGGCACCGAGCTGCATCAGCCACGGCCAGACTTGATGGCATCGAGATCGGTCTGAACAGTTGCAACAAGATGGTGGGTCGCAGAGTCGCAGGATCAAGCTGGCAAGGTTGAACAAGTTAGTCGCGTAAGTTGATCAGAAGATGCTCGGGAGAGCAGCAAAGCATTCTCAATTTTGCAAAAGAAAAGAGTGGTATGAGAGTTGGACGACACATAGAAATTAATAGAGAGGCCGTTGCGGCTCCCCAGGATGATTATGCACTAAGAGAGTCTACAACGCACAGAATAGGAGACAGTCCTTAGAAAGGGCATGGTGAGACATACTTGTATGTGCAAATATGATTCTTGTCGAGACAGAGGGAAAATGAAGTCATGGAGCCTACCGGTGTACTCAAGACCGTCGCATTATGGCCTTTGAGATAAATAATACTTTCTTCCATACGCAGGAGTAGCCACAGGAAGACGCTGAAAAACGTTCTCCCTGTGGAAAGTCACCTTAGCTGAAGTATTGTGCATGGCCATGATAAGATCGCGAAATCGTTCAGCACGTAGAGGAGCGAGGTTGACTACTAAGAATAGGGTGGTAAAGTAGCGTCTCTAATATATTGATTGGGTCAATATATATGCAGGTCGGAGTTCCGAAGCCGAAAGGCTGTCTGGCGGATCGTATTTCGAAGTGTTTCGCCTCTCTACGCGCTCCAGATGCAGGGAATCGTTTGCACGTTCACGAAACGTCCATCAAGCCATGCAATTTAGAGGCCATGTACTGAATTGCGACAACCGCCATGGCTCCTGATTTGTAGCTTTTTTCCCCTCCTGTCTTCATACTGCTATCTTTCTGCGTCCGCTCTCTTTCCCCCTTCTCTCCTTTCTAGACAAGCTGCCGGATACCGACGATTACGACAACAATAGGCGCCACTCGGCAGGACCTTGTCGCCGCGTCTCCCGGAAGCCCGTCACAGTCAGCTGAGTCTGAGCAGGCATATGTACAAGAGCTAGGTATTTTGCTGGTCAAGCCTAGATATTCTTAGACAGTCGTGTCGACTTCGTTCCTTTGTCGCGCACTTCCTTTGTGTCGCAAACCACAACCATGGCGCCACAATATCTTCAAGTCTCACAAAGAGATGGCCGTCGCGACAGCAACTCGATCATCTCTCCCACTGGTCCGCCGCCCAAGACGGCTCTACATGGCTCGCCATCTACCGCATCCGACGGCATATCACCCCGCGCCTCTCCTCAAACGCAGTTCGCCAACTGGAACAACAACATGGGTCCCCGTACACCTCCCCAGCCTCTGTCGCAATCACAACACTTGGCTACAACGACTTTGAAAGTGGAGGGCATGACATGCGGCGCCTGCACCTCGGCTGTAGAATCTGGCTTCAAGGATGTTGGTGGTGTTGGCAGCGTCTCTGTCAGCTTGGTCATGGAGCGTGCTGTTGTCATGCATGACGCATCCATCATTTCCGCCGACCAGGTCCGCGAAATCATCGAAGACCGAGGATTCGATGCTACTGTCCTCAACACCGACTTGCCCGCATCAACACTGGATGATATTTTTGAAGAAGAGTCGGATCAAGACACCATCGGCCTTGGCATCACATCTGCCTCGTCTGGCCTGATGACCACAACCGTCAGTGTAGGCGGCATGACATGCGGCGCATGTACTTCTGCCGTCGAGGGCGCTTTCAAAAATCTTGCTGGAATCAAGAGCTTCAACATTTCCTTGCTGTCCGAAAGAGCCGTTATCGAGCACGACTCCAAGTTGATCAGCGCTGATACCATCGCCGAGACCATCGAAGACACTGGTTTTGATGCTGCAATCGTCGAATCAAAGCCTTCTGAGCCCGTACGGACCAAGATGCTACCTTCGGCCAGGAGACAGAGCAGGAAGAACGACGTACTCTTCACAACTATCGTTGCAATCGAAGGTATGACATGTGGCGCATGTACTTCTGCAGTAACAAGCGGCTTCAACGACGTCCCGGGCCTGTCGAAATTCGACATCAGTCTGCTTGCCGAAAGGGCTGTCATTCTGCACGATCCGACCAAACTTTCCCCCGAGAAGATTGTTGAAACTATCGAAGATTGTGGCTTTGATGCCAAGGTCTTGACTTCGCGCGAGGAAGGAGGCTCTCGTTCAAGGAGAGCAAGTAGCACTGTTGAATTGAAGCTGTTCGGTCTCCAAAATGCGGAAGCAGCTTCTGCTCTCGAGGCCACACTCAAAAAGCGAAAGGGAAGCACAGCTGTCAAGATTGATTTCAAAACTGGCAGGGCCTCGGTCGCTTATGATCCAACACAGACTGGACTTCGTGCTATTGTCGAATCGATTGAGAACGAAGGCCTCAATGCCTTGACTGCCGAGAACGACGACAACAACGCCCAGCTGGAGTCGCTCGCGAAGACCAAAGAGATCCAGGAATGGTCTAGGTCCTTGAAAGTGTCTCTTGTTTTCGCTATCCCAGTCTTCCTTACCAGCATGATATTTCCTATGTTCATTAAGCCTTTGGATTACGGAAGCATCAAACTTCCTCTGATACCTGGATTGTGGCTCGGAGACGTCGTTTGTCTTGTTCTAACCATACCAGTCCAGTTCGGTATTGGTAAGCGCTTCTACAAATCTGCCTACAAATCTCTCAAGCACGGCTCACCGACCATGGACGTGCTTGTTGTTTTGGGAACTTCAGCTGCATTTTTCTTCAGTTGCGCCGCTATGCTAGTCTCAATCTTTACACCGCCCCATTCGAGACCTGCCACAACATTCGATACCAGCACCATGCTTATCACCTTCATCATGCTTGGTCGTTTCCTTGAAAACAGAGCCAAAGGACAGACTTCGGCGGCTTTGTCTCGCCTGATGAGCTTAGCACCATCAACTGCTCTGATCTACACGGACCCAATAGCAGCACAAAAGGCCGCCGATGAGTGGGATGGCGACAACGAGAAGTCCGAGAAGAACTCGCCAAGTGGTGCACTTGAGGAGAAGACTGTTCCTACGGAATTGCTCGAAGTCGGCGACGTGGTCATTCTCAAGCCCGGCGACAAAGTCCCAGCTGACGGTACTGTTATTCGAGGCGATAGTTACGTCAACGAGAGCATGGTCACTGGAGAGGCGATGCCTATTCTGAAGACTAAAGGAAAGAACCTCATGGCAGGTACTGTCAATGGTGCAGGAAGACTCGATTTCCAGGTCACAAGAGCTGGTCGTGATACACAACTCAGCCAAATCGTCAGACTTGTCCAAGAAGCCCAGACCAGCCGTGCTCCTATTCAACGTATGGCTGATGTCGTCGCCGGTTACTTTGTCCCTATCATCATCACACTCGGACTGGCTACCTTCACGGCATGGATGATTTTGAGCCACGTCCTGCAAACACCACCCACTATTTTCACTAAGGATACCAGTGGTGGACCTTTGATGGTTTGCGTCAAGCTCTGTATTGCTGTCATTGTCTTCGCCTGTCCATGTGCGCTTGGTCTTGCAACCCCAACAGCTGTAATGGTCGGTACTGGAGTTGGAGCGGAGCAAGGCATTCTCATCAAAGGCGGTGCAACCTTGGAAACAGCCACGAAGGTGACTCATATTGTTCTCGACAAGACTGGCACCTTGACCATGGGCAAGATGAGTGTATCTCGATCAGACGTGCAAGGCGGCTGGACCGCCGACGCCGCTAAGCTTCGCCTCTGGTGGACAATTATCGGTCTTGCTGAGATGGGTAGTGAGCACCCTATTGCACGTGCAATCACGAACGCAGCCAAAACACATCTCGGTCTTGGATCAGATGGCACACTCGATGGCAGCGTAGGTGATTTCGTGTCTACTGTTGGTAAGGGTATCTCAGCTTCTGTAGAAGCAGCCATCTCGCCTGAACGCAGACGCTACAACGTTATGATTGGTAACACCTCATACTTGCGTTCTCAGGGCGTAGCAGTTCCTGAAGATGCGGACGACACCAACAATCTTGAAGCTAGCAGAGACGGAAATGCAGCCTCGAAGCAGCAGTCTGCTGGTGTTACAACCATCCACACTTCGATTGATAGGGTCTACACAGGCGCTCTATCACTTTCTGACACTCTCAAACCTTCGGCGCCTGCTGCAATCTCTGCTCTCCAGCGCATGGGCATCACCTGCTCGATCGTCACTGGTGATCAGGCCAGCACGGCTCACTACGTCGCCAGTCTTCTCAACATTCCCAAGCACAATGTCCACGCTGGCGTCCTTCCTAGCGGTAAACGCGAAATCGTGGAAGAGCTTCAAGCCCAAGGCATCATTGTGGCCATGGTAGGTGATGGTATCAACGACTCCCCTGCCCTTGCAACCGCGAACGTCGGTATATCGCTCGCCTCGGGTACGGATGTTGCTATCGAAGCTGCAGATGTCGTACTTATGCGCCCTGATCACCTTCTTGATATACCCGCTTCTCTCGCCTTGTCCCGTGCCATCTTCCGACGCATCAGAATGAATCTGATCTGGGCTTGTCTGTACAACGCTATCGGCTTACCTATTGCGATGGGTTTCTTCCTGCCTTGGGGTCTTTCGTTGCCTCCTATGGCTGCTGGTGCGGCAATGGCGTGTTCGAGTGTCACGGTTGTGGTATCAAGTCTCTTGCTCAAAAGATGGCAACCGCCGAGGTACATTAGAGATGCTGCTGCTAAAGAGGTTGGGGAGGCCGAGTTGTTCGCGGATGTTGGCACTGCGATTCAGAGCCGGAGTGTCAGTGATTGGATATATGGACTTGTTCGTGCTGTGAGAGGGAAACGCGGAGATGTCAATGCTGACAGAGGCGCTTACGTGCCTCTGCAGAGGTTCGAAGAGGTGTAGTAGCATCCTGAATATGATACCTGTTGTCTACTATCTTACTTATTTTCTTTCTGCATGTAAGAACGGCGGCGTCCCGCCCAAGCTTATGATTAGTGGAGGGAACGGATCAGATATACCAGGTTCGACCAATATTGGGCGGTTCCCATCGTTGTAGCTAGCTTTGTTATATATATATATCCTTCAACGAGATTCTGATAATAAGCCATATGTTTGTTCGATACACCTTCTTACCCAGCTCATTGAGGATTCGGTGACAGAAAGAGCAAGGACCAGATCAAGTGATTGATATGGGTTCGTTAGAATTTTGGCGAAAGGTCACGTGCGATAGTCACACCATATTGAGCGACCTATTTCAAAGGACGATCGCCCGTGACATTCGCAGTCTGCGTACAGATAGATGCCATGATTCCATGAACGATAGGCATTGTCGTCGTTCTTCGTGCTTTACACGCTTACAGGCAAGGACTGCTCTGGAGGTGCAGTTTCCTTGACAGTGTGACCTGCTTGAACGCGCTAGCCCGATCCGGCTAACCAAGCAGGTTGCGAGAAGTCGTCAAGGCATCAACGAGAACACATCGAGAATTGGATCAAGACCGGATGCTCAACTTCGAACTTGGATTTCGTCAGAAGCGTGCCTTCTGCGTCCGTAAGTCCTTCTGATGGGCCGAGATAGACCTTTCCACGTCGTGAGACTCGAACAAATGACTCCTGCAACCAAGATTCGCTCGGAAAAGTGGCCATCCACAGATTTGCCTGGAGACATTACTCGAGAACTGTACACGGTCTCACTGCTTCTGAGACATCACCGAGCTCGATGTTACATTCGGAATTGATGCAGAAACAACACAGCTTGTCTCGCATCCAATAGTGATGAAAACGTAGGCGTAAGCTCTGGCAAACAGTTTTGGAAACATAGAGACCAACAGATGATACTGGCTACATGAAACTCGGCTCTTTCGCTATCTATTGGGCGACGGTGTTGTACTGACCTTTTGTGTCCGCAGTCCAGTGCACCTGAAAGTTGGGAGGCTTCTGTGCCCTGTCAGAGGTACTGTCTATCGGGATTGGAATGTTGCTAACTCACGGAGAGCCTCGAGTTGTGCTTACAAGACATCAAAATACGAATATATCTGATGGCGAGCAAGAGGACATCAAACAGCATTTTATCTTGTTATTCGGTTCTGCAGTATCAAGTCTGGAAGATCACCTTGTCAACAGAGCATTGAGACTCTGCGCCGCGAGCTATTTGAGGGGAGATTGTCGCTTTGTCGTGTCATTCGTTATGTGCGTGCGTGGGACGGACTCGAAAGATGTCGCGTTGTGATGAAAGGAATCTCGAATATGGCGCGTGTGCTTGGTGAACAACGTCTTAGGAACGTAGTTGGCAGGCAGCCTTGGAGTTGTGGCCGAGGTCAATATACCGCCATGGTACGTCAAAGCTACCCAACCCGTTCGTTGTGTTCTCTCTCGCGTCGAGTTGTTGGCAGATTGACTTGAAAGAATGCGCGACAATCAGCTAGCGGCTAACGGGCTGATAACAGCAACCAGTACTAGGTTTGGACTCATGTCGTGCGTATCGAGTGGATGTAGTAGACATGTGCAGGGTCGTTGATCTGTCTGCGGGAGTTTCGAGTTGTTGGTGCACTTTGGTGTCATTCCAACCCGGTCCTTATGACTAGCTGCGAGATTGTGGACTCGATTATGTATATAGTCAGACGCGGAGTATACTGGCGCGAGAGTACCCTAGAAAGACGCAACAAGGGTGTGGTAATCTTACCTTCTGGTGGTGCTTGAAGATCTAGATCTTGCAAGACATGGCGATGACGGTTTTCTTGCAAGTACATGATTATACGTTCTGTCCATGGAGCTATTTCTAGTACGTGTAGATGGTTCGTGGAGCTAGCACCAGACAGAACACAAAGAGTTTCGTTGGAAAACTGAGACGGGCATAGATAGAGCTTGCACGTCTCTATCCAAAGTGAAAGGAACAGACAGACATACACATGGTCACAGCCATATTGAACTCTGTTCTATAACAACCTCTGTCTTGCTAGTCACCGATATAATTTGCTTGGTACAAGGCCAAAAGACCAAGGCCAGGAAGAAGGAGGTGTCAGCTGCGATTGTCAGCTGCAGCGAACGTGGCTCCAGAAGAAACACGGCCAGACTAGAGGCAATGAAAAGGGGGAGTAGTGGTACAAACGGTTGGATGAGAGATGGGAATATTTGATCGAACAGACAGAGCTCTTGGGCGGATTCGTATTCTCGGGCCAGAAATAGGGGCGGACCCTTGCTGCGTGGTTGCCCCTGGCTGGCGTTGATTCGTGCAGCGGCGGGGTGATTGATGGACTTGGAACAGCTGGTGCTTGCTTCATTTCATTCTCGTCCACTCTACTTTGACCTTGATTGCCTTCTAGATTCTGCTTCTTTTCTTCTTACCTCTGGTCCTCTCTAATACATATACTCTCTCTACTTTATAATGTCGTCGCTACAACTTCCTTCCCGCAGCAGGAGCCGCAACCCTGTGCCATCAACCAAAGCTGTCATCTTGGTGGGTCCAGCTATGTTTGAAGGTTGAATTCACATCTGCTAACGCAACTGCACANNGGTTGGAGGACCCAGCAGAGGTACTCGTTTCCGCCCGCTCTCGCTGGATGTGCCCAAGGTGAATTGATGCGATTCCTTGTTCACCTATGAATCCTTGGTCTGACCAGGTTGCGCCAAACAGCCTCTCTTCGAAGTCGCCGGCAAGCCCATCATCCAGCACTGCTTCGATGCTGTCACCAGAGTACCCGAGATCACCGAAGTTTTCCTCGTCGGCTACTACGACGAGACCGTCTTCCGCGACTTCATCAAGGACGCCCACCGCGCATACCCCCACATCTCCATCCGCTACCTGCGCGAATACACCGCCCTAGGCACTGCTGGTGGCCTGTACCACTTCCGTGATGCCATTCTCAAGGGCCGCCCCGATCGCTTCTTCGTCCTCAACGCCGATGTCTGCTGCTCCTTCCCTCTAGGCGAGATGCTGCGTCTGTTCGAAGAGAAGGACGCCGAGGCCGTCATCTTGGGAACACGCGTCTCTAACGAGGCTGCCACAAACTTCGGATGCATTGTCAGCGATACCCACACCAAGCGTGTTCTCCACTATGTCGAGAAGCCCGAGGGCCACATTAGCAACCTGATCAACTGCGGTGTCTACCTCTTTAGCACCGAGTGCATCTTCCCCAGCATCAAGACTGCCATCAAGCGTCGCAGCGACCGTCCCCGTCTGTTGTCCTACCCCTCGTCCGAGGCCCTGGACAGCCGCGACTTCTCGCTCAACAACGCCGACGAGGATGAAGATGACGAGAACCGCAAGAACGAGGTCATCCGCCTCGAGCAAGACATTCTCTCGGATCTGGCAGACAGCTCAAAGTTCTTCGTCCTCGAGACAACCGACTTCTGGCGCCAGATCAAGACTGCCGGTTCCGCCGTGCCCGCAAACGCCCTCTACTTGATGAAGGCCTTCCAGCAACAGAGCGATGACCTCGCCAAACCCTCAGCCACCATTCTCNNCCTCCCGTCTACATTCACCCCTTCGGCACAGGTAGATCCTACTGCGAAGATTGGTCCCAATGTCTCAATCGGCCCTCGCGCTGTGGTCGGTGCTGGTGCTCGTATCAAGGACTCAATCGTTCTGGAAGACGCCGAGATCAAGCACGACGCCTGCGTTCTTTACTCCATCATTGGCTGGTCCTCGCGCGTGGGTGCCTGGGCCCGTGTCGAGGGTACCCCCACCCCTGTTCGTGAGCATCACACCACCATCATCAAGAACGGAGTCAAGGTTCAAAGTGTCACCATCTTGGGCAAAGAGTGCAACGTCGGCGACGAGGTGCGCGTCCAAAACTGTGTCTGCTTGCCCTACAAGGACCTTCGTAGGGATGTGACCAACGAGGTCATCATGTAGAGGCTTTGATTCTGTTACGACGGCTCCAAAAACATAAGCAGTTGACACAATTTCCTCAGAAGAAGCATGGTGCTGCTTCTTTCTTACGGCGCATATGGGAACAACATTACCCCCCTTTTTTTTCTTACTCTACTGTTCTTATGATATCAAAACAGGCATGGATACTCTCTTATAAAGACCTCGAAAGGATTTGCAAAGAATGAAAAAGGCGTTTATTGAATCGTGTCTATAAAGTGACGGTGTTTTTTGATTTCGTGGCTTCCATATACATGGCTGGGCCCACAAGTGCTTCAAGCAATCCCGCAGCGGGACAGTATCCATCCCATTGTCTATTTGTGAGCTACAAAGAGAAACGTCAGTAAGCAGAATTTAGCGATGAGAATTAGAAGCGAGACTTACGGATACCCTCCTCAGGCATGGGAGTAACGTCGACAACCTCGGCGGCCTTGGGCTTCTCACCCTGTGACTTGTCGTCCTTCATGAAGGGGAAGGTAAGAACCTCCTTGATCGAGTAGTGGTTGGTAAGGAACATGACCATGCGGTCAATACCCATACCCCAACCACCGGTAGGTGGCAGACCGTACTCGAGAGCCTGGCAGAAAGTCTCGTCGACAAGCTGGGCCTCGTCGTCACCCTGCTCCTTCTGGCGAGCCTGCTCTTCGAAACGGAGACGCTGGTCGAAGGGATCGTTCAACTCGGTGTAGGCGTTGACAATCTCCTTCTTGCAGACAAAGGCCTCGAAACGCTCACACAGACCCTTGTTGCTGCGGTGGTACTTGGCCAGAGGGGACATCATCTGGGGGTGGCCAGTGATCATGGTTGGGTTGATACACTTCTCCTCGATGAACTCGCCAACAAGCTTGTCGAGCATACGGGCGTTTGTGAGGGGAGCAGAGCACTGGACGTTCATCTTCTTGAGCATGCGCTTGAGGAACTCGTTGGTCTCATCGCTGTGCAGTTGATCACCTTCGGGGAACTTCTCACCGCAGGCCTCCTCGAGAGCGGGGATCATCTCAATGCGCTTCCAGGGCTTGGCCCAGTTGACGGTGTAGACCTCGCCGTGCTGAGTCTCGAACTTGGTCTCGTAGCCACCGGTCAAGTGCTTGACAAGGTTAGAGACGAGGTCTTCAGTGGTGTTCATCAGATCGTAGACATCGGCATATGCCTCGTAGAACTCGCAGGTAGTGAACTCGGGGTTGTGAGTGAGATCGATACCTTCGTTACGGAATTGACGGCCGATTTCGTAGACACGCTCGAGACCACCAACGATCAGCTGCTTGAGNNGGTACAGCTCGGGGGCAATACGCATGTACAGCTCCATGTCGAGGTCGTTGTGGTATGTCTTGAAGGGCTTTGCGGTGGCACCACCAGCGATGGCGTTCATCATGGGAGTCTCGACCTCGATGAAGTCACGGGTGTCGAAGTAGTTGCGAATGTAAGTGACCATCTTGGAGCGGGTGATGAAGGTGCTGCGGGTGTGGTCGTTCATGATCAGATCAAGGAACTTGCGGCGGTGACGCTGCTCCTGGTCCTTGAAGCCGTAGTACTCGTCGGGCAGCTGGTGCAAGCAGGGAGTGAGAAGAGTGACCTCCTGGGCAAAGAGCGAGAGCTGGCCCTGGTCACGGTTCTTAGGGTTTGTGCGGCCGGGGTATCCCTTGATACCAATGATGTCTCCACGACGGAGGAGCTCGTGCTGCTCTGCGAAGGATCTGTCGCTGGTTGACTCCTGTGACTGGCACATGATCTGCATGCGGACGCCCTCTGCGCGAACATCGTAGAAGCAGAGGTTAGCACCTGACGAACGCTTGTTGTAGATACGGGCACCGATGGACAGGACCTTGTCCTTGAGGTGCTCGCCTGACTTGAGGTGGCCGAACTCGGGCTCGAACTTGCGCAGGTCGTAGTTGACCTGGAACTTGTGCGGGTAGGGGTTGGGCTCGTGGCTTTGGCGGAGCTTCTGGATGGCTCTGCTGCGGATCTCGAAGTACTGGTTGGGGTTCAGGTGAGCCTCCTCCTCCTCGGCGCTGGCAGTCTTCTTCTTTGCTGGCGGTGCCGTGGCAGTGGCTGCCTTCTCGGCCTTCTTGGCCTCCTTTTCACGCTGCTTCTGGCGCTTCTTGACTGGAATCTTCTCAGCACACGGACATGGCCATCTCGGGCAGATACGCACNNGCTCAGTCTTGCTGACCTTCTCGCCGGTCACCTCGTCCAGGTAGAGAGTAGGAGCTGCGGCATTGTCGCCAGTGGTCAGCTCGCTGACCTTGTCGGCGACGTTGTTGACTGCCTCCTTGACAGCGTTGGCTGCTGCTTGTGCTTGGTCCGCCATGTTTGCTTGTGTATGAGTCCAGCTCCAGCCCTTCCACTCTCGTTAAAAATGTCCTTTGGGGAGTCATAGCTCTTGGCAAAAAGTCAAAAATGCGCGGGGCTGTCGTCCGAGTTGGGGGGCCACCGCGACCCTGCCCCATGTGACTTTCTCTCTGATTACCATCATACAAAGCTACAACATAGTTGCAGAAGTATTAATTCGACAGCCCGGACGGTTTGGAACTGACGGTATGGTATTGGGCAAGTTGTATGGCTTTTCAGTCGAACTGTGACAAGAACCAGACAGATTGTGATTTCTGCTTCCTCGTGTGCTACACAGACTGACGGAGTCACATCAAAACCTTTCTCCATCCTGAGCCATAATGGTTATTAAGCTGTCAAAATGCACAATTATGATTGGAGTATAAGTCTGTGAATTGAGATAGTCTTCGCCACAGTTATCTCTGTGGAACCGTGATCTGCACGAAAGTATTGTATATTTCTGCAGGTCAGCTACACTGAGTGACTGTCTTTCACGGGAGGTTATGACCTGATCATTACAACACTTCTACTCATAGCACCAATCTAATATATTGGACAAGTCGGAGCTGCAAAGCATCTGAACAGTAACAATCTGTTTGAAGCACATGAATAGATCAATGTCAAATTCGCAGTAACACCCTTATCATTATGTTTGGTAATTAAGGTAGATATGATCATAAACGAATGACATGACACGTTTCAAACAGACATCATTACATGAGAAAGAATACGAAAATTGGCTGGAGCATCATGAGAAGATCGTGACCACTTCAGCTCATAAGTGTTTGTGCACTGAGAGTCATCTAGCACACGGTGATGTAGAGACCAATACTGTGTTCCCTGTCAGTTTCAGACCATCAAACAGCCCTTCTAAACAACTTACGGTGAGGGATTAAAATCTTGGAAGTAAGCCAAGAAAGTGTCGTCTGAGGCAGACAGACTGAAGCCGATGGCAGAGTTGGCAGGGCAGGCGAAGGTGGCGATGGTGTAAGAGTTTCCGGGGGCAACCTTGGTCACACCGTAGTCAGTGGCGACACCTGGCTTGTTGTTGTATGTAGTGCTGGAGCTGGCAGGTCCCTTCAGCATTGCGAAGTCGATGCCACCAGCACCCATGAACTCAAACGAGGAAGTTTCCAAGTTCTCCTTCTTGGGGAACAGGAAGACCAAAGAACAAGTCTTTCCATTGTCAGAGCTGGGAATGTCAAAGTTGAACAAGCTAGAGACAGAGCTTGAAACTGTGCCGTTGTACTGAGTACCAAAGGCCTTGTCGGGCTGTTTTGAGTCTACCGGAACGATGAGATGAGGGAATTGATAGTCGCCAGAAAGAGCGGCAGGGCAGCTCTTGGGAGCGGGAGCAGGGCAACCCGACTTGCAATTGTCAGCACTCAGAGTAATTGAGACACAACCACCTTGACCAGCGGGAGCAGTGGTGTAGATGTTGTAACCGCCGTTGTCTCCGGTGGGGCAAGACTTGAATTCAGTGTTGCCTTTGTAAGCGAGGGTGCCGTCACAAGAGACAGAGAAGCCGTCTGTAGGGCTAGCACCTGCGTCGCACTGGAATTGCGTGGTCGGAGGAGTCAATATACAGCCACGACCATTGCCATCGGTAAGACCACCATTGGCATCGATACAGTACTGGGCACCAGGCAGACCTGGAGCATGGAGTTAGTCAGGAAACCAATAAGCAGCTAAACACAAAATACCTTGTCCAATACGGTTTTGACCATCGGAGAGCTGGCCTACGACTCCACCAGGACCCCCAGAAGCAGTCAGATGGAAGCAGCTGAAAGAACCAGAATCAGAACTCTATTCATAGATGTTTAATCTCCTTACTCACCATGAAGAATCGCGAGCAACGAGTGCATCTGCTGCTGCAACCAGAGCGGCTGAAACGAAGAAAGATTTCATGATTGTGGTATTGATAACGAGGAAGAGTTGTTGTCGTGTTGCTGGTCGGTTGATGTTGGATTATGATGATGAAAGGAAAACAGAATAGAGCTGCTGGGAATGGACTATATATATGTTCGAGGTATATGTGATGGGAAGGAGATCATCATTTGTCAAGTTGACCTACCATCACATCGTAAGATGAGGAGTACCAAGAAAGCAAGCTTGGTTGCATTAGGAATGTAGGAGCAGCAAAGCAATGATGTCGCCAATTGATCCTCTTGTCTGACCTGTCATGGCTAGGACTGTTATTTCCGATACATCATACGAGGTCATCTGAGCAACAAGTCAACTCGGATCCTCCGAGGAAGACTCCAACGTTGGATGCGACTAGTCGATCTTTCAGAGCAGTTCACTGTCGAGGTATACCTAGCGCGATATATAGCTCAACACGCGGCGAATACGAGTGCAGAAGGCGACACAGCATCTTGTACACACTCTTGAGGGTCACCAGTCAACATGACCTCCTCGGTGAACGATTGATGCAAGATAGTGTTGCGACCTACCAAGAAGTGATACAATCACAACTCATTTTGATTCGAGAATTGCCCAGAGCTTGAGGTTTAATGGGATGTGAGACCACGGGCCGGGGTCCGGCAGAAAGACTCCGAGAGAGCCAAGACAAAGGCGGGGTGCAGGTTTGGCGAGCATCCTCCCAAACCTACCAGACGTCACGATTGACCTGTGTTTTTACTAGAATCAAGCAAGCTCCATGGCAAGTCGGAAGTATTATTCTATTGATAGCACTCGATCCTGCCAGATCCATGAGTGACAGACCGATCTACGACCTTGATGGCCATGTGACATTCGACGTCAAGTCTAATCATCATACCGCCATCTTCCCATAGGCAGAGGGTAAAATTCAATTGATTCTGCTGTCAGCACAAAGACAAGCATGCTGACAAGCAAGTGGCTTCAAGACCAAGGATTTTGAAAAGCTTCTGTGCGACGTCGTAAACATATGTTACCATCATTCGCACTAGCAAAGTTGAGCTTTATGCTCCAGAATCCTTCCGAGTTGCAGCGTTGAAAATCGATGTTGACCGCCTGCAAGCGTTGTTGCCCAAGAGAAACTAGCAGAGACGATTGTTTCTCGGTATCTTGGCTTACTCTCAAGAAGGAAACAGGTCGCAGTATGAAACTGGGCTGATGTGCATATTTGGCAGTCATACAACCCCAATGACTTGGGCGTGCAAAACGATAGTCTGCTTTTACAAAGAACACGCAGGACTATGTGTTCACGGAAGAACGGTTTCCCGATAGGAATGTCCAGATCACACACACATCTGGCAGGGCCAATCTCGATCCTCCCCGTGTGCAAGAGCATGTAACGCGTGTGGCTACAAAAATGCACAATAGTATTAGGAAACAGGATAGTGCCAACTGAGAAGCGATCTCTTGACAGCTCTCTTTGGCCAATGTTCGTTTCTGAATACAACTGTGCATTCTTATAGCGGAGCATGTGCTTTACTCACTGCTACAATCGGAGTACATCAAAGGTTACATCGTTTAGCACACGGGAGGATGCAGAAGCTGAGCTTCTAGAGAGCCCACAAGATATCGCACTTCCACTCTCGCAATGAGTACTGTACGCATCTTCTCAGACTCTTGTACAATGCTTCTTTTGGAAAATGATAGCTTCCGCCAGGACCCTCGTGTCATCCTCTCTCTGAGCTATTATCTGCTTCTACTTCGGTTCATAGCTCACATCTGGATCTGACCCGCGACAAGAAGCAAGCTGAAAATTGAACATGAGTGTATGGGCTTGTATACGGGGACCTTTATTTGCGCTAACGATCAGAAATCCGGAAGACCTGCTTCGCTATCATGACCGTCACTCCCTCTCATCATGCCCCGTATCGAAGAAATCAATCACCTCATCCTCTGGCCATTGCTGTATGAACATCCATTCTTTTGCATACCTCTCACTTCTCCTCGGCAACAATCCGCTGCTTCTTAGCGAGAATCATTCACTCTTTCTCTTCGATGTTTGACGTAGTCTTTTGCAACTTGTGGGTTAGGCATAGCTGGAACCTGTCACAGCTATGTGGGTAATCAACCACTCTTCGACTTCTTTGCGGTAGGGTTCTCGTGGTCGAACTCCGACTTGCGCTTGGCAATCTTCTTGGTCTTCTTGATAACTCTGGAAGACTTGGGCTGGGTGATGATGGGACGCAGGAAAGTCTCAACAACTTCGTACTTAAGCTTGGGGTTGAAGGTAAGCTGCTGGACACCGCGAAGGCGCTTCATGGACGTGAAGCCAGGAATCTGGGTAAGAGACGAGAATCTGCGGCGGCTAGAGTTCACAGTGAAGTGTCCGGCAGGGTCCTGAGTGGCCGAGATGGTCAGAGTGAGCTTTTGAAGAGTGTCAGACTCAGTGAGGAGCCTAGCTCCAGCTGCAGCGGCAGACAAGTTGTCGTAGTAGACAGATACATTGCGCATGTGCTTTCTTCTCTCAGGGCCAATGTTGTGAAGAAAGTTTCTCATGCTGCCCATGTCTCTGAACTGGAAGTGGTTCTCGTAGTAGAACTCGGGCATGGCTTCGTTGTAGATCTGCTTGTTCACCGAGAGCAATGCAAGNNGGAAGTCGTTGAGAGGTGGCATTGTAAGGGCGTTCTGAGAGCGAGATTCCCAAATGGGGACCTTGTCGTCGTAGACAGAGAGCGATCTAGTACCGACAAGCAGGCGAAAGCCGGAGATCTTCAGAACAAGGTGGTAAATCTTCATGCGGATCTCGATAGGGATCTTCAGAAGAGGGCATGTAGTGAGTTTCTTCTCGGTGGTCTTGGAGCCCTCCTTGTAGGATCCCTCCAGCAAGGCATAAGCGGCGCCTGCCGTCATGCTGTACATCATATGGTTGTTCTCAAGCTTGGAGTGAACCGGAGTGCCGTATGTACGCAGATAACTTGGACGCCAAGTTAGCATAACGTTTCCGAATGAGTTGAAGGCTACAAGGATTATCGACATACCTCTCAATACGACGAGGCAAATTACCGATGCCTTGGGGCAAAGAATAGAGGCTGGCTCTTCCAAAAACGAAATGAGCTGCTTCCTTCTGATAGAAGCGGCTGTTCGAGATGGCGAATTCTCCGATCTTGGAGGTCATCAGCCATTCGTCGGAGTGGTAAGCGAGAGCGAGGAGAACAAGCTCTTCGTCAGTGAGGTTGAAGCTCTGTCGGGATTGACGCTTTTGAACGATGCGCTTGATGCGTGCTCTGATGGTCATCTTGGGAGACTTCTCAGCAAATCTGCTGATCGTGTCTTGGACCTCAGCGCGAGTGATGGCCAGACTGGTAGCAGACATGGTACAGCGCGGTAGATCCACTGGACTTGGTGTAGAAGAGTAGAACAGGATGAGTGATGTTGGAGTCTTTGAGGAAGAAGATCTGTAAGTTCGCAAAAGAATTTGGAGTGAGATGATAGAGTGAGTAGATGGTGAGGTGCTGTGATTCGAATCTAGGAAATAAGCGGGTCCTGGTCGAACTGTCGAACGCGAATGCCGAGAATGATAACGAGAAGTGAGCGGTAACACATAGCGGCGGTATACAGCATGTGCAGTGTAGTTCTCAGCGCGGATCGAGTTGGGAGATGGACTATGGCATATGCTGCATCTGGCACTGCAACACGGCAAGAAGTAGCTACCGAGACAGGTCAAACATCTGAAAGGTCCGAGGTGTGTCTTGTGTTTCTATATGTTCTTGTCAGGCTTGAACGAGCGATGATAGTGTTGAAAGAAGCCTCATGCAGGCTTCAGATACCAGGCTTCAGGCACCTTGGGCTTCCACCAAGTGGACGTTCCAGTATTTGCGTGGGTACCTCTTCCGAGACAAACTCCGTTTGTAAGAGCATGTTGATCTACCATAGACCGAGCTTTGTCAATCGAAATACAGTACACCGAATCGAATATGCATACTTGTGCTCTCGGTGTGCATACCAGTGTCAAATTGTTGCGTGGCCGAAAACCTTGATATCAAGAACGACGAGCGAGTGTGAGTTTTGGTTCAAATAGAAGACAACGGAAATAGCTACTAGGTGCAATACTAGTAGGGACAGATGGTGGTGAAAAATTGGATATTATACAAGAAAGCAGACTAGAAGGAAGTCTTTGAAGGTAATTGACCTCCTGTCAACTCTGCAGCCATTCTGCGAACTCTAGCAGCAGTCAAAGCAGTATCTCTGTTCATGGCTGACTGGTTGAGAGCACCGCCACGAACACCNNTCCTTGCGGTTGCCGAGTTGAGCATGTCTACAATAGAGCTAGGGGCGCTTGGAGTGTTGTCCCAGATGCTGGCACCGTTCTGGCCAAAGGCACGAGGCTGGTCAACAGTACCAAAAGCCTTGTCAATAGCGGTGGAGAGCTGGGCGTCGTTGACGATGAACTCGCGAGCATTGACGTAGAGTGAGTGCAGAGCATCGCGGCGATCTTCTTGACGAGCGGCCTGCTTCAGAGCATGTCGTTCGCGCATATCGGCCAGACGAGCTTCTCTGTTGAGGTCTTGGAGTGGGCCCTTCTTCAGAAGGTTGAGAAGGTTGGAGTCGACCGAAGGGGCAGTTAGACGCTCGTCTTCGCGCTCGGGAAGATGCAGACGGGCCTCGCGTTCTTGCTGGCGGAGAGTGGCACGAGTAGCCAGGTGGTCGTCGGACTTGATTCTACGGTACTGCAAAGCCTTGAGACCCTCTTTCAAGTTCTTCCTTCGTGAAGCAGCCATGCGCTCTTTCCAGACAGAGCGGGGGTCGTTGTGAGACTGTGTGCGGGAGGGTTCCTTGGTGGCTTGGTCCACATTGAGGGGNNGGGCTTTTGGGTCCTGGCCAGCAAAGACATCGCGTGGGACAGGTAGGATACCCTTGAGGCGTGTCTTGTCAGGGAGAGTCTGCTGAGGGGCTTGCGGGATGTCCATGTAGCGAGGAGATTCAGGACCAAGAGCGAGCTGGGCGGTCGAAACAGAGAAGGAGCGAGGAGACGAGCGGGCCGCGCATGAGGNGCATTTGTAAAGGCCGGTGGCCTGTGGTAGACGGACAGGCATGCTGGGTCGTGTGTCTGGGACAGATGGTGCTGCCTGCCTGTTCGATAATGCTGCTCTTGGACTGGTAATTGCCCTCTTGGGCGGGCTGTTTGTCTGGGCTTGGCGTCGTCGGCCAGAAAAAAAGAGGCAGGCAGCAACCAATCAAGAGGGCGCCGTCGCCGCAGAACGAGGCCGTGCCCTTGCGGAGTGCTAGCGTCCGCCCATAAAAAAAGTCCTTCTCTCCCTCGCTCTTGCTTCGTCTCTGCGTGGGTTGCCGTTTCTGAGCTCCCTCCTCAGACTTTTCAAAAACAAACCCTCGACTCGTCGCCTTCGTCAGAATGGGTACCGGCAAGAAGGAGGCTGCCCGCAAGACCCGCCAGGGCAAGGTTGGCGATGGCATGGCCAACGTCAAGGTCAAGGGCGAGAACTTCTACAGGTCCGTTTTGTTCACTGAAGAACACCCACTCTCACCATGCTAATATTCCTCGNNCAGAGATGCCAAGAAGGTCAAGAAGCTCAATGTCCTCACCAAAGGAACCGCCCAGCGCAACGCCGCCGGCGACATCACAAAAGCCGCCGTCTTCCAGTCGCGTGAGAGACCCTCGGCTCGTATCGAGCCCAACCGCAAGTGGTTCACCAATACCCGTGTCATTTCTCAAGACGCCCTCTCCGCTTTTCGTGGCGCCGTACAGGCTCAGCAGAATGACCCTTACTCATACCTGCTTAAGCAGAACAAACTGCCCATGAGTTTGATCAAGGATGACGAGACCAAGAAGAATGGCTTGAAGCAACACCAGGCAAAGATCGCCGTCGAAACCGCTCCTTTCTCAGACACTTTCGGTCCCAAGGCACAGCGCAAACGTCCGAAGCTTGCCGTCAGCTCTCTTCTCGACCTCGCTGGCGAGTCGGACAAGATGCACGAGACTTATCTTGATCGCCTCGAGCAAGCTCGTCTTGCTAGTGGACAAGCTACCGACGATGGCCAAGAGAACGAAGCTGACGGTGCTCTGACTGCTGCAAGAGAAGCCATCTTCTCAAAGGGCCAGAGCAAGCGTATCTGGAACGAGCTCTACAAAGTCATCGATTCGAGTGATGTTGTCATTCATGTTCTGGACGCCAGAGATCCTCTCGGTACTCGTTGCCGAAGTGTTGAAAAGTACATTCGCGAAGAAGCTCCTCACAAGCATCTCCTCTTCGTCCTCAACAAGTGTGATCTGATCCCCACAAGCGTTGCTGTAAGTCTTGCTCCACCCTTTTCTATTCGTGTTTTTCTTTCCTGTTCCCCGTCGCATGCCAGCGTTCAAGTCAAGGCTCCTTCCGCATCTCGTGTGCACTTTTCCTCATGGAAAGAGACTGTTACAACTCTGGCAGATCAAAGTCGGCCCGCCGCTAGACCCCGTTATGGACGTCTAGTAGATTGCTTGCCGTCTTGGTTCGCTTTCAAAAGGGTTCGAGCGTGTTTCGTTTGAGTTGAGTACCTCTCCCGCTCAATTGAGTGGCTCATGGAGGCTCTCTTAGTTATGATTCACACATCTCCTTCTTTTGTGTCTTTTCCTTCTTACTTCTTGTGTTCCCACACATCTACGATTCCATCTCCATCTATGAATTGTACTGACCACAGATTCAGNGCCAACTGGGTTCGCTTACTCGGCAAGGAATATCCTACTCTTGCTTTCCACGCTTCGATCAACAACTCATTCGGCAAGGGTTCTTTGATCTCGCTTCTACGCCAGTTTTCTGCTCTGCATTCCTCGCGCAAGCAGATTTCGGTTGGTTTCATTGGATACCCCAACACTGGCAAGTCTTCCATCATCAACACTCTCCGCAAGAAGAAGGTGTGCAATGTTGCCCCTATCCCTGGTGAGACTAAGGTCTGGCAATACATCACTTTGATGAAGCGTATCTACCTCATCGACTGCCCTGGTGTCGTCCCCCCAAACATGGGCGATACAGACGAGGACATTCTTTTGCGTGGTGTTGTTCGTATTGAGAACGTTGAGAATCCCGAACAGTATGTTGCTGCCGCGCTCAAGAAGTGCAAAAGACACCACATCGAGAGAACCTACGACGTTCGCGATTGGGAGACACACACTGAGTTCCTTGAGCTTCTCGCTCGCAAGGGTGGTAAGCTGCTGAAGGGTGGTGAAGCCGACATGGATAGTGTTGCCAAGATGGTTCTCAATGACTTCCTTCGTGGCAAGATCCCTTGGTTCACCCCACCACCAGCTTCTGCAGCCGCATGGGCTGCCGCTGAAGAGGCAAAGGCTGAGATCCAGACCGAAATCATCAAGAAGAGAAAGCGTGCAGTCACAGATGAAGATGGAGAAGCCGAAGAAGAGGATGGCTCCGTCGAGGACGAAGAGGAGGAGGAAGACTTTGCAAGCTTCACGAGCGATGAGGAAGACGAGAAAGCTGCTGGTGAGGGTGTCGCCATCGAAGCAACCGAGGAAGGTTGAAGAAATGTCGGCCATCCATCATGGTTTCACTCTTCTCACTTGCAAATTTGCAAAACGCCCAATCCCCCCTTCAGTCAACAACAGTCTCCCAGGTGAGATGTTGACGTGAGATGCGGACGATGACCTCCTGGTTCACGTCCCATGCTCAATTCCTGGATCAATTCACCGTCTCGGTGATTCTGATGTGAACGTTGACGCCACTTGTCGATGCATTGCGCCAAGCGCTACCTTCACACAATCTTTACGTATCTGACAAAGATCAGATATCCATGGTTTCTCGTCCTTTAAGAGGAAGAAACCCTCCACTGTGACATATCTTGTTCACTGTCAAGGAAGAGACAGGTCAGCCTGTTCCAGCTTCACACAATGTCGTAGATAGTTTTTTTATGAAAACCTCAATCGACCGTATCCTACGCACAAGTTCACTCATGCGTCCTTTCGTGAACGCCATCTTCATCTTCTAGATCAATAAGGAGGATAGATCCTCTGCTCGCTGGTGCATCATTCTGCCGGGCAGGCGATCTCTCTTCACGGACCACCATCCTCGGGTCAGCGACAACCGACCTTTCCCCTCTTTTTTCGACCTCGTCATGTCGTATTCCTCGTCGAGGTGCATGCAAAGATCGTACGCTAATTATCCGACCATGCTCTGTGATCTTCAAGCACCAGCTCCCCATCGAACGAAGCGAGAAGTGGTCTCCTGATGATGTGCACAGAACAACCCCTAACCATTGGCGGATAATATCATGCAAGGTGCCTGCCTAATGTGCCTACCTGAATGACCGACACTGTACAAAAAAGTACTTATATCGTAAAAGGCGCAACGACTGTAGGTAGGTATCTCTTGACGTTCACGCGAGAACCCTTCGTTCTACTATTCCAAGATGAGACTCTGCTTCAATTACTTCTTCGCCTTTTTCTTGGCTGTCATCGTCCTCGCTACGGACAATGGCTTAACCACTCAAGTCACATGGGACCCCTACAGTCTTATGGTCAACGGAAAGCGGTTGTTCTTGTTCTCTGGCGAGTTTGCTTATGAGCGAATGCCTGTGCCAGAGCTGTGGTCCGACATNTTTCAAAAGCTTAGAGCAAATGGATTCAATGCAGTCAGCTTGTATTTCTTCTGGTCCTACCATTCTGCCTCTCGCGACGTCTTTGACTTCAAATCCGGTGGCAAGGATATCCAGAGAGTCATAGATGCTGCTGCGGAGGCTGGTCTGTAGTATGTGTCTTGACCCCGATGTAGTACCATCTACACTGATGCTAAGATCTTCGGACAGNNTATCATAGCACGACCTGGGCCCTATGCAAATGCTGAAACAAACGGAGGCGGCTTGGCATTGTGGACGAGCGATGGTTCTGGAGGTACGACTAGCACACGGTCAAAGTTTCATCCAGCTGACCAACACTANGGTAATTATCGAACCTCGGATCAGACCTACTTTGAAGCCTGGGAACCATGGATGCGAGAAGTCAATAGAATTTTGGCCAAGAACCAGATAACAGATGGCGGTCCTATCATCCTCTACCAGATCGAGAACGAGTTACAGGAGACCGTACACAAGGCTAATAACACACTCGTGACATACATGGAGCAGCTCAAGAAATCTGTCAAGGATTCTGGTATCGTGGTCCCGTTGACGCACAACGAGAAAGGACAACGAAGCCAGAGCTGGAGCACAGACTACCAGAACGTAGGAGGTATGTATACTGGGATGTTTCTCTGGTACAATTTAGTGGCTGAACGGACATGTGCTTANGGCTCAGTCAACATATACGGCTTGGACAGCTATCCGGGAGGCTTGAGCTGCACCAACATCGACTCTGGCTTCAATCTGGTCCGCAACTACTACCAATGGTTCCAAAACTATTCCTATACCCAGCCAGAGTTCTGGCCTGAGTTTGAGGCTGGATGGTTCTCTCCTTGGGGATCCGGAACTTTTTACGATAGTTGTTTTGCAGGTAAACACTTTCTCGTGCCCACTTACTGTTGTGAATGGTTCTTCCCGCATGAGAGTCCAATTTTCGACATGAAATCTTTTGTAGTGACAGGTGCTAACTCGAATTCTCATCATCANGAACATGACCCTGCATTCGCCGACGTCTACTATAAGAATAACATAGGTCAAAGAGGAACATTGATGTCGTTGTACATGGCTATGGGAGGCACCAATTGGGGAAATCTTGCGGCTCCTGTCGTCTACACAAGCTACGATTACTCTGCACCCATGCGTGAAACTCGTGAGCTTCAACTCAAGATGTCACAGACGTAAGTAAAATCTTATGGCGCAAGCGGTTGCATGCATTGTCTTTTCTTTTCTCGACAGTCTTGCTAACAAATCTGCAGCAAACTGATTGCTCTGTTTACAAGAGTATCTCATGATCTCCTCTACACCAACATGGAGAGCAATGGCACTGGTAACGCTGTGTCAACAGAAGACATCTGGACCTGGGTTTTGAGAAACCCCAACACCACTGCTGGATTCTACGTGACACAGCACTCGAAATCGAGCTCAAGAGCTGTCACAGACTTCTCGATCTATCTCCAAACATCATTAGGTCCAATCACCGTCCCAAATGTTCAACTCAACGGCCGCCAGAGCAAGATTGTTGTCACAGACTATCATTTTGGAAAACACACTCTGCTATATTCGTCTGTCGATATTCTGACATATGGCTTGTTTGACAAAACATCAGTCCTTGTGCTATACCTTGAGGCTGGCCAAGTTGGTGAATTTGCGTTTCCTGGAAACATCTCCATCGTATCATATGGCAAAACGAATGTCACAGCATCTCGCGTGAAGGCTAACAATACCTCGGCTTACACCAAGTTTGTCTACAACCAAGCCATTGGCAAGACCGCTATTCAATTGTCGAATGGTGTTATGATGTATCTCTTGGACGTGTCGACAGCTTGGTCGTTCTGGGCTCCAGCCACTACTTCGGACCCTAATGTCGCAGCAAACGAGCAGATATTTGCCATCGGCCCATATCTCGTTCGAAATGCCAGTGTCAGCAGTAATATCGTCTCTGTCCATGGCGACAACACCAACTCAACCATACTCGAAGTTTTCGTTGGTGATGCAAATGTTGACACTATTGCCTGGAATGGCGAAAGGCTTGCTACGAAGAAAACAGTGTATGGCGCTCTTACAGCCGATCTCACAAGCGTCCTTGACCGCAAGGTAACCATCCCAACTCTGTCTGGCTGGCAAGTAGCCGACTCTCTACCCGAAATGGCAAGGGACTACGACGACTCGTCCTGGACTGTATGCAACAAGACAATCACACTGGCCCCAGTGAAGCCACTGTCGCTTCCTGTTCTTTACAGTTCAGACTATGGTTACTATTCTGGCATGAAAGTATACCGTGGCTACTTCGATGGCGAATCCGCTACGTCAGCCAATTTGACAGCCCAGGGTGGCTTAGCCGCAGGTTGGAGTGCCTGGTTGAATGGCAAACTCGTCGGCGGCCATCCAGGTAATGCTTCACTCTTGTCAACATCAGGGGTGCTTGACTTCTCTGGGGCAAAACTCTACGACAAGGATAATGTGCTAACAGTGGTAACTGACTATACCGGTCACGACGAAACATCTACTGGCAAAGGTGCTGCAAACCCTCGAGGTCTGTTAGGTGCAGTCCTCAAAAGTTCTGGCAATGCTACTGCCAGCTTCAAGCAGTGGAAGATCCAGGGAAATGCTGGTGGATCTGCCAATATCGATCCAGTCAGAGGACCTCTGAATGAAGGTGGTCTGTATGGAGAACGTCTTGGATGGCACCTCCCAGGCTTCCAACCCTCTGGTGACAATTGGTCTGTCGGCTCTCCTGCTGAAGGTCTCAACTCTAGTGGCATCAAATGGTATTTGACCACATTCGAGCTCGACATCGACTCGGACCTAGATGTTCCCGTCGGCCTTGAGTTGTCTGCCCCTTCAGGGACTGTCGCTAGCGTACAGATCTTTATGAACGGATACCAATACGGAAAATACATTCCTCACATTGGGCCACAGACACGTTTCCCCTTCCCACCTGGAATCATAAACAACCAAGGCAAGAATACGCTTGCTTTGAGCGTTTGGGCCGAGACAGATGCGGGCGGAAAGCTTGACAATGTCTCATTGTTTGCTTACAATGTCTATGAGACTTCGTTCGATTTTGCACAGAACTGGACTTATTTGCAGCCTGGGTGGACAAGCGAGAGACTACAATACGCTTGAAAGGCAAGCGATCCGATACTGTCAAACATCATATTGAACGCAGGCACGATGGAGTGAGCTTAGCATAAGTCGTATTTGGAATTCATAATATGATAGCGATGATATAAGAGATGAGCCGATAACAATTTAGCTCTCGAGTTTCAGTTTGATCAAACACTTGTGAAAGACCGTCTTGTTTGCTGACTACGCCATGTTAAGGGCTTCATGGTTCGTCCAAAGGATTCTCGTTGGCTACATCAGAATCAGTATACAGAAAAAGTTGGAGGGGTCCAAAATGTACGAACCTTCGAGTATGCCTTCTTTGATCAGCTCAGCTGGCGAGGGTCGAGTCTGTAAGTGTTTCTCAATGGAATCACGACGCATGGCTGCTGCAAGTTCACGCTGGTGGCTCTGCAAGGCAGGAGCAGCAGTGGACTCGGGCAAAATGTTACGTTCTACCAGCTCGTCTTTTCGGGACGAGAAGCAATGGCTTTGTTCAGGCTGTCTGTAAGTTGGTGACGTGCTAGCTCTTGTTGCTGAGCATGCAGAGCTCTGTAATCCATTAGTAGTCGTCTGATGCTAACTCGGCCAAGAGAAACATACGGTGCAGCATTAGTCTTGAGAAGAATGTGCTTTTCCCTCAACTCGTGAGCTTCGGGCCGGTTCTGGATAGCTTTCTCAAGACTGTTTCTACGCTCGAGAGATATAGGACTGGTAGTTGTAGGAGGCATTTCGCTCGACATGATTGATTGTTGGGTTTCACAACAAGCAGATGGTTGTGACAGATCGATTAATTCGCACAGCAGGTGTCGTGATGTGATGTTAGTGTGGACAAAGGTGACAGACAAAGTCGAGCTCGAGCTTCTTGGACTTTGTTGTCACCCGACCTAGAGGACCCTGCATGCGGCGTGCGGGGTCGTGCCTAGCAAAGGTGTCACAGGGTCTCATTTGTGGCACTGCTACTGCTATCATCGAAGAACTAGGTAGGCATAAAGACAAGCGGCATTATCATTAACGGCTAATGTACACAAAGTACTGCTACGACGAAGCAAGCGCCGGCTAAGGCAGTCAAAGGCAGAAGAGCTCTCGCAGAAACTTGGAAAGACTCTTCCCTAAATCATTCTCGTTTCTCCACAAGGGGTCTGAATTGTCTTTTCAATTCATGGCGGAGTTGGATGGTTGCTGAGCGAAGCAATTTATGCACCCTCATCATCCTCACCAACGCGGATAGCGCCCTCGCTGCTGACACCGTGGGTCCAGAAGCCACCGAGCTCAACCTGAGTCTCGGGCATGCTCTGGTGGGTGAAGAGCAACCAGGCACCAAAGACGGGCTTGGCGAGCAGATCGAGGACAGCGTAGGCAATGATCTCCTGGTCAACGGTCATCTTGCGAGAGCCGTCGGCAATGCCCCAAACACTGAAATGATGTTAGATTGAGTGCCAAAGGTCGTGTTACAATGGTACTTACATAGGGTAGATGGTCCAGATGACAAGAGTGAAGCCAGCAATGGAAGCGAAGAACTTGCCGACCTTGCCGCCCTTGGCCATGGCGTTGGCGCGGCCGTGGACAGCGAGCATCCAGATAACAACGAGGTAAGCAATGCAGGCCATGGCGTACCAGCCCCACTTCTGAGGAGTGCCCTCGCTGCCATAGGCGGCGAAGAGACCGGTCAGAATCATGATAACATCAGCAACAATAGCCAACAGAATGTGGCCACCGCTGAGACCGGCGAGCAGAGCCAGGTCGAGGAGGAGAAGAGGGGTGGTCAAGCTCCAGTCGACGTAACGGGCCCAGTAGACCTGGCGGTAGACGTCGTGGGTGGTGTCAGGGACGTGACGGTGAGAGTCAGTGACGGTGGTGCGGTGGTAGCTGAGACCGTGGCCAGTGGCCATGGCGAAGTAAGACAGAGAAGCAAAGGTGACAATGAGAGTGGTGATGATGTGGTAGAGACGCTTGGAGATGGGAACAGTCCAAGACATGCCAACGAAGACAATCATGGAGAGGAGCATCAGAACGAAGACGGCCCACAGAGTGCGGGTACCGGTCTCGGTGACGGTCTGGTACTCGGGAAGAGAGGGAACAACAGTGGGCAGAGGAGCCACGGAGCTCGTGGCCTTGAAGGCCTCGACAGGGTCAACAATCATGGCGGCGGCGTGGATTGTAGAGGGAGTGAGTTGGAAGGAGGAAGTGGTTGAGGGGTGAGAGGAAGAGGAGCAGAGGGGAAGACGTTCTTAAACAAGGCAGCTATGAGCTCTGAGCTGCTGCGCGCGGAGCTGTCGATTCGATCGCGCCTGCCTCAAGCCTGTTGCCATGACGTTGACATGCATGCGACTGCTTCCCTTCCCCACAAGCCCGTGCTGTCTGTTTCCATGAATTCAAGGAACTCACCCAACGTTCCGACAGAGCCAATCGTCCAACCCACACGTCTATCAGTGAGCCCGTCGAGCAGAGCTGTACCGAGTGCCCGAGCTGTAGCTACTGTGTGTGAACAAAACTCTTTGCTCCATGGTTCTTCTCACATTTCTGCACGTTGGCCGGCAGCGCCCACGCTCACCTGATGTTTGAGAAAACAGGCTTCATGCAACACACGGCGGCAGCTTTCTCCACAGCGCTTAGTTGAAAATTCGGTCGGTGACATTCATGATATTCATGGCCTCGAGAGCTCATTGGCTCCAATCAAACCTGTCATGGCTCTCGTACTCGTGAGGCTCTATCGCAAACATGCCAAATTGCCCTTCTTCTGATATAGCAAAGCACATAGCCAGCTCTAGTTATGCATAGAAGCTGGCTTGCTGCGAGCTTGAGTCAGTTGGTCTATCTGCCCCCGTTTTGAGCAAGTGAGTTTTCCGAGCCACGCTTCAAGCCTCATCTCTCGTCGAGGAATATCGTTGTCGCTCTCCGCAGCGTATGCTACGCGACCAGCCACCTTCAAGTTCCTCCAATAGCAGGCAGTATCTGTGAGCATGATAGATATGGAAACGGCGGATAACGGCGACTGATCGCGATGTGGTGGAAGCCGGCGGAGCAAGGTTGTGTCTCGCAATCGCGAGACTCAAGAGTCAGGATCGAGTGCTAGCCAAAAGTGACGCGCTTGCCAAGGTGTGGGGTTCACTTCAAGATTTCTGAAAGTCAGAGTTCCTGTGAGGAAGACATCTTCAGTTCCTGTATCAAGTTCAAACAGTCTTCCGACTATCCATATCGCCCGCGCTCCTCCGTGCTAGTCAACGAGCACTCAGCCAAAGAAAGCCAAAACAGTCGCCATGTCTCTCACCACTGAGCAACAGGAAAACTTCGAGGACATCGAGAAGCAGTTCGCTGTCAAGGGTTCGCACTGCTCTGTCATGGCTCCAAGCATGCCACAGCTGACCATTTCCGACNNAGCTGTCCAGCACATGACCACCTACTGGTCTATCCTCGAGAAGGTTCCTGGCTCTAAGCTACGCCTCACCAAGATCGACGACGAAATCTACGAGCACTTCAAGAAGGAGTTTCCCGACTACGACCCCAAGGCCACCATCAACGAGGACGAGATGAAGAGTAAGGCAGGCAAGGAGCGCTGGAGAAACTTCATCAACCAGTATGAGAAGAAGGTGGATGACTACAACTTCGGCACTCTGTTGCGTTCCAACCCTGCCTTTGAGTACGGCCAGGACGAGACCATCTTTGGTACCATCTATCACCTTCGCACATCACCGGCATGTNNGGCTGACATCAAAACTCTAGCCGTTCGCATGCAGTTCTATGCACTTGAGATCTTGAGGTATGCTTTTGAACTTTGTTGTATTGAATCATTGCTCATGAAACTGGACAGAAATCGCGAAGGTCTGAATGACTGGATTTACGAGAAAGCTCAAGGCCAGAAGGCATCTTGAGCACCGGGCTTATGATAACGACTTCTGCTAGGAGGGCTGTAACTACTAGCGACAGCAAGCAACTCCACTGCTTTCTGTACAAACTATTGCAGAGTAAGCCACTGCTCGACGAACAAAGAACCATGGTTTCCGATCTACCTTGATGGTCTGATGAAGCTACGACGAAATTGCGGAGTGGAGCGGAAAGGAAAGTAGTTGTCGCACAAGGGTATCGGAGTTCAGGCGCTAGAATCTGCCACGCAGAATCCAGGTAAATTCGCGGTAGATCTTTACAGTTTGGGGACACATGGTTGATCATGGAGAGTGACATCTTGGAGAGGGGTTAAATAAGGGGTGATGTTGCGTCTGTCAAAGCCAGAACAAGAACAATAGTAACGCGACACATTCTTCACACCAACCGCCGCAAACTACGCCACTTCACTGTACCGACTGGGTAATCATTATGCGATGGCTCCGGAAACGTCTTTTCTAGAACAATCGCAGCAGCCACAAGATCTCTGTACTTCGTTCCGAGCCTTCGAGTGTGCTACGCACCTATCCTACCAGTCTCCCTTCTCGCTTCAACGCTTAGATGCCCAGCATATCAAGATCAATTCGCTCTAGGGAGACCAAATCGGTTCAGGAACGATATGCTGCTGCGAAAGATCGTCCTGAGAAGGATGCGCCGACCAAGAAGTTAAAGGACCATGGTGTACAAACAGTGCCATGGAGAGCTTTGTTTTTCTTCACCACCAAGTCACATCTGACATGCCTATTCATTGGTCTCGCAGCGGCGCTCGCAGCTGGTGGTATTGGACCAGCGCAGTCATATCTTCTTGGTAAAGCTTTCAACGCATTCACCAATTCCAGCAGTCCTAGTGCTGTCCTTACCAGTGTCACTAACTATACTATCTACCTCCTTGCTCTCGGGGTTGGGAGTTGGCTAGTGCACTTTGTCTTCTTCTCGGCCTGGCTTGCATTTGGAGAGCTTCAAGCCAATAGTGCCAGGGAAAGGCTGTTTCTGGGCATGCTGACCAAGGATATTGAATGGTACGATATGCGCAAGAACGGAATTGGCGCATTGACACCTCGTCTACAAGCGTAAGGGCCACCATTCCAACTTGCGATGGAAGATGGGTTCGCTGACGATAGCAGACAGATAAGAGACCTTCAACTCGCTACCGCGCAACCTTTTGGTGAACTGGTAACGTCAGGCGCGGGCGCAGTGGCCTCTTTGGGACTTGCTCTGTACACTTCTTGGAAACTCACTCTTGTCATCATCTCGACTACTCCTGTCATCGTTCTTATCATCGGCTACCTAGGATCGTCCATGCAACAGTCGGTCACAAAGCAGCAGGAGAAACTCACGGAAGCTCTCAAGTTCGTGAACAACTCCATCAACGCCATCGAGACTGTCAAGTGTTTTAACGGACAAGAACACGAACTAAGCAAATACTCGTCTCGCCTCAAAGAAGCCGCGAGCTGGTACTACCGCGTTGTCAATGTCAATGCCCAGCAATTCGCCTTTATGGGTTTTATGACACTAGCGATGTTCGTTCAGGGCTTTTACTATGGCGGTGTCCAGGTTGACAAGCACGAAAAGAACACGGGAGACGTCGTCACAACCTTCTTTTCTGCAATCAGCGCTTTTCAGGCCATTTCCAGCGTTCTGCCACAGATGATAGTGCTCCAGAAAGGGAGGACCGCTGGGTCAACTCTCAGAGCCATCATGGCACAAATGGCGAAAGATCCAAATGCTCTGCCGTCGCCTCGGCTTTTGAAGCCAGACAGATGTGATGGCAAGATCGAGTTCCGGAATGCAAGTCAAACACAATGCGCACCTTACTCTCGTTACTAACAGCTCCATAGNGTGTCTTTCGCTTATCCAGCGCGTCCAGACCGAATGGCTTTGAACAACGTCACTTTTTCCATTCCAGCACACGACACTACGTTCATCATCGGAAAGAGTGGATCTGGAAAGAGCACCTTCAGCCAGCTGCTCTTGAAATTCTACCCAGCAGCATCGGGCCAGATACTCTTCGATGGGTTACCTCTAGACTCTCTGGATCCCACCTGGCTCAGAAACCATGTCACACTTGTTGAGCAGCACAGCATGCTGTTTGAGGACACCGTGTTCGAAAACATCGCCATTGGAACAGAGCATCGTCATGATGTTTCGCGTGAAGCCGTGACTGGTGCTGCTGAGTTTGCTCTCTTGCTGGCAATGATCAATGACATGCCTCAGAGATTTCAAACCATGGTTGGTTCAAAAGGCGGAACTATGAGCGGTGGACAAAGGCAGCGAATGGCTCTCGCTCGAGCATATCTGCGAGATACGCCTGTACTTATCCTGGATGAGTCTACAAGTGCACTGGATCAAGTAAGTCGTTCATTGATAATGGAAGCAATCCGTCGATGGCGCCGTGGAAAGACGACTATGATTATCACCCATGATATCACTCAGATTCTCCCCGATGATTACGCAATGATCTTCGAAGACGGCGAGCTTGTACAAGAGGGTCATCGCCATCGCATGGAGCAGATACACAATTCGCCTTTTCAAAAGTTCATGTCTTTTGAGGCTGTTGCCGCGCCAGGTTCTATAGAGATTCAAGTCGGCATGGANAAAGAGCCGGATGAAGTTGTAGCAGATCAGAACCCCACCGACGACCCATTGGAAGCTCACTTGCATGCTGGCGAGAACCCACGCTATTCTTATCTGCCTGCACTTTTCGCGAACAGACACACAAAGGCAGCGTTTCGGGGAGCATATGGCTTTGCTACTCCACTCAGCGAACTTGGCTCGCCGAACTCTCAAACCACACCTGGACCATCCTCGCCTACGAATAGGAGGTCCAGCGGTAAAGACTCTACTATCTCGTACGAACTACGAACCGATGAGACCACTCGGCAAAGCAACAAAAGTTCTACTGAGCGAAGAGAAACAAACAATAGGAAGTCTATGGCGCCTGAGCTTCTGTACAAGTTCGTAGAGTCGACCGGAAATCTAGCTGCTCGAGCGCGTCTTACTTCGGGTAATTCCAGGAGAAGACGTATTCCCTCTGATGGATCTATACCTGCTGTCGTTGGTGGCACCGAGATGCAACCTCTGTCAAAGTACAAGAAGAAAGAGGAACCCGAAGACAACCAGCAAACATTCTCCCTACGAGCTATCCTTGGCACCATCTGGCCTAGTCTGGACTGGTATACGAGAGTCATTCTCATCATCGCTTTGGTTGCTGCCTCCATTAATGGCGCATGTACTCCAATCTTCTCTAATATCTTGTCGAAGCTGATAGGAACTTATGGCAAAGGCGGCAAAGAACAGCATACCGCTACGCTTTACACCGTCTCGATCCTTGGTATTGCGGTAGTAAGTGGCGTAAGCAGCTACATTCTGCATTTGCTCCTAGAGTATGCTGGTCAGGTATGGATCAATACCATGCGTGAGAGATCTCTAGAACGTATTCTCGATCAGCCTCGTGATTGGTTCACTCACGAGGAAAACTCTGTTTCGCATGTGATGGAGGGTTTAGACCGGCATGCAGAAGAAATGCGCAATCTCCTAGGCCGCTTCGCCTCATCCCTCTACATAGCGCTTGTTCTGAGTATTGTCGCTCTCGTCTGGGCTTTGACTGCACAATGGAAGCTCACCCTCATCGCAATTGCTCTCGGGCCCTACGTATATTTCGTTACCAAATCCTTCAGCACTATCAGCGGAAACTGGGAGGGTAGAAGCAACGACGCGGCTGAAGCTGCAGGAGCAATATTCACTGAAACATTCACTAACATCAAGACTGTACGAGCCTTGACTCTTGAACCTCACTTCCGAGAGAAGTACTTCCACGCGACCAAGAACTCACTACAAATTGGCTTCAGACGCTCTATCTATACCGGCTTTTTCTTCGGTATCTCGGATTCTTCTGGAATTTTTATCATGGCACTTATGTTCTATGCTGGAGCTAGATTGATACGAGATGGTGCCAGCCCAACGAATATCGTTGAAGTTTTTGTACAGCTTATCTTAGCGATCACAAACGTGAGCCTTTACCTGGGTCTCGTGCCACAGATAGGTCTTGCAAAGGACTGTGCCTCTCGCCTTCTTCGACTCTCGACATTGCCGAAAGATTCGCATGAGCACTTTGGTAACACGCAGATCACATCGATTGGTGATATTGAGCTACATAACCTGAGTTTCTCGTATCCCTCTCGTCCAGAACAAACAGTACTCAAGAACATCAATCTGCTCATACCCGCGGGCGAGACTACTGCATTGGTAGGATCTTCAGGGTCTGGAAAGTCTACCATTGCTAGTTTGCTTTTGAATCTCTACACGACTGCAAGTGAAACGTCTGAAGTCAATGGCAAAATACCAGATATCATGCTATCAGGTCGCGACTTGAAGCATATCCATACCCCAACACTGCGTTCATTAATCACAGTCGTCTCACAGACTCCAGTACTGTTCCCTGCAACTATCGCGGAGAACATAACATATGGACTACCACAGTCATCTCCTTTCAACAACATGGCATCAGCTCGTCGAGCTGCGGCTGCAGCGGGTATCGATGAATTCATCATGAGTCTGTCACAGGGTTATGAGACCCTGGTAGGTGAAGGCGGTACGGGACTGTCAGGCGGACAGGCTCAACGATTAGCTATCGCCAGGGCTCTGGTCCGCAGACCAGCAGTCATGATTCTCGACGAAGCAACTTCCGCGCTCGACGTCGAAAGCTCGAGCTTGGTTCGTGACACCATACAAGGCTTAGTGGAGCGTGATGGCACTGGTATGACTGTGATAATCATCACCCATAGCAAAGACATGATGAGTATTGCAAATAACATCATAATGCTGTCTCAAGGGCAAGTTGTTGAGCAAGGAAGCTACGAAGGACTGTTGCGCAAGAAAGGCGAGTTTTACCACCTTCTGAGAGGAGGAGAGTGGACCGAGGAGCCGGACATGGACGACGATATTGCCGTGCATGGCCTGTCAGGTGCCATAGATTGGACAAGGGGTAAAGCAAGACCATAAGCATTGCAGTAGTGCGAAGATGGTTTCAAGATGTCATTGCATACATCTTAGAGAACCAAGATCTGACCACAAACACACAAATCGTTGAGTCCGAGAGCAGCAGGATACTTGTTAGTAATTGAACCCAACAGCTTAGGACGCGTCTCTATATTCGCGCAGTCAGTGTGGTATCGTGCCGAGAACCTGTTTTCAAGCGTCGGAAATGTGATCTTGCAAGGGAAAAAGAAAATAGATAGAGGGTGTGGTGGATGCAAATAGAAGACGTTATCTTTTGATTGGCATTGGCCCGCTCGCTAACAATGACAAGGGCTAGGAAGCTTGAGGGCTTGCCACACCTCCCGAAAGTGAGATTGTGCTCTTGTCGAGAAATAGAGTCGTGTTCATCTAGAGCTGTAACATTGCTAGAAACACGTCTTTGACACGAAACAGCCGTGTCTTTTGCTTTGATTTGTTGCTCTGCCCAGCGTGAGAAGAGCAAGAACCGGCTTTAGCATGATTATGTATAACAGTGAAGGATAGGTGTCTACCGACGCGAACTGCCAGCTTCCGAGGGTTGGTAGCCAGCCAAATCACGAAATCATGTAGAGGTGCCGGGCTGCCGAGCTGCCGTGCAGCGAACTTGTGTTGGGACAATCGTGGCAGTACATCAGATCATGATCCCGATTCAGCATGGAAGCGAAGCATGCCGCATGCCGGTAGCCATGAACCTGGACGATCGAAGTACGTGTAGTGGGCTAAATTGGCGAGCTGTTCTTGCTCTCAGCCAGAAAACGATTGGCATCACTCCGTGGAAGATTGAACGAAGCACTGACGAGAGTTTTAAGTAAACATTGATGCTTGAGCAGTCGTAAGTCTTCAGACGTGGCGTCGAAGCAAAGTGTGGTCGACATCCATGTGCATGAAGTCGCTGTAAAGCAAGCTTCTCATCTAGATCCACTCGGCAAGCACCGGGCGAATCAAATCCACGCATCTTGCTATGGTCGCAACCTTATTCTTGAATGATCCTTCGGGTCTCCAACTTGTCCGATGCATCTTGCTCGAAGTGTTAATGATCGCTCTAGATCCGCATGCTTGCCACAGCAACACATGCATATTCGTAGGATAATGGATCCCTGCTAAACATGGGTGAACTTGAATTTTTTCAATCGTCATGAGCAAGTGCTCGAGGTAAAAGACAATGCAGGGAGGCAAAGCAAACCCTCATAAAGACGGAGTCTGCTGCAGACCTGTCTTATACACTGTTCTCTTTGGTCCTGTCAAACTTCAATCGCGCAGCTTGCGCAGTCTTTCGCTTGTCCAGTTTCTGTATTCCCTTTTCATAGTATAGACACAATGGCATCACGCACGCTTCTATGGGTTGCTAGCCTTGCTTCGGTCCCCCTTACTTTGGCCGCCAGTCCGACGTACAGCGCCATCTTCCAACATCCTTTGCCTTTGGCACCAATCGCAACTCCGGCAAGGTGAGAAGCCCAGCTGCTGTGACCAAGTTCTCCGGCTAAATTCTTTNNCAGCTCTGCCAATGTCAATGGTCAACAAATAGACTTCTACGAGATCACTATCGAGCCATTCCAGAAGCAGGTTTATCCTGATTTGGGTCCCGCCAACTTGGTTGGTTTCAATGGTGTTGCACCAGGTCCGACTTACTATGTCCAGAAGGGCACACAGACAATCATTCGTTACCACAATAACCACACTGATGATTCGGTCGTTCATCTTCACGGCTCAGCAACACATTCACCGTGGGATGGCTGGCCGAGTGACGAGATCAAATATGGCCAGTTCAAAGATTACTATTATCCAAATGAGTACGTACAGTCGATTTTGAGCTTAGATCTGCTTGAGGACTATCTACATTGAGTTTCGGGCTGACTGTTCCTTCGCTGATAGNNTCAAAATGCTCGCTCTATTTGGTACCACGACCATGCAGACGGCATCACTACACTCAACTGCTTCAGAGGTCTAACCGGCACATACATCATCTACGATCCGGAAGAAGACAAACTGAACCTTCCCACTGGAAAATACGACGTCCCCCTGATGATCACCGACAAAATGTACACTGATTCGGGTGATCTCGTCGCTGTGGCTAACCAGACTGAGGATTTCGTCGGAGACATCATGGAAGTTAACAGCCAGCCTTGGCCATATCTAGAGGTTGAGCCCAGAAAGTACAGACTGCGTCTTTACAACATCGCCACAAGCAGACCTTACGATCTTCACGTGGAGCAGTCCAACGGCGATTGGCTTGACTTCCAAGTCATCGCCTCTGATTCTGGGTTGTTTGGCTCTCCAGTGGATTCTAACAATGTTGTAATGGGAATGGCAGAACGCTATGAGATCGTTGTAGATTTCTCACCATTCGCCAATCAGAACTTGACCCTGAAGAACGCCTTTAATCTTGAAGGACCAGGATACCCGCAATACCCTAACATGGATCTCGTCATGTCTTTCGTTGTTGGTGACTCTGTGAGCGATTGGTCATCAAACGATGTTCCCAGCACTCTCAATCCCAACATCAATTGGCCAGAGGAAAGAGATCAAGTTGATCATACTTTCCGATTCCAACGAGGTGGTGGTACGTATATCATAATTCTCACCTTCACAAATCCTTTACTGACCTGCTCANNAGACAATGTTTGGACAATTAACGGAGTCGATTTCAACGATGTCAACAATCGCATACTCGCGAGACCGCCTCAAGGCTCAACCCAACGTTGGAGACTGGTCTATGCTGGAGGTCCGGGATATCATCCGATCCATGTCCACCTTGTGGACTTCAAGGTCAGTCAAGGGATCATCCCGACATGTACGAACAGGGACTAAAAGTGTACANNGGTCATTTCTCGAACTGGCGGTAGCCGCGGCGTTCTCCCCTACGAATCTGCAGGATTGAAGGACATTGTGCTTCTTGAACCTGGCGAAACTGTTGATATCGAGGCACACTACGGNCCCGTAAGTCTGTTCTTTATTTGTTGCATAGGATCCGCGCTGACCCAAACTAGGTGGAATGGACTTTACATGTTCCATTGTCATAACCTTCGCCATGAAGACTCAATGATGATGGCCTCTTTCAACGTGACCAGACTTGAAAACCTAGGTTACGATAATGTCGAGTCTCTTGACAACCCTGACGACCCGCGATTCGTAGCGCAGGATTGGTCAGCCGATGCCTACTCTGATGACCAGGTACAGAGCAAGATCAATTACCTCGGTAGCCTGGGTGCGTACAACGAGCAGAGCCAGATTGTCAGTGCAGTTGCAGCATACTACTCGAACAACCCCTATCCTCCTGTTGAGACTGGAACAACTACCACTCAGGCAGCCGCACCCGCACAGACACAGAACTGGGGCCAAGCGTGGCAGAATTGGCAGAACAGTAGAGGATCTGGAGGATCTGGAGGATGGGGCAACCAGAGGGGAGGCCGACCATGGAAGAGATAGATGTTGAATCTGCCATTTGATGCACGATTAGGTTCCTGCACTCTCGTTTTCTGTCACCATTGTTTAGACCCTTCCATTCTTGCACTAATTATCCTGGCAACCATGATGACATACATAGATGCCAGTTAAAATTACATTAATATAGATTTCTCACTTGCATGAACATGCTATGGTCTGCCCAGTCCTTCCAAGATGGTTCGAGCAAGAAATATACTGCTCTAACATGCATGTTGAAGATGACGGCTTGTATTACGCTGCACTGGCAACCCTGCCCTTGGATTCTTCTACGATTCAGGATGTACGATACATGCACAAAGCACGTATGAGAAGACGAGAAGCGATGTCCTTCTGATCTGATTCACCAGCTTGCTCAGCAGTGCGTCAAGTTCTGTGATCGATGTTTTGATGGGATCCTGTCGAGACCGAGCATTTACTCCGACTATCACTCGTCTTATCCGTCCTAAGACCAGCGCATAGGGATGCAGGTTGTCGAACATTCAGTGTGGTAGGTGCAGGCGAATTCAGCTAAATCATTGCCCCGCTCTATCCCATGGAGAGCCGCAAAATCTTGATGTCGTGGTTCGAGACGATGTTGTATCTGTTTAGAAGACTGTCAAAGGAGTAACACGACTCATGTGATGGACCTTGATTTGCCAAAGCTTGTCATCCATTTTTATTCCCCGAGGCTCCGAGCACGTTCCTGCGCCGCCGGCGTCATGAATGCGGGCGGGTTCCGCACATCATTGATATTGGATTCTCGTGATAGGACGACAGTCACCCAGATTTGCTCTCACTTTTCACGCGACATCAAGCAGATGTCTCACGAGATGTTGTCCGCAATGGCATGAGACTCATCTCGAACCAGCGCTGTGTGCTCGTCTCCTATACATATCCCAGACCATGGGCGACAAAATTCAGAATAGCTAAGTTGAGGTGCATGTATGTAAACAGCATGCTTGCGCTTGGTCAAGTGATTCGGTCGTCATTGGAAACCCGGGGCCGGTCGTCCTTCGGTCTCCATCTTAATTTTGTAGGGAAGCATCTGCTCGCGAGCGAGACGAGGTTGCCAATCGAGGATCGTGTTTCGCTAGAATACCCGATTCACCAGCAGGGCAGTGCTGAAAGAGCTCGCACCTTGTCGCTCGCGAGATAGAAGCTCGATCAGGACAATCAAAATCGCTATTTTCCTTGGACAGTCAACATCACGACGTTCCCATGGCGAAGCCACGCGACAAAGATCGGCAGGGGAGATGTAGCAAGTCACCTAAGTCTTGTCAATTTCTCAACGCATCAATCATATGTAAGAATCCTGAGGCTCTACCAAGCCCTTACCTGGCACCGTGCTGACTCCATCATTTCACCATTTCTTGATCGCATCTTGAGAAGCCAACTACCTACCGTTCATGCGAGAAGTCCTGTACAATTTATCGTTCTCGTTGTAACGTGTAGACAATCTCAAACTGGTAAGATGCAGTTCTGCTTGTAAGACTTGACGAGAGGCGTTGAGAGCCTCTTGACCCCTGAGTCGAGTTGTTACCACCGCTGTATCATTGCTAGAAGAATGAGCAGAATAGTGAATATCGATATTGGAGCTACCACATACACCATTCTCGGGCACTCCAGTTCTCTCCGCGGTTCTACTCCGTGCACAATAACCAGCGTCTGCGTCATTCAATATAGCCACAACAGATCCTCATGGCTGCGAGCCTCTGCTCCATGTCAATCTCTACCATGAGATCCACTCGGGTGTCAGGACATCCGCCGGCATGCAATGGAAGGAAAAATTCGGCAGTCGAACATAATAATGCGGGCCTGCACTGCCCAGCCCTAGAATCTGGTGCAAACAAGCGCCAGATGCGTTGTCTGAATTCTGAGGTGCAGCGCCGCACGTCAGATGAATCGGTTGCTCGGCAAGAAGGTAGACAACGCAAATATTCTTTTGTCTGTTGGGGCGAAGGAGAAAGAACGCGACGTCATTCCAGGTTTGAAGATAGCATCTTTTTCTTGGCAGATCACGGCCCGCGAAGTCCTTGTTCCAGACCCGAACACCTTTTTCAACCACAAGGCTTGTCTGAAGGGGCATCAAAAGGTATTCAGCTACCACCAGTATCTTACCAATCATGTTGTAGAGAGAGAAGAGAGCAATCACATTGTGTGGACGGTATAGTATGCTCGATACGAAGATATGGACTTGCTGCATGCGACTAAAGGCAGTTCAACCCGTAAGTCTGAGTTTTCGGTCCGTCAGTCGGTCACATCGCGGACCCTTCAACGTCCACCGAGAAGGAACCTTAGGTTGAGACTGTGATCTCACTGGCATTTGCTTGTCGTGCCACCGCTGGTTCGGTGGGTACGTCTGGTCAGAAGACGGTGGGTTGTTTCCAAGGCTCTCCGGGGCGAGTTTTTCTCGTGGGCCACTTCTCCGTCATCGTATATAGCTGCTCCATCCCTCCCCAGGTCACTTTGCATTTGCATCCACCTTGTTGTTTTCCATCATGAATACCGCACCTACACATCTCAGAAACCCATCACGGAACGCCTCGACGGCCACCGCCTCTTGGACAGAACAGAATTACAAGGAAAAGGACACCGAATCTCCTCGCTCAGGATCTACCGATGATGATGCCACCGATAAGAAAGAGACCAATGTAGAGCCTCACTCACAAGGTTGGCTCTGTGGTGGCAAGCATCTTGAAGAGCTTCGCCAGAATGAGAACCTCAACCTCGACGGGCCCTTGACTGAGGTCGATGTCGACCTGCCTCTTACTCGCACACAAGTCATCAACCAAGGCGACAAGCAGTTGATCGAGCTCAAGTTCGCTCCCGACGACAAGGAAAACCCCTTCAAGTGGGGCAAATGGAAGAGACGTTTCATTTCGACCCAGCTGAACCTCATGACCCTGTTCATCGGTCTGGCCACCACTGCATACAGCTCCGGTATTGGCAGCATGGTTACAGAATTCCACCGCTCTACCGAGATGGGACAATTGGGTCTGTTCACCTTCAACATGACCTGCGCCCTTGCTCCCCTATTCCTTGCACCTTTCTGTGAGCTCGTCGGTCGCAAAATCATCTACGCTGGAGCATACCTCTGCTTCTGTCTCTGCTTCATTGGTCTGGCTCTTGGACAAAACATTGCCACTATCCTTGTCATGCGTACACTTCTCGGTCTTTTCGGCTGCGTTGGAACCATTCTCGTCGGTGGTACATTCAGCGACATGTACGACGTGCACGAGCGTGCCAGGCCCATGGCAATGTTCTCGTACGTTGCAATTCTTGGTACGGTCGGTGCTCCCATCTACGCTGGCTTCATCGACATGACCATTGGCTGGAGATGGATCGAAGGTATTCAGGGATTGAGCAACATCCCTCTCCTTATTTGCATCTTCCTCTTCTTCAAGGAGACCCGCGGTGGTGTCGCCCTTCAGAAGCGTGCCAAGGCCGTCCGCAAGGCTACTGGTGATGATCGCTACCAGAGTGCCATGGACTTCGAGACCCCTAGCGTCCAAGCTATGCTCAAGGCATCTTCAGTCAAGGCTATCTACATGTTGGCTACTGAGCCTGTTGTGTTCTTGTTTGGTCTCTGGATTGCCTTCTCTTGGTTCATTGTCTTCTTGTTCTTGTCCGTCATTCCTATCACTTTCCAGGAGAAACGCGGCTGGAATGAAGGTGTCGGAGGTCTTCCTTACATCTCCCTCGCCATCGGTGTTACTCTTGGTTGGTTGGCTCACCACATCCAGATGAGAAGATACCTCAAACTCACCCAGGACCCCAACCACAAGGTCGTTCCCGAGGACCGTCTCTGGGCTGCTCTCTGGGGAGCCGTCTGGATGCCTATCGGTCTCTTCATCTACAGTTTTACTCAGTACGGATACCTGTCCTGGGTCGGCCCTACCATCGCCCTTGCCCCCATCGCTTTTGGTGTTTACTTTATCTTCGAGTCGACCTACAGTTACACTGCCGATTGTTACGGAGAGAGCTCATCCTCAGCCATTGCTGGCCAGGGTCTCATGAGAAACACTCTCGGTGCCGTCTCTCCTCTTTTCGCTTCTCAATTCTTCCACAATGTCGGCAGCCAGTACGCCGGTCTCATCTTGTCGCTCATTGCTTGTGTGCTCACTCTGGTGCCCTTCGTGTTCTACAAGTACGGACATCTGATGCGCGCTCGCTCGAAGCTTGCCATCGTCTATTAAACAGACATTTGGCGTCTGTCATGATATCGCATTGACACTTATGGCATTTAGCGATTGGCGTTTCGGATTTATTTTTCTATAATATGTACCTACGGGCTGTTTTATGTATGACTACGAAGGATTCTTGATTAGAATAAAAGTCACGCTGTCGAAAGACTACAATAACAACAAACAATTCACAATCAATCTGTTGATCTGCACGTGCAATGTATGCTGGATATCACTTATTATCATCTACTTGGATAGCTCCTGTCAGACTATGTGGTAGCAGTTCGGTCAGTACAATACAAAGCTTGAGGTAGGCAGCCTAAGGAAACACAGAAAGACCGAGAACACGAGTGATGGGGGTCGAGGAGATATGCAACTATTATAAGAAGAGCTACGTAAGATATGGAAGCAAGAGATGCAGGGCGAAACTTGGCCTATGCGACGTCCCGGTGCTTCATGTACGCTGTGGTTTGTTGAATGATTCGTGTCGTCGTAAAAGAGGCTGATTAGAAGAAAGCTTCAATGGTCATATCGTTCGTCGTCAAGTGCAGTATCATTCAGCTTCAAGAGATGTACAGGCTCTTCAGACGTAGTAGCGTCTGCTACTGCTGTGGTGGGATCGGCGAGGGGAGTTGCGTCTGTCGTAGCTACCACGGCTGGAACGTCTTTGACCGTGGCGAGTGCTGTGGTACTCCTTCTTAACGACGACTGTATCGCGATCACGGTGGTGTCTGTGAACCAGAAGGGCAAGAAGCTGAAGAGATGTCAGTACTTGCTAAGCAGGAAATATAAAGCCATACGGGCAACTTACGAATGTAATGAAGAAGAAGATGATGTTCATGATGGCGAGAGCAAAGCAGGCCTTGAGCATGGCACATGTCTTGTTGATATGGAGCGCCCAATCGCTGCCACTCTGACGACCGTAGTAGCCGAAGGGACCCAGACTGAGGTAGATGTTTCCGCTGCTGAAATTGGCACAGTCATAATTCGTTATGCCGCGCAACTCATAGACAGCGGCAATCAAAGTGCCAACAAATGCAAGGTCGACCAAGGCGACAAACAAGGCAGAGTGCCGAGCGCGCAGGTAGGTCACAAGTGTTGCAAGAGTCCATGCTGCTGCCAGAACCGACGTGATGAAGAGCAACAGAATGTAGGTAGGTGTGAGCTGGTTGTTGACGACGAAACCGTGGACGAACCACGCAAGCATGCCCAAAATTGGGATGAGGGTGAGTATCTGCGCGATGCGGAATGAGAGGAAGAGGAAGCCTGATAGTGCCATGTTCGCAATTGGTAGAGTGCGAAAGACTGGTTTGGAGAAAGTCAGAGGAGGCTCGCAAAGAGGAGCTTGTCAGCACGGTTGCAAGTCAAGGCGAGAGGTTGAGGTAGCACGCAGCAAGTATGTGAAGTGGTCACTTGCTTGGTCTTATGAGGGAGGGAACACAGTCAGTATTTGTACAAGGTGATGACGACCACTACGACGACTCGCACAGCAATCAGAGACAGGAAAAATCTTGATTACAAAGGCTGGGATAATATATTCTATGCAGCCAACACCTCTGCATCGCTCTTGGCCTCTTTGATGTGATCTCTGGCCGACAGCGCGCGGGGCTGGCAAGGGTGTGAAAGCATGGAAGGTGGTTGGGGGAATACGGAGAAAAGCAGGAAGTCGCGCCTTGGGCTGGCCAATCGCAAAAAGCCACACTGCACTAGCCTTGCTTCACATTCTCTCTCTGCCAGCATCTTTTCCTTCTATATTCCTTCACTTAACATGCTTCACTTGTGAAACAGCAATTGTGTATCGCCATATACGCAGTAAGTCTTCTCGCGACGATCAATCAGGTCGCTAAGTATGTTATCGTACGTTTCGGCCAAAGTCATGCTACAAGGCAAGCGGCCTCATTGTTGTAATACCTTCTCTGTTGCATGTTTGTCTTGTTCATTCACTGCCATACTGCACACTTGCTCAATTCAGTCCATGTTGAAAATGTTCCCTGCTTTGTCACCGAAAGAGTTGGCTTGATGGTATCTTCGTCCTTCCTATAGTACTGCTAGGTGCAGTTGGTAGCAACATCTCCGATCTTCGTAGGTAGAACATTGAGCAGCCATTCGAGATTCATGTGGATAGAGACCTTGACAAAGGACTATATTCGGACAGTCGTTGGATCGTGGGTGATGATTTGCTTCACTGTCCGACAAACTTATTGTCACATTTGAGAATTCCAACCACCACTTCCTTCACCGCGCGCATTTGTTTATACGCTAAGCTGTTATGACGATAAGTGCGATAAGACGCCCATCGAGTTCCACGCGCACCATGGCAAACACTCACAATACAGCCAACTCGCTTGAGGCCAACATGGTCCACCCTGCACTTCGCAAGGCCACTGACCTGGTCCCAGCTGAGCCTTGGATCTCTGACATGGCCTCAATCAACTCTCTCATAAAGGACGGCATGACCAAGGATCTGCTGCTTGTCTTCGAGGGTGAAGCAGATGGAGTCAGACGCTATAATGGTTTTGTAAGCACTCAACATCTGCGCTTTGCATTTGTCCCTACTAACTTCTTGAAGGATGACCTCTGGGATGACAAAGGCGATTGCAAAGTCAAACTGGGCAGTCAAGACCTCTGCTTTGACAGCAAAATCATCTTAGGAACCAATTCACAAGATCTTGTCTCACTGATCTCAGGTAAGCTCGGCGTCATGTACCTCATAGACAGTGCGCTGACTACGCTTTANGAATGTGTCTGCGANAAAGGTCGGCACTACCACTTCAATGTGCCTTCTCTCGGTCAAGATATGGAGAAAGTCGAAAGATACAACCTTGCTATTCGCAACTTTATTGCAACCATGATCCGCAAACCCATCATCGGGTGTACTCTGATGTCTGCTCTGGAAGACCTGCAGATCATCGTAAAGCACATCTTCAAGATGCAGTATCAACCAGACAGAGCTGCCGATTTTGTCCGAGATTATGTGCAGGAATCGAAGCTTGACAACTTCACCAACAGACCTGCTGATATAGGCAAATTCCTGGCATGGACAGAAGAGATCCGTTGGTCGAGAGCCTTCGTCGAGACTTTCGCTCACTGCGTGGGTATGCTCAACTGTGGAGTCCTTGACCATGAATCTCTGGATGCTCTTTCACCAACCACACGAGCTCTTCTGGAACACAGCTGCACACACATGCACTATCGCCTGTCATCCACCGAGATGCACATGACCATGTTCGGTATCAACGCCGATATTTTGACTAGGCTCGAGCATCATGCTGGTATCAAGGAGTCGCTCCTGGCCTTCCAAGACTTCCTTCGACAACACTATGCCCAAATCTACGGAACATGGCCGCCGCCTGTACATCAGAACAGCGGACACTGGTTGACTCGTTCAGTGGCTCAGCGCTTGCAACAAGACTTTGGCAACCTCTACGATCTACTTATCGACAAGAACGTCCACAGTGGAGTGACTACTCCCACTCGTGTTGATTCCTTCAGCTGTACGCTTGATCGTAGACATCTTTTGGCATCATGGGACCGCCAGAACGGTTTCAACTCCCTGCAGAATTCAACTCCCAAAGCCCCGGACCAGTCTCCTACTATAGTCGTAGAGCAAGAAGAGGAGAAGGGGGCCAGACGTTCGTCTCTCATACCCGCTGTTCAGAAGCACCGTAANAAGGCTCCAGACCTTTACAACATCTACGCACGTGCTACAAACACTGAGGCGCATCGTAAGTGATCCGATGGCAACACTGTCTGTATAGGCTAACCTGACCAAACAGTGTCGCCGTTCTGCAGAGCCTTCTTGAACCACGAAATCTCAACCAAGCACCAACAGATGAACACGCACGAAGGTCGTCTTGGACGTTGGATCATCGTTTACTGCATGATGCAACTCCTTTCGAGAGTCGCCGTCGACATTCAGGGCCTTCGCTACACCTTGGGCGTGGAATATCATCTCAATGCGGACCTCGACGGCACCCCACCATGGAACATCGACGACTTCCCTACAACCATGCGCCCAGCCGGTCCTCAGTACGCTTGGGCTGCATTGTCCGCGAGAGCAAGAGCCACCATGCCGCCTCGTACCCCTGGCAGTGCTCAGAAGAAAACAACCAAGGCCAGACTCAAGGTTGTCCACCTGGCTGATGGTCGAGTCATGCTTCAAGACTCTGATGGCCATGTTATCTTCAGGTAGATGACACGGCTGTGAGCGAGAAGGGTTTACCCTCCTCATTCTGATCTGACCGATGTGCGAGAAGAGACGAAGGAAGACATGGCGCATCAGGAGAACTGTTGCTGAGATGTGGGTCACAAGACTAAGCATAACCAAAACAAGAGTCCTTCAGGAGCGAGAAGCAAATTGAGACTTCTCGTCCAATATGGAAGGAACCATCCATGTTCTTACTGCTTGTAGTTAGACCGAAGTGGCTCTTGCCCTATCTACTGAAGTTCGAGTGATTTCCAAGATTCTCGTGTGTCATGAGTAATAGTCAGGTTGCTATCTAATCCTTCCCTTTCCGGCAATCTGCTATATCCGTAGAAGACTGTCGATATCGACACGACGGTAGTAAGAAATATGTCCAAACTCTATCCAGTGCTGTGCTAGGCAGTCAGGGGATATAAGAATGAGCTGAGAAGGCATATACTCGTCTGCGAATGGGAATCATCAGCACTATTTTTTATGGTTGTTGAGCGAGGAAGACGTTCTTACCTCNNCTGTGAAGCCTACTCCAGCAATGTGACCGGCACTCCTGACAACCCTGGCACCCCGGAAAGCCGCTTCATCTGCAATACGTACAAGACCGCCATCACTTATATCAGGAGCGATGAACGTGTACTCTCCACGCGGCACATTGGGATCGCCTGTCAGCTTGATAGCCTCGATGCGTCCACTGTATATGTCCTGTCCATCGGTAATACCTGGTGAAGTTGGCGTAAATGATCCGGTGACGGAAGACGTGCCAGGCTCAGACTCCTGGTCTTCTTGTGCACTTGCGTAGCTGCTGTCGCTGCTTTCAGAACCATTGCTATAGCGCCGATATCGACCAGTAGCGAGCCACTCAAGCATATGGTTCATTTTTTCCGGCAAGGGGATCTCTTCGCCTTTCTCTGGCTGCACAACAAGAAGGAACTCACAGCCGTGGCCACTGTAATCACCACACCAGATGCCTTGCCAGGGCTTTTCTTGGGTAGGAACATAGCAACTTGGCGGCAAAGTTCCAAACGTCGAAACCTCTTCGCCCATGCGCACCGTCATGGCTTGGCCACCAGCATTCATGAGCGTTGGAGCAAAGCCACCGAACCCAAGAGCAGTGTGGATGCGATCAGCAGCACCCAAGGCCATTATTGAGCTGCTGTGACGGCGGCCAGAGAATTCAACCCACTTCCGCAAACGAAAGGTGTTTTGACTGACCTCGTCCAGAGTTGAAGGTCGGTGCGAGAGTGCTTGAAATGATCGAGTCGAAGCATTGCGAGTTCGCGATAGAGCAGGGATCTTCAGCGGTGGCCAGACTCTGGTTCCAGGGCCTATGGCGACCTCTGGAAGGTCGCGTGCAAGCATGAATGATGTGTAGAGGCCGGGTGGAGCAGAGCAGTTCATCATGATCTCACGAGACAGCAAGGGAAGGGGTTGGCTCCCATGGTCGTCATATTGGTCAGAAAGATGTGCTTGAGTACGTGGGTTTCCAGGATCAAGCTTCAAGACAGGTGAGTTGAGGTCTAATTGGACTTTGGGGTTGAAGGTGTGGATGGAAACATCTTCATCGTGCTCCCAGTGCTCGAACTTGCGGACGCCAGGCTCGGCGACTATGGCATATGCTTCGATACATCCTCTGCGCGAATCATAACGAGCAAGCAACAGCTTGCCGTTTGGCTCACTGTCCGAAAACCAGATTTTATGTCGGCACAGAAACCAATAAGGATGATGAGTAATGTATAGATCCCGGAAAGATGGTAGAGGAGCTGCGCTGGTCAAGGGGTGCGGAATCTGGCCGTTGACGTGCTGTTGCCACAGAGAATCACTCAGAGCATGGTTACGAAGAAAGCGGCAGGTCAGCGCCAGATCAGCCAGACACGTCGGCTCAAGAAATCGAAGCACGTTTTGAATCAGCTCAGCTGGCAAACTGAATAATCGTGGTACCAAGTTGTCTTCAGCCATGGTTGTAATTGATCAAGTCAAGTCGTAGGCAGAGCGGCGACAACGGCACCACCGAGTCGTGTAGATAGAAGCGTCACCTCCGCCCTTGCACCACCTCGGCACCTTCCATTTACGGAATGCTACGTATTCAGACTGGGACGACTAATAGAAGGTTTCTACTCTTCACTTCTCTCTTTGCACTTGAAGATAGGAAAATGATTTGTACGTGATCATGCTGCTTCAAAATGTTAGGGAAACCAAGGATTAATCGAAGTCATGACATTACAACACGGGGTTCGAAACCCACGACGACATGCAGTCAAAGTGCTGACACCTATGCTGGTCTAGTCTAATGCTAAGCTCTCTGAGTTTGCCCTTTCTTTCCAACAGCGCTATGCCTTTACAATCACTCCCAATGCACGCACTCGCTATCAAAAACGCTCGCTTATCGTCCCTTACTCTTCTCATCATACTTGTAGTCTTCCTCTAACGAATCGTTGCGGCGTCAAATGCTGGAGTGGCTTCTAATTCAGCATTGCCATGCTCCTGATCGTCAGACACTGCTTGTGGTGTTGAAGCACCGGCTGCTTGTTCCGACTTCTCGCCCGAAGATGAAGACTTGGGCTTCTCAACCTTTGCTGTCTTAGGCTTGACGGGAGCCTTGGGTCTGACTACAGAAGGTGTTCGCTTAGGAGGGCTTTTGACTTCAGTCTTGTCGTGCACCTTGCTGGCCGAGCTCGCGGTTGGTCTCATCATACGTGCAAGGAAACCATCATCAGGGCCTTTGGAAGCAGGCTTGCTTTCGGTCTTCTTGGGGGCGCTGGATGTCGATGCTAGTGATGATCGAGCTGCGGGCTTTGCAGAGGCTGCAGGAGCACGCGCTTGAGGACGGTTGGCTACCGCGGGCTTGGAGACAGACACTGAAGCTTTGGAAGGCTGGGAGTCTTGTCTTGCTGCTGAAGCGGCAGTTGGTGCAGTGAGATGCGATGACACCTTGATTGGTCGGGTGGGCGATCGAGGCCGGGTGGGTTTAGACTGAGGAGATTTGCTGATAAACGCATTAGCAAACCTGGCATTNNGATGGATCCTGCATGTTTCGCCTCACGTCTTGATAGAAGCAGCGTCAGGCTTCGACTTAGCCTGGGCAAGCGAAGAATTGCTAGGCTTTCGGACTGGAGGCTTGGGCGAGAGGGTAGACGATGATTTGGTTGCTGGTGATTTCTTGACCGGCGTGGGTGCCGACGCTTTCTTGACAGAGGTTGGCGTTTTGGGAGAATCTGAAGCTTCAGCTGATGGCTCGGGCGCGGTTGCGACGATGTTGGCGGGTCTATGAGGCACAGAGGCAGGGCTTGCGTCGGCGGCTGTGACAGTGCCACGACGGGCGCGTGAGGGAAGCTCTGTAGGCGGCGCCGACTTGTCGTCTGAACTAGCGTCAGGAGTAGGTGAGACGAGGGAGCGATCAGTGAGATCAGAAGGCTGCATGGATCCCGGCTCTTCTTGCACGCCAGACANCCTGTACACTGACTTAGCATCTGGAAAGAAAGGGGGCCAGGTTTAGCTCCTAACCGGCTTGTCAGGATTGTCGGCAGGCATGTCATCAGCAGGTAGCGTCATGGGTTGAGCAGTGTTGCTGTCTGTAGTCTGGGTGGCGGCGGCAGGCTCAACCACATCCTCGGTCGAAACCTCGTCTCGGAGCTTGCTCTGGGGCATTTCACCATTACCATGAGCGATTTGTCCAGCGGCCATGTAGTCCTTGGCCTCGACTGCAGGGGTGGTGACGGCGGGGGTCTGTTCAATAGCAGCCTCTGGGATCGTCTCTGCCACCATGGGGTTTGAGCCCCTGCGTTCTTCCTCCTGGCTCATACTCTGCCTAAGGTTGGCGACGGCATTGCTGCCATCATCCAGACTGAAGCTGTGGCGGCGGAGGCTGGCAGAACTCTCTTGCCTGGACTGATACTCGTCCTTTGTCTTTTGCGGATCGATGTCCATGGCAGGGCTCGGGCTGTTTGGGCTGCCGTGCTCGACAGAGACGAAGCTCGAGCGGACCTTTGATAGGGGACGGTCGCCGTTGGAGGCTGGGGACAGATGGCCGTTGGAGCGGCCGCGGTCAGGCGAGGTAGAATCGGTGGATGTGGATGTGGTGTTGTTTGTGTTGTTGTTCTCGAACATGGCGAGCAGGTTGCGTACTTGGCTGTTGGAACGATTTACCGACATGGCTGTGGGCACCGAAAGGTAAGCATTTGTGTCTGGCCGCATTGGAGTCTTTTGAGTCTTTCAGCCAGGGTCTCGAGATCAAGGTTGCTGTTGATTGCACTCGTCGGTCGACAAATATGCTGCACGAGCCGCTTCATCTTATGAAACGAAACGCTAGTCTGTGTGCCAGGGCTGCTGCAATTGGACCTCACTTACACTATGAAAATCACCAGAACATTGACATGCCAACAGGGAAGCTCTGTCTGGTGGGTTTGAATGTGAATTGAAGAGGGAGACAAGACTTTCTTGGAGCTGTCGACTTGTAACTATTCGCGTGTCCTGAGCCATCGAAGTTCCACATGTTGCCAAGCCCTTGGACGTCATAGTATGCACAGACTGACTTCCACCTTGCTGTCTCGTGCAGGCCAGATGCTCCTTGTGAGACGAGTTTGGCTGCTGTTTTATATCCTTCTATGTGGCTCTATATCTGTCTTGCACAAGTAGGTCGTGTGTCAAGCCTACACCAGCCGGAAAAGCTGTGCAATCTGGGCCAATCAATTTGTCGTCTCCTTAGATAGATTGCTGCGTGAAACACGTCCAAGGCCAATTTCCTTCGAGAACATGTCACATTCAACCTGCCATCTGTCTGCCGTGTGCTGGTGACGAATTCGAATGCACATGAACTTGAGCTCATGCAGGTCAGCGCTCTCGTCAAATGTCTGGCACAAAGCACGTGTTTCTTTGCACACTGGCTTTGTTCTACCCACACAGGCGAGAACCTTCTGGAGTGAGCACTCTCGATTCAGGTACACCACCTCTTCCACTCTCCGCTGCTGTCTTGTTGTTCCTTGAAACACCCAACCACCTGAAAGTCCTAGGTAAGACGACAGACAGGTACAAGTAAGGTACAAGTACACACGCGAAGCCGTTGACATCGGAGCGCTGCCGAAAGTCAATAGCCGGATTGTCGGTCCCGGGTCCCGAGCCAGCCATTGTCCTTGACCACACGTTCGTCCACCACTCTTGGTCAACAGACTCGCTGGTGTGTCCGCTTGTCCATAGCTCTCTTGAACAGCTGTCTAGATACCATGGCGGCAGCAGTCTCTCCACAGCCCTCGACTGCTTTCGATCTACGCAACACGGCACCATACACGATCCGCTTGGGCCGCCAGCTGCCGTCGTGTTCTAGTATACAGTACAATCATAAACCAGATCTCTCAGATCCTGGCAATGCCGAATCTTCGATCTCCCATGCCGCCGAGGACGGCCGAGTCACGCTCTCCTTGAAAGACGGCGCCGATGAGTACAAGTATACCGGCACGCGCCATCACGATGACGATGACTACCTTCTATTGCTCGACGAGGATGGTAAAGATTTCGTGCTAGAAAAGATTGCTTCATCCTACGCTTTGAATTTGTCTCGTGCGCCCTGGGAAACGAGCTCTAAAGTCCTGGCCGATCGATACCCGCAGTTGCGATTGACCGACGACGATGAGCACCGAGAAGACTCTGATATCGCAGACGACAATGACGGCGGTGTCTCGCTGGATCCAGCTGATGCAGATGCCGCCAATCCTTTCGATTTTAGACATTACCTGGACGTCGAAGACTCGCCTAGTCCTCACCTTCCTCCCGTAAAGGCTGCACCAGCGGCCACCCCAGCAGCATCTCAAACCTCGACCAGAATGAATACGCCGATCGCTAAATCCATCCGCAAACAAACCTCTGCGTTCGCCCCACAAACCGCCAAATTACCACCGAAGCCACGAACAAAACCAGCCCCTTCGGAGGTTGAATCAGTCTCGAAAGATGTGGCGCGCTCGCCCTCTCCAGGAACACAATCGCACCACAAGACTCAAGTTCAAGTGCCAGCTGTTCGTATCGACCGACGTGCTTCGACACGGGTTGCGTTGCCTTCGAAACCTCCGCCAAAGAAGCGAGAACCAGAAGAACTCTCGCTTGATGATGATGAGGATGATGGAGATCTGATCCTTGAAGGTGATGAGCCGGAGCATATGTCATACCATTCCAACAACTCAAAATCCAGTCTAGGCCTTGCCTTGACAAACGGACTGGGCGAAGGACCCCGAAGCTTGCGAAGCGCGGCGAGTAGTCCTGCTGGTAGCCACATCAACTCGCCAGCTCCACAACGACCAAGTCCACTCACGGAACATCGAGAAAGAGGTTATGACGAGGACGAGCTTGTCATGGACCCTGATGAAGAAGCCAACGAATACGATGACGTGGAGAGTGATGCAGACGAAGACGGTGATGTGGACGCTTTGCAGCTACCCAGTCCTGCGCAGGCGCATCGACCAAGCATCAGCGGACCGACGATCAGTGGCGACGATGATTACGATCTCGAGAAGCAAATGCTGCTGGAGTTGGAAGGAGGCTTGGACGACTATGCAGCATCTGGACAGCCAGGTGGTGCAGACAGTGATGAAGAAAGTGAAGAAGAATAAGTTGAGAATGCAGATGTGCATACAACGTAACGAAAAGTATCTCGTTCAGCAGCAGCGGTCTGCAATGATGGAAGGAAATTGGATATACAGGAACAGAGTAATTTTACAGATACCCCCATTTGCCATAGGTTTTGAGTGCACGATTTTTAGTGTCTATCGCAGACTGATCTCACCCTTCCAAGTTCCCTCGGTCAGGCCGAGTGTCTCAATCAGGTGTTGCCATCTTGGCCCACCTCTTTCCTTTCGCCTGAGATACTGGAGAAGCTTTTGTCTCTTGTGGACCAGNNGGATGGTCAGGTTGCGCTTGTTGATCTTATCAGGTCTACCTCTGCTCTCCAGGAAATCGGCCAGCGTCTTGATCTTGGCCGTCAAGATGGCGATCTGAACCTCACTACTGCCTGTGTCGGGGCCGGCACGCTCGACTTTTTGTGTGTTTGCGCTAGGGTTCTTCAGAAGGATCGATTCAGCGACCGGGGGCTTAGGAGGCAGCTTCTTGTCAGTTTGATGGCGACCGAAAGTGTCGACACAGCGCTGAATGTTGACACGAAGACGATCTTTGGATGAGCCGTTGGACAACGACACAATACGATTTAGGGCCTCGGTGGCCGTGGCGTGCTTGTCCTTGCGTTCTTGCTCCTCCTGCTGACGTTCCTGTTCCCTGCGTTGTTTCTCTTCTGGATCGTTGGTCTCGAAGAAGTCTTGCTCGGCGACGGAAGCAGTCAATTGCTCACTGCGGATAGAGGCATCCTTGATTTCCCGCTGAGTAAGGAAGAAGTTCTTGTATTCCTCGTTCTGAGCGTTCGGACCAGAAGGAGATCGGTTTGGTGAGGCTGATTCATTACGAGTGGCGGCGTGGGTGTCGTTGGTAGAAGAAGGGGTAGGAGTTGAAGGAATAGCCGTCTCGAATGACTGGACGAAGGGAGTGGTGATGCCTCGCACGGGATCACCAAGGGCTGCTGAACGCTCCTGCTCAAGAACCGTCTGGCGCGAGATGTTGGCAGCTTTGCGAGCGCGAGCTTGTGCTAGCGCATACGGATCGCGGTGTCGTCTCTTCTGCTGGACCGTAGAGGCCTGGTCTATGGATGTCGAGGCAAAAGTTCGACAGATTTGCGCTGATGAGGATGCCGTACAGCCATGTCNCTGCAGTAGATGGTTGGTACTGGCAATGTGCAGTCCTCGAACATACAACATACCATTCAGAGCTCTAAGGCTCGAAAACAGAGGAACGCGTGGCGGCATGGTTGTATCTGGCCTGGGTATAGGTTCGACTGGTCTTTGATTTTGGCTTGAACGGAGATGGATCGGCGGACTTCCTTGCCAAGCAGACTCCCCGCGACAACCAAAGGCTCTATCAGACTACCACCAACTTACAAGCATGTTGGAAAAACATCACATTCTTATGAAGAAGACAGGTACATCAGAAAAAGTTGTCGGAAACGATATCGAGGGCTATGTAATGGAATGAAGCCAAAATGGTAGTCACCCTCAATCAATAGCTGTTCACAATGATTAGTACAGACAGATATTAGACATTGTATGTGAGCTAAAGCAATATTTCAAGAATCTCCGTCCACCATGAGTAATGAGTGCATATGTCGAAACTCAGGTGTAGGCCCTTGACCACCACGAGCATCTTCACTCTTGGACCAGTGATGGTCATTCTCAAGTTTCGAGATGTGACCCTGGCCATGGTCACGGCTAAAGCCCGGGCGGAGCGCGATCGCTCCCACAGCTTGGCGCGGCCAAAATTCAGCTTGCCAGACGCGGCTTCCATCTTTTACAGTGTTGCGCCTTCCCTCTTCCCTTGTCACCAGCCCGTCGACAACTCTATACCGGTCAAGATGTCTCCCTCCAACACCCCCGCCTCCATGGCTGCTACCAGCCAAGACATTGAGATGCTCCTGGCTGCTCAGGTTCGTGCGACTGCGCAGCATACCGACTTCCTCGACTAATGTGCACAACAGTGCCACATCGGTTCCAAGAACCTCCAGGTGCACATGGAGCCTTACCTTTGGAAGACTCGCCCCGACGGTGTCAACGTCATCAACATTGGCAAGACCTGGTACGTTTGGTGATGCTGTTGCAGAGAAGCGCGCAAAGCGCAACTTTTCGCAGCTTCGAAATTTCGCAAAAGAGCCATGTCTGACCTGGATGCGCCTTTAGGGGAGAAGATCGTCCTTGCTGCCCGCATCATCGTCGCCATTGACAACCCCGCCGACATTTGCGTTATCTCTGCCCGTCCCTACGGTCAGCGTGCCGTCCTGAAGTTCGCCGCCCACACTGGTGCCTCCGCCATTGCCGGTCGCTTCACCCCCGGTAACTTCACCAACTACATCACCCGCTCGTTCAAGGAGCCCCGCCTCATCATCACCACCGACCCCCGCACTGATGCCCAGGCCATCAAGGAGGCCTCGTACGTCAACATCCCCGTCATCTCGCTCTGCGACTCCGACTCGCCCACCGAGTACGTCGATGTTGCCATCCCCACCAACAACAAGGGTCGTCACGCCATCGGTCTCGTCTGGTGGATGCTCGCCCGTGAGGTCCTCCGTCTCCGTGGCACTCTCCCCAGCCGTGAGGCCGAGTGGGATGTCATGACTGACTTGTACTTCTACCGCGACCCCGAAGCCGAGGAGAACAAGGACTCTGCCAACCAGGATGAGGCCAAGGTCCCCGGTGCCGATGAGGTCGGTGCTGGCGCCGTCGAGAGCGGTTTCGCCAACGACTGGGAGGTTAGCGGCGCCAACGCTGGTGCCTTCGCTGCCGCCTCTGGCACCGCCGGTGCTGCTGCCAACTCCAGCTGGGATGCTGAGGGTGCCGACTGGGCTGCTTCCAGCGCTCCCGTCCAGACCGGTAACGAGGGCTGGGCCTCCGAGACCAACGCCGAGACCGCCCCCGAGACCACCTGGTAAATGTCACATTATCGAGGGGGGCGAGAGCGGGTTTGATGAAACAAAAAGTCGATACAACACAAAATGGGGGATTTCAATAAGTCCGACTACGAAAGTTCAAAAGTCCATTTGCTGCTGCTCGGCCTTCCACTTCACCGTCGCTATTCTTGCTCTACTCTAGATCAAAGAGAACGGCGCTTATGAGGGAAAGATATCCACTGGCCTTGCTGCCAGTGGGGGAAAAGCCCTGTGCTGTCTCGAAGGGATGTACTTGAACGTTGCCCTATCTAAGTAGACATTGCCACTATATGTTCGCCTGTTCCTCAAGTGCCTGTTGCGTATGACTGTGACTGTATGAAAGCTGAATGATTGATCTGGACGATAGAGATGTGGTGTAGAAAATAATCAGTTGACGTGTGCCGTGGTGCCGATGTCGGTAGTCTGGCGTCCAAAAATTTGGGACATTCTTGTGGGGGTGGAACTGGCGTGCTCAATGCTCATAGAGCCACGGCCAGTCCAGACGCTTTGAGTCACCGTGCAATTGACCTTCCTGCTCACCCCGACCTTTTTGAGAGCTCCATCGCTGCTGCTGCTGCTGTGAGCCCATTCGTCGACCATGTCGGGCAGCTCAAGTGCCAGCGAGCCCACACGGGTTTCGATTCTGGGCAAGGAATCCATCATTATCGACTACGGACTCTGGAAGAACTTCGTTGTGCCCGACCTGCTGGAGAACGTATCCTCGGGCACCTACATCCTCATCACTGATACCAACATTGGCGCTCTCTACACACCTGCTTTCGAAGCCGCCTTCAAGGAACATACATCCAAGCTTGACAATGCGCCGCGACTCCTCACCTACCAGGTTGCGCCTGGCGAGAGCTCCAAGAGCAGATCGACCAAGGCCGCCGTTGAGGACTGGATGCTTTCGCAAGGTGTCACTAGAGACAGCGTTGTCATTGCTCTGGGTGGAGGTGTCATTGGCGACATGATTGGCTTTGTCGCCGCTACATACATGCGTGGAGTGCGTTTCGTTCAGGTCCCCACCACTCTTTTGGCTATGGTCGACTCTTCGATTGGTGGCAAGACGGCCATCGACACTCCTCTGGGCAAGAACCTGGTTGGTGCTTTCTGGCAACCCCAGCGCATCTACATCGATCTCAAGTTCCTCGAAACTCTGCCCAAGAGAGAGGTCATTAACGGTATGGCAGAGGTCGTCAAGACAGCCGCTTTCTGGGACGAGGCCGAGTTTGCTACTCTGGAAGAGAATGCCGATTTGATCATGAAGGTTCTGGACGACAAGACCAAGAAGGGGGAGGGCAGATTCACAGAAATTGCTCACATCCTCAAGCGCATCGTTCTCGGTTCTGCTCGTATCAAGGCCGAGGTCGTTTCTGCTGACGAAAGAGAAGGTGGCCTACGCAACATCTTGAACTTTGGTCACTCGATCGGCCACGCCATTGAGGCCATCTTGACTCCTCAGATTTTGCACGGCGAGTGTGTCGCTATTGGAATGGTCAAGGAAGCCGAGCTGGCCCGTCACTTGGGCGTCCTTGCTCCTGGTGCTGTTGCTCGTCTTTCCAAGTGCATCTCAAGTTACGGCTTGCCTACCTCGCTCGAAGATAAGGTTATCCGCAGGAGGACAGCCAACAAGCACTGTCCCGTCGACCGCCTGATTTCTATTATGGCTGTTGATAANAAGAACGCAGGCGGTCAAAAGAAGATTGTCCTCCTTTCCGCCATCGGCAAGACCTACGAGCCCAAGGCCAGCACTGTGGCTGACAAGGATATCCGCATCATTCTCTCTCCTAGCGTGCTCGTCCACCCTGGTGTCGACAGTTCTTTGAACATCTCCTGCAAGCCTCCAGGCTCAAAGAGTATTTCCAACCGTGTGCTGCTCCTCGCTGCTCTCGGCTCTGGTCCTTGCCGTATCACCAACCTGCTGCACTCTGATGATACCCAGGTCATGCTTACAGCTATCAACAAGCTCGGAGGAGCAACCTACTCCTGGGAAGATGAAGGCCGTGTCCTTGTTCTGACCGGCAACGGTGGTGAGCTGAAGGCTAGCTCTGACGAACTTTACTTGGGCAACGCTGGTACTGCTTCTCGCTTCTTGACCACTGCTGTCTCCCTCGCTAAGCCATCTTCTGTCAACCACACCATTCTGACTGGCAACGCTCGCATGCAGGAAAGACCTCAAGGACCCCTCGTTGATGCTCTTCGCTCCAACGGTGTCGAGATCGAGTACATTGGCAAGCCTGGAAGCCGCAGTCTTCCCCTTCGCATCGCCGCTGCTGGCGGTTTCGAAGGTGGTGTCATTGAGCTCACTGCCAAGGTGTCTTCGCAATATGTTTCATCTATCTTGATGTGCGCTCCTTACGCCAAGAACCCTGTGACCCTTCGTCTTGTCGGCGACAAGGTCATCTCCNNCCAGCCATACATTGACATGACTATTGCTATGATGGCTCAGTTTGGTGTTGAAGTCGAGAGATCCAGCACAGAAGCCAATGTCTACCACGTCCCTCGCAAGGCCTACACCAATCCTGCCGAGTATGAGGTTGAGAGTGATGCCAGTTCTGCTACCTATCCTCTTGCAATGGCTGCCATTTCTGGCACTACCTGCACAGTCCCCAACATCGGATCAAGCTCTCTCCAGGGTGACGCACGCTTTGCCGTTGAGGTGCTACGACCAATGGGTTGCAAGGTCGAACAGACTGCAACTTCTACTACAGTCACAGGTCCTCCTGTCGGCGAACTCAAGCCGTTGCCCGAAGTCGACATGGAAACCATGACTGACGCTTTCCTTACCGCTTCCGTACTTGCTGCTGTGGCTAAACCCAACGCAAACGGCGCTACCACTCGTATCCTTGGTATTGCCAACCAGCGTGTCAAGGAGTGCAATCGCATCAAGGCAATGAAGGACGAGCTTGCCAAGTTCGGTGTTACATGCAGAGAGCTTGACGATGGTATTGAGATTGATGGCCGCGGATTCGACCTGCAAGAGGCACAAGGTGGCATTCATTGCTACGACGATCACAGAGTCGCCATGAGTTTCTCTGTCCTCTCCACTATGGCTCCCAACCCCACGCTCATCTTGGAGAGAGAATGTGTGGGCAAGACTTGGCCTGGCTGGTGGGACCAGCTGTCTCTACTCTTCAAGGTCAAATTGGAAGGTGTAGAATTAAAACCCTCTTCCTCTGTTGGCCATTCGATCTCCTCAAGCAACCAGAAGTCAATCTTTATCATTGGAATGAGGGGTGCTGGTAAGACCACTACAGGAGGTTGGGCTTCCCGTCTACTCGGCTGGCCTCTTATTGATCTCGACACCGAGCTGGAGAGAACTGCTGCTATGACTATTCCCGACATCATCAAAGAGAAGGGTTGGGATGGTTTCCGTGAACTTGAACTCTCTCTTCTCAAGACTGTGATGAAGGAGAAGCCCACTGGCTACATCTTTGCTACTGGTGGTGGTATCGTTGAGTCAGCCGAGGCACGTGGTATCCTCACATCTTACCACAAGAACGGTGGCAATGTGCTATTGGTGACCAGAGATATCAACCTCGTCATGAACTTCTTGCAGATTGACAAGACACGCCCGGCTTATGTCGAGGACATGATGGGTGTGTGGCTCCGCAGAAAACCATGGTACGAAGAGTGCAGCAACTTCCACTACCACAGTCAGACAGTCGAATCTATGGATGGCGCCAGAGCCAAGAACACCATCGAGGACTTTGGTAGCTTCTTGAGACTTCTCACCAACCGTGAGTGTGCTTTGGAGCGCATGAGAAGAAAGAGAGAGTCCTTTTTCGTCTCGCTGACACTCCCGACGGTCGCTCCGTTCTTGTCTCGTCTCAACGAAATCTCGTTAGGAGTCGATGTCATTGAGTTCCGTGCGGACCTTTTGCAAGACCCATCCACATCTGATGGACGCCCGAGTCCAGAATTTCTTGTCGAACAACTTGCGGCTCTGCGATCAGGCAGTTCGCTGCCCGTCATCTTTACTCTTCGCACCAAAGCCCAGAGTGGACGTTTCCCTGACGGTGCTGATGAAGAGGCCATCAAGCTCTACAGAGTCGCACTTCGCATGGGATGTGACTTCGTCGATGTAGAGCTGACATCCTCGCCGGAGCTCAAGGAGTTCGTCATCTCGAACAAGCGTAACAGCAAGATCATTGCATCTCATCATGACCCCGCCGGTAAGCTCTCATGGGCCACCGGTGGCAGTGCATGGATGCCGCACTACAACGCCGCGCTGGAGTACGGAGACATTATCAAGATTGTCGGTACCGCAAAGTCGTTGGAGGACAACTTTGCACTTGCAGAGTTCAAGGCATGGGCTGCAAAGACTCATCCCGAAATCCCGCTCATTGCTCTTAACATGGGTGAGCATGGCAAGCTCAGTCGCATCACGAACCGCTTCATGACTCCTGTCTCGTCCCCTGCTCTGCCCGTCGTTGCTGCTCCTGGCCAGTTGTCAGCTGCCGACATTCGTCGCGGTCTTAGCTTGATCGGCGAGATTGAACCTAAGAAGTTCTATCTATTCGGTTCGCCTATTTCTCAGAGCAGAAGCCCTGCCCTCCACAATGCCCTGTTTGCACAGTCGGGACTTCCGCACGAGTATGGCTTGTTCGAGACTACCGAGGCAAAGGACATTGAGAAGATTATTCGTGCCCCCAACTTTGGTGGTGGTAGTGTGACAATCCCTCTCAAGTTGGATGTCATGGAACTGCTCGACCATGTCGACCCAGCCGCCAGAACCATTGGTGCTGTCAACACCATTGTGCCTACTCAGACTGCTGACGGCAAGACTATCTTGACTGGCTACAACACAGACTGGCAGGGCATGACTATTGCGCTGCAGTTCGCTGGTGCTGAAGGTAACAACGGTGTATTGAAAGAGGCAGCCATGGTTATTGGAGGTGGCGGTACCGCGCGCGCCGCTATCTATGCCTTGCATAAGATGGGTTACAGCCCGATCTACCTGGTCGGCCGTAACACAAGCAAGCTCCAGACACTGGCTGATTCTTTCGACGCTTCGTGCAATATCGAGGTCTTGAGTGATACTGAGCAAGTGTCCAAGCTGTCAGCTGACAGACACCCTGTCGTGGCCATCGGTACCATCCCTGGTGACTCGCCCATCGACCCTGCAATGCGCGAGACGCTGTGCTCATTGTTCGAGGCTGGCAACAACCCTCGTGACATCCCTGGACCCAACGACAGGGCCAAGGTTCTTCTGGAGATGGCCTACAAGCCACGCGTGACATCGCTGATGCAGCTCGCTGAGAACAGTGGCTGGAAAACTGTCCCCGGTCTCGAGGCTCTTGTCGGACAGGGTGTCCACCAGGTAAGCAATTGTTCCCAATGATATACTAGACATACCAGCTAATTCTTCTATCANCAGTTCAAACACTGGACCGACATCACTCCTCTCCATGACTTCTCCAGAAAGGCCGTGCTAGGTGATGAGGCATAGAAAACGACAAATTGATGGAGGACGATCTAAAGTAGAATCATGATCGAATCGTTCTGACCAGTGTCGGAAAAAGCATTCCTTTACTTGACCTGCCTTCTTCGAGAACATGTGATCTAGCCAGTGTATGTTTTGCTCCTGCAAAGCTTGATCTAAGGCATTCTGTGTCATGTTGCCGATAGAGTCACCCTGTCTTTGCTTTTCATCATCTCATATCTCGTCTTGATCTACTCTCAGACGCTTCTTTCCCATGTGTATGACTTCGTTGGACGATCCCTGAGCTTTTATCGACTGTTTGTTTTAAAGGTGCCCCGATTTAATGTCGTTGTCATACGTTCAAGTTCACCGTGGAATTTCGATACACTTTGGTATTGATACTCACTATCTTGACGACGACATTGTGTCCACATTTCCAGGAACAACCCAAGGAGTCGCTTCGAAAGCGATGGAACAGCATTTGGATAATTACATTCCAATGGTGAGGTTTGAAATATGTGCCGCGAGAAGAAGTGATATGGAAATGTTACGTTGATGACAGGGTTGCCTGCTAAGAGTCGTGAGCACCGTCTATCAACTCACACCACACAAGACACAGGTATTCAGACCACATCCATATCGTTAGCATGGTATACACATCGACAAAGCGGCAAAATTTAGGATGCCGAACGGCGGTTTATCCGACTAGGACATTGGAAATGTATGGAGTGTTGTTGGTTCGTTACAAGTGTCAGATATTTTTACCCTATCTAAAGGTACCAATCATGCGCTTTCAATAGCGTTCATCCAATTACGTCGATTTCGTTGATGGTTTACCAGTTGGCTCTGTTCTTGAGCTTCTCGTTCTGGATAACCTCGATCCAGTAGTTGTCGGGGTCNNTTGATCAGTTAGTAATGGATCATCTGTATTGAAAATTGGCAAAGTGCTTACCGAGGATAAAGGCAACATTCTTCATTCTGCCGTCTGTCAGACGCTTCTTCCATGAAACGTTCATGTCTTCGAAGCGCTTGCAGGCAGCGTCCAAGTCGTCGACAGAGACGCAGGTGTGGCCGACTTGAGATAGGTCAGCATATATTCGAGTTGGAAGACAAGGACAAAAGCCTGTGACATACANTCCTTGTGGCTCATCGTTGCCGTTGTGGTACTTGACGCTGTCGTCGCTCTCGGAGCCATGGTTCCATGTGAGCTCAAGAATACCCTCACGGTCAGCAATAGGGTTGACGCCATTTGCAGACTGCTCAGGGGCTTTGGGACCGTAGCTGAGGAAGTAGAGAGTGAAGCCAGCCTCCTTTTGCTCCGAGGTACGCTGCAGGGTCATGCCCATGACTTCTTGGTAGAACTTGAGTGACTTTTCAGCGTCCTTGACTCTGATCATGGTGTGGTTCATGCGGTATGTGGAAACGTCTGACTTCTTGCCCTCAGTCTCACTGACGGGGTTCTGGGAGATGATCTCGACCCAGTAGTTGTCGGGGTCAAGAGCAAAAGCGATGGAACGCATGCGGCCGTCCTCGAGGCGCTTCTGGAACGAGTAGCCGGCATCAGAGATACGCTTGCAGGCATCCTGGATGTTGTCGACGCTGATGCAGACGTGACCGAAACCGCGGTTCTCNNCCTTGCCATTGCCGTTGTTGACTGTGTAGTTGTCGTCCTTTTCGGTACCTGACGTGATGTTAGTCAAGTTATGGTATGAAAAGCATGGATTGGAGGTACCATAGTTGTGGGTCAATTCAATAAGGCCCTCGCGGTCTGACCAGTGCTTGCCGTGGGAAACAGACTTGGGGTCGTCGTAGGCCATGAAGTAGAGATCGAACTTGGCATCGGGGTTCTCCATCTTGTTGACCATCTTCATGCCGAGGTGCTCGTAGAACTTGACGGATCGCTGAGNGCTGTATATCAAGTCTCGTCAGCTGGTACTCAGGGATAGCCAGTAAAGTCTTGTGCTCACGTCCTTGACCCGGAGCATGGTGTGGTTAAACTTATAAGTCGAAGTGTCTGACATGGCGGCGGCGAGTGTACGGAAGGTTGCAAAGGAGCGTCTTGTGAGAAATGGTTGGACAATTGGTTTGAACATGACTTTTCTGAAAAGAGAATGAANCTGTTGCATGGCTGATGACGCACTGATAATACTACCCCGCACTGCCTTAGTAATACTGTAGCCATCCATATCCCTACCAGCTAATTACCCAAGCGACCAGACGACGGCACAAGTCATGCAGACCATCGCTAGCTGCTATAGCTGCACATGTCTGCCGCAGTTCACCAGAAAATCAGTGCAGGGGATCGTAGACGTGTTTCAGGAATCGTGGTATTCTTAACATGCTGTCTTTCAAGCTACTCGTATGCATATATGCCCATTCCAATGCCATCTTCGCATCTCATCTAAATTTATGAGCTGTACTTCTGACCCTGACTGCCTTTGTTGGGGCTGCCACTGCCGCTGCTTCTGGATCTGTCGCTAGGGCTGTCACTCGATGAGGCGGCCGAGCCCTCGTGTCCTCCNNCCTCTGTTGACGATCTGGGCTTGCTGACTTCTTGGTTTGCAGGGCTGACGTTCAAAGGGTTTGATGCCTGTCCAAGNNCTTGCGAGTGGTTAGCTTCTGTTGCTTTGTGCCCTGGCGCCAATTGCCTCTCTTCTCAACATGCGAGTGAGAGTCAACGGTAGAGACGTGGAAGGCTTACCTCAGCAGACTCGCTGCCAGCCGAGTCGTGCTGCTCCTCGGGCGATGTCTTGTTGGGGTCAAAGGCCGTCTTCTCGACGCGAGCAGCCTCGTCGTCAGAACCGCTCTTGCTGTACTCATTGGGCTCGGGCTTGAGCGAGTCCTTGTCCTGAGCATCCTTGCGTGCCTGGAGCTGGCATGTGTATGACAAAGGTCTGCTGATGACTCTGGCGATAGGGCGCTGGCTGAGCACGCGAGGTTGCTGGGCCAGAAGGCGGCGGCTGAGAGGTCCAGTAATCATGGTTGCTTAGGAAGCGTGGTTGTGAACGTGAATTGAAAGTGTGTCTGTTGTTGAGAAGGTCGTTGTAAAGTGGTGCAAAGAGTAGGGGAGGTCGAGTCAAGTCGTGCTCAATTCACTTTGTTGCTTAGCTCGGCCTTGACGTGCTTGTCCTGTCTTCAAAACGTCACTGGGGAAAGCTACTCAAACGTCATCGCTTTGCCAAGCTGAAATTTTGTGCACACCTCTGTGGGGATTTTGTGCATCTCAGTATTATGCTATTGACCGCCATTGAACACAAGGACTTGCTTGCCGCCCACGCTGCTAAACACATGCTATCCAAATAGTACAACCAATGAATCCCCTTCTCCATCCTGTTGTCGTCAACCACGTCACTTCCCCCTTGCTCAACCTGGAGCAAGCATGAAGGAAACTTTATCCTTAGAAGAACTTGTTGGTCGGGTCCTCAGGCATCTGTATATAGTGTCAGCTGCACTGCCGAATCGCTATGTATCATGTCTCACATACCTCGAAACCAGACAGCTCTCGCTTGATCGTTTCGGCCATGATTTCCATCTTCCGCCGCTGGATGTGGAGGACACTAAGGCGTTGCGTGCTACTAGCTGTCGTGGATGCCTTTGATCCAACAGATGTTCCCAGCATCGTGTCAGCATGATCAGATGCACTCGAGTCCTCAGGTGGATACCGTGCATCGCCGGGTGCTTCTGCTGTTACTTTGAGCTCGCGTTTTCTTCCCGGTGGTACTCCACCTTCGAGTACTAATAGCAGTTTAGGCTGCAGGTACTTGACTATCAGATTTCGGTTGTCAAATTCGACAGTGAGCGTTTCTAATGCGTCTGGTCGGACCACACGTTTTGACGGTTCGTTGGGGCCGCCTTGACTATACTGCGGTTCGAACCTTTCGTTGTCTTTGCGTTCTAGGTGTTCTTTCCAGGATATTGATACTAGAGCAACTTGATCGCGAAGTTCTTTCATGTTGGCAGGCAGGGTGTATGCCATCAGTGATCCGTTTGGAGTCATGATNNACTGCACAAAGTAAGCACATGTCTCGATCCAATGCTGTGAGTGTGCGTAGTCTTACAACCACCGCACGAAGACTTTGTGGTCAACGTTTTCGGTCAAGAGCTTGTTAAGGGCTCGTACGTTCAACATGATGTCGATTCTCTCAATTCTGTGAACCTATTATCGAATGATCAGCACTTGAACAGTTATGTCAAAGAAGGACTTCGAGCGGTATGTCTTGTGTCATTGGAAAGCATGAAATATTGATACTGGCTTGCAAGGGGCATTGAAAGGGCTGTGTGTAGAAGAGTGAGTTTTTGGGAGATTCGGGCATCGGAGTAAACATTTTCTCAAGGTCCCAAATACAAAAGAAATCGTACCTCTTTGAGTTTATACGTTGTCGGTATTAGGACTGTGGAGGATTCGAATGATGGTAGACGATGTTGGGTCGAGTGGTGAGTGAGGATTGGCGATCAAGTGAGCAGAGGGCACAAAGAGCATGTCGATGCCGAGATGCGTCAAGGGTGAATGTGAGAAACAATTGGAAAGAGTTCGGTAGATAACAAGTGCGGCAGACAGCAGATAGATAGATGCGACGCAGGCAGGTTGGCAGCCGATATACGGAGTTAGCAACTTCGACCGTGCGCATCGACTTGGATCGTGTGTCTGTGGCAGCAGCGTCACAGCCGCCGCCGTCCTTTTCTCCTCACACACAGCACGACGTCCAGTCCGTCACGACAGTCGCAACATGGCAGACTTGACATGCACACTTGCTGGAAGCACAGGCTTGGTTGTGAGTGCTGTCCTGGATCGACCACTGCAAGCCGACTAGACAAGTACACCGTGCTGTAATGAAGAGCTGCTAAACTGTCATCCAAGNGGCGGCAACATCTACTCGGTCCTATCGTCGCATCTCTCAGTCTCGAGCCTCTATGCATACGCCCGCAAAGACCTTCCCACCACCTCTCCCAAAGTCCATCCACTCGTCTCCTCTGATTCGTCCAAATGGGCTTCGCTCTATCCCCAGGCTTCATCCATCTTCTTCTCCGCTCTGGGAACAACTCGTGGTGCAGCCGGAAGTGTGGCAAATCAACGCAAGATTGACTATGACCTAAATCTCGAGCTCGCACGGGAAGCAAAGGCCAAGGGCGCAACAACCTACGTTTTGATCTCGTCGCAAGGCGCCAATGCGACAAGCTTTCTCGCATATCCAAAGATGAAGGGCGAATTGGAAGAGGCCGTCCAGCAGCTTGGTTTTGAGCACACTATCATCCTACGTCCCGGCTTGATCGTCGGCCAGAGAGAAGACTCGAGACCTCCCGAATTCGCTATACGCAAGATCGCTGGCTTGGCTGGCAAGATCAGCGAACCCTGGCTCAAGGACTTCTGGGCTCAGGACGCCGACGTGATTGCAAAGGCTGCTGTATCCGCTGGTCTGCAATGTCACGAGGGCAAAGTCCAGCAGAAAGTCTGGATAGTCGGTCAGAGCGACATCATACGCCTGGGCAAAACAGAGTGGAACCGCACCTGAACACCTGATCATATATGCATCATGACAATGAGAGGTGGGGAGACTCTGAAGCAACATTAATTCGATAACGCAGCTATACCTAACACCTAATATGCTTTTCTCCCATGCTCCGCTCCATGACTTGCGCCAGTGCGGAATATATCTCCATTTTCCGATTATGCAGCACTCAAGACCGAACCACTTAATAGTCTAGTGTTGTCTTGATGGTGTCATAGATACCTGGTTCTTGTTAGCTGCATAAACACATCAATACACGTCACAGCGTTTACTTACGTGTCACATCTGGAATGTTGAATCGNNCTATAGCAGTCAGCGCTGTGTATCATGGACAAGAACATAGCCATCCACTTACCTCGTAGATGAGGCCCATATGTGTGCTCCATCCACAGACTCTGGCAACAGGGGCCTCTAGATTCAAGAAGCATTGCTCTTGAATGGTTGCTGCCACTTCAGCACCAACTCCAGAGTTGGTCATACTTTCATGAACCACAATCGCTTTCCCTGTTCGCTTGACACTCTCAATAATTGTAGGTCGGTCCCAAGGGTAGATGGTGCGAAGGTCGATGAGCTCAATCTGACAGCCAAAGTCTGCTTCTGCCTTCTCGATGGCATTCGAGCATGTGTACAATGGGGTTCCATAGCTGATGATTGTAATGTCCTTGCCTGGCTTGACAATCTCTGCTTTACTCAGAGGGATCTCGTACGCCTCGGCAGGTACATATTCCACTGCTGCGCGGTAGAGTATCTTTGGCTCCATGAACACCACAGGATCATTGCTTGCGATCGCTGCGAGCAGCAGACCTTTGGCCTGCGCGGGTCCGCGAGGCATCACTACACGCAGTCCAGGTATGTGCGTGAAAAGTGACTCTGGAGACTGAGAATGGTACCTGCGNNACTGTTAGTATACTTGCAGGTATATTTGACGTAAAGTTACTTGCAAAGCACCTATGATTTGGTCAGCCATCATCTTGATCATTTATAATGGTTGGTATAACATACCATGTCCCACACCTCCGCAAGGCATGCGTACCACCAGACCTCCACAACTCTGTCCTTTAGCATTCACACCCGCTCTAAATCTCGCCTTCGCAGCTTCGTTGACCAACTGGTCAAATGCAGGATACACGTAGTCGGCGAACTGGACTTCAGCAACAGGCCGCATTCCTTCAAAGGCCGCTCCGATCGCAAAACCGACAATGCCTTGTTCGGTCAAAGGCGTGTTGAAAACCCTATCATCTCCAAATTCAGAGGCCAGATTCATGCNTACGCTACAACTTAGCCAAATGCACAGAAAGGCATGCATTAATATGATCTTGTACCTGCAGCGGAACACTCCTCCGAAAGCCACATCCTCGCCAAAGAGCAAAACCCGAGGATCCGTTCGGAGTGCATGTGAAAGAGCCGAGTTGATGGCTTGGAAAAGATTCAACCGAGTTGCAGTGCCATTTTTTGCTTCGGAGGATAACTCGTTACTGGCTAACGCGGACCTCGAGTTGTGATTGAGCAGGGTTGTTGCCTCGAAATCCGTTGGAGTGTTTAGTCGTGCTTTCGGCGGTAAAGTAGAGTAGAGGCGCGGTCTGTGGAATTTGATGTTGGAGATCCGAGTGGATCGCATCACTGCTCTTGTTGACATCTTGCATTCTGAATGTTAGAGATGAAGAGTACCTGCCATCAAGGTAGACGAATGCCCTCCCTGTCGGTTATAAATGAATGCGGGGTCGGTCTCATACACCGCGCCCTACGAGATGTTCATTGGCTCTCTGAGCATGAGAGCGGCTGCATAGTCATTAAATTGGGTCAAGGTACAGCTCGGTTCACAGAATAAATCGTTGTTCGTGAAGAAGAGTATAGAGCTCGAAGTACGTCCATACCAGTCTCAGACACATTAGGCCTCCAAGTGACAGACTAGACCTCACTCAGATCATGTCACTGAGATAGTCGTGCTCGAATATCGACCGTATTTCTTATTAACCACGGATATGAACTTTGAAAACTACTAGGTACGTATACATCTGCGAAAGGAAGATCTTGGAACGCCGCTATGCTTGGGACCAGTGGTAAGGAAACAAGGAAATCGACATAATGAAAAGAACAACAGTCTCTTCAACTTTTAACGATCGCCTTGGTTCAACAGAGGAGTACTGTCGCCACTACGGCTCCTGACGGAGTCGCCCTTGTTGCGGAATTTCTTGCCTGCTCGCTTCTTCTTCTTCTTCTTTTTGGTGCCCTTTGAATCATCGTGACCAGCATCATCGTGACCGGCATCATCTTGACCACGTTTGTCGTTCGCGCCGTCGCTAGCATCGGCGCCCTTTTGTTCATCTCCATCGGAAGAGCTGTTGGCTTCCAGGACCACCTTCTTCATGCCATTCACGTCAATGATGTTCTCTGTGATACTTCCGGATCGAACCGCACGGCGAGACTTGTATCCCGGACGATCTTCCATTTCTCCTAACGTAGAGTGGGATGATCCCGAGCCTCTTCTGTCCCGAGAAATAGGGCGGGAAGTGCTTCCTTGCACGACCAATTTTTGAGGCAGGTCAGGTTGTTCTTGTTCAGAAGACTCGTGGGTACCGTTTTGCTGCTCCTGCTCACGACCATGGTTCTCATTGGTCTCAAGCTTTGCTGCAGTGTGACCATCAGCAAAAGCAGATGCTTCGCTAGCGGTCATGGGCTTGGGTGAAGTCGAGTTGTTCTCGGCCTGCACTTCAGACTCTTCGTGAATAGAGGGGTTCTTGGAGCCAGGAGAAATTGTACCGTATCCATGAGCGACAGCGTGTGCTCCGTCTTGAGCGTCAAGAGCAGCCGAGCCGATGAGGCCAGCACCTATGCCGCCTTCAGGCCTGGATGAACTACCGTTGATGACGGTTTGAGGAGTGCCCACCTGACTGGACTCAGGTTCTTGTGTCGAGACAGGGGCAGGTACATGGTTCTCAGGAATGGTTCCTACACCGGGCTTGATCTTCACAGAAGTGTATTTGGTGGCCTTTGGACGGCTTGCAACGTTGCTTGGACCGAGATGTTTCAAGTGCTGACGCAGATCGGCAGTGTTTGAGCGGATGGGCAATGGTCGGTTCTTGTCACTGCTTGTGCTGCTACGTCTGCGCAGCAGAACAGTGGCCTCGCGAGATCCAGTCAACGAAGACTTACGGCTCTGACTGCTTGAATCCTTGGGACCAAGCAGATGAGTACGTTCGTCGACGTCGGTATCATCATCAGTGGCAGGGGCATCCACGACAAGGTTGCCCCTGGTGTATCTAGTGCGCGGTGCCGGTGCGATGCGTCTTATCGCCTTGTGCACATCGACAAATACATCCGACTCATCGATAATTTCNNCCTAGATTTTGTCAGTGGACGATAGAATGAAAGAAGCAGACAATACTCACTCTCCAATAAGTTCCTCGATAACATCTTCAAGAGTGACGACACCGAGAGCACCTTTGTCTTGGCCAGGAAAGTCTGATACGAGAACCATGTGGGACTTGCCCTCCTGGAAGAAGTTGACAATGTCCAAACAGCTTGTTTCGGGCTTGGTCTCAGGGAGTGTGGCAAGGGCGAAATCGCGAACGCGCAGGCAGTCTTCAGGGTCATATGTGATGAGAATCTTGACCAGCAGCATGCCGATGAAGTTACGAGTGTTTTCAGGAGCGTAAATGGGAATTCTGGAGTAGCCCTGAGACAGGATGGTATCCATCATCTTCTCGTCGAGGACTGTGTCAGCCGACATGGTGAAGACGTCACCCATAGGAGTCATGATGTCGCCAACAGGCTTGTCCTTGAGGTCAAGAACAGCGCTAATAATGGTAACTTCGTCTTCGTTCAGGCGGTCGGAGGGAGTAGTGCCCAGAGTCTTGTGAAGAGTGACAAGCGTCTTGAGGCCTGCCTTCTTGTAAACGGTGCCGTGGTCCTCACCAAGCAACCAGTCCAGGAGTTTTGCAGTGGGCCAGGCCACCGGGGCCATGATCCACATGAGGCCCAGGACGAGAGGAGACATGGCAGCGCCAATGGGAAGACCGAAACGGACACAGATGGATTGAGGGACGACCTCGCCGAAGATGACNNTGCAGCTTGTCAGTATCTGTGTGTAGGAAGCTGTACACAGGGTAGGGCACATACCAATGAGGACGGTACTGCTCAGCACAGCGGGCCAGCCACCACCCAGCGAGCGGTCCAGGACGATGGGCAGAGTTTCGTTGGTGATGACGTTACTGAGCAGCAGCGTGACCAGGACCCAATGCTTGCCCTTCTTGAGCAGGCGCAAGACCTTGGCCGCACTCTTCTTCTCACTTCCCTCGCCCGATGTAGCAATTACCTGCAGGTAGATTTCATCCTGGCCCATGAGTGCGATGGTCAGGCCAGCAAAGACTCCTCCCAGGAGTACGAGGGCAATGGCAACACCTAGATAGACCCATAGCTGCGGATCATCTGGCGACTTGGGCTCGGGCTCTTCGCGCCTGTAGATGGGCGAGTCGGACTTGGAGAACAGCGGAGCAGCATACGACAGAGGCAGGTTGATGAGCGAGAATCCGAGAAGCTTGACAATTGACAGAGCTGCCGGGGTCATGAGGCCTGCACGCCTGGGCGCAGCAGCTGTCGGAATGCCATGCGCCAGAGACATGGAGAGCTGCTAGCAAGCAAGACGGTGGTTGGCACGAGAGCAAGTGCTTTTGCTGTGCCGCGACTTGGACTCAGTCTCAGTCCCAGTCCCACAAAGCGCATGAGGGATTTCCGTTAGTGCCAAGCCTCAGTATGACGAAAATGCTTGTTGCTACGAGTCAGTCAGCCAGACACTTACTGCAAGTCTGCAACCAGGTCTGTCAAAGACACTGCCATCGTCATCAACATCACCCATACCATCTCGCGTCTCTCCAGATACCGCGCCTGTGCTGTTTCTCGCCATGGCAATGCACGACCATGACGACGTGCCCAAGGCTTTTCATCCAAAAGCACTGAGACTTTCCCCTCAAACTAACTACTGTGCTTCAAAACGAGCCATGTCCATGCTTTGATCACTAGGTGTTACCTTCAGTCATCTTTCATCATGGAAGTAGACGCTCAAAAGTCGCAGCGTCCAGCCGAATGTGTTTTCTGCTTGGTGGAGCCTGTAATTGTAGGTCAGGGTGCTGCACCATTCCTTGATAAATGAATACAATATGCTTGACATTGTGCATGCAAATCCCCCAAATCTTCGGCAGCAAAGATGCTTCTCATGTCCCGGCGACCAGATGAGCACCAGTTCTGTGTGCTATTGGACGACATGACAGGCGCCACCATCAAGCAAAGGCCCTCTGCTGCTGAAGAGCCCGCGACCGCCGCCAGGTCTGAGGCGCCAACTCAATCATGTCAAGTGACGAAGACAAGACACGAACTGATCAACTGCCTATGCTATCCATTGGACGTTTGATATGAGTATGCTGTATCTCTCGCTCGAAGTAGGCCCCCACGCTTCCGTCTCAGGCACAGTTCATCCGCTTGTCATATAAAGTACCGCCTACAGGCGCCATTGTTCCCAGCCGAGATCAGTCTAGGATCCCTCCCCCCGGGAACCCTTGTTTAGTTATCATGTATCAGCGTGGAACGGTTTGCCGTACGCGCGTGACCGGTAGGCGGTGGACTAGTGGCGCTGTTCTCGCAGCCCCCGACTCGGCTATAGGCGGCAGATATATGTGACTCTCAGCCTAAAGCCATCTCACAACCGCATGCTATCCCTCCGGAGGGACTTGAGATCACCATGACAGCTGAGTATGCATCGCTTCGATAACACCAAACAATCCACGAAAATTGGGAACCAAACACTGCATGAAAATGCGTAGGGAAAGGTAGTTGTTTGACTTGGCGCGATGAGACTCCGGCCCCGAAAGCAGCGGCCCGAGTCTGATCCTATCGGAGCAGTGGCCGATCTTGCCCTATCCCAAAGCACGTTTGTGGTTGTCAACCAAGCCTCTTGCTGACAGTCTTTGTCAAATGCGCACGGGTCTTGGAGGTATATGAAGTAAGCGTAAAGAGACAGGAGAACCTAGACTCCACGCCCTACTCATAACGTTTTGGAAGGCTCTTGCAAAGTGAATTAGCTCAGAAATTTGAGCTGCTGACCGAGATCGTACGGAAGCGGAGGCTACCCCTCATACCATTTGCAGCCAAAGGGTCCGAAGACTGTATAAACGTTAAATTCGTGACTTCGAGTAAGTCACCCATGTGCACGCCCGGTCAAGAGGAATGCGGCGTTCTTGCCGCCAGCAATCACAACTCAAGACTGAAGATCTCATCTCGGTGTCACAGACGAACCCCGGGTTTGAAGGGTCTGACAAGCGTTTTCTCCAAAGCTACCCGCACATCGGGAAGAGTCATGAGGATGTCCTATCGCGGAGCAGACCGGGTTGCACATCTTACTGAAATGTGGACGACCGCAGCTTTCAAAGTAGACCAAGGCATTTTGTAACTTGTCCAGACATATGATCGTATGTATGCCTACAGATACGAACCGCATCCAGATCCTCCGTCTCTGATGAGAAACTGGAGTCAGGCTCTGTGAGGTGGTCTAGCCTACGAAGTTGCCAAGTCAAGACGAGATCAAACAGGCCGCGTCGGATGCTCTTCTTGGCCCTTTTCATCTCAGAGAAAGGCCGCAATACAGGCCGCCGCAAAGGCACCGGTAAAGAACAGACTTTTTGGCGTTCAAAACCTTGCTGCAATTTTCGTGGGCCCGCTCTCACCAAAGCCCAAACCCAAGCCTGCTGCCATGAGGTCGTGAAGAAGGAGTCACAGCCACGGGTGCAACACGTGGACCTTTGTGGCTCCAACGGTGCCTTTGAATCTGCGACGTACCAACAACAGTCTTATCGACTGCCGATACTGACAATAGACAAGTAAAGTCGCACCCAACAGTTGCATTTGTTGTAGTTTAAAGCAAGTAATTCCAGAGCAGCGCGCGCCGTGAGCAGACCTGACTGTACAGGCCATCAACAATGGACGTCGAGTCATGTACAGAACAGGTAAGGGTCTTAGGTCAGTGTGTGTTCCCAAAACTGCAGCACATGTCCCACCAACCAAGCTGCATGCAAGAACCCCCTAAAATGGCGATCTTGGATTCTGGAAGATGCCCAGCGCAGCCAGCACTTCTAGCGCCAGATAAGGATACGCATTTGGTGAGAGGAGCGAACCGTGTAACAAAGGAAAGGCAGCGTGACCAGCCAGCGCACGAGTGCGAATGAAACAAAAGCCAAAAGCAGGCATTCATCGGCCAGCAAATCGGTCATCAGTCAGGACCCCAGAGCGTAGCATTCTTGTCTGGAGGACGTGGTCCCGAACAGGCATGCCGGTACAAAGATTCCGAACGAACCGAGGCGTAGTTGTTTTTTTGCGAGAGCCCGAAGTGCCACCTTGCGGGTTAGCTCAGCGCCAGCTGATCTAGCGGGAGCCACGAAAGAAGAGTGTTCCTTGACGACGAAAGCACGGGAGATTGGTTAAGTAAGTCGGCCTCCCACCTTCTGTCCCTTTCGTTGCCCCCAGAACGCGCCCACGTAACTAGACACACACCCCGCACAACTGGTTGAGATTCAATCATCTCAGATTGCCGTCGCTCTCTACTCCTGCCACGACTTTGCTCTAGATGCTGTCGCAATCGACTGCGTTACCCATCAACCCGGCTCCTTCCACTTCCGGACCCTTCCTGTTCTGGCGATCCGCCTGACGCAACACATCCGCAAACAGAGCGTACCCAAGAGTCTCCACGCTCTAGCATATACCTCGCCTCTTCGCTTCCTTTTTGTTTCGCCCAGCAGCGCTCGCTGCCCTGTATTTTTCCGCCATGCCTTTCCGACCCCAACACTCGTTAGTCATGATTGACGTCGACAAAATGCATACCATCGACACTCGTTCCGTCGAGGACCTCTTTGGAATGTGGTCAGGTACTATTGCGACCAACTCTTTGTTTCCCTGTCGATTATTGCTAACATGAGTCTTCATCGCTACAGTTTTTAACAAAATCTCAGACGCAATGGAGGATGGCAAGCGACTAGAAAATCTCAGTTGGCGTCTATGGAATCGCGAGACATTCGTGTGTTCTCGCATGCCGCGTGCGCGAAAGAACATTCCTCTGCCCGCCCTTTCGAGCAGCGTATCGTCGTCGGAAGAGTCGGACGAAGAAGATGTGTCGTCATTGCTGCCTTCCCCCGTTGTGAGACCCGAATTGAGAAGGAGCGAGTCCTCGGAGCACCGCAGCCGTGGCCGCCAACAGAACCACATCACGCCCATCGACCTCGAGAAGATGGTCATCTCCATCAAGGAAAAGAAGAGTCTTGAACCGCTATCTGCACTATCCATGCCTTCGCCTACTATGCCCAGCCCGCCGTCTTCCGATGACCACCAAACACCTACCGCCACGAAATCAACCACATCTGCACCGGCACTTTCACCTGCGCCCGCAGCTGCATCTGCATTAGTCTCCGAAAAGCCTGTTGCCACTCCCATCCCTACCATCGCCGCACCTAGTCATCTGGAATCGTCCACCTCCACCGTTAGTAGCACCGACTCCCAGGCCATTGCATCGTCTTCCGAAAGTTCGTCCACCGAAATGAGCACCCACAATATTGTACGAGGCTTCAGACCTGAGGTGCCTTCATCCTACCGCTCGCAAACAAACCTTGCCGCAACCCAACCGACACCCATTCTCAAGACCTCGCCTCAATATCGTCCGGACCGCCTCAACCGCCCAAAGAAGGGTGCAACCTTCACCCTCGGTGCTTCGTCTGGCGAAGAGGAGAGCTCTCTTGACAGCCATATGGGACGCAACAGTGTCGGCTCGTTATCGACCGGTATGCCGCAGCCGCCAAAAAAGCATGCATCATTCAGGGACATCATCCAAGACAGGGCCATCACTGATAGTCCCGTGTTTGAAGAGTCTGATGACGAGGATGACGATGATGCTTTCGAGAGTGTTATCGAGGAGGACGAAGACTCGTCCGACTGGGAAGATGATGATGTTGGCGAGAGTGGTAACTCTTCAGCAGACGAAAACAAGAGCATGTTCCGTCGGGTGGACTCGCAGCCCAACCTTACCTCACGTCGCTCTATGCTAACAACCATGATGCACGAACCGGATCGCGCCCGCGCTATGGCAAGCGCTGCATCGCGCTCTACNCCTGCTCTTCGACGTTCGCGTGGTGCTTCACCTAACGGACCCTCGGCCACTCCATCACCACACCGTCGGGAGGTTGAGCGTGCTGGCCCGGACTTCACCTCGCATCCTTCGCAACTCTCTCAGCAAGCTCAAGATACTTCAGAATCCTCGCAACCACGACCAATCATCATGACTACCTCGAACACACATCAACCTGCTCTTTCACCACGAACCACCAGACGCAACATGCTTTCCACTGAGTTGACAGAGTCGCTGCGCAAAAACCTTCTCTGGGAACGCCAGCACAAGAGCTCCAACAACCTAGCCGCCATGAAGCGTAGACACACCTCTCACGACATCAAAAATCTCAAACAGCATCCTGAGCCACAGATGGTCATGTCGGTCAAGGAGAACGATAAGAAGAAGTTCTCCAACGAATACTTCAACCAAGGACTTCAGGAATACCACGCCAAAGGCTGGTAAACTGTCTTTTCCTGTCTAGGCCTCACTTGTTTCTTTGCTACTGCATTTTAGCGACATGCATTGTTTTTTGTTTTCTCTCTATCTTTTTCTCTCTCTTCTTTTGCATCAGCGAGCAGGCATCGCGTGGGTTTTTGGGTCTTTATTTTTATGCGGTACGGCACTATTCTCTGGCAATCGCCAACAGAAAAGAATTGTTCTTTTTGATACCAATGCGAGGTTTTTTCTCTCTACTTTTTTTTTTACCTGCTTTTCGATGCTTGTTGTCCAGTCTCTTGCCCAACAGACTGTTTGCCTTGCTCTCGGCCCGACTGCTGTCAGGGGGCACGCGTTTGCAGGTGGCGGCTCGGATGACACCAGACATCGTTGTACGATATATACATAGGTTCTACCTTCGTGTGGAAGGGCCGATGGGCCGACGAAATTCAAAAACACGATAAAACCAAAAGAGCTTCCGGTACTTGTGATCACGATGTTGCAGTTGTGCCGTTGTTGGCGGCACTTCTGAGTGCTGTGTCAGACGCAAGAGCAGTGTGCGACTCCAATCAATGTATCTTTTCACCGCTTCTTCATTTCACTATGAATAGAGTGGCTGCAAGCCTTCGACGCAGGCATCTCTGACCTCCGATACGAGTTGATTCTGCAACAATACAAATCACTCAAAGCAAGCTATTCGTTCTCGTTGACCATGTGGATGCGAGTTTGGAACTAAGCTGTGGAGACTCTGGAGGAGCGCGCCGAAACTGCTACAATGACGTGTGTTATGATTGTTGAAAGATCTCGACGAGCCTGAGTCCAACGGCTTGTTCTGTTTTTGCCAATGGTTCATGATGCGCATTAGATCCATGTGTCTGTAAGGTAGGACGGAACTGTCGGGATGGCCCTCAACCATGATTCCACGTTGTGATATTCGGTCTTTCTCATCCTCGATGTTTGTCGAAGGATCGCCAAATGCGACAGAGGTGATTGTTGAGTTCAGCCACGTCCCACATCAGATCGATATGTGCAGCTGCCTGTACTAGTAATCTTCTCGTGCAGGATTGCCCTCTAAAGGCCCTATATCTGTAAAAAGTAGGAGAGGAAACAGGCAATCTGATTCGTCGGAACCCCATCTCGCTCATGACTCATGACGAATTCGAGGATGACAGCATCTCAGGCTCGTCATCACATGTTAAAATCGAAGCTGCGCGTGCCTTTCCATACACCAACAAATTCAATCGACCTGATACAGAGAGGTTGGAGGCACATCCGGCTTTCAGAACGTGATCAGATCTCTCAAGCGTCATTTCCTCAATTCGATCACTGGTACAGTTCCTGTGTAAAAGCAGCAACAGAGAATGACAACGGAGCCACCTTCGGGTGCAGTGCAAGGGGGGCAGGAGACGGGTGAGTTTGATTCGGACCTTTATGTGCTGGCAGTTTCGATGAAACCATGCCACCACTGAGATGGTCATCTGCTCACGGTTTTCGCAGGTGTGGTGTTGGCGACTGAACCTCAGTCTGGGGTAAGTGCATCGAGACAACCACATGCAAAACAGAAAAAGAAACAGGTCTGTCGATACTTCCAACTCAAAGAAAGGTTAGTCATGTATCATTTCTTCCATGTCTTCTCATTGAGCGAAGCGCTCGCCCATGCTTGACAAGAGTATACCTGGCTTTTTCGAGGATCACAAAAGTACACGCTTGATATCTGTCTATCACTTACTTACCAAGTACAACGAGTAGGATGCAAGGAGGGTACGCAATGCTCATTTGCGCATGTACAACTATCGGAGCCAACAACTTCTGAACCCAAACCACGAGTCCGAAAGCAGAAAGCTAGCGGTGGAGATAGCAGCGATGCTGCCACTGTCGGACGTCAATATGAACCTCAAGTTGACCGTTCCAAGGTGGTCAGTAGACCAACTCCAAAGACAGAGAAGGAGGATCCACGAGTATTTCAGATGGGTCAAATTCGTCGTCGCTTTGCTCCCATGGAAGAATCGCTTCCAGATGCCACGCTTCTCAAGTTCAAACTCGCTCCTAGCGATCCCGACTTTCCATTTGATCTTCCCTTCCTGGAATGCTCTCTTACTATACCCTTGTCCTATCCGCAAGCTAAGCCAAGTTTGCGTATAACTAATCCCGAGATGCCACGCGGCTTTCAACTCAACGTTGAACGTGGATTTGATCAAGTTGTTGTTGATTCGCCGAACGCGACGCTTCTCGGCGTGTTCAATCGTCTTGACAAGCAGCTCGAGACGTTGCTTTCTGGCGAGAAGGCTGACACAGTGAAGATCATACGAAATACACCAAGACCTGAACCTCAAACGCAGCCTCTACCTGCCGCTCGTGCGCCTAAGCTACAGCAGGAAGTGGCTACTCGCAGTACAGAAAGAACTCCATCATTCACCACCGAACAGAAGCTACAAGCTGAAAAGAAGCGTCAGGCCGATATCAGACAACTTGTTGCTAGGTTGGGTCGACTACCAGGCTTTATACAATCTTCTGATGATATCTCTTTCACCATTCCTTTTCAGCCTACAAAGAAGATGATGTTACCGGAAGCTCTGCAGAACCAAAAGTCGATTCGTCTAGTCGTACCTAAGCTTTACAACCTACATCTACCTCGAATTGAGGTTAATGGCAACAACGATGCTGCAGCAAGAGTCCTCGAGCAGTCATTCCAAGAAAGAGTCAAAAGCGAGAGTGGACTAAACTTGCTTGCCCACATCAACTACCTTACCCAACATGCGCATACGATGTCTATCGCCAGGGCGCCTACCAATGTATCTGATGCACAAGAGAAGTCTGAGGAATTGCCCAGAGCAGACATTGTAGTCCCAAGATCTGCCCAGCCACCCACTGCTGTTGTGGACCAAGCTTCTGACAAAGCTCATATCCACGTCATCCCAAGACCTCCAGAATGGAATACCAACGGTCCGGATGGTTGGAGCAGTGACGACTCCTACTCGTACGACAGTGGAGATGAGACAGAAGAGGAGGATGCTGATCAACCAGAGGAACCAACTGCTAATGCGTCTGGGCTCGCTGAGCGTGGCATTATGCTATCGTTCCCTAATCTGGAGTTATACGGCTGTGAGCTCTTAGAACTCGTTTCACTCAGTATCACGGTCAAGTGCGAACGCTGCAAAGATTTACTAGACGTTCAGCGCCTGAGAAACAACACTAAAGGAGATAGTACTGGTATGCGGGACGAAATCTGCAAGAAGTGCGCGAACACCCTTGCAATTGGTACGAAGATCTAATGGAGACTCCATCCCTCTGAAAACGACTGACATCANATAGGATTTCGAGCGGACTTGATTCATCAGAATTCCGTGAGAGCTGGATATCTCGATCTCGATGGTTGTACGGTGATTGATATGCTCCCAAGGCAAGTTCACAATGCAACAATATGTTGCACATCATGACTGACCGTTGTANNTAGCAATTTCATCCCGACGTGCTCAGAGTGCTCCACATCTTATCCGGCTCCAGGCGTTGTTGGAGTTCGTGGGGACTCGATTCTGGCGATCTGTAGGGAGTGCCATCGTAAGATGAGTTTCCGCATCCCAGAGACCAAGTTCTTGCACGTCAGCACAGCTTCAGGTAAGTCATATGCCCGAAAAGCATGAGAAGTCGTACTGTAGCTGATCGATTGCNNAGTACGAGCAAGTCGTGCACCTGCGCGCAGAAAAGTCAAGGAGAATCTGGGCATAGTTGCTGGGCAAGAATTGCCCAGGCGTGGTCGTTGTACGCATTATGCAAAATCGTATCGATGGTTTAGATTTTCATGCTGTAGCAAGGTCTATCCTTGCGACGTAGGTTGAGCAGTCCCTGGTACTTGGAAACATAACTGACATTGCATANNGAGATGCCATGACGAGATGGAGAGCCATCCAAACGAACACGCTAATCGCATGATCTGTGGCTATTGTTCCAGAGAACAGAATTATAGGCCGGTTTGTGACTAGGGTGTTTTCCATACAAGAAACATGCTAACTGTTACCTTCCTCTCTAGNGATGACTGTCACTTCTGTCGCTCTAGCCTTATTGCAAGAGTAGGTCATGGATTCTGGGAAGGAGGCAAAGGTAAGACGAATTCCTACATCATTTCCCCCCATCACGTCCTCAATCCTTGCCTGAATTTTCACTTCACCTTACCAATCGTCGATGCGGTGAAGTTGGCGGCTGTTTGTTTCCATCGGCCATGACGTCCTGGCAGATGACCACAACCCCATGGTTCCATGCAACCTCCATATTTCCCCGCGCACCGGTGTGAAAGCCTAAACCCCGTACCCTTGTACACAATGCTTCTAGCGCCGTATGGCATTCTTCCACCTGGGACCTGCAGAAGTTTACTGTCGCATCCATGCGGACGCAAAACGCTTTGATCAGGAGGGCTGACGTACGACCAGGTACTCGGGACAAGACTAGGATGAGCAGAAAAGGCAAGTACAACCAATCTCGTGTCCTCGTGCTCGACTATCAAGAGCTCCTGGACCGCGTGACTTAACAGAAATGCTAACAAAGTTTGACCTCAGACCCTCGTAAATACAAGCGAAGGCCTGGTACCAAAGTTGGTGGTAGCTAGGTGAGAAAGCCGAGATCAGCCTTCAGAGAAAGCGTGTGACGATTCGCTACGTTCTGACAGACGGGGTCACAAAAGATCGACGGATTTGGTAATTCTTGATAGAAGCAATCACCAGCATCATTACCGGCGATATGATGCAGTGGGATGCAGTCTTAATGGATGGCAACGATGTTGGCATCGTCACAGAGCAGCTCGCACATGGCCATAGTAAGGAAGCTCCCATGCAGGATACCACTATGTGATGTTATCTCAATTCCGTATCCCTTAAACTCAAGTGGCCTTGGTCTCTTTGCGGATGATACAGGTTGCTTTACAAGCGTTCCGATGTGGCACTATCAAACCTCAGCACAACAAAAACATCATGAACTTGCCAATGAAACGCGTTTTGGTGTAGAGATACATCAGGAAGAAGATATTGTCAGGTTGATTATCGAAATCTCAGCCTTGAAGGAACCATTCATCCACAACATCGTCTTGCTCGCTCTAAGATTCGGGTTTGCTTATGTGTCTACATCGTGTCTGTGGTACTTCTAACGATGTTTTGTTCGTCTGTGTAAACAGTCACACGAGTCGCTGAAATACCAATTTTTGGTCTGCTTAATGTGGGTTGGTTTGTTCTTCCTCCTCCTTCTCCCCTTCAAGCCAAATCTCATGCCCGTCTCCGTCCTTGACGAAAAGACCCGCCACGGCCCCGACTGCCGCGAAACATGCCATACACCACCACGACAGCCCGACTACACCACGTCGGAGCCCAACACCATAAAGATAGCTCAACAAGAGCGGACCGATAGTGCGGGCGGCAGAACTTGCACTCTGGCCTAGACCATGTACTGTGCCCAGTACGGATGGGTGCGGCGAGGCATTGTTGATCAGAATTGCCGTGGCAGGCAGTGCGAATGTCCTCGCAGTGACTTGGATGCACAGCACAATGACAATAGAGATCCACAACAGTGGTCCGGAGGCTGCAGCGGGTGGTGTAGAACTTGTCGGCACGAGCGAGAGGAAGGGGACCAGGAAATATGCCAGGGGAAACAGACAGAGCGATAGTCGGAAAGAGGTTACTGTGCCTAAGCGGAAGGACAATCTTGGGTAAAGTAGCAACTGTAGCGATATACCAACAAAGCCTAAGATGGCCAACGCAGAGCCGATGCGCGCAGGCGGGAGAGCCAGACCGCCAGTCCAGCTGAGAGGTGGGTGTGGCTTGTAGTCCAAAGGTACGCCTAGACTTGAGTTTGGATTCGTCCCGTTATTTGTCTGACCATGTGGAACATATCTTGGAGTCGACAAGAAGACAAACCAGAGGCTGTTGAAGGTGCCTACATGGCCTGCCAGCAGAAAATGGGCTGTAAATGTGAAGAGCACATTGGCTGTCCAGATGCGTGAAAAGGGTAATTTTCTCCTTATCTTAGGTAATCTGGGCGTAGGTGGCTCATCGGTCGGTGACTGCAGTTCTAATGTCGAAGGATCCAAATCATCACTCGATATTGCCTGATAGCTTTGATCGACTCTAAGTCGGAATACAACCCTTGCGATCAATCGTCCGATCCATAGTCCCAGGTCTGGCTTGTCTCTCAACATCTCGTGTGACTGTGCTTAAGTCAGTAAAAGATCGAAGTGAGATATCAATGGAACGTCGGTTACCTCTTCGAGTCCTAGCAGCACGACCATTGCCGATGAGAAGAGAAATACAGAACTGACAAGGTTCGGAAGTGCATATGGCCACTGTTTCAACCATGCGATTGAGCCAAAAGAGGCAGGATAGTTGCCTGCTGGATCGGCTAAAAGTCCACCAAGTATCGGACCTGCGAAAGGAACAAAAGGTTAGGTATAGTTACAAGGCGGATGAACATTGTGAAAGCCATACCTATTATAACACCAATGTTGAAGGTCATAGGTAGCAGAAGGAAGGCTCTCGATTGGTATTTCTTGTCGCGGATTATCTCGGAGATCATCTTGGAAAACCATCAGCATTGTAAGATGAGTGGTAGACTTGCACTTACTGTTCTCATCACGCCGATATTGCCATTGAGTGCTGATATTGGTTAGTCATTGAAGCATCCGAATCGTCGAACAACAGAGGCCAGGAGCAAGCCATTGGGCTGTGTGTTGTCAAACACTGCAGGTCATTTTTATCAACCGCAATGTTCGAGAACGAGCCGCGACCAGTCATATGTCTCGTAAGACACAGAATATGCTCGCCTAGCTTGAACTAAAGCCATTGCACAACGTTGACTGTCACGAAGTGTCGGAGAGCAGGGCGGCCCCTTCGAACTCATCGACCTCACGAGCATAGAATGCCAACAAGCTCTTAGCAGAGGGAATGAAACTTTGCATATGGCTCGATGCTCTCTGGTTCGGCGGTACAGGGAATCAACTTACCTCCACCAAGGGCTCTCCAAAAGAGTGCCACAGCAAAACTGCTGCTGAAACCGAAGCCCAAAGCTCCAATTCCAGTACCCAAGAGTCCGACCAGAATGACTTTCTTACGACCCATCTGCTCCCAATCAGCCATTCTGCCCCAGAAGACGGCTGTGCAAAATTGAGCCCCCGTGAAAGCCGCTTGAAGCATACCGGCCTGGTAAGATATGGTACTGTCTGGAGCAGATGGGGAGAAGGAACGAAGTTGATAGAACATATACGATTGTAGCGAAGTTTGCGTCAGTGGTTCCGATAATCGAGCCATAGTGAGAATGAATAGTTGATCTTTCCGAGGTAGGCTCTTCCAAGAAACAGGTTTAGGCTTTTCAGACAACTGGTGCGATGGTTGACTAGCGAACATTCGTTCTTCTTCCTCTATGGGTAACGCCTGTGAACCATCTGGCGCAAAACCATCAGGCTTGGTGACATCTTCATCTAGGTCATGTTCTTTCGGTACAGCCGTTAAGCGTTTTGGATCAATTGAGGAAGCACGACCGACCATCAGGTGTAAACCGAATAGATCTAGGATGTTATTAGTAGGGTTGGTAGTTATCCGAATAGAATGTCAACTTTAGAAATGGAGGCGCACGAGAATGAAGTAGATAAGAGTCAAGACGGGTAGAAAAGCAAACCTAAACTAGCCCATCCGGTTGATTCGGCTACACCTCAATCACGTGCGATGCCGTGTTTGGCGGGGCATCTTAAGAAAACGACTCGAGTCTTGACGAGAACAAGGTAAGGAACTTTTGATAATTGGTGAATTGGTGAGAAGGAGCATCGAATTGTTCTACTTACACGATGTCATGCTTCAAGTGCCACGCGCCGTGGATGGCAGAGAAAGAGTCGTCAAAAGTAATGGCTGGAGAAAACTAGAATGATACGGAACACAGCACTACTCTTCTGCTTCCGTGTTTGTCTTGAAGACCCTAGGCCTTGTTAGTGGAACGTCTTCGGCGGGTGGATTTGGAGGAATTGCCGTACAATTTCGACTCATAGTAGTCGAGAAGCTGTTGACAATATGTTAGCAGATGTGGCTTGTGCTTTGGAGTAAATGTAGCTACCTTCTGAGGGCATTTCTGTCTGCACTGCTGTGCAGTGTGCTGTGTTCTAGAGCCGTTCTCCCAGAGCAGATAGATCATGAGGACGCCCTTGTTTTCGCCCTCGTCGGGCTTCTCGACGGCGTCAATTAACTGGACGTGCTCCTCCCAAGAACCCTCGGGCAAAGAGGATGTATTGTTGTCTTCGGCGGCATCAGCATCGGCTGCCTTGGTTGACTTTCTTCCACGCTTCTTTGTAGATGTGGCAGCGACTTCGGGAGTATCTTGAGCCATCGACTTTCTCTTGGTACCCTTCTTTGCTGGAGTCTTTGGTTTTGCCTGAGGCTTGCCACCAATCTTATCCCAGTAAGCCTTTAGTACATCCATGGCACCGGAACTAGAAGGAGGATATTAGCGGCAGGCAATAGTGACTGCTTGTGAGGGCGACTCACAGGTTGTCCTCGGGCTCCCAAGTGCGGTCCTCTTTGGCCTCGTAGCCGAGCCACTTCACTTCGTAGAGACAGTCTTTGCCGTTATCAAAGGCGTGGTTCAAGATCTTTTCAACGACATATTCATCGGCGTTGTCTTCATCGTCTTCATCGTCTTCATCGTCTTCATCGTCGTCGGCGGCTTCGGCGTCGCCATTCTTGACATCGTCTTCCTCGACCTCTTGTTTGGCGGACTTGGCATTTGATTTGGCGGCCTTCTTGGTTGCGGGTTTCTTAGAGGGAAGGACTTCCTCATCGGCAGAGAGAGGATCGGACATCTCTTCGTCTGAAATGGCAGCTGCAATTGGTCAGTTAAAGTTATATGAGCAAGCATTGAATAGTTCTTACGAGGCATGTTGTGAGCGACGGGAGTGGTGATGTGTATGCGACCGGCGCAGAAGGAAGATTACGAATGCGACCAAAAGTTGTTGACATCGTGGAAAGAGAGCAAGAGAGAGACGCGACGCAACAAGCACGCGTTTCGAAGGTGCGGAGGAAGGAGCGAAGCTGCGGCGCACAGACCTCCCGAACAGTGAAAGGGAAAGTCTGGTGGAAAGTGGAAAGTGGAAAGTGAAGTCTGAGAGCCAAGCAGCAGCAGCAAGCAGCAACAGGTCGACAACACTCAGCCATCGACTGAACAAGGCAACAAGACCAACCCTCGCTCCTTCCTCTGCTCGCCTGCAACCTCTCCGGGCTTCTCCTTCCTTCGCAACGCTCCCCAGGAGCAGCAACAACTGCCCGCCATGGCCATGCGTACGCTGAGTGTCCAAATAATTTAATTGTCCTCCTTGCTGACATGTTGGACAGAACTTGATATGTCCAACGGTACTTTTCAATCCACCTCTCCAATCTCTCCTGCCAAACAAGACTGACCCAGCTGCTCTCCTCAGCCCAGGTCGCCAAAGACGAGAACGGCCGCCCCTTCATCATTGTAAGAGACCAGGGCAAGAAGAAGAGACAACACGGAAACGAGGCCGTCAAATCCCACATCCTCGCTGCAAAGACGGTCGCTGGTATTGTGCGCACCTCTCTCGGTCCCCGTGGTCTCGACAAGATTCTCATCTCTCCCGATGGCGACATCACCGTCACCAACGACGGCGCTACCATCCTTTCTCAGGTGCCTCTTCACCACCTCTGTCCATCTTCGAAGCCACTTCTGACTTGTCATNNCCAGATGGAAATCTCCAACCACGTCGCCAAGCTACTAGTCTCCCTTTCTCAATCTCAAGACTCGGAAATTGGTGATGGTACCACCGGTGTCGTTGTCCTAGCTGGCGCTCTCCTCGAACAAGCCGCCGACCTTATCGACAAGGGCATTCACCCCATTCGCATTGCTGATGGCTACGATGCCGCTTGCGAGGTCGCCGTCAGCCGCNNCCTCGACCAAATCTCAGACACTATGCCATTTGACAAGGACAACACCGAGAACCTCTTCAAGGTCGCAAAGACCAGTCTGGGAAGCAAGATTGTCAGCAAATCACACGACCAATTCGCTCAGATCGCTGTCGACGCTGTCATGAGTGTCGCTGATCTTGAGCGTCGCGACGTCGATTTCGAGCTGATCAAGGTCGATGGAAAGGTTGGAGGTAGCCTCGAGGACACATTGCTCGTCAAGGGTGTTATTGTCGACAAGGACTTCTCACACCCGCAAATGCCTTCCGAGGTCAAGGACGCCAAACTCGCCATTCTCACCTGCGCCTTCGAGCCCCCAAAGCCCAAGACCAAGCACAAGCTCGACATCACCTCGGTCGAGGAGTTCAAGCGCCTACAAAACTACGAAAGCGAGAAGTTCGCCGAGATGATTCAACAAATCAAGGACACTGGCGCAAACGTCGTCATCTGTCAATGGGGTTTCGACGACGAGGCCAACCACCTTCTTCTCACAAACAAGCTGCCTGCTGTACGATGGGTTGGTGGTCCCGAGATTGAGTTGATCGCCATTGCCACAAACGGAAGAATAGTACCGAGATTCGAGGACCTGAGCGCCGACAAGCTTGGAACTGCTGGTGTTGTCAGAGAAATGACCTTCGGTACCACTAGAGAAAAGATGCTCGTCATCGAGGAGTGCGCCAACAGCAGAGCTGTTACCGTGTTTGTGCGTGGTAGCAACAAGATGATCATTGATGAGGCCAAGCGTTCGCTGCACGATGCGCTCTGCGTCGTCCGCAACCTGGTTCGCGACAACAGAATTGTGTACGGTGGTGGTGCCGCAGAAATCGCCTGCTCACTAGCCGTTGAAGACGCTGCTGTCAAGTCTCCTGGCCTTGAGCAATATGCCATGCGCGCCTTTGCAGACGCTCTTGACAGTGTGCCTATGGCACTCGCCGAGAACTCCGGTCTCAGCCCCATCGAGACATTGGCCCAGATCAAGAGCCGACAGGCAAAGGAGGGCAACTCAAGATTGGGTGTCGACTGTATGCAGACCGGCAGCAATGGTAAGCAGTTTTCAATTCAACGTGTCAGGCTTACAGTTACTGACAATATTACAGACATGAGAGAAAACTTCGTCATCGACCCCCTGATCTCCAAGAGACAGCAACTTCTCCTGGCTACACAACTTTGTCGCATGGTGCTCAAGGTTAACAATGTCATCATTGCCGGAAGCGATGAGAACGATTTCTAGATCTTCTGATTCTTGTTGCATGAAATATCACTGATGTAGAAATACCATTGTTTAAAAGTTGCCTTCATTATAGGCTTGCCAAAACCTCAATTACTTTCTGCTTAAGTGAGTTCTACCGAGCGATACGTGCTGTGTCCATAGGGGAAAAATCTAGAGCACCTGTTGACAAAGCATTTGCACACGGTCGGGAACAAAAAAAGTGATGCAGTCTAAACGGGCATTCTTGTATGTCTAGCTAATAAAACGATGTTAAAGAGTCGTTTCCTATGCACGGAGTAAAAGGGTATCAAAAGGTTTGTAACACATCAAGTAAAAGAAAGAAGTTGGTCATGATGATTGGGGTATGAACAAAAGGACAGGACATCAAAGAGCGTTTCTACGGGTCATGCTCATCACCATTCCTGTGTGCGGTATCGTTGGCCAGGAGCAGTCGTAGCACTTCTGCTGGGCACTTCGTATGGCTGATGGGGAGCAGTGGTTGCGCTCCTGGCAGGAACTACAGGTCGTTTGCTGGGAATTGCTGTTGTGCTTCTGACTGGTACTTCATATAGCGGTTGAAGAGGAGCAGTGGAAGCACTTCTGCCTGGCACCTGGTACGCTTGGTAGGGAGCAGTCGAGGCGCTCCTCATCGGAGCTACGGGTCGTTGACTGGGAGTCGCTGCTGCGCTTCTGTTTGGCATCTCACGACGACCATCNNTTTGCGGTCGAACACGATACTCCTCGATCAGTCCGTCGTAGGCTTCGGGAGGAGCTGTAGCACTACGCTGAGGTCCGGCCGCGATTGTGGGTCTTGCGATCTCTGGAGGGCTTGTGGTGCTGCGGTCTGGTGGTGCGAACGNAGGTGCGGCAGCCACCAATGTGAATGATGGATTGAAGGCAACATAGCCTCCGGATGCCGCAGAAGCCGAGCGCTGTGGATGCGGCCGCTGCTGCTCTAAGGGTTCCGGTGTTGCTGCTTTTCGTGGTTGCATCTCGAAGCTCTGGGATTCGGGCTCGGGTGTATGACGCGAGGCAAAGCTCAAGCCATTGTTCGTGCCTGTCAATGGAGTGTACGACCTCTGGAAATTCTGTTGCGGTCTTTGCGGTGGCAGTACGGCGCTTTCCACGTCATCATAGTCCATATCCTCTTGGTGCGCAGGCATGTGTTGGGGGTAAGGAGACATGAATCTGATAGGTGGGTAGTCCAAAGGCTCTGGAGTCGTATCCCGTTCATATCCCAGATGCTCGTCCATATTGTTCTGTTCCCATGTGCGAGATTGTTGTGGGCCAACGGTTGCGCTTCTACCTGGATATGGTTGGTTTTGATATCCGAATTGATCGTTGAACGATGGCGGCGCCGGCCTGGAAGCGTAAGATGTTGACCTGTCAAAGGTAGGTCTCGGTTGTGTAGGATGGTAGTCTACGCTAACACTGTAGCCCATGTCGTTGGCATTCCCAAGTAAGGAAGCATCTGAAGCATAAGTGGCGTTGGACGCGAGAGATGCTTCGGTGTCTGAACGGTAAGGCATGTGTGGGCGCCTGTCAGCATTGGGTCCGGAAGAGGTCGGCTGGCGGTACATTGCCATCGGTGGTGCTGTGTGAGTACGAGTGGGAGGTTGTGTTGCGTTGAGGCTAAGCGGAGTCTGTTCGCGACGCAATGCTGATTCAGGGGCGGTGAAAGTACGCAAAGGAGGCATGGCGGGACGGTCTTGGGTATCCTGTCTTGAAAGGCCAAAGTCGCTCTTAGAATCAAGGTCGGGTGTCTGTGCAGCAATTTGAGGCAAGGTCGGTTTTCGGTTGGTCTGCGGTCTAGTCGGAAGTTGATTGGCTTTTCTTGCAGCTTTGGCTTCGCTCTGTGCCTGCTTCTTTTCTTGCTCTTCGAGTGCTTGCTTGACCTTCTGACCCACAACCTTCTCCAGTCTATGGTCAATCTTCCTGCGACAGTAGTTGCTGAGACGACCATCGCTCTGAGGTATGTAGTGCCACAAGAAGACCAGGTAGAGTATGACAGCAATGATCAGACAGAGGGCTGAGATGACCCAGATAACAAGGGTGAAGAGCATGGTAAAGAGCACAACAGCTTGTTCGCGATTTGCCTCGGCCAGGGTTTCCACGTTGATCCAGAATTGTTCGAATGAAGAGTGATCTGCTGTCGCAGCGTGATCGCCCATAGGGATGAGGTCTGACTGCATAAACGAGTAGAGAGTGATGGCGTTGACGACCTGGCGGGGGCCTTCGGCGAATACGATGCGTACGGCTCCCTTGAAAGCGAAGTAGACGAACAGCGCGACATAGTCGACTCCCTTCTTACTTTTGGTCAACTCTGCAAACACAAGGAAGCGTTTCCAGCCCTTGGGTCGCATCGACTGCAGTGTGACGGCGACCGAATCCATGTAGCTCTCAGCGACACTGCCTCTGCGGATCACGCGAATGGCGCGCGCCCACTCGAATATGCAGAGAGTCCAAGAGAACATGATACAGGCCGCAAAAATCCATTTCGAGTACTTCAAAGGGATGCTGGGCTCGATTTGAGAAGACCATTTGTCGTATGCAAGGAGATTGACGGCAGTGAAAGTGTCGGCGCCATACACTGCAACTGCTACCAGAGCCATTATCCAGAGCCAGCCGTAAGATACATAAGTCAAAGCACCAGAAGCGTGAAAATCGGGAAGGGTNNCTACACGTTGTCATGTTAGCAAGCACGCCGTACGCAGTAGTCAGAACAACCAGGACAATGAACTTACCACATAGTCCCATTTCTGCGACTCATCCAGGTGGCCCTTTTCTCTGTCACCCGAACATCCCATCTTCGGATTTTTCGGATTAGAGATCGATATGCAGAAATAGGGGGTTATCGTCAGTCCAGCTGCGATCGATTAAGGGCGTTCAAAGCCGTTGAGTGCTTGTGATAGCTACGCTTCGTTGTCTGCGTTATAGAAGGGCGCGAGATCTGCCAGCAGATGTCGTGCGCGTGTGTGGTATTGAGCAGAAGAAAAAGAGTGAATAGAAAGGAGTGTGATCAGTTTAGAATAGGGAGTGCAAGACCATGAATGGCTGGGACAGGTATTGTAAGGAATGCACAAGGTTCTGCAACGGCCAGACCGTTTGTCTCCAGGGCTGGTAGTCTTTGTCGACAGAACAACGAAGAGCTCGTCGCGACAAAGACGTCTTGAACAAGGTGGCCGTCAGAGGCGGCTCTCTCCTTTGACTGTTGCACAAAGCGATAGGATATTAGGCGCTTGCGCAAGTGAACGACCGATGCGCTGCGCACTTGGACGGTGAGCCAAGAGGCAGAGTTCGAACAAGCGCCGCGAAACCAAGGCCAGGGGCTCTACCAGCCCGCGGTAAACGTCGTCCAGCAATCATTTCCTCTTGCTCAGAGGGCTTCCGCGTTGGCCTCCCTCAGACTGAAACACGTGCCCCTGCGCCTTCACACCATCAAGATATCCAACCGAAACCCTGCTCCAGACTCCCGATGTAGCAATCTCTTCTCCACCTTTTGTTCTTCTTTGGATTTTGTGACTCTGTCGTGTTCCCGATGTGTTTCGAAGACGAGATACCTTGCGACACGTTTCGTGAAATGTGCCCTGTATAGATATGAACAGGAATCTGGTTTTGGCCCTGACATCACAGTACATATTGCACGCTTAGCAATTCTAGCCAAATCGTATCAAGTTGGCTCGTGAAATGGACCTTTGGAGTGAATTGAAAATGAAAGCTGAATTGGACATTTGGGTTTCTATTGAATGCCTGCTCTTACGAATCCCGTGATACAAAACTAATTTTATGCTTTTACAGCTCGTCGTGGCTGGGTTCGTCATCGTAGTCGGGCATGCCTCCAGCACCGCCAGCGCCGCCGTAAAGCTTGCTGGTGATGGGGTAGGCAACATTGCTGAGCTTCTCCTTCTGCTCATCGAAGTCCTCGGCAGTAGCATCGGCGGCGTTGTCGTCGAGCCAGTCCTGGACCTGCTTGACGGCGTCAAGAANTCTGTTCTTCATGTTAGTATAGCGCTTCATCAGGAAAGATTGTCCTTGTCAACTTACAGTGTCCTTGTCATCCTCATCAATCTTACCACCGAGACCATCCTCATCGTTGACCTGGTTCTTCAGGGAGAAAGCGTAGTTTTCCAGACCGTTACGAGATTCGATGCGCTGGCGGGTTGCCTTGTCCTCCTCAGCGTACTTCTCGGCCTCTTCGACCATACGCTCGATTTCCTCGGCGCTGAGACGGCCCTTGTCGTTGGTAATTGTAATGCTCTCGCTCTTACCGGTGCCCTTGTCGCCAGCGCTGACCTTAAGGATACCGTTGGCGTCGAGCTCGAACGAAACCTCAATCTGAGGAACACCACGGGGAGCGGCGGGGATACCAGTAAGCTCGAACTTGCCGAGCTGGTTGTTGTCCTTAGTCATGGAACGTTCACCCTCGAAGACTTGGATCAAGACAACGGGCTGGTTGTCAGCGGCGGTCGAGAAGATCTGGGACTTCTTGGTAGGAATGGTAGTGCCACGCTTGATCAAGTGAGTCATGACACCACCAGTGGTCTCAATACCGAGGGTAAGCGGATTGACATCCATAAGGACAATCTGACTAGCCTCAGCCTCACCAGACAAGACACCACCCTGAACAGCGGCACCGTAGGCGACGGCCTCATCAGGGTTAATACCCTTGCTGGCCTTCTTTCCGAAGTACTCCTCGAGCATGGTCTGAACCTTGGGGATACGAGTAGAACCACCGACAAGGACAATGTCGTCAATGTCGCTCTTCTTGAGCTTGGCGTCCTTGAGAACCTGTTCGACAGGCTTGAGGGTCTTCTTGAAGAGATCGTTGTTCAGCTCCTCGAACTTGGCACGGGTCAAAGTCTCGGAGAAGTCCTTGCCGTCGAAGAAGGCCTCGATTTCGATGCGGGTGCTCATCTGGGAAGACAGAGTGCGCTTGGCCTTTTCGACTTCACGCTTCAGCTTACCCATTGTCTTGAGGTTCTTGGTGATGTCGACGTCGTTCTTCTTGTTGTAGGTCTTGGTGAAGTAGTCGATAACTCTCTGATCAAAGTCCTCACCACCGAGATGGGTATCACCAGCAGTAGCCTGGACCTCGAAGACGCCATCGTCGACGGTCAGAATGGAGACATCGAAAGTACCACCACCGAGATCGTAGACAATGATCTGGCGTTCCTCGCCGGTCTTGTCGAGTCCGTAGGCCAGAGCGGCAGCGGTAGGTTCGTTGACGACACGGAGAACGTTGAGGCCGGCGATGGTGCCAGCATCCTTGGTGGCGGCACGCTGGGCGTCATTGAAGTAGGCGGGGACAGTAACAACGGCGTTGGTGACCTTCTCGCCAAGGTACGACTCGGCGACTTCCTTCATCTTGCCCAAGATCATGGAGCTGACCTCCTCGGNGGTGAAAGTCTTCTCACCNNACTGCGCATCACATGTCAATTTCTGTTCGCACCTGAGCTCCAAGGGCCCAACTTACTCCTGAACCTCGACCTGAACTTTGGGCTGACCATTCTTGTTGACGACCTTGAAGGGGAAGTGCTTCATGTCACGCTGAACGTCTCTGTCGTTGAACTTGCGACCGATCAAACGCTTGATGTCGAAGACGGTTCTCTCGGGATTGGATGCGTACTGGTTCTTGGCTGNCGTGAATTGTCAGCGCTTGTCTGGAAAGCATTGGTCGCGTGTGTGGTTACCTGCGTCTCCGACAAGTCTCTCCTCGTCGTTCCAGGCGACGTAGGAGGNGGTGATACGGTTACCCTGATCGTTGACCAGAATTTCGACCTTTCCGCCCTTCATGATACCAACACAAGAGTAGGTAGTTCCAAGATCGATACCGATGACGGGGCCAGAAACGGCCTTTTCGCCGCTTTCTTGAGCTCTAGCATTGGAGCCAAAGAGCACCATAGGCGCAAGAAGCACCAGAAGGAGGTAGAAGATGGTTGACCACGCAAAGCGTGACTCGGTTCCTGTGCGTCTCGCCATCTTTGAGTTGTGATGACAAGAGAGAAGCGTGGTCTTCTTTGTATGCAAGATCAAGAAGGAGTGACGGAAGGACGAAGCTCCTCCTTTAATAGAAAGCAAAAGAAGATGATTGTTGGCATCTCCGAATTAATGACACCTATGCTCCCTTTCGCGGCCAATCAGCGCCCGCGGCGACTTCCGTAGAAGCTTCACGATTCTCCGCAACGAACACTTTTGTTTCATGCTGAGGCTGCTCAAGCTAAACTAAACGTGTCTTCACTCGTCGCCCCGAGTCTTTGCCAAATGTTGCAACTGTCCTTTGTTCGATTTCACTTCTGTTTAGGCAGAATCTGATTTGCCGCCTGCTCGCTGCCTTGTGATTCAATCGCTCGGCCACAAGTCTGCAGAGACACTCGATGCCGCACTGTTATCGATAACAGAAGCTGAAACGTGCACGCTATCCGTTCCAGCAACGTAGACCAAACCGCCGGCTCAACCTCGCCAGAGCCGGCCCTCTCCATATCGCGCAACCTCTTTTCTGAGCAACGTGTCGTCTCACCTCCTCGTGTGCTGACAACTGTCACAGCGTGGCTGCAGAACTGCACAATACTTTCGCAATGATGTGTTCTCGAAAGAAGTTTACATCGAAGGCTAATCATGGCCAAGGTCACATGAATTGCAATTGTGCATTTCAATAGCGTACAACAACCCTTGCATTCGCATTGGAGAAGTGTCAATCGTAAGGTCGTGACAGTCTTCAGCACATAAGCAGGCAAGAAGGCAAGAAGGCATCAACATACGCTATTGCCAACTGTCCTGGTGTCACAGAATCTGTGCAAGTTGTGGCCTCCAAGAATACTCGGCAAACCTAACCAAAATTCTCAGCCCTAGGCGTGCCAGAAGCTCGGAGGTCTCGAAGTGTCCGCTGCGACCGTAGATTGGTGAAGCATCAACGACTTGGAGCAGGTAATTCTCTAGAACCCATATCTTCCCAGAAACGTCTAAGGCTCGAGACACGATCGGTATTCGAGCGTGCATCAGAGGAAGGTTTTCTGAGTGAGTAATCGGACTCTTTGCCTCTTTTGGTAAACCTCCATACCAGAATACCAACGTCTCCCACATGTGACTTGTGCTTCTTGATCGCCCGAGCCTTCTTCTCAAGCCATGCTCGCATACCCTCCTTGAACTTCTCTAGTTCAAGCTTGCGCTTACGTTCAAACAGTCCAGAATGCGCGACGATGATATCCCCACTCAAACGATCGCGGCGACAGCAATCCTTGGGGAGAATTCGTGCGTTGACAAGCGACGATACAGACGGTCGCCGAGACAATGAGCGATTGAGAGTTGCTGACAGTAAGCGGAAATGAAGATGGCGTGCAGCAACATGCGTACGAGTTAAATAAATCGCCGAGGCAGGAGGCTGAAGAGACCGTAGTAGAGGACGTGCTGGCAAGAAAAACGACAAATGTACAGACGACTTGTGCAGACGCTGTAAATGCAAAACACGATCAAGAGCAATGGAACGAAGTCGGTGTGACACNNCTGTTGTAAAGTGCTTTAGCAAGAGCCGTAGTGGAGACCGATGAGATCTCACTCTAGAGAGAGCCAGTAGGAAAGGATAATCTAGATGTCCAAGAATCTGGAGCAGAAGTTCATCTGGAAAAGCATCGAGACCCGGATCAGCCCTCGTAAGAGACATGGCTTTTACTGTGACAGTTGACGCCATTCTAGTATTATATATAGCTTGAACGGATGGGAGTAGCAACAAGAAGCGTACGATGCGGTGAAGCAGAGGTGGGGCTGGTCCAAGCGCGGGCCTTGCCGCCCGTGACATCTTCTGTTGTTGTTCCATCGTTCTATGCATACCTACGCGCTCGCACAGGAACCTATTCTGACCTCTGCTCATGTTCTATCGACCAAGATTAGAATAAGCAATTGAATGTATGACAAGCTGTTCGCGAATGTGAGCAAGCCTCTCCTCGTCTCTCTAGCATCCCGAACGTCCCTCATTCTTTCCTCTCCAAACACTACTTCCAAGATTTTGCCCCCACTCCAGTTTTCATAACTTCTCTACAAATTGCCCCTCCTTCAGATGCCGCCCTATCAGCATTGACCTCCTTCGTTGTCGTTACCTTTCTGTGAACATGAGGAGGCTGGGGCGGGTAGTAGCGTTTTTCTTGCATACGTGCTGCCCACGAACCCACAGGGTTGAACCTTGAGACATCAGTCTTCCATGCAGGTTTTTCAGGTATCCATGCATAGAACACGACTTTACAACGTGTTTCCTTTGCCGCCTCAGGTTAGGGTACCCACGTACTGCGCCAAGATCGGCCTCTACGCGATTTACAATTGGTCCTACGAGCTGGCATTCACTGCACCAATAGGACTACGCCCGGGAAAACTTGTGCATGTCCCGACCGGCAGCAGCATAACTTTGCCTCGCTGTGAGCGGTTCGCCTGTCTTCGTGTCCCAGCCACCCAGTCCGCTATCTCCCGCTCTTTCAAGGATGCAGATTGAGAAAGGCGGGTCTATGAGATGAAGACACTAAGCAGCATCTCACGCTCACATGACCTGATTCGTTCGTTCGGCACTAAAGCCCTCGCAGAAAGCCTGAGAAAGGTAAATTTCGACGTCGACTGTAGCGTGGAGCTTTGTCTTTTGCTCGCCAGACTGTGCTTACTCGCACCTGCTTTGTTTTTCCTTGTTGCGACGAGCTGCTTACGCAACAGAGACCCTTAATACGTGATTCGCTCTTCGATAGTATCTCGACTATTCGAACGTTCTGAAACTTGAAATTGGCGCTCAGTCGCGTAGAGGGCGACAAATGTTTCGGATACCTTTGCCAATACGTGCATATCTGTCTTGGGGCCGAAAGACAGCTGGCAGTTGGACATTGCCTGCTATACCTTCGCTAAGCATAACTGTGGTATGTGTCAAGTTGTCAAGTCCGTCCAGGAGTCAAGATCAAAATACCAGGGCTTTCGCTGGGCGTGCATAACTTACCCGCCATCCATCATCCGTAATCCACAGAAGCCATGCATTGTCGTCGCTTATGAAAGGAATCTGAAGCAGACTTTTTCTCATGCTGATCGAAGGGGCTGTCGTCAATTGCCTCGCCAGGCGCCTTGAGGTGGTGAATGGCAACACACTAGTTCTATCAGAAGCTTTTCTGATCATCATTTTAGCCTGCTAATCGACTCAGAAAAAAATGACAGTGACGGTGATTTTTCATTAGCCCGCCATACTACTTCTGCCACGTCACAAGGGCGGAGACAAGGAGCATCCTCTCAGTTCTAGCGTCGGCCAGCTCCAGCCGTGATTGCCTGAGGTGACGGGTGACGAAGGTACTCCTCAGGCCTAGGCGGGCACCATCAGCCCATCGCTGCCGTCTGCGTCGAATTGACCTGTTATGTGGCTTCCGGCGCTATGCACAGGGAGGATGAAATGTGTTTCGACGATCATCCGAGTAGCGAGGAGACGCATGAGGCGTGGACCAGAGACGGACGAACCTTGTTCGTGGACAATGCTCCACCCATGCGGTAACGTTCAGACATGATCGCAGTCCTCGACGATAAGCTGACTGGACACCAATGCTTGCCGCCCGCGTATGCTCTCGCCAAGTCAATGAATGCTGCATGCAAGCCCACAACTCCCTCGGCCATTCCTCAGCGACAGGGCCTATGGCAGACCTTCGTATCGAACCATCCGACGTTCCGACCGCTACCGTTCCTGCTAGTCAGCTCAATGAACTGCACTCCTGGTACCGAACCAGCATGTGCGTCTTGCGCCCCCTCTCCCTCGAGATNNTGAAGCAGACCAGAGAGCAAGAAAAGCCGACACATGCGGGACAAACCGCCAGAGCAAAGAGACCCTCTGGTCGAGGGTTTGCAGTAAATTCCAGATCGGAAGANNAGAATAGTTGTCCAATGGAAAGAGGCCCTTGCCAAGGCAAACAAACAAACAAACTNNGCGAGGTGAGTTCGAGAGACGAGGCAGCGCACGTGATATCAAAAGAAAAAAGTCCGGTATGACCTCCTGAAGCTTCAAGACATAGGCCCACCGTCTGATCCCTACCACGACAACACATTGAGAGCGCCCCGAAGCATGACGGCAAGTTCGAGTCTGAGCAATCGAGCATCGGCCAGAAGGAATACGCGAGCAAAGCAAAAGCCACACCGCTAGTGATCGTACTGAGGCGTGATGGCTCTGCTCATGTTCTCACAAGCGATGGAGGGTCGGGGTGACATTTTGACCCATACTCGACGATCGACTAGCTCCAATGGCATCCCGTTGCATGGCTGCAGAACTAATTGACTGGTCCAAGGCGGGATACCGGAGGTGGTCTTGCAGAATGGTGGGAGCTGTTGCAGATGTACTTGACAGCAAAGCAATGCCGGATGGATTTAGTCGAAGTCAGCTGTTGCTGAGAAAGGCATAAATAGCTGGTTCAAGGTCCTCCAGAAGACAGAATCATCAAGCATTGACTCGTCTTCAAGACCTTTGAACCACCTGAGCACTCAATTCTTGCCCTCCTGCCCTTTCACTTCCTACCCCCATTGAGTTCAACCACCATCGACCCAAGCCTTCTCTTGCTGCTCATCTTAACTCTTCATCAACTCAACTCTCATCGACATCCACGTGCTGTCCTACGACACGACAAAGAAGCAGTCTGTATTCAATACTGTCCAGATCATCAGCTGTTGCATACTGACGAGTACCAAAGTCCTTGCTCCCCAGAGATGTGCTTCTTCGACCAAGTCATGTGGACCTGCGGCGACTGGAAGTGGGACCGCTTCCGCCAGCACTGCAACCGCGAGTACCGCACTGGAGAGACTTGCGGCATGAAGCTTGTCTATGCGGTAGCCAGGAGCAACGACAAGTGCAAGATCTGCCAGAAGATTGACACCAAGCTCCGCCGTCGTGCTGCAGAAGTGGCCAAGATCCAGCGATGGCAATCCGAGGGCAGCAAGCTGAAAGCATCCATCGAAAGGTCTTACGAGATCATCAAAGATCTCGACCAGGAGATCTACCAGTTGCAGATCGAGAAGCAGCGCAAGACACAGGCGATTGGAAAGTCGCGCTGACGGATTGGGTCCACAGTCTGATGTCTCCTTTTCTCTGTTCGGCCAGATTGTATCCCTTCCAGATTGGACAAATGTTATCTGAAGCTTTGGTTTTGGTCCAGCAAATCCTTTGGTTCAGAGTTGTAGTTGCAAGTCTCGGTGTTTTATTTTCTTTGGGTTTATGTCCTCAATCTTTCTTCTCTAGGTATTCGAGCACACGAAAGTCATGATAGTTTCAAAATTATGCATCGATGGTTATACTTGTGCATGTTGTGTAAATTGTGCAGGGCTTAGGGTGCGGATATGCAGGTACGTACCTAATGTCTTGACCAATGATGTACCTCAGGGTATTGATTGCATTGGCCTTCCGACTACTACCCTTTCTGCACCTGGGATGCAGCATGTTACACGAGAGCAGTCGAGGACTGGAAGAAATGAGACAAAAGGAAAGAGTGAACGCGTTTGGAGTTTTAGCCATCCTAGCGTGTCGAGTCATGTGATGTGATAGAGACTTAGTAAGATGTTGGAGGTCTTGTGACGGCAAGGTGGTTGTTAAAACTGCTATATAACATGTCACTAGATCGTCTAAGGCTACTGATACCCATTGCTAACAAATGACAAACATTAAAACCAAACGTCCATGTCCTGCACTTCGAGCAGGTCCTTGTCTTCTTCTTGAATGCTCGTAAGTCCATAAAAACTTGTCGTAGGAAACTCAAAACATCGCATCCATCAATCGTGACAATTCATTCGTGCCTATCATGCGGCGAAGGCAGTGGCAGGAGTTGTGGCTTCAGGGAAACCACCCAAGGGTCCGTAATACCCTTGGCCTGCTGGAGGGCAGTTGGAATAGCAGCCGAGCAAGGTAGTAGTTGCATACACGGTAGTGGCTGCTTCTGTGATCGTAGAGAACATCGTCACAGTCACAGGAGGCATATTCGTGCAAGTATTGTTCTTGGACGGAGGGAATGTGGCACTGGGCCCAGACGGACTGAGAGTGCCGCTACGGAAGTCACTCGCGCTAGAACGGGTTCCGGTACCGATTGGGATCGAAGAGTTGGCGGTGGGGAAGGGGAATCCAGAGGAGGGGCCCGTACCAGTAGGGCCAATAACAACTGACGAGTTGGCAGTTGGGAATGGGAAGCTAGCAGACGGGGCAGTTCCGGTGGGCAGAGGGAGGGATGAGTTTGCTGTAGGGAAGGGGAAGCTAGCAGATGGTGCCATTGAGGTTGTATTCAGACTTGGAACTCCAGTGCTCAGAGGTATACTCACACTAGAGTTGTTGATAGGGGTCACTGTAGGAGGCGCCAATGTTCCAGTGCGATCCCCGCTGGGTATAGAACCAGAGTATGTGCTTGGTGCAGTACCAGTAGGCCCGACGGGGACCGAAGCATTGGGGAAGCCATATGGAGTGGTCAGAGGGCTTGCCGAGCCAGTACGATTTCCTTCTGTAGAGGAAGCTGAGAAGGGGCTGGAAGTCGTGGCATTGGCAGATGGTGAAGGCGAGCCACTGGGGGATCCCGTAACAGAAGGCAGGACATATACTCCACTAGAGCTATTGTACATGGGAATGCTAGTCGTGAGTGTGCCGTTAATGGGGAACGATGGAGTATGACTAGGGAAGGGGGTAGATGTTGGAGGCGAATCGGAGCCTGAGCGACCAGCATCTGAAGTGGAGCCTGAGATCGGAGTTGAAGCAGTCAGATAGACGGTGGAGACCTCAGTCGAGAAGATCGTGGAGATGATGATGTCGGTGCTGACATTTCCAGCTGCACCACCTCCAGATCCGCCGTTACTGCCCCCATTGGCACCGCCAGCTGTTCCGTTCACGGAAACAGTGTTGTTGGTGACGGTCGTAGAATTGGTAACAATGATCGTGCCGTTTGTGACAACACCTCCATTGCCCCCACCATTTGCTCCCCCGTTGGAACCTCCAGTCGAGCCTCCAGTCGAGCCGCTAGAGTTGCCAGCCGATCCACTTGCGGAACCGCCGGATGAGCCAGACGCACCACCCGTCTCGCCAGAGGAGCTGCCAGAAGTTCCTCCAGACGACGAACCGATGGTCGTTTGAGTAATCGTGGTAGTAGACGATGATGTAGTAGTGCCGTTCGACCAGTTGTATGTAGTCACGATGGTTTCGTTGCGAATCTGCTGGTTTCCATTGGTCTCGGTGTTGTTGTAGATAGTCGTAGTGATGGTGTAGCCACTGGAGCTGCCTGAACCCGAACCCGAGCCAGCAGCAGCACCGCCACTGCCACCGCTACCTCCAGTCGAGTTGCCAGAAGAAGATCCGGCAGATCCACTAGCAGAATCTCCTCCGTTGGCACTGCCAGAAGACCCGCCGTTGCTGTCGCTGTTCGACGAGGAAGAAGTCGCGTAAGATACCTCTTGAGTGGAAGATGCTGCCCAAGCAACAGTGTAAGTGGTGTAGTAGGATTCGTACCACGAACCGTTACCGGAGACGTAGGTAGAATAAATTTGGGCGGACGAATAAGTGCTTCCTCCAGAAACATAGGTTGAGTAACTCGTGGCAAGTCTTTTGCAGGAGCAGGCGTGATGATGGGCATAGATGTGGTGCTGTTCTGGAAGATGGAGGAGAGCATGGAGGAGGTGTCGATGCTGGAAGCTGTTGAAGAGGGAAGATATACTGCGCTGGGAGTAGAAGACTCGTTCACCGCGACTTCAATTCTCAGGAGAATGACGGCATTGATACCTCCAGCGACCACGGTCGAGTTGGCAGATTTCTTCAAGAAACAGTTCGAGCCTGATTCTGCACCGGGATAGAAGACGGCACCCTGACAAACGGCTGAGCTGAAGCCATAGTTAGCACTGCCACAAGCGGCGGCACACTCGGTGAAAGTCTGGTAGCGATATTGGGCCAAATTGTCATCAGTAATATCGGTATCACACTGCACAAGGTACTGGAAGAGCTGGCCGTCGATAAGTTGGCTATCGATCGAATTGTCGTCGTCAGGGCAGACAATGGCGGGAGAGGTTGGGGTTGCAGCGCTAGACATGCTGGTCGATGATGCTACATCTGCTGACGAGGTTGGACCAGCGAGAAGAGTGGTGACGGTTCCGCTTGTGATGGTCGTATCCACAGTCTGTACCGTGTTGGCATAAGCACGCTGAGTGTAAGTCTGGACATGTTAGTTGAAGAGTCATCGAATTCGGACTTTTGTGAACTCACCGAGACACCTTCAGTATACGTCACAGTAGTAGTGGCTGCAGTCAGAGGCTGACAACTGCAAGCACTAGACAGAGCAGAGACAAAAGAGGAGTCGGCAGTGGCAGTGCCGTTGTCCTCGGCTACTCTGATAAAGCGAGCGACTGCGCCAGAGTCGAATCTGTTCTTCGTAAGACCACGCTTGGCTTTTGCCTTTGCCGTGACAACAGCTGAAACAGTGGCTGCGACTTGGACTGTGTTGGTCGTGGTCGTGGTGATGGTCGTGTAAGTATCGGTGACAGTTCTAGGAAGGTCAGACAACCCAATCAACACAGCGGAGGGTGAAGCTTACGTGACGGGGGTAGTATAAACGGCAACAGTATCAGGAGGATTGCCCAAAAATCTGTTGCAAAATTCGTTGGCGTTGGGGTACTCGTGAAGTTCCGTGTAGACATCGCCCTCAACGCAGACTTGTTCTTGACGGGCAGCCAGACCAAAGAGATCCCGGATGAAGTGGACTACTCCATTGGGGCTAGTATCCTGTTCAGCACGCTTTTGCGGATTGGTGACTCGAGCGGTGACAAGTTGGAATAGAGCAAAGCTCAAAACGAAGGTTGAGAAGAAAACGAATGAACGCATCTTGAGTACACCAAACGAAGGATGGTATCTGTACTCTGGGTGAAGAAGCAGTCAACCGCGATATGATTCTAGTCATGATGGGAGAAGATGTGGGCTATATACGTGTGCAGACAGGGCATTTTGCAGGCGAAGACTGAAGATAGCCACCAATGTAGGTGGCGAGTGTGCCTTGCAGTTGGAGAACTCATGCGGTAGAGGTATGGTGTGAGCGCGTCTCGTCGCGCACGCAACGTCAGGTCTACATTCCCCAAAGTCGAGGATTGAAGGCAACAGACTGCAGGGGCAACCACAAGAAGGATTAAGCTTGAATTATGAAACACTTTCTTTTAATGCTTGAGTTATAGATCACAGATGATGACAGAAGAGAAAAGAAATACTTGATCAAAATGAACAATATGGAAAAGAGAGCAGTGCTTGAGATGTAAATGAGGTCGAGCAATAACCACTTAGCCTTTGAGAGATGATGATGACACTACCAGAGAAGAGGTAAAATTTCAGGCATAGTAAGCACTCAGATGCACAGTGTTTCACGACGTTCGTATCTAACGTGTGGGACCGATATAGAGGGCGAGGTATGTGATGAGTATGGAATGGTGTGGATGGCGAGGCATGTGTACGAGTAAGAGCAGTGGTTGAGAGCGTGGAGTTGGTTGAGGCTTGGCGAGTGGTGCATAAAATTGTGGATGCATGGTGCACGACGTGACAGCATCAGCATCAGCATCCGCAGCAACATCAGTTCGGCCGTTCATTCCTCGATGACAGCGGGCTTCAACGACCATGGGCATCTGCGCGAGCTGTCTCGGACTTGATCGGCAAGCTGCACGAGAGGCGAGTATTCTGGTTATGGCAGTTGCTACCCCTTGCTGACTTGGTAAAAGNGCGTCGGAGAGCGAAGGCCTCCTGTACGAAGATGCGGCCCAGCCTCAGTATGGCACCGTGACGCCCGGCGCGACACTGCCAGAGCCCGATCCGGAAGAGCTGAGAAGAGAGCGCGAAGTGCTGGAGCGTATCTGTGCCCAGACGTCCAAGTGCGTATCTCGTGCTGCCCTCTGTTCAAGCACGCGCTGACATGTCTGTAGCGAGCTCATCGACGTCCTCCATCACGACTCGAAACTCGCCAGCGACTACCCATACCTCCTCAACAAACACTTCCCTCCCTCTTCAAGTGGCGCCTCGTCGCCCACAAGCACAATTGTCGACGAGGATGCCTGGCTTGCTGCCACCCAGCCTACAGATCGAGAACTCTGGGCCTCGGTCAAGGGCCTCAACCCTGGTGAACTCATTGTCGACCTCAATCCCCCGAACCCTGCACCAAGGTGATCGCCCAGAAACCCCACCAACTCTCTCCTTTGTCCAAAAGCACGATACCCTCTCTGCGATACCCGGATAATCTCCTTGCTTCTGCTTCTTCCTAATTATCCTCTGTATTTTGTCTTCAGTCTGTTCGGGATACGAACATGCTTTACATCACATCTTCATCAATCTAGACCTGAATGTTCACTTTTGCTTTCACTCTGATGTTGCACTGCGTCTTTCTTCTCTATACAAAACACGAGAAACGGCGTCAAGCCACATTAACAACACATGGTTTTGCTTTCCAACAAGACATGCTTTGAGCCTGTATTTTCTAAAGTCTCTACTCTATGTGTCAACATTTTATATCCAGCCCCTCTCAAAGGTTTGCATCCAAGAGAGTCTTCATTTGAGAAGCACCTCTCTTTGACCATCCCCATCNTGCTTCCAAAGTCAGCGTGCTGTCATGCATGAAATTATTGTGATTCGTCAAAACTTACCTGATCTGGTTTGGCATGTTGACTTCAACGCCAAGTTCTTCGGCAAAGGAGAACACAACACCAGGGTTCTTCTGGAAGAGACGGCCGACCATAATAACGTCGAGACCTTCCTCGAGAAGCTCATTTGCCAACTTGCCAGTGTGAATGCTACCGACAGCGCTCAGAGCCATCTTGTCACCAACGGCCTNTTTGACTGCCTTACTGAGAGGTGCTTGGTATCCAGGAGCTGCGTGAGGGTGCTGCTTGGGGTGATTACCACCGGAGCTGACGTCCATCAAGTCGACGCCACGCTCAGCAAGGATTTTTCCGAGCTCAACGGTCTGCTCCGAGGTCCAGCTCTCCTTGATCTCTTCAACCTCCTCTAGCCACTCGGTTCCGCTGACTCTGACGAAGAGAGGCATAGTCTCAGGGATGATCTCTCTGACGAGGTCAACAGTCTCGAGAAGAAGTCTAGTTCTGTTCTCGAAGCTTCCACCGTACTTGTCGGTACGCTGGTTGGATGTGGGCGATAAGAACGAGCACAGCAGGTATCCATGCGCAGCGTGGATCTCGATCGCATCAAATCCGGCCTTCATGGCACGGCGGACTGCATCGGCGTAAGACTTCTTGAAGCTCTCGATGTCCTCAAGAGTCATAGCACGAGGCTTTGCGTGGTGCTCGTTCCAGGGAATAGCAGAAGGTGCAAGGACATTGTCTGGCCACCCATTCTGCTCCTTTGGTGCAACAGCACCTGCGCTCAACCAGGGAGCCACAGTGCTTGCCTTACGACCTGCGTGCGCGAGTTGAATAGCAATTAGTTGGTNTCTAAACACGAATATCAGCATCTCTAACCCAATACATACACAGAAATGACTCACTTGACTGTGGGCAAAGTCGACGACTTCCTTTAGAGGTGCAATCTGGCTGTCNNCCTTCCAGAGACCGACATCCTCTGGGGTAATTCTACCTTNCCTTTCAAATCGTCAGCTCAATTGCCTTTACATGTTCATCTCAACACGGTCATCAAAACTTACAGGAACAACAGCCGTGGCCTCGATAATGGTCATGCCTGGGCCGCGTGTGACGATTCCGCCGATGTGAGCCATGTNGCTACATCAAGGTTAGCGCGATCGTGAAAATATGGCTATGATACAAACCCATTTTGTGTAATGGCCGTCCTCTGCTGAGTACTGGCATAGAGGAGACAGGAAGATGCGGTTAGGGAGAGTCAGGCCACGGAGCTTCAGGGGCTGGAACAGCTTAGGCACTGGTTTGCCATCTTCGCGGACGAATGCTGCACCAGCGGGAGGAGATTGAAGAGGAGTGAAATATGGAANCCTGCTCACATATTCAGTATGGTGTGTTTCTATTTTCTAATTCCAATCACGACATACACCAGGAGCGGCACGGTTGACGTGATGAGCTTCTCCAACGACGTTCTCGACAATGTTGTGGTGAGAGATTGCTTCAGGCATGATGTAGAATTGCTGTATAAGTTGCAAAGTCAATTTTCTACTCAGGTGGGAGCCTTTGTTACGTTATATACTACCAGCTATAATTGGCCGTAGAATTAGGGAAACCGCTTAGAAATCAATCATTTGCCATGTTGAGCACAAGTCTAGACATAACTGTATTACTGACCCCAACCTCGTCATCAAACACGAACGTGCGACTCCAATTTTCGAAGCGGCCGAGTCTCGGTCTCGAGATTGAGAAAGGCTGCCATCGGGTTGGTGACTGATGTCAACAAAATTGATTGCATACGTCGCTGCCGATCGCGCCTTCCACCAAAATCCTGGGGTAGTGCGTGGCAACTCTATGGCCATACGGCCTTTCGCGTTTGGTCATCACACACGCTGTATCACAATTCAGCAACTGTTCAGAGTGAACTTCCAAGCACTTGGCGTGTCCACCTGAGCGAACATGCCGCCGAAGCTTCCGATTCTCGTCAGTTCGGCAGCGGCGTCAATACTGCTGGCGCACTACACGCCTGCCTACGCTCCTGGCTCGCGTCTTCAAACCTTCTTCCTCATTGCCTTCACAGAGTTCATTGCGTGGGCAACATGGCGAGTGGTTATATACCCGAATTTCTTCAGTCCTCTGAGAGATCTTCCTGAGCCGCCGGGAGCCAGTTGGTGGAATGGCCATGCATCCATGATAATGGCACAGCCAGCAGCTCATCCGATGCGTGAATGGATGAACACAGTTCCAAACGATGGTCTCATGCGCTACTCCAATTGGTTCAATTCTGAGAGAGTGCTCTTAACTAACCCAAAGACTCTTGCTGAGGTTCTTTCAAGCAAAAACTACGAGTTCATCAAGCCAGCACATTTCCTTGATATCATTGGCCGAATTCTAGGCATCGGATTGTTGTTCGCAGAAGGCGATGAACATAGGGCACAACGCAGAAATCTCATGCCTGCCTTCTCGTACAGACACGTCAAAGACCTTTATCCCGTATTCTGGGCCAAGTCAAAGGAAATGGTCGAAAGAATGTCCATTGCTATGCAAGACCCATCCACGCAGGATGGCGCCTCTGCCAATGTCGTCGAAGTTAGTGATTGGAGCAGCCGAGCTACGTTGGACATCATCGGAGTCGCTGGCATGGGCCGTGATTTTGAGTCTCTCAAGAACCCGGACAATGAACTGAACAAGACTTACAAAAACATCTTCCACCCACCCAAGTCCGCCCGCTACCTGCAAGTCGCCGGCATGTTCTTACCACGCTGGTTCCTTAGGAACCTGCCGCTCAAGCGTAATGATGAGATATCAGAAGGATCCGCTCTTATCAAACAGACATGTCGCGACTTGATCGCCGCAAAGAAGATTCGTATGGAGAAGGGTGCTGCAGATGAGACTGATATTCTCAGTGTGGCTCTGAGGAGTGGAAGCTTCGACGACGAGAACCTTGTCAGCCAGATGATGACTTTTCTGTGAGCCTTCAAGTGCTAATCTATTACTATTCGCCATGCTAACTTCATTGACAGCGCTGCGGGACATGAGACTACAAGCTCATCCATGCAATGGGCTATATACATGTTGTGTCGCCATCCTGACGTACAGACACGTTTACGCGAAGAGATACATTCCAAGCTACCCTCGGTACGCGATCCTCAGGCTCAAATCACCGCCACTGATATCGACAACTGCCACTATCTTCAAGCAGTCTGCAAAGAGACCCTTCGTCTCTGGGCGCCAGTGGCTCTGACCATGAGAGTTGCTGCACGAGACGAAACTATCAGCGGTCATCCTATTCCCAAGGACACGCTCGTAGTCTTGGCTCCACTAGCAATCAACTGCAGTAAACATCTCTGGGGCGAAGATGCTATGGAGTTCAAGCCAGAGCGCTGGTTGACAGATGGTGTCAGCAACAAGAACGGTGGTGCCGAGTCCAACTACAGCTTCATGACCTTCCTCCATGGACCACGATCGTGCATCGGTCAAGGATTTGCCAATGCTGAGTTTGCATGTCTTCTTGCAGCCTGGTGTGGCAAGTTTGAGACTGAATTCGAAGATAAGGATTATGTTTTGGAAATCAAGGGTGGCATCACTTCTCGACCCAAGAATGGCTTGCGGGTCAGGTTGACAGAGGTTGAAGGATGGTGATATGCTTGCAATCTCTTTCAATGTAAATAGTTTTACTTTCGCATTGTCGTTAATATATGGACTACTAATGTCTTTGTCATAAACATCAGCTCTCCTCATGGACATATTCTGCAGTGTATAATGGGTTCTTTCGTGAAAGTTGCGTGGACTTGGCGAACTTTCGCAACATACTAACCAGCTTTGCAGAGAAGTTCATGCAACAACATGTAACTGGTACCATCGGTCCAGCTATCTGCCAACGAACATAACTGGATCAGAAACAGTTTACTAGCGATAATATACTTAGTCAATGAAGAGGTGAACACCAAAAGTCGACTGGAGATGACCTACTGAATCGATAGTCAGGGTGACCATGTCAACAATACGCATAAGGCAGGAAAGTGACACCCAGTAACAAGATGAAAGTCTGCAACTACATATACTGAGGATACGAAATGAATAGAGAAGCGAAGGATCTTTGTAGTATGTGGCCAGTAATGTCGACCGTTGATCAGTCTTGTTGGCGACGCTCAATCCGAGGCAACCCTTCAGGACGCACCCTAGGATCAAATATGTCCTCGACCCATTGATCCAGCTCATCGCCCTCGTCCTCAGCTAATTTCACAACGCTTCCCTTCAATGACACTGCCTTTTCGACTATCTCAGCTACGTTGAATCGCTGGAGGGGTCCACCATGCCGACAATATTTGCGGAAAATCTCTCGATACACGTTTGGCCNCTGAACAGTCAGCAGGGTAGCAAAGGCGAAGGTAAAGGCAAAGCAGAGCATACCTTTGAACTTTTCAAGTCCCTCTACCAGATAGAAGGCATCAGTGTCATCCCAATAACGAGTAGCGTCATGCAGATTATCAAGAGGGATCTGTCGCAGGTGATGGACTTGTTCGTCACTCAGGAAGGTACGACCCTCCATTGCCGCACCAAGTCTTTGATCATGGAGCACGATCCAACGCTGTCTCCATTCCTTCAGTTTAAGCTCATAATCGTTTTCTCGATCAGCGGCCTCTTGACGTAGTCTCTGCGTTTGCTGTCTTTCAGCGTAATCTGCTCCCGACTTTACCAGCTCATGCGCTTTGAGACGCCGATCAAGAATGCTGAGTACCTCCCTGATCCTGGCGACCGTTGATATAACATCTTGTGAGCGGATGTATCGTGTTTCTGCATCCTTGGCTTGATCGAAAATATGGAGAATAGCCCTGACGACGCTTCTCGATTCGTTCAGTGGTTCATAGGGAAGCTTTTNCATCGTCCCAACTTCCGAGAGGTAGTATACCAAGGTGATATACAACGTGCGCACAAGTGTCGGCAAAACACGTTTGTATACGTAATCGAGTCCTATTTTCTGGTCCCATACAGGTTTCTGGAAGATAGATTTGGCTTCTTCCGTAATCGCTTGGGAAAGCTGAATGAGATGGCCTGTTTCACTGTAATTCTGTGCGGCTCTCCACTGCATGACCCTTTTCTTCAGGTTGTCGTAGCTTTTCAAAATGCGAATGCCATCGAACCTCTGCCGAACCGACTGAAATTCCTTGTGGATCCAGTGTGCCAGCTTGAGAGCCTCATTCAGCTCTTTTGGCATAAAGATATCTTGACAGCGATTTTTCTCACCCTTGCAATTCTCGAGTCCTGCAAAGTCATCCACAGAGTCATCTTCTGGGTACAACTCAATAAGCTCATGTATCCTTGCAGTGTCCGCTTGAACCATTTCGGGTAGTGACCGCGCATCCTTGGTGGGTTGCGTATACGGTTCGAAGAGAGCGTCGTCTCCCTGGGTAGATCTTTGTGCCTCTTCAACTACAGATGGCTGCACGTCTTTGAGATGGACCGTCGAAGAAGCTACCGGATCTGCTGGATGATCTGAACTGATATGATCTCGATGATGATCTTGCACAACATTTGCTGGTGGAACCGATAGATGTCCCGCAATGGTCGGATCTGGAACAACGGCTATAGGAGATGTCGGCGGTTTAGTTGTGTTTTTACTTTCGCTTGAAAGTTGATTCGAGGCGGGGGTATCAACTACGACCTGTACAACCTGTCTTGATCCAGAATGTCCTCGATGGGGAATCTGCTGCTTGTCAAGCGCAGGAGATGGGTCATTCCTGGGGACAGAGGGCTGATGCTGAGTTATCGAAGTTGAACGATCATCCTGTCGACGCCGTCCGTGAAGAGGTTGCGATAGATCGAGTCCTGGTCCTACTGGTAGCTTCTGAGAGCGCGTTGCTACCCGTGGGGTGGTTTCGGGTATCGAGCCAGAACGCAGACCTCGAGCTTCTGAAACCACGTCATCATCAAGCTTTTGGCGCTTTGTGTGAGGCTCTTGGGATCCGCGTGTTTGGTGTACACGCCCTATGGTAGAATGTGATCCAGCCACCTGGTCGGAAAGAGGATCTGTGTCCAACATGCGCCTTCTCGAGGCAGTTTTGAATTGTCTCTGCGGGCGACTGGGCAGCAATGGCTCTTGTTGCTTCTTGGAGGATTTCTTCTGACGTGGACCAGAGCTTGGATGGACTTCGGGTTCGGGTGAGTTAGCAATTTCGAATATATCCCCTCGCAGAACGGGTGTTGGTTCTCTGTGAGCATGGCTGAGCGAGGGCCTTTNTAGCTTCCCACTGCTCCGAGTAACAGAAGATGGCGTCGTTCCTGGCACATGAGGCCGGCTACAATCAGACATAATCATCGAATTGATAAGATCGACCTGATTATGCAAGGTTTCTTCTGGACCTTCACTTTNCTAATGCCTCTGATTAGTTTGTCAAAGGTCAGATCAATTAAAAGGTGTAATACCAGGAACATCGGACTGAGTTGGGATTGGTATGTTGCTTCCGAGTTTTGTTAATCGTAATTCTTGTTCGGAACGAGGGTGAAGGTTGTTCCCATCTGACTCATTATCCGAGCCATCACTTTCTGGGAATTTATAGGAAGCCATGATATGTCATGGTTAATTGATGTGTTGTAGAAGACAAGAGTCGGCTCTGTAAGTTCGGCGTTGGCGTTTGGTATGTTGAGCTTGGACCACCGAGACTCACGATTGTGAGAGGAAAGCGCCATCCAGAGTGACCAAGTCCAACAACACCACAAACCTGTCTGAGCATCATGACGGACGATTTGCGCAACGGCCATGGCATTCCATTGCTGCAAGTCATTGCGTCCTCAGATCAACAGCCCTTCGAGACGCCGTCCAAGCGTATCAACGATGGCGACGACCTTTCTTTCTTCTTGCGCTCCTCGGCCTACGCCGACATCATGACCTGGATTCTTCAGTTGAATCGTTCCATGATTCCCGTCAAGCGTCCAGACGACTCAAGTCTTGTCGACACATGGCCTTTGCAGTCCAAGAACATGGTCCTTTCTCCCGAAGTGGTCAAATTGAACCATCTCATCCGCTCACTCGATGCTCTCATGGAAAAGGCGCCTCCAGAGTCTGGACCCCGAAGGTTCGGCAATCCTGCCTTTCGTACATGGTACAAGGCTGTTCAGGAAGCCACACCATCTCTNTTGCCAGACGCCCTTTCCGACAAGCTGTGGGGCCGTGCTCGGGACGACGCCGAGCTGAACGCTTTGAATCTCGAATTGGCTGCATACCTTCTTGGGAGTTTTGGAAGTCCCGAAAGACTTGACTATGGTACCGGCCATGAGCTGGGCTTCTTGGCCTTTCTGGCCTGTGTCTGGAAGTTGGGTGGCTTCGCTCACGCCGATACTGGTGTCCAAGAAAGAGCCATTGTTACAGCCGTCATACAACCGTGAGTTCTGTCTTGATACTGCTTTACAGGCAAGAGAGTTCAGAGCTCACAACAATGCAGCTACCTAGATCTTGTTCGAAAGCTTATTCTGACCTATTCTCTGGAACCTGCAGGTTCTCATGGCGTGTGGGGACTTGACGACCATTCTTTCATCCCATACATACTAGGTTCTGCTCAATACTGTGCGCCCATCGATGCCGACTCGATCAAGATCCCTAACGAGGGCTCGCTCTCAGGTTCGCCATCGCCTATTCGAACGGCCAAGCGTGACTCGGCCGAAATGTACAGAGACACCAACCTGTATTTCTCTGCCATCGCCTTTATCTTCAATGTCAAGAAAGGGCCCTTTTGGGAGCACAGTCCTACTTTGTATGATATATCAGGGATCAAGGATGGATGGGCCAAGATTAACAAGGTCAAGAACCATGTGCATGATGTCAATGTGAATTTGCTAACAGATCAGCAGGGGATGATTAAGATGTACAACGCCGAAGTGCTCTCCAAGTTCCCAGTTGTCCAGCACTTCCCTTTTGGTTCCCTCTTCCGGTGGGAGCAAGACCCCAGCGCTCCAATGCCTGCCACATCTGCTCATATGGGTTCTCAGCCAAGACCTTCGACGTCGTCCAGCACCAAGAACATGAGCTTTGCACAACCGTCGACGCGTGCACCATGGTCAGGTACAGCAGCAAGAACGTCCTCGACACCTGTCACGGGCGCGCCATGGGCAGTGACCGGATCATCATCATCTCCAGCAAATGTCACCAGAGCACCGTGGTCAAGAGCCCCGCCAGGATCTAATCGACCAGCTTGACAAGACGTCGCAGACAACCAGACGACGCGCATGTACAGTATCGTATTCTAGACACTTGGACGGCAACAAAGATAGACGGACCCGATAGGGACAGAGCAAAGGGCATAGCTTCAACGTCTTTGGGGACGTTCGCAGCACCAGCGCTCGGGTACGATAAAGGCCGTTTCTGTTTCACGCACACATGGCCAACGGTGAGGTGGGGGAGGTCTGTAGATGCAGGTCGAGGAACGCTGTACGACCACGTGTGTGCCGCTTTTCAAATAGAGACGAAAGAGGAAAGAAGGACATTAGACAGCACAGGGCAAAGGCAAAATAGCGATAGTCCGGAGGCTAGAGGCTGCGAGTCAGCGCGTGGAAAGCTGATGATCAGCGTAGCCGGGCGATTTTGGCGGTAGCTTCAATGGGGGAGCCAATAAGAGGCTGACTCGAGATTGCCCCGACCCTCGTCAATCGGCGCTAGAATTGTCCGCGAAAGCTTCTGACTGCCGGCTGGGAGCTGGAGCACAAAGTCAAACATGTCTCGTCCGCATTCATTGGATCGAGACACGAATTGAAAAGACCGTCTTTAGCTGCACCTGTCGCTCTCTTGCCCTCGGCGCAAGCATGCAGCGCTCCCTTCTCTTCCTTTGCTCTTTCCCTTCGAGTTGCACTTGACCATCCACCGTCCTTCTTCGACCTTCATTCTCTATTTCTGTTTCACAAAGTCTCTGTGTGCCCTGTTTTGCACACGCCCTGGGCAAGAGCCCCACCAGAGTGACATAATGCCCGGAACATGTTAGTATTAATCGTCGTCTCCAGGTCGAGTTAATCCACAGTCCGTCTGACAATATGTCCCCAGCATCTTCATCCGATACATATGAACAATTCAAACGCGCTTTCCGAAATCTTTTCCGGCGTCGCAAGTTCAACATCAACGTTCCTGCAGTGGTAAAGCCGCAAGCGCCGACGCGTCCACCACGCCCACGCTCCGCTTCGGCCGTCGCAGCTCCCGAAGTCTTCAACAGCCCAGACGTTCCTTCATGGCCTATGTTTAATCAGCTACCGCAGAGCGGTGGTCTTTATTGTGCGCCCGTTGAGCTGCCAGGTTCGCTCGCACCCCTTCTCCAGCATCGCTCCAAGTCCGACGCAGGACAGCCTGTATATCATTCGGACCTTTTCAGCGAGCTGGACGCCACTTCGATCCGACGATTGAGTGTCATTGGAAGCGATGTGGCCGATGATGAAGACCTGACCGAAGCATATATGGAGCTTCAAGCCGAGCTGGATGCCCAAAAAGCATTGCGAGTGGACGAAGAACAAGCCACATCAGACCAACCTACACAATCAGCACTTGAGCAGCAGTCTCAAACAACAGACGAACAATCGACAGCACAACCAGAACTAGAACAGACACAGGACGATGCAATCTTCGAGGATGCAGAGGAGCATCTTTCCCAGGAAACCGAAACCAAAGACCTTGTAGACCCAGCAAATATTGCCCTTCCAGAAGATTCAGACTCGGGTATGTTTGATCTCCCGCTCCCATCTCCATACACATGGCTAACCGATTCAGACTTGGAGGAAGACGACGTCTCGGTCGTATGCAACGCCGAAGAGCTGGCTAGAAATGACTCGGCAAACGGCGGCAAGGTCTTCCACGACGATTCTAGCTCTCTCTACAGCACTGATGAGTCAGAAATCGACGCCGATTCCACCACAGATGCAGCTACTGTTTCCACGCCCCGCACTGCTTCTTTGCTCAGAGCAGACATGATGGAGTATTTCGACGAAAAGATACCAGTACTTTCCGAATCCCCTCAGGTCTTGCCTCTTGTTCCTGCTCCTGGAATGGCTGCAACCTCTGGACCCCTCGAGGAATTCTCATGGTGATGTCGCTCGCCAAAACTTCTTATTTCCTTTGTTTCTTCATCCTATGCGCCAGAGGGTGCTGGACTATGGCCAGAAAGGGGGCGTTTTGTTGATTTTCACATGATACCATTTGATGAACATTTCACTTCTACGGATTCCTTGTATGGGTTAGGGGGTTTCTTTGACATTTCTTGCAATCTCGGACATTCTGCGATTATTTGTATATAGAAGCAGCAAAATGAACCATTCGTACACTCACAGCAGTGAGCATCTTTGAATTATTGCCCGTCGATAAATGATGTATGTCTGTCGCCCCATTCCATCGACCTGCGTTTCTAATGCTGCACGAGTCAATTGACCGAGCGGTGCGTTGTCCTTGGGTTGTTAGATTTAAAATGGTCGCTGCTGATCTCTTGGTAGGCATGGACCAACGCGTGAAAGCGGGTGAGAGGAGAAGATCACTACACCAGACTCGTGTCACGCACGTATGACTCTATTCTGTTACGCACGAGAAGACAAATACCTATAGAGGCAAATCTCCCAAAAACAATCTCATGGCATCCACGACAACCAGATTTCTGCCGACCGGCGAAGGACCACGAGTCATCGTCTACCATCAAACAATACACCGAGATGGGCAATACGTGTCTCTGTTGCCGCTGATTACCAAGCAGACGGGCGTGACGCATGTAATAGTGGCGGCTATACATCTGAACGAAGGTCCGGGCAACATTACCTTGAACGACGATCCTCCGCACGCTTCCAAATATGAAACGTTATGGGGAGAGGTGGCATGGTTGCAAGCTTCTGGCGTCAAGGTGCTGGGGATGCTGGGTGGTGCTGCAAAGGGCAGTTTCGAAAGACTTGATGGACCCGATGATCAAAAGGTGAGACTCGAATGTTGATCTATATCATACACTCACAAAACTAATTACGTGTTTCGAATGCTANNGTTTGAGGATTACTACAAACCATTGCACGCTTTGATATCCAAACACAATCTTTCGGGCTTGGATCTGGATATCGAAGAACACATGACTCTGCCGGGAGTCATTCGTCTGATCGACCGTCTACGTGCTGACTTTGGACCTGCTTTTCTCATCACATTGGCACCCGTAGCCACAGCATTGCTTCCTAACCAACCGCATCTCTCAGGCTTTGACTACAGACTATTGGAGCAGATGCGCGGCAACCAGATCGCATGGTACAACACGCAGTTCTACTGTGGATGGGGTGACGCGACAACGACTTTCTGGTACGATGCCATTATGAGCGTAGGATGGCGTGCAGACAAAGTCGTCGTCGGTCTAGTCACAAACCCAGGAAACGGTGCAGGTTATGTGGAACAAAGCACCTCTCACGATGTGATGAGAATGCTACGTGCAAAGTATTCGACGTTCGGCGGTGTGATGGGTTGGGAGTACTTCAACTCGATGCCCGGGGAGCACGCGGAACCATGGCAATGGGCTGCAGGTATGGCGAGAGCAATCAGGCAAGCACTGCCGCCGTCGGGTCAATTGCAAGGCGGAAGGGGCGTAGAGAGACCCGGTGCAGGTAGCTTGCCGCCAACGATGCCGCAACCAGCGCACTCTTTCCCTGCGCAAGACATCGAGACCCTGCAGAACTTGGGATTCTCGAGTCAGCAAGCGATTGCAGCGCTCAACGCGACTAGCGGCAACGTGGAATATGCTGCAGGGCTGCTCTTCGAGTACTGAAACGCATCACTGTACATGATTTGTTGATACACGTAGACACATAGAAGGCCGCACACATGTCATGACTAGAAGGAGATTCATTGTGAATAGAGAAGCCTATCAAGAAGACGCCCTCCCAAAAAAAGCCTTTCCTGAACATAAACGGGGCATGAGCCGGCATGGCTCGACAAGATGTCGGGACCGAAAAGTAAAACAGAAAGGAAGAGAAATGTAACAGAGAGAGTGGAAACCAGGTGCCCTTATGGTTCGCCTTGAAACGCCAGTATTGAAGACGAGCCATGCCGATGCAGAAAAGTGGGTAGTTTTGAAAGGAAAGAAAGAGTTGTTGGGGACATGAAGAGATGCGAAGAGGAATACGAAAAGACATCAAGACGTGACGGCGACGGGGACGGCAGGGTGGATCAGTGGTAGCCGTTTCGCGCACCGTAGTACTTTGAGTCGTTGAAGTAGGGGTGTAGGCAGGCCTGCTTTGCTGAGATTCTGCCGGCGGGGTCGTAGATGAGTAGCGACTCGAGAAGGTCGATACCGTCCTCGCCCAAAACTCTTGCGCCATCGTGGTTGATGATGTCGTCGTCAGGGTTGCGAGACCACTTGGGGAAGCTGGGCTTGAAGTCGGGGAAGCTGGTAACACCGGGCCAGTCTGTCTCGGTAGGAGTACCCAGGATGCGGAAGATCTTGAAGATCTCGTCGATCTCCGAGTCACCAGGGAAGAGAGGCTTGCGGGTGGCCATCTCAGCAAAGATACAACCGACGGACCACATGTCTACGCCTGTGCTGTATTGACGTCCACCGAGGAGGATCTCAGGTGCGCGGTACCAAAGAGTGACGACNNCTGGGTCAATGTTAGTCTTGGTCGGCAGATTGATTGAAAAGAAGCAAGTTACCTCGTGGGTATAGGTGCGGAGAGGCACACCGAAGGCTCTTGCCAGACCGAAATCAGCGAGCTTGAGGTTACCCTCCTTGTCGATGAGCAAGTTCTGCGGCTTCAAGTCGCGATGAAGGATGCGGTGGGCGTGGCAGTAGCGGATGCCGGCGCACAGTTGGTGCATGAACTTCTTGACCATTGCCTCGCCGAGTCCCATGTGGCCAGCGCGGCCGTCCATGCAGCCCTCGGGCAGGGGCTTTCCGCGGCCTCCTTGCGAGACGGGCAGAGCTTCCATGTACTTCTTCAGATCCAGGTCAAGGTATTCAAAGACGAGGTACAGCTTGTGGCCGTCGGCGTGGACAATGTTGAACAGGCGCACGATGTTGGGGTCGCTCATCTCCTTGAGGAGCGAGATTTCGCGGATGGCCGTCGACGGTACGCCCTCATCCTCGGCTTCCAGACGGATCTTCTTGAGTGCGACGATGCGGTTGTCGGGCGTGGTGAGGTCGCGGGCTTTGTAAACAACACCGTATGTGCCNNTGCAAGACAATTGTCAGTTTCGTTCGAGGCAGGGCCGACGTCTTGAGTGAAACTGACCCTCGCCAATCTTTTCCATCTTCTGATAGTTCTCCATGACGACGACTTGTGAAAGTGAGTTGCAGTGAGTGTCGAGTTGGCGGCTGGCGGGCTGTGATGTATGGGTAGTCGTATGCGCTGGGTCTGGGGCTCAAAGCAACAGCCGTTTGTGCCTGGATTGGCGACGAGAAAGGGGCAGCCGCAAGGTGGTGGCAACCGCTGGACGAGTTTGCTGCGGGTTAGTGAAGGACTGGATTAAAGAGCTAAAGGTGGTCGAGCTGTCAATCAAGTCTAGATACAAACTTCTTTTATTTTCGTCAACAAGTTGCCGCTCCACCAAAAGTAAACACAAAGTGGGCAACAGAGCCAAGATGCAAACACAACAACCACAAACCGCAAACTGACAAAACATCAACATCAACATAACCCTCCCCATTCGCCAACAATCATCTACATCATTGTCATCAATCTACACAAACAATTTGTCGCCTCTAATAATGGCTTCTCATCTCGATGCCCATGCTCGTCCGCCTGAAGACCTCCGTCGACAGTACAAGCACTATCAAAAGGCCTCCNNCCCTCAACTGTTAGACGCAGACCCTGATCTGTTTGATACTCAGCGCCGCAATCTGTCCGCCTATCAAGACCGTAATCTCTTTCAACAAGCTCCTCCTGATGATATCACAACTGTCTATTCTCGCTTCCTTGGCAAGCCTGTCACCACATTGCCGCCCTCAATTGAATCTGCCATAATCTACGAACACCCAGACGCTCCAGGTACGCCATTCCTCTTACATGGCCTTCGAACCCTTTTCTGAGCCAACGGTAGGTCTTTTNNGATTGTCCCCTCTCTACTTGACAAAGACATTCAGCTTGCTTTGCTGGACAAACTACTGCATCGCGACCTCTCCAATCCTTCCCACAACACTAATCTACACATGCACTATGACATGACATATCCTCATGATTCTGATGGTACTACCACTTCTTTCTTCGGTAGCGAGGCAGGAAACATCTCGCACCAGCCAAAGGACCCTTCTATCCACAAGCCTCTACCAATGACTTCTTGCCTAAACAGGAAATTGCGCTGGGTCACTATTGGCGGCCAATACGACTGGACCCAAAAAGTCTACCCTGCATCAGCGCCGCCGCCCTTCCCAGAAGATGTGGCAGCACTAGTCGAAGGACTCTTCCCATCCATGAAAGCACAAGCGGCCATAGTTAATCTCTACACGCCAAGTGACACACTAAGTTTGCATCGGGACGTGAGCGAGGAATGCGACAGACCACTGGTCAGTATTTCTTTAGGATGCGACGCCATCTTCATGGCAGGCCTAGAAGGCAGCAAAGGTGTTGCAATGCGTTTACGATCTGGAGATGCTCTAGTCATGTCTGGTCCGGCCCGGTATGCGTGGCATGGCGTGCCTCAAATATTGTCAGGTACCTGTCCGGAATGGATGGCAGATTGGCCTTGTAGACAGGATGAAGTAGAAGCAGAGACATATGGACACTGGAAAGGGTGGATGGCACGCAAGAGAATCAATCTCAATGTGCGACAGATGTGGGAGTAGCAAGACTCGATATTTAGTATCAGAATGCATCCTTGCTGTATGTACGATTAGTTATATATGTGGATATGTCAAGCACATCATGATTGCTCTCGGATCGTCTTTCTGGACAGAATGATTTGTTTGTGAATGCAATACGGAGGTGGAAACACAAATGTCGAGCTGACAGGCCATGACGAAAGAGCTTACGGACCAACTTCTTGAAGCTTCACATTTAATTCAGACCAAGCATCTTCCATCAACACTACCTAGTTACATAAAAACACCTCGACCATGACTTCGACGGTTGATTCCTCGCTCCCACCTCTAAAACCTGTCTACGAGNNGGCAAAAGACAGTTCAGCCCCGCGCAACGAATCACCACACTTGGCCAAACTCATCTCCACCCTCCAACTCCAGCAACACATCGAAGGAGGCTACTTTGTCGAAACAGATCGCGATGCCAACCGCGTACCGAATCCCTTCCTCAACACCTCTCCTTCAGCATCAGACAAGGAGCAAACAACNTTTTACACCTCTACCGGCGCCGTGAGCGCAAACCTCAGCAACAAGCTTACCGACGCCGACAAGACTGCAACCAACACCCAAGAGTCTGAGGACGGACAAGACAAGACGAGAAATGCAAGCACTAGTATCCACTATCTCTTGACTCCCGAGTCGCCCATGGGCGCTTTCCACCGCAACAGAGGAAGAACGGTTCATACACTACACAGAGGACGAGGTCGCTACGTCATCATCCACGCCGACGAGGTCATGCCCGAATACGACTCGCACTCGGGCATAAGATCAAAAGCAAGAGTGGAGACATTCATCGTTGGTCAGAACGTGGAAAAGGGAGAGAGGCTGCAGTGGATTGTTGATGGTGGAAAGTACAAGAGTAGCTTNTTGCTGCCACTCGAGGGAGAAGATCCCGCCAACAATGAGGGTCTCCTCATTAGCGAGACGGTCGTCCCGGGTTTCGAGTACAGTGATCATGACTTTATGAGAATCGAACGCCTAGAAGCGCTGGTCACCAAGGAGCAGGCCAATGAGATGAGGTGGATGCTTAGAAAGGACGACAAGCCAGTCTGAGCACCATGACAAAGAGAAAAGGAAGATACACAAAAACAGCGACCGAGATTGAGTGACAGCATATGTGCTCTCTCCGCTCCCATAATAAGCTGAAAGTTATCTGCAAAAACGCCGGAATGCATTCAAATCAGAGATAGCACCAGAGAAAGCGTTTACTTGGTCAAATTTGGGAGTCTAAGTTTGATGGGCAAGACAGCTGACGGGAAAAGACAATCATATTATTACTGCTCTACTACTGAATATCAAGAGGTATAACGCATAAACCAGCTAACCGCTCATAATCATCGTTCCTGTATTCCGGCGATCCATTACTTCGTTGATTTGATTATTTTGATTACACCTTGCTGTGAGTAGCGACGCCGTCGTTGGGTCCAGCGGCGGCATATGCTGCCTCCTTGCGCTCAGCCTCGAGGGCAGCAGCGTCGGTGGTCTGGGNGCGAGTGTCCTCCTCAGAGAAGACCTTGGTGGGCTCAGAGGAGTGCTCGCTCGAGGGGATGGTAGCGCTGGGCTGTCTGCTGACTGCAGGACTGGTAGGAGGAAGCTCGTTGGTGGTGGTGCCAGTTGAGCTTCTGAGAGCCTCATACCACTTCGTGGCGTCCTGAGGAGTGTGTGCCTTGAAGGCATACTCGTGCGCCATAGAAAGTTTGTTGCCGAAGCTGCTGCCCGAAACGTCCTTGCCCTTGACCTGGAACTTAAGACCATCGAGGGCACCGACCATACAGTCGGGCAGGTACAGAGAAGTCTCAGGGACAGGGTCCTTTGCGAAGTCATCGTCGGTGCGGAACTCGTGCATGTATCTGGAAGGAGTGATGCACCAGAACGAGGACTCGTACTTCTTAAGCAACTTGCCCTTGCGCTCCAGAGAACCAGCAATCAAGGGCTCGGTAGCTCTGTGGTTCTGGTTGGGGAAGCTGATGTTGGACATGGTGCGTGGAGGAGCGTTGGGGTCAATCAAGACCTGGTTGTTGCGCTGGACGAAGCCGTTCCACTCAAAGTCGGGGGCAACCTGCTGAGCAGTGCTGGTCATGTTGCCGTACATGGTGCGAGTCTGCTCGGCCTGGTTACCAACAACCTGGTTGAACTGGGTCAAGCCATTCTGGATGGTGGTGAGGATGTGGGCCTCGAACTGGGCGAAGCTGTTCTGGACAGCGATGATATCGTTGCGGTTGTTGTTCTCCTCGATGATCTGCTTGTTCAGGCGGTGGTAGACACCACGCTGAAGGACGTAGGGGTCTTCATGTGCGCTGATCTTGCCACCGGTGCTTTCAAAGGAAGCCGTGTGCTGGCCGAGCAGCTCAATGTGCTTCTGCGATGTTGCGCGAGCCTTGTCGACGAGCTTGCCTCCCTTGCCGGCACCCTTGGTGAGCTCCTTGGTCTTGTTTTTGATCTCGGTGTGGAGACGCTCGAAGATTGGGAGAACGGTACCCTTGAGGGTCTTTGCTGTCTCGGCGTGCGAGTTGGAGATGCNCCTAACGCTGCTGCTCAGTTTCGTACTTAGCTATGGAAATGCTTTTCGTCATACCTGGGTGTTTGAGCGGATAGTGTCGAACATGCCAGCGACACCGCCCAGGTTCTGATCAAAGTGGTGACCCTCCTTGAGGGGATGCGACACAGTCTTGAGCACCTTCTCGTACTCCTTGGCGTGAGAGTGTTGCATCTTCTCAGTGGCCTGGACATAGTCCTCAAGGTACCCGCATGCGTGCTTCCATGCTTGCAGGCGCTCGTGGAAGAGCTTGGTTACCTCACTGGTGTCCTCGTCAGGGATGGCATCTTCGTCGGTCATGTTGGTGGCCGTTCTAGTAGGCAGGGCGCGTTCTGTGGAAGCCATGTTTGCAGTTGTGTGTGTGGTATAGAAGTTTGATTCTAGAAAGAGGGAATCAGCCGGATGTCGAAGGAGGAACTCTCTCAAAAACACAGAGAATCGGTGAACACTGCCACCCACGCTGGACGATGGGAACGTGGGGCAAATGAGATGAAAGCTTACCCAGCTGGTCGTTAGGTGCAATATTGCTGTGCTGTGAGGATGTCGTCGCAGTTGCAAGAAGGCTAGGAAATGGTCTTTCTTAGAGTGCGTATGACTGCCCCTTATATTTCTACAAGGTTCATTCAAGGCGCAGCTCTGCAAACCGCTGATCGCGAAACGTCAACTCTCCCGTTCGGATCTTGGTGGACAATTCGTGCGTGCAATGACGATTAGCCTTTGAGCACAGCAAGCCACTGTCGTAAATCGAGGGCTCGTGCTGTTGTTCGAGACCATCCCGCATTTGCTGGCGTTTCCCAGCCAACAAGAGAGCAGGACCCTTTCAAATCTCGACACCACCCGTCGAAAGCCACAAAGCCCACCAAGACGGCATGCTACCACATGTGCAAGCCGTTTGAAGATGTGGCTTTGGGCGGCCAACAAGCGGTGAATGAGTTGTGACATACCTTCGAGTATTGAGCCATGACACCACATTCGTTACTTCTACCTGTCGAGTGATGATAACTCTTGTCTATCCTCCCTGTGTGCGAAAATGTGTAACGCGTGTGGCTACAAAAATGTACAACCCTCTCTAGAAACAAGGATATAACCAAAGTAAGCTAATAAGAGATTGAACACTATCCTAATTTCTAAAAGTATTGTGCATCTCTATAGCGTATAGTTAGTTTATCTACTCTCTGCTATGGTCGGAGTACAGTAGAAGTTACATTCTTTAGCACTCGGGGAGGATATAGCGCATCGTATTAGGCATCATGATCAACAAGCATTATCAAAAATCGCATGATAACTTGCGAAATATTTATCTGCAGCCAAAAACTCGCTACACTGTCATCGCTAGATGCCACTAACGGATTATTAGCTAACAGTCTCGACGACAGATAGGCTGATGACATACTTCTGTAGCCGCAAGGCATTCAGCTTATATGACAGCACGTATAGAAGATCAATTGTAGGAGCATCAAGCAAGGGGGTCTAAGGAAACATGAGCCACTCACTACCTCCCCGTATGCGGAAATTCGTGACCGTGTGGCTATAAAAATGCACAATACTATTAGAGAATAGGATAGTGTCCACCGAGAAGCAATCTCTCATTAGCTTTCTTTGGTCATATCAGGCCTGTTCTTTAATAGTATTATGCATTTTCATAGCGTATACTTTACTCTCTGCTACAGTCGGAGTCCAGTGAAAGTTATAACCTTTGGAACCTAGGGAGGCTAGCTCATGTTTTCTTGGAGCCACTTGAAGGATCAAAATCACTGATATATCGGTGACAGGGTCACACAATCGGCTAGCCTTCCATGGTTCTAGCCGCATAGGGCTAGCGCGAGCTCCGGGCTTCTCGTGAGAGGCATCCAGGACTGGAATCATGAATTGAGAAGGAAAGAAGATTTGCTTCAAGGAGAATTGAATTACCAGTAAAGTCGTGGCTCTCGTTTGTATTTCAGTGATCGCTGGACATGGTACAACAAGAGGAAGAAAGAAGAATGCCAGGGGAGGACTCATACGCCAAAGTCGTGCTTCCAAGAGAAAGACGAGAACCAAGAGAAAAGAGAAAAGAATAAACAACGCCGCTCGTGTGTTTTGTTTGCAAAAACTCCGGTCTCCCAATGCAAATGCTCTTGAAGTATCACCACAATTCACTCTTCTCTTCGTCTTGCCAGAGACTGCTCTGATCACCGAATGGCTGTGAGTCAGTCGAGTATCCCAGGTAGTCTTTCTGACTCGTGTTATTGGTAGGAGTCTCATGAATGTTCTGAGCAGGCACTTCGGCGCCGGCAGAAGCGTGAGAATCAGACTGGTGCTGCTACAAGAACAGAGTCAGTCATCTGGACAGATAGATTGTTCGCGTCGACGTACCGTTCCATCCGCCTCAACACCGTCGTGTTGCTGCTCGGGCGTTTGCTGTTGGTGTTGTTGCTGCAATTGCTGCTGTCTAGCCTGGGCTGTCTTCTGTGCTACTGGGACTTGACTCTGCGGATGATACATCTGCACCTTGGCCAGATAGCTGTACATGAAGTTCGAGAGCAGGACTTGGCTGTGTAGTGGCCTCCTAGGGTTGGCGAGCTTCATGTGTGCCATTCGGTAGATGGCTCGCTCTTCCAATATGCTAAACCGCGTCCAATTATAATCAATATCCGGTCGAAGTATTCTCGGAGCTGGCTCTGGAGATGGTGCACGCAGAGACTCCTTTGGCGCTTGGTGTTGTTGCTTGTGCTCTTTTGATCGCTTACCACCTCCAAAGATGGCGGACAGAATGCCCGAATCCTTGTCTTTCCTACCATCCGCAGACTTCCTAGTGCTTTCTTTCTTTCGCTCTTCCTCGAGTCTAAAGCTTTCACGATCGAGTACCAGTGATTCCCGACCTTTGGGAACAGCAGCGTTGCCGTCGATGGAGGATTGCAGGACGTCCAAGCGGGTCTTCTCTGCGGTCTTGGGATGTTGCTTAGCAGCAGCCTTCAACTTCTTGGACGCCTCCTTTTCGCGCTCCTTGTCTTCCGTCCTACGCTCTTNTTCCTTGTCTTTCTCTTCGCTACCGAGAAGCCAGTTCCAACTAGTTTTGCGACTGTCTTTCTTCTCGACTTTCTTCTCTTCGTATGTCGGTACCATAGTGAGAGCATCAGTTCGCGTGTTTCCGCTGCCAGGGAGAGGTGATGGATGAGAGGATATGTCTTCCAGCGTAGATTTGGTGGATCGGGACGAGTTGGAATGCATAAGTGAAGGACGGGAGTGAGCACCTCTAGCACTGGGTCGAGCACGAGGTGGGGCATGATGCTGCGTTGGTCCATGTGAAGGAGTCGGGTGTTGCTGCTGCTGCTGAGATGATAGTGAGGTAGAAGGTGGAACATGTGATGATTTCCGCTCTGGAACGGTAAAGCTGTTGGCAGCTGGAGGCGTCTCGACTATCTGCGGGATCGGACTACTAGCACCGGGAATGGCAGCAGTCGTCCGGCCATTGGTAGCAATCTTGGAGTGGAAGGTGGTGACGGGCACAGAACTTTGAGAAGAGCTACTATCCTTGACTTGGCTAGCCGTCGTCTTATGTTGGACCAGATCTTCTGAAGACGCAGAGGTCAGACGTCCAGCACCAGCAGCAGCATCACGAGCTTGCGCAGGCTCGGTCTGTACACGATTGATGCCTGGGGAGGGCGGCTCTCGCATCGACAGCGCGGGCGAGGGCGCTCGGCTTCCTTCACCATCAGATTCAGATTGCCTGCTGTTTTCAGATTGGCGGCTAAGACCTCGTCTGGAAAAGGGTGTGCGATCCTTGCGCATATAGGTTCTTGTCGAGCGCTTCAGCGCAGGTCCAGGTGCAGGCAGAATGGGTGCATCGGCCATCTGAACACCGGAATCAAGACTATTCCTAGCAGAATCAAGATTGACGTTGTTGACCAGACCTTCCAGCTCTTGCAAGTTTTCGGCTGTTGGCGAAGTCTGCGATTGCTCCCTCTCTGATCGTTTCCGTTGTAAGCGTTCCGCGCCATCTTCATATCCCTTGGACGAATCAATCTGGCGTGAAAGCATGCTCTTCTTCCTTGTGAGACTACTACCAGAATTTGATCTTTCTACCCCAGGCATCAGAGAATCCCCAGACCCAGACCGCTTCCTTATCCGGTCAACGCGGTCCTCGACAAATGTCTTGAATTCCTTGGGGGCAAGTTCGGGGTGTAAGCGCGCTGGTACCCAAAATAAGCGCGAGGCTTCATCATCATCGTCAGTAGCCTCTGGTGAAGTGGGAGAGGATGCGCCAAAGCTAGGGAGGTCCGGGTCTGCATTGTCGACACTCATAGACATGCGGCGAATGGCTTGCAGATTGTTGAGCTCTTGAGCTACAGCGGCAGGACTCGACTCATAGTCAATGTCGTTCAGGGGNNGGAACTGCTGTACTGCCGTCTCGGCCGACGACGACGATTTCCTAGACAATGTTGGGGGAGAGGATGAGTCCAGAGGTAAGTTCTCGGAGCCGAGGCTGCCCTTGCGCGTAGCAGTATCGGATGAGGGCAGTTTCTCATTGCTGCCCGTCTGCTGGAGTGGAGAGCGAGGAGGCGAAGAGCGCTTGGTATCGAGATACGAGGGCGCGAGTTGGTAGGTCTCCAGGGCGGAACCCACGAAACTGAGGGGTCGCGAGTTGCGGTTCGAGGGCGTCAGGTAGTCGTCGTCGTCGCTGCCGTACATGCCTCCGATGGCCTCTGTGACGTGGTGGTTGTCGTCTGATATGGAGATTTGAGGCGTATGCCTGCGCACATAACTCGGCGCATCGTGTGAGGCCTGCAGAAGGTCAGCCTGTGGCATTTTCGGTCGACGGGCGGTCGTCTGACGATACGCACCTGCATGGCGAGGGGAAAAAGAGGCAGTCGAGGGAGAAGCCAGTCACTTCAGGAGACCGTCATACACGCGACATGGGCCACCACATCAGACTTGTGGCAGAAACACACTATGAACCACACCAAAGATGTTGGATAGGAATAAACAAGCAACAATAATACAAGACATGTTTATTCTTCGCTTCCCTGAACTGCTCGGGGCCTGACAAGCAGCCTTGGCAAACGCTGTTCACTCGGATCGGATCTGGGAAGCCGAGAGCGCCATCACAGAGCCAAAACACTGCAACAAGTTGCTCACTGCTCGCCTTATCCATCTTGCTCATCTCTTTAGTAATTGCCTTGAATTCTTGCTGTTGTTGCAAATCGTAATTTCTCCAGAGCTGGGTATCTTGATGCTAAATTCACCGCCATAACTCCACCCATGCATTCATTCCTCTTGCGCCAGCAGCTGTCTCCTAGTTGCTGGCTGCTACGCTTTTNNCCCTCCACATGATGGCCACAGCCGCTCCCGCGCATACAGCCGCTCCTAACCCAATGTACAAGTTTGTTCGATCCACATCTGATTCCTCGTTTTTGGGGAATGCTGTCGAAGGAAACGTTGCGCTCTCGGCAAGGTGCACAAAGAACTCCGAAACACTTGCCCAGGTCACGCTCACGTGGAGCGGTTTTGGTACACGCAGCTCTTCCGTGTAGTGGTCGGGCTGCATCTCACTCCTCTGCACGGCTCTGTCTTGATCCGCCTTCAAGGCTGTGTATACGGCCGGCAAGTGTTCGAGATGGGCATACTTCTTGCGCATCTCGACGATATAACCAAAACTGTCAGGATCGCTAGAATCGTACGTGTAGCAAAGAAGGTCACAGGCTTCAAGCTTGGCCTGGTTCTCCAGCACGGCAGGTTCCAGTTCGCCGAGCTCCTTCAAGATGAGATAGCATTGTCGTCCACCAGGCAGCTCGACACTGTTGACGGCGATCTCTGGTTTGATGGTTGGATGATAGGTTGTGCTGAAAGGCCTATTGAGAAAGGCTGACAACAAACTCGACTTACCACTGCCGCCAGCACCAATGACATAGCACAAGAAGACGTTGCGTTCCACACGACCAGGCCTGTTACGTCGCTTGCGAGCTTTGGTGACCTTGAGTGCAGCAGTGGTGCCTCCGCGTTGGGGGCTCTCAAAGCCAAGATATGCCAGATATTCAAGTGTGACTTTGGGTTCTTCATACGTTGTCATGCTCCACTGCGCCAGCCAACCTTGCAAAGTGATGTGACCAGCCTCGTTACGAACGGTACAAGAAGGAAAATCAGACTCGATCCAGGAAGAAGGNNGGAGACCGGGGGTAGGTGCAAACAAGGCGGCGAGCTCAGAGTCGTTGAGGCCTCCATCGTTGTCCTTGTCGTGCAGAAGGAAGAGATCGACGAAGAAGCGGTAGCCCGAAGGACTGAGCTCGGCAGAAGAAGAGGAAGCAACATCAAACTTGGGGTGCAAGAAGGTGTCCTTGAGACTCAGACTATCGGTGTATTGGAACTTGCGTAGGATGATCCATATTGTTTCATGGCGGCCCTTTTCGGCAAACATTTTGTTGAGGAGGATGAAGCCATCGATATCTATGCCACCCGAGTGAGCGTGGACGGAGCGCTTGATGCTAACAAGGTCTTGATCGGACAGGGGCTTTTCGAAACATTTGAGCTGGAAATCAAGAATCTCTGCATCGTTAAGCAGGCCGTCCTGATCCTTGTCGCACAAGTAGAAGATTCTCCGGAGAGCAGAGACAGCAGCAGGCTTCAGCGAAGACTCTTTGGCGTCGTATATGGGAGCAATAGGGTGGGTGACGGCCTTTTGACATAGGAAAAAGACTTCGTTGATGTTGTGGTGCTCGCGGGCGCTGGTGCGGATGCATGAGTCGATCTCCTTGAACTCTTGCATGACGGGTAGCATCTCTTCATCGACGACTTGCTGAGTCGAAACATTCTTGGACAGGTCGGCCTTGTTGGCAGTAAGGACAACGGGGACATTGACGCCCAAGGAGCGGAAGTAGGGCAGCCAGAAGAGGGCGACGCGCTCGTAGCTGTAGTGGTCCGAGTAGACGAGCAGGATGACATTGGACTTGCGCAGCTCGTTGCGCAGGTTGTCGCGTTCTTGCGGTAGGGCTGAGGTGTCGACGATGGTGGTGGTGACGCTTTGCGGCGTGCCCAGAGTGGGTGGGATGGAGATGGGCGGTAGGACAGGCTGGATTTTGTTGGTGACGAAGAGATCCTTGACCAGCGACGTGATCAGGCTCGACTTGCCCGTGCCTTCGTCGCCGCAGACGCAGACGCGCACCGTCGCCATGTTGGTCTAGACAAAAGACGAAGCAAGTTGAAGCAGCTCCAGCAAGCACTGAGCAGGCAGGCCCAAGGCGGAACATTTCCCCGCGTGTCGGTCTTTCCCCACACCTCGGCCCTGTCGCGTGGGTCTGGATCTGCCACTCGCGACTCTCTTGAAGTTGCGAAGCCTTGAACATCTCCTGCTCTACTTGTCGCTTGTCGTGGTTGAAATGCTGTCTGACTAGTGTCCTGTGTCATCTTTTGCATCGATATACAGAGCGAAGGTTTGCTGCTTCGGACGTTGCGATAGTCCCTTGATCCAGCCTACCCCAGCGCATCGACTCGACACGCCCACCTTGAAGCCTCAACACCCAAGGCCAACTTCTTGTCGCAATGTTGTATGTATGTCCGTCCGTTACCACCACCATGGCTGACACCTTGCCAGCGTCTTGCCGCCACCGCCGCGCTACCCTAGCGGGAACCTCTATACCGGCTACCCACCCGGCGCCATCATCGAGACCAACAACACTCTCTCCAAGCACACCGGCTCTGAATACCAGCTGCTCGTGGGTGAGGGTACCTATGTCCAACGCGATGAGCTTCTTCTGGCCACACCTCCACCTCATCCCTCGGACAATCCTGTGCCCAACACCAATCCGCTCGCTACCACAATCGCTCCTCCCACCCAGGGTACTAGACTCTCGCTATGCATAGTCGCTCCCAAAAGGCTTCCCGACAACTCTCTCGCCCGCACTATCACCAACGGTAGCCAGCCCTCTGCTATTCCAAGCGGTCAAGACGACCCTTTGACTCCCACGACCGACTCGGCCTCGTTCTTCAAGTCATCTGCCGCTCCTGTCTTTGGAGACAACAACCCTGCTCTCGCTCCCATTCCCAACAAGGACAACAAAGACCCCTCCAAGAGGCGCAAGCCCAAGAACAACATCGTCAAGAGCAACTCCTCGTTTGTGTCCAGAGTCATTCCCCACGAGGCCCTTCAGAAACGCCTCCAAGAACGTAACCCACAGGGCACTTTTGCTTTCTCAAACATCAACAGAGCCCTTCAATGGCTGGACCTTTCCTCCGACACAAAAACAGAGAACCTTACCAAGATTTTGTTCACTAAAGCCCACGCCCTGTGTCACCATGTTAACCCTCTCACAAAAAGCACTACCCACCTCGACGTCATCTTGGGCTTCTCCTCGTCCGACATTATCTGGTACGAGCCTGTGTCTCAGAAGTATGCTCGCATCAACAAAAATGGTGCTATTAATTCTTCTGCCGTCTCTTCCATCTGGTGGCTGCCAAACAGTGAGAATCTGTTCTTGGCCGCCCACATGGACGGTACCTTGATCGTCTATGACAAGGAGAAGGAAGATGCTCCNTTTGTGCCCGAACAGGAGATCTCCGAATCTGCTGACGGTCAATCTGGTCCGGCGTCCTTTGTCATCAANAAGTCTGTTCAGTCGCGTAATCAAAAGACTAACCCTGTAGCTGTATGGAAAATCAACAACCAGCAAATCAACTGTATATCCTTTTCCCCAGATGGCAGACATCTTGCTGTTGTGTCAGAAGATGGCTCCTTGCGTATCATCGACTACCTCAAAGAACAGCTTCTGGATGCTTTTACCTCATACTATGGCGGCTTGATTACTGTGACGTGGTCGCCTGATGGCCGGTATATCCTAACCGGTGGTCAAGATGATATTGTTAGTATCTGGTCCTTTGCAGACGCTACCTTGGTAGCCCGCTGTCAGGGACACAGTAGTTGGGTTACCGATGTCAAGTTTGATCCTTGGAGGTGTGACGAGCGCAACTATCGCTTTGGCAGTGTTGGTGAAGATTGTAAGCTCCTACTTTGGGACTTTTCCGTTGGTATGCTCGGCCGACCGAGAGCAGTGAGTCGTATCCTTAGCTCTTGTTCGCGATGCAGTGTACTGATCCTGGCTGCGCAGATGTCGATCAAGCACAGAGGCAGTGTGACTTCTAATGCCATCACGCGGAAAGAAACGAATTCTACAGTCGGCCGTATCAGATCACATTCGACGATCTCAGAGGACGGAGAGGGTGCGACGAATGGCACAGACGTGGTTCACGGCTTCAGAACAAAAGCGAGCACAGCCATGTTACCGCCCGTCATGGTGAGTCACGGAAACAAATGTCGCTTCAGCAATTTTGGTGTGAGTGCTAATGTTGAGATTGCAGTCGAAAAGATAGACAACCATCCGTTGAGCTGGCTTGAGTTTCAGGAAGACTGTATCATGACAGCGTGCAAAGATGGTAAGTGTTCTGCAGCTCTGTGTTGGGACGTCCGGGCTCCACAAGAAACATGATGTTTGCGCGTCTTTGATGCGTCGCGCGAAGCTGATCGGGCCTTCTAATGACAATCTGCAAAATTTCACGTTGGGCTGACACGCTTCACAGGCCACATCCATACATGGGATAGACCAAAGGAAGGAGCCGGAGAGAACGGACACAACTCCAGCGATGCCGACAACAGCGCTATCTGATGCAGGCATGTAGTCCGATGTAGACACTATATGTGAAGCCTGTGGATCGGTCAGGCCCATACATAATGTACAGCTTTGATAGTGGGTGATGAGGCTCACGACCATGGCAATGTGAATAGCAACAGCCATCCTATCTCTGTATAAGGAATAGCTAACCTATCTGTAGCTTGTATAGACATGTAGATGTTATTACGTCCTTGTAGCTATCTGATTCACTAATCAGAAGAACAACTTTAATGGCTTGCCATGACTCTGTGATGTGCTTCATGCAGAGCTCAGGAGTGGTTATTGACCGCTGCTCATCACGCCATAAGCAAGAAGCTGAGTCAAGGCTCAGACCGTTGCACAGCAGGAAGATTTCGAGAGTCCAAAAATCCCAACCACGGGATAGACAAATTTGTTGGCGATAAAGGCGGTGCAAAAAGCGAGGTTTCTTTGTCCAACAAGAAAAATCCAGGGTTCTCTGGAGGTAAGACCGAAGCGTGGCCGGACCCTTGATCACCAGAGAGCCGCAGAGTGGCAGATGTGAATCATGATGAGCTTTGCATGTGCATGACTTTGCGATCATGATTTGTTTTTTGAGCGACAAAGCAGCCCGATGAGTACAGTGCACTCGCAGCCGGCCCGGGCGGTTGTCTATCTCAACAGGCTACGAGTGCTAGCCGGCGTGGTAAAGGCTCAGGGGGGCCGAAGGGGCCGCAGCGATTGGATTTACGGCTTTGCGGTTGGTTTCTGTCAAACAAAGGACAAAGAACGGCCTCCCGTCTCGCGCCGACACCAACGAATCTTTATCGCAATCGGGCACGAGCTTCTGGGTTGTTTGAGAAACGTCATCCGAGGTCAAGCTTTCGTTTTGGCATTTTCCACGCAAGCGCCTCAGACTCTCCTTTGCATCCTCTATCACACTGATTGCTGTGTCGCGAAGACCCGACTCTTATTATTGTTCGATTTGGTTGTCGCGCTCGCGACGAATATCCCACGACCCCGCCGTCGCCATGGTCCATACCCCTCGAGCCAAGCCTGTGCTTGAGATCATGTACTTGTGACCGCCTCGCTGTGAAGCGTGCAGAGGGCTGACTTGTACCCAATAGCCCGAACAACCGCTTCATCGTCTTCCATGGCGACCAACACGAAGCCGAGACCATCAAGCTCAATGGTGTCGTCCGATTGACTACGCCGGATGCCATGAGTATCAAGAACGTCAAGATCTGGCTTGAGGGCAAACGACGAATCTCGTGAGTCACTCGTCTTGCAGCGTCCAGCGGAATCGCCATGTTGACTCTTGTCTGTACAGTTGGTTCTACATGGGCGGCATGGCAGCAGGTGAAGTGTCGGACAAGAAGACCTTCTGGCGCGAGGAACGTGCTCTAGGCACGTCTGGCACGCATAAAATCAACTCGGGAACGATAGAGTGGCCCTTCGAATACATACTCGACCCCAGCATGCCCGAAAGCATCGAAGGCATGAACAGCACATACATCGTCTACTATCTGCATGCAAGCGTCTCGAGACCTGGCTGGAACGCAAAGGACATCACTACCACACAGCACATCCGAATTGTGAGAACTCTGGGCGCCGAGCAGATGGAAACAACTCGCTCAAGGGTATGTATTTCGACGACGAGTATTCCAACAAGTATGCTGACTCGCTCTCCGACANNGACAAACGCCGACATTTGGGCAAACAAGCTCAGCTACAGCATCTCGATTCCCACCGACGCCGTCGTTTTTGGAACTTCGATTGTTGCAGACGTCGAACTGTCACCTATTCGAAAGGGTATCAAGCTCGGCAAGATCGAGATGAGGCTCATAGAAGCAGTGACCAAACGGATACAATCAGCCGAGGTACCCGACCAGCGTGGTGACCGATGCAAGGTCGATGAATCAGATGTTGCAAAAGCAGAAATGGAATTCCCCGAAGACTCGCGTGTCACTTTTGCCGACGAGAGCGCCGACAACCCCATCATGGAAGACGAGAAATACGTCTTCAAGGCTACTCTGGAACTGCCCAAGTCTCTCAAGCAATGCAGACAAGATGTGGATTCTCACAACATCAACATCACGCATCGTTTCAAGCTCATGGTCAATATTCACAATCCGGAAGGCCACATCTCTCAGCTCGTCTGCCGTCTTCCTGTCAAACTCTTCATCTCACCAAACCTGCCCGTCGATGACTCGAACGAGGTTCAAGTCGCTGCAAGAACCATGACCGACGCCGAACTCAACCAACAAGAAGTCACTTTGAACGCCCCTCCAGAATACGGTCGTCACCAGCTCGATGCTCTATACAACGATATCAACACGGGTGGATACATGAGTCGTGCTCCCAGTGGATCGGCCACCCCTTTCTATGCCCAAAGTCGCAACGCATCTTCAGAAAATCTGCAATCTTTGAACGGTGTCGCAGACATGCATCACTCGCAATCAATGACTGCACTTGGTGGCGGCGAAAGTCACTTTGTACCTGCTCAGCTTCGTTCACGTCTCGCCAACTTGCAAGACCAAGGGTCAAGCAGACAGATCCGTGCTGCGCCTGTAGCCCACCATTCTCCATCGGGCGGTAACACTCCTGCCTACACTGGTGGCTATTTTGCGGCTCATTTTGCCCAATCGCACTCGGGTCATGCTTCTCCACCACACCAATCGCCCGCACACAGCGTACCGGAGTCACGCCGAGCTTCTGGAGAGGGCGAAGATCTGATCGACGACAACGTACCCCATATGGACGACTTCGACATGGGCACGCTATCAAGAGTTCCCAGTTATGGAGCTGCTGTTCGTACTCCCGGACCGTTCACGCCTTTCCACGATGGGCCTCCTAGTTACATGGAAGCTACGAGCAGACCGCCAAGCCCTACCTTGCAACTTCCACAAAGGCCTAACGCTGCACATGTCAGGAGCGGCATCAGCACCCCCGGGTCTCACTCGAGCACTCAGACATTGACCGGCGCTGTTACCCCTGGCAGCTATGCTCCGAACGGCCTTACTCCCTTGACACAACTTCATCCTCATGAGGACAATCGGTTGCGCTTGTTGAGGGCAAGAGGAGATTAGAGTTGACTGAATCAAAGATGACGATTAATATTTTTAGCATTGGGATGGTATTTTTGCTATGCATAAGGCAAGGGGTTTGGTGTTTAGGAACATCGCGCGCTCCAGAGCAGGTCGGACCAGGTTTCATTTAAAGCGTCTTTTTCTCTTTCTCTTTTCCTGTTGATTCTCAGTTTCAGGGAGTATAGAATTGATAGACTAAAACTTATCTCCACTTATACAAGTTCATGGAAGCCTTGTAGCACTATTCTTGTCTTCTACCACATTTTCGAAACACTAATGTTTGTGCGCAAGCTTGGGTAATGTGACTGACAATGCATGATCAAGTGTTATGGAAGACTTATTACACTTCTTCTGCGTAATTTCTAGACTCACAACTTGCTCAACCTTCCATTCACAGCAGTCGTTAAGGCATAAATGGTACTCAATACCGGTACATCCATGCCAAACTCGCTCGCTTTCTTGATCGGATACCCCAAGATGACATCAACCTCCAAAGGCCTTCCTTCCTTCATATCCGTATGCATGCTTGAATAGATACCAGGCATAGCTAGTATCTTGTTCACCAGTTGGTCTGCTAATTTGTGCTCAAGAGGTACGTTGCATCGATTTGCTATATCGATGATTTCGTGCATCAGTCGCTTGGTAATGGCCATTGCTTGAGGTGATGATTTTAGCCAATCCTGAGTGTTGACATCCGTGAGTGTGGTTATCGAGTTCCAAGCGGCATTCCAGGTGACTTTTTCCCATCGCTTGATCTGGATATCCTTCTCGACTTGGAAGATTGTTCCTCCGGTTTTGAGCAGTGCTGCAAATGTGTCTAGCCTGTTTTGCTCGAGATGCTGGGCAACATTGTGATTGGGGAATAGACCCATTTGCATATCTTCTGACTTTGTGTGTTTGATAACTCCGGGCGAAGTTTGGATGGCTCCTACCCAGGTCACACAGCTGATTATTTTGTTATTCGGGAAAGTGGTTCGAAAGGGCTCCTCATTACCAACACCATTCTGGATAATGACGAAAGTGGTTTGGTCGCCTACAGCAGATCTGAGAAGCGGTGGTATCCTATCTGGATTTACTGCTTTGTGGGTGCAGACTATGTAGTCGAATGGCGATGTGACTTCGTCTGGCGATTTGTAGACTTGGTCGATGTTGACTTTATGGTTGCCATGGTTCTCGCTTTCGATAGCTAGACCGTGGTCTTTGACTTGTTGGTAGTTGGATCTTGCTACCACGCTTAAGGATACGTTCTTGTTGCGTCCGAGGACAAATGCGTAGAACCCTCCAANTGCTGTATGGATTAGCCGATGGATCAATTGCTTTAGAACGAAACAGAATTCTTACGCTCCGAGCCCAAAGAGTAGAACTCTGATATCTTCCCCTGATTTCGTCATCTCTACTCAGCGATTTTTGTACGAAATGGAATGAGATATTTTGAATTGTGCTCTCGATGGGCCAAGAGCTATGATGAGATAGAACCCTGATGGATATCAAAGGCCGACAAAGGTGGGGCGAAGCGGGGGAACGATGTGACCCCCACTCTTCTCCGCGAACCATACTCAGTACCTAAACTAACTATCCTGAGTATTGTAATCATGGCTGAGTGCAATTCCGAATGTCTGGACGATTTTTTATTGCTCGACGACCATGGCGATAGTAGAGGGTACAGAGCTCGCGAAGCACAACAGTAGACAATCTTGCTGGCTTGCCATCCACGGCGAGGTCTGGGATGCAACCGACTTTCTCGAACAACATCCAGGGGGCGCAAACTTGATTCTCAAGTTAGCCGGCAAAGACGCTTCTGACGAATATGAACTCTTTCACAATCCTGAGCTCGTCCGGGACACTCTTGGATCTAGTGCAAAGAAGGGCACGATAGATATCTCGACCATACCAAAGATGGACAAAAAACCGGAGCCAGAATCAGAAGCCAANAAGAGTCCGCCCTTGAGCTCTATGATCAGCGTCAATGATTTCGAAAATGTAGCAGAAAAGGTTCGTTGGTGATTGTGGAAGATGTATTGAAGCTGAGCTGACCTTATANNGACAATGACACCGACTGCATGGGCCTACGTTTCTTCGGGGGCCGATGACGAGATCAGTATGAGAGAGAATGCAAGAGCTTATCGAAAGATATATCTGCGTGGGCGAATACTGCGGAAGGTCGGAAGAGTCGATTGCAGCACCACTATTCTCGGTCATCACTCTGCTCTGCCTATCTATACTTCACCTGTCGGCCTGGCCAAATTGGTGCACCCATCAGGTGAGTGCGCTATTGCCGCAGCTGTTGGAAAAGAAGGCTGTATACAGGTTGTCAACACTGTGTCTAGTATGCCGATCGAGGATATCATGGATGCACGGATCTCTAAGAATCAGATCGTTTTCTGGCAGCTATATGCGGACAAGGACCTGGAAAAGTCGAAAGCATTCATCAAAAGGGTTGAGAGAGCTGGGGTGGCAGCAATTTGGCTTACTGTTGACTCTCCTGTTATTGGTAATCGCGAACGAGACGAACGATCAAAATCAGTGGTCGACGTGAGTTCGATTTCTTTCCAGTCCGCTCAACTTCTGCTGACGAACTCGGCANNGATAGAGGAAAAACTGGAGGAAGTAGTCGAGACTACACAGAGCGTCGGCATTGCGAAAGCAAACACCGGCTTCATTAATGCTGACCTTGACTGGGACATGGTCGACTGGCTACGAAATTCTACCAAACTGCCGATTGTAATCAAAGGAATTCAATGTGTCGAAGACGCCGTTTCCGCTTTTGAGCATAAGGTCGATGGTATCGTGCTGAGCAACCACGGAGGTAGATCTCAAGATACTGCACAACCTCCTATTCTTACTCTCCTGGAGATCGACCGGTACGCTCCTCATATTCTGGGCAAGCACATGCAGGTCTTCGTCGATGGCGGAATACGACGAGGCACCGACATCATCAAGGCATTAGCCTTAGGTGCAAGCGCAGTGGGCATCGGAAGACCAGTATTGCACAGCATGTCTGGTGGATATGGCGAACATGGTATTAGACGCATGATTCAGATACTTCGAAACGAGCTGCAAACAAATATGGCATTCATCGGTGCAAGCCATGTCGGAGAGATCGAGCGTAACATGGTCAACACAAGGAAGTTGGAAAGGATGATGGTCGGCTCTGTAAAGCTTTAAATGTGTATAATTTTGCAACGAGGTTTGGAGATCCGGTCGTCCAATTGTGAATGCATGTTCACATAAGAGAGCATAGTCACCCTTTAATATCTTGCGGCCTCCCCGTGCGCTAAAGGATGTAACCTCCACTGTACTCCTACTATAGCTGAGAGCAAAATAGTAGACTATAAAAAGGCACAATTGTTTTCGAAAGCAGAGGCGTGTCCGCAGAGAGTCGACAGATGGTTGCTTCTCAGTGCAGCTGTCTTGTTTCCTATTACTATTGTGCATTTTCATAGCTACATGCGTTACATACTTCTGCACATAGGGAGGGGATAGGCAGGAGATAAAGTCGAGCAGACGAGATGGGAATGTTTAGCATAGACACTCTTCGAGATTGCGTGTAATCGATTCCGATGACCATCATATACTGTATTACGAAGAATATCACTCAATGCTCAAAGACAATTCGCCTTCAAAAGTCAGTAGGCCACATCACTGCGGCCCCCAACTGAACCCCCGGCACCCCCACGCTGATCTGCGGGGTCCCTCGCGATACACTACCCGGCATCGACACAATATGTACCGAGTCTTGAAATCGGCAATTGACTAGTTTCGACATCGATTCTTATAACTTGGAGTCGAAGAAGCTTCACTCAAATCTCGTGGTCCGGAGGTTACGCTCGCTTGCACCACAACGGGACACATCAACAAGAGCGATTGACATGGCGCCAATCAAGCTCATAGAGTACTTCAGAGTAAAGCCGCGATGGCTTTTCGTCAAGATCACTGACGAGGATGGGAGAGTAGGTTGGGGTGAGGGAACACTCGAGGGTCATACTTTGGCAGTAGAAGGAGCATTGGACGAAATCATTATTCGCTTGATCGGGCAGGACGCCAAGTAAGTACCAGCGAAACTGTTACATAGAGTCTGCTGACATAAGGGNAGCCGCATTGAGCACATCTGGCAATTGGTAAGTGCAGGCTTCAGAATCCAGTGGCTACAATTTCTAATCAGTTTTTGTTCTGACGATAGATCTGGAGGCTCGGTAAGTCGAAGAATCAAGACCGAAGGACATGAATATACTCTGACCAAATATACAGGCTTCTATCGAGGAGGACCTGTTTTCATGTCTGCTTTGTCCGGCATTGACATTGCATTGTGGGACCTTAAAGGTGGGTAATCAAGGAATCTTGATGCAATGGGGTCTGGTTCAAACTGACTTTGATTCTANGCACGCAGGTTGAACGTCCCACTCTACGAACTGCTGGGAGGCAAGGTTCGAGAGAAGTGCCAGGTCTACTGCTGGATTGGCGGCGACAGACCCGCAGACATAGAAAATGCTGCGTAAGTGATGCTGCTGACGTGAGAGATGAAATAGGTCTAACGAAGAAACAGCAAAGCAAGGAAAGAGCAAGGTCTGACTTGCGTCAAAATGAACGCTACGGAAGACATCGGGTGGCTTGATGATGCGGCGGTGTTAGACGCAACAGTCGAACGCCTGAAGATAGTCAAGGGTCTTGGTCTGAACGCCGGTCTTGATTTTCATGGTCGTCTACATCGGCCAATGGCTAAACAGCTAGCGAAAGCCTTGGAGCCATATCGACCCCTCTTTATCGAAGTAAGTCAGTTATCGATACATGTCGTGGGCAAAGATACTGATACGGTTGTCATCTCAGGAGCCAATTTTGTGAGATTCTCTATGACAGTTTGCATGGATGATACTGACCAGATATTCGATAGGGTGGAACATCCTGAAGCTCTCAAGCAGCTAGCAGCACAAACAAGCATACCGATTGCTCTTGGAGAGCGCTTGTACCATCGTTGGGACGCAAAGCCGTTTTTTGAAGCTGGCTTGATTGATATCCTCCAACCTGATATCGCTCATGCTGGCGGTATATCAGAGACGAAGCGCCTGGCCAATATGGCAGAAACGTACGACGTTGCCATGTAAGACATACGCCATCGCTGTAGAAATGAACATCTATGCTAACGTTCCTCAGTNGCGCCACATTGCCCTCTGGGCCCGATTGCCTTTGTAAGTCTCGTTCACCAGCTCGACGAGAACCAAACTAATAGTTCCGAACTANNGGCTGCGTCATTGCATGTAGGACTTTCGACGCCAAACTTTGTCATCCTAGAGATGTCTTTGGGTATGCACTATAACACAGAAGCTGGTGATATAGACCTCAATACGTACTTGAAGGACCAGTCAGTCTTCGCTATCAACGGCGGACATGTTGCGGCTCCCACAGGACCAGGATTAGGCATCGAAGTCGACGAGGAAATGATTCGCAAGATATCAGCCGAGACTCAGCCATGGCCGCCAAAAGAGTTCTTTGGTCCTGATGGCTCCATCAGAGAGTGGTAGGATCCGTAGCATATGTACAGTCATTCCATAAGAGTGGTGTTTCCTCTCTCCCACACACAAATAACAGGGTTCACCCTTTGGAACCATATAGATTTATTGGTTGGGCACGTTGCTGTGGTATTAAACATGCCGTCGTACTGGTTTGTTTCAGACTCTGCCCAATATCATGTCTGCACACGAGTCAAGTATTTTTGAAGCTTCGACCAACAATTCCCATTCAGCGTGCGCGAAGTCTTGAGCCAGAAGTTTGCACACTGCGCTGCATCCCTGAGCTGATATCTGGCTTGAAAGACTGTCGACTCCTGATTCGGCACACTTTCGAATATAGCTGCAAGCAACATGTTGCGACAAGGCTCGGTCACCCTCGAACGATCTTTGAAGTGGTGACCTCATATTCAGGGCGTACTGGTAAGACCATATGGTCAGCGCTGCGAGGTACAAGACCCAAGGTCGATATGAGGATGGATCAGCACGGCATGTATAATTTGTTGTCGTTGCTCGGTCAGATGCTTGTCTCGCAGTTTCAGAACGCACACCTGAAAGAGTTTCATCAAGCGACTCAAAAGCGTGGGCGACAGCCAATCTAGCCGAAGAGGTTGTAGCCCAGCTGCGCATCCGTGTTGAACATCCAAGGTGATCTTTCTCGGTGATTTTGCGGCCGAGCAATCGCTTCGAACCTGCATATACCTGGGCATCTAGAATATCGATGTGTGAGGTGATATACGCCAGGCGATACAGAATTGTTGGGTTGAATACCACATCTCTGACGTTCTCTTGTTTCCGACTATGCACTTTCGACTTCTCAAGTGCCTTCTGGAAACTTCGGCACCAATGGCTATACGCATTGAGAAGCAAGACTCTCCAGCGTTCTTGTTCCTGAGCTGATGGGATCGACTCCAAGAATTGTTGATTCCTCTCACGGCGCCTGATGTGCCAGCCGACACTCAGTAGACCAGAACCTAGAATGATTCGTGCACCATGATTTGAGTGTACATCGTGCCCATGAAGACATCTTCTCAGGCTGTCGAGGAATGGCTGCTGGCTAATACCGTGCATTGAGAACGTTTCTTCTAGCCTCCAGACGTCTTCGGGACTCTGAGCAGACCATAAAGAATCATCACACGGCAACGGAAGTCGAACTTCGTATGGCAGAAGTGAACTCTCATGTCCGAAGGCTACGGCGTGCAGAGTATCCATATGAAGAGCCGCGAAAACAACACGGTGCCAGGACTCATTTCTAGCCCAGCGGCGCCACCAGTCTAGCTGTTTGGAGATCCCAACCGTTTGTTGTGAAGTCGATCCTGGCGATGGACACCGTGTTGGTGGCTCTTCATCTTCAGCATGGCCGACCATAGGACTGCCACGCCGTAGCAAAGCTAGAGTAGAGGCGTGGTGAATATATGCACGCTCATGGAGGCGACGAGTTGAGAACATCTTCTCATAAAACTCGAGCAACAAGAGCACCTGAGCTATCCATAATGCTATAGGAGGTTCGGCTTCCGGAAAGATCTCCCACCGAAGATTGATTGCTATGAGGTCGGCAAGAGCACGATAGTCGTTTCGCGTTCCGACAGGATGTAAGCGAACTAATTGACCTGCACCCAGCATTAGTATCGCAAGTAGAAGAAGCAGTTGGCAATCATCGTTCGAGAAAGTCTGCTGATGAATGACGGGCAGCTGAACCGCTACATATGACCAGAAGCTAGACAAGCAGTCCTCAAGAACGTTAATTGTCAAGTTGGGAAAATCTTTGCCATCGGTACTGAACAACAAGCTCGTTTCTTCAGTAGCATCTTGCAACCCCGGCGGACGTTTCTTCGCAAGAAACGAATTGATGCTTTGCACAATTTTTGATCTGCATCTGGTAGAGACACGGAGATGGCTGTTCAAGCCGTAAGCACCGGGACTCTCACGTAACTCATCAACTATTGGTGGCATGTCCAACGAGTTCCTGATGGAAACGTTGGCAGTATTTTGATTGGAGTCAAATTGCCAGAAGTCGTTCATTGGAGAGCAATAGTCAAGACTGAAGTCCACATATGGCAGGTAGCTCGAGAGGTCGAAATTCTGCTGCTGAGAGCCAGGGCTATCAAACAACCAAGCCACGAAGTTCTCATTTCCTGGCTGAGGAGAGATTGTTGCGAGTCCTGAAGGATTCTCTGGCATTCCATTTTGTGCCCAATCTTGCATCTCTGACCCCACATCCAGGGTTGTGTTATGATATGAGCCTGCGACGCCAGTGTCATGTGTTTGAGGTTGCTGGATCATGATGTTCGTAGCAGTGTCTTGGTGGAAACACGAATTCACCTCTTCAGCAAGGTCTACCATACCATTGTTTGAGGTTTCGTAGACTGTCGAGCCAACGTCTTGCTCTCTCGCTTTTGAGGCTTCGCCATGTCTGGCTTGGTGCCTCATACAAAGGTCAAGACGCACAAAGTTTGATCGCAGCCNTTCAGCCTGGCAGTGAAATAACTGTTTTGGCTTGTCTGCAGCATGTTAAAAGGGCTTCCTCGGGTCTGTCAAACGTGACGCACGATTTAACTGATGACGTTGCAGATGCTCTGCTCGAGAATAGATCTGGTAGGTCAATGAATGATGGGAGTATTTTAGCGGTTGGTTAAGCACGCGGATACCTTNTGTGCAACCCTCATATTCACATCTGAACCGTTTCGGGGTGTTCTTTCGACTGGCCCTCTTACGCTTCTGCTGTGGCTCCGGGGGCTGTGGACTATCCATCGCGCACACTAGGACGTTGTGCTAGACGCAAGAGACTACAAGAGCCGGTCGATCTGCCCCCAAAGTCGAGCAAGCAGATGTTTGCTATTCCCGAGGTACATTGACCCCGCAGGCAGGCCGCGGGGGTGTTGGGGGCGTCTTGGGGGACAACTCGGCATCAGGATCGCGAGCGGACGCGTTGACGATCCAGCATTGCGGACGAGCATCGAATCACGAGTGCTCGTACATGCACATGCTCAAGGAGACGAAGTTAGGTATGTCTGAAGTAGATGTATACGCATGAGAAAAACAGTGAGGAAGGAGCTTTGCCAAGGATTGTTTGCCGCTCCAACCACACGATGTTTCCTCAAAAATCATCACAACTGGAAGTCAGTATCGAAATCAAAACAATCTGTGTATTCAGTAAATAAGTTACCCCATCTACAGCTTCTTCTGGAGACTACGCTCGAGCTCGAGCAGTCGAGCAAATCCGGCCGTCATCTCTGACTGCACATTCGCCTCAGGCATTGCACATGGCGACCTCGGAGCTCCTCCGTAGCTAAAGGCATCATTGAGCCCGACCTTGACAGCTACGAATCCGCCTTTGATCGCGACCCAGTCCGCTTCCGCCAGGACTTCCTGTATTTCGCGTGCTCGTTGAAGCTCGCCAGCCTCATATGCTTGCATTGCTCGCACATTCGTTGTTGGCGCGAGGTTGGCCAGCCCTGCTATAACTCCAGCGCCTCCTACCGCTAGAGTCTGCAACAGAAAGTCGGAAGATCCTCCAAAGGTCANAAAGTTGGAATTCTTGGTAGCAGCCACAACCCGAGCCAGCTTTCCTGTGTTGCCGCACGTGAGTTTGACGCCTACAATCTTAGGGTGCTGCGCCAAGTCGATGATTTGATCAGACGTTATATCGAGACCGCTTTGCACTGCTGGGAAGTTGTAGATCAAGATGGGGATCGGTGAGGCCTCAGCAACTTTTCGGTAGTGGTCCAGGAGAAGCTTTGATGATAGCAACGAAGCGAAATAACTTGGTGGTAAGACCAAAGCCGCGTCACCGCCAGCAGACGCGGCATCTTTGCAAAGCTTTATCGCTTCTCTCGTGGATTGAGCTCCACATCCTACGATGAGTCTCACATCGTGGCCGGAGTCGTCAAGAGCTTTCCTGGTCGTCTGGGTGATGAGCACACGTTCCTCGTGGCTCAAATGTGCGGCTTCTCCGTTCGAACCATGTGTGACTGACCCAAATTAACACACGATCAGTCCTGGGAACCCCAGCTGCTCACCTATGCCTTTTATGCCGCTGCTGGCCAATTTTAGAGCATGCTTGCGCGTCGTCTCAATATCTACTTCCTCATCGTCTTTGAAGAAAGCCACGGTCGGAACGTAGATGCCTGCTTCCAATTTTGTCCCGGCTCCAAAGGCTGATCTGGACACAGAAGTATCGAAATCGTACGTCGATGTTGGGGCCATAATGGCTGGTATGCTAACAATGATGCTCTGCAATTACGAGCGGGCGTGGGAAAGGCGTAGTTTATAAATCGATGGTTTGAGGTGTGACCCCCACTCCCGGATCTGCACAAGCAATGCACAGCCATAAAAATGCACAGTAGTATTCTGAAAGGGCTGTTTCCAGTGAGAAATTCCCTGTCTGAAGGCTCTCCCTGGATCTATCTCAAATCTGGATACTTTTCTGCATTTTTGTAGTGCAAAGGCCACTCTATCTCTATGTGGGAGGGTGTTGTACAGCCCAGAGTGAGCTCGCTTGCTTCACCTCCGCCAATCACTATGAGAAACCGAGTACATGAGAATGGGTTTTCTGCACATACACATGAGGCATGCACACGACGTACAATCTTTGACAGAAGAGCTCATTGGCAAGATCTCGGTATACGCAAATGGAAACAGTGTTGGCCGAAGCAAGAGAACAGGGAACACACGATACAGCTGGAGTCTATCAATGCCTTATCACCCACATACTTGCGATCATCGACCCATCCAACCTCCATCTACTGTCAGGACTTCCCCAGACACGTACAAACTTGCTCGGCTGGCAAGATACACTATTGAGCCAGCAAAGTCTTCAGGCAAGCCCCATTTTCCAGCCGGAATGCGTTCCAAGATACTTGCTGCACGCTTTTCGTCCTTGATCAGAGCATCGTTCATTTCAGTATGGATATATCCTGGAGCAANTCTGTTACGAATCAGTATATCACTGTGTTGCACTTCCAGTGCACTTACAGCATTGACGTTAATGCCGTGAGCAGCCCAAGAGTTTGACAGGGCTTTCGTCAACTGCGCTACACCCCNCTTGGCAGCAGCGTATGCTGGCACATTCAGACCTCCTTGAAAGGACACCAAAGATGCAATNNCTTGTGTCAAGTCAGCACGCACTCCACGAAGCGCCTCGATTTGGATACTCACATTTATAATAGAGCCACGATGGGGCCCATCTCTCGTCATCATATGGGCTCCTACATCGCGGCACAGTGTGAACACGGTATTCAAATTAACTTGAAGCACCTGTACACAAGCTGTCAGTCATCGGCTCAACGCATGTGTGTTCATAAATACCTCGTTCCAATCGCCATCCGGAAACTGATGAGGAGGGTGGCGCCTCTGTATACCACCACAATTGACTAGTATGCTCAAGTCATGACCGTCTGAGACGATGCGCTTGATCAACCCACTAATCTGACTATGGTCTGCGAGATCTGCTTCATATATGGTCGCCTTCCTTCCAAGCTTCTCAATCTGTTCTTTGGTAGCAACATTACTGGAGTCTCGCTGTATTAAAACGATGTCCGCTCCTGCCTCTGCCAAAGCGATGGCAAGCGACTGACCAATCCCTCTGGTCCCGCCAGTGATGACAGCCGTTCGGTTCTGTAGCGAGAAGAGGCTCAAGACTCTAGACATGATGGTAGCCTTTACAGAAATTGTATGTGTGAGTAGATTCAGGCGATGGTATTCCGATGGACTGTACTTCCGTCTGAGACAGTACTTTCTGCTACCAGTCAGGTAAGTATCAGCTGTTAGTCAAGTGGGGGTCAATTAACCCCGCACTACCTACTCCTTCGCCTTGGTTTGGGGGTCAACATGCAGGCATGTAGGATCGACATTGTACCCCATGGGGTTTCAATCATGCACAGTGCCCTCAGATGTAGTCCTCATGGTCAGCGTAGCATAAGTATGTGGTTTGACACTTTATTCCTCCATCGGTTTTCTTTCATTGTACTACAATCGAAGTCTCATCATGTCCGCTGCCGAGAACAAGATTGCTACACAACACGTCGAAGACTTCGACAAAGTGCATGACATTCAACATGACTTCGAAGACCTCCCTGAATCCTTTCGCGAACTCAGTCCCCAAGAGCTGTCGAAACTCGGAAGATGGACGACTTTGAAACTGGACTGTATAATCATGCCAGCACTTACCATTCTTTATATTCTGTAAGACCCACCTACAATTTATCTATACTGCCATGCTGATGGGCTACCTAGAAATTATCTCGATCGTCAGAACATTGCTGCGAGTAAGCTAGCAAATATTATGATAGACCTGGATATGTCTGTGCAGCAGTACAATACTTGTGTGAGCATCTTGTTTGTGGGATACATTCTTATGCAGATCCCCTCCAACCTCGTCCTCAGCAAGATCAAATGGCCGGCTGTGTGGATCTGCAGCGCAGTGGTCGGCTGGGGTGCAGTCTCTGCAGCCACCGCCGCAGTGTCTTCCTTCGGAGGCCTTGTCGCGGCAAGATTTTGCCTAGGTTTTGTCGAAGCAGTATTNTTTCCAGGAGCGTTCTTCTATCTGTCCATGTTCTATAACAGGAAGCAGAGTAAGTTCTATCAAAAGTCTGGTTCTTTCGGATCACGCTGAGCAATACANGTTGCCCTCCGTACTGCCATCCTCTACTCCGGATCACAGCTTGGCAATGCTTTTGGTACACTACTGGCGATCGGTATATTGAAGCTCGACGGCCATCACGGTCTGGAAGGTTGGCGCTGGCTCTTCTTGATAGAAGGTGTGCTCACCATAGGCATTGCACTCGTGTAAGCAAGCAAGACGGTATTGGACAGTCCTTGGCAGACATCTGACATGCTTACAGTNTTCGTGACATACCTTCCCAACTCCAACAAGAAAATCTTGACATTTACACAACAGCAGCTTGATTGGTTGAAGTGGAACTACGAGAGAGATCAGAAACAACAGGACGAATCCGACGAGGTCACTGCAATGCAAGGCTTCTTGCTTGCAGTCAGAGACCCAAAGACCTGGCTTATGTGCAGCACTCTCTATGCCACTTATACTGCGGCTGCAGTGAACAACTTCTTCCCCACTGTTGTCGGAGGTCTGGGTTTTGGCAGAAACCTCACCTACGTGTTGACTGCGCCGCCTTTCATTCTCTGTGTAATCGCAATGCTATGCAATGGTTTCCACAGCGACAAGGTTAGTTCATCTTTTATGCTTTCCTTGACCAAACCAGTAGAACTAACCATAAATCCANNGATGGGAGAACGCTACTTGCACATCGCTCTGCCTTTAATCATTACAGTTGTTGCAAACATAATCGCAGTCAGCACACTTAACATCGGTGCTCGCTACTTCGCCATGTGCTTGCTGCCGTTGAGCTTCTACAGCTCTGCCATCTGCCAGCTCTCTTGGATCTCGGGCTCGCTATCACAACCAGCAGTCAAACGAGCAGCTTCGATTGCCATCATTAATGCTATCTGCAACACTCCGAATATCTGGACGAGTTATCTATACTACGACTCTCCTCGATATGTGGCTGCATTTTCGGTAAATTTGGGTGCTGCTGTGGTGGCGTTTGCGAGCGCTACCGCTACTTACTTTTATTTGAGGAGGCAGAATCAGATGATGGATCAGGGCAAGCCATTGGGCAGATCTGGGCCTACGCCAGTGCAACAGGCAAATGGGTTCAGATATATGTTGTAATCTATTGAGAGGAATATTCTGCTTCGCTACGCTGAAATCACTTGCCTGTGCCATCGATCTCATATCTACCATTGTTCCAGTCTGCCTCGTATGCGTGTTCCGTCGGAGCTTCACTCATTGGTGCTTCGTATGGGTGTTGGGTCATGGGACCGGTGGAGCTGGAGTTGGAGTATGGCTCGTGTGATCGCATTGCTTGCATCTCCTTTTTCAAGGTCTTGACTTTTCTCATCATCCAGAGCAATCCTGCTAGTGCGATTATGCAGGCGACACCAAGTACAGCGCCAACAGCTACACCTACAACGGTTGTAGTGTTGCTCGAATCCGATGAGTTAGATGAGGTTGCTGTGGTGGTTGATGTGACTGTTGCTGTGGTTGTTGCATCGGTGGCATTTGAGTCGTTCGAAGTGGTTGTGGTGCCAGGAATTACATTGTCGATGAAGCGTCCGAGGTAAGAGGTCTGATCAGAATTGAGCAGCATGGTATCGTTGCCGCAGCAGTTCGATCGATCGGATGCCTCGCGGCAACACCATGTATCCAGTGCGCAGGGAAGCACGTTGTACGCTTTCCATCCATTTGTCCCTTTTATCAGTCGTTAGAGGAAGTAAAAGGTTTTCGTAAGATTTATGATTGCTTACTNGGCCATGGGACACGCATAAGGACAGGAACTATCCATGCCGGTCGAATCGGTGCAGCCATTCCCGTATATGTAGCCGCTATAAGAGCTTTGTGTTGCATAGCAGAGTCCTCCTTGAAGACATATNNCTGTACCCGTTTAGCACGCTTCATGTGAGGATATCAGGAATGCTTATTTTACATCGGGTTGTCCTTTGTTCGTTGNCCTACAGAAAGTGTGAGTATGGTCGCCATGGTCGTTAAAGCAAGGGAGACTTACGCAGCACGCGCTCACCGCTACGGTAGTATTGCAAGGCACAAAAGAGGCATCTGCAATAGCTGTACCTTGAGTGTCGAAACACCTGTTTTCTGCGCGTGCTACATATAGCAGCGAAGAAGCTAAGAGAACGAAGCGCATGCTGAAGCGGAGAGAGGAAGCGAGTAGAAAAGTGCGAGGTGTAGAGAAAGGTGGAAAACGAGAGAAAGACCTAAGGCGACGAGCGCTTGATGATATGTATTACCAGGGTGCTGACCGGAAGGGCTGAGCATGTTGTTATTAGAGTGCTCAGCCCCGTAGCTGCTGTACAACCATCTCGGTTGGTCTAAAAGTGGTATGGGCTGGCCATGTTATCTCTGAGAAGGATGCAGGACCTCGCAGAGCGGCCAATGAAATGCTCTTTGTATGCAGTAGTGATGCTTGGCAAGTCTTTTGGAATCCTACGGTCAAGAGCAATATCAATGGGTTGGAGCGATGGATGCCCGATATTAATGAGATGAACTCGCAGTTCCGAAGAGGGAACAGGGTTTCGCACGTGGTAGCGTTCTCAACAGCGGCGTTGAGAATGCCTCCAATCACAGGTGCAAGGTTAGGCTAAACCTTCTGAAGTTGGATTGACGATGAGCGTCGCATGATCTCAAGAGTCTGGACTTTATTCGCAGGCGTGGAGCTCAAAGACCAAGTCTCTTCTCTCAGACAACATTATGGACGAGAAGCTACAGGCAGAGATACGGGAGGTCGACCCCGAGGTGGCCTTCCCGGCTAACCAGCAGCACGTACACTCGACATGGGCCCGCACATTCCACTCGCGACCCGAGCTGTACATCCAACCAGAAAGCACCCAAGAAATTCAAAAGATTATCAAGCTCGCCCGACGAAGCAGGAGACGCGTTGTCGTCGTCGGCTGCGGCCACTCGCCTAGTGATCTGACCTGCACTTCATCATGGATGGTCAACCTTGACAAGTACAACCGTGTGCTCAATGTCGACCGCGACCGCAAGCGCCTCACTGTTCAGGGTGGCATCCGTCTGCGCGACCTGAACTTGGCCGCCAGCAGCCATGGCCTCACCATGCCCAACCTCGGCAGTATCCACGATCAATCCATTGTCGGCGCCATCTCGACCGCCACCCACGGCAGCACCCTTAAACACGGTCTCATGTCCGACTCGGTCAAGTCCATTCGCATCGCCCTTTCCGACGGTTCGATTGCTTCCTGTTCGCCAGACGAGAACCAGGATCTCTTCCGCGCTGCCCTCACATCGCTCGGTGCCCTCGGAATTATTACTGAAGTTGAGTTTGAGATGACCGATGCCACCAACATTGAATGGGAGCAAACACTGAAACCCCTTGACTGGGTGCTTTCGCGCTGGGATAAGGATCTGTGGACAAACAAGGAATTCACCCGTGTCTGGTGGTTGCCTTATATGAAGAGAGCCATCGTCTGGTCTGCCTCCAAGACTGACAAGCCAGAGAGACCTCCAGTATCCAGCTGGTATGGAGGTTCTGTCGGCTTCCATACCTACCATATTCTTCTCTGGATCTCAAACTACATTCCTCGTATTCTTCCTGCCATTGAGTGGTTCGTCTTCGGTATGCAGTACGGCTTCTCCGATCATGCTGTTACTAGTGGCATCGAGCCTCAGCGAACTGGTCTGCTTATGAACTGCCTATACTCACAATTTGTCAACGAGTGGGCTTTGCCTCTTGAGAAGGGCCCCGAAGCTATTACTCGTATGTCTGCATGGATTAACGGCGAGGAAGGCTCCGGCATCCCCTTCAGCAACAAGGGACTATATGTCCACGCCCCTGTCGAAGTCCGTGTTTCTGATACTTCTCGAGTTCAACCCAGACCTTGGATGGACAACACCAACCCGAACGGTCCCACTCTCTATCTTAACGCCACTCTCTACCGTCCCTTCTTGAAGGATCCTCCTTGCCACGAGCGCTACTACGAAGCCTTCGAATACCTCATGAAGGAACTCGGAGGCAAGCCTCATTGGGCAAAGAACTTCTCGACTGTCACTCACGATGATCTCCAAAACATGTTCGGTGACAACCTAACATCCTTCCTACGCGTGCGCAACGAGGTTGACCCCGATGGTGTTTTCCTCGGCGCATGGCACCGCTGCTACCTGTTGCCTGCCGACACCCCTCGTTTCGCTTGCGAAGAGAAGGAGCTGGCAAGGACGAAGGCTGCTGATGGTGGCAGGAATTGGTTCGGCGACTTGACGAGCCATCCGAGAACTGCAGATGAGAAGACAGCTCTGCTCTCGACGGATCAAGGTCCTGACCATGATGATCTGGAGGATGCACGTCGCTTCAGAGAAACCGCTGCCGAGAGCTTGTTCGGTACGAAAGTGTTTGATAAGATGTGATTAAGATGTAAATGATCATGTATGCTGTCATGTCATATGAGCAATGTTTCGCCTGTATTCTTTGTTGTGCGAGTTAGGCTCTCGTACTCTAGCTTTCTGGTGCACCTTCCATGTTGGCTGTGGTTCAAACACGCGACGTTCGGCTGTTTTTGTCGTAGTTGCGCCTTCCTTGTCTATCTTGTACAGACTTCTGACTCTTCGTATCCGCAATCATTCTCAACATGGATCGATTCCTCGAGCATCCACCTACCTAGATACTCTGATTCTTCCATTTCGTTCATTGTCGGGTGCGATACCCCTATTCAGCAAAGAGCTACAGCTATTCATCCTCACCTGCGCAAGATCATACCCAGTGCTTCTGAACAAAATCCAGCTGCCTACAGTTGCATTGATTCGACCATCGAGCCACCTCCTCTTCTTATCACATACAAGGCTGTCCAGCTTTGAGACGCCGCTTTCACCAATATCTTCTCGCAACATCTACCTCTAAACATCTCCCTGGAGTCAACGCTTCTGACATGGGGTCGGCGTCAACAGGCAAGGCACAAGCGTTTCCTGCAACAGCGCTCGCAGACGCCGGACTTCCTTCGGATGAGCGGCGTGCTCAAGAGCTCGATAAATACTACACACCAACTAATGTATCGGTGCTACGCTTGACAGAAAGAGACTCTGCGCTGCCTGCCCATATGCAACTCTTGTGCTGGCGCCTAGGTATGCGAAGAGCCTTGGTCAGCCTCATTGATCGAGACACCCAATACTATGTTGCTGAGTCGACAAAAACCATGGATCTTCACGATTCGAACAGCTTTTTGATGAGGACGACGGACCCTTGGCTCTCGTGCGTACACTGTCGATAGAATGTCTGCATTACGCTAACATGCTTTCGGCAAGAACGCAGGTCATCCCAAGACAGGCATTCTGTGTGCTGAAACTATTCGAGCTGTGGTTAGCTCTGACAAAGAACCTGCTTATTTCGAAGTCTGCGATCTGGCTGCCGATCCCAGATTTTCTCAGCTCAACATTGTCGAAGATCTGAAAGTTGCCTACTATTGTGGAGTTCCTATTCGCACGAACAACAGAATCGTAATTGGCACTGTCTTTGTTCTGGATGACAAACCTCGAGAACCTCTTTCCTTACAGCATATACACTGTGAGTAATATCCACCCATGTTCCCTCGTGTTCACCGCATACAGGCTATGCTTAACCCGTTGCATATGAACTTCCCATCATATCCTACCTATCTAGCCTTACACTCATGATTACTTTACTAACTCGTCAAGTCCTCACGTCAATAAGCGACAACGTTATGATTTACCTTGAGAATCGCAAACAACGAATGGATGTTGACAGAATCATGAAGATGAACAAGTCTCTTGCATCTTTCATGGACTCACACCAAAACGAGAGAATGCAAACTCCGCCGGATCAAGACTCTTCAGCAGTCAACCAGCCAAAAACCCGATGCAACAGCATGGACAATTCCTCAGAGGACGAGCTTCCTCAGGGCAATAGAGGGAGAGAGCATAGCGAAATCTTCAACCGTGCTTCGACTTTATTGAGCCAATCTCTAGCTCTACAGGAAAATGGTGGTGGCGTCATTTTCCTTGATACTGCACCCAAATTCTCAGGAAGAAGCAGCTCAACTCATCGTCTTCAGAGACGTGAGAGTGGTCCCAAACGAGATCCTTCCAGACTCGTCGCTGACACTGCCCGACTGTCGCGCACTCCATCGGACGAGGAGAGGAACAAAGACGATGGCCATAGGACCTTTGCAGCTATACTCGCTCATAACGTCTGTGTTGCATCTTTTGACCAACCTGATCAGTCATGTCAGTTGAATGGGAACACGCCTGATAACATACCTGTCAAAAGTCTTCTAAAGTTCATCAAGAAGGTTCCGGCAGGACAAGTCTATCACTTCCCAGAACTGCGCGATCCACGAACTGGGGAGATGTTAAGGATAAAGTGTCGAAATCCACAGCATCAAAGCAATGTAGAGGAGGCCGACGTGAGGTCCCTTTTCTCACACTTTCGTGGAGCCGTTGAGATCATCCTAGTACCACTGTGGAACACCCACCTTGGTCGGTGGTATATCTGCCTCGTCTACACGCTCTCGAGCGAGCGGAACTTCACCTTTGAAATTGACTACTTCTTCTGTCGAGCATTCTGTAACTGTGTGAAAGCCGAAATAGACCGGTGTGCTGTCGAACTTTCAAACCAACAGAAAGGTGTTTTCATTGGATCAGTCAGTCATGAATTGCGATCTCCTCTGCACGGTATCTTAGCCTCCTGCGAGCTCATTCAGGAGACTGAGATGTCACCTTTCCAGGCATCTCTCGTTGATACTACAGAAAGTTGCGCACATACACTTCTCGACACCATCCAAATGGTTCTCGATTTCAGCAAGGTGAACGCCTTCACAAAGGACCAGCCTAGGGAGAAGTTGAACGTAAGGCCACATGTTGTCAAAGGAGGAGTCGAACCACTCCTCAGCACCTACTCCCATGTCAATATAGCTGCTATCGCAGAAGAAGTCATCGAAGGCGTAACAACAGGTTTCCTTGCAAAAAGTGATCCGAGTATGGAATTGGGATTCGCTGGAGAAAGATCAAAGTGCAATGCCAGAACATTTGAGGACCTGCTGGCCATGCCACAAGCACCTGTGGAAGTAATCCTTGACGTCAGTCCGCCGCAAGATTGGACATTCATTACACAACCTGGATCTTATCGGCGCATTATCATGAACATTTTTGGCAACAGCTTGAAGTATACTGAACACGGATACATCAAAATTGCGCTTAAATGCGAGGAAATTGACACGAAAGAACCGGATTCATTCATGGCTACGGTCGAGCTGAAAGTCACAGATACTGGTAAAGGAATCTCTCAGGCTTACATGGACACCAAGATGTTTACGTCTTTTGCTCAAGAGAATCCGTTGGCTCCTGGGACAGGCCTTGGACTCTCTCTAGTCAGGTCTCTCGTGCAGATGATGAACGGAGAGATAGAGGTTCGGTCTGAAGTCAACCACGGTACAGAAGTCACGGTGAGGATTCCGATGAAACGTGCAAGCTCACATATTCCACGTGATGGATTCCACAGACCCAACGAAGACGACATTCAGACTCTACGCACAATTTCACCACGACCTCAGATTGTAAACTTCCCACAGGACATTCTGCCTAACGATACCCCTCAGAAGCAGAAAGGTTATGAGATGCAAAAGCATGCATTGGCTGCTTGCATCAATGGTTGGTACAAGATTGACGCCCTTGATGATTGGGATTTGCAAATCAAGCCTGATATCATTCTTGTGGATGATATTCACCTTTTGGCAATCACAAAACATCTGAAACTTCTGGAAGAGTTTAATGCCGTTGTTGTGATCCTCTGTTCGGATCGATCCAGGACAACAGCAATCTCGAAAAATGTCAGTTATCCCAAACTGCACATAATGCCAAAACCATTCGGACCTTTCAAGCTTGCAAAGGCACTCAAGCACGCTCTGGACAAGCGAGGTTCTATATCTAGATCCAGCTCCGATCCTCCTATCTTGGAAGAGTTTGGACCCATTCCTGAGCTCAAGCAACTAAGCCCAACTCTGAGACGGGTCCCTTCATACTCACAGAATCTGTCCAAGAGAAGGAGGAAACCATCATTCGACAAGAGCTTCCCTTTTCCCTCGATGCTTGTCACACCAACACCTCAATCACCTACACCATCTATACCAGGAATTACACCTCAGATCGAAGTGACTGGCACATACCATAGACGGCTGAAAACACTCGATGTGCCTCTGTCAGACCAAGTACCGCTTGAGAAACACAATGACCTTGTCCGCAGCCACAGCGAAGGCCACATAGAGCGTGTTCACCACAAGCCTATCAAGCCGAGAATATTGCTTGTCGATGACAACGAAGTCAACCTCAAGCTCTTGCAGACTTTCTTCGTCCGCCGCGGCTTTACGGATATGAGGTTGGCTCGAGACGGCGTTGAAGCGGTCAAAGTGTACGAAGACGCACTGCACCAGCACGACCCTTTCCATTTGGTGTTCATGGACATCAGCATGCCAGTATGTTTGTAACAATTCACTTCTTTTGACAGGCTTGATTGCTAATCCCGAGACAAGGTCATGGACGGTTTCGAGGCGACGAAACTCATACGGCAGAAGGAAATCTCGGCGGCACCACACTCTGTCGAACCATATCACAGCTTGGTCATTGCTTTGACAGGCAACGCCAGTGCTGAAGATCAGACTGATGCTTTCACAAATGGTATGGACATGTACATGACGAAGCCTGTCTCACTGAAAGACGTTGGGGAGCTCTTGAAGGCGTGGGAAGAGAAGACGGCAGTGTATGGAGCGGGAGGTGCAAGATCTGCACTCCTTGAAGACAACGCAACTTCTGACGAAGCCTGTTGAAGGATGTTGCAGTAGGTCTACAGTCTTCGCAGACCCTTTCAGATCCACACAGATATCCTCAGACTACACATGCAAGGGTGCGAATTGTTGGTCCTCGACTTATCTAAATTCTGCCCACCTGTCTCTTCCTCTCAGCAGATCCATTATCGTTAGGCCAGAACAGTTGCAGCAGTCTCTGAAGAGGATGTCGTAAAGAAAAACGAAACGAAAAAGAGTCTAGAGTTCTCGATTGCTCTTGCAGCTATATTTGTATGTTCTCGCATCGCAGCAAAGAAAAAGACAGAGGCATGGCCGCTACAAAAAGGATCCTGATTCATACATGGTCGACAATCATTGTCCATCACCATCCCAAACCCACCGTCACCATACTCTCCTTCTAGCTTGCATACATGGCTTCCACATCCTGGCTCATCACATAGTGGGTGAATGACTAACACTCCTTCCCTTCCCGAACCAACCCCAGGGACTAGGCTTACCGCCAGCGCCAGTAGCTACAGGCGCGAGCATCTCAGGCGTATGCATAGGACTAGGTCCCTGCATGGAACTAGGAGTATCCGGTCTCGACACCAACATCTTCATTCTCTCCATTTCAGCTTCGTGAGCTTCCATCTGAGCAATCATCATAGCCTCCATGGCGTCAATCTTGGCTTGCATCTCCTCCTTCTGCTGCTCCATCTGTCGGCGCGTCTTATCGAGGGAGTTCTGCAAGAGTTCGTTCTCGTGGATGGCGGTTGCCTCGCGAGTCTTCGCTGCTACGAGTTCGACGAGCAGGGTTTCGTCTGAAGGAGGTGCGTGAGATGGTGTCGAAAGAATGGTTTGCGATGTCAGTGAAGAGTTGCGTTTCGGAATCACGGCTGCACTGGATGTGGGAGTGACGGAGCCAGAGTCTTCTCTTGCAATATCTGCATCGGTACCTCTTCTAGCAGAGCCGAATTTCTGCGGCTTTGCAAGAATTTCAGTCCCATCTTGCGATCTGATCATACGAAGAGGAGGGCCAGGGCGATGTTGTTGAGTTGTGGACTGAGGTGGAAGAGTTTGGTGGGGTCGTACACGAGGCACAGAGATTGTGATGTCAGGGAACGAGCCTGAGAGGTCACGAGAAGCCTTTTTCTCATGACGACGGTAAAGGGAGCGTCGGACTCTGATGGACTCGGAGGAAGGTGCTTCCCCTGCTTTCAGAGACAATCGGGCGTCCTTGAGATCTGATGTTCTTTTCATGTGGCGATAGGTGCGGTCCTTGGCCACTCGCTGACGCAGCTTGACAAGCTCATTCTCAAGCTTGACTGTGTATTCGCTGGGAAGTGGCGCTTGTGAAGGTTGCGTTTCGCCGTTCTCAGACCCACTGTCGGAATCAAGCGAAGTTTCCGCATCGAAAAGAGCACAGAGCTTCAAAAGAGAAGAATGAAGACCGGCATCTCGATCTTGTCCAGCAGCGTTGCCGGCGATGATACTCTGCGTCACTGATCTGACAAAGTTGGATTGCCTTTTCAGTGCCGTCACCTCCTCTCGAGTCTTCTCATGGTCGATTCTTGAGGGTAGAGTAGTGCGGCGCTGTCTGCGATACGCATCTACAGTCTTCTTCTCGCGGAACAGTTCGAGCAAATCGGCGACAATCTCCTGAGCTCTGACTCTCCTGGCTTCCCNTCTCTGCAGGTTCGCTGCTGTCTGAGCTGCCTCGCGTTGCACTTCACTAAGGGCAATCAACAGACCCTCTACTTGTTCATGCAAGTTCCTGTCTTGCGAAATAAAGGATTTGCGGGGCTTCGTTGGAGTGGCACTGTCTCTCTCAAGGTCATCAACTTCGGTAGGCGCAGTGCTGGCAAAGCTATCGGTGCTTGCCATGCTGGCTCCGCTCCCCGAGATGGAGTTGAGAGTAGAAAGCGATTGTCCGGATGCTTTGCGACGAAGAGGCGCAGCTGGCGAAAGAGAATCGCTCTTGGACGTAGACCAGAAGTCGAAAAGTCTGAAGGCATTGCCGTAGGTGCTGGTGAAGCCTAGAGCGCGAACGGTCTTGTCTGCCGAGCCTCTTTCTGCCTTTTTAAGGAATTGCTTGCCGAGCTTGTCCAGAGCGTCGCGAGTGACAACCTGCTTGAACAGGGTAGTCACTTCTTCGATGAGTTGATCCGGGTTGTTCTCGTATGGCTCCCAGATCTCGCGAGAAAGAAGCAGTTGCAACACGTCCTCCAATTCGGCCATGGCCAATAGCTTTTGCTCGTTCTTGAGTATCAAAGCCAGTGCGACACGCATGACAGTTTCGTCGGCACCCTCGGCAAGGACGATATCATAGATTCGGAACAGAGTGTCCAGAGGGCATGTTGTAGCGAAGATGGTCATGAACCATTGTGAAAGGTAAGCAAACTCGACGCCCAAGCTCTTAAAGTGTGCGACGAGTTTAGGGGCTAATGGGGTAAGTAGCTGCTGGAACTGAAAGATACGTGAGTGAAGACCAGTCAACGAGTGTGAGTAGGAGTCGCGGAGTCCGTGGTTCTCCATGAGTCTGACGAAGACACAGAATGCATCTCTGGCATCCATCTTCATGAGCAGAATGCCAACAATAAAGCCCATACCCTGGCAGTAGCCAACTTCCGAGTCGTATAGATTGTAGCACTTCAGGACGTGGCCGAGCATCGTCTGACCCTCGCCGCCAGCCTGGGCGAAGAGAGGGTGGTTTGGGAAGCAGCGGCCAACGTCCTTGTCAATGATAGTGTCCGAAGTAGGTGGTTCGCTCTCGATTTGTGCCAGCAGACGATCGAATTCTGAATAGAGTCTTTCTTGGCGTGCTCCAGCAATGCCTACCCAGACAACGGGCCTTAGGAAGTCGGGAACTCCTCGGTGTATCATGATTGGTGTCATTGTAGGCATAGACGATAAAGCCTCTTCGTAATCGCGAGTGACAAAGGCCCAGAAGTCGCCTAGACTCATGCCGAGGGCCTCCTTGGGTATGTGTAGACTGAGTAGCGAGGCGCCGCCAATCGAAGCATTGCGATCATGAGAGGAGCCAGTTACGGTGGTGATGCCAGCCTTAGGGTCGGTAGCAAGGGCATTGTTCTCCATTTCGAGACGGGCGAGTAGAGCGGCCATGTGCTGTGGTTGGGTGAGTATTTGGTTGGTTGCAAAGAGGGTCATTGTTTGGCGTACCTCGTCATCGTCGTGTGCACCATGTCTAGGGGTAGACTCGTCGAGTGGAGAGCTAATGACCGAGTCTGTGAGTGGCACGCTGACCAGTGAATCTGTTTGGGCGTGGTGAGGGTGTGGGAAGGTGGGCGAGAAGGGCGTCTCGACGGATGTTTCGAGGGCCATTTTCGGCGGAGCGTGTATTGTTGATATTCTAGGGCTATGATGTCGTCGTGGGTGTGTGTCGTGTGTAAAATGCAATCGAGGGTGACCAGCAATCCCTTTGTTCGTCTATAACATGTCGCTCTGACCTGAGAGAGTAGACAACAAGCAGCGTGCGGTATTGCTGCGCTTCTGGAAAAGCAGTAAATAAGGAAGGGACGCGTCGAGAACAGCCAAAGGAATGAGACTGATGATATCGTCGCTTTCAACCAGACGTTGTCGTTTTCTGCACACGACGCAACTTCAGGAGCTCACCACTACGTGCACTTCGAGTAACCAAGTAGCAACCTCGAAAACCCATCAACGGCCGAGTGAGGCAGCCAGAGCACTCGCTGTATGAAACGGCCATCAGGACCCCCTGATTGCATTTCCGCGCTACCCGAACCTTTTTCCACACAACGCACGCGCCCTGAGTCAAGCTAATTTCACCGCAACCACCTTGGGGATCTGATCGCTTTGTTCCATGCATCTTCCATCGCTTCTGTGGCCATCCAATCAACAATATAACATGCCCATCTCGTCTCGTATCGCGCCTTTGACATTCTTCCACACGCTTCAGGAGGTCAAGATACCGATCCGCCTGTCAGGCACAACCAGTACACCTTTGCCCCACGTTGTCATGGCAAGTATCTCTATCCATTTTCTAAACGTTATAATCTCTGCATAACCGTCGTCTACCGTCTTGTCTGTCTATCCTCATCAATCACAGCCATCAGCCGTATATACGGAAGAATGACATAGGTATCGTGTCCCGCCTGCAGACGATTATTGAATCATAAAGCGGCACAAGTCCAATCACCCCTTCATATACTCGAAAACGCCATTCATACCATCTTCTGGCATTCACGTCATATCAAATTTGGCATGAGATTTGATTAACTACTTTGCCACAATTTCTAGCAAAGTCACGAGCTAGACGTTGAGTCAGAACTTTTACATGAGCTGCGCCCATGGAATTTGTGAACAGCCAGCTAGACTGTGGATTCATTGCATACTCGACCACCTACGTAAACTCTACGCGCCATCGACACGCCCCTCACTCTGTCCAGCTTCTTCTTTGCAGCAACGGTTTGCAGATACAAGCCTCCCGACGGCACAGAAAAGCAGCGGGTAGTGAAAGGGGCAATAGCTCGAGAGTATGCTGTAATTGACCTAAGACATGAACGCATGCAGTGCTGCTCAACAGGAGTATTTGCACCAGCTCTCTTCCTGTCTCGAGGTTTGCAAGAGAGGAAGAGTCTTGTTTGTAGCCGCGCGGTTGTGTAGTCTTCTGCATCCAGGCGGCTAATTATTTTTGCTTGCCTGAGAACGAACCTGATGAGTCCTTGGTCTGTGCACGCTGTTATGTCGAGCTCCGACACCCCTGAGGCCTCGACGAGTTGCATCTTCTACAAATTGACCCCAAGACTCATGCTTAGGACATTTTTCGATGCTCGGTTTTGCAGGGATCGAAATCTACCTTTGTTCAATTCAGCATACGGGGTACCTCTGCAAAGTATCTTCGAGATGAAGCAACCATTCATCAGCGTCTTCATGTTCCTTGCCCATGACGAAGCCTAGCGCCCTCGTTCTCGGTCAAGTCACGTACTCCATCGCTGCCGACCTCGCCATTGCATCCATCAAGCTCGCAGCCTGACTCTTACTCTCCCTCTAGAGTTGACTCTGGTCTTGATCCTGTGAGAGTTGGAGATGTCTTGGGCTTCATCGCATACAGAAGCATGTCGACGAACGCCGAGTTCGTGCCTCGAGTCTGTCGCATTGGATACCTACAGTACTGTTTCTCGGCTCTTACCTCGTCTTTGACTGATTGCCGACTGATTGACGGGATGATCGAAGACTTCCTTCATTCACAAGAGCTTATAGACCAGGTTCAAGTGTATGTGCTTACAAATGCTGGAAGCCAGTGGACCAATGCCCAGCAACAAAAAAACTGTAGGACATTCAACGTCGGACACAGAGCGAACATAGACAAGCAATACAGCATCCGAGATTCTAAGATGGAAGCAAAGATTTTGTAGGGTAACAAGGTCCAAGAGGTATACTTTGTTGGCTGAGAAACATGGACTTGAGGCCAGGTATTGTGGTACTGACAGAGGGTTACATGCTCAAGTCTGGAGTTCGAGCTCTCGAGGGTCAGCAAGAAAGCTGGCAGAGCGCAGCCACATTATCGAGTAGTAAGGTTGTCGCTTTGGTCTGCGCCTTGGGCCAGGCTCGTGGCTGAGGCATTTGGCATGGTGAGCAGAGCATGGTTGACATGATGGTGAAGATGGCGTGGTAGAGCCACCCTACGATGGCTTGGACAGTCGGTGTCGTGGGTCGGACGCCTATGATTGAGTCTAGACGAGCTGACGGTTGTGGCTTGAATGAGTGCAGATCCTTGTATCCCTGGAGACCGTCATCAGACCCGACGTTCGCACCCGTGGAATGTGCAAATCAAATCTCAATCCCAACTGCTCATCTTTCATGTGCCTCTACACAAACAAGACCAACAGCTTTGCATTCAGCAGCGCCAGCACTTTGCTCTATACTTTGTCCACTGCAGAACGTTCAGGCACGAATCGTCTTCAGACCCTTTGTGGATCCCGACAGCATCGACCTTGAACCTCTTCCCGCGCCTTGGCACCGTCTAGCGCAAGAGCGAGCTCAGCGACGTCATATGAGAGCACGCATTGGCAGCCGAACCTTGTTCCAGCACTCAGACAAGCCAAAGCAAAAAGGTCTTTGGTCCTCTTCACGTCACCAACGCCGACGACTCGTGCGACTCTTTAAACCACCCTGTGACCTGCCCTGAACTATCATCTTCCTCCTAGACCAGCCATTCCCCCCACGACCCACCGACCACTGCCCTACCACCTAGGCCACACATTAATTAATAGCTTCTCGACCTCCGATAAACACACTCACACAATGGCTGTAGCGCGTATGTTTCTCCATTCAACCCCAAAACCACTTCCGACGCTAACACCCTTCATAGGACCTCTCTTGGGATTGATTTCCCTCGCTCTTGTGGCCGCCGGACTTCTCTTTCAATTCTTCGTCATTCTGTCCGGCGTGTCAAACACCACTNNCCCCCTCAACAAGACATACTTCATTGAGGTCGACACAGCAGGAACTTCGGCTCCTCGCAATCCCTCTCGCTGGACTTTCTTCTACATCTGCGGTGCTCAGAATGGCCTTAACGCAAACTGCGGTGCTCCCGTCCCTGCTCTGCCTTTCGACCCCCCAAGAAACTTTGGCAGCGCCCAGGGCGTCCCTGGAGCATTCATCGGAACTCACCACTACTACTACCTATCGCGTTTCATGTTCGCTTTCTACCTGATCGCCCTTTTCTTCGCCGCCATTGCTTTGTTCACCGGTCTCCTTGCTCTCTGCACTCGCCTTGGCTCTTACCTCTCTGGCCTCACTATCGCCGTTGCTGCCTTCTTCCAGGCCCTTGCTGCTGCTCTTATGACGTAAGTTGTTGATCAAAACATGCTCGGGCTTCATAAGTACTGACAGTCCTCTCAGNNTGCATGCTTCGTCCAAGGCCGCAACGCCTTCCGTCGCAATGGTCAGGATGCCCGTCTCGGTCGCTACGGCTTCGGATGGACCTGGGCAGCCTTTGCCGCCTACTTCATCGCCATGGTTCTCTTCTGCGTTGGCGGTGCTGTTTCNAAGTCTAGCGACCGCACTCCTCGCAAGGGCGGCATGTTCGGTCGCAAGGCTAGCACCCGCTCCCGCGGCAGCTTCATCGACTCTGAGAGCCAGAGACGTGTCAAGGAAGAGTACGAGTAAAAAGATCGACATACTCTAGAAACAGTTATTTGTCTACGAGTTTCCTTGTTGTCTTTTTTATCTCACGCTCATGATATCCCCTATATCCAGAAGCCTGCCACTTTTCCAGCAGTGCAGGGCTTTCTTGGATGGTGTTGCGCACACCGCCTTTTCGTAATGTCATCTGATTTGGCTGTACCATTACTACCCATTCCCTTTTTGTTTTCTGATGCCTTATGCGAGCAACGAGCAACACAATACCTAATGTCTTTTTCTTTTCACCTTGTGTAATATATCATTGCTCTCATCGTCGTTTTTCTTCTCCATTTCTTGACTATATACATATTCGAATTTGGAAGCAGTTTACCACGATCAATCACACTATCAAACGTTGGTGCCTCTCGTAATCGCTTCGCTTTGCATGCACGTTTGTCTGTATGCATGTCGTGGAATGGCAATACAGAGCACTTGTGCTATTTCGCAATAGAGGTGGCTGGTGATGTTGAAGCTTGCCAAAGGACAGGGTCATACCCAAAACACGGTCCAGAATATGTATATTCTTGATTTTGCTCCGCACAGTACTGTCATTGCGAATATCTCTGGCTCTTGTTGTTTTGAATATGCCTTTCAGCTCTGTCGTTATGCATGAAGGCAGCCTGGTGCAGGGTTGTTGAGATATCGTCAAATTAAAGGAACAGTTGATACTCGAGTAGAACGTGCACAACAAACAATACTTCTATACATGGATACTTCTGTTCACCCGACTACTATTACGTCTCTTGTCCTCCACCATGCCGGCAGCATTTGTGATTGCTCAACATCATATTAGTTTCTGACAATCTTCGAGAAGACTCAAGGATTACATCGCATGTTGATGCAACCTCGTGTCTTGTGCTACTTTCGATGTAATATAGGACAATACGATAAAGCATATCCTATAATCACATCCGGTGTGGTCTAACGGCTAGGATTTCTCGCTTTCACCGAGGAGGTCGGGGTTCGATTCCCCGCACCGGAACTTTTTCTTTGTCTTCTTCTCCACCACCACAGTCTTCTATCATTTTTTTTGTCTTGTTGACAAGAAGTATCATCTAACTGTTTTTTTTTTGCAGCAACACGTTCGACTGTATTTGTACTGCAGCACAGCGTAATGTGATAGTGTTCATTAGACATTGTATCCACCAACTTGACTTGACCCGCATCTATTCTAGAGCGACAGAGTAGATTGAGTTCACGATGACAGGATGGTCTAGACAAAGTCACAACAAACATAGAGAAGGATTGATCACAGGGTAATGAACAACTTGTCATGTTCTTGAGGATACGTAGGAATCGATCTGTCAGCTCGACAGTCACAGGAGTAATCATGTCTCCTGGTATAAAACGCCTGCCCAAGAAGCAATAAACCCTCCAACGCCTTGCTACCCACTCCAATGCGGTGATGCTTTTGAAATATCAAACTTCCCTTGCTCTTTCATCATAGTCCCGATACCTTGTAGTTCCCTCCAATCTCTCCTCTTTCTGCATCGGCCGAAGCCTGGTAACGATCGCCGTGATGGTTGTTGCCGAAACTAGAGCTGCGACGCGTTCTTTCACGATGTTGGGATCCACTGATGCTCGAACTGCGTCTCTTCTCGTCATAAACGTGGTCGGGAGCACGGTGGGCATCTCGAGGCACATTTAGACTATCACGAGTACGGTCAGAATCGGCACCATCATGTGTAGTTCCAGATAGGGTACCGTCATAGCCACGTGAACCAGTAGCGTTGCCTTCACCAGATGAAACCTGCTTGATCGGAGGGAGAGCGGGAGCCGGACCAGAAGGATGGGTGTTGCCGTAACCAGTGTTGCCGTAGTTTGCAGGAGCACGAGGAGCAGCTGCAGCTTGACGGACATCTTGTGAGTGATAGATGCCGCGCCCATCAGCAATGTACTCACTACGTCCGATTGCCACGTTGGGTCTGGCCACATCTGCTGCAGTAGCTGCCGTGTCCTCATCCACCTGGAAGACCTCGGCCTCCTTGTCGTTGAAGTCCTGTCCAGGGTTTGCTGTCTCGTATTCCAGAACTTTAATAAACTTGTAGAAGCCGACAGCGAGAATGGAGCCTAGGAATGGACCCTAGAGGTAAAGTAAAGTTAGCAGGACTTCACAAAGTTGGATGTGCAAGAACACCACGACTTTGCTAGACGAGTGCACTCAATTGTGGCCACTTACAACCCAATACAGCCAGTGGTAGCCTGGGAAGGTGGCTAGCACAACGCAGGGACCGAAGGAGCGAGCGGGGTTGAGACTGCCACCGGTAAAGTAGACTCCAGTGAGTTCAGCGATGAAGAGTGACAATCCAATGCCGATGGGTGCAAGGAAAGTTCCCTTGTGCTTCTCAGCGGCCAACATGAGGATGGTGAAGACGAGCATGGCAGTCAGGAACATTTCGATGAACAAGCCTCTGACAATCGAAGTGCCACCTCCAAGGGTTGTTGAGACGTTCATGGCGGAAGGGAAGAGGCATGAGACAATTCCAGCAGCTGCGATGGCACCGAGAATCTGGCCAATAAAGACGAGCAGACCACGAATCCATTTGCAGGCACCGATAAGGCAAAGGGCGAGAGTGACCTATTGAGAGATTAGCTTCGCCAATTGGTCATGGGCGTGTGCTCAACTCACTGCTGGGTTGAAGAGACCACCAGTGATGCGGAAGAAGACCCAAGCGTTGACAGCAAGCGAAAAGCCAAAGGCCAATGAAATGTACAACAGTGCAGATGTGTTTGGGGCTTGAGTGATGGAACCATCATCGTTGTTCTGGGTAGATGCATTACCAGTAGCGGCGTTGGCGACTTGGGTAGCGCTGAAGGCGAAGAACAGGAAGAGGAAGGTTCCGACGAACTCGCCAACAATGGCAATGAAGTGGTTGCGGACCTTGTTAGGGAGCCAACCGAATCCAGCGAGGCGGCGTTCATGCTGAGTGTTCTCACGGTACTTCATGAAGGGNNGGAGGGTGATGCCCCTGCCTGGACGGTCGAGATTCATGATGGGTTATGAGATGTAGGGACGAGGTGATGTAGGAGAGATGCGGTAGCGGTAGTGCTCTGAGGATGTTTGCTGTAGAAGTCTGTTGTGCGACGCAGGCACTAAATAAGTTTGAGGTAGGACAAGCACAGGATAATGTAAGCTTGATGCCAAAGGTAACGAGGATGGAAGGCGATGTGAGATGTTGAGCGATGCGAAAGCGAGAGGCGAAGATGAAGACTCGAGGGCTTCAAGGCGAGCGACAGACGCGCATACAGACGGCAGGGATACACTCGAGGGAAGGAACTACTGACTGCGATGTATTTGTCTCTTAAAGCAATGACGGAAGTGCTGCTGCCCGCACCGCACGGCAAGCGCCATTGCGAGCATATCTCTCCCCTTTGAACCTACCACGTTGGAAAACGGCACAGACTTCATGCCCTCACCGTCGTGTCGATCTCTGGTAGAGCCGCGTATATCTGTACGATGCACATGGGTAGCTGGACGGTTAGGACGAGCAAGACGAGAAATGCTGAGACAAAATATGCCACTGACGCAGCCCAACACCGAAAAGAGATTCATGATCGGTTTGGAGAGCTCCACCCCCACCCTCACCCCACACGGTTGTTTGTCATTTTCGACTTGCTCCATCGAGTCTTTGTGCCCATCATGGTTTTGCCATGTGAAAAAATCCCATCCCGTGCTGCATCATGCAAGGTTGTTTTGCCATATTTCACCTCCACAGTACTTCTGTTCCGGATAGCCGTTTCCATATCAGTATTGGTCAGGACTTATTCGGAGCTCTTCACCGGTGTTAAATGCTTACAACGAAATGATCGGATTGCTTTTGCATCGGCTACACACGGACCTCTATCAGCACGGGTGATGGGCGTTAACCGGCAAATCGTTGATGTCACATATGAATGTAATTTTCACGAATGGACAGAACTGTTGAGCAGAGCCCCCGAGATAGGAGTGGTTAGAGGAATGAGGTTTGCGGATCAATGAAGTCCTGGCTTTGGCCATATACGAGAGAACATGACTCGAGGTCGATCTACATATGAAGCCTCGAGTCATTTTCATGTCTGGAGTTTGCTTCAAGAGAATTGAACAGTGGTGGCAGTTCCAACCTCCAGACTCAAACGTTCGTCGTAGTGCTTCTTCTACAATTCTGCTTTGATGCTCAGGCTGCACATATCATGATGTCGACATATTCCTTCTCGAACTGACCAACTTACGCGACGTGGAAAGGATGAGCATTCAGACAAACAGTAGGTATCGCGGCGTCACGTGTGATGTCGGCATTCGGCAGAAATGCAAAGATTGAGTGATCAGTTCGAAGTCAGTCATGCGGCGCGCAAAAGGCAAAGCACCCAAAGTAACTCGACACTCGGCCACACCCCTCAGTCTGGCCTGGTTTGGTGTGTTGAAAGAGAAAACGGCTGCGAGTGTTTATACTCTCAAATACTTTCTGTTGTTTGCAGACGCGTCCACCTGTTGATACTCTTTGCATTCTGTTAGATACAGCGAAACACTTCTCTCGCTTCCAGCTTGCCGCCATCATCCTTACACGCTGCCATCGCCACTTCTGCCCGGCACTCGGGTCCAGCGGGCGCAAACCAACCGATAGCACCACCCTAATGATATGAACCACGCTCGAAACAAGCATCAACGCGCATTCTAACTGCTGCGGTAAGACGCTCTGTATATTTAACCCCGTATTGCAGCCAACATGCGGCCTCTACGACTGCTTCTCTCGCTGTCGTCGTGCTTGACCTTCATCATCGTCCTGTCGTTTGTCGCCGCATCCAAGACGAGGACTGTGTCTGCAGCACGCGACCACAACAACCGTCTTGGAGCTTACTTTAGCTGGAATTCTCCTTCGTCACTATTTCCACCATCAGCCATCATCAGCTTAACCGACGACAACTCGACATTCTTCCTTGCCCGACCCGCTGCCTTCGGCCCACCATTACCTGGACGGGGCCTTAGCGGTCAGATTTGGATCGGCGCCGGCTTCGGCGACGACAATCCTGGCCACGGAGGTATTGCTGGATCAGAAGGAGAGCTTGGCTGTAGCGATGTTCCAGGGTGGAGCGATGGCGAACACTCTCCTAAAAGCTTCGAAGCAATTCCTCAAGATGTCAAGAGCAATAACATGGGAAAACAAGGGGTCAAGGGAAGCAAGAATAAAAGGAGCATGGAATCGGAAGAACAAACAGAGGATGGCGCTGCAGACGTCCAGGCCGATGGAACCGATGACCACCTACAAACCTCGTCTGATACCGGCTCAACACAGCTGAAGCAATCATCGAAGAAGGCAAAGAAGCCGAGTCACGCTGACATCCAATCACTACAAGAGACAGCAGAAATTGCAGGCAAAGTCGTGCTGCTGAGTCGAGGTGGATGTGGCTTCCTGGAGAAGGCCAAGTGGGTACAGAGAAGAGGGGGTGTCGCCCTGATCGTTGGTGATGATATGCGTGGAGGTCCGTTGGTAACCATGTACGCCCGGGGCGATACGTCCAACGTTACCATACCTTCCATCTTCACTTCCCACACCACCGCGCACCTTCTGTCAAAGCTGGTACCTTCAGGAGGTTTCCGTGAAGGCATGTCTGCTCAGGACTCCGCGCGCCTGGGTCTAGGCCTGCCAGTCAGTGGTAACCCGACTGAAAAGAACAAGAAACAACCAGATTCGACCAATACTAGACCTACCCACTCTCCAATCGTCAATCATCAGAAGGAAGACGACGCTGAGGTATCAGGCAGCTGGCTAAGTTCACTATTTTCATCTTCGAACGAAAATCGCCACGATAGCCGAAGACCACCTAGCAGTGGTAAGATTGATTGGGTCTTGCAAAAGGATTTCGAAGATGAAGCTCCNGAAAAGTACAACACCAAGACTACTAGTACCACCAGATCGACNCAAACAGACAAAGCCCCAAGCAATGACGAGTTCGTCATCGGTGTCCATGATTGGCGAGACCCTGACTTGGTTGATTCACAGATCAATGCCGCTCAAGCAGTTTCGAGCAAGCTGCCAAAGTCAGTTGAACATAATTCTGCTGCACCTCATGCAGGACCTAAAGGCGGCAGCATCACCCCGGGAAGCGGAGAATATCACCAGGCCGGCGAGAAGCTAATCAACCTCAAGGCTCCTAAGAAACCCGAGAAGAGTAAGACGGATTCCAAGAAGGATCCAGCTCCTGATAAATCGAAATCTTGGATGGGCCGTCTCGTTGGTTCTGACGATGAGGAGGGCTTCGAATCCGAAAATGCAAAGTCGTCACACGCTGCATCACAAGTCAACAGCAAGCCTGTTATCAAGGCTCCTGGTGAGTATGGCAACACAGGCGAGTCGCATGATGGCTTGTGGGTAACTTTGACCCCTGCATCCATGTCCTCTTCGCCGTTCTTCGACACTCTGCTGGTCTTGGTTGTGTCGCCTCTTGTTACATTGACCATTGTGTACGCTCTACTATTACTTCGCTCTCGCATTCGTCGCAGAAGATGGAGAGCCCCCAAGTCAATTGTTGATCGGTTCCCTGTACGGATCTACCATACTGTACCCAGCAGCAACAGTTCCAATGCTCCGGAAAGTACTGCAACATCTCCATGTGCGCCGACTCAGACCACACCTCTTCTTCAGGCTGGGGCACGACCAATCTCCCAAACAAGATCGAGGCCAAGATCTCGTACTGTTAGTGAAGTGCCTGTGTCTAGCTCTAGCCCTGCGAACACTCCGAGCCTGGAGCAAGTGCAAGAGAAGCGTGAGGCTGGACTAGCCGAATGGCGTAGAAGATATGGTGGTAGACAGCGTGATTGTGCGATCTGTATTGATGAGTTTGAGGATGGTGTCAGCCGTGTTATGAGCTTACCTTGCGGCCACGAGTTTCATGTCGATTGCATGTAAGTTTTTCGTACGTTCTTGAGAGATTTGCTGGTCTGACCCTGTCTAGCNACACCATGGCTTACAACCCGCCGCCGTACTTGTCCCAACTGTAAAGCTGACGTTGTGCGTTCATTCGGTCGTGGTGGCGGTTCTTCATACTCGTCATCTTCTGCTCAACCGCTTCTCGCGCACTCTCACGATGACTCGTTGAACATTGACAGCGTACAAGAGCAAGCAGTCAACACTCGCAACTACGACCCTGCTGCCAATGAACCGATTGCTGATCTGGAGCAAGGTAGTGTCGATCCTGACCGCACAAGATAAACAATCAGGAGCGATATTCATGACTGGGATGACTGGCGTTCTCCCTCTTGGGACATAATGAGCAGGCTCTTTCTGCTTTCTTGCATTGCTCATAGCATTAGCGGTGGAGTGATTTGAGGATCCTTGTGAGATAGATCTTTGCTTCATGTTCTTCGCTCTGGCAAAAGAGGCTTCAATCCTTCTGAGCTAGGCTTTCTAACACCATTCTCCACAGCTCAATCAAGAACTCTCTTCTCTTCATCTAACTGTAATATCATGTTGTGTGACTAGTGCTTCCAATCCCGGATCCTGGATCGCTTCGGTTCGAGCGCCAGCTCTCGTGGCACGACCAGCCGAAAGTCGACTGTGCCGAAGGAGTCCGTGATTAATATAGGCCACATGGTAAGCACTTCCAAACCAGCATGTCCTGCATTTAACCACGAAGCACTCATCCGAAACCAGCAGTCCTAGTCTATTCCAAACTTGGCTGGCTGCCGGCAGTGCTTTTAGTCCATGCTGTTTGATAAACTCGATAAGTTGGTGCTCCATTACCAGTGTAGACAGAGTTGATGAATTTCAAGAGCTCGGGACGGCCATGGTAACAGCAAATTGTACCTTTGAAATGGTCGAATCACTTTATCCAGAAGCGCAAAAGAAAGGAGTGACTACTGACAAGCGCGACGGTCCGCTGCCGACCGGACCGTGAAAGGATCGGACTAGCAGTGTCTTGGCTGCGAGACCCTCCGCACCTGCAGCCGCTGTTGCCCTTTCCACTTTTTGAGTTTCACCCAAAGTCATCCCCTGCATGGTGCAGCTTGCACTACGATGGCCCTTCAAGAGCCACACCACCACAAGCTCGAAAAAATGGACTTTCTCGCCTCTTGGTTATTCGCCCACTCGCTTGTGCGGGCGAAAAGTCATTCGCAGAACTTGAAGCCTTTCGCGTAGATAAGCAGACGGGAAGAGGTGTCAAGTCAAGCATGGTTGACCTGGAGTACCTATGCCGTGGAGTCTTGCAAAGTCACCGTCTTCGAGCTTTCGCTTCAGGCTTCCTGCATATGATCGTCGAGGTTGGTGGTGACTACCAAAGTGCTTTCTGCATGATATATATTCGCGACAGGTTCTCTTGTCTAGCAGCTTCTCACTCCTACAACCAAACTGTACAACATCAAGAAACCACAAGAAGAAGCCTATGGTTTGAATTCGATTGACTCCCGGCTCAAAGACGCCATCTTGTACGCGAGCCTACGCCAAAGACGCAAGTCATGCTGCAAGTTGACGGTTGACGTGCAGAGGCGGTTTGTGGAGACACATGGCTGGAGTTAGGGCCAGAACGCCCCTGACAACTTTTTGACAGGAACTCTAGCATTGCGCCATCCACTCACACGTCGAGGGAACTTGATTCATTGACAAGCCCCGACCCAAGATCCCGTGTACATGTGTCTGAATCCAAGTCGCCATGCGCTATCTACCCGCACCTGCAGAAAGATGGATGAGCGGGCCATGAGGTCTCTAGCGTAGGCATGCTATCAAGTACACCATTGAATGTACCCCGTGTCTGGTTTTGCTCTTTGACCCCTTCATATATTCGACTAGCCGCCATTTGATCTGGCTTATATGAATCCACCTTCGCTCAATCTTTGATCTGAACCAATCTACCGGTACATCGATTTGCACTCGGCACTCTTGGACTCGAGCAAGTCACTCCATCCTCAGAGCTCCATCGACCAACATCAATCTCTGACGACCTAACAACGTCGCCGTTGCCATCTCTGCATAACCATTCTTGGCTGCGTTGCGGTGTAGAAAGCTTAGAGTTTCAGGAATCTCTTGAGCACTGCACAAATAAACGGACGCACCACAACTCGTAATCTTGAGGACAATCGTACTCATCACTGATCGGACACAAATCAATCAATGGCGACAGTCGTCGGAGCTGCAGGGTCGTCTGCAACAATGGCAAGCTCATCAATACCACCTCAATATTTTCCTTTCCCAGAGAGTATGTCGCCATTACCGTCCTCTCTCAAGAAAGGAATGCTAGTACCAGGAACGATCGGACTCTTATCAGCTGCCTCGTCTATTGGCATGCTGCTCTTCATCATCTACAGATTCCTAACGTGGCGCGCTCATTATAAAACATTCGTCGGGTACAATCAATATGTGGCCTTGATCGTCAACCTGTTGTGCGCGGACTTGTTACAGGGAGTTGCATTTATGTTTTCCTACCATTGGGTTTTCACCGATGGTATCGTCGCACCTACAGTCAAGTGCACCAGCCAGGGGTTTCTTCTGAATGCAGGTTAGTTGTTCATCGACTCCGCTCTACGACAAAACACTGACCGTCTCTTTCCAGGCAATCTATCCTCCGGTTACTTTGTCATGGCTATTGCTCTCCACACCTTCTATGGTGCTGTTAAGGGCCGTCATCTCAGACACTCCATTTTCTATCCCGCGCTCGCCGGTGGCTGGTTCTTTGCACTCTTCCTGTCTGCTATGGGTCCTATATTGCATGGAAACCATTACTACGTCCGAGCGGGTGCATGGTGCTGGGCTGCTCCGGAGTTCCAAACAGAACGTTTGGCTTTCCACTACATCTGGATCTTTGTGATCCAGTTCGGAACCGTGATCATCTATTTCCTGATCTTTCTTCATCTCAAGAACACTTTGACGACTATCTTGCCGTCTTCACACTCGACCACCCACGCCAAGGTTGATAGAGCAGCACGCTTGATGCTGATGTTCCCTGTCGCCTACATCGTTCTCACACTTCCTCTTTCAGCTGGACGCATGTGGTCTATGGCACATCACACATACAACGTCCACGAAGGTTACCAACTAGCCTCCGGAGCTCTGATCGCCTGCTCCGGAATGGTAGACTGCCTCCTCTACACACTTACTCGTCGAAGCCTAGTCCAGTCCGCTACATCCTCCGAAACCAAGAGCACAACCAGCGGTCTCGACAGCTACGATCTCAGTCGCCTCAACGGCATCACACAGACTCGCACTGTTACAGTCACTGCTGGCGATAGAATATCCACCATCTCCAGCACCACGCACATCAGCGATGACGACGATGCATATTCCATGCGTACCATCTCCACAAGCCCTAAGAAGAAGCACCACCATCACCTTAGGGAGCCACCACTCTCACACTCGCCAACTAGCTCAATAGACAGGATCATGGGAGTCGAGGGTCTGGACCCAAGAAAACCGGCACACAAAGTACAGATCTCCACCTGCGACGCAAGAACCTCCGAAGATGTGGATAGTCTAAGAGACAGTGAAAGATCAGAGTCGCCTGTCAATGTCATGAGAGGGCTTGCCAAGATGGTCAAGCTACCGAATCTGACAGACAGGAAGTAATGGGATTGGTCTGTGTTTTTTCTCATGATGGATGATTATCTTTTGTCTTGTATATACCCTCTCTTTTGTCTCACCCATTAACTACTTTCTATGATGATCATGTATCCCATACGTTTTACCGAGAACTCCACACTCACCTTCGGGTTCCTACTTGGACAACGACAGTCAATGTAATCATGCACAATAATGCCCATCCGTCCCGTCAAAATTCCATGTGGTTCTCATATCGTGTCTGAATCCTTAGCCATCCCCAAGAAGCTCGAAGCGAAAATTCTTGCACCCCACACAATTTCGTCCAGACCACGATACAGATATTCTGATATCTTGCTATGCTCATGAATGCTTACCTCGATTCCAATCGTAGACACACTATATAATTGGTAACGGCGAAGGATAACTTGTCGTCCAATCACAAGTTTGATACCAGGTCTCGTGGTCTAGCGGTATGATACTCGCTTAGGGAGTTGCTTCACAGCGACTTGAAAACTCTAAGCCAATTGCGAGTGGTCCCGGGTTCGATTCCCGGCGAGACCCTTTTGCACTTCTTTTGGTTGTCAAGATCTTGTTTTTGGCTCAGGAGGCATGAAGAGAGTGGTGGGAATGTTGTGGTGAATTTTGGTGGATTTGGGTGGTTGGTGAAGCCTTGTTTTGGGGTTGGGATGGAACGAAGCTTCACAGCGAAATAGTTTGGTATGCACCAAAGGACAATGGCAACGGAGGTATTACTTTTTATTAAGAAGGAAGACGGATGTTAGGGGGACCGCATAGATATGATCTCTTTCTCATAAGCATTATACAGCAAACTTGGGCATAAATGTGTATATATATAGTAATGTAGTAAAAAACAGACGACGCGACCACTATTATTTTCATGAAATGGATGAAAGAGTCTCTTAGCCGTCGAGAGCCACATACATACTGAAGATAAGCAAATAGAAAAATCAGCTAGACATATCAGGCATGTCACAATCAAGAGATGTATTGTACCGCTGTTACCTTCTTAGGTGCTTTCTCAACCAATCAAGACCTGTTCTTCCTGAACAATATTGACTACTCTACAGGTTACAACAGGCATGGTCGTCCTCGGTACCGGGAGGAACGAGCTGAGCACCTCAAGAACCATAAAGCTGACTTACTGGCTGGAACAAGCTTTGTCTGCCTGAACTATCGCTGAAAGTCCACTTGTCCAAGCGAATGATGTCTCGGTAGAAGTTATCCCTTCCAGCACAACATTCATCAGGAGCCAGTCAACTAGTAGATATCGAATCTGATAGCTGTTTTTGGTAAAAGCATCTCAAACTGACGCATTAGAAGGGTTGGTTAGATCCAATAACATGTACATCGGAAATGACTCACGACGCTTGGAGCATTTCCTGCGTATTCTCTCGTTCGTACGAGCGAGTCCAGGCAACACGAAATCTATTTCGACAGCTTCTGCGTAATACAAACCACATCCCACTGGTTATCATGGAGAGTCCCACATCCGTAGCGAGATCCAGGGCTATAAGGATACTGCACAACCACAGATACGGTGGCTATACAGCTCAACAAGCAGAGCAAGAATGTCAAGTTGAAAGACAAGCTCTGCTGACAGAGTACTATCAAAGAACGAGAGAGACCTCGAGAGACTGTACCGTCGACGATCGTTTCATCGGTAGACAATCAACAGCCTTAGACAACACACCCCTCAACCGAAAACAGTTGGATCGGAGCAAGAACACTCATGGCGATAATCTCGCAACACACGTATCCACAAACCGCGCACTATTCTGCCGCCCATCGGCACACAACGCAACAGAGAGCTATGACCCGATAACGTACGAGATACATCCCACATTCCCAGATTCCGAGATACAGATACCCATGGAGTCGATATACATTAGCCACGAGGCAACCGAACCGCCGCTTGACCACTATTCAAGACAAGACGTCGACCTTGCTTTAGCAAGACTAGAGCAGCACATGACCCACTACATCGATACTACACACGAAGATCTAGCCATTCGTCTCGACAGCATCACTTCTAGCTGCGCCAACATTGAGAAGAAAGTAGACAAGATAGATCCCACTACTTCGAAGCTCAACAATGGGAACAAGAGAACAGCAGATGATGCATTCGGAAACTTCAATGGTGCATGCAAAGATCTAGGTGGTGCTGTGGGACGTCTCGACGAGGCGGTGGCCCGGCTGTCTGCAAGCACGGATGCCCTTGCTGCGAGATTCGGGGTCCCGAGGAAGAAGGACGAGGAAGCCGATGTCTACGAGTGGGAGAAAGATGATTGTGTGGAAGAATTCGCCTGAGAATATCAGGCCCCACTGGCAGGTGTGGCATTGAATGGAGATGATGGATGTTTGCGTTTCGTGTCCGAGCAAAAGAGTTAATGCAGAGGTTGGGACCAAATTTGCACCTACGGTTACGGTTTGGAGGAACGCAGAGTCCTAGCAAACTACTCAGCCTATCTCTACCAAAACTCTTTGTGTGGTAGCAGCCTGAGCGTTAGATCATCTGTGGTTTGTTCAAATCGTAAAGGAAGGTTGAGTGCCAGGTAGAAGAGGTTGTGCCAGCAGCGCTGATGCTTCACCGCCTTTCGAAACTGCCGGTCTTGGACTTCACTTACACCTCAGGCGTCGACCAACTTGCCTTTCTTCCAACGATACTCAGTCCACTTTGTGTGATGAAGTACGGATTGTGGTTAAGGAACTCGTGGCCGAAAGATGTTGTGATTGTATGCTCTGCATTCGAGACGATGAACTATCTCTATTGGTTTGTCACCAATCTGCAATAACTTCAACACTGACGCGCATGGTCCCATTGATAAAGCTAACTTGAGTCACGCCTCAGTCCTTCGCATCAACAGGGAGAAACCGGCTTAGAGAAAGTTCTCATCTGTATTTTCAACGCTATAAGATATGTCAACTACGAAATTATTGCTAAAAGACCTCTCGAGAGCACATTCGTGTTTACTCTGCAAGAATATGAATCAACAGACACCTGCTTGCCCAAGCGTGGTTCTCGCCCATCACAGTGCCATCACCTCTGGAGCATTGGTCCATAATGAGACCTGCACCACGCGCAGCTTCCTGGCTGTGAAGAAGTCAGTAACCAAGACCACACAACAAATCCGGATAGAAAACACACCAAGTTGCTGTTGCTGTCGCTCCCTCAGAAGGAGCACAAACATTCTGTCCGTGGATGATAGTGTTTCCACACTTCTTGAAGAGTGTACCTGAGACACCTGCCGTGCAGGCCTGGCCACCGAGGGCTGCAAGCTCAGTTATACATCTTGCTGCGTCTGCGGNACTGCGATCGTCTGTGTCAGCAAGCCATTTGAACCGCGTGGTTGGCGACGAATCGCATACTGATCCTCTCTTCCAGCCACTGGGACCATCGTCTCTGCAGCTCACAGCACGTTTCTCGAGAATGTTGGCAGGGACATCTGATTGGGGCTCAATTGGAGCAGGAGCAGCTGCGACGAAGGAGGCGACTGCCAGAAGAGTCATGAGAGAAGCTGTGATGTTGACCATGATGCCGGCTTGTGGTGATGGATATTCTCTGGTTCAAGAAGTGGTATGTTGTGAATGTGATGAAGTATTGTTGAAGTGAACCACTGGGAAATTGCCCTGGTTATATACCCTTCGTGAGATATGTCGCTTAGACAATTGTCCGCAGTCAATTCATGCATTTGGCCTCCAAGTGGATTGCCAAGCTGGATCCGATGTTGTATGCATATTTAGGTACGAGCACTGCAACCCTGGCGGCTCTTGCACGGGTTCCTAGGGATGTATTCCTTCAACCCACGAAGGATTAGCTATAAGAAAAGCAGTCTATTTTAATAAGAAATGTGGAGAAATACTATAGTAAAGCCATATTGGGCCAGCTCGCCAAGCATTTTAATCTATTCATCTTGGTAACCTACACTGTCCTTCCTCTTCTCTTGCCCAGTTATACTTCGTCGTGTTGCCGCAAGAATATGAGAGACCCATGAAGTTTACTGAGATAGCCTGTGAACAGATCATCTTGCTATGTGTTCGCAGTAGTTTCAAGACCTTGAAACGCAATGAGAAGGTGCATTCATGACTCGGAAGGCGCAGTCTGCTTGCTGACCTGCGTGCGTCGAACACCTGGACCACCAACATGAAGCTCAGACTTTGTCGGCCTTGCGCATCGACATAGCCCGCTCCTTCTCGTGTTCAATCCCAAGATGCAGATCAGTCAGGGCGAGTTGTCAAAACTATTGTAAGCGAATCATAACCGTACGCGAAGTGCATGCCAGGACTCACCGGATTGTCTGGACGTCAGAAGATCTGCAGAATCCTCCTCAGCGTCAAGATGACAAGCAAGGCAGCATCTTGACAACCCTTGAAGGATCCGACTGAGAGCTGGAAGGCATAGTACATTCATCCTTGCTCGGGTTACGTCGTGTGCAGCTCTAGTGTTGGTTCTTGACCTTTCGCCATATTAATGAGCATACCGTACCAGTGATGATCTTTTGTCCCATCCAAAGCCGATGCATTCGCCGATCCTTGGTCAGATTCAGGAAGAAGATGCGCTATCTTATTTAGGATACAACCATCATATCGTGATGCAAACGATTGTACCGTATAATACTACTAACTATTTGGTATGGTAGCGCCAGTACGTCTTCTTAAACGTCACACATTAGACACTTCGAGGTGACCAGGTCGGTATCTTCTCAATCTCTTTGCCTCATCTCAAGCAGCACAAATTCACATGGGGCCATTGAGCAAGATCAACAGTTGATCAGGAGATGAGATGCGCTGGTGGAATACGGATCTGATTGCTTTGTCGAGTGTGAGTGAAGTTTCAAACCTTTACACATGGACTATAATCAGGGCTATTTTACGGTCGTCCTCGCATCATCGCTGGACTTTCAATGGGCTCAAAAGACGACGACGATAACACTTTTGGTCACGATGTGCATGCTTGAAGATTTGGAACCAGAGTAACGACCTTGATTTTTCTATTTCCATATCCCAATTTTCAAAACTCGATTCCCGCACTTTCCCCGTACCAAGTCAAAAGCTTGAGTACTCTGTGAAAACCATACCCAGTTCCTGGCAATAACATCTCAGATGCTCTCAGGGGGAGCATTAATAGGGTTATAACACCAAGCACATCTCTGGTTGTATCTGCCGGTATCCCAGAGAGGGATGTCACACTCTTCCTTCCTGCGACAGAACCAGGTGGTGCAGCAAGGGTCACTGTTCCACCAGTGGGGTCTGTGGCGTTTGACAAGAGTGACATCGTCGATCTCGGCGAACATCTTCACGGCGGTAGAGTTGAGGACTTCTCCAGTGTCAGGGTCGATGGGAGCGTTCAATGCATGTGGGCCGGGCTTTCCACCACAGATAGGCTCCCACCACACGTCGCACCACCATTCCCAGTTGGTGCCGTCGCGCTTAACAGGTTCGATGTCGACGGCGGTGGTGTTGGTGAGGTTGGCGGAGTGAGTGTCACCAACGGTGATGTTTGTAACGGTAGAGTTGATGGGAGCGGCAGTAGCCATGTGCATACCCATACCCAGGCAGAAGGTCAAGAGAGTAGCGGAGATCTTCATTGTGGATGTTCAAAGTTGATTCTTGTTCGTTGTAGAAAACTCGAGTCCGATATGAAGATACCGTGAGTAGGTAAGTTGGTGAAGAAGAAATGCAAGAAGGGAGTCCAGAGCAGATTTATATATCCTTGAGCGAGGCCTTTTGAGTCATACCAACGATTATCCAGACGAAAAATATCGAACATGCTCATACAAGTCATGGAAATGACCAAGTTCAGAGACATTGCTTTCAAGAATTGCTGTTTGTGACGTTTGTGACACAAAATTGAGCAAGATAGCGACATTTGTACAAATTTCGTCCGCCAAGATTGCCATGCATCCCATATCGAGTCGTAACATCGTAAGCAGCGGATTACATCATCTGCAAGACCATACCGTTCTTTAATGCCTTGATCTCTTCATATCCTAGGGGGTCTTTCTTGTCGAAGGCGTGCGATGCCCTTTCCTGGCGAGTCCATTTTGTGATCTGGAAATGCGTTCCGCCGATTTTGCCACCGCGCCCATATTGTTTGGTATACTTTTGGTACTTTGNAGCATGTCAGTATAGAGATAATTTGATGTACAGAGACTCATTACTGACCTTTGTCTTCCAACCAAAGCGGTCCGCTTTTTTGGGTGGCAACTTGACTTTGCCCTCGATTTGTGAAGACCACTCATCGACGTCGTCGTCGACATCTGTGACACCTTTTTGGGNGATACCAGCCTCTTTCGCAAGAGCGAGGAGGTAGCGGAACCATTGTAGGTTGAAGCCGGCATAATCACCGAGGTCCGAGTCACAACCCTTGCCATCGTCGAGAGGATCTTCTACATCTGTACCCATGTCGTTGGCTGCTTTCACCCAAAGAGACATGACCAATGAGAGGTCTTTGTACTTGGAATCAGGCTTCAAGTCACCGTCTTGATCAATGCGATTTAATCCGGCCAAGAACATGAAGCCGAGCAGACTGTATGTCAACCATGAGCGTTCACCATCGTCGATTCCATGCCATGAATAACTCGGGTCTTCGACGATCCAGTAGACCATTGACTCGAGGATAGTCCAAAGCTCCTCGGTTTTGCCATCCTTGCTGTTCAAGATCTTGTTGAACTCGGCCACGTTGTTTTCGACCACTTCCTGGTAACCGTAACCAGCGAAGTCATTATAGACGTACATGTTGAAGTAGTCGGGGTTGCGGTGCGGAATCTCAATAGTCTCTGCATCCATCTTTCTTGCAAAGGCCTTTCGCATCATGGACCAGCCATCAGTGCGGCTCTTGTCAAAGCAAGCACACTTTCTTTCATTGTGTTCTTTGGCGAATAGTTTGTCTGCTTGGTCTAAGTCGAGGTCATCGTCGTCTAGGTGATGTAGGCGGTAGCGTTCCTTGAACTCGAAACGAGGGGCACAGTTCATGATGTAGGTGTAAGGGTCCTGCTTGATCTTTTCTTCGCTCATCTCATGATCATGACTGCCAGAGTCGGAAGAGTCATTGTTGGGNNTGGTTGCGAAGTCGATTCGGTCTCTTGAACATCTGGTTCTTGTTGAGCTGTTTCGTTCGAGGCNTGCACCAGCAGTAGTTGAGGCATCGGTTTTTGTGCTCTTGGCTTAGGATGTCGAGGCCTCAGCATCGGCGGCTCTCTTCTTAGATCCTTTTGGTGGCATATCTGACGGTAAGATGATGGTCTATGTCAAGAAGAACGAAGCCAATTGAGATACTCCTATGAAGAAAAGACGATTGCGAAGCTGGAGAGCTTGGTAGGTAGGTGTGCCACGTTCTTGTACGCGCACACGCGTAGATTAAGTCACTGACGTAGCTATCCATCTCCTGGACGAGCAGCATCCCGGTACCCTGTTCGTTATGCGCGAACCTTGTCATATGCAATGATTCAAACCCGACAAGATCAACATGCCTCATGTGATGCTGTCTATTGGTCAAATCTGACAAGATAGATGTCTTTGACAAGGTGGAAGATAAAATGATGGTTGCTATGCGAGGCACTGCAGCTCCAAACTGTTGATTGATGGCCGTAGCTTCCCCCAGATCTTTTTTCGCGGCGCGTCTCACCAGACATCATTTTAGCCGCCATGATTTTCCATCCTCGTCGTCGTGCTTGCATGTGAGAGTCAAGTCTGAATAGTGATTGGAAGATTGGACTGCATGCACAACCTATATATCACCTCGTACTCGTTTCAGCCTTGAAAAGACGCAGACATGAATCCGTTTCGGGTTGCTCCTTTGATGTCATGGTCACCGCGGAGTGCGACACTGATTTGTCTGGGGTAAGTGCCAGCCACCAGCACCCGTTGCTGCTGTTCGTAAGCATTTCCCTTCTCTTTTCTCTTCTTCTCCTGTAAACAAACCACTTTCCATACCACTCCCTCTTTGCACTCAAACATCACAATGCCTCCGAAAGGGGCAAAGCTGCGCCTAGGGGCAAGGCCAAGAAAGAACCTCAAGCTGAACCTGCTACCAATGGTGCCACCGAAACCGATGAGACAACAGCTCCTGTCGAGGAGGCGCCTGCTGCTGAGGAGCCCAAGATAGAGGAGCCTGTCGCCGAAGAGACAAAGACGGAGCAACCTGCCAACGAAGTTGCAACCACGACTGAGGAACCTAAGGCTGATGAGTCCGCTGCTGATGCGCCGTCCGAAGCCCAACCTGAAGTCGACGCTGAGCCCACTACTGCACCCAAGGACAACAAGTCAAAGAAGCGCAAGGGAGCTGCTGAAGTAACTGCTGAAACAGCTGCTACTGAGACCAAGTCGGAGGAGAAGAAGCCGTCTAAGAAGCGCAAGGCTGACATCCCACCACCCCGAGAAGGCGAGCGCAAATCTGGTCGTGGCGCTCAGAAGGCTGCACCAACCACTGAGCAACTCCTGAACTATTTGCTTTCTCCCGCCTCCACCGAGCTCTGCCGCCCCGACGACGAGTCTTCGGTGGTTGAGTCGCAGGGTGCAGATTTCAAGACCTACTCCTCCTCTGCCCTGTCTGCTTTCGAAGAACTGATCTGCGCCGTCGTATTGAGCCGTCCTATCAGCCACAAGCTTGGCCTTCGCGCCATCCGCACCATTCTCAACTCACCTTACTCCTTCACCACTCCCTTCGCTATTATCTCTGCTGGCAAGGAAAGAAGGCATCAAGCCTTGAACGACGCAAAGACTCAGCACAAAGACAAGACTGCTGAGCAGATCGGCCTCGTTGCCGATGTAGTCGCCCACAAGTTTAGCAAGAACGACACCGATACCAGCCTCGACAAACTGCGCGAACAGGCTTCTAAGGGCTGGGACATGGAGCGTGATCTGCTGCAAGAGAACATCAAGGGTCTGGGAAAGACTGGTTTGGACATCTTCTTCCGTCGTGTACAGTGGCTGTGGCCTGAAGCCTATCCTTTTGTGGACGAGAAGTCATCGCGTGGTATTGAGAAATTGGGTCTCCCGAAACATCCGGACGAGTTGGCCAAGGTACTCGATAGGTACTGGGCTAAGCTTGACACGAGCAATCTGGAGAAGGGCGACAAGGAGATGCAGAAGAGAAGGGCCTTTGTTGTGATCTGCGAGAGAGCTACTAGTGCTGACTTGGAAGGCAAGTCTGATGCCATCCTCGAAGCCGCCGCCTCCTAGACCAGCTGGTGAGCTCCTGCATAGGGATGAGCTTGAGAAGATGAAATCTCATGGTGCCGAGATGCTGAGATGACGCGATGCTGGAACGTACATATCCCTATATAGTAATCAGCCGTTGCGTATGGATGAAATCATCCGCTGTAGCGCAGATATAAAGATTCATGACATTTTTTCATCTTCGTCATCTCCGTTTCTTGTCAAGGTTTCACAGATGTCTTCGAAGGAGTCTGTTAGGGCACACACCATTCAACCCAGAACTACAGTACAATGTGAAGCTAGCGATAATATCAAAGCAAACACACGGAGAAAATAGTGACCTTGAAACTCATGAATCAGCCACGTGGTGTAAGTCGAGCAAGCAGAACCAGAGATACATAGAAAGCATAGTACTGTTTAACTTGCCTTGTCCAGATCATATCCGCTCAAGAACATAGCAACACCGAGATCTAGTCATCACTTCTCTATGTGTAACATGACCGTGTTTCGACGTATTCCTCTGACTTGTTCCAGGGTGAATATTTTTCCAGTATTAAAGTGTGGAAGGGAACTGACAAGACAAGACGAGGAAGCGGGATGTGAAGATCGATAGACAGGATAAGTGAGTGAGGACGAAACTACAAGATATACCAATACCACCTTAAATCACATGTGATTTGGAGGTAAGTTCGACTTGACAATTGGATCACGCCGTCAGACAGACAACAAAGCAGCCAGAGAAGTAGGAACATAAGTTTGATCTCGTTGATTTCTGTCGTTGGCACCCTGTGGCTGGTGACGAGCTGGGCAAGGGTTGGGCAATAATTTGAACATCTCTGTCGTTGAGTTACGACAATGATAGATCGATAAGTAGTAATGACGCGCAAACAGTTGATAGTTAGGCATTGAGGTATAGTGCCATGAGCTTCGAGAGAGATCGAGGTCTATCTTCATGTACGTCTCATCTGACCCTGAGAGACAAGATATCTGACGTGTTCCAGAGATTTTGCAGATTATTTTTGCTCAGATCTTGAGACCACGCTCAGTGTATCCCAACGTGTTTCAGTCAATGATATAGAGGACTTGCTCGGTATTGTTGGATGTCGCGGCCTTGCCAACTGCTCAAACGTCATGAGGCGCAACCCCACACCTGGCAGATCCCCCACGGGGTGAGGGGACGATCTGGGGTACCTCTTCTTTTGTTTTGTTCAAGCGGTCCAAAGGAAGCAATAATGTGTCTTGGGAAGCTGAACGAAATGGGAAGTACGTTCCAGCTGCGTTGATCAGGGCAGATATGAGGGTACAAGTTAATACTGTGGAAGCGTTTTCGGGTGCGGGAAAAATGCAGACAGGAAACGGTGATAGGAGGTACATTGTCAGCGATCGTCCATACTTTTGTCCAAGACTGTCCAAGGGTTGATGTCTTGTGAGGGCGGCTCGGCGGGAGTAGCGGTTCTATACGTGCTGAGTAGGTGAATTATAGGTGGGGTAATCACTCAATACTAAGAAACGGATACCTGTGATTCGGTAGCGATGATACGGACATACAATCGAGCCAATACAAGCTCTCGAATCCAAAGAAGGATCTCATGGAGTTTCGGACTGACAGCCTTGGTGACATAGAGGGCGCACGTAAGCTTCCATATGTTAACCCTCCAGCTCGTTGCTGTTCAGATCGTCAAGCCCATTTCTTGCTTCAAACCTGTTTTTGCCTACTCTTATACACAACTTACAGCTCTTTTTGGAAGCTTGCTATACATAGCAGGTCAGCCTATACTACAACAACATGAGCAACCGCCACCCAGACGAGCAGAGCTCAGGACAATGGGCGAATGCTCAGACGTCGAGGCCGTACGAAGAATGGTCCCAAACTTCCACGAGACATGACAGACAACTCTCAGGAACCACTCAGCATCCTGATGCTGTGCAGAGCCAATCTCATGACCCGGATGATGACCCCATGAAGTTGAAGAAATGGTCGACAAGACCAGGTGACCATGTTGAGCATACCGGTGTACATGGCGACGCAGGTGGTGCACCCTTGGACATCCACACAACCACATCATCGTCTCAAGGCTTGCAATTTACCAGATCAAGACTGTTAGGTCTTCATCCACACGCACCAATTGCAGAGGAACATGACGCGACAGAATACTCCAGCTTGTGGTGGAGTAAAGTGCGATTAGCATTGCGAGAGCCTTTCGCAGAGTTCTTTGGTGTTATGATCCTCGTTCTGTTTGGCGATGGCTCAGTAGCTCAAGTGCTTTTGGGTGCTGGCGACAAAACAGCCCCTGGCGGAGACGGTTACGGAAATTACCAATCCATTTCATGGGGATGGGCGTGAGTACTCCTCAGAGTCCCTTCTCTGTATAAGTCGCTGACGATGATCACAGTNATCGGAGTGATGCTAGGCGTCTATGTCGCGGGAGACTCAGGGGCGTATTTGAACCCGGCAATTACCTTTACCAACTGCCTTCTCCGCAAGCTTCCATGGCGAAGATTCCCTGTGTACTTTCTGGCGCAGTTTCTCGGAGGTCTAGTCGCTGCTGGCATCATATACGCCAACTATGTCAACGACATAAATGCTTTCGAGGGTCATGGCATCAGAACGGTTCCTCCAAGCCCGACGGCAACAGCAGGAATCTTNTGCACATACCCCAAGGCGTATATGACGAAGGCTAGCATGTTCTTTTCCGAGTTCATCGCCAGCACCATCCTAATGTTTGTCATCTTTGCTCTCAAAGACGATACGAACAACGGAGTATCACAAGGCGGTGGCAACTGGTTTCCTCTGGGTCTGTTCTTCTTGATCTTTGGAATTGGTGCATGCTTCGGTGTCGAGACAGGATATGCCAGTGAGTACAGAGGAGCATCACTCATGAATCGTGCTAAACATTTNGCAGTCAACCTGGCTCGTGACTTTGGACCACGTTTGATGAGCTACGCGCTCGGTTACGGGCATGAGGTGTGGAGTGCCGGAGGATATTACTTCTGGATACCAATGGTGGCTCCTTTCTGTGGCTGCGTATTTGGGGGACTCTTGTATGATGCCTTCATCTATACTGGACCTAGCCCGCTGAATACGGAGTGGCTAGGCTTAAAGGACGTAATGCACCCTCGCCAGGCAATTCAGGAGAGGATCCGGGTGCAGAAGAAGGAGGGAATCGTTTAGATGTTGACGACTGAAGTCGAAAATGAGTTGGAAGGACATGATTACGGTAGCATAATGGCAAGAACCGCGTTTTTGAATCATCGCTTCCTCCCTGTGTGCTAAAGCGTGTTACGTGTAGCTGTAACAATGCACAATACTGCTAGGAAACAGGACAGTGCTCGTTGAGGAGCGACAACTTACCAGCTCTGAATGGACACGCCTCTGATATTGTAAAGAATCGTGCCTCTTTATAGTGTACTTTTGATCTCTACATAGACGGAGTGCATGTTGAGAAAAGAAAAAGGCGGTCGGTCAAGTTGACGCGCGCCAAGGGTTGTGCAGTGGTCATCAAAAACGCGCCAAAGTTTGGGCAGGCGCGACGCGTGCACTCGAAGCCAGTCCGCGTGCCTCGAAACTCCCTGCACCCGCGTCGAACAAGGATACTCCCAAGACGAGTAGAACGCCATTCTTTGACTTTGTATAGCACTGTACAGCTGTGCTCGAGTATCCCATCTGATCCCGAGCTCTCTGAACGACAGAGTATGAGACATTACGACATCCCTACAAAACGCGTCACAACCACGACTTAGATTGAACTACGACTCGCACAAGGAACCGCCATTGACCTTCACGCATGACTTGAAAAGACAAGTCCTTCGCCATGTATCTTCCGAGGACGCTTCTCTCACATCTCTACACGCACCTGGTCCGCAACACCCACCCACTTTCACCACCAGTCTTGATCCTCGTATCCCTCGACCCCGATGCCCTCTGCGCGTGTCGAATCCTCACAGCACTACTCAAACGCGACTATATCCCTCACAAAGTCCAACCAGTAGCTGGCTACAGTGAATTGGCTGCTGCCGGCAAAGATCTTGTGCTACCTCTGACGCGTCAACATGGCGGCCAGGGTGGTATTGTCGTCTGTCTAGGTGTGGGTGGTTTGGTTGACCTGGAAGAGATGCTCGGCCTGGATGGAGGCGAAGACCCCGAAACACAGATGAACATGTATGACCATGGTGTTGAGGTCTGGGTCGTCGATGCAAGAAGGCCCTGGAACTTGCAAAATGTCTTTGGAACTGGAGCCATGGCTCCACCAGAGGATCAAGATACTGGCATCACCCCAGCGATTGCCAAGAGGAGGAGAGGTGTTGATTCGGGCAAACTTCTGCCGTCCTACACACCGGGAAGAGGAGGAATCATCGTCTATGACGACGGTGATATCGAACAAGAGTTGAACGCTGAGAAAGAGGCCTTCTGTGCTCTGCAAGACATGCCCGACATCGACGAAGAAGCAGACGATGATGATCTTGATGCAGAAAGTGATGAAGAAGATGCTGTCGAAGATTCACAGACACGAAAGCGAAAGACATGGAGTGATGATGATGCAGAGGAAGAGGCCATTAGCGATGACGATGATGGTGATAGACCATATCAAAGGCGGCGAAGTAACTCGGTGAGTCTCCTCCAAGACAAGAGGAACAAGTCGCCATACTGACCACGACACTAGAATACGTCAATACCTGCCACCCCTAGATCACCAGCATCACGACATGAACGATTGGAAATGTCCAACCACCCTTCATCATCACAGCTTGGACCGGTCCCTTCATCACCACCGCTACAACCCAGAGAGCCGTCAGCACGTTCACTGCGTCGTAAGCTTCTCAAGATGAAGCGAAAGCACGAAGCCGTACTGGAAGCATACTACTCGTTAGGAACATCGTCATCTGAGCCAATATCTTCAATGCTATACTCGCTCGCTTCTGAGCTTGGTCGTGAAGACAACGATCTTCTGTGGCTAGCCTTGGTGGGTATGTCTTCCACTGAGCTCTACGGCAGATCNAAAACAACAAACTCCTCTACGCGTCAGAACCCATGGAATATGAGCCGAGGAGACCAGATTCGTGATGTGCTTCGGGATGAAGTACGACGTCTCAACCCTGTACCGGCTTCAGACATTGCTAGAGAAAGAGATGAAGCTGCAGGCATTATACCCATACATGCACGCTCACCAACAGACACTTCGATCCGTCTGTCACCAGAGCCACGCTTCCTTCTAATCAGACACTGGTCGCTGTACGAGAGCATGCTTCACTCACCATACCTGTCATCACGGCTGCATATCTGGTCCGATGCTGGACGAAGGAGACTGCACAAGCTTTTGGCAAAGATNGGNGTGTCTCTCGCGGAGGCTGAAAAGGGTTACCAGCACATGGACATGGACCTCAAGCGTGGTCTCCGAGAACGCATCCTGAAGTTTGCTCCTATGTATGGACTTGACGGGCTGGTACCACCAGAGAACAGCCACCTTCACAGGCATGAAGGCTGGGGCTTCGTTCGCTCGTGGGGTTGGCAAGCCTGTCTCTCAGCTGTCGATGTCGCCGTTATTACAAGTGCCATTCTCGAAGTCGGCACGGAACAGTCNTTTGAACTCATCTCAGCAACCACACCACACTCCGATTTCCGCATGAAGGTCGTTTCTTCGAACTACAATTCACGTATGCAAGCACTGCCCACACCACCCACATCACACAATGGCGACTCATCACCCTCAGCATCTCAACTCGAGCACGAAGCCTCAATCCTGGATCCTGACTGGACAACTCATCGTTTCTTTGCTGCTTACGACGCGTTATCTCCTTCATCAACTGCTCTTCAACTCTTGCTGTCCCACGTACCCACTGCACAGCACCTTCACAGAGCTATACTTCGCACCGGCAGTACCTTGATCTCAAAACACCAGATCCGTCACTTACGCGCTTTCCGTATGGGCGTCGTGCGTGAAGGACCAGACGTGGCTCTCTTCACTCACCCCGGTGCTCTAGTAAAGCTCGCCACCTGGCTCTCCGAAGCCATCTCAGTGTTGGAAGCAGANAAGGGAGGCAAACGCACAGCAGACAACGCACTTGTTCTTGCAGCTCTTGATGAGCGCAGAGGCGTCTATGTCGTTGTCGGTCTGGGCGGTGGAGACGCAGCATCAGGACGTGTTCGCAGCCGCGCAGAACAAAAAGCCCGCGCCGACAAGAAAGCAGCCCGTGAAGCTAAGAAGGCAGAAAAGAAAGCTCAAAAATCTGTTCTGCGCGCTCAACGCAAACAAGAACGTCGTGAGCGCGACGAGGCAAATGGCATNTTTGCCGAATCTGATGATGAAGATGCTTCTGATGCTGAATCACTTGACTCTTCTGATTCCTCGGACTCGGAAGATGATAGCGAAGATGAAGAAGAGGCAGAGAAGAGAAAGCAGAGGGGATACGGAAGTAACAAGTTTGGCTCAGCATTCCAGGAAGTGGTCGAGGAGACTGGAGCTAGAGTAAGGATCGATTCATTCGAACACGAGGTTGTCGAAGTCAAGAAGGAGGATCTGAGTGGGTTTCTGGAGGCATTGAGTTTCAAGGGCGTTGTAGGATGAGCTTGTGGATGCATTAGATGCATGGTTCTGGTTTCTGATGTTGCTGTTGTTGCTTTCGATATGGCGTTGTTTCGCGCCTTTGTATTGCTGTTGATGAAAGATGATATCGTTGCTGTTTGCATTGCAATGGCATGAAAGGCATAGGCGTTGATACTGTTTGGTTTGTTTCGCTAGCATGGATAGCAGAGTCTCCTAGATAGTTCGTTCTTACTTCAATTGCCCTGTTAAACAGTCTTCGTCTCCCTCTCTATTGTCGTCTTGAAACTTGATTCAATTTACTTGTGATGCAAGAAACTCCTAATGAACGGTGCTTTTGATAATATGTACCTGCGATGAATGACTACGACTCTTCTATACTTTCTTCTGTACTCATTTGCTGTTCAATACAAGCGCTCCTTCGTCGTCCACCTTCGCTAGGTCTACGATATCTCAAGCGATAGGGAGGCGAATCCCTGCAGATTGAAGGGTACTCCAAGCCCATGCCGAAATTGCCCGGCGAACGAGGAACATACATCGAGAGTCCCGTTTGCGGATCGATTTGCGATTCCCACCATCCCTTGTTGGGTGCACTGACACTTCTACCTCTTTTCATGCCGCACAATTGAGTGGCAGCCTAAGCGACTACATCGTTAGCCTGTTCCTCTGCCTTGTCCTCTGTTTTTGCTCGCTCTTGTCGAGCTTCTGGCCACTTTGGTCGTTTCTCACTGTTTCCAGTACAGAAGCGAGCTCCCGCAAGAATCTGGTGACTTCGTCTTCGGTGCCGACGGTGATGCGCAGACAACCCAAACAACCCAACTCCTTGCCACGGAAACGGACGACTACACCGCGAGACTCGGCGAGTTGTTCGTAGACGGCGAGAGCAATCTCATTGCTGGGTTCGTTGGAGGCATTCAGCATTTCGACAAGGAGGAAGTTGCTTGCTGCGCCGCCACGGAAACGGCCAATACCGGGGATGGAAGGCATTTCCTTGAGCATACGGTCACGCTGAGCAATAATCTTGTCACGGTTCTGACGCATGACAGCTAGGTTCTTGGGTTGCAAGGCAGCAATAGCGAGTTGAGAGGTGGGGTTTGAGATGTTGTAGGGTGCCTTGAGNNGGGAGTTGAGGAGGCGGGCGATGGGTGGAGAGGTGAAGGCAGCTCCTAGACGAATTCCAGCGAGACCAAAGGCCTTGGAGAGAGTTTGCATGACAACGAGATTGGGCCAGTCATTTACCCATTCGGCTAGAGAAGTGCCGTTGGGGGCGAAATCGATGTAGGCTTCATCCAGCACGACAATGCCGTTCCATGAGGGGTGTTTGAGGACAGCTTCGACGTCTTCCTTGCGGACGAGATTGGCGGTTGGGTTACCTGGCGAGCAGATGTATACCATCTTGATGTGGGCGTCTCGTTCGAGGATCTCGTTGATCAGGTAGGGTTGGAGGGCAAAGTTGTTGTTGACATCTAGCGGGGCTTTGATGACGGCGACATCGTTGACTTGGGCAGACACAGAGTACATGCCGTATGTGGGAGGACATGTGAGGATCTTGTCTTTGCCGGGCGTGCAGAAGGCGCGGATAAGGGCATCAATGGCTTCATCGCTGCCGACACCGACGAAGAGGTTTTCGGGAGTCAAGTTCTTTTCTGTGTGGGTGTGGGTATTGCGGAGGTTGCAGAGCAGTTGCTTGAGCTCAGGTTGGTGNNGCTGTTGAGTCTCGTCAGGTATAGGACTTGTGGAAGGTGTTGAGGCACGGCTTTACGGGTCTGGGTAGCGATTGAGGCCGAGAAGGTCGACCTCGACGCTGGCATCTCCATTCAAGGCATTCTTCAGCTTGCCAGAAGCACTGTCAATTGCCAACCCGGGACCATAGGCGTTCTCATTGGCGTCCAGAAGAATATTTGTGCCATCATCTTTGTAGTNCGCTACAGTGAGTCACCCGTCAGTGAACTGGCCGACGTGGGAAACAGTAGGTTTGACGCACTCTCTGGCACATCTGTAGGGCTCGAGGGCCAGGATGTTGGGACGAGCACACGTCTCGAGGTTGAAGGCGTTTACTTGTGCAGGCATTGTGAATTGATATGTGAGTGAGGGGAGAAACAAAAGATGGCTATCTCAACTTAGAGCTTCGAGATCGGCATGTGAAAGTTGGAGTCATGGCGGCGCTCGGGTTCGGGTCAAGAACGTCAGCGGGCCGAAGCAACAGCAGCCTCATCCTTCTCTAGAAGGAGCGGCCGCCGGATATTCCGTTTCCTGCCTGACCTGCCTGCCTGCCCTATCACATGCTTGAATACTGACAGCTAATATCCTTTTCTTCTGCTAGACTCTGAATTTCATTCAAAATTTCTTCCCTTCATCATTTCTAGTCCCTGCATTTTGTGTTGTTGAAGTCTGTTTTCTAAACCTCACTGTCAACAGTTACATCATCCTGCGCCGGCACTTGAAGACCGTTTGAGCTGCACCTTACGCGACACGTCCGCCGTCATCCTGGATCCTCGCGCATACGACCTTCTTGTTCATTAGTCTGAGACCAAGCTCAGGACATCATGGCGTCCACACAACCCATACCCGTGACGCGGGTCATATCTCCATCACCAACACCCACAGAATCATCATCCGCACGCGACAGCTACTTTTCCTCCACAACCAAGAACCGCAATGGCCGCATCTCCAGTCCGGCTCCCATCGCAGAGTCGCCAGAGTCCTCAGATCCAGAAAGCAGCCGCGCCAGACCGCGAAGCCGAAGTCCCCAGATCCGACGCAAAGAGTCGTCAAAGAAGACCGTCAAATCACCGCCTGAACCTATAAAAACAGATGGTCATTTGGACCCGAGTAGTGCGGGCATGGGCTCGAGTTACTGGCGCAACCTGAGTCGTAGTCCGAGTCCCCTGGGCTTGATTCCTCTGCATCGCGAATGGCGTACCTTCATACACAAACACGAGATACCCAGGAAGGCTTTGCATGTCTCTATCGGTTTCTTCACGCTGGGCTTGTTCGTCTCTGGTGCCCAGACCAGTGCTATTCATCCTCCCCTTCTGACCGCTCTCATACCCATCTTCGCCGTTGACTTTGCTCGTATGCATTATCCGTAAGTCTCTCGAACTCCTCTTCCATCTCGTCTGGCAAGAAAGCTGATGTAGTCCAGCCCACTCAATCGCCTCTACATCCGCGTCCTCGGAGCCTTCATGCGCGAATCAGAAGCTCACGACAAATACAATGGCGTCATCTCCTACCTTGCGGGCGCCTGGGCTGTCCTTCGCTTCTGTCCCAAGGATATTGCCGTCATGTCAATCTTGCTCCTTTCCTGGTGCGACACAGCTGCCTCTACTTTCGGACGTCTTTGGGGCCGCTATACACCCCGCGTACGCAAGGGAAAGAGTCTGGCTGGCACCATTGCCGCCTTTGTTACTGGTGTCGCTGCTGCAGTGGTTTTTTGGGTTGTCATTGCACCCAAGGTGCCTGCAGAGTGGAGTACAGGAATAAATGCTTTCGCCTATGATGGTACTTTGAGTCTGCCACCTATGGCTAGAAATTTGCTTGGTTGGAAAGAAGCAGAAGTTACCGTGTCAGGTAGTGTGGCTACTGCTATTGTCGCTGTCGTGTCGGGCCTTGTGGCTGCGGTCAGTGAGGCTATTGATGTCTTTGGCCTCGACGACAACTTGACTATTCCTGTACTTTCGGGTATTGGACTGAATGCTTTCTTCTGGGTGTTTGGCAACGGCTTGCCATGAGACAAAAGATGGAGATTTCGTGGATTAATAGGCAGGCACGATGGCCGGCAAGGATGATATACCACGATATGGGATTGGAAAGGGGTTAAGGACAGGATGAGCAAAGACGAGACCTCAAGCAGGCAACGATACAAAGAATCTTATTATTAATGTAGAATATTCACAATTCCTCCTCTTGAGGGTATACATCCTTACACAACAGTTTTAGAATGTCCTCGGTATTATCAAGCTCGAGTCTACTAGTCTCTAGGTTATGTACTTTAGTAGTGATTACCTCCTCTTCTTCCCGTCGCCGCTAAAGTCTTAAAGTGCTTTGGTTACAAGGTCTATATCCTTATAGGTCTCTTTCTCTACTTTATCGGTGCCATAGTATTATAGTTGATTGCCTACTTTAGTTCTGCTTCCTATGCTTCTGTTTCTTTCGGCGGTTACTGTAAGATATTGTAACCTGATAGAGTTGGCAAACATCTACTGTTATATGCTTCTAAGTTCCCGATTCGGTGGATGGTGTGTTTGTTGGGCTTCGTATAGTACAGTATGGTACGAGACAAGATAGAAAAAAAGAAACTATTGGAGATTTGCAAAATTGGTACACTTGGGTGTTCGGCGGGTGGTTGCCTCTGCAATTTTTCCCGTGGATCTATCAATGTGGTGCAGTTGGTGCGAATTTATGAGGTGATTGATTGTAATGTGATTGTTCTGAGTTTGAAGGATCTCGAGTGTGCGATAGCCATAGTCATCAGTATTGGGAGTGTGACAAAAGCAAAAAGTAGGACTTCCCAATTCATCCTCACCTTCCGTCTGCCACTTCGCTCTAGCGACGGCGTATCAGTCAGTAAGTGCGAAATGATCAGCCCGTAGCGGTCTTGTCTGGGATCGAACCAGTGTTGTGGCACAAAGGCAAAGCCAATGCGCCAAAGGACCGCTACAGTGAAGAAATGCGATGTCGTTGTTTATCATCACATCTCTGATGCTGAAGTTGTCTCAGTGACGCTTGAGCTTCTTCTGCAGAGTGTTGTGTATTGATTGGTTTTCATATCTTGATAGTTGATTGGATATTCTAAGGTCAAAAGGGACGGAAAACATTTGGTTTTCAGGCTAGTTGCCATTGTTCTCTGGCGTTGTTTCCATAAGCCGCCATTGGGTCGGCATCATCATCATCATCATCATCGCTGTCGATCTCTTTGTCGTTCTCCTCCAGTGGTACTGTCGTCCAGGCTGGCTTTTCCTCGGCTCCAAACGTGAGGGTGAACCAATTAGGTCTTGCGATGGACAGAAGCATTAAAATTGTGAGTGGCAGCATGGTGAGCAAGAGGTAGCGTGAGCTGTGAGCATCACGGCATGACTGCATCAAGATTTCTTGTGTTTTCGTGAATGTGGTAATATCAGCGGAGCTCGATAGTAACGGAGCGATCTGACAGGTCCAGCTTTCGAGCGTATAGCTTCCATCAGTGCTAGAGTTTCCAAAGATTGTGTTGTTTGCGGCACCACTGGTTGAGAAATCCTGTAGGTGATCTGTAACATTATCGCTGGCGAGATTCTGGATTCCAGTAACGACTGTAGCGTACGAGACTCCAAAGANCGCCAAAAAGGAGAATCCCCATGCCATAAATGTATCTCTTCCACCCGTAGCATTGATCCATCCGGTCAGATTGAGGTTCCTAACGCCTTGAATGTGAAACTTCAAGACTTGGCCTTNTGGAACCTTTTTCGCACCTTCGTCCAGCGCAAGAAGCTGAAAGACAATGTGATGCTTGGCTTTGTCGATAACGTAAGCTCCAGCACATGCAAGAGCTAGTAAGCTGCACCAGAAGACCGAGTTACGGCCATGGTCGTAGAGAGAAGCGGATATGTATGCAGTCGCGATACTGGTATTGCTCTGACCAGGAATCTCAAGAGTGAGAGTCTGGTTGGAAAGGAGTATTGAGAGATCTCGTGTCAATGGCAGCGGTCTATTGACAATATCGCATGTCCTGAATCCGAGGAGAAAGATAGGAATACACAGAAGTATCCGGAACAAAGATGCCGTAATTTGAAACGCCATAGCACTGGCTACTATACTTGCAAAGAGATTGTGTATGCAGAGGTATTGTGCCCAGATGAAGGAGTGGTTTTCAGGTTGAGGTTCTTGAAGCCTGCTTGTATTGGGAAATCTCGTATTCGTGAAGGATCGCACTTGCCGAGTTTGCCGGTCTCCATGTTTCTTCTGCCTTCGCTACTTCTCTCATACCGCCATGAGAGCACGTATACAGTCACAACATGAACGTCAAGCGGTATATTCATGCCCTTGTTTCCGAAGAAGTGGTGGCTTCCTCAAGTGGAGGTTCTTGGAGTATGATCGAATGGGGTAATCTCGGGTTCAGGATGCTCGCAACTTTCCCCACTTGCCGAACTTGAAGTTGCTTTCTTCCCGTCGAATCTGGTATGAGAGGAATTACAGGCTTATCTATATTGCTGTGATAATACGTGTCAAGAAGATCCAGTGCATTCGCGACAGCCATCAAGTCCGAAGATTTGCTTGCCAGACTTATCAAGTTACGTTTCAACTCCTATCTAGATTCAGCCGTGTCTGAAGCCACCCATCATGGAAGAAGTCTTGCAAAGCCCCGAACTTCTTACACGGATTCTTGAGATGATCCGAGACGACGAGTGGGTGTTCTACCGAAGTTCACTGGCACCCTTCGCTCGCGTCAACTCTATGTGGCAAGAGATTGTACAGCGCATTATTTGGCAAGCACCNCCTATGGAAGCTCTTGCTAGCATCAGGAAACGACGTCGACAGAACTTCGCATCTTACGTCAANAAGCTGGATTTTGGTGGCAACAAGGATTCCACATTACATACTCTCTTCGCTGGTCTGCAGTTCCCGAGACTGAAAAAAACTTACACTGGGCAACTTTCCAATGGACTTTAGGAACCATCAATATGTAGGCACNNACAAGATGGTTGGAATTCAACAGTCTCCCAGTACTTTGGCCCTGCACTCGTAGATCTGACAGTACTTCTGTGGGACTCAATATGCACTGAAAGCTTCTTTGCGCATATCACAGAGAAGTGCCCAAGGTTGAAAATTATACGTCTCGCGAGAATTGGTGGTAAACTTCAACCTGACGAGCTTCTGAGCTTCTTCCAAGCCTGTAGTCATGTTGAGCAGATCGACATAAATCTTGGATCAGAAGCCAGGAGTGCCCTGATCACCGGTGACCTGTTGCTCCAATTCTCAAAAATGACGAAGCTCAGGGTCCTCGAGATCGATAACTGTCTGGACCGGTCAGGTTTCTTTCATACGATCCTGACCGAAAACGATATCCCTTTCCAGAACTTGACATCGGCTGCGCTCAACGTAAGTCTCCCTACCATCCATCCATTNCATTCAACTCGGCTAATTGTTTACCAGGCAACATCGGCAGTGATATCTGCTGCAGCACATGTACTGCCAAATGTTGAGAAGCTTAGCTTATGCCTCGAAGATGGAGACGGATCGTGCTTCAAAGGTTTGTCAGCCATGCCAAGCTTACGTAGATTGACAATCTTGGGAACCAAAGCGACATCGCTGAGCCGACAAGAACTACTTGCGTTACGAGATCTGAACCGACTCGAAAGGCTTTCTGTGAAAATGTCAGATACAGCTGGTGTTGATGAAATGGTAGCGCCACATTTCACAAACTCCGACTTCGATCTTATGGTTTCTGGACTGCCTGAACTAAAAGGATTTACGTTCGAGGTCTCTTGGGAGCCGCGTTCATTTTCAATCTTGACGAGTCTCTCTAGGCACTGCCCCAAGTTGAAGAAACTTAAATTGGACGGATCATATGACCTGCAGGCTCTAAACGACATACCCGAAGTCATGTTTCCAAATCTGAAGTATCTCAGGATAGACAATTGTGAAGTTCCTGGAATTCCTGTTCGACTTACCCCTTTACAGATGGGTCGTCTTATAGACAATCACGCGCCAGTGCTCGAGGATCTGGATATGACAGTCGATGACGACGACAATCGAGTCACACTCGCCTGGCACAACATTCGTGCTTGATTCTCCGAAGATTCAACGTTGGATATTCCCCAGGCTTGGAGAGCAGCGGTAGGGGTATTCTAGTTCAGTGCACCTCTAAGGCAACACAGGCAACCAGAATCGTCTTATCGAATCTGGAGCAGGAGTTCATCGATGGTAGCTTAGTGGCTATGCCCAGTGCATACTGATAACAGCCATGCATATCGCTTGAGCGTTCGAAGCAGTCAATTCCCTTTCTTCGTCCCAGTCGACCTCTGTTTGAATCGAGGCAAGAAACTGGGTTGTTGATTTCGGTTTACTGAGTGGTTTAATATGGAAGAATCTCGGCTCGGAAGTTTATGTTCCCGAGCGTTCAATCTGAATGCTCAATTCTCCTTTCTCTTCGTGTCTTCCAGAACGACTAGATTCTTTGGCCTTACGATAACCATGGACCAAGTGCTGAGCAGCCCGGAACTTCTACACCAAATATTTACGTTTTTGCGAGGATGAAAAGCCTGCGAGACCTTTTCTATCTGCTGCATCGCGTGTCAATCGCACATGGCATGAGATTGTTACACAGGTGCTGTGGTGGCGTCCACCTGTAGAAGCGCTGGCTAGCATCAAAAGATCCCGCCGACAATTCTATGCCTCACACATAAACATTCTCGACTTTGAAGACAATAAAGACCCTACGCTACATTGCTTGTTCCAAGGCCTGGACTTTCCGATGCTGGAAACCCTCATATTCGGCAACTGCGACGGGATACAGGATGGATGGGAGAGTCCGATATCTCACTACCTAACACCCAGAATTCGGTGTTTCAGCCTGTACTCCTGGGACGGCGCTTGCTCTAATGACTTTTGACAGAAGTTGCACAGAAGTGTCCTAGGCTGCAAGAAGTCGAGTTGTTCAAGGTGGGCACCCAGATCAACGCCGAACAACTCTTTGCATTTCTCAGTCCTATGACTCAACTGAGTACCGTTCATCTAGGTTTCCTGCATCTCGAGGGCCATTGTCAAGTGACTGGCGACCTTTTGATGCACCTCTCTCAATTACAAACGCTCGAGGACTTCTATCTCGGTAATTATCTGCATCAACCAGAGTTATTCGAAGCTGTTAGACAACAGAACAAGACACCTTTTCAGTGTCTCAAACGCATCGGTCTGAATGTAGGTGCATCGAGCGAGTTCATTGTATCTGTAACTTCCTTTGCTAAATCTAGTCAGGCAACATCGTCTGTAATATCCGCGGCAGTTCTTGTATTTCCTGTTGTTGAGGATGCTTATTTCAACATTTTGGATTCCAATGGGCTTTGTCTTCAAGATCTCGTCTTGAAAAGGATCTGCAAAGTCTCCGCATTGCCACACCCCGAGATATGATTTTTGCTCGAAAAGATCTACTCGCATTGACCGCTCTTAAGAAGCTCCGGTCCATCACGATACGACCGTTCGATGACAAGAGTAAGAGTCCCTTCGTGGAGGACTTCAGCGATTCAGATTTCGATTCTCTGGTGTCGGCCTGGCCAGATCTCGAGTCAATGGAGTGGTACATGCGCTGGGACAAACGCACCATGGCTGCACTGTCTAGTTTGTCAAAGCATTGCCCCAAGTTAGCATGCCTAACGCTAAAAAGTGCATTTGAGCTTCAGATGCTCAACAATTTGCCGGCTCCCCTATTTCCTCGACTGCGAGAACTGGCGTTAGGAGATTGGAGTGTGCGAAGTAACCAGACTCGTCTCACGCCACTACAGATTGCTAGGCTGGTTGACAATCATGCGCCCAATCTGAAATCACTGAGGTTCACCCGTGTCAACGCTAGCCCGGAACTGGTATCAGCTTGGGAGAAATTGTGACTTAAATTGGCGACAGTTACTGTAGTCAGACCTTGGAGTCCAATGTACAAAAGACTTTACTATAATATCACACTGTGACCAAGCAATCCTTCAAGTAGGTCTCAGCGATCTCAGGAGCGGACAGGTGACAAAGTACTCCCACATATCCATCAGGTCGTACAATGGCGATCGCTCCTTCCTCCTTCAAGATGCCATAGACATCATAAGCATCTTCTTTCTTCGCTAGTCCATAGGTTCTCATTTCCGCGAGTTTCTTGACGTCCGACGGAATTTGGGTCCACTCAAATCTCTCCTTGATTGGATGCAAGACCACAAGATCTAGTGTACCAGCGGGATGGCTTCTCATCATGTTAGTACATGCCTGTAGTGCTGCCTGAGATTTACCAGCTGGATCAAGAAGATCTGTGCTGGTGAGTACCAAGATGCGGTAGCGTCCGTGGGATGGAAGTTNCTGTGGTTCTTAGCATTGATTTTCATAATCAAACACAAAACGTAGAAGGTCGTGCTTACCATCATGCAACTGACGGGTAGTGTTGTCAGCATAGCGCTTTAGCTCAACGTTCAATAACCTTCTGCCGGTTGTGAGAGCACCATAGAGAGGGTCTCCTCCAGCGGTAACCATGTTCACAGACTCTTGAGCAGTCCGAACAAGCTTACTAGGTTTGTACTCAAGGCCGCAGCCGCTGGTAAACCCACTCCCGTCGCGGAACACTTTTAAGAACTCATCGTGTGTGAGTCCTCCTGTGTCAGAGTCGCCTGAACTCATTTTGCCAGAAAACATGTGTGAAAACTTGGCATCGAATTCGATAAGCTGACGAGCAGTGTCGACGCGCTCTTGCTCAAAGGTCTCCAGAACCGAGTCTGCACTGCTATCGAGAGACTGAGGTGTCAAACCAAGGATAGAGTGTGCTAGCTTCCAGGACAAGTTGTAGCTGTCCATCATGCTGACGTTCATGCCTTGACCTGCTTTCGGACTATGCGTGTGACATGCNNTACACTTTGATCAGTTTCTTCTCTACGCTCCTTGACGTACTCATCACGTACCGTCTCCCACAATGAAAATTCTATCGACCCCATCCGGCGTTCTTGAAGAGAACTTTGGTGTCATTCTCTGACCAATCTGGTAAGCAGCGTACCAGTCTGGAGCAGTCCNCTCCCTGATCTTGATCTTGTATGGTGCGAATACCGCGTTTGCCTGCTGGAAAATGTAATCAAGAGTAACCTCAGCACGCTTCTTCTTGCTGGAGTTCTTCTTTTCGTCGTCAGGTGTTGTCGTACGGTCTGCTTTTGCATCGACGTCACCTGGAACCTGAACATAGAGGCGAGTAAGATACTCTCCAGTAGCGATCTGCTCTCTCGGAATAACCATGATGGAACCTGCTTCAGAGTGCACCGCTGAACGGTTGCGAATGTCTGGAAAATCTGTATCGGCGACAAAATCACAAACACCCCAGATATGGTCGGATGTTTCTCCTTCCAGCGAAAGTCCCATGGCTTTTCTGACTTTTGAATGTGCACCGTCGCCTCCTACCAGATACTTTGTGCGGACCGAGCCTGGGACACGAGTACCGTCTTCAAGCTCGTGCTCGTAATTCACAAGGACGGGGTATTCTGGATGGTTGACTGCGTCAACTGTGTAATCCACAAAATGATGAGATCTTCGGATGGTATCCTGAGGTGCGTAAAGATTGAGGTTTTCTTGAAGAATTCTCTCGATACGTCCTTGATGGATAGTAACTTCAAAAGGAAAGCGTGCCGGAACATTGACATCAGGCACAAAAGAGGTCCGTTCGATACCACTCTTGCCGTCAGCTGCAGGGTTCCAGAAAGCTACTTCTTCCATGTGGCATCCTTCGGCGATGATCTCTGAGCCTATTCCAAGACTTTGGAAGACTTCAAGTGTACGGGGTTGGAGACCATCAGCTTGTCCTGCTTTCAAAGTGCCTGGTTTTGAGTCTAAGCAAAGTAGTGAAGATCCTGTGATTCCATATCTGGCAAGCAAGAGAGTGAGGAAAAGGCCACTTGGCCCTGCCTGTATTGAATTGTTAGTGTTAGCTGATTGAAAACAGGTTTGAACACTTACACCGATAACAACGACTTCACGCTCATTTTCAGTCGTTGGCGTCTTATGTGATAGGCGTGGTAAAGGTAAGGCTCGTGATGGTAGAATCCTCAGGTCCCGACGCGCATCAGCGGTCTCTTCAAAGACAGGCATGATGTTATGCTATGGATCTGCGGTGTTCCAAGAAACTAGATCGGGGGCAGCTGAAGTGTAATGTAAAGATCAATTTCCAAAGCAAAAATCTCCTTATTTGATCACGTCTGTAGCCGCAAGTGCGACGAGCTTCCTCGACGACGACAACATCCGAGCCGGAAGTTGTGAGGTGGAGGAGATGCGGAGTTGAGCCGAACTTCCGAAACCATGCTATCTGGCCTTGTGGCCTTGTGTACTGAAATAAGTGGACATTCTGAGATCTTGGAACAAGAGTCATGACAAAACATCCGACCGTTCATAAGGAAGCGATACTCTCGCAAGAACAACAAAAGAAGAGGCTGCAATCAGGTCAGAAAAGGAGTGATACTCGTGCTGCTCGACTTGGTCTGTGCATCTTCCGGACACGCGTCTTCATCGTCACGTACGCGACACCAAGGCCTGCTTGGGTTGGCATAGACCTCGAGATCACCAGATCAAGACATGGTCGATATCCGAGATCAGGATATGGAAGACGGTTCTCCTGCACGACCACTGGGGCCTCGTAATTTACCTCGTGCATCTCACGCTTGTCAACGATGTCGTGAAAAGAAGGGAAGATGCAATCAGCTGCAGCCTTGTGCATCATGCATCCGCGTTGATGCAATATGTGTTTATGGAGAGAGGAGGAAGAAAAGAAGAAGAGTGGGCGACCAGACGGAAGAAAGTTTCGAGCAAGATGATACTCGATTAGAAGCCACTCCCCCTCGACCCTGGCCATCAACTGATGCAAGGTCAAATTCTGTTCAAGCTGCTATTGAGGATGCACCTAGCAGTAACTCTAGGATGGAGACCAGTCCTGAGATGAACATCAACTCTGTGCGCTCAGGTATGTCATTCGTCAAGCTAACATACGATTCCCTAATCTAATGTTCATANGAGGCTACCTTGACCTCGAATGATCGTGACGTGTTAGGCGACGTGAACCAGCGAACTCAAGGAACCGAGTTCTACGGGACATCATCCAATTACGTGCTGCTTAACCAATTATTTTCTCATGTTCGTCAACACAGCCTGGCCACACATACTCCGAGTTCTAGTCGACCAGTAACGAGTCCTAATCAAAGTGGACGTTCCCCTGCCGGAAGAATGTCTCTTATCAATTTGCTTGCACATGAAGATGATCTGGTACCGCCATCAAGAGAAAAGTCACCGCTTCAGACGATTCTCTCCGCGAGCCGGTCATCTGCTCCCCATACATTACCGAGCGATCGTCAGACAAGCAACCGTCCTTCAAGCGGTGTCTCTCCTGCTTCAACCCTGCATATCGCTGAAAGGCGTCTCGAGAAAGCGCTCATTCGCAGCTATATGCACAATTTGCACTATCTGCACCCCATGATTGAATCTGGCACATTCATCAGCCGATACGAGGAACATTTCGCACAATCCAACAACACGCAAGAAAGATCACCTCAATTTCGACACTTTTTTGCTTTGTACAATATTGTTGTTGCTGTTGGAGCACTTGTGGCTGGTTCAGAGCTGAATGACGAGCTTGAACACGAGATCAAGACAGTGCTACATAGCAAGAAAGGTTCTCAAGAGCCCGTGAAGGCTCCACTACAAGGATTGTCCAGGCACTATTTCCGAAAATCGCGAAGTTTACTTGGTGACGTTTTTGAAGCTTGCTCTTTAGAGAGCGCGCAGACACTCTTCTTAATGGTTAGTCCTTTGAATCCTGTATGTGTGCTCATGACTAATGCCGGATAGTCTCTGTACTGCCAGAATTCACTTAAGCCCCACGCGTGTTATATGTATTGCGGCATGGCTGTCCGAACCGCGCTTGCTATCGGCTTACCATCTGAATCAATGTCGAACTCGTCAGAAGCTTGCAAAGCCGCACGAAGAACCTGGTGGTGAGTATTAATCTCCATTTGTGATATATCCCTTGCTGAACAGCTACAGNNGTGTATCTATTCTCACGAGATGTAAGTGGCAAGGCTAATCCGAGAATCATTGTGACTAACGTGTCAATCTTAGNNAGACATGTGCTGCTCCGCCGGGCGCTTTGACAGCCTTGGGAAACCACGCAAGTATCCTATTCCATTACCGCAAATCAAGGTTCGTTAGATGAGGCGACTTCCCTGAAGCTTTTACTAATGCAGAATAAGCCCTCANAGCCCTGGTTCGGACTCCGATGTTGCCTACTTTGAGGGAGCTAATGTCTCCATGATCAACGTCATGGTCGATTTCGCTGTAGTATTGCGACGAATTTCTAAAGACATATATCATTGTCAAAAGGAGGTGACCACCTCTCAGAAGTCAGCTTCGGCTTTCTTCATAGACTCGCTTCTCGACCAGTGGAAGCTCAATCTCGCATCATGGCACAATTTCGACGTTGTCGATTTTCGAGAACCGGAATGGGCCGCAAAACAGAAGCTGGTCCTCCACTTGCGTTATCTAAACGCTCGTGTTATTCTGCATCGTCCGTTCTTATCGGATCACACGACCTGTGACTTGCTGGAGAGGCAGAAGCATATTGATCTATGTCTAGCCGCCGCGAGGAAGACTATCCAAGTCCTATATGATGCCTATGCGAACAAACACTACTTCCGTACCTGGTGGTACAATTCGACTTACACTCTTTACGCCGGAATGATCGTGCTGTATGTCATCATGCTTGGACACAGCACAGTGACCGATGATCTCCTTCTCGAGGATGTCAANAAGAGTCGAGATATTCTAAGATCCATGGAAGAAGCAAGCGTGGCTCGTCGCAGCGCAGACTTGTTGACCGAAGTGTTGGAAGTCGCTACTGCTTATACACAACAGAAGAAGGACACGCGTACCAACATCTCTGCGATGAATCCTGCGAGCGATGCCTGTGTTGACCATACACGTCAGGGACCTTCTGGTTTTCCGAACGAGATCAGTAACACCAGCTTTGGTCAGGATCCGGAAGCATTTATGGCATCTTTGATCGACCCCAATATCCTTCAAGATTTCACCACAGACTCAAACGACTGGGCATGCTTTGGCTTCTCATCCACACTAGAGGGCTTGCAGGGGGTAACCAATGATCAGAACAACGTCTTCTCCGTGGACAGCACTGAGTGGGACAACATTACGACATGATTAGTGTAGCAGCTGTGAAAATGAGGTCTTCGTTATAATCTCAATGTCGCCATTCAGAATAATGGCTAAAAATACACCTCGAATTCACTGCACGGAAAGTGTTCACCATACAACATCCGTAGCCCTCGGAGAACCTTCCGCGTTCCGGCTCTGACATCCGACCCCACATACCGCATATACCGTGCGTGCTCACCCACCCCACCTCGTGCTGGCTCGCTGAAGTTGGTATTCGAGTAAAATTTCTTAGTTTGCTCACGTTCTGCACATCCAAAATTCAGGAGTCACAAGAATCTTGCCAAAAGTCAGCCATGGACACTTCCGGATCCAATGTCGACCATAACAAAGTCTTGTTTGGATCAAGAAGCGTCACTAAGCTTCCTGATACAATCAAAAGACTAGGCGGCTCATCGCCAGTCATACTCACTTCTAAGGGAAAAAATGGGACAGCTAACGGCAACATGCTGGCCAAGATCTTGACTGATGCCTCGATGACTCCCGCCGCTATCCTCAATGTGGCAGTGATGCATACTCCGAAACCTGTCACTGAAGAAGCACTCGAAAAACTCAAAGCTCATGCTGCGGACTGCATTGTATCCATTGGCGGAGGCTCTGTTGTCGGTTTGGGCAAGGCTTTGTCTGTTCGCACTGGACTTAAGCATATCTGTATACCCACGACCTACTCCGGCAGCGAGATGACGCCCATCCTTGGCGAGACAGAAAATGGTCGGAAAGTCACTCGTTCTGATCCAAAGATCCTTCCAGATTTTGTGATCTACGACGTTGATCTCACAATGTCATTGCCAGCAGCGACTTGCGCATACTCGGGCGTCAATGCAATGGCTCATGCGGTAGAGTCTCTGTACGCCGTCAATACCAGTCCGGCCATTTCCAAACTTGCTCTAGAAGGCATCCAAGGACTAGCAGAAGCGCTTCCGGCAATCGTCAAAGATAGCAATGATCGATCTGCTCGTGAAAAGGCTCAACATGCCGCATGGCTCTGCGGTGTGTGTCTCGGAACCTCTGCCACGGCATTGCATCACAAGCTTTGCCATACACTTGGTGGATCATTCAATCTTCCTCACGCCGAAACACATACTATCATTCTACCTCACGCCGTGGCTTACAACGCTCCTGCAATTCCTGATACTATGCAGAAGCTCGCATCAGTATTACCGGGTAGTGAGGGAGATGCAATCAGAGGATTGAATATTCTGCTCGAGAAGCTTGAGGTGTCTCGTTCCTTGAAAGCGTTTGGTATGCGAGAAGAGGATATAGACAAGGCTACGGAAATCGCTATGAGCATGCAGTATGCTAATCCACGCGCGATGGAGAAGGATGCAATTTGTGAATTGATCCGCAGGGCATGGGCTGGCGAGCCGGCGAGAGCTTGATCAATTCTGAGACGTTGTTGAATGGTCTCTGGAGGGTTGGAGCAACGTTGGGCATAGCCTCGTCTTGCACTGCGCTGCGCTGCGCTGTCGAAGTGCTGCGGCTCGCTCTTGTAAGGCAAGATCGTCGAGTTCCAGAGTCGCAAATCTATCTTATGCTTGTCCAATGTACCCCTCAGAACTCGGGTTGTAATCAGTTTCAAAACGTCCTCCTCTTCGTCCGTAGGGGCGAATCCGATATTGAATACGAAGTCCTTGTTTTCTGGGTCCCTCATCATCGTTTGGACGTCGGCCCATCCAGTTCGCATCAAGTTCGCGAACATACTGCCATCGGTTGTTTTGTACTCGAGACTCAGGCGATGAATCTGCATGTGCATATCGGCGCACGAGTACTGGCGGCGCAGCTGGTCTCTGAAAGCTGGCAAAGAGGGAAACAGTCGTGGGTCCGTGTTGACATGTTGCTTAGAGTTGGGTCTTTTTTCGCCAGTGGCATCGCGCTCTTCAAGCTCGTCTTCCAGATCATCGGCGTTGAACTTCGGGTTCCAGCTGACATTAAACTGAATATTGGGAAGATTGTCTGCTTCAGTGATTGCTTGACTGATAGGAATCTGCTTTGCGGGTGCTGGTTTGGGGCGCATGAACTCTGGGATAGATGATGCGTTAATCGGTTTGCCCTTTTTGGTTCATCAGCAAGGCGTTTGTAAAGCTTCTTGGAGCGGAGGCCATGTTGGAGGTACTTCAGAGCCATTAGACATCTGTTGTACGGCTCCACAGCGGTTTCTGTCTCCAGTGGGCCAAGGACGGGGGTTTGACAGTACGGTTGATGTGGTTAGGAGGAACCACAGGCGCATCAGAGTTGGTGTGAATTGCCGAGAAATCGTCAAAGTATTGCGACTGTAGATGTTGGTTCTGTTGGGCGCTGTGACTGGCCATGGCTTCAAGATCGGCCTTGAGTCTGATCAAGAGCCAACCAAGATATCTGACCTTCATCGCAGAAGCTATGGCTTGGTCTCTAGCGGTCGAGAATGGCCATTTACTGTTTGGATCTTCGACGTTCTGAAATTCATCGTGTGATGTATGCAGAAGTCTTAGCGCGTCGTGTGTTCGAAGATTATCCATGATGGTGCTGAATTTGACGTATGCACGAAGTAGAGGCCAGGAAGCAGCAAGATCTCGAAGCTCGTTTGATGCCTTGTAGCCCAGATATGCCGCTGTCTGCGATTCGTTTTCATTGCAAGTGAGGAACGTCGAGGGGTTTTCAGGATTACCAGCCTGCTGCCTTGCTGTGGCCTTATAGGTCTGCTCCTGTTCAGATCGTCAGCGCGGTTGGGGATCTAAGGACGCGAGTATGTATACCTTGAGTCTCTTTGCGCCAGACATCCTTCGTATTGGTGGAGAGACAGGATCAACTTGGCGGCAGAAGTGCTTCGGTGTAGAAGGTGCAGAAGCACTTCGGCGCAGGGAGTGCCTACGCAGCAGATGCTTGAGGATATTGAAGCTGATGATTAGACAGTAAAGGGTGGCAACTTTAATAAGGAACAGGGCTTGGTGAGCGGAGAAAGTGAGGACATGCAGTGCAGAGGTGTCTCAAGTGGTGGGGGAGTGTTTGTGTAGATTGGAAGAGGGTAGAGCACTGAGCACAAGACAAAGGATGGAAAATTCGATGTGAAAGAAGACCTGTGACAACCCGCGCGACAACAAAAGTGAAACAATAGTAGGATCAAAGAAAGCTCAATAGTATCTACGAGCAATAAGACAGTGTCTGAAAGTCTATGTCATTAGTACATTCATGCTCGAAGTGTGTTTGCGCATCCAGGCCTGATAGAGTGCTAAAGGATGTAACTTTCACTGTGCTCCGACCATAGCAGAGGGTAAATTGCACGCTACAGAAATGCATAACACTATCAGAAAATAGGATAGTGTCCATTGAGAATCAACCTCTCATCAGCTCTCTTTGGCCGAATCCTTATTTCTAGATAGAACTGTGCATTTTTGTACACGCGTTACAAACTTTCGCACACGGGGAGGAAGCGAACATTGGTAAAATCTGGAAGCTCGATATGCTCTTCGATCAACGTCTCCGCTCAGCGTATCTCCTCCTTCTCTCTATTCTTCTACTGGCTTGCGGCCTTTCCGGCGGTTTCGATCTCGACTTCGGGGTGTGTGTTCTCGTCGACATCGTCACCAAACTCGTCTCTAGTTGAAGGCTTGTCAGCTTGTTCGTGGTAGTCATCTGCCGACATTGATGTCAGCGGAGCTTCTTTCTCTTGCCGATTAGAGATTGAGATAGGAACTACCATTGATATTCCCGTACATGATCTTCTCGCCCTTCTTCCACTTAAGTTCTCCAGCCTTGATTCTCTTTCTGAGGCCCTCTAGTTCCTTCATGTCACGCTCTGCGCGACGAAGTGTCTCTCGTGCCTCCCACAATAAGTCTTCAACAGCTGCTTTGAATCCTGGTGTCTTGCCTGGACCAAATATCTCTCGACCCATCTCGGCGAAGCGCACAGCTTCCTGTGCATGGTGGAGGTAGTCGGTCTTGCCACAGGCAAGGACGATGTGTGCGCGGACGCGGAAGGCCAGCGGGAGTTCTGCGCGCTCTAGGAGCATGTGAGCAATATTTTCGGCCTCCTCAGTGCTTTGAGGGTTTTTTTCGTAGGCGAGCGTCATCATCTGGTCGTGGAGAGTAGCCATGACCATCTCGCTATGCTCATGGCTGGAGTGATTCTGGTGACGAGCTTGCGAAATGTTCTCGTGGTCATTCTGGCGAGATTCGGAACCCCGAATGTCGTGGCGGTGATCGTGATGATCATGGTCGTGGAGATCATGGTTGCTAGCTGTCTGCAGAGATTGGTGAAGTGTTGCAGTAGGTACAGCTGCGTGCTGCGCAGCAGAGTTGACTTGTTCGCTCATTGCTGCTATGGGATGGGTAAGCGCTGATCTTGTTGTTCTTCTCTTCTTTCGATTGCGTTGTGTTTTTATCAAGTGACGTGAAGATTGTAAGTAAGTGAGAAGAAGTGTAGAAAGTGAAGTGCCTGCTCTTTGAGTCGGTTCCTCACATAGTGCAAAAGATTCTTTGCATCGAACTACATATATTCCTGTTGTTTCATAAAGTCTTTGATATGATGAGGCTAAGAAGCTTCTTCTAAGGGGATCGTATCAAGCTCCTTGAAGGGAAGGAAGGCAGGTGTACTATTGCCTCCTTTCCAAAAGGGCTCTAGAAGACGCCGACAAAGACAATGACCGATGCGAGTGGAATACGTGCTTGCCTCTTTGTTAACCTGTGGCCAAGCAATTACTCTCTTGTATTCGTGTACCTTTATCCCTTCAAGCAAACATGAGCCAGTCCCACACTGGGTCTTTGCTGCCTCCCCGAGTGCGATTGTTTGCAACGCGTGTGGCTATAACAATGCACAATTGTAACCGGAAATAAGGATACGACCAAAGAGAGCTGATGAGAGATCGCTTCTCAGAGGACACTATCCTGTTTTCTAGTAGTATTGTGCATTTTTACAGCCCCACGCATGACGGACGATCGCACTCGGGGAGGTGGCCAGTGGCTCGTGTTTCCTTGGACCCCTTGCTTCTGGAGTGTCACATGCACTGGTTGCGTGCTCGAAGCTTTGACGTATCTGCATAGACTCTTGTTGAGCGTTGCTTCTTGCCTATGCTAGGAAGTCTTGATCAGAGTCACTTTGAACAGAAAGAAGGCAAAGAAGATATTGCAACTGTTTGTGTAAGAGAGTGAAATTTTAAGCTTCGTAACTGTAGTGTATAGACATCATCGTTATTCCCAGAAATCACCTCGGTGAAGCGCCATCGCTGTTCTGTCTGCCATAGACCCATATAACAAGAAAACTCGTGATCAAAATAAGAAATATTTACAAGAGACGCACTGGTTGTTGAGACCCAAGAAGAACTGCTTAATTCTTGATCTCGCCAACGTACTGCTGCTCGGTGATGGACATGGAGCGCTTCTCGATAACGGCACCACCCTCGACACCAGCGGCGGCAACGACCTCGTCGGTCTTGTTGCGGAGAAGAGCGAAGCCCTCCTTCTGCCAGTGGAAGGCAACGTAGGCAAGAACGACGCAGAAGCCGACAAGAGGAGTGACGAAGGAGATGCGGGTGTTGGCAGCATCGGCAATGGCACCCTGGATAGGGGAGAAGACGGCACCACCAGCAACGCCCATGACGAGGATACCGGCACCGCGGCGGGTGTGGATACCGAGGTTGGCAGTTCCCATGGTGACTATNNAGAATGTTAGTTCTGTGTGTATTCGTCTGGATTGGATGCACTTACAGATGGTGGGGTACATGGGAGCCATGAAGAAGTAAATAGCCATGACACCACCGATGGAGCCCTTTCCTCTGCCAGCACAGACATAGGCATTAAGAGCAATGGTAGCGACGCTGTAGACGACCATGATGAAGCTGGAGGACAGGAAAGTGGCAAGACCGGTGGCGATGAAGCGGCCGACGGTGAAGGTGATCAAAGCGTACGAGAGGAGGTTAGAAGCCTGGCTCTCAGACCAGCCAGCCTCGTCGACAGCGTAGTTAATGAAGAAGGCACCGATGGTGACCTGGGCACCGACGTAGCAGAACTGGGCAACGAAACCGCAGAGCATGTTGTACTCCTTCCAGATGCTGCCCTGGCCAATCTCACGGCCCTCAAGATCGTGCTCGGGCTCTATGAGGGAGTTGTTGCGTCTGGCCTCCTCAGCAACCTCAGGGAGCTTGGCGAAGATGAACAGAATGGCGACAGCGACACCGAGGCAAGCAACACCGAGGTAGACGAACTGGACGTTGGTGAGGTTGTCAGCGTTCTTGCCGGAGAAGAAAGCCTTGGAAGCGATGAGGGGACCGATGAAGGAAGCAACACCGTTCCAGGCCTGGCAGAACTGGAGACGAGGAGAGGCAGTCTTGGGGTCACCAATGACAACAGCGTAGGAGTTGGCAGAAGTCTCGAGGGTAGCAAGACCGCAAGCAATAACCAGAGTGCAGGCACAGAATCCACCGAAAGAAGCAGAAGCATGCTGTGCACTGCTGAAGTGTGCCACGGGCCAGAACAAGATAGCACCGATGGAGTAGAGAGAGAGACCCATGAGGATACAGACTTTGTAGCCGAAGCGCTTAAGGACCTCGGCGGCAACGGGGGAGAACAGAAGGTAACCACCACCGAAGTACATGACCTGAAGACCAGTGGACTCGAGCTTAGTGATACCGAGGACATTCTGGAAGTGCTTGTTCAAGACATCGAGAAGACCGTAAGAGAAACCCCAGAGGAAGAAGAGCGAGGTGACCAGGCAGATGGGGAAGATGAGCTTCTTTCCTGTAAGGAAACCACCAGCGATGGTGGTGGTAGCGATAGGAATACCGCCGCCAGCCATTGCTACGATTGTTGTTGTTGTAGTAGTGGTATAAGGATTGGTTGGTGCAGGAGTAGCTAGATCCTTGTGGTAATGAAGGTGTTATTCAAAAGAATGAACGATAGTAAAAGACTGTTAGTCTGAATGAGAGACTTGGATCTGCTGATTGAAGCTGGTTGATGATCGTTGTTCAGCAGGAGGAGCAGACGATACTTATACGGCTTGCCTCTGTATATCCTACATGATCCAAACCCATGGGGACTCCAGATCTGGACAAGCACGTACCGTCTAGCTCCATGCATAGACCATGCAACGACGAAGTTAACCGTTCAACGGGCCAATGCCCAGCAGCCGACTGGCGCTAGGCATGACTATTCGGACCGAAGACCAAGTTCGCCTGGGGTTTCGCTGGGGTTTGCAGGACTCCAGATCAACTCCGGCCGTCAATCGGTCCTTCTTTTTCCTGAAGAGCTGGGGTTTGGTGGGGGATGAGCAGGCTGGCCAGCAATCGGTCGTCGATCTAACGACTCATTCAATTTTCGTATGAGTAGTAAAGCGTAAACTGTTACAATGTCTTGCTTACCGCTCCCAAGCTGGTCGTAGCTCTCTGGGGAACAGTCGCTCGTGCGTGAACATATCGCCCAGTGCGCAAGGTCCCTGGTGCATCGGACTCGGTATGCATGCAGAACTTCTCTCGGTGAGAATTCCTATCGACCTGCAGAACAGCTCACGTTACGCCACGTCAACTTGATTGCATAGCTCCGGCAATTACCTGGGTGTGCCAACGTTACGGCTGTCAACATCATCTCACAGGATTTGTTTCCGCAACTTGTGGCTGCTAGTCAGAGTCAAGGGGGTGCCAAAAACGCCCACTGTCGCGATCATGCATGGGAAGCGTAAAAGCCTGGTAACGGCACGCACGGTGAGCGTGCCCCTCGAACCTTGGAGGATCTGGCACTCTTGTGAGCTGAGACGATGGTTTCCAGTGTTGGATGTGTTCGAGACCTGGAGTACAAGCATCCCTCTCGTGTCCGGTATGCTTGATACCACAGTCGATCTCTTGTCTGTCGCTCAATCTTGGCAGTGTCGAGTAGCTTGTTCCTCTGGGCGGTCTTACCTATCAACTCGACTGCTCATCAAGCATGAGCAAGGTTTTTTCAAGCGGCGTGATGTAGCAAACCTAAGCGGTCTGGGTCACGCTAAGATGCCGGCTAATCTCGCCAGGTTTCGTGGGGTTTCGTGGAGATTCACGCTAGGGGATGACCGAAGAGGTAGTCGGGCCGAAGATCATATCACGGCTAGACGCGGGTGTCGGGGGCATCCCCAGAAGGAAGTCTTCTCGAAGCCAACTTTGTGTTGACCTTGACTCTTGATGTCAAAAGTTGCCTTGTTGTTACCGTGGTCGCAGCGTGGCTGGCTTTCCGCAAGCCCACGGCTCAGAACCACCGGCATTTATTGATGAGGCTTCTCATGACTTTTCGTTCTCTTCCAGAGCGATTTGACTTCAAATTTTGCGTTAATCTCCCCACGGTCAATAATGTTTCGTGCAAAACGACGGGGGTTGTTACTGAATATGGGGAGGCTCCACTTGGTATAGCGCTATCCCTCGAGAAAGACCCAACCGGGACGAGCTTGGACGATGGGGAGCCGCCGTGATCGCTTCTTTTCCCCACCCTCGATGCTATCGCGTCTATATTGCCCCATGGACACGGGGTGATCTGGAGAGAGGACGGCCTACCTCGGGAGGTTAGAGAACCATGCTTCTCCAGCTGGGGAGCTTGTGCCCTAGAATCGATTTAGCGCTGGGAGTGACGATCCACTTGCTTGTGGTAGGCTGGTAGCGTGACCACACTTTCCTACATGCTCGAGTCGCATACCAATGATACCATGCAGGCATCATGCATGTTTTCTTTTGCCAGGCTCTTGCTTGTCTCTGCGAGGGGTTTCCTCGATCGTGATTTTGACTTCTTCTACGTACCTCGGTGATCTTCGAGAAGGTCATGAGACGCAACGAGGGCAGGAAGGCGGAGGCGGATTGTCAAAAGGAGAACTTCCGCGCATGCACGATGATGGTTGAGGCCACAGACTCGATGACGAACGGTATTAGCCTTTGACGGTTCCAGCTGTAGAAAATTGCTTGTCTTCTTTCTGAGTTCACCGCTCGCATTCGGGAAGGATTTATTACGTCTTAGCCGATGGTAGAGAAGAGAATTGGTTGTTTGTTGAGCATCTGGACTTCAAGATCAGACCTTCCTGTGTGGTAGAGACTGTTGCGGTGTGGCTGTCGAGATACACAGCACTTTCAACGCAGGCAGAGACATTCACAGCGAGAAAGATGGCATCTCGCCTCCTGCTGTGCCGAAGGCTGTCGCTGCCTTGCTGCACAAATGCACGATACTTTAATTGAGAATGTCGTTTCCATAGAGAAGCCTCATTCAAGGCTGTTCCCATGGTCAGACTAACTTCTTGGCTACAACAGTGCGTTTCGACAGCGTGTAATAGATCCCTAACCTGAGAAGTGGTTGATTGCAAGACTGTGACAATCCATTACACACCAGGTGGCAATCTATCTCCATTGGCATACACTTCTAAACTCAGTAATAAACTGTGCATTGTGATAGCTAGAATATTTATATGCCTTGTTTCGAGGAGCAATAAAGGTCTGAATTGATGTGAAGCAAGTACGTAAGCGAACAACAACGCAATTCCAGTTATGTAGTGCCCAGCAGAAGTCTCGACACGGGATTTTCTCAATGGATGCTCATGTTAGAGAGCATGGTCGGTGGTGATGCATGGCTACGCGAAATTAGTACTCGTCGTAATAGAAATTCTGAAGAGCACCGTAGGCTTACTGATTAAGAGTCGAACCACATAGCGCGTAGGAGCAGACGGCCTTTACGATCGAGCTTTGTCTCATCCCAGCCGGTCCAACCAGTGTGATCGCCCATTGACTCGCGATGGTCGTCTTTGGAGAAGAAGCGGCAGAGAGATTTCATGACCTGGACGACTGTGACGCCGGACTTGTTTGTGACCTGAACAGCAGGCCAAGAGTGAATCTGGAGGCGGATGAAGGCGACAGGAGGGTCGGTAGCGTACTCCTCGGCAGCGCAGGTATCAGTTAGGGCGACGATACCATTGTAGTCCTTGCCAGTGTAGAATTCGACGTGTTCAATCTTGGTGGCGCACTCGAAAGCCATGAGGTCGAATGCTGGGTGCATTTGGATGTTGTCTAAGTTGATAGCGCCGCCTTCGGGAATGAGTTTCTTCGATGAGCGAAACATCGTTTCCTGGCAAACAGGAAGCTCGGTGAATGATTTGAACTCCTTGCTAACGCGCATGCACTTCTTTAGGTCGAAGTAGTCTAGGTGAGAGATGACTTCAAGCCAGATCTCCTTGGGGAGTTCGATGGGGTTGGTCATGGTTGTGCAAATGGTCAGAGTGGTTTGTGGTGTCGAGTTGTGGAGGAGATCGTGACAGGGAAGTGTGCAGACGAGAGACTTGATAAGTGAATGATTGAGGCACGCGCCTGCCTAACACGAATGTTGAACAGGAAAGCGCGCAGGACGACGCGACAATGATGTGAGAAGGAAGTTACGAGTTCACATCAACAAAGTGATCATCCGAGACTTCCAAAGTGACACTTCACTGGTTTTTATACTCTTATCGCAGCTCCATCAAAGAAGTAGACCGCTATGCAGTCGGGTGTTTAGATCGATAGCTCCTTCGTTAAGCCTACACTGCGCTTTGAATGATAGCTAACTTTGCGTAAGTTACTCCATCATATCAGCCCAAGACTTTTTCTCCGTTCCGGGAGTGATTTGATCATCGATGTCGAGCTTTTCAACCTTTGCCTTCGTCGGGAATGCCATGGTCGGTGGCGGGGCATTATCGAACTTGGGAGCTGAAGCCGAGCCTGATAGATCTGGGAAGTCTGTTGGCTTGGGGACAGATTGAGAGGCTGGCTTCTCTTGCTGAGGACCACGTCCACCTCTACCAGCGCCACCGCCACGACTTCCTCTTCCACGACCTCTACCTCTACCACGATCCTCGCGGTACATATACTCGCGTCCATCTGTGTAATCTTCTCTATCGCCGCCGAAGCCCTCACGAGAGCCATCTTGATTCCGTTGACCAGCGACGCCTCCGTATGCGCCACGTCCTCTACCACCAGCTTGTCTGGGACCTCCGAAGGCGTCTGCATCGTCAGGCTTCTCGGCATCCCATTCTCTGCCACCCACGGCCTTGAGTTTGCGCAACCTGTTCTTTTCTCTTTCGCCCATCATTTGCTGCCTCTCTCTTCGTTCTTCTTGTCGACGCTTTGCTGCAACTTCCTCGCGTTCAGCAAAGTCGGCGGCATCTGNCTCAGCTCGTGCGTGAGCAGCAGCGAGTTTTTCGTTCTTGAGTGATATTCTTGACATCTTCTCGGCTAGCTCTTGTTCACTAAGTTTGGGCTTACGAAGACCTCCTGTAGCGGTACGGTCACCTCGTACGGCATTGGTAGCTGGCTTTGAGGGCTCGGCAGTAGTATTTAATGATGGTTGTTGCTGTTGTTGTTCTTGCTGTACGGTTGGTGCATCTTTTGGCTGCGGCTCCTTCTTGTTACGCTCCTGGTTGTTGCGACGAGAGTCATTGTTGTTGCGACGAGGCTCGTTGGCGTTGCGAGTCGAGTTGGAAGGGTCCTGATTACTGCGATCCTGATTGCTGCGATCTTGGTGGTTGCGACCCCTGCCCCTGCCCCTGCCTCTTCCTCTAGTACTGTCACGTCCGCCGCGAGCTGGTGCCGAAGTTGTAGGTGCTGGAGTTGATTCTGTAGGAGCCGTCGATGTTTCTGGTACCGACTCAACAGTCGCAGCTGGTTCATGTGTCTNCTGGTTGCTTGTTTGGTTCCTCTTGCTTCTCTGGCTNNCGGTAGTATGAGAAGCCTCCTGGTTTATGGGTTGGATCTCGTCGCTGAATAAATCATCCCCACGAGTCTGCATTGAGTGATCGTACTGAATATCATCAAAGAGATCATCTTGTTGTGCTCCTGTTTGTGCGAACTCGTCCATGTTGTTATTCGTGAATAGTTCCTGTGATCTGATGTTGTCTTAAATATTGGCAGAAGGGGGAGCTCATTGGAGCTTCAAGTTCATCAAAGTGTCCAGACCTCGGGACGTCATTTGTCCGAGCTCATTTCTCGATGGCTCAACTTTCTTCCTGCCATCTCTTCAAATACTCATTCCACCACTCACACCATGGACGCGCCCGACCGCAAGAGACTAAAATCAACGTACAAGGCACAGGAACTTCCGCCGCTGCCGCCTGGCTGGACCGAACACACAGCTCCAACAGGTACTTTTCAAAAAGTCATCCATATCAACTCTAAGCACTCTAACGCGCTGCANGGTCACAAATACTATTACAACGCCGCTACTAAAGCCTCGACATACACACGTCCAGCCGCTACCCCTGCCGCTCCTACTCCACCTCCACCACAACCTGCCTTTTCTCCGCCGCCGGCTGCTCAGTATGCACCGAATCCTGTCGCCCAAAACAGCTATAATCCCGCTGCTCAATACGGCCAATTCGCTGCCCCTGCATACAATCCATACCCATCGAATGCCCAGTACAATTCACAAGTATCATACGGCCAGCCTGGATTCAACCCAGCCGCTGCCTCCCACGAGCCACGACGCCGACCACAGCCCCAAGATCGCCCTAAGCGCAAGGAAGTCATTCCAAACTGCAAGCCATGGGTCGTTGTCTACACCAAGCTTGGCCGACGTTTTATCCACAACCCCGAAACCAACGAGAGTTTCTGGAAGTTCCCAGACGATGTCATGAAGGCCGTCGTTGAATTTGATCGCTTGAAGCTGGATGAAAAACTCAAGACTCCTGACGAGGCTAGTGGTGCCAACAAACTCCCTGTGGCAGAACGCGCTCGTAAAGAAGAATCCGTGAAGGACACATCTGAGAAGCCTGAGGACAAGGCCAAATCGCAAGAACCGGAGAAGCCACAACAAGATGCCGCTGGATCAGACTCGGAGTATGAGGAAATTGAGGTCACAGACGACGAAGACGAGGAAGGCGGTGCGCAACGTCAAGATGAAGCTGACGTAGAAGCCGAAGAGGGACCTCTTGAATTCGACGAAGACGATATCGCGTATCAACTGGCTGCAATGGAGGATTCGTATGGCCTTGATCGCGGCGAGTTCGGAGGTGGTGGTGAAGACGAATATGAAGAGGGCATGGAAGGCATCCCCCTGACCGATGAAGACGGTGCAGCACTATTTTGCGACATGCTCGAGGACCAACACATTTCGCCCTACATACCTTGGGAAACACTCATCTCTGATGGTCGCATCATAGACGATAGCAGGTATACCGCTTTGCCGACCACAAAACGCAGAAAGGATGTTTGGGGTGACTGGACTCGTACAAAGATCGCACAACTCCGCGAACAAAAGGCAAAGCAGGAGAAACTGGACCCACGCATTCCTTACTTATCGCTCCTCTCGGAAAAAGCAACACCAAAACTTTACTGGCCAGAGTTCCGCAGGAAGTACAAGAAGGAGGATGCGATGCGCGATGCAAAGCTTAGTGACAAGGAGAGGGAGAAACTGTACCGCGAACACATTGCTCGTCTCAAGCTTTCGTCATCACAGCTGAAGTCAGATCTGGTTTCTCTACTCAAATCTCTACCTCTGAAGCACCTGAACAGAGATGCCAGACTTGAGGATCTGCCTAAGGATCTCCTGACAGATATTCGATTCATCTCTCTACCTCCCAAAGCCCGCGATGACCTACTCGAGGCTCACATCTCTACCTTGGCACCTGCGCCTGATGAGGAGGAAGCAGCAACGGAGGAGGAAAGAGCGGAACAGGAGAAACGAGTCAAGGAAAGGAGACGCAGGGAACACGCACTGAGGGAAAGAGAACAGAAAGTCGAGGAAGAGAAGAGAAAGAGGGAAAGAGAATTGGCATTTGGACGTGGTAGATTGGGTGAGGCTGAGAGAGAACTGGAGATGGCCATGAAGGTCGGGAGGAGTGGATTGAGAGCGCAGATAGACGAGGCCAAGGAGGACAATGAGTAAGACTTGCATCCACTGGTCTTCGAGGTCGACACAACGACCTTGAAATGCTATATTGATAGTATCTAAACAATCAGCCGCGCTAGTGACCAACCCATCCTAGATATCTCACAAGCCCTTCAATCTGAGACGACCACCGCATGCAAAACCACAAGACACAACTTAGCCACTTCTTTTTCAACCATCACAGCATAACTATTCTGAATATGTCCATACCAGTTTATTCCTATGCACAAACATAAGCACGATGCTGCCAAGCCTGATTTCTGCCCCACTTTCCCTTCCGAACCAGAGAAAAAACTTCCCACAAAAGCGAGAAGAACAGAAGGCAAAGAAAAAAAGAATGCCTCGAGGGAGAATCGAACTCCCATCTAAGGATTACCCAAGCCATGCTTGGTCATTTCGATGACCGATATGAGACCTTCGTACTAGCCGTTATACTATCGAGGCTTGATGGAAGATGCTTCGACCTTGCAGAATATGTACCTCATGAATTCGATGACGAGTGCTCTGGGTGCCGGTGGCAGGCCTTTAGCGGCTCAACACGCCTTCTAGTTCTCTCGTGTGATTTGAAAGCGAAGGAATTACTTGTCTTCATGCTTTCCGAATATGCTACGATGGTAATTGGCTTGTGGTCGTAGTTTGTGCTAATCGTTGCGGTGATCACGTTGCAACCTTGGTATACCATTCCTGGTTGAAAGATTTACCACGCACTTTTGCTAATCAAGGTCTGCACATTTATCAAGGACCCGATGATACGTGAGTGCCGGTTCAAATAACGATATAAGGTAGTCCGAAGTAAAACAAAGTGTGTATAGGAGAATGGGTATATGTCGAAGAGAGAAAGACTGTGGGAGTCAGGGTCGTACCGCTAACAACGTTGACTTGGTCAAATCGAGCCGCCCAACTGCACTACAACTTCATCAACAAAAAGATACAAGAGAATTCGAAACAGCACAACTGGATCTTTGATTAAGGCAAAACACCATACGCATTCTTGGAATGCTTTATTGAGAAGAGAACATAAGCGATTGGAGAAGAACAGATCGTGGCATGACTTTTTGCTGCTGCTTATTGTGTATTGATATCCTGTACCAACAGCCATTGCTCAAACCATGCCAGAGCTCGCCTGTGCAAATCGACTTGATTGACCAAATGCTAACCCGATACTGAGTCCACGCCAGATATGCGCAGAGATATTTCCTGAGCCGATAGCTTTAAAGCATGCTGACTGGCTGGTATAGCCCGACACGACCATACAATATGTGCTAGTCAGGATGAGAAGGTATTCTTCATGCATCTCCTAGTCGGCCGATCGGTCTGTATAGTAAAGGCCCGTGATGGGCGCATATACAAATAGCGACAACAGGTTCGTCAACTCCAACCTGAGAAGGAAAGGATACTTGCAAGAGAGACCTGCTTTCATCGTCCGTTGGCCATGTGTCGTCAATATAGTAGAAGTCGGCAATCAATCCAGCCCATGGTAGTGTGTAGAAGAAGGAGACGACCCCCAATTCGATGAGATGAGATCAAGGACTCGACCGAGCGTCAGCCTTACAAGGATGATTTTCGAAAATCAGGCCAGCCTCTCAAGCCCAGTTTCCTGCCCCATCCCGACTGGCAGCTGTGTACTTGTGATAGAGGCGAGTTGGCGAGTCAAAACTCAGACAAAGTTGGAAGGTCATCTACTCATCACTGCCTTCCTCAGAGCCATGTGATTCAGACGTAGCCTTCTCATCTTCCCTCTTCTTCATTTCTTCCTTCTGCCTCTCCTTGACCTTTCTAGGTTTCTTCGCACTGATGGGACCGTCGGCACTTCTGTCCTTCCACTGCACTTGCCATCAGTAACAGCAGCTTGTTTCGAGATGACTAAACATACCATACCACCGTACTTATAATACGGATATTTGCCCTCTAGTCCACGAGCATCTTCCACACCTCCAGAAACAGACTTCCAACAAGATCCGGGACAGACAAAGTGCCATTTTGCCGTTTCGTCAATTTGGCAACGAATAAGAATGTCTCTAGGTGTAGAGCAGAGAGTACAAGATTTTGTCATGATTGGTGATTGGATGTAAGAATGAATGCGAGATGCATGAATTGAGAGGATGATTTAAAGAAATCAATGACATCATCGTCGATTTTGTTTTTGACTCTTTCATCTGTGTCTGAATGACTTCTCTGGAACATGTTGTTTCGATAGAAACATTCGGAATCAATCTCGGATGACCTGGAGAATTGTCCGGGTCCATGATTGTTTCTCTTTACAAACAGGTTCGATGCACAAACCTTGTTCTGCAGAGCCTTGTTCATCACAGAGAATATCTTATGTTGCACAAGAAGTAAACGCGAAATTGCAGTGGTGGTAGCATTGCGGGTATCAGAAAAGAAGGCAAAGTGCCTTGCTACCTACCTAGCGCCGAAGGTCCAGTCATCAAATTCGTCTTCGTCGTCGTCATCATCATCGTTCTCCTCTTCATCATGTTTTTGTATTTGCTTGTCCGACGTTGCAGCAGGAGCATCTGGTAGTGTTTCTTGATGCTTGGAAAGGCGAATGGCTTCCCTCTTTTCCCGCAAGCGTCTCACCCTTTCGTCCAACTCGTCCATCTCGTCAAACTCTTGTTGTAGTGCAAGTGCGGCATCCTCAGTATCAGCTTCCATCTCAGCTTCTCTTGCAGTTCGCTGTGCGCTTTGCTCCTCCCGAGCCTGGGCAGCTAGCTCTTCGGCTGTGACAGGGGCGGCTGAGATGGTCGCAGATGCGCTGATTATAGGAAGTGCGGTGTTTTGAGCGGCAGCCATTTCACGCTCGAAAGCGGCCCACTCATCTTCATTCACGTCTGCCGCAGGGGGTGGTGCAGAAGCGACGGGCTGCGACTCGGCGACAGGGGCGTCTGGTATTGACGGAGCAGGTGCTGTGGTGTTCACTTCTTCGTCCTCGTCCTCGTTGGCGCCCTCCTGAGCAGGATCAAAGAAGCCTTCCGGTACAAAGCCTCCAGGTACAGCCTTAACTCTCTTCCTGCCTTCGTCATCGCTCTCTCCAGCCTTGCGCTTCCTGGTCTCGGGTGCTGGTGGAGGGTTCGCGCGCAGGTGATCTAGCCGGGCAACATGTTGAGATGATTTGATGTGATTCTCCCAGAGCGACTCGGTCTTGATGTAGACGTTGCAGACAGCGCATAGCAGTTTGCCCGAGTCAGAGTAGCTTGCGTGAGGGTGGTTGATGCGACGCGAGGCGCGCTCATTACGCAGGAGCGAGCGCACATCTGCCATTTGCGTTGGATGTGCAGGACAGTGGGGAAACCTAAGATCGCGATGGCGTACTCGCACTGGCGCGTGGCAGTTGTTGGGTGAGAGTTGTGTCTGACGATTGCTTCCAACTTTTGCATCGCAAACGCATCATTTCGCCAAGAAAGGGTTATGTCGAACCAACCCTGTCACTGCCAAAGCTTCGCAACGTACGGAGCCCCATCAATCAAAATCAATATGATCGTGTGATGTTTGCTGGATCGATGAATCATGTACGAAGACCGCACGCAAACGACCCTTGGCTATCCATATCTTGGGCAATGATTGTATTGGTGATGTCGTTGCTGGTCAAGTCAACTGGTTTGTGGTCGCGTATGGTCTTGATGACTCTGCCCTCGTGGCAGTTCGCCGGCCTTCATCTATTTTCGTTCGGTCGTAGCCGGCTGCCGAAGACGCAACTCAAGACAAGTGACAGGCATGTGATCAAAAGAAAGCACATGTTATCGAATTCTGCCCAGCCATTCCAGTCGATCCGACGAAACCACCGGCCACATCGCCGAAGGTCAACCCTATCAAAAATATCACGCATATCGCACTTGCTTTCCCATAGTGTTCCGATCTCGCTCGAACACTCATTCTCAAGCGTTTCATCAGTTGGAGTGTGTGCGCGGACCTACCTACTCAATTCGTCCTTGAGGTTGACCATCATCAATGCCTGTCAGAACACCTGGTGTCGCTCAATCGCTCCTGCTGCGATTCACGACTCGCGAGCATTCCCGATGACCTCCTGAATCATACGAAGACTCCACGAAGAACAGTCAGCCTCGGCAGTGCTCTCTAGGGCTGCTCCTCCACCACTCTATCCACTATATTCTTGAACCGCAAGCGACTAAGACTTACTCGCGCACAGTAGCCGTAACGCCGTGATAAGAGAAAAATGGGCTAACGGATTAAGTCCGCTCGCGGTCGTCGCTCCGCCTCCCCCTGTAGAGGTTCTACCGAGTCGGTCATTTCGATCCCTTGGGAACGTTGTAATATGCTGTCAAAGACCTGATTCGCCCATCTGTAAGGCCAAGTCCACTCTGATGGTCAGCCCATGTAAAGAACGCTTGGCTCGTTGATGTGGATGTGCAGAGCCTTTAAGTCAAATCCCGAAGGTCAAACAACGGGCCTTCGTGATCCCAAATCATCACCAAGGGCTCGGGTCAGGAGTACACTGCACCTCGCTTGCTCGCAAACGCAAGGTACTTGTAGACATGCAGCGTAAATTCGTACATTTTCGCTGACTCCAGAACCAGCTGAGTATCCGTGAGGTGTGTGCGTGCCCTAGGAGGAGGACTCTAGAATTGCGCTGGAATACTTGTGACAGCCAACGGTCTCCCCGGAGTGTTTGACTTTGACTTTGGACAGGAGGAACTGTACTTGTATGCAAGCTTTTTGGGGGAACATTTGCCGAGTTGTCCTGAACGCAGAATAACGCCCCTGTCAAGTCGCGAGACCCGACGTCATTCCGCGAGTGTTTTCCATCTCGCACCGACGCTTCTTGTTGTTGCAGAAAACTTTGTGTCAGTGCTGGTATTGCATGCCTTGCACACCTGCAATCTGTTAGGGCAGCCCTCGCAGTAATGAGACGTCTGAACCTCAAACCGGCTCTGGGAGACAGATCAGAGTGGCTGACGCCGTCTGTCATCAATCCGAGTCAACAAGACTGCATGCAGGCACACGCCGATCGATGATATGCAGGTGGACATGTTTAGACGGCTAAGCAATCCGAGCGTCTATTCGACAACGTGCATGCGTCTCCACCAAACCATTAGGTTTAGCCTTTGCTTTGAATGCCTCTGGTATTTACACTCTTCGTGCCCGCCCCGCTTCGAGGACCATTTTCGCATTACTTGACCGACTCGGCCTCAACACAGTCCACCATACGAATCTCATCTTCACTCTCGGAAAAAGTCCTTCATCATGCTACAACACGCCCAAATGTCTCATGCCTTTCAGTCGACGGCCACTGGCGTAAGCGTTTTAGAGGATTTCTCAAGAGCATGCCATGTTAACATCGTTCAGGGCCGGACATATCAAATCTCAAAACTGCCAGAGCTTGACTACGCTATCGATGTGAAAATCTTTCGCGATATTCTGGAGTTGGACGACGAAGACGAACAATACTTCACTCGCTCATTAGTGTGTGATTTCTTTGCACTTGCCCAAAGGACCTTTGCGGAGATGGATGCATGCCTGTCAGTACATGACAGTAATCTGCTTGTCTGAATGATGTTAACCGAATGAACAGANGAGAGCCAAGATGTCAAGCAACTTTGGAGCAAAGCCCAATTTCTCAGAGGCCCAAGTGCGACATTGGGCATCTACAAAGTCCAGTCCACTTGCGCGCGGATTNNGGAGCAAATGACAGCGGTTGCCGACACATTTCAAGCCGAGGGAGAATCGAAAACAACGCTATGCAACTCGTCAAGGATCTTATTGGAACAAGCCAAGCAACAGTTCGCCGAGGCAGAAGTTGCCCTACGGCGTTTCTATGGGATGGATTGACTGAACAAGACATGCCCAAGGAGTGGCACAATCTTTTCACGACCTCTCAAATTTGAGTTTGATACAGACGATTTAATGACACAATGGCTGGATCCATCAATTACTATCTCGCTCATTAACATGCTACCTAGCTCATAAGTGTAGCAGCACCAGATTGTACGCTTCATGTTAGGACTGATCTGTGGAGCAATGCCTGCATCATTCAACCAAAGAACCAATTTCACCAGCAGTCATTGCGAAGATTGGAGCCCTAAGTGAGAAGAGGTGGACTCCTTTTGAACTTTCGACCAACGTACTGGATAATGAACAATCAGAGGCCAATCTCATTTTATCGGACCACGAATACTCACATCCACAAGCGTTGCAAAGTGTTTTTGAACCAAGAGGCCCTCTTCGCCATTCTGGTGATTCGGTAGTGCCGCATTCCTTACACAGGTGCTCCAGGCAGAGCTCTTGTTTTCGTTTCTTCGTGCGTGGCTTGGCTGTCCAGGCACCGGTTTCNNCTCTCATCGTCTGCAGGCGTGAAGTAGCGATTTCAATTCCTATGTCGCCCACCACAGAATCCACCTGTGGTTTGGTGGACGTTGTTGATTCAGAGAGACTTCTCCTGCGAGAAGAAATTGCTGATCCCGTTTCGGAACGAGTGGCCGGTGGGACCTCCAAGTTTGANNGGAGAGCTATTTGTTCGTTATTAGTTGGCTCTTGACCACTAGAATATAGATGCATGCGCAAAATGTTGCATCAGAATCGCAATCTTGTTTGTTCTTGTAGCACGATGATTCTGCCAAGATCCTGTCCTGATCGAAGTCTTTGCCAGTACATCTAGGTTCTGGAGACACTCACTGTCGTAGTCGTCGCCGCCGCCGTCACCGTCGTCGTCGCCGTTGCTGTTGCCGTTGTCGTCTCAAGCTTGAATGTTGCACACTGCACTGTTGTGTCGGCGTTCTTCGTTGACATTGTGCTCTCGTAGAATTCCTCGGCTTCTCCTTTCAATTGTGCCAGTTGATTCGTCAGGCGAATATTTGTGGTGTAATGTTCGAGAAAGGAGTCCATTAGCGATGTGCTGGTGATTTGATACGGCCGTGAGGTCATCAAGCACAGCTTGGTGCTTGTCTTTGAGCCAGTCTCGTCATCGACCACCATGTCTGTATATGGTTTATATGTCGATTCAAAAGGTTTGTAGGTATCATCCCCTTGTCGTAGTCGGTGGTGAGTTCTCCAAGAAGATCCCAGTGCCATGTTTTCCTTCCACTCTATGAGAAACACTGGGATGTCATCGACATTCATATATGTGCTGATGTAATGTCCAACAAGAGCTTCAGGTTTGACCTGGATGAGCGACAAGCTCTTTGGTGAGGCATACATAACGCGACCATCTTCAGCCAGCACAAGTAACAAATCCTCAATACCATCCACCACTTNTTGATGAAACTCAGATGAGCGATCGACTGGCAGACTCTCAAGCTCGATGTGGAAATTGGGCGCCATTGTGGCTTCTATGGCGGGTTCTGATACAATAGGTATGGGAATCGGCGATTTTGGTTTTATGGAAAGAAGACAAAGGAGCAGGCAGTAGAGGAATCAAACGATTGGGTGCTTGGAAGGAGAAATACCTGTCCATGGTGCCAGCGGTGTCCGTGCCCAGGGTTAGGTATTCGCTCACAAGCCGCTTAGGCACTCTCTTCTAGAGCACCTTGTGCAAGGGTTTAGCTTTTCCGCGCCCATACCACCACCGCTGACCCTATTGGAGACCTTTTCTTTTCTGATTTAAGTGCACAAGACCGCAGAGGCTCAACTTTGACAGCTTATGCACCCCATCCCCACGCCCAAGCCGCACCCTGAACAGCAAAGACCCAAAGGAAGGATCCACCATCATTTGGCACGTTGTGAATGTCATTTCGCATAGCACTGCATTCTGACAAACCCTCGCGGATCTTATGCTTGTGCTGGTTAGTCACTGTCAGACCACCGTAGGAACGTCCGCCAATTGGACCCGACAGTACGGGAGGGCCACGAATGCGAGGGAAATATCGACCACCTTCAAGCAGAACTGTCTACCGACTTGGCGGGCAAGTAACGCAAAGCTTCCCGGCGAGACAGTCCGAAAGGTTCGCTTCAGGCTCGTTCTCGCATGCACTTTTGGTGCACTGGCGCACGTCCGGCGTCCGCCGACACCACGAAACAAGTCCGAAAATGGCCGTCAAGTCAGCCCATGCGAATTCTAGGCGGAGGTCCAAAATCCCATCACCGATCTGATAACCAAAGTGGAAAAGTGGTTGTACAAAGGCCAAAGCAAGCAAAGGTCGAGAACACTGGAGTTGCATCAGGATTGCGTTTGGAGCCAATTAGATGATCCCCCAAGGTCCCTGGCGTTCTAGATCTTTTTGTGCCTTTTCTCCCACGCGAAGTTGCATGAGGATTGAAACAACACTCCGCGGTCCAGCAAGTCCTCCACGTCCACCGCCAGATACACGTACACGTACCCTCCGAAAACCGATCGCCGTGCGCGTGCTTTGGCACGGAGAAGAACATGGCCTCTCTTCGGAAACCCAAGGCCACCTCCACCAACGTCAGCAAAAGACCGTATTGTTGTTATTAGCATAGAACAAATATTCCACGTGCAGTCGCCGGGACCCTAAAACACTCCCGCTGCTGCACTTATCCCTGATGCCAATCGATGCTCCAAAGTAGTTACGATCGTCGCCATGTCACTTCTAACCACCGGACTGTTATACACGCGGATTGTGGCTTGCCAGTTACCAGGCAATTTGGGCATAGTCGGCGATGCAAAAAGTAGCCAGGCTATTCTGGGGCGTTCAACAAAACATACCATCGACCGATTGTTTGCCTCCAAGTGCGGAAGTCATCGCTATTTGCTATAGCATCGGTTCAGCATCGGTTCAGCATCGGTTCAGCACGGTTCTGTGTTGGAGAGCCACTTGTGTCACTCTGTTTACATGCCTCTACGTGGTACGCGTCGCCGAGCAGGAAAGCCTGACTGTGCAGCAACTGCTTATGGATCCATAACGCAACGGTTATTTGGAGACCTCCATCTGAGTATATCCTCAGCATCCGAGACTGGCGTGGTATATTCAATCAGGATATCTTCCGCCTATCGCGATATAATCAAATCAGATGAGAGGCTTCCGGGAGGTGTCCAAACTTTCACCATATTCGACCCTCCATCAAAGACAGTGAGCATGATCGTTGAGTAGCCATCTGATGGAGAGACTGGATCTGATGCTCGAGGAACCGTCGCGCGCTCCTCCTTCGAGATGTGGTTTTGAGCGTTGAGTACGCAAACAACAGCCAGAACCACAACAATGGTTCTGTGGTGTAGTTGGTTATCACTTCTGTCTAACACACAGGCGGTCCCCGGTTCGAACCCGGGCGGAATCATCGTTTTGGAGGCGGTAGGCATGTTTCTTTTGGTTGGGAAAGGTGGTGGTGAGGTTTGGGAGGCTTCAGAGAATTTTTGCAAAATTTTGGCGAACAACGGGCAAGCTTTGGCCTACTCCGACCACCCTGACACTGGAACATTGTCGAAAGGCATTTGTACTTAAGGGTAGGTTGCTATCTTGTTTGTTGTTGATTACTAGTGCTATTGCCTAGGAGTAGGGTTTTGCTTCAACGTTCAAGATTTGAGGAAGCAGACCCCGATTGAAGCATTGTACCTTTCTGCTTAACACCAAGGCTTTAAGAAGAGCTGGCTAGCTATTGATACTTGCAACAAATCGGCTTGAACAGGCTATGGGCACAAAAACAAATCACAGGCTTCAATCACCATACCACTGATATACCCATATACAGACTTGGACCTCGTCCCTCACCATGATGCTAGTTTACAACAACATCTACTAGCACGCTCTACGGCCATCCACAGATCCTGAATCTGGCCAACCGGATTCAACCCTTACAAGCTAAGGTGATGTGGTGTAGTGGTAGCATGTGTCGTTGTGGAGGTTAAATTCCAGCAACGCCGACCCGACGGCGGTTCGATTCCGCCCATTGCCAGGATCGTAATTCTTTTGTTAGTTTTGTTCTATCATTTTTGGTTGGCGAGATATCAAAAATTGCTGCAAATTTGCAAGCCTGAGGTTGGTATGGCACGTGCGTTGCTAGGGTTTGGCAAGCCGGCTTCCAACCTCCGGGGCTCCGTTCCGCTATCGCTCTTTCTATTTTGCTCTGCTCGACGATGCTCTATGCAAATGTAAACAGTAGACCGATACCAAGAGTAGCTCATTCGTCCTACAGGGCTCTGTTATGTTACACAAAAAGCTACTCAACACCTCGTCTAACATGATATCTATTAACAAGATCTCACAGATCAAACTCTCATGCAACTAGACACAGTAGACCGAAGACAGTAGGTTGTAGATCTTGTTTTGAAGAGCTCGCTTGTGATATATAAACTACCCTGTCCCGTTCGTCGCCGCCGCATCATCCAAGATGATGCCTTGTAAAAGATTGTAAAGCTCTTATACACCCCAAAGTTCCATGCTCTTTTGCCTTGATTAGTGCTATGATAAGTCAATAAAGTCACTCCCTGTCCTCCTCCGAGTCCATCTTTCTTTTCCTTTGTTTGCCTTGTTCATATTCAACGACGGCATCTTCAGATAGATCCATAGTAAGGTAACGTATGGTCAGCAAGACTTCAGAAAACGGAAAATTAACAAAGCGAGAAAAGGAGAAACTGAAAGAGCACCAGAGGAAACATAAACTTTAGGATTTGTCTTGTAACATCGGCGGCAGTGCGGCTGGAAGGCATTGCATACTGGTTTTCCGCTACTCTACAGCAGCAAGAGCAGCAGTGACCGTACAAGAATTGACCAACGTCTCTCCACCCCGACCTGCCATGAAATTGTTATGATTGCGCTAGATCATCAGCTGACGCTGTCCGTTCTGTCCGCTCCTGCTCTTGCTGTCGTCGGCTTGTTCCATTCATTCCCAAAGGGAAGGGAAGGTAGGAGTACACCTGCTCCCCCTTCCCTTCAGCATGGCTCGCTTGCACTGTAAGCCACATATCTTCGATCCATAATCATCATCTTAGCAACCTCTCCATCTCTCACTATTACAATGGATCGCCGTCCTCTTTCATCACCACGCGCTGGTGGTCGAGACAACTACCGCGTGTACGAAACCCACCAGCAAGACCTTGACAAAATTGCGTCAGACGACGCTTCTCGGCCTCACCACATCAAAGATTTTATGGAACAGCAAGGCTACATCTGACTTGACCAAGATGACCTTTTGCGCTATGTGAGAAACCGACTCAAGGAGTAAGTATCTTCTTCATTGTACAATTCTCTGTCTTTCACCATCACCCACTCACTCTTTTTCTCTCACTCTCTCAGTCTCTCTTCTCTATTCTCCTCTGCTGTAAACTCACTGTACTATAGACAAGCACGACGCCAACGACTCAAAAGCACACCATCACAGCGATCTTCACCTGCTGCAAAGAGTTACTGAACTCACTGCGTCTGCACAGAGTTCAGCAGTCTTCGACAACACGACTTCCTCCATCGATCTCTCGTTGTCAGATGCAGCAGCCTCTTCGAACATATCCTCATCGTCAAACCCAGCAGCCTCTCCGCTCATTCCGTCGTTGTCAGATGCAGCAGCTTCTTGTGCTGCTCTCTCGTTGTCAGATCCAGCAGCCTCTCCGATCACTCCCTCATCGTCAGATGCAGCAGCCACTCCTACCGCTCTTTCGCTGTCAGACGCAGCAACTTCTCGCGCCGCTCTCTCCTTGCCAGACACACCAACTTCTTCTGCCGCTGCTCGAATGACAGCCGCTTCGACTCTTGCTGCTGCTCTAGGGTCCCCAGACACGATGATCTCTTCTGCTACTGCTCAAACGCTAGCTGCTTCGACTCTTGCTTCTACAGCTTACCGACAAACCAAACTGCCATTTGCACCAGCAAACCCTTCTCCACTCGGCCCAAACTACAAGGTTCCTCCTGCTCAGGTCAAGCCAGTTTATCAGCGCATCCATCCAGTCTCCAACCTTGTAGTTGACAACAAATCTCATGGGTTTGTACGCAAATCCTCCTTTGGAGTTGCTATCGTTGGTCGTGTTGGCCGACCTAAAAAGGTATGCAATTTCTCTCTCTTTATCTGCTTCTCTCTTTCTCTCCTTTTGTCTTTTGTCTTTCTCTCTTTCTAATCTTTCTTCTTCCTCTCCCTTGTTTACAACAAATTCTAACATTGATTACATAGTGCAATCACTGCCGAAGAAAGCAAAAGTTTGCAGTGCTCAGTTTGATGGGATCTGGCCATGCAAGACTTGTATCCAACAGAACAACTCTTCTTGTTCTCAGATCGTAAGAAGTCTCTTCCAATCTCAGCTGACTGTGCACATTACTAACTATGCTATAGACAGAGCTATTTCCAAACAGCACGCCTAACTTCTTTCAGCATAAGCTGCAGCTAGACGTTGGTCTGGTACTGAACAAGATCTCAAGTACTACTCGTGGTTTCCAAAGCCTCAAGCATGTTACCATCACAGCACGTCACTCTACCAACCCATCAAACTTTGTCAACCACGTCGATTTGTGTCGTACTGCAGCACATTTGTGTCTTGATTTCCATGTTGATCCTACTAATATCCGCTTCAGTGGAGTTGAAGGATTCAATATGCCATCAGCACATATTCCAATACTTGAGGATCAAGAAGAAGTAGCCATGCTTCAGCGCCAAAAAGCTGATGGTACTTGTCGGAAGCACCATAACAGCAAAGGAGCTGTTATGTTCACAAATCTCCTTGATTCACTCCTCGACACACCAGGAGGAAATATGATTATCTCTCCTGGTGACGATACTCTCACTGGTCATTGGGAAAAATTTACAAACTGGGTCGTTAGTATGCCTGATCCTGAGGACTGGTTTGCTTTTCTATGGGATATTACTATTGGAGGCTCTCCACCAGAGAATGTCAAAATATGTGCTTGTTACAGTCCCAACCCTACGAGATTCTAGGGCTTTTGGAGATTTCGTCAGATCAATGACTATTCTCATCTTGGCAATCACAATGAAAAGCTCGAGGCTCTTGAGAGGATTGCAGGTACACGTCAGAATGGCAAGGATGGTCTTGTTAGGAGTAAAGCAGACAAATAGAGAGGAAGGAATGCTTATATTCAAGACATCGAGGATGATGACTACGAGAACTTCGATGGAGACGAGCAAGAGGACGATGAGTGATTTTGCTAACTGGCTGAACATCCTTTGATCAGAACTTGAAGACTTGGAGTCTTAATATCTCTTTTCTTTATGCATATATATATACTTACAGTATTTGACAATTTGAGAAGCTCATCACACCAAATAATCAAAGACTAGCAGTCAGTCCAGAATGGCCCTCACTTCTTTCTTCTATCCAAGCTTTTCTCACCATGTTCCTTCCTCCTTCCCACTTTCCCATCTCTCCTTCCTTCTGATCTTCACTTTCACATGCTTCCTATCGCCACTTTTGTCTGCTACAAGCTCTACTTTCTCTCTTTTCTTCTTTCACCTCTCTTTTCTTTTCTTCACCAAGATCCCTCTCACCCGATTGTCTGTCTGTCATCAGTCTCTACTCTCAATCGAGCGACAAACGCTAGCGACTCTGACTAGCCACAACACACTCAAGCTAATAAATTCCACTCACGAGTAACAATGTCTGCTCGCCGCACTACTGCCGATGGCGCAATACAGAACCTCCGGAGTATGTTCTGCCTACTCTCCTCTTCTCTTCTTCTTTCTTGTTTCTTTGTTTTCTGCTTACTAACTACCTATTGCTATAAATCGCATCTTTCTTCATCTCGTACAGTCTACACCTCTACCCAACACCAATGACTAGACCGAAGTTCTCCGCTACGCAACTGCACGTGTCAACCAGTTCCTCTAAGATGACCGCTAGGTCTATCGCTTTGGTCAATGCCTGGTCTTCCGAGATCATATAGTCAAAAGAATCGCTTATTGTCTTGCCAACAGACTCATTACATTCTTCCTCGTAATGCCTAGCTTGGTGTATGTCCCTATCCTTTTGCTTGATAACTTCTGTTTATTCTAATAAGGTATATTTAGACTCCTTTTGTGGAGGAAATGAGGTCTTCATGTCTTTTGCTATGATGCACCAAAAACTTTCGACTTGTGATGTTCTGCTTCTTTAGCATGTTCTACCTCTCCGACCTGTTCTGATTCTCTGAGCTGTTCTACTTCTCTAGCCTCTTCTTCAAGTATACCATTTTGCAAGTTACTTGCCACTTCTGCTACAAGCTCCACTTTCTTCCCTTTTCTCCTCTTCATCGAGACCCCTCTCACTCACTTGCCCGCTTGTCACCAATCATCACTCTCAAACAAGCCACAACCACAATCAGCTCTTCTGACATGGCGTTTTTTGTGATTGCTATGGCTGAAGTGGTCAGGTTTTTGTATTGGATGAACTCAATAGTAAGGCGTGATCCAATCAACTTCTTGTGAAAGAAACGAGATTCTTTAGCACAAAATTGGGAGTCGAACAATACAACAACGCATATTCGTGTGCGGCTTGTGAAAAATCATCGTAGGGCTCGAGGTATCCAACGCCTCATAGTGATTAATGCTGGGTGTCTATTAAAATGCCCTGCTTTTGCCTCTGACGGTGATTGCACCGCTGTTAACTTCCAGTCTCCAACCATCTTGCTCGAGACCTTTCCTGACTGCTGGACCGAGGACACCCTTGCCACCAGCACTATGTCTGCCAACACCCGTTATGATGCGGAACCCGCTGGCACGCTCAGTAGCGCCTACTCGACCATTCACCTTGTTCTCGCCTAGTCCGTTCCACCAAGCACTCGTTCTCTGTCGAGCTATGCGTACAGCATTCTCCACAGTCACACCGTGCAAGTCAATCTCGAAAGCCGAAGACTGGGCGGCGACGATAGCGTTTGCCTCAGCAGCTTGTGATTGATGCAGCGCAGCACCGTGGTCGCGACCGACCTGCGAATAATATCCGGCAGCGCCGCCCATAAGGCGATCGGATCGCGACTTGCGATAAGCTGCGCGCGCCTGTTCCATTGCAGCTTGCCTTGCCGCCCTGAGCTTTGTTGTTGAGGCAGAGGCAGATCCGAAATCTACGGTTGACGTGTCTGTGTCGAAACCGCTTTGGTTGGAGAAGTCGTCGCCGTCAGAAATGCGCACGGGTGCATATTGTGGTATGATGACTCGGCTACCGGTTTCATGAGTGAGCGGCTTTGTTGTCAGGGCTTTGGCCAATTCGTGGGCTGCTGTAATGGATGGCTGTGTCAGTTTGATAAGGGCCACCAGATAGGTGGGAGCAAGTCCAGGATATTCCTGACCCAGAGAAGCAGCTTCCACTTGGACTTCGGGTTCTTCAGATCGAGTGTCCTCAGGCAAAAAAGTCTTGAGGATAGCCGAGATGGTTCGTGAGACGGAACGGTTTTCTTGGTTGTATAAAGATAGCACGACCTGAGAAGGAATGTTTGCGCGATCCGATATGAAATCAACATCACTTTTGGCAGTCTGCCACTGGTTGGTCGATGGTCGCGATTCGGTGGGTAGCGAAGAAGACCGCGTGGCATCGATGACTTTGATGTTCTTGCCGCGTTTCTTTCCTTTTCGACCTCTTTTGACTACGTTTTCTTCACTGAAGGCGTCGATGCCCTTAGCCGAGACCTTGTCCTTTCCATCAATAGTGCCGCCTTCCTCGAAATAAACTTGGTTCAATAGATCATCGAATGCGGGCTTCCATTTTGATTCGTGATGGGCGAGCGTGTGCGAAATTGTGTACTCGGAGAGCGAAGGAAATATGTCCTTGAGAATAGAAACCTTGGTATCTTGGTCGCAAGCCTCGAAGTCGTATTCAGCACGATCCGGAGAGCCTTCAGAGTCCAGATCGACGCTTGACAGGCCGTTAGACAGGCTAGTCACATCGGTTTCTCGTGACACGGAAGCAGATTCTGGCACCGAGGCTGGATGTCCTGGGCTGTAGTCTTCACGTTGGGCGCCGCTTCCAGAAGCATCGAAGCCAGTAGCCTCTTCTTCGATAGCGGTAGCTTTGAGGGCGTCCAGTGTAGCCCTGAGCTCGGTAGCGGCATCTGAGTTGGTCAAGTCATAGTCGGAGACAATGGCAGAGAAAAGAGCGGAATCAATTGGCGGACAGTATTCTGNCCTAGTGGGCGTCAGCGGACTCGTCGTCGGCGGGGTTTGGCGGCTGACCTCGAGCTGGTGGAAAAGATCACCCATGTTCTAGCTTGCGATAAAGAGAACAAAATTCAAGGTCTATAACAAATCGCATAATCACAATAGGTAGGAGAGTGAAATCAGAAGGAGAAAGAAGAACAAATCAGACAGTGAACGTGTCGCGTGTGTTGGCTGTCTATGACCGCGCGATCAGACTTTCAAGATTGGCGCCCGAGCTTTGATAGAGACCGAGACCGTTTTGCGTGACGACATGGCTGCTTGGCCGGGGTTAAGGGAGCAGAGGCAGCAAGACAAGCAACAGGATGGAAGAACGATTTGCAGAGATGGATCAGACAAGAAAGAGTGAAACAACGTGACCTGGTAGCATTTACGCAGCAGGACGAAATTAGGGCGTGCGACTTCTGTCGGTGCGGTGATTGGAGCGTGACGAAAAGGCATGAGAAAGGGTGTCTCGGAGTAAAGAGGCAGAGGCGCTTTGATCGCTTCGGCACGTCTATCGACGGGGCTGATACGCTCGTTGTCTTCTGGCACTACCCTGGCCAGTCTTCTGTCACCCGTAACGGTAACTCTGAAGATAGCTGCTATACCATAGCTCGTTGTCTTCTTGTCAAGTGAAAGCATCTGTTTGTGACAGGCACCGGCTTTATCCCGCGCAGGCTTGCTCTTTCCGTTCGCTTATGGAGCTGTGAAAGAAAGCTCCATGGATGAGCCAGAGCCACCATTCGAACATTCATCAAGTGCAACCGCCTCAAGGTCAGCCAACCCAACACCCTCGCGTCCACCACTCTCTCACTTCCATCAACCCAACTTCACCTTTGCTTGTAACATCTCACAAATACCATCCATGACACGAGACCTTTGGTCGACCTGCCGCTCATGCCACCCAGAGTAACTCGCTCTTCAGCGAGACTTGCCGCTCCGGCCCACCCTACTACCGACTCTACTGCTGCTACACCATCTACCAATTCTTCCCTACCTCAGCAGTCATCCACTACCGCCACCTCGTCTTCTTCCCGCAAACGCAAACAGTCCCAGGAAGATCCTCCTCCGCCTGCCTCTCCGGATACCACCCAACCCCGCAGATCCAAGAGAGCTCGTCTTTCCAACCCTACCTCTGGCCAGTCCCAACCATCCAAGCGCTCCAAGAACATGTCTTCTTCCAGCCATGACGACGACCAAGATCTCTCCCGTCCATCCGTGAACAGATCCAAACACTCTTCCACTTCACCAGACGACCACGCCTCTACCACCAAACGTAGGTCGTCCCGTAGAAAGAGCAGCCAAGGTCCGCCATACCTTCCATCAAACTTTTCCTATGCCCCTGCTAACCCAGCCTCAGCTCCCACATCTGCTCAACCCTCGTCCTCGCGCAAATCTTCCAAAAGTCTTCACACAAGAAGGTCCCCGACGCCTCGTCCAGTCGCCCCAATCCCGATCCACCACGGATGCCCGTTGATTACGACGATGACGACGACGATCCGGAAGACAACGACGACGACGATGAGCTAGGAGATGAAGATGACGATGAAGATGCTGCTGCCGCTGCTGCTGCTCTCGGATATTCTGGCGGCGAACCGGGCGATGACCCCTTNTCCGGTGCTTTCCTCAACCGCTCAGGCATGCCCGCCGGCCTGTCGAGTACCCTTCGCGCTCTTAGTGGTATGATGTCGGGTATGACGACCCGCTTGCGAGGCATTCTGGAGAATCTACGTGCGAAGGATGACCCTTCGGTACAAATGATTGCTCTTACCGAGCTCTCGGAGATCTTGCTCGTCTCAAACGAAGACAACCTTGCTGGACACTTCTCTCCCGATCAGTTCGTCAAAGAGTTGGTGGATCTCATGCAGCCCAATGATTTCACTGGTGAAGAGAACCCTGAGATGATGCTGTTGGCTTGCAGATGTATCGCAAATTTGATGGAGGCTCTGCCTCAAGCTACTGCGAGCGTAGTATATGGCGGTGCTGTGCCTATTCTGTGCCAGAAGCTCCTCGAAATCCACTACATTGACCTCGCCGAGCAAGCACTCAGTACCCTCGAGAAGATATCGATCGAGTTTCCCGCCTCCATCGTTCGTGAAGGTGGTCTTACTGCCTGCCTGACCTACCTCGATTTCTTCGCCACCAGCACCCAGCGAAGCGCTGTTACCACCGCCGCGAATTGCTGCAGAAACCTGTCTGATGACTCGTTCCCTACCGTACGCGATGTCATGCCTATTCTTCTCAACGTCCTGTCGAGTAGCGATCAACGGGTCGTGGAACAAGGCTCGCTCTGTGTTTCTAGGATCGTAGAGAGTTTCAGATACCAAGAGTCTAAGCTTGAAGAGCTGGTCAGTCCTGAACTGCTCAAGGCTGTACTCAGACTGCTTCTACCTGGTACAACCACCATGATCGGACCCAGCATTCACACTCAGTTTTTGCGCGTTTTGTCCATCACCGCAAGGGCAAGCCCGCGCTTGGCGGTGGAGTTGCTACGAATGGATGTTGTCGACACTCTCTATCAAATCCTTACTGGAGTTTCTCCCCCTTCAAACAATGACGATGTTGCCTTGAAGATTGATAAGAACATCATTATGCAAGCTCTCATTCGTACGCCACGCGACCAGATCTTTGAGACTCTGAATGTCGTCTGCGAGATTCTCCCTAGTGTTTCGCCTGATAACCTCATGTTCATCAACGATCTCACTGATGCTGGTAACACTGGTCCAGGTAGTGTCTCAATGGGCACTCGTGCTCGCAGCTCGCCGAATGATAAGCGCTTGGAGCTTCTACGAGAATGTCAGCCCGAGGTTCGCCGCTTTGCAGTTATCCTCTTCCCAACTTTGATGCACGCATACACGAGTACCGTCAATCTCAGCGTCAGGCAGAAAGTGCTTACTGCACAGCTCAAGATGCTTTCCAACTTTGACACCACTGTGCTCGAGGATGCCCTCTCGGGCGTAGCTTACGCTTCACACCTCGCATCAATCCTAACACAGCAAGAGAACCCGATGCTCGTCACCTTTGCCCTACAAGTTGCCGAACTTCTTCTCAAGCGACTTGAGTCGACTTACAGACCTCAATTCTATCGTGAAGGTGTCATGGCCGAGATCAGCAAGCTTGCACAGCGAGAGATGACCTCCGTCAACTCAAACGAGCCCAACACTACTTCAGCACCGCCTGTTGATGCACCTTCTTTCTCTGCAGAGCTCCCTGTAAGATCGGAACATGGTGAAGACGATGACCCTAGTGAGCCTGATTATCCTGACGAGGGGTCTGCTGGAGAGCATGACGACGACAATGATGACCACGATGATGATGATGACGACGATTCGGGATCAGAATCTGGAGCACAGAACCTGCGTACACCCGTTACTGCCAGCGTCCAAGATATCATCACAACCAGAGCCCGCCAGTTCGTTGAGGCATATCAGAATGATGGTGGGCTTGGTGAGGCTTCAAGGGCACTCTCGGAGCTTAAAAACCTTGCTGAAGATCTTCGCAAGTGTTACAGCTCGAACAACCTGTCTGATGGGCCCAAATTATTCCAACGTCTCGCCAAGCATTTCGATGGTGACACTCCCGAGACCATCACGAGCTACGAGTTACTCACCTCTGATATTGTCGCAACTCTACTCGAGATCTTCAAGTCCTCAGACAGTCAGACAGGCCGTGCTGCGAGATCCGCCTTCCTGGACGCATTCATGTCACGAAGAGGCCAAATAAAAGGTACAACTGGCAACACAACTTCCCCAGCAACTGCATTCAGTGCCTTGATCCACAAGCTACAAGATTTGCTTAGCCGAACAGAGCACTTTGAGGTCATTACGGTCCACCAGAACGCTTCTGACAGCAGCAGAAGTGGTGCAGCTTCGATGCTTGCCAAGCAACTGCGTATCAAGCTATCGGCCGATGATGAATCTGGCATTCCACGTCCTTACAGAAACATCATGGTCTCAATCCATGCCATCGCAACATTTAGAGCTCTTGATGATTACCTGCGTCCACGTATCAGCCTTGCAGAAAGAGCTGTACGCAGTCGTGAAGCGCTGACTAACAGCCTCGCCGAAGCAGCTGCTCGCAAAGACGGAAATGCTACAGAAGGAGCTTCAACTCCTGCAAGCAAACGCGCTCATACAAGATCGTCTCAACCCGACAGCACTCCTAAGAACAGCGGTGACGCTAACAACCGCTTGCGTAGATCTTCGCGCAAAGTTACACANAAAGATTCTAATGTGGCTGAGGACGATCAACATCAGCTAGAGTGTGCTGACGAAGCCGCTCTTTCAGATGAAGATGAAGATGGCGGAGAGGACCTTGACGCCATCGTTAACGACTTTGACGACGAAGACCAGGACATGGAAGATGCGGACCAGGACACTTCGGCAGTCAATCTGGAGGTCGCTAACAGCGGAAAAGTAACTGCTCACAAGGAGGATGGTACCCGTATCAGTACCCCACTACAAGGCTCACAGCAGTCTGCAACTTCTCGTACCTCTGCTTCTGCAAGGCTTGCTGCGGCGAGAGAAGTTCTCTCTACACCTACTTCACAGAGACCTGCCAATGCTCCTGCAATCCAACCTGTTTCTCAAGACTGGCATATTGAGTTCAGTGTCGACGGGCAGCCATTGTCCAACGACACCACAATCTACCGTGCTGTTCACTTCAACCAGACCCACCCCGACGAGGTATCGAGCCGTAATATTTGGTCAACACTACACAAGATATCTTTCAGACGTGCTCCTGGCCCCCCTCCTGCAGAGCCTAGCACGCTCCATTCGTCATCAGACCCTTCGACAGCGTCCACCTCTGAACTCCCACCTTCGCTCAGTCAGCATCCTGCCACCGCCGCCATTCTTCGTTTGATGAGCACCCTGCACGACATGAACGCCAATCTGGAAGACATTGTTGCTGAAGAGCAAAGCAATGGCACGCAGATGAGCTCGGAGCCTCTGGCTCAATTCGTCAATACCAAGTTGACCGCCAAACTTAACCGTCAGCTTGAAGAGCCTCTGATTGTCGCTAGCAACTGCCTTCCTACCTGGAGTGAGGACCTCGCTCGCCTGTATCCATTCTTGTTCCCATTCGAGACCAGACACTTCTTCCTCCAGTCGACCTCGTTTGGCTACTCGAGATCCATGACTAGATGGCAGAATGCCCAATCAGAAAATGAATCCAGACGTCATCGCGATGAACGACCTTTCCTGGGTCGTCTACAGAGGCAAAAGGTTCGCATCTCTCGCAGTAGAATTCTTGAATCTGCCATCAAGGTTATGGAGCTTTACGGATCATCTCCAAGCATTCTTGAGGTTGAATACTTCGAAGAGGTCGGTACCGGGCTTGGCCCAACTCTTGAATTCTATTCGACGGTGTCCAAAGAGTTCTCGAAGAAGAAGATCAAGCTCTGGCGTGAGAACGAGTCAATCGCTGGTGACGATTATGCCTTTGGTATGCGCGGCTTGTTCCCAGCTCCAATGAGTGAGGCACAGTCGAACGACGAACACGGCAAGAAGGTGCTGCACTTGTTCAAGATGTTGGGCAAATTCGTTGCACGCTCGATGCTGGACTCGCGCATCATTGATGTTTCTTTCAATCCTACTTTCTTCCGCATAAGCGCGGGCAACTCCACAATCAAGCCATCCCTTGGAGCCGTTGCTTCGGTGGACAAGGATCTTGCCAATTCCTTGAAGCCTCTTGTACGCTGTGCAAGAGCAAAGCAGGACATCCAGGAAGATGAGACGATGACTGCGGAGCAAAAGACTCAAGCTATCAAGGACATCAAGATCAAGGATGCCTCCATTGAAGACCTTGGCCTTGACTTTACGCTGCCTGGCTACCCTACCATTGAACTCCAACCCAATGGTTCTGAGATTGATGTGACCATTGATAACGTTGAGATGTATGTCGAGAAGGTCATCGACTTCACCCTTGGCCAAGGAGTGCAGAAGCAGGTCGATGCTTTCTGTGCTGGGTTCTCTCAGGTGTTCCCGTACTCGGCCCTCAAGGCATTTACACCTGATGAGCTGGTTATGCTCTTTGGCCGTGCTGAGGAGGACTGGTCGCTTGAGACACTTATGGATTCGATCAAGGCTGACCATGGCTTCAATCTCGACAGCGCAAGCGTCAAGAACCTTCTGCAAACAATGTCAGAGTTCACGATGCCTGAGAGACGCGACTTCCTGCAATTCGTTACTGGCAGTCCCAAGCTCCCCATTGGAGGTAAGTTTCGAGTGAATCTATGTAGACTATTGACGGTGCTAACTAAAAAAACAGGATTCAAATCATTGACTCCAATGTTCACGGTGGTGTGCAAGCCCAACGAGCCTCCACTAATGCCCGACGACTACCTGCCGAGTGTCATGACATGCGTCAACTATCTGAAGATGCCCAACTACAGCTCCCAAGAAGTGCTGCGGGCCAAGTTGAGTGTTGCAATCAAGGAGGGACAAGGGGCTTTCCACCTGTCATAATGGACAGAGATGGTGTTCACAAGCAAAGCTAGGAGTTTCCGATTGGTGTTTTGAGATGGGATAAATTATTATCATGGAGTTTTGGAGTGACTTTGGCCGCGATGGGATGGAGAGGGAGGATATTTATCACATGGTTTGCCATCTGGTGGCTCTGCATAGCATCGGCGTCAACAAACAACTCAATCGAACTCCCAATTACGTATACATATTATGAGAAAAGTCCTAACTACACAATCGGTCACTCAGAGATGTAACACATGCGAAGCATGGTGATAGCGATTAATGAGGAAACCCTGACCCTCTACCTATGACGTCGAAGCTCGCGACAATCATCATCTGTAAACGCGACAACCAGCATCCATCTCTCTTGCATCAACAACTCTCCGCAAGCAATGGCACCAATACGACGGTACCTACGTATCACACGCTACTCGGTGCTCGAAGTGCGCATCTATCTCGACAACCCCGCCCTCGCCAACTCGTGGCTCCTCAATTCACGCGATCCTGCACTACCACGAGTCATTGAAGCCGTACGACCACTCGTGCTACCCAAACTGCGCGAAGAGAACGAGAATGCAAAGAAGAAAGGCGGAAAGAAGAAGAAGGGTGTGAGGGACGTGGTTGCGCAAGGTATACACTTCTGAAGCTTCTGTCACTCTGCATAGAGGTTCAAGGACTGATGCTTGTGGTACNNAGATGACTTTGAAGTCTCAATCTTCTTGACCGAGACATCGACCTCTCACGCCATGCTCACAAAGCAAAAGACGTTTACACAAAAACCTCGCCTCGAAAGCAATACCTCGAAATTGACGAATTATTTCGGAAGCAATACTGAGAATGCTATTCATGTTCACGATGATGAAGAAGCTCCTGCTGTTTTGCTTGAAGAAGATGCCGACGAGATCAAATTGGGAGATGTTCCCGAAGTCACAGCTGGCAACNNACGAACAAACGCTCTCGCAACGATGACGATGACGAACATATCTTTGTGCAAAGCGAAGAAGATGAGGAAGAGGAAGTACCACAGCNNCGAGAAAGAAGAAGAGCAAAGTCAAGGATACTGCACAAGAAGAGGATGATAAAAGAAAATGGGCATCAAGACTGCGTATGAAGGATTCAGTATCTATGGCCGCATTTTGTGTTTGATTGTCAAGCGCAAAGGAGTCAAGAAGAACACTTCGGGGAATACTGCTGGAAGTGCGATGCTTGAGAATTGGGTTTCAACGCAAGCAGACAATGAAGGTGTGCTTGATGATGCTGAGGATGGATGAAACAAAAGTCAATCATTGCTTTTGAGGAAAGAGCAAAGAGAAGCTATATACACAGTCCGAACGGACTATCTGCTCATGCAGCCTTCTTAGCCGAAAGCGCGGCGGAAGTACTGGAAGGTTGAGAGTTGATGTCCGACACCACGATACCGAGGATCCAGCAGTTTATGCCGAAGAAGAGCATACTGGCTACCCAGAGCCCCGGCACGAAAGTCGACTTGCCGAGGAACTCGAGCTCGTATCCTTGCTGCAGCCACAAAGCCTNGCATCATTACCATCCGTTAGCCAAGGAAACACGTATGGGAGAGAAGACTACTCTTACCTGACCAATGACCCAGAGGGCAAGAGCAGAGTAGCCAAGCTTAGGCTGACGAAGCAATGACGAATTGGGAAGGTAGAATGGGAGGAACACCATGTACCACAAAAAGTNACTACGATACCCATCAGATTAGCCAAAGATGCTCAAAAAGAGGACTATATCACGAAAGCTCACCTGACTTGTGCAGACCTTGTTGAATGTGACAAAAGCGAACGTCTGAGCCAACATCGTACTTGCCAGATCCTTCTTTGCCAGAAGCAGAGGAATGGCAATTACAGAGAGGAAGAGTTGAGGAAAGAAAGCCAGAGATTCAACGCCTAGTCCTGAAGATGAGCCTAGAGCAGACTTCATGTGAAGCAGAGTGTTGTAGACTGAGAAGTTGTGGCGGTGGTCGATGCGAGTGAGGTGGTAGGTATAGCTGTGTCTGATAAACTCAATGCCATATCTGCAAAGATGAATTATTAGCAATCAAAGCAATACACCTCCTGTACTTCTCGAAGACAGAAACAAAACTTACAGTCTGAACATGAGTATATTCAACCCCATGAACGTGACAAAGCTGAACAGAGCCAACTGCACCCTCCTACGATTGACAATTCCACCAANAAGCCCACCTCTTCCATCCCACGAACCAGCTTGTCGTCTATCCAACCACCAAAACAGACTAACCGCGTAAATAAACGGATAAATCTTGAAATGCACCCCTAGCCCAAGCAAACAACCTGCCAACATGGTTCTTCCAACACTAGCAGCCCATAAGATGCCAACCACAATAACAGCAAGCAACCCTTCTGAACTTCCTCTGGTGCTGATATTCGCAACCATAGGGTTTAACAGCCAGATACTTGCAAACCCCATTGCCCTTGCTTTACTCATCTTCTGTCTCAGCAGCAAGAAAATCAAATACCCGGTTACGATGTCCCCGATTGCGAAGACTGCTTTTCCGAAACAGAACCAGCGGCCTCCCCATGCTGTGGGATAGAGCAGCCAGGCTAAGAGAGGGGTATACCGATACGTGTCGCGAAGATAAGGAGATTGGTTGTGATACACATAGCGAGATGCATCGGTGAATACCAAGTAATCGATGTCCGTGTATTTTAGAGGTGAGTTTGCGTCTTGGTATTCGCCCCAGAGGAGGAGAGCTGCGCGGAGCAACAGGGAGATGCCCAGAATTAGGCGTGTGTTGGAGAAGAGGTTGGTTATTGTGCTTGATTCTTTGACTTCGGGTCCTCCAGGCTTCCCAGAAGTTGTTTTTGACATATTCCTCAGGACTTCTAGGATTAAAGATCCTTCGATGGTATGTTTGTTCATATGTTTTGTTGCAACTACACGGATAAGAGAGGCTGAGGTGGAACTTTTGGCGATCCAAAGTCTTGGCATTATGGACCATCACTTCAAAAAGGCATTAGAAGTCAAGATTATTTTGCACCATTGGTGATCAGATGAGGCTACTTGTCAAATATGTTCAGGGTATTACGGAAAATACATTGCTGATCTGGATAAGTTGAATGTGCAATTTATGATATTGTGAAATCTTGAACCTCCATAAGAATCTTCATTACTTCACAGCTAGCTGCTTCATAAACTAAGTAGCAAGACCGATGTTGTGATTGGCCATGGCGGCTTCCATGTTCCTCTCCATGCTAAAGGCGGAGCTAGTGGGAGAAATAAGCGGTGAAGGTGGTGTTTCCGAGACCGACTTGAACGTATTCAGAATTCGGAGAGTACCACTACCAACAGATCTTTGTGATTGGCCGCTCCAGGCACGCTGGAGTTTGGGTCTAGCCCACTCAGACCAGGACTTCTTCATCTCGATGGGGCCCTCGACTTTGGTCTGCTCGGCCATCTTCAGACCAGCTTCGCCCTTTTTCCAGTTGACGGGACAACCCTCTCCATATTCATCCTTGAAAGCGAGGGCGTCGATGATACGTAGAGTCTCATCAACACTACGTCCGACATCTGCATCACTAATGGTGATGTTTCTGACATTTCCCTTGGGGTCGATGATGAAGAGAGCGCGTTCAGCGACACCTTCATCCTCGAGCAGAACGCCATAGTCGCGACTGATCTTGTGGTTGCTGTCGCTCATGAGAGGGACATGAACACCACCAAGACCCCCTTCCATCTCGTTGGTATGGTTCCAGGCACGAAGACATAGCTCAGTATCGGTCGAAGCGAAGACAACAGCGCAAGAGCGAGAATAAAGGAACTCCTCAAGACGTTCGCTGAAGGCGCGAATCTCGGTTGGACAGACAAACGACCAGGCTTTGGGGAAGAAAATGAGGGCGACCCAGTGGTTGGCACTCGTGTAAGCACTCAGACTGATTTCTACAGTGTTGGTCAGTCTCTGATAGTGTTATGGATAGATCAATGCGGTCTTACCTTTGAGCCTGCCATCCATGACCGCCGTAGCGGTAAAGTCAGGAGCCGGCTTGCCGACAGAGGCTCTAATCATGGTGGTTATTGTTGAAAGATCGTTAGCAGACAGTGACTGAACAGAGGTTGAATGGGCGTTAGGATGTGAGCATCGACTGTCTTTGAAGCCTACTTGTATTTGCGACTAGATACGGCCACGCAACCCAGCTACCGAGAGCAGAAATAAAGTCTCATGGTTTCCGCTTGCGGACTTTCATAGGGCTGCTGCATGATCTGGATTCTGGGATCGAGGGGTGTAAGAATGCCTTTGTTCCGGCTGCACATTCCTCGTCCCCAACAACCATGTGGCTGTTCTTCCGATGAACTGAGCCGATCAAGATTATAGCAGTAACAAGAACCTACGGGTGATGGTTAGAAACCAGTATAGTTACGAGTATTCCTCAGTTGATCTGGTCCTAGACGATTTGACCGTGTTCTCAACGATCAAGCATCCTGGTCGACCAGCGCTTGTTCTCTCAGCTGAATTGAGGATGTACAAGACCTACGAGCATATCAGACTCTGATGAAGGGCCCCGATCTAGGTGCGGGACGGATGATGAGTTGCGATGACTCAGTTCGGGATGGGATGAAGATGAAAGAGAAGACACGGGCCGAAGATTGGTTTGGAATCAGATGCGGAACGAGGATCGGAACGCTTTCGTGCCAAGACCGAGTCTCTCGCAGCAGTGACATAACCAAAAGCTCGCCGAAAGAAGCAGTTACAAAGAAATCCAAGAAGCAAAACAACGCACAGCAAATGGGCCAGAAGCGACCAAGATCAGACACAATGGAGGCCACCGAAGAGAAGCAATCGCCTTTCCTGCCCATGTTCGAGACCTTCCGTGCCGAATTGGACGAACATCACGACCGCCGAGAACGCACCATTAAAGCATCGCGAGATATAACCGCTGCATCAAAGAAGATGTCCGTCCCTTGATACAACAAAAAGTCATTGCCACTGTTTTGGCTGACAAGAATACCTTTGCAGTATCTTCACTCTCCAAAGGTGCGACAAGACCTTCTACACGACATCCCCGACAAAGAGCTGATGGCATTGTGCTTAGGNATTCGCAAACTCGCCCAACCGCTGCCTGCACATGTTAACAAGAACAATGCGCAATACTACGACATCATCAAGGATCGCTACAACACAGTCTCCGCCGACCTTCAAGGATTGAATGCTTGGAGATATGCTCGCAATATTACTGGTGGCAACCAAGAGTACATGGAGGCTGCTATCTTCCAGCACTATCTGACAACTGGAACACTGCTCACATATGAAGAGTCGGTAGAGCAATTGCGCACTTTGGGTGGCGAGGGTGGTCCGGTACAACTCACAGTCGAGGATTATCTGCTCGGTGTATTCGATATGACGGGTGAGCTGATGCGTTTCTCCATCACCACCATGGCTACCGATGGCAAGCTGCCTTCAGTCGAATCGAATGACGACACTGCATCGGCGGATAAGATGGATGTGGACACACAACCTGGCACCCGCAGGGACGTTCTCACAGATCTCCGTGCGCTGCGTTCAGAGCTGGAAGGCTTGAATGTTGGCTTCGGAAGCTCGTTCGCCCGTGATGTGGACAAGAAGATGGATGTCATGCAGACGAGCGTCGAAAAGGTGGAAAAGGTTCTGTACGGCCTCGTCATTCGAGGCAGGGAAAGACCGAAGGGTTGGATGCCCGACCTCGATTCTGGCCCACGCAGAGACGTCGAAGTCGATGCTTAAGCACACGAAGTTGTGGGAAACGAATCCAATGTACCACTAAATCATGACAGTGGATTTCTTAGCTTCAATAGCTATGTACGAATAAACTACGACATGGATCTCATTCGTGCGACTTTTTACAGCTTGGTGCCCAAGTTGACGTGGATGGCCTTCTTATTGGTGTAGGCTTCGAGACCAGCCTCACCCAACTCTCTGCCAATACCACTCTGCTTGACACCTCCGAAGGGAACACGGTAATCCGAGTCATTGCTCGAGTTGATCCAGACCATACCAGCCTCAATGTTTCTCGCCACACGGTGTGCCTTTGTGATATCTTGAGTAAAGACAGCAGAGCCCAGACCATAGGTGGTGTTGTTGGCTCTATCGACTGCTTCTTGCTCATCCTTGAACGACGAAATGACAACAAAAGGACCAAAGACCTCTTCCTTGAAGACCCTCATGTCATCNNCCTTGACATCGACGAAGATAGTGGGCTTAACGAAGAAGCCTTTGCCGTCTTGCTTGAATGGCTCACCACCTGAGATGAGCTTGGCTCCCTCAGACTTGCCGGCCTCGACGTAGGACAAGACGCGCTCGTACTGTGCCTTTGTGACCTGAGGACCCTGAAAAGTGGTCTCTGCGAATGGATCACCGACAACACTGGTCTCCTTGCAGTGCTCCTTGAACGCCGAGATGAATTTGTCGTAGACTCCTTCTTGCACAAGAATACGCGAAGTAGCTGTGCAGATCTGGCCTTGGTTTGACATAATGCCGATGTGTGCCCACTTGACTGCCTGATCAAGATCTGCATCGTCGAATACCAGGAGAGGCGACTTGCCGCCAGTCTCGAGTGTGATGTTCTTGAGGTTCACGGCAGCCATCTTCATGATCTCGCGACCTGTTGCGGTTGAGCCGGTGAAAGCGACTTTGTCTACATCCATGTGTTGCACAAGAGCAGAACCAGCTTCACGACCGTAGCCGTTCACGATGTTGACGACACCTGGTGGGAAACCAGCCTCCTTGATCAAATTGGCGAGGTAGAGAATAGCGAGGGGAGTTTGTTCAGCGGGCTTCAGGACGATGGTGTTTCCAGCAGCGAGAGCGGGACCGAGCTTCCATGCTGCCATAGCGAGAGGGTAGTTCCAAGGGATAATCTGGGCGCAGACACCGATGGGTTCGCGGATTGTGTAGGCCAACTTGGCCGGTGTGGTATCAATGACTTGTCCGTGGATCTTGTCTGCATATCCGGCGTAGTACTTGAGTGTGCCAATGACCTCGCCCAGGTCCTCGTTCAATGCGACTGAGTATGGCTTGCNCTATATCCATCTTGTCAGCTTCCACCTTCTGAATCATTGTTGAGATTGTGGTTTACCATTGTCCCATGTCTCGATTGTTGCAAGAACCTCCTTGTGTTGTTCAATCAAGTTTGCTAACTTGATCATGAGCTCTCCTCTGTCTGTGCTGGCGATTTCTCTCCATTCTCCTTTGAAAGCCTTCCTTGCTGCAGCGACGGCCTTGTTGACATCCTCGGCTTCGGCGGCTTCGACGGAGCAAATCTCGCTCTCGTCACTATAGATACCTTGTCAGTCCTTGTCACTGTCCCGAAAGCTTGTGGTTGGGAAAAGTGGCTAGGATTTGGAAGAGACAAAACAACCCAGCTTGTGAACTCAAGTCTGAAGCCAATAAAGATTCGCTCGCCAGAGAGGGCATCTTCTCTCTCGTCAAAATCTGGCATGCGAGCTGTACCATGCGTCATAAAGATTCAAAAAGCAGGCTTACCTAGGGTTTATGCTAGAAATCTTGTTGCCCTTCGAGGACTTGACCCATTCATTGTTGATGAACAGACCAGTAGGTTGCGTGTACTTGACACCATTAGGCGCCGTAAGCTCAACCGAAAGACCAGACATGTTGCGAGAAACAATCGTAAATAGCTTCGAAGGAGCAGGGTATCTTGGAAATCGAAAAGAAAGAGGAACAGAAGAACGGAGGAGAGAGCGGTACATGGAGCACAAGGAAGAGGGGAAGTGCCCTCGTAGATATATGCTTACACCTACGTAAGATAAATCAGCTACCGGCCAACCCTCGATCTAGTACGGATGTTCTTGGGCAACGATAAGGCACGGCGTGTTCCTCGAGAGCTACAAAACGCGGCTGCCCCACCAAAGGATACTCCACGCTTGGAGGGGTCTTCTGTATGCGCTAGCGCCTAAAAGAGGAGTTCCAGGCGACCACTGTTGGCAACAGAAGTAGGGCTTGTAGACATAGCATCTTTCCGTTGTCCTTTGGAGACCTGGATGTTCTGCTAGACAAGAAGAATGGCTGATCTATGCCGATGATGTTGAACGTGTCCAAACACATGAGAGGAATTGGAACAATCAGTTATCTTCGTCAGATTGTAGAAAGGTCAGTCTCGCAAAGCTGCTCGGAGATAGACAGGATATATGCTGGTCCGTGCATGATATCCTCCTAGCCAAACTTGGTCATCATTTGGGCCAAAGATTCACTATCACTCCGCTCGCCATCAGTGCAAGTTTAGGTAGGTAGAACTGATATCAAACTCAAGCCGAGTTATACACTGAACATTGTGAGACTGACCATCATATCAAGCAGTCGAATGTTGCGCCGAGTTGTAGCGTCGGCATTCAGAAGGCCGTTTTCTACTATGACTTCCTCAATGACACCGATGGAAGATGCTATCAAGCAAAAGGTGTGTAGGCTGACTCGATGGATGCTGGCTGAGCATTTCTGACCATATCAGATCACACAAGAGCTGAACCCAACTTCGCTCGAGATCTTCAATGACTCGCATAAGCACGCTCACCACAAGGCAATGGCAGGTGTGACTTCGAGAGAGACGCATTTCAGGCATGTAGATTCTGAGATTCGTCTTCACTCATCTCGAGAAGAGGTACCAGCAAATTTGCGTTGACCATAACTAACATGCCCTAGGGTCAACATTGTTTCAGAAGCTTTCAAGTCAAAGATGCAGCCAGCAAGACACAGAATGGTCTACACTCTCTTGAAGGATGAGATGGCTGCTGAAGGCGGCATCCATGCTCTGCAGCTCAAAACTCGCACACCCGAGGAAGAGGAGAAGGCAAAAGCACGAGAGTCATGATCCTCTTCGGTCATGTTTACACACTTTCATAACACAAATGGGAAAACACATGGAGTTTTAAAGCATAATAGAGCAGAATGCATTTTTATATGCCAGTCGAATAGCATTTCTGACATGGCTCATTTACCTAATGTACAATGTCTGTGGTTCATGTAGCAGGGCTAGGTATAGGGCTGAGCATAACTGTTATGAGCAAGCAAAGTCGTGGCTGACTGCCATATTTTTGCGACCACGGAGCGAGATTAAGTCGGAGCGTTCAAGGTTCGGAACCAGAGAATCATTAGAGAAGGATGAAAGCCTTGGATTTCGGCCTCGATCTTATGAAGGAGGGAGATCCTTGGGGATGGGAGAGCCGGTAGAGTTAAGGTAGGAGAGGTAGCAGTTCCAGCNCTTGGACTTGTTAGCAAAGCTTGTGCGAATTGAGAAGGAGCAGCACATACCCAATGAGACAACGTTGACGACCAAGACTCTGTGTTGAAGAGGAACGAACTTGAAGTTCACAGCCTGAACGAATGGCCAGAGCATCCAGTTCTTGGAGAGAGCGTTCCAGTATGTGGACTCGATCTTCTTCTGAGGATCCGAACCTTCCATGATAGCCATTGACGAAAGGAAGACGAACAAGTTGGTGGGGGCAAGGACGGTCTGATCGAGACCAACACGGGCAAGGATCTCCATGTTGGGAGAGCTGGGAATGCGAACGCGGCGCTGCAAGAAGCCGAACCAGGTGGTAGCAAGAGGACCGAAGACAGNCTGTGCCATTTCAGTCAGTGATGGTGCAGAGTGTTGTGTCAATAAACACATACCTCCACCGTAGAGTGCCATGCGTGCACTACGTGCAAGATCGTGGTTCTTCAAGCCGACTTGCTCAACACCCTGCTGGGCCATAGTATCACCGGTCGCGAAGAGCACCTAGCATGATTGTCAATCATTGAACATTCTCGCCGTCTTTTCATCAGCGCATACAGCAGTGGTAATGCTCTGAGTGAGCATAGGGCGCTGAGCAAGCTTCACGCCATACCTGAATGCTTGTTAGCCATAGAAAGGAGTAGTTCTAGCGCCCAGAACGAACCAGCGAAGGAAGGAAGCCATTTTGACGTTGTAGTTATGAGAACGATTGTGAATGGCAGATAGTCAATGTGCGCCGCGCTTCGAAGATGAACGATGAGAGATGAGAGAAAGACGGGTACTGAATTGACAGGAATTGAAGCGCCAGTCTTCCTGTCGCACACTGCAGATGGATAATTGTTATCAGGAATTCAGCCGTGCAGGCTGTTTTGTCCAGGGACCACGCGGGTGTGGGTATGACGATAAAGGCACGTGCGCTGCCTCGGGGTAATCGGATAATGAACCCCGAGCTGCCACAATCTTGTGAAGCCTGAAGACTTCAGCCTCTCAGCATCAACTCGTACAACCTACTGCTGAGTTTGTTGGGAAAACAGATGGCATGTCATGGTACCTGGAGGATCTTGCTAACTCCTCAAGTCCATGAAGGGCTTATGTATGTCGTGCAGACTGCATCGATTATATCAATAGCTGTCCGTTTTCATGAGGCATTCTGACAGCAGCTACTGAAAGCCAAGATGCTTTATACGTACGAAGTATTTTTGACAGTGTCAATCAGTGCTGCGAATGGACAGGCTGTATTCCGCAATAATATCAGGACATACTTCTCTAAATCTACCTTGACGTCGAGAAACATCCCGACTTGCATAGATTTTACTGGGAAAGACAATCAATTTAGGCTTCTCCAAGAACCATTGGAAGTAAGTCAGTAAGTCATCTAGCATTGAAACAGTAGAGATGACAGTCAAGAAGTGAGAGACGAGATGGAGAGGTGAGACGAAAGCTGAAACAATCGTCCATGCGTCATCTGGGGTCATGACTTTTTTCCATCGCGGTGCTTCCGCGCCGAGCTCTACTCATCATCTTTATTCTTGTTGTCGTACACTCAACTCTCTCAACACTCGACATGGCGCAGTCAAAAACGAGCTGCCTGAGGGCATTGGCTCATTGTTGGATACGGATCTCTACAAGCTTACCATGCAATGTGCTGTTCTGAAATACTTCCCCAACATTGGTATACGCACTTGACTCTCGCAGACATATTTACTGTTTGCTAACGCACCTGCAGAGGTCACCTACCGTTTCACCAATCGCACCGCTGATCTCAAGCTCAATCGACAAGCTTATCACTGGCTGCAAAAGCAAATCGCCCAGCTCGCCAACATCCGCGTCACAGACAAAGAGATTGAGTATCTCAGCGAGCACTGTTCTTATCTCACACCCGAGTACCTCGACTTCTTGCGCAACTTCTCCCTCCGCCCAAGTGAACAAGTCGAACTCTCCTTCCAACCATCCGCTCAGAATGCCAAGGAATCCGAATCAGACGAGGGCGACATTGCTCTGTTCGTCAAGGGTCGCTGGCTAGACACAATCCTCTACGAGATCCCATTGCTCGCCCTCGTGTCCGAGGCATACTTCAAGTTCTGCGACACAGATTGGGACCACGAGGGCCAGATCGACAAGGCCTACGAGAAGGGTCTTCGCTTGCTCGAGGCTGGCTGTTCGTTCTCCGAGTTCGGCAGCAGAAGAAGAAGGGATTACAAAACTCATAACATGGTCATGCAGGGCTTGCACCAGGCAAAGGACGAGGCTACTAAGCGCAGCTTCCCTGGAAAGTGGGCCGGTACCAGCAACGTGCATCTGGCCATGAAGTACAACGTTCCTCCTGTAGGAACCGTGGCCCACGAATGGTTCATGGGCATTGCCGCCATTACCGATGACTACACAAAAGCCAACGAGACGGCCTTGCAATACTGGAGTGGTACTTTCGGTCGTGGAGTTCTGAGCATCGCTCTCACCGATACATTCGGCACACCAGACTTCCTGAAGGCCTTCAAGAGACCTGCACCACCGGGTCACTCGCGCGATCCCAGCCTGGACAAGCCAAACCCTAGCTTTGCTGAAGTCTACACCGGAACACGACAAGACTCTGGTAACCCCTTTGAATTCATCAAGAGAATGCGCGACTTCTACGACGAGCAGAACATCACAGTGCCAAAGACGATTGTCTTCTCAGATTCGCTCAATGTGGACCGCTGCATCGAGTACATGTATGCAACACAGGCAGCCAAGTTGGTTCCCAGTTTCGGCGTGGGAACTTTCTTCACAAACGACTTCAGCAAGAAGAGTTCTGGCGAGAAGAGCGTGCCGCTCAACATTGTCATCAAGCTGTTTGAGGCTGATGGTAAGCCGTGCATCAAGATCAGCGACAATCTGGGCAAGAACATGGGCGACTCGGAGCTGGTGGCAAAGGTCAAACACGAGCTCGGCTATGTCGAGAAATCTTGGTCAGGAGGCGACGAGACGAAGAGATGGGGAACCGCAAAGGAAGGCGCTTGAGGGAAAGACGGAGTACAATAAGCGCGGCGGGTAAGGAAACGGCGTTCGAGGATGACAAGAGGTCATCATGCTCAGCACGATATACATAGCCACGACATGACGAGTACATAAGCATAGAAAGGAATAGATTGGCTCAGGCAACCACTTGAAGATGTAGATTTATTGATTTTCTCGGATCTTTTCTGCTCGGAACAGGCAGAACAATACAGCGTGCAGGCAGCACAATACCAAGATGGAATTGATGAGCGAAGGCTCTCAGAATGTGGGGTGATAAGAGGTTATCAAGGTTAGCGTTTGCTGCTAAAACCGTCTCAGGGGGGCTGTGGCTTGTTAGCGTTTCAGCTCTCCTTGAATTGTTTCTGCCTTGCCTTTTCATTTACAATCTCACCATCTGCTCCTGTTGCTCGTCTGGCACGAAACAGTCTTCTCTTTTGCTCTCACAGCACTGCACCTTCCGCCTTGTGCCTTGCTATTGTCTACACGCGGACCATTCCTCAATCATATTCACATAATCAACAAACAACATGGCGGTAAGCACAGACGAGTCCACCAAGGGTCCTGGGGTATAGCAATGCTGACATGCGACAGTACAACGGCTATGGACAGAGCAACCCTTATGGCTCCAATGGCGGCTACGACACTCCTCCCACATACAGTACGTCCTTTGTGTCTGCGACATCATCTTGGAACATCGCAATTCCATCTCCCTGTCCTCGGCCTTCTGCGAGATGCTTTGATGACAACAAGAGCCCCTGCTGACACTCCACCAGGNNAGCTCAGAACGACGTCGAAATGCAGCCACTGAACGACCCCTTCGCAGACCCATACGGCGCCAACCAACAACAAGCAGACCCCAATGCCATCCTGAATGACTGTCGTGAAGTCGGCCGTGCAATTGACGACGTAGAGAGCCGTCTCCAAGGTCTCCAGCGCCTGCACAGACAATTCGTCTCAGGCACCAATGCCACAAACAAGGAGATCGACGCCATGGGCTCTGAGATCATGACTGCCTACCGTGCCCTCGCCGACCGCGTCAAGAGAATCAAGTCCAGACCCGAGTCCAGAAACCCCCGCAACGAAGCCCAAGTCAATGCTCTCGATCGTCGTATCCGCAAAGCAATCAACAACTACCAGACCGTAGAGTCACAATTCCGCAAGGATGTTCAAGAGCAGCAGCGTCGCCAGTACCTGATCGTGAACCCCGATGCTACCGAGCAAGAAATCATCCAAGCGACCGAGTCAGGTGCCGATACTCAGATCTTCCAGCAGGCTCTCCTTAACTCGGACCGCCGAGGCCAGGCTCAGAGCACACTTGCCAACGTCCGCCAGCGTCATGATGCCATCCAGCAAATCGAGCGCACTATGACTGAACTGGCACAGCTGTTCCAAGATCTCGACACCATTGTCATGCAGCAAGAGCCCTTGATCATGAACATCGAGGAGAAGGCCGAAGAAACGCAGACGAATATGGTTCAAGCAAACGAGCACCTCGATGTTGCCACCACCAAGGCCAGATCTGCCAGAAGGAAGAAGTGGTACTGCCTGGGTATCTGCGTCGCCATTATTGTTGTCATTATTCTCATTGTCATCATTTATCTCGCTGTGACTGGCAAGCTCGGCAGCCACAAGAGCAACAACTCCAACCAGCCAGCTTAAGCACAAAGTCCTCTTCGGCGGCAGCGTCAGCTTAGTCTCTTGCTTTTTATCTTTGTTTATTCCATCCCAGCGGGCGTTTAGGGCAAAGGAGGAAAAGGTTTCGGGTGGTTACAGTACTTTTTTATTCAGAGAGCAGAAAGATAGATACCCTTACAATTCAGCTGCTAATAAGTCATACACCCTCGTAGACCTCTTGATCGTCTTTGGGCGGAACCACGCAACGTTCGTCTCCAAGATCCTGAATCTGGGCAACCGGATTCAATCCTTGCAAGCTAAGGTGATGTGGTGTAGTGGCAGCATGTGTCATTGAGGTTAAATTCCAGCAACACCGACCCGACACACCTAACCATGGTCTTGAGTCAACTGGAAGGGCGGTTTGATTTCGCCCATTGCCAGGATCTTTCTTCCATCTGTTAGTCTTGTTCTATCGCTTCTGGTTGGCGAGATATCAAATTGCATCGAAGAGAGAAGATAGACTTACCTTGCAATGATCTTGCAGCAGCTTAAAACTTCATATCGTCCTCATCATTCGCGACAGCTGTGTACTCGTCATCGCTGCCATCGTTTCGGTCGACAGCCAAAGACTCCGTGTTATACTCGATCAGTGCGATCAAATTTGCGGTCATCTGTGTCTGTACAGTAGCAAAGAAAGAAAAAGATTCATACATTCAACTGCTTGATTCATAGGTTCCATCGTGTCTCGTTCTCCATTCTCTCCTCTTGTTTCACATTCATCAACTCAGTACTCCATATCGCTTTCAACATAGTCTTCGTCATCGCTGCGATCATAGATGATGAAGGTCTCATTGGCTTTCTTTGGCGACTGACGAGTTGCTTCTCTTGGAAAGGAGACTCGTTTGCGCTGAGAGCGCGGTTGCTCAATTTTGTTGTGTTCTTCTTCGATGTCAGTCTCGGCTTCTTCATCGTCTTCAACAAGTGTGTTCTCATCCTCATCCTCATCCTCCGGTGCGTCTTTGTTGTAGTTCATCGTGTCATCAACCAAAGTGTCGTCCTCATCCATCATCACATCATTGCGCTCTGCTTGGTCGCCTTTGTACGCAAAGCGCGCAATGGCCTTCTGGAAGTTCTTTGTTGCCTCGAGCCGTGCTGGATCGATGACGGACTCTACACCAACACCGAGACCGAGCAAAACTCCTTTCTTTACCATTCTGGCCTGTTTCTGAGGATTGAGATGCCAATTCAATTCTCCAAGGCCGATCCTTGCGCCTGACAAGAATGCCTCTTNTGTGCGCACAAGATGGCTTTCGGCGACATTGGTCTGCTTGCCATGGTAAGACAGGGCATACGCAAACGCGCCACCCAGGATATCCCATTGTGTCGCTGTTGTCCTAGGCAGATTCATCTCAAAGCCGCGAATCAGTTCGGATACCAGTCTTGCAATGACAGCACTAGGGCTTGTGACGACGATACCAAACGAAGGCATCAGACGTGCAATGCCATCCACCATTGCAAGCGTTAACTCAAGGTCATCCTTTCTGAAGTCTCGTCGAATATGGGTATTGCCTTNTTNTGTCCGCATTTCATCAATGCGAAACAGAGATAGCATTTGTGGATTCCCGATGAGATGGCGTTCAAGATCTGCAAAGGCAAAGTCATAGATAATAGCTTGACGTGGAATCGTTGCCCATATTGCGTACTCATGCGATGACGGATTCATATATTTGCCATTATAATAGAGTCTTTCTGCTTTGAATCGCAAGTGTTAGGGCCATAGATGGAATATCTTTTCGGATAGCATGGTGCTACCACAGATCACATAGATCCGTGGATTTGCATTGGATTTTGCTGCCAGTCGCATAGCGAAGAAGAGATTGGACGTTGTACTGATGAGTTCAGATGCAGTCTCATCAGTGTTCAAATGAGAAAGAACAGCTGCAAACATGCGATCATCATCACATGGTGGTGGCGCAGGAGGCTTGCATGGTAAGTATGCGTAACGCCCACAGATCTCTCCATCTGCCGTTCTTACGCCCTGGCTATGGTCATCGTAGAAACGAAACAATAGCTCTGGGACGGCAGAGTGGGCCTCAGCCCGTGTGACTGGATGCTTAACATCCAGATCTTGATCAGTTGCTCTAATAATCCGCACTTGCTCGCCTCCAATCGTTCTTGTTCTTTTAGCTGACACTAGAGAGCGAGGTGACTGCTTGAAGATATTGCGAGTTGGCTTAGTGACAGAGACTTGCTTCCGAGTCTCGATAACAACGGACACAAGCTGTCTTGGTGGAACTATGGTCTGAACGGCGGACCTTTGGACCCTGCTGGCTGGTCTTGTGGTTGCAGAAGATGTACCTGAAGATTTGGCGGCGACATTGATCGATCCTACGTTCGATGATAGAGGTATACTTGACGAAAAATGAGTGATCTGCTTGTCGAAGACTTGTGAGTTCCGAGGGACTTTGGACAAGGAAGGCGTTTTGATTCGAGTGGGATCTTTGGTGAGACACTCCTCGATCTCCGTTTTGGCAAGCTCAAGCTCGACCTCCGACGAAGCTAGCACAGTCTGCCACGACTTGCAGGTCGATTTTCTGTGCTCCTGCCACTGCGCATGAAGTAAGGCTCGCTTGACACCATCTTGGTACCCAGCAAGGGTACAATCCTCTTGATATAGTGTATTGAAGACGCGGACGAGATCATTTGCTTGTAGTTTCATGTTGTGACAGACCAATAATGTTCGACGATGATGTGCCTTCCAGGTGAACTTCGGTGATGTAGGCTTTGATGTACTTGATCTGAACGGAAGTCCTTTCTTGCTTACTGCAGCTCTACGAGCAGCCAATGGTGAACCCTCTCCACTACTGGATGGAGGGGTCAATGGATATGGCGCCATTGAGGTCGATCTTGTTTGTTGTAAAGCTGCAGGTATCAATGTGTGGGTAAGAGAGAGGGGTGAGAGAGGGAGCGTCGAGATATGTCAGAATGAGGAGAGTAGTACTTGGAAGTCGTAGTGAAGGAAAAGCAAAATGAACAAGCAAGATGAAAAGCAAAGTATAGTGGAGATGAGATGACAGCCTTCACTTTCTCACTTCCTCTCTTATGCCCTTGGAAGACAGAGCGTCATTGCCATAAGCTCTTCACTTACAGAGCAGGTATCCATGGTGTCAGGCCATCTGAGAGGATCGAATGAATGATAAAAGCTCAGCGGATTCGACCAGATGAATTGACTTCCGGCGGAGGGACAAAAGAAACTCGCTGCTGAGGAGAAACCCTGCTCAAACGACGACAACGTGCAGTCTTCTCCTCCGGTATGTTACAGGGTTCGACGCATCGAAAACGTACATTACAGTAGTCAATGTCGACATGAGGTGGAGTAAGGTAGAGGTAGTCGACCAAGAAGAGAGAGTTTGAGCTGCAGGCACAACTCGTGTCCAACAACCGCGGTCCAAATTCCGCCATGTTGGCAACCATCAATCATACCCAACGAGGACAGCGACCTTCAAGTATCGTCATACAACAACAATCATGGATCGCAGCAATGCAGAAGCAACCGAGTACCTCACTGCTCTACTGAACAAGACCCTTCGCATCCACACCACAGACTCGCGCATCTTTGTCGGGACCATGAAATGCACTGATCAAGTACGTCCTTCTATCTTCCTTCACACAACACCGCTCATACTAACTGAATANCAGGAGCGCAACATCATCCTCTCCCTTGCGCACGAGTACCGCCAACCGCCATCAAGTGTAGTCGAAGACGCAGCATACCAGATGCAACTCAAAGGCGACACCGGAAACGTCAAGGTCGACATGGTCAAGAGATTTGTCGGACTGGTCGTTGTGCCAGGAAGATACATCACCAAGATCGAGGTTGAGGAATGAAAAGCTATGGATGAAGCGACAAGAAAACGATATCCATACTACTCGCCTGCACTCAAGCCGCAGGTTCCAGGCTGTCTTGAAGACATCGAGACAGGTGCGACGCCAATCTCGAGCCACCGCGCGCAAGCGTTGAGTGTTGAAACTTGCGATCGCAACGAGAAACAGTCACAGCAGGTTGCTCAGGAAAGACGAGTCTGCGAGACGCTCGCGACGAAAATACTCGACAGACACGCGGCAGGACACGACCATAATTGGGCGTAAAACATGTCACAGAGACAAACAGAGGAAGAGACATGAAGCTGAGATCTATGTGCTTTTGGCAGTCTCATGCCATGCCTAGATTTCTCTTGCACGACAAACGCAAAAAGGTGCGAGTATACTATACTTTAATCCATAAGACGCCTCGCTTCCAACCCCCACCTGTTACTGCCCGGTCGTAAATGCATTCAAAGGCCGCTCGCGTACGCATTATATGCAAATTGATGATCGTTCTTTGCTTAGTGCCTGCTTCATCATCGTTACAGTTTGACGCCCCATACTCCCTTGCCAGCGCAGACGCCTAACCAATCGCCGCCCTGGCCAGTGAGAGCGCTTTGTGGTGCCCATGAGATGTTGTTGACCTCGTAATCGCATCTCCAGCTTGCCGAGGGGCCCTTTGCTTGGGCCTCCCCTTGCGCGCCGCCGTTGATACTGGCGCCATTGCCAGAGTTGAGAAGATCCCAAACGAGTACTTGACTGTCATCGCCACCACTGGCAAGCATGCCTCGCCTGCTGGGATTCCATTCTATTGAGTTCAGAGAAGCTGAATGCCCGCGAAGCTCAAGGAGAGCAGTACCAGGTTGTCTAGCGTCAAGAATGCGTACAATATTGGACTCGGCAGCAAAGGTTGCCAGGAGGTGGGCATCGTGTGGTGAAGCGGCAAGTCGAAGAAGAGGGGGAGATGCTGGTAGTCCTGCTGCCGATGATTTTGTTGGAGAAGATGGCATAGCCGCTGTGTAAAACTTGTCAGAATTGAATCTCGAAGCAAAACTCGAATTATGAATACCTTTATCTTTGTCCGACTTTTCTGAAGGTTCGTAGATGATGGTGCTGTGCTCCAGGCTTCGCAGATCGAACATTCGTACACTTCCATCAGCACCACAACTGACAAACACATCGACACTGCCTGCACAGAAGCGGACATCAAAGACCTCCTTGTCGTGTGCAATCAGCTGTGTCTTCGCTGTAAGTGTAGGAATATCCCAGATGGTGCAAGTCGTGTCAATGCTCGATGTGATTATAAGCTTTGGTGAGAGAGTATTCCAATCGAGAGAGGTCAAAGGAGCAGTGTGTTCAGGGGTTTTCGAGTTGGAGAGGAGCGCAAGAGGCTGCAACTTGTGGACGGGCTGATCGCGTACGTTGACCGAAGCGGACCGGTTGATGTTATTGGACAGCATGGCGGGCTGGGAGGATGAGGGNNGGAGGGACCACAGGCGCAAGTGATCGCCCGAGGTAGCAAGAAGATCGGTAGATTGTTTGGATGAAGATGGTGGCTCCCATGAGATACGTGTCACTGGGTAAGCGCATGTGGCTTCGGCGACCTTGACGTAGTCGATGCCGTAGGCAGGACCGCCCATGGCTGATTGGTCCTGGGAGGTGATCTGCGTGTCGACGATTTGAANTCTGCAAGTCTAGTCAGTAGGATGCTTGATTGGATCAATGGAGACACAGATGCGACGCACAAAGTTATGAGGATCCTCGAGGTAGCTGCCAATGGCCATCTTACCACAGCTGTTACCGTTGGGCACCGGCCACTTGCACCAATCAAACGAGTAGGCGGCCCATGGAGCCATGTAGCTGCAGTTTGTTTGGCTGGGACCATAATCGTAGACGGCAGCCGACTGGGTACCCGAACGGTTGAGCAAGTCGGAATTGGTACGAGGGCGTATGTCGGCCAGGCCTAGGGGAGAATGGCTCGACGAAGGGGTGACAGAGTTGTAAGCTTTTGTAGGAGTGGTGGAGAAAGCAATGTACTTTTGGTCAAGGCCAGCAGGACTCGAGCGCGAGTGACTGTGCTGAGGATTGAGGGTGGGTTGACGCGGCGTATACTGCTGCTGGTTGGTGTTGATGGGAGGGGGCATGGTAGGGACGGTTTGCGGAGCCGAGTAGGTTGTCGCACCGGTTGATGGCCGCGAAGACGAAGAAGCGCCCGGAAGTAGAGTGTTCGGTAGAGCGGACATGTTGTGCTGTTGAGGTTGCGACGACGACAAGTGGGTGGGAGTGGCTTGTTGAAGCTGGATGCTAAAGTCGCTCTTCTTTGGTGTCTGCGCGTCGAGGCCGCCGGACATGGCGCTTCTCGCCGATGTCGTGGATATTGATGCCGGCGCGAACGCTCTTGCGCGATTACTGCCCGAAGCCGAGGGCGACGCGACCTGGTTAGTAGCTTGTGGTTGTGGTTGGTGGTGGAACAGGGCTTGGTCAGGGTAATGTTGGTCTGGCCGCTGCTGTCGCTGCATATCGGCCAACGATGATGGACTCCCGATAGAACCGAGAGATGCTGCACTCAGTCCCAGCCCCTTCACGATCGATTTTTTGTTTGGATGCGACATAATCGGAACCCGGCTCTAAACTCTCTCTACCAAATGCTGTTCAGAATCAGAAGACAAGGACGTTACTTGTAAGTCTTCGCTGCCTCGTCGCGCCCTTGTTCGACCATTATTAGCACGGTCCATAGACATTACGACGACAATTCGTTAGCGAACGTCAGACGGGATAGCTTGCTCCACACTTTTATGCCATATCCTTCGCGATCCCATCATCAACTCTTCGTATACAAGTTACAAGAACAACTCTTGTCTGTCAAACTTCTATCTCCTGATCTGTTTCAAATTTCTGCTCTACCAACATGGATGACGCTGCCAGCTTTCTTCTCTTGCTTCCTNNCCCCCCTCCATCACCTGCAACTATTCCTGCCCTCAAAGAATTATATGGCGATACCCTTACCCAAGTTCTGAAAGAGGCTGATTTGGCCTCCAAAGAATCAGTTCAACCCTCAATCCTTGACATTGCACTGGCTATACCCCACTTGACTGCACAGGCCTCTCTTCCCCGTGCAGAGCTCTATGCGCCCACCCAGACTATTCTTGCTGCCGTCTACAAACTCATCTGTCTGATCGCCGCTCAAGAACATGTCAATGTCGAAGACGCCGACGGTGTTGATGTCCGTATCCTTCCTGTCGCCTGGTCTCCTCAATCTAGCTTTGATGCTTCTGCACATCCCACTTCTTACGGGCCTGTACTCGACTTACAGTCTCTTGCTGCCAGCCAACGTCCATGGCAGTATGCATTCGGTGTAGAGAATGATCAAGGAGAGGTCTTTGTCCGCGCTTTTGTCGCTGCTAAACAGGCTGCCGCTAATCATCACTGCAATTGCCACTCAACATCTGGAGCAACGAGACCTACCACAACTCCTCGCCTATCAACCAAGGAACACCATCATGTCGCTGTGGGTGGCACTTTTGATCATCTGCACATTGGTCACAAGCTCTTACTCACTATGACCGCCTTTTCCCTTGATCAAACTCAGGCCGAGTCTATCATCACCATTGGCATCACAAACGACGAGCTGCTCAAGAACAAAAAGTATGCTGAGCAACTGGAAAGCTGGCCTGCCCGTCAAGCATCAGTTCACCGTTTCCTCGATGCGATCTTGAACTTTGCCTCTGCCGACGCCGCGGATCCTGTCGTAGAAGAGGTGAAGGAGTCAGGCCCCAATGGTCATGCAATCAACGTCAAGTATCCGAACGGTTTGTGTGTCCGGTGCGTCGAGATTTCAGATCCCTTTGGCCCAACCATCACTGAGAAGGACATCTCCGCTCTCATCATCTCTGCAGAGACTAGGGCTGGTGGCAGTGCTGTCAATGAAAAGCGCACTGAGAATGGATGGTCCAAGCTGGAAGTCTTAGAAGTCGATGTTCTGGATGCCAAAGAGTCCTCAAGTACTACAACACAGCAAAATTTTGAGGGCAAGCTTAGTAGCACCGAGATCAGGAAGAAGCATGCTCAGAAGACAGCTTCACTGTAAAGGAACAGTGTAATGTTACCCAAGCATCTGGACGTTTTTTGATTTTACGACTGTCCGGAGCAACTCGAAGATTCGGAAAGGGCTAATGTTGAGACCCAAGGACGAGGGTAAGACTGGAAACAGCTAATAAGATGACAATTGCGTGGCCTGGAGTTCGTCGCAATACTATAGGCAGCAAGATAGAGCAACGGCCAACGCACTGCAGGTTGTCGACAAGACGTATTCCGTCCAAGAAAGATCTCATACCCATGCCACATACAGAAGCCACGAAACGAGGCAGGGGCGATGGGAACGAACGCAAGAACCAATGGAGTACAGCAAGAGTCCCACGAGAAAACCAGCTTCGATATCTCAGTAGCTGAAGCGCTTCCTCTCTACGTCACGAAACTGTCTAGACTCACAGCAGCTTGATGCTGGCGAAGTAGTGTAACCACAGGTTGGATTATATACCCTCCAGTGGCCAGGGATGATAGGGTAGATGCATACATGAAACAGCGATGTCGTTCATGCGACCGTGAGCCTTGCTCTAGTCCAAGACTGCAGATGCATCAACTCTACGTTTACCTGATAGCGTATCTGACAAGAGAAGAAACCCCATCTGCCGGCTTCATGGTTTTGACCGCTGCTGAGGAGTGAAGCTGCAAAACATAGTTTCCTATTTCAGCCAGGCTTTCCTATAACCTCGACGCTTCCCTCATCTATCGTGTGTACCTGCCTGTAATGATGAATCAGAAGAAATGTTCAGCAAGTGCAATCAGCCGAAAAGCACTGGAATCTGCAAAGCCCCCGCTCATGGCGCGCTCTGTCCCCTGCCACAATCTCCCCTTGAGTGCCAGCGAAGCGACCTGCATAAAGGGCTTTGTATTATTGCCGCTTCTCGCCCATATCACAATCACATGATCTGATTCGTATGCAGTGATGGCCCGGTCCGATCGTGACGGGCATAACATTTTGCTCTCCCGTCGGCGCGTGTTGGTGGCGTCGAATATTCAGATGCCAACAGAGGAACCCAACGACAGCGCACCCACCTGACCACCCCCCTTCCAAAGAGCTTCCCTTTTGCGGTTTCGACCGCTGTCGTCATGTGCCTGCAACTCACTCAGAAGGTCTACTTGTTCTGTCGTGTGCTTACCCGGGCTTTCGTTTCCAACTCTCATTCCTTGCTGCCTTTTCGACCGCTAGGTATAATGCTCTCCAAGTCAGACTGAACGACTACCGAAGCAATTTCACTGGAACAGAGCGACACCAAGTTGCGCGATGACCCGCTACCGAGGGGCCCTCGACCTATCCAACGAGCTGCTCCATGATATCCTTGATCTCATAGCCGCCGACCCCGAGAAGCTAGTGAGTGTCGACAAGCGAGCATATCTGTCTCAAGAAAGCTTCAGGCCGGACCCTCTGCCATCCCAAGACCAAGTTGTAAACATTGGCAAGTTCAGATTGCTCTGTCGAAGATTCGCTGCTCTGGGTGCTTCTCACCAATTCGCACGTGTCACGACCAGGTTCTCGTCAAAGGGGCTTGCGAGATTGGAAGCTATCGCCGATCAGCCGCACCTAGCAAAACATGTCAAGAAGTTCAGCTACAAGGTGCCGTATTTTTGCACTCAAGGTACCAAGAAGAACGGTATCACTCGGGCGATTATCTGAATGATTTGCTGATGTGCGTCTNNACAAGGTCGAGAAAGTATACAATCATTGGATGCTCAAATCCAGCAGACGATCGGGAAAGCCAATATTGAGAGGTTTCGCTGCAAGATCTACGAGCAGCAGAAAATAGTAAACTCAAAACGAGATGTCGAAGTCTTGAGGAAAGCCATGAAGGCATTCGTCGTTCTACAGCACGTCCAGATCTTGCGGGTTCAAGATCAAGAAGACGAAAGACTACTCACCTATATCCGATATCACCAGAATATCGCTCACTTTGTTGAGCTTAAGTGGGCGCCTGCCTGTGCACACAGTGCTAAAACAATAGGGACTGCACTGCTGGAATCTCGATCACCATGTTCACGTTTCTCCTCGCCAATGCTGAGTCCGCAGAGCGCACTCGTGCTGGCAGAAAATCCTACAGGCTCCTTCTCAACACTGGCAGAAAGACTGACTTGCCTGGAATTACACTTTGACGATGGCTACTTCGATGACGGTACAGATCTCGAAGTCCGCATGTTCGAACTTTCTCATCTCTTCAAGACTGTCTTCTCAGCAGCTGTAAATATGGAAGCTATACATGTGGGCTTTCCTTCTCATCGACCCATTGGTCTGCCTCTCGAGACAATCTTCCACAACGTACGCTGGAGCAAACTGATAGCCTTCGGAATACAAGGCTGGCGTCTTCACTCCGATGAAATCATCGCCTTCGCGCAACGCCACAAAGACAGATTACGAGGCCTACGGCTCAGAGACGTAATGCTCAGAGAAGGCAGCATGTGGAAAACCATCCTCGCCTTCTTGCACACCGAGATGAGAAGACTAGATTGGGTTTCTCTCAGACGTATCGACTACGCAACCCACTTCGACACAGTCTGGGAAAATGCAGGTATCGAACTACCCGACGATCCTCCCGGCGGCTTGAGTTCCTCAGACTCCGAGTCCGACTCGGACAATGATCTCTACTGGGACGAAGCAGACCAAGACGACGCAAACCACTCAACGGCATCAGACTGGGACAGCAACAACTCCGACTCCGAACACAATAACTCTGATTCCGATGACGAAGAGCGCGGCAGAGCAGCCCACGAAATGGATTTCCCGCCTTTGAACTCGCCAGATACGCCAAACTCTGTGCCGTGGTGCAACTGCAATGGCAGAGCCTTTCCACTTTCTGTTGACGACTTGGGCGATGATGGTATCAGTGTCGATACCAGAAAATGGAAGATGTGGGAGAAGTGGGTGTTGGGCAGGTGTCCTGAGCATGATCTTAGGTAGGATGGAAGACCTGGAGAGCATACATGTCGGTTTTGTCTCTCTACAACACATTCATCTCTATTTTTCTTATGTGGAGCAGGAAAAGCATTATATATCTCTCTGGGGTTCCGGCGAATTCACAATGGTAGATTAGCAGAGCATCATATTTAAGCTTGGATCAGATCAGCGAAAGCGAAGGAACTTGCATTTTGATCATTCCAACTATCACATAAAAACTGTTTTTTTGTTTGTGAAAGAAAGTTTCAGAGCCAACGTTTCCATGGCTTCCGCCCAGAGAGGAAAGGGCACAAAACAACGCCCCAGTAAATGCAAACCGCTGACTGTCCCTCCGCATTTGTGCTTCCTTCTACACGCGCTCAGTCGTAGCCAGGACCGCCATCACCAGCAGGAGTCTCGGCATTCCAGGCTCCAGGAGTTTCGGNGAATGCGCCTGGTGTAGGTGCTGCCGCCGGAGTACGGTACTGACCATATCCAGGCGTGGGTTGATCCAAGTTGCCAGGAGTGGGTGCACTNNGGAAGCCAGGTGTGGGAGCATCCATGCCGTAGGCCGGGGTTTTTGATCCTGACTCGTAGGCTGTGCCGCCTCCGTGGTATGGTGTGCGGGTGTTTGGGTTCCATGTGCCCTGTGTTGTGTCAGTTTTGTTCTCTGGAGTGGTGTGCGAATAGTAACTTACTCCTCCGTATGCGGTGCTGCCTCCGTAGGATGTCTGGCCCCCATAAGACGTTTGACCTCCGTACGCGGTTGCTCCACCATAAGATGTGCTGCCTCCACTTCCTCTCTGCCATGCCGGCACGCTGCTGAGTCCGCTGCCGCCATAAGCAGTTCTTCCACCAGCACCTGCGCCAGCCCATGCAGGAGTGCGACCACCAGTTGCTGGCTTCCAAGCAGGGGTGCGTCCACCGTCTGATGCTCTAGGCGTAGCTCCGAATCTACCAGGAGTTGCGCCTCCCCATGCCGGAGGTCTGCCGCCGGCACCACCAGCTGGTGGCGCACCAGGACGTTGGCCTGCGTTTTGCTGAATGACGGCACCCGTGACAGGGTCTCTGACAGTCAAAAATTCTTTGCTGATGGAGATGATCTTCTTACTACCATGGACCTCTACACGCGCATGAGTATCTGTGCTGTCTTTGACAATGCCCAAAAGACCCTTGTGAGGACCTCTACGAATAGTGCAAGTCTTGCCAATGAGTCTGTCACGACNCATCTGGCGTGGCGGCGGCATAGCTTGAGCACCAGCCTGCTGAGCACCAGGACGCTGTAGTGCTGGATTCATCTTCATAAGACCAGCTTGAGCAGAGGCGACTCTGCCACCCTTGGCTGCAACAGTCTTGACATTGTTGGTACGGACAACGAAGACACCAGCGTTGTCCGTTTGTTCTCGGTTGTGTGCGAAAAGGAAGTTGCGGTGGATGTGGAGAACGCGACCTTGTTTGCCCTCGCCACCTTCCTCNNCCTTGACAGTATCGTCAATGTGAATCTCGGACCCCTCACGATCAGTAGCAACAGCGTTCTTGCGGCGCTCGAGCTTGTTCGAGATGTTTGAGGGNNGGAGGAGAGATCTGACTGTGCCAGTCTGGTCGAGCACACGGAGCGATTCGCGGTCAACCTTTATCACACAGGCCACAGTCGAAGCGTCAAGTTGAACAAGTTCGTGCAGGTCGTACTTGCCAACACCAACCTGACCACCGGAATCAGTAGCGACGCGCAAATCTTTGCTAAAGACAGTGATTTCGGTTTGATTCGAGTCAGTCAAAATGGTGACACGGTCTTCGACAATCTTGACAACCATGCCGACTTCATCGAAGTACTTGCTGCCACCAATGACCTTGACGTGATCACCCTCTCTAAAGAGCTTACGTAGGCCTTTGACTGGAGATTCGATGATCTGACCGGCAAGCTCGCCAGACGAGACAAGGATGCGCACGATATCTGAGTGTACCGAAACGGCTTTTCCGACAACGCCACGTTGTTCGCCNNCTTGCCAGATCTCAACATGATCACCAGGGAGGAACGCACCAGAGCTGTTGCTTTTGATGGTAGCAGCGAGAGCAGACAGGTCCAGATTTTCAGTTCCATCCTCGGCATCAGCAGCGAATTTGGTAACTTCCTCCAGGGTGGGGTTGACGTCTTCGGATTGCAAGTGGTTAGCCTTGTAATCCTTGATGAGGAAGCCGTCAACGTATGTGTCGTTCATGTATGTCCAGGTATTTGCGGTGAAGCCAGTGCCCTTGGTCAAGTAACGTCCATGACGCTTCCTTGCCTCGTTTTCGCTGAAAAGACGCTGAGGAGGACGAGGACCAGTATTTGCGCCGAAGCCAAAACGCTTGCGCTTGTTGTCGACAGCAGCGTTAACATCGTCGTTCAAGCCATAATCCAGACGGGGAATAAGGCGAAGTGTGACCTCTGTGCCGTTGGATTCAACCTCGTCGATCTGGGCCAGATCACCAGCGTACTTGCCGCGCTTGACACGGACGTACATGCCAGGTTCGAGAGATTTGCTCTTGCGAGTGCGGAGAAGGTCGGGCATCTCGGTGATAGGGACCATCATAGGCTTGGTGCCCATGTAGACGTTTTGAAGCCCCTCGAGAGCACTTGTGACATCTTCGACATGCTGAGCTTCGCAGTAGAGATTTCCAGACATGACACCACCTCTTTCAAATGCTGAGATGATCCGCAATGGCTCCCTTGTTCCTGCGCGGTCTTCGATACGCTTCATGATACCGAACACAACTTCTCGTTCCTTTCCAGGTTTGCACTTAAGGCGCCAGATTTTGGGATCGTCGACACTAGGGAGCAGTAGGCGCTGAGGTACGACGGCTGAGTCGACATTGGCAGCTCTGTTTCTTCCATAACGTTCCTTCAAGGCCTGGGCTTGTTTCTCGGCATCCATGCTAGCAGCCAGATCGCGTTGTCTGTCGAGTTCGCGATGCTTACGGTCGTCACGTTCGGCGCCTGCAGGAAGTTCGAGCAAGTCGTCAGGGTGCATCTCCTCGCCAGCAATTTCGTCGTCCTCATCAGGCTCTTCCTCGTCTTCATCGTCCACTTCGGCTTCGACATCAAGGAACTGGTTGCGGGGACCCTTGCGGCGACGTTTACGGGGATGGCCCTACAGACAAGAGTTAGCAGTATAGATAGTAGCGAGTTGAGGGACGCACTATGTCCTCGTCCTCCTCATCCTCTTCATCTTCCCTCTTCATCGTCGTCGTCCTCTTCGTCATCATCGTCATTGTTTGCGCGACCTCTCGTTGGGGCAGCGTCGTCGTCTTGGTCGTCTTCTTGGGCAGATGAACGGCGAGCATTGTTCTGAGCATCATCGTCATCATCGTTGTTGTCGTCCTGTCTCTGGTCGTTGTCATCGTTGTTGTCGGCTTCATCGTCAGAGGCGACAGCAGGAGCGGGGTTGAAATCATCCTCATCATCGGAGGCATCGCCAAAGTCTTGGTTAAGGAAGGACATTGTGAAGTATGCTGCGTGGTTAAAGCGACGCGGCGACGCTAGGGAGGAAGTAGATGTTCAATCGGCTGTCGAGTATGAATAGTGAAAGCGACAGTTGGCCAGTTGGATGATCAAAGGGCGTTCGGACCAAGGTGATGAGTGGTTGTTGTGGAAGGAAAGTTGACTCGGAAAGCTGCAAGATTGTCGTGTCGCTGACGCTGGTAGTGGATGCTCCAGAAACGTGCAATGGCAATGCTCCAAAGCGGCTCTTCCCGCACAGTCACCAAGCAGCGGGCAGCTCTTTCTTTGTTCACTCTTCTTCCTCACTCACTGTTCCTACCACAAGCCGTCCGTCCAATCAGGCATTTGTCGTCCAGGCTTGTCTTGAACAATATGCGCTGGTGACCTTCAGTACAGCACCAGCCACGATCCTGTAGCCCACCAAAAGTTGCAGACTAAACCAGAGAGTTTGCCTTGTTTGCAGTCCATCCATGTGTTCACATGATAGTCGTCCAAGTTGACCAAGGACACGACAACAGTAGGTTTCTTGCTTTTATCGCTCGCCATCTGGATACCTGTGTGTGATACTTGTCCTGCCATTATATGCGTCTCAAACATGGAGGGGTACGACTGCTTCTGACCATACGACTATGACCACTAGAAACCAGAACTGACTGATCACAGTTCATCATGGCTCTCTAACGCGCTTCCTCGCTACTCTCCCTCATCTCTGTCGCCTGACAGTCGTCGCCGTTCCAAGAACCCTCGATGGCGTACACCTTCTCCTATGGCCGCTTCTGCCGTACCTCAACCTATTGTGAATAGTATCTATATTCCCACAAGTTCCCACTCTGCTGCCAGCCCCTCCGTTCAGACCGACGACACTCTCCTGCTCTTCCGACGGAAACAACGCGAGCTTGAAGCTCACTTGCAAGTCCTCCTCGATGCACAAGCTGATGCCCTACTCTCTGGCCTTGATGCACCACCAACAGCTTCCGTCAAAGACGATGGTTTATCGACAGGCTCCAGCACACCAACTGCCAGTGCCCTCAATGCAAAGCCACAACCTTCTTCGAAATCAGAGAAGGTTGATCTCCGTCATGCCAGAGTCGGCTTGTATGCCACTATGCGACGTCTGGCACAACTCAAGTCTCAGGAATCTCAATATCTGGCTCCAAGCCTCGATCACTTCACATCTGTCGTCGATCAACTCGACGCCTGGCAGAAGAAATGCACTGCCTTGCAGTCGCGCGCTTCTCAAATACGCTCTGGCGATGAGCACAACCGCGCTCTTGACTTGCACAAACAAGCAGATGACATGCAAACCGAGATCAACGAACTTGAGACCAGACTGGCTCGCTTGAAAGGCGATCAGCGCAAGTTAAGGGCAGAGGCGCAGGAGATTGAGAACACTGTTGACGCACGCCTTGCATCGTACACGGAAAGCCTAGGTATTGTTGAGGACTCTATTCGAACTTTTCTTCACAGCGATTCTGCAAGCCATTGGGCAGCGATCATCAATGTGGCGGACATGGACCGTTTCTGGCGTTCACCTTCTCAAGGTCGCACTTTGAGGTCTGCGAAGGACATCTCCAGCCGGGAGCGAGATGCACTGATTGAGAGGCGTCGCATCAGCGACACTGAGCGAGAGGCGCTCGAAGCAGGTGCTATCGTGTGGAGGGATGCCGTGAAGCAAGTCTCCGCCTTCGAACGGTCGCTTGCAAAAGCCATGTCACGCATGAGTAAAGAATCACAATCACAGCTTGAATCTCCCACAGAGACAAAGGAGCTACTCACGATGCTGGAGCAGACTACTACAGAACTTGAAAGCAAGCACAAGCTTGCCGAAACGCGCAGTTGGAAACTTCTGGTTGCCGCAATTGGTGCAGAACTCGAGGCTTTCTTGAAGGGAAAACAGATTCTCGAAGCTGCTCTGGCTTCTACAATTGGTGAGACGGACTTTGAAGAGACAAGAGAAACATCAGGCAGTTCTGGCCAATTGGAAGGAGTCCAGACTCCTAAGGGCAGTAAGCATGATGATGGTGAGGCCATTCGTGATTTGGATAATGCTTTTGCAGCAAAGCGCCCTACACACAGCATTTCTGATACTGATACTGAAGATGATGGTCCTGATCCAGAGCTTTTGATTTCGCATCAGGATACAGACACGGATTAGAATGATACCCGTTAGATTTCTATAGCTTGAAGACACGCGACATGATTTTATGATTGTCAACATTCGATACTTTCTCTACACGTTACCTAGCTGATAGTCATTTTATGTTTTCTCAAGACTCTTTGCAATGGAACCTAGCCGTTGTCATTGACATCGAGATCGCTGATTCGCGATATCTGCTAGTCATTGTTAGTAAGTACGGCCGAGGTTTTGCGCTTCCTTCCGCGGCATCAACGAACACTCCTGACTTCACGTACACATCATGCACAAACTGTCGATTGATATATATGCTGTCACCTCCAATATGACAAGTATGCCATCATGACGGAAAACACGCCAGTTTATTGTTTCACCATTCCTTCAGTGGCCGACGGGACTCTTCTGGATTGCCGGCTATACCACCCTGTCTCTCTACAAGATCCGCAGTCAGCACAACACACGAGAAAGGCTGCTCTAATCGCACATCCTTATGCGCCCCTTGGAGGTTCTATGGACGACGTTGTCGTGAAGACAGTAGTAGATCAATTAATCGATCTTGATTTTGTCGTCGGAACATTTAACTTTCGGTAATGCTCCATGCTGAAATTGATCTGTTGTCGCGAGTACTGAATGATGACCAGGGGTGCCGCAAAGTCTCATGGCAACACCAGCTGGTCTGGCAAGGCCGAACGAGATGACTATATCTCGGTTGCCGGGCATCTGATATTCTACACCAACCATGTATACACATCACGGACCGATGATACCAGGTCTGCACAGTCTCCCACCAGTAGTGTGCCAAGTATATCTTCTGAACACATCACTCTGATCCTGGGTGGATACTCCTATGGCTCCTTGGTTGTCACGCATCTCCCACCAACTATGGAGATCCTGGCTATGTTCCGAGAAACACAGGCATCCACTTGGGTTTCTGACATCTTGAAGAGGGCCAAGGAGCTGGCTCTACAAACGCATACGACACTTTCTAATCAAGCTGATACTCGAGGTAGACTACTGGGTTCATCAATACGCAGGCAGCATAAGCGCCAATCGAGTTCTCAACATTCCATCATATATGGAGGCAGCGATAGCCCTTCTCCAGCAGACCGCCACAGCACCGATTTCGTGCACAAGGGTATGGAAGTACCAGCACGAATCAAGCACGCAATGCATCGCAATCACAAGCACTCATCACCCTCAACCCGAACACTATCAACAACCTCCTCGGAAAGAACCGTTTCTACAGGAAATGTACCTACATTAGAGAGCCTGCCTCATGTATTGACGCACTATCTCTTGATATCACCTCTACTGCCACCCTTATCCAATTTTCTCTCCCTGTCGACGTCGAACTTGATGTTCTGGCGCCATGCTGACCACATTGCGCATAACTTGGTGCGGCATCCTACGTTGGTCATCTTTGGCACGAAAGACGTGTTTACTTCTGCCCACAAGCTGGACAATTGGTGCAAGAAGATGGATATGTCATCTTCGCAAGCTGCTGGTTCAGATGGACAGTCGTGTTTTAGATGGAAGAAGGTCGAGGGTGCAGGACACTTTTGGAGAGAGCATGGGGTGGAAGCGCAGTTGACGGATAGTTTGCGAGGATGGGCGCACGAGGTAGTTAACCAGTGACGAATAAAAACATTCACAGAATTCCAGAGGATTGAATGTCGATATGCGGACGAGTTGGTAAGATGAAGATGGTCGATAGAAAGGGCATTCTGAGTCCTCGGCTGGTCGGCGGCGCGTCATGCCCGTCGTCGTTCGTCACAGCCACTTTTGCTCCATGCTTCAATACCTTCTAACTTTTATTGACACAACAACATTCACAACCCATTTACACAATGCCGCCAAAACGCATGACAGCAAACCCACTGGCGCCTCTGCGCTACCGCCCAGGAAAAGCCGTCGGTCAGGACGAATCCTCATCCTCAGAAGAAGAATCCGGCTCCGACTCAGAAAACGAGCAACAACAGCAAAGCAAAACAACAACAACCGCACCTCCAAAAGCCACATCTTTCCCTAAATTCAACTCCAATATCAGCAAAGCCGAGCTTGAGCGACGGAGACAGGAAGCCCAAGCCTTGCGAGCACGCGAAGCAGAGCTAGCGCAAAAAGCACAAGAAGGCTTCGAGACGGCTTCTGAGAGCGAAGAATCTGGCAGCGATGAAGAGTCTGGATCTGACGAAGACGAGGAAGACGACGAGTCGGAAGAGGAAGCACCAACCCGTAAATTCGTCGCACCGACTTTTGTCTCAAAAGCACAACGCAAGACCGTCGCAGCGCCAAAGCAGAACGAGGAAGACATAGCAGCAGAAGAGGAGCGCAAACGCAAAGAAAAAGCCGACGCTTTGCTTCAAGCACAAATCGAAAAAGACGCTGCAGCACGAGCGGCAGGTCGCAGAGCTTGGGACGACGAAGACCCAGACGCCATCGAAGACGTCGATGACACAGACAACCTCGACCCAGAAGCCGAGCTCGCAGCCTGGAAACTGCGAGAACTGCGCCGTGTCAAGCGCGACCGCGAAGCCATCGAAGCCGCCGAAAAGGAACGCGAAGAGATCGAACGACGACGCAACTTGACAGCCGAACAGCGAGAAGCAGAAGATGCAGCTCACATCGCCGCGCAGAAAGAGGAAAAAGAAGGAAGAGGTCAAGCGGGCTTCATGCAGAAGTACCACCACAAGGGCGCCTTCTTCCAAGACGACGAGCAACTGGCAGAGATCTCGAAACGCGACATCATGGGTGCCAAGTTCCAAGACGACTCTGGCAATCGTGAGATCCTGCCGCAATACATGCAGATCCGCGACATGACAAAACTGGGAAGGAAAGGAAGGACGAAATACAAAGATCTCAAAGCCGAAGATACTGGACGCTGGGGTGCCGATGATGGAGACAGAAGAGGTGGTCCAGATTATGGAGGTGACAGGTATCGAGACAGAGAAGGGGCCACTGGAGCAAATGCTTCTATTGTTGGCGAGCGGCGACGAAGAGACGATGATCGTGGTGGCCGCGATGAAAAGAGGCCTCGCTACGATTGATCTTTCATCAATGATCTACTTGCGAGCATAATAGTTGAACGACCTTTACGACAAACACACGATATCCATGTGAGCCAACGCTGCTCTGCACAGTAGTCTGTCCATCTCATCACAAGCGTTGCATCTATTCCTCGCATATCGGTTGGTGAGGACTTCAAAAGGTAAGATACTGCCTCCCCGTGTGCTGAAGACAGTCACAGTGTAGCTGCTGAAATGCACAATATCTTCGCGAAAACTATGATTTCCACTGAGATAACCTTAATCAAAGCTATCTCAATGGCCAGACCTGTATTCGAATCGTAACTGTGCATTTCGATAGCTTATGTTAACTCTTGCAACTCGGCATGGAGAAGGAGTTGGTTGCAAAATTGTGATTGAGCTTCTTACGGGTATCAGAGACTCGATGCAAATCACTTGAATCCAGATTCGAAGAACATGCTCGATACGCCGCTCGTGCAGTGGTATGCAATCGATTATATTAAGGAGCATAACCCTGCTATCGAACGGATTTGCTCGGACATAGGTACTTCGAGTATTGATGCAGAAAACCAATATCCCCTATCTGCTTCCTGCAGATCGATCTTCCCCCTTCCAGGAGATCATCTAATCGTTGTACCCAAGATTCAATTGGGTATCGCATGTATTGACTGTACGATTCATCCAGCTACCGCCACAATGGAGAACGCCACTCTGCCACATCAATAGCCTTGGAATTTAGATAATCGGTAGGAACTGCTTTGAAGTCAGTATATCGTTCTTCTGAGGTTGATAAGGGAATCTCCAAAACTCACATTCATAACAATCATCATGGGAATGTCAAAGACGTCTCGCTTGACCACCCAGCAGAACATGCAAGACACCTTGCCGTCCCGATCACCTAGCGAGTTCATTCCAGACTCGCCGCTAATGAGGGGACCGACAGGTTTGCCATTGTTGAGCCTGTTCTCTCGTTCGGCTAGAAGGTCTGCACTCCAACCAGGATCTTCCTTGGTCTTGTATTTCAGAAGCTTGCAAGGCTTCATCATGACACCACGTGAGTCGCCAAAGGCAAGTTTTGCAAAATCCTCGTAGAAATCGATGACGTTGTCGTCTTCCATAAGCTCTGGAAGAAGGACTGGTTGCAATCGACCTGGATTGTCTGCAATGCTTTGCGCACGAGGTGTAGCAGTACCTCTTGTGCTGGCCCCTGTTTGGCGGCCTGATGCGTTGCCGATGTTGATATTCTGATTTGCTTCCTTGCCGAGCAGGACGTCTCTTGACCATCCTGTCAGTAACGAAAATTCTTTGCTGACGGCAGCGACTTCGCCAGTACGACGTAGAATCAACGTCGGCGTTCCATAAGCTGTCAAAAAGTCGTCGTATTCGAACAGCGTCCTTTGGAAGCACTTTTCCATGAATATTAGGTCGTCAACATTCAACTGTTTTGTGCAAGAGATGAAGGACGGTCGAATGGCTGCTAGAGCTCTGGCGATTCGCGCAGTCTTCTGTGGTGAGTATAATCTTTGCAGGCATGCGGTTAGGGCGTGGAAGCCGGTAGTGTATGAATATGGAGCGGTGACTGATGTGTATATGTCAGAAGGATCTCGTCGCTTTCTGTGTTGATTCGACCGCGTCTGGTGTATGTCGTTCGTTGATAAACTATTTCTAATCTGCGGTCGATGTTGATGGCGGTTGTAATCTTGGCTCGGGTTGTGCAGCATGTGTTGCGCTGAAGCGACAGGACTCGAGTTGTAGCCTGCGCTAAAGTCCATCAGGTTTGCGGCGCTGGGACTTGCTCCTGACATGGAGCCATTCTCTCCGATAGCAAAGGCGTTGGGGAAGTTGAGCTGTCCGTCAAAACTGCTATCTCCTGTTATGGAGAAGACCTGACCAGAGCTGTTTTGTCTAGCACCATCGTTGTTGCGCTGCCAATCGTTGAACCCGGAGTTGCCGTAGGGAAAGGTGGTTGAATAATTCGAGTTGGTTGGGTCATAAGGGATTGAGGTCATCAGATTACTGTTGTCGGTGTCGGGAGTCTCGACAGCACCAGAAGACATGTGCCCAAGCATGCCAAACTCCAAAGCACCATAATGATTGCCAAAGTTCAGACTCGAGATGTCGAAGTTGAAGAGCGAAGGGTCGGCAGGATCGAAGAACGGAGCGTTGAAGGACTGGCCAGGCTTTCCGTCTCCAGAAGTGTGTGCGATAGAGGAAATAGGTTCCTGAGGAGGTGGCATCTGTTGAGAAGCGGTCGAAGAGAAGGGCTGAGTGACCATATTTTGCTGGGGAGCGTATGGGTTGCTATGAACCATTGGGGATTCGGTGGCTGAAGGTGAGTTGATAGGAGCCACTGAAGGAGTGTGACCGAAGTTCGCAAAGGGCTGAGCTCCAACAGGAGTAGGATAGTATGACGATGAGGACTGGGCTACGGGAGTAGACTCTGTGGCAGGAGTAGCTTGATTCAATTGACTCTGATTCTGGTTGTAAGCGTGTGGTACCAGAGCTTCGTTTGGCGCATCGTGTAGGTATTTGGCCTTCTTTCGTACTCCATCGTGACAGTGGTCTTGTAAACCACGTTTGATGCAGCGAAGACATGGACGTTCATCACNCTGGCCAAGTCAGAGCAGCGTCCTGAGGAGGTTATAGAAAGGATCAGACATACCGCATGTCAGATGTGCACGCTGGCAGGCATAGCAAGCTCTACGCGCCTTCTTTCTCCTCGGTCTCAAGGGATCTTTTGCATTTGCGCGCTTGGTTGCCGAGTCGTTCTGGTCTTTGTTGGATGAGGCAGAGGCGGGCGAAGCCTTGTCGTCGCTCTGAGAGGGTTCTTGGATTGAGTCGGACATGTGGGGCAGTGTCTGGGTCTGGTTGGAGGTGGGGTCTGTCTGCTCGTTGGGCGAGCCTTGTTGGAGTGGATCGGGGGCCATGGCCAGGGTTATATAAGAGTCGAGTCCGCTGCAGTGGCACGAAGCAGGTGGTTTTGCACAGAAGCACGTTTTCTGCAGCTTCCCGTGGATTGCTTCCGTTTCAGGAGTGCCAGGTGGATGGATCTGAGATCACGAGTGGCTGTATGCGCCGTGCCACAAGGGCCTGCCAGGGAGTGAAGCAGGCACTACGGATCCCGCCCACGCGGTGCAAGGTAAGCAGGGGCAGCAGCGTGCTGTCTACCAAAGCAATGTCTACGCAGTTTGTGTCACCCTCGCTAAAGTCATGATGTCTATGCCAGACGGTCGGGAATGCGCGAGTGGGCCGAGAGGACGGCGAAGCGGTGTCACTGCACACGCGCAACAGAATGTATTATGCTTTGAAGTATGCAATAAGTCCGCGACCTTTGCGCGACAACAGCACGAGCTCCGGAGACGGCGTGATTGCAAAGACTGAGTGGATAGCTCGTGAACACCATGGACCTCGACTGGATATGCGCATATCGGCCTTGGCAAGCCGCATCCTCCCGCCAGGCCGAACCCTTGGGGGCCGACGGCCTTTTTCTCCAACCTTTCCCCTCATCGGTCTACCCGCCTCCGTACCCAACGTCCAAGCGCCCTTACATGTATTGTTGGCCATCTTGTGTGCCAGGCCAACATGCCAGCTTGTCGAGTCCATGAGATATGGGTAGTACATACTCGCTTGATCGTCCCGTCACCGCCATTCACATCTCGCCGCTCGAGGTCCCATCGTCCCACCTGGACGCTTTGACTGGTTTCCAAATACCAGCTTGCTGTTCTCCACCACCAAAGGGGTCTGAGCACAGATCTTTTGGTGTCTCTTGCCTCGTGGGAAAATGCGATGCACTATTGTTCATGCGGTGCCACCGATCCAAGCTCATCTATTTCTGTACCTCAGCCTTCCCAATCTGTCCTCATGATTGTGCAAACTTGGAGTTCTTGCGCAGTCGCTTGCCATATTCTATTGGCTGGTCAGCATTCCTCCTCGCCCTTTCTGTAACCAAGTAATGCTTCTTACTGAAAAATAGGTACGCTTATGCCAGGGTCAGCACTCTCTATCCATGGTATGGGATCTCTGCCAGAAAACTTACGAAATGGTGCCATGGCAAGGGCCAAGAAGGCCAGTAATGACGACGCCTGTCACCAAATTAGCATCACTTGACCATGATCATCGTATTCGAATGTCTGCTACCCACCCATTGGTATCCCAGCTCTGTTCCAGGTTTCTGCATTAGTTACCGCTTCTTCGATCATTGCCCAAGATTGGAAACTCACTGTTGTACATTTGCACACCTAAAAGTAGGGTTAGCATGCTTATCATACATAAACTGTGATGTACTTCTCCGACTCACCAAAGAGAGGGAATGCAGCGGCAAAGCTCGAACGCGCAAAACTGTTCGCTGCCAGCGCGCTCGCGGCATACAAAGGGTACTGTTATAAGACGTCAGTTCATATGCACATCTCGACCGAGGTGGTCAGAATGAAGCATCGTGGCGACTCTACGGTCCGCTCCGTAGCCGCCCACGCCGTTTGGGAGATCACCTACGCATTCCACAAGGAAAGTAAAGACGCCACTAAAGACAAAGATGTTTCTGTTCGTTCCCGAATCAGTAACAAGCCCACGTGCACCTCTTGCTTGATACTGCTTCATTCTGACTCACCCAAGACCAAATATGCCACTGAAGACGATGGGAACTTTGCCAAACCAACAGTCAGTATCCAGTCGCTTATGCAAGGCATCGAGGTCTTCCAATTCTTACCGATCCAATGTACCTGCAGCACGGGGGTTAGCTGGGTGTTCTTCTTCAACCATGGATTTGGGCTTCCACCTGGCCCGTCGTGCAAAGTGGCACTTCTGGGACCATTGGGGTGCTACGGCGGGGTTGCAAGTGGATATTGGGCAGTATGCATATTGCGTCCAATGATAATTAAAGATCTTCCTGCATTGCGCCACGGGTAATAATCGATGCAAGCCACTNTACCGAGGAATACGTCGTCCAGCCTATATGATGCCTGGTATCAGCTATCCAATGATTTTGTGAGAACCACCTCCTCTCCAATCACTCACCAAAACCGAACAGACCGATTGGAACCAGGACTGCACCNNGCTGGCACAAACGTCAGCATATTCAACACACTTTAGCATATCCCAACGCTTTGAAGACTTACAGAATTGTTGGAGGTAGACGGAACTCAGGCTCAGAAACGCCTCCATTCTTTGTGACCAGACGTCTGTAGTTTTTCTTCCAGATAGGATCGCAGCTGACACCTGTAATCATACCGACAAAGATACCTATAAATGTAAGTCCGGTCTGCCATAGTACAAAACCATGATTGTTTTCAAAGACGAGTGGGAACGCTCCGAAGAATCTAGAACACGGTTAGTATATCCAATGGGCGATGGTACCTTCGCCTACGTACAAGTATAGAATGCCGAGAAGAATGGCCGAGAGGATACACAGACTCAGGCACATCGCTTCGAGAAAAAGAAGCTGGAATGGTCTGACACAGCTCCATGCAACTGTCCGGAAGACCGATTTGTTCATGTTTTCTATTGGTGCTCGCCAAGCTGGATTGCCCGTATCCTTTCTGAGCTTGATGGCTTTTTTGCGCAGAAGCACGGGATGGTATGTTTCCGGAACGAGTGTGATGATAGCGGCCAACATGCCGCCTGACCATATCAGCAGGACGTAAAAGGTCCATCGCCAGTTTGTGTAGTAGTTGATGAAACCTCCGACAATAGGGCCAATTTCGGGGCCAACGAAAGGAGCTGCTGTATAGAATGCCATTGGTAGAGAAAGCTGGGCTTTGGGGAATAAATCTCCAACAGTTCCTCCTGCTACGCNTGTTGTGCATCACCGCGGATTAGTTCTGCTTTGGGAAAACCTCCAAGGGTAGAAAATTCGACCATACCTAAGAAAGGCACTACCAGCCAGTCCGTCAAAGAAGCGTGCCACCAACATTGTTTGTATGTTTTGTGCCACGGCACATGGAATCAGCCAGATCAAGAAGAAAGTGTAAGAGGCGATGTATATGGGTCTTCTCCCGTAGAATTCTGAAAGTGGTGACATGACCATAGGTCCGAGACCCAATCCCACGACAAACAAAGACAGTCCCAGTGTAGCAACAATTCTTGAGCAGCCAAATTCTGGTTCCAATTGCGCGTAGGTTGATGTGTAAAGCGCAGAGGTGCAAGTGACGCATAGGGAGCTTGCAGAAACGATTATGACAATGATCCACTTCCGGGCGTAGGCCATGCTTCTAGGGTTCATGGGGTCGTCGTCGCCGTCCCAGGAGACTTCGAATTCTTTCTCATTGACGCCATCGTCACCCACGGCTGTGATTCCACTCTCTTCATCCTTGGACCCTGATCTGACCTGCTCATCTGTATCGCTTTCTCTTGAATGTCGCACTGCCTTTTCGTTTGTCCCTTGGTCGACTCGTGTATCTGGATTGGGCACTACGTCGAAGGGTACGCGCTCTTCATCTTCCTGCACAGCCTTGTCTGATTCGTTGCGTTCCATGCCTGTTGCAATATTGTGACTCGATCGTACGAAAAATCTGAAGGCGACAGTTGGGACCAATGTGAGTTGTTTATGCGACGGAGGGAGCGATGGCGGGTGCGCGTACTCGGGCCTGGTTTGTCATCAAGAGGGCGGAGTCTTGCAAAACAGAAGTTATCGACAGAGGAAACGACGAATAGTGATTGCCATAGTACTTTCCATTTAGCCCCCTCTTTCTTGCGGGCCGCTCTTTCCTCACGACCGCACAGGTATGTCATGGCTTATGGAGATAGCATCTTGCTCGGATATTTAATGCCGAGAAAGGCTATTCCTTCCAGTTCGGGAAATGCGGGACCTGTCATCGGCAGCAAACGACATCTCCAAGCGGAGACGAATGCTTGTTTCTTCTTTCTCCATATCCTCTTGGTCTGAGGGAACGAAGGGAAGCCTCAACTTCGAACTCGAATTCATGGAGATACACACGTTCCCATAACCCAAGGATCTGTCCTTCTGGTCGACCTGAGTTTTTCTCAGCTCCACCAGCGACAGGCTAATCGGATCTCAAACAGCATGACAATCATGACTGTAGCTACCACCTGGATTGCTTTCGCCAGACATTCAACTCTCTTCCAGGACGTCCAACCAGGTACTGTACATTTCTCATGATCTCTTCGAACAGAGGAATTGTATCAGCATTGTTCGTGTCGCTCGTACAATCTATCAGACTAGTAAGCAGATTGCTGGTACAATAGGCATCTCAGGACACCTTCGATGGTACCAGGAGAAGCAGCTGCCAGGGTCAGTTTCCAGGTTTTCAATGTCCACTGGATCACAACGTTCCAAAAGAAAGAGTCGTACAATGGAGCTTGTCTGTAAGAAGATACGTGCAAGCCTGGATCAGGGCCGATGGTGGCACTGTCAAGTGTACCGGCATTCACTGCGTCTGGCTCTGAATTTGGGCAGTACTTCAGAAGCATGATAGTATGTGTTGATGGTAAGTTTTTGCTGAACGAAGGGGAAGTGCAGCATAGGCTCTGATACTCTTTGACTCTGTTCCTCCCCGTGTACTAAAGTCTGTAACTTCACCGTACTCCGACTCTAGTTCAGAGCAAATTTCAGACTATAAAAAGGCACAGTTGTTATTAGAAACAGAGGGTGTCCACAGAGAGTCGACAACTCGTCGCCTCTCAGTGGAAACTATCTTGTTTTTAATTACTATTCTGTATTTCTACAGGAATACGCATTACATACTTCAGTACACGGGAGGTTGGACTTCTGACGAACGTTGAAACTCATTCTCCCATTCCAATTGCCAGCTGTTGTCGACGAAGTGTTCGTGTTGCTTCACTTATACACTTCTTTCACTTCCGCACAACACGCTCTGTTCTTCTCAGCTCCGCACAGCACGCTTTGCTCTTCTCAGTTCCGCACAACACACTCTATTTCTTTGCACTTCTTTCATTGACGCGCAAATTCCACTACATGGCAGACCCATACATCAAGCTTGAGCATCCGCCTATTACTGAACACGCCCCTCGCGTCTTCAACGACTCTTCCTCTTACACTACTTCCGACACCTCCGCCATGACTTCTACACCTGCGCCTGGCGGTCGTGCCGACGTCGATGACCAACAACTCGATGTTCTTGGTCGTCCCATCCAACAGCTAGTCAAGCTCATCAAGGAACTTGAAGGACTGGGTGTCGAGAAGACAGATCTTCCCCTGCCCAAGATCGTTGTCGTCGGTGACCAGTCCGCAGGAAAGAGTTCGGTCAGTGTGATGCTTGACCAGTACTATTGTGAGCTTTGCTAACATTTATCANNGCTTATTGAGGGTCTGAGCGGCATCAAGGTCCCTCGTAGTGATGGCACATGCACCAGGTGCCCACTGGAAATCACTTTGTTCTCTTCGGAACAAGACACTCCTTGGTCTTGCACGGTGTCACTGCAACAGAAGTTCTCGTTCGACGCACAAGCCAGTCCCGACGGTCGCTATGGAAAATGGCGCGAGACCCATACACCAACAACCATTCCCTTCGCCATTGTTCACGACAAGCATGAGCTCGAGGGTGTCCTCAGCCGTGCCCAGCGAGCCACTCTGAACCCCGGCGACGACCCTTTGAGATACCTCAACGCCTCTGTTGATGAAATGCCCATGCTGGTTGAGTTTTCACCGAACAAGGTGATTCTAAACATCACAGCACCTGGTCAACCTAGTCTGTCTTTTATCGATCTTCCTGGTGTTGTTCGTCAGATGACTACCGCCAAGGATAAATGGCTTGTCAACCTTGTTGAGAATTTTGTTACTGATCATATCAGCCAAGGAAACTCATTGATCCTGCTCGCTCGTTCTATGGAGTCGGACTTTGCCAACTCAAGCGGAGCAGCATTGATCGACCAATGTGAGGGCGCTCTGGCACGTACTGTTGGCTGTCTTACCAAGCCTGATCGCTGGCCTCTCGGCAGTAGGACCCAACTCATCAAGAACGTCCTGCATGGCGACGCATTTGCTGTTGGCCATGGTTACTTTGTCACCAAACACCCCAACCAACTGGAACTCAACAACAACATTTCTGCTGAAGACGCTCGCCAGTCTGAGACTCAGTTCTTTGCTCAAGCTCCATGGAGTACAGAGCTGCAGGACTTTCAAGATCGTTTTGGCACCTTCAAACTTCGAGACACCTTGTCGGTTAAGTTGACCAAGCAAATTCTGGTTTCCTTGCCTCGGATCACTAGAACCGTTGATACTCATCTTCAGGAGGTGGAAAATGAGCTTTCTGGCTACCCTGACCCACCTGAGAATGCCCTTGGTAAGGTACTTGAGGCATTGACAACCTTCCGCATTGCAGTTGAAAAGCATGCNAAAGGAGCCTATCCTCACAACGAAATGCATAACTCTCTCAAGGGATTGGCCAACACCTTCCATACGAGCCTGCAAAAGCTTCGTCCTGGTCTCATCGTTGCAACTCCTGAGCAGTTCCGTCGAGCAATCGAAACCCCTACCTTCTCTTTGCTCTCTGACGACGAAGCTATTGGCACCCCTTGCCCTAGCATTGAGCCTAGATCTCAAAAGAAGAGAAGAGCTGATTTCGAGACACCCACCACTTCGACTGCAAAGAAGATCAAGTCCGACATTACTACACCTAGACACTCTACTCCTACGACCAAGAAGACCTTCCGCCTGCTTGAGGTGCGTGAGACTCTGAGTAACCTGACAGCTTCAAGCGTTCCTGGCGAGGTCGATCCTCTTGCTGTTGACCATCTCCGTAAACAGACACTTGTGGGCTGGGAGCAGCCTATGCTTGAGTTCATCAACAGCGTTCACCAAGAAATCCAGACGACTCTGGACCAGTTGCTCGAGGAAGCTTGCGCTCAGTGGCTCAACACAGCCTTCTTCAGCGAAGCCAANAAGATCCTAAAGGCTTTCGTGGCCAACGCCATGCGCGAGCAACTGCAGCACGCAAAGCGCGCTCTGGATCTCGAGCAGCGCAAGCCTCTGACCCTGAACATTGATGGATTCAAACACCAACACGATAAGGAACTCCAGACCTTGCAAGATGGCCGTGCAACACAGAGACTCGTCGAGAAGACCGAAGATGCAGACCGCGCTGCCGGCAAGATCATGGTCGACCAGAGCGAACGCAGAAAGAAGGCCAGATCCGATGTCAAGGCCAGGGGCGAACTCGGCGACGACCCCTTCGCCGAAGAAATCAAGGTCATGGCCAAGGTTAGAGGCTACCACAATGTCGCTCTTCTTCGCTTCCTCGATCACGTTGTTCAAGGCGTCCAGGTTGAGGTCCTGCACGAGCTTGAGACCAACCTGTTGCAGCAATTGAAGGACGGTCTGGAGGTTGAGACGCGCGATGCGCAGGAGCGTTGCAAGGAACTGCTCGCCGAGGACCGCGAGCGTGAGATCCGTCGCAAGGAGCTACAGACTGAGCGAACCAACTTCATTGAAGCCCAGCACAAGCTCGCTACCATCGGACAGATCGGCGAAGATGTTGCCTTGAACAACTGATCGCAGCCATCCATGCCAGACACTCGCTGCATCAGACACTCCCAGCATGGCTCTTGTCGTAGACAAGCACCGTCCGCGCTCTCTGGAGACATGTTTTCATCACCTGACGTGTAAGATGCACAAGATGAGAGATGAAGAGAACGATCAATCGAAGAACGAAGAAGAACCAAGAGTAATGGCAGAAAGCATTTGTAAAAAGCAAGAGCCGGTAGTAGATAAAAGCCATGCAAGAGATCACAGTACCCTACTTTGATGTTTTCATTGACTGTGTGCGAGAATTGCATCCTCCTCGTGTGCTAAAGATAGCCACAGTGTAGCTGCAGAAATGCACAATGTTTTCGCGAAGAATGTGATCTCCACAGAGAGGATCTTGATGAAGGATATCTCAATGGCCAGACTTAATATCCGAACTAAAACTGTGCATTTCGATAGCTTACAAAAACCCTCATAGCTCGGCATGGAGGAACCAGTGGTAGAATTGTGACTGTCTTCAGCACATGGGGAGGATACAATGCTTGTGATGGAGTAAACAGACTGCTGTGCGAAGCAGCGCTGTCGCTACGACGACCTCTTTCGAGAAATAGGAAAGGTTGTGTGAGACACGGGTTCGAAGCACTGGAGAGAAGAAGACGAGGAGCGCGCTTGGGCCAATGTCGCAATCACAACTTCCCCACCAAAAAGTTCAAGGTGGGATGAAATCAATGTTGAAAGTCATCCAGCGTCCTTTGATTCTCAAGTTCTTCAGACCAAGTGTAGACTCAGTTCGCTGCGTACACATAGGCTTCCGCAAAATGGCAAACGTTGCAAGCACATATTCTGGTAAACGCTGCACCAACACGGATTGGAACATCCTGACCAAACAAAGAATGAGGACCTGACATTTGGCGGCTGTTCGCATTCAACAGATCCCATCCACATTGCCGTCATTGGCGGCACTGGTCTGCAATCGTTGCCAGGCTTCACCCTTGCTGCCAGCCTGAACGTCGACACACCATGGGGCACCCCTTCGTCGCCCATCAGCGTGCTGCACCACAAGTCTCCTTCGACCGGCAAGGACATCCCCATCGCTTTCTTGTCTCGTCACGGTCTGCACCACGAGATTGCTCCTCATGAGGTTCCCGCTCGCGCCAACATCGCTGCTCTTCGCTCTCTCGGTGTCCGTACCATCATCGCTTTCTCGGCCGTCGGCAGTTTGCAAGAGGAGATTAAGCCCCGCGACTTTGTCGTGCCCGACCAGGTCATTGACCGTACCAAGGGCATTCGTCCCTTCACCTTCTTTGAGGAGGGTATGGTTGGCCACGTTGGCTTTGCCGACCCCTTCGACGAGAAGCTCGGTGCTGTTGTGAGAAAGCTTGGTCACAGCCTCGAGGGTGACAACGTGCACCTTCACGACAAGGGCACCATTATCTGCATGGGTGCGTAGAAGAACAAGAAATAAAGATGGCGGATCGAGACAAGAAAGCTAACACGATACGTAACAGAGGGCCCTCAATTCTCCACTCGCGCAGAATCAAACATGTACCGCTCCTGGGGCGGCAGCGTCATCAACATGTCTGTCCTCCCCGAAGCCAAGCTGGCAAAGGAGGCCGAGATTGCCTACCAGATGATTTGCATGAGCACCGACTACGACTGCTGGCACAGCTCCGAGGACGTGACTGTCGAGATGGTTATGGGTAACATGAAGGCCAACTCTGAGAACGCTCGCCGCTTCGTTGGCGGTGTGCTGGACGAGCTGAGCAAGGAGGAGCACACTAACATGATTCTTGCCAAGCACCTTGAGGGTCAGACCAAGTTCGCTGGTGGTATTACTGCACCTGCTGGTCGCAAGGAGGCAGCCAAGAAGAAGTTGACCTGGTTGTTCCCTGGTTACTTCGAGTAAATATGTTGACTCGTCTTGACGACAGTCAATGATCCATGAGCCGTATAGATCAAATGAATACAATGTATGAAGTTGAAGAATCCCAAAAACGTTTGTCGGTATGAATTGATTAGAATGGATGGACGTGTTGGCAACAGAATGGTCGGCGTCGGAGAAGGAGCTGAGCTTGGGGCAATGTGCATGACGATTCACAAGCTCCGGGTTGCCAGCCAGCAGTCAAGCAACGACAACGAGCACTCACTTTACCATCCATCGCTCTTTCCGTGTCTTGTGCATATCGCCCTTCCTTCCATCTCCGCCGCTAGCGCATCGTATTCCGAGCGCACTTTACCAACCGACCTCGCCTCTGACCGACACTTCACGCAAGCGCCATGTCTCGCCGCTACGATTCACGAACAACCATCTTCTCGCCTGAGGGCCGTCTCTACCAAGTCGAATACGCTCTTGAGGCTATCTCGCACGCCGGAACTGCTTTGGGTATCTTAGCAAAGGATGGCATTGTCCTGGCCGCCGAGCGCAAGGTCACCAGCAAGCTGCTCGAACAAGACACATCCGCCGAGAAGCTGTACACCCTGAATGAGTTCGTCGACGCATCTCATTTATGTCTCACTATCGATGCTGACCTCTTTGAAGTNAACATGATCTGCGCCGTCGCTGGAATGACCGCCGATGCCAACATCCTCATCAACTACGCCCGCTCAGCTGCCCAAAACTACCTCCTCACCTACAACCAAGAGATTCCTTGTGAACAGCTCGTCCGCCGCCTGTGCGATCTGAAGCAAGGTTACACTCAACATGGTGGTCTGCGTCCCTTCGGTGTTTCGTTCATCTACGCTGGTTACGACGACCAGCGCCAGTTCCAACTCTACCAGAGCAACCCCAGTGGCAACTACGGTGGTTGGAAGGCTACCAGTGTTGGCGCAAACAACGCCAGCGCTCAGAGTTTGCTCAAGCAAGACTACAATGACGAGTGCTCATTGAGAGAAGCCTGTGGTTTGGCCGTCAAGGTCTTGAGCAAGACTATGGATTCCACAAACCTCAGCAGCGAAAAGAGTACGTTCCGTTTTCGATAACACGTTTTCCATGGCTCAGCTAACACATCATCAGTCGAGTTTGCCACGGTCGGCAGAACAAAGGAGGGCACCGTCTACCACCACCTCTGGGGTGCCGAGGAGATTGACGCTCTACTCAAGGAGCACGGTCTGTCCAAGCCCGCAAGCTCAGAAGAGACCACTGAGCAGGCCGTGGGCAGTGCCGGCTATGCTGAGAACAGACCCGAAAACTAGACGTCTTCTGCGTCATATTTTCGTTGTACCAGTAGTTTACTTATTGACGGGCATTATCGATCATGCATCTTTGGGCTGGGGGCTGCGATGGCGTTTCTTAGACCTGCAAAGTGGGTTTGTCACGTAGAGCGAGAAGGATACAAATGAAAAACTGCATGTTTCTCCTCAACCCCAGGGCTCCGTCCCTGGTTTCCATTTTGATACCCTGACATTTGTGTCAACATTTCCTTTGTCATGATTCTTTGAATCAAATTTCTCATGAGAAAAGAAAGAAAGAACAAACACCACTTCCTGCGGTCACCCAAGATGGTAATGGTTCTTGCCTGATCAATAAAGGAAAATGCCTGCAGGATACGGAAGATACTCTTTGGCTAGCAAGCAATATGGATTTGCTTTTGGCATCTCTGTCTCATCTTGGCTCCATAAATCTGGGACTCATGCTCCGCCATGTTCAGTCGACCGATCAGTCAACAAGTCTTTGGGTCGACTGTGGTTTTCTAGACCGTCCCAGCGCAAGATGGGCAATGGAAAGTGGTGGGAACCTTCGGTCATATCTGGCTGTCAGTCTCTCGCTTCTTCTCGGTCTTGCTGGGAAGAAAGTAGGGACCAAGGGTACTTCATCGATATCAAATGTAGTCTATTGAGCACTGCCTCCCGGAGCTTCAAAGGACCTGCATACTTGCAAGCCCTACGCAGAAGTCATCGATGGTCGTCGAGATGCCTGGCAAGGTCGATATGCCTAAAGTCCTCGTCCCTGGTCTCCGAACACTAGGCCAGCCGTCCTGACATACTACACAAGTCGACTCCTTGTTGTTATCCTTCACTCGGAGCTCGTTTGTTGACAGGCACGGAAAATCTGTCGTCGGCTCGGATTGTTTCGTCCTTCCACACACACAAAAAGCGTTCACTTGTTTACCATAATTATCCACAATTCACCTCACAATCCACTTCTCACTTCACCAAGACTTAAGCGCGACCCTGTCGACTTTACGTCGCTGTCGTCGTTACATCTTTTTATTACTCTCGGCGTACACTCAATCGTCTCGGCGCTTGCGTAAACTTCCATTGTCGACCATCTCGGCGCTCGCATAACTTTACGCAGTGTTTTTACGCGCGACTTTGACCCTTACGATCTCTTAGATCGTCGCACAACTATCAACTACATCAGGCGCACTCGCATAAAAGCGACATCATCATCTACAGTAAGTTACGCCGCCTTTTTACGCGTAACGAAAACGCTTAGTCGTACTCCACTGCCCGTAACAAACTTTTCGATACGCATCTCGGCGCCGAGCTAACCTTGATGGGCGTGTGTAGGCTCTAGGAAGCATCATGGCTACAAAGAAGGTGTTCCAGACGGCCGATCAGCTGTGGGAGGCATTCGATAGAGTCAATCAGAATGAGCTGGGACTAGGTAAGTTGAATGCCGGTGGCACTGTTGCCCTTCATCCCACGGGTCACTGGTATGACGACGATGCAGTCGAGGTCTACGGCAAGAGAGCATTTGGCCTTGAATCGCTTNNCCAGATGATTCGTACAAAGAATTGGTTGGAACAAGGCCTGCGCAAGGAGGGTGTTCGCGAGTACTGGGCGCTTGAACGTCTGATTGCCGCTTCTATGGAGTACTCGGACAGCGACTATGAACACTTGATGACAGTCTTCTTCGTTGAATGGGAGAGAGATCTCAAGCCTGACGGCCGCACCATCAAGAACAAAGACCAGTGGACTCGCTGGTGTGAGATCCATCTTGTGCGCCATCACAGATACGCTAAGGCAGTGCGTTGTCTCGACCTCTTGGAGGCATTGGGTCTTCTCTACCCAGGCTGGTGGAAGCAAGTCTACGCTCACAACCACAACACCCCTGTCCCTAACGACACCTACGCTTCGCCTTGGGACAACCAGCCATCTGCCAATGTTGACGAGTTGAACGAACTCAACGAGAAGTACGCCAGAATGCCTTTCATCTCGCGCGATCAGGCTGAGGCCGCATCGCAAGCTGCCGAGACAGCCATTCAGTCTGCCCCCGTCTCGCGCCACGACACTCGCAAGAAGAAGCGCACCAAGACCAGTCACTTCCAGGAGGACCTAGAGCAACTCAACGACGCTTACGAAGAGACTGCTCCCGCCAAAGAAACCGACAACGAGTCTGAAGAGTCTTTCGTTCCAGAGCAGTACTACCCTGACTACGTTCACGAATACGACGCCGTCATGGGTAAGCCTTCCACCACAAACCCTCAGTTGCCTCACACTGTTGGTTTTGCACCTGCCGCCAACGCCTGGCGCAACCTCGACCGCGATGGTTTCGAAGGTGCCACCCGCTTCAACCCCGAAATCAACGCAACCAAGATCGTCGACTCTGCAAGCAAGGACGCAGTCCCTCGTCCCAGCGGCAACACACTCCCTGCTCCTCGCACCGCTGCTGCAGCACCTCCTCAACCCACTCAAACCCTCAACCCTGACCAGCTCAACTGGCTAGACGTCGACGAACGCGACTTCGCACGCGCAGTCCAGCAGGTCGAAACCGATTACTTCCCTCCTCCTGCCCAGTTTACTCAGGACGGTCGCCCCGACTACCTGCGCGAAGCCCGTGAAGATCTCGCCCGCAACCCTGAGTACTACCACCCTGAACGCGTTGCTCAGCGCCATGCCATCTACTATGCTGTCGCCGGCTACAAGAAGGTCTCTGAAGCCCAGCTCGCCCGCCGTCAAGCCGAATACCAGGCTGAGTTGGAGCGCGAACAGGCCGAGCAGGCTCGTCGCCAGGCTGAGGGCAGTGGCCAGCCTACCACTGCTGCTCCTCAGGGTGAGGACGACGAGGTCATTTGGGGTTATGTCGATGAAATGGTCCCCCCTGTTGAGAACTGGCCTCCTGTCTACGACAACAGTGTTCCCACCTGGCCCATCAAGAAGTGAAGGATGAACTTGGCTTGATGACCTGATGACTGCTGTTTTCTGAAGTTCGATACGATACCCCTTTGCTGTTTTCTGCTTTTGCCCTCCCTTCTCCTTAGCTTAGCTTTAATACAAACATGGCTGTTTCTCATTGCTCCCAAATAAACAGATGCACTATTTCTGAGCTGTAAAAATGCACAAATGTATTCTGCTCATGGAGATGCCCAGAGAGAGCCCACGAATCTTGGGCTCTCAATGGACACTACTACATTCTGTTGAACATTGTGACTTTTTATAGGTCTAAACGATGGGTGGTTGGCATCGGGGATACCACATACCATTAGCCCCTGACCTGACTTTCCTATGAAGCATAGAGCTATATACAAGCCTATAGAAATGCACAAATGTATTCTGATCTTGAGATTCTCCAGAGAGAGTCCTGGATTCATAGGATCTCAGTGGATTCACTCCATTCCCATTAACCATTGTGCATTGTTATAGATATAAATGAACAGTGGTTGGCGTTGGGGATACCTTCTATCACTAGCCCCTGACTTGACTCTCCCATGGCAGTATAGTTCGATTTATGAACCTGTAAAGATACACAGATGTATCTTGACGATAGAGATGTCCGGGGAGAGTTATCGCTATATCGGTCTCTCAATGGATACTACTGGTTCCTGAAAGCTACTGTGCATTTTTATAGCTAGTCTACATGACAGCGCTTCCACCAGAGAGTACACGTTTTAAAGAAACCTAGTTACAGCATTGGCAAGAACCCTTACTGCCCCTCTCCATAGGCGACAAGCATTGATTGTCAAATTGTAGAAATGCACAGTCGTTAGCAGATCAAAGCCTTGTCCAGAGAGAGAGCAGTTAAAGCAGTGTCTCTCAGTGGATACTGTTGTATTCTTCGTTTTTATTGTGTATTTTTACAGTTACCTGAAACTCGCACATTCGTGGCAGGAGAGCAAAGAAGTTCAAGTATGCTTATGCACAATAATTGGGGATATCGATACCGAGTAAGTTTTGTACAAAAGGCTAAAGAAGAAAGAGAAAAAAGAGCCAAACCATTCTTCATGCATGACGGAGGAAAAGCGAGCGGGGGAAAAGAAGATTGTTTCTTACATCGCTACCTCCTCTATCTTACCGGTCCCTGTATATATGTGTGTATCTGGGACGGTGAAAGTCGAGGTGATGCAGTGCAAACAATGCTCTTGAAGCAAAAGGGCTGATGGCTTGCCCACCTTTGCTTGCTTATGCAAATTCGTTCTTGTGGCTTTGCTCCCTTATCCCGGCTCTTTCTCTGGAAAACATCAATGATCCAATCTAGGCTTTGCAACAACCAAGGACAAAATCCAGACACGAAATACACCCTAAACACCTGCTGTTCGCCTATCGCCGCCCTTTGTGCTTTGCACCGCCTGCTCCAGGAAGAAGAAAGATCAGAAAATAAGCAGACAGCCAGCAGATGATGAAAGGTCGCAACGATTAAAGGGGAATAAAACGGCAAACTGGTTTCCAGGAAAGATCCGTGGTCTGAAGAGGAGAGGGATGGAAAAGGTGTTCAGAGACAGGCTGCTCAGCTTCCAACAACAACTCTGGCACCCTCTTTGCCTAGAACACCACGTTCGCGCTCCTTAGCCTTGGGGCTTCGGTCTCTGCCCTTCTTGCGGCTGAGGAAACCGAGCATACCAGCAGGTTTACGCTCCTCCTGAGGTTGAACGAGTGTCTGACTCTGATTGGCCATTTCACTCCAGCTGCCAGTTTCGTTCAGCACGACCTGAACGCCACCACTCATAGAGGTGCTTCGGGTGCTGCCACGAGGACGGTGAGCCTTGTTGATGGCTTGTTGCGGGTGAGAAGTAGGAGGGACGGGAGGAGGNNGTATTTCGTAGCGCTCAGAACGAGGAAGTCTCTGTTGTTGCTGGGCGAAGTATTCAGATTGTGCAGGTGGGGCGTTTTGAGCTTGGTGAGTCGGTAGCGGAGGAGAGCCATTAGGCGATTGTGTTGATGAGCGAGTACGGGAGACGTTGTGGGGTGTAGAGGCATGAGGAGTGGGTATTGAGCGGACTTTATGCAGGTCTTGGGGAGTTTGGCTGTCATTAGTATCTGACTTTGTAGTGACGGGAGATTCGCCGTCGACGCTGACAGGATTCCTGGGATGCATCAGTCTGGTTGGATCAGAGTGGTCGTTTGATGAAGAAGAGTCGCACCTGTTTTCGGGAACGGTTAGGTAGTTGAAAGGCTCGAACATAGTTTCGATCATGCGGTGCAGCTCGTCAGCACGGATTTCAGCCTCGGTAGCATCAGGGCGTAGTTCAGGACGTGGCTTCTGTTTCCTGGTGCGCGCCTCCAGTGGAGCCTCCTCAAGTAGCAATTCCTCCAAGTCGTATGTAGCATCGAAGTTCGTCTTTTCACTAGACGGCTTGAAAATGGGTTCAATTTCCTTGCGCTCCAGCGCATCGAAGTCGAGTTCACGGAAGAAAGGGTTGTCGGTGAAACTGTTCCAGCTGCTCGCGCCGATTCTTTGTGTCTTATCTTNTTCCAGCAACGAGCTGATCGCGTGCATACACACCATCGACACGGGAGGGTTGGTAACGGGGAAGTTGGGCTCGCCCTTGACAATGGCTTGGATAAGTTGGTCGTGGTGGTGTCCTTCGAAAGGTCGCTATAGCGAGCATTGTTAGTTTGTACACATCAGGTGGTCAGAAGCACGTCATACCTTGCTGTAAATACACTCGTAGAAAAGTACACCCAACGACCACCAGTCGCACTCGGCTCCATAACCCTTGCCACGGTATACCTCGGGCGCAAGGTAGGCTAATGTGCCTGATCGACTGGTAAGAGGTTTACCGGGTGTGAGGTCTGTCGCAACGTTCTGCCGAAAGGTTAGCTAAGTCATGGCGACGGGCAGTGAGGGAAGACGCACAAAGTCAGCCAGATGGACGTGGCCATCAGAGTCGAGCAGCACGTTGTCGGGCTTGACATCACGGTGAACAATGTTCTGGCCGTGGATATATCGAAGAGCGCAGCCCAGTTGTGAGATCCAGAAGCGAATGGCCTCTTCAGTGAAAGATTTGCGAGAAATGTGGAAGCGTAGGTCACCGCCAGTCATGAGGTCGACGACAATATACAGGTACTCGACGTCCTGGAAACTGTATCGCAAATTGCACAAGAAGGGGTGGTTGAGATGTTCCAGCATCCGTCGTTCTCGAATCATATTCCGTACACTCTCACTGCGTACCANCTAGCCGTATGTCAGTCGAAGTCGTTATGGCTCGGTAGCGATCGTCTCACCCTCATCTTTGCGGATGTATTTGAGAGCAAAGGTCAAACCAGTGTCCTTTCGCTCTACAATGCGGACCTTGCCAAAGGCGCCCTTGCCGACGACGCGGAGCAGTCGAAAGTGGTCGAGGCTTACTGCTAGGTATCAATGTCCGATCTCTTGTATGCAGCATGGCGACATGGAAGGCCTACCTTCGTCTGTGAAGACGACGGGCTTGCCGCTGGAGTTGCCCATTTTAGGAGCAGCCTGGCTGCCTTTGCGGTCGACGACGGGAAGGGAGAGCGAAGCGACGTCGTGGGTCGATTACGGATGATGTTGCGGGAATTGGTGCAGGCTTCAGGTCATAACTCGTGTCGTGTGTATGGCGTGCGTCGTCGTCGTCTCTATGTTTGAACAAATGCTGCAACGTGGGTGTCGAGAGAAGCTGAAGACTCCAAATCGCCATGTCCATGCTGCATCCCTTGGCGAGCCTTCCCGTTGGTACGCGCTAGAGCACCTTCCGTCAAAACTTTGAGTGCCCTACTGACTCAGGCAGGGCCTCTTTTCTTTGCTACCAGAAAGCAATTCACCCTGCAATCATTTGATAACCACCAGTGCATAGATATCAAGCATTGTATCGACTGTTGTAGTTTTTGCCACGCTTGTGCTTCGCTCTACAGATCTTGCCGTGCTCACCTGCCAAGTCCATCTTCGATGCTTAGTCGATCGTCCTAACCCTGCATTGCATCGTCGTCTCAGAACAAGGCAAAGGAACCAGCCACGCGGAAGGCACGTTTTGCACCACCATTCATGACATCCTTTCGGATCTCCTGCATCTCCTCACCGCTCACATGTCCCACTTTGGTCCACCGACCACGCACTATCTTTGCCGTTGTCCTACATGACAACGCTTCTCTAACCCGTCGCCTGTAGTTTTGACACTCTGATTATTAAAGTGCTTCCTAGAAGGTCATTTTCTTTGTTGGATTGGTCTACACGTACGCACCGAATCTTCCATGCCGTGTGCACGCACGTCGTCCTGACTCTTGCTGCCTCTCCTTTTCCCTAGATACCTACTCCCACCTCCCACAGTGGGGCCGCACCTGGAGAAAAGCCATTCTGATCCGCTAAACCGTTGTCCGTCTAGCCCCTCCTGGTCCAATACACACCTCCCTCCCCGTCTGCGAAAGTTTGTGATGCACAGTTCTATCTAGAAACAAGGATATGGCCAAAGAGAGGTGATGAGAGATTGCTTCTCAATGGACACCATCCTATTTTCTGATAGTATTGTGCATTTTTACAGCGTGTACTTTACTCTCTGTATGGTCGGAGTACAGTGGAAGTTACATCCTTTAGCACTCGGGGAGGTCTCAGGCGATCTGGAAGCTTACTTGGTTTCCAGCACACGAAGCCTATTCAAATTTTGTCCTGTGTACCTATGCATTCATCAAATATGAAAATTCGGCTCCTAGTTCCCTCGACAGAATAACAATAGCAATGCAATGAGAGTTGAGATAACGCCGTCCCCAGTTCCTTGAACGCCCCAAACAGCTGTCCATCATGTTGCGCCGTTTGACTACCTAGCAATGCCATGGTCTCGGGCTGCGAAAAGAGTGCTGACAAGTGATTCGCACTTTATTCTCCCTGAATCAGATCTCGTCCATGTTGCCCGCGGGCTCGTCGTCGTCGCCAGAGTCGAAACTGCCTACGCTGCTCATCTCGTCGTCATCGTCCGAGTCTTCGCCAGCATCTTCGGCCGCTTCTCTTGATGCATATTTGGAAACGTATTCNNTGACAAATATTAGTCGTGTTCTTTGTGTCAAACACATAAAATTGTTCTCACCCTTGACCTTGGCTTCGTAGCTCTTTGGTTCCCTCATCATCAAGGCTGCAGCTTCGCCGTTCAAGGGATCCGTGGGATTGGGGTAGCGCAACAGTTGGGGAAGGAACACCTCGAAGATGTTGACCATTTCGTACATTGGGGACCACGTTTGGTTGATAACGTCGAGGCAGACGCTGCCAGATCTGTAGCATCTTCAGGTTCTGATTCGTATTCGTTCGTGTCACAGAGAACCTTACAGCTCATCAATGTTGGGATGGAAGATGCGGTTCACGAACCCAATGCTGGGACTCTTGTAAGGGTATTGGTCGGGCAGTTCGACATGAATCTTCCAGAGACCGCCCTGAAAGGGNNTGCTGTATAACGCTTCAGCATGATATCGTAATTGTCGTACTGAACACTGTATCTTACTCTCCTCAGGACCCTTGAACCGGACGAAGAACTCCTGCCTGTACATATGTAAGCTTCACGGATGGTATGCAAACGGGCGCTTGAACACGAACACTGTAGTTTGGGTTAGCAGAGCAAGCAGGAATGATGTGACTGGNNTTGCGATCTCACTGTTGTCGTTGACCAGAGTAACCTCGTAGTCGCTCATCATCCTGGTTGGACTGTCAGAGGTACACGTGATGGTTCGAGGCTTCGTCTATACATACATCCTGTTGACAGTCAGTATACAGGACAGCAAGAGCTTTCTGTGCGGTCTGAGACTTACTTCATGACCTGTAGACAGCAAGAAAGAAGGTGTCAGCCCATGCTACTATCCAGCTCTTTGTTCTGTGTCCCATGGACTTACATCCGTCTCGATTCTTCTTTTCGGACTGCTCATTTTGGGTGTGGTTGTGTAATTTACGAAGAAGTGTGCTCGAGGCTTGCGAAGCTAATCAGGTTACCGTCGTCGCTCAGGTTGACGACGACTAGGTGTCGATGTGGGGTGGCACGATGGTTCGGAGTGGGGTCGCGACAGGCTTGTCCTTGTGCGAGGGAGAGTGATGAGTTGGCTGTCGAAACGGTATGGCCAAGAGGCTTGCTGAGTATGGGAGTAGGTTCCTTGTCTGGTCTGAGGCGAGAGGTCGTTGCGAAGGTAGTCGTGACTGATGAGAGAGTCGTGGTCGGTCGGATCTAAAGCCTGCTGGCTCGGTGTTAGCCATCACAGTCCCCGGTGTCGCATGACGACCGAGATACGAAGCTTGGCATACGTTCTTGCTTCTTTGTGCTCGACAACAAAGACAACTCGCAGCTGGAATCGAGTTCCCATAATATCCATGTTATACATATAAACTCCATACGTCAGAGCCTATGAAATCATGTGAATTTTGTTCGATAATAGGTATTGTATTAAGCCATGTTGCTATACAGGAACAAGGAGATCTAATCACAAGCAGATCTCCAGGCTTCGAACCCTCCTCAGCCCTACAACCCGATTTTTGCAAGCATACTCCCCAAGACTGCCGCGGTCTCCGCCAGGGACTGATGTTGCACTTATGCTAGAAACAATTGCATCGACCCAGATGAATGCATATGTACAATTCAGCCACAAACGCAACGGCTCCACAGTGTCGACAAGCTCAGCCGCCCTTGCTGGTGGAGCGTGGGCCGCTCTTCATCTTATTATGTTATGTGCTGTATGTAACGTTATAGCTTTGAGAGCAACAAGGGAATCGCAAAAGCCAGGTCGATGACCCCAAACGGTAGTTGCATTCTTCACAGCATTACTCACACCTGACACGGATTGGCTGATGGAGGGGCGATGCGGCATAATACGCCTATACTATGGTCTTTGGAAACATGCCGAAATAATGGACAGATGGTGTTCTGGCTGCCTGCAGTGATAAACTTTTGATATACAAAGATGTCAACGACACGTCGTCGGCCTCTCTTCAGAAAAAAAAAGAGACGGTCGCCAACGGGAGCCTTACCTAGCAAAGTGCGGGTTACGATGCTGATCAGCTCCGCAAGGGTATTAAAGCAATAACGATACATTCTGCGCAGCGATATGATCACCGATGGCTCCTTTGCCCTGTGCTCAACCAGAGTCTTCTTTCTTTCTTTAGCCAGCTCCTTAGATCGTGACAGTAGCCCGTCCCTCTTTGCAGTGTTAAGCAGTGGTTGCTCGAGGCGCAGGACAGAGTCAGGCTCGCGTCGTGGAGATCGAAAATTCAAGATCGAAGAGGTCGCTCGGACGCAACTTCCAAGAAAACGTCCGAAAGGGAAACCTTAGGTGGCTCAACTCAGTCTCGCTCGCGCTTTGGTTTGGGCCGATCCGCCATCGCCACCCGCAATCGAGTTCGCAAGAACCTCTCTCGAGTGCTGCCATCTCGTCTTTTGCCCCGTACGCATCCATATCTCGTCGCCGCCCGGGCTATACGGCGTTTCATTGTCTCCAGAGCTCAAAGCACGCAGTCGCTCCGACCCTCTGTCTCGGCCCAACGTGGCGTCGCTCCCATACGCCTGCCCATCTCGACTCAAAGTCTGGCCCCTTCTTCGCCGACAACGCTCCACCGACTAGTATTCACTCATTCCTATCGACCACCTTGTAATCCTAAGCTCCTACTGCGACGACCCTCCTTCTGTGCTTGGACGTCTTGTACGTTCCTTGCCATCACCATACCCGCACTCACCGAGGCCGACGCCCAACACCATGTGGTCTGAAGATGAATCATCTCGTCAACCAGACACAAGCCCGTCGCTGCACTCCGAGTCTTCCCAAGAATTTCAAGAGAGGTCTTCTTCGGAGCAAAATCGCCCGCAGTCGTATCTATGGCCTGGCGCAGATAACGCACAGAGTTGTCGCTCTCCACTCGATCCGCTGAGCCCAGACGTTGCCGACCGCGTCTTCCCTATACGCTCTGTCGTCTCTGTCGACCCCAATGCCACCCCTTCGCATCGTTCCGACACTAGCAACAATGGTTATTTCACCCAGGCGCCTCAGCAAGGGAGGCGGTTTTCTGTTGCTAGCGAATCCGACCACAAGACTCACAATGGAACGTCNGAAAAACAAGTCCAGCGGCTCTACCGAAAGTCGTCAGAACAAGTCTCAAGACCAAGATCGTCAGAATTCGAACAGCGCAAATCAGAAACACCGGCATTCNNAGCGCAATTGTTCAACGAGCTCGCCTCTAGCAGAAACGATAGCGACAATCGCTCTAACGACTCACGAAGTACCCGCCCACGTTCATCAGATCGCGCACCCTCATTGAAAAGCTTGAACGCTACGGACGAGACAGGTACTGGCTTGATCACCGCCCGATTCAAGCATGTAGTCTCCGAAGGGGGCCACGCTATCATCACCGGCAGAGACGGAGACACCCTCCAGCGCTGTGAAGATGAACCTATCCACATTCCTGGTGCTATCCAGAGTTTTGGATTGTTAATAGCATTCGAAGAAGAGACGGAGGGCAAATTGATTGTAAGAGTCGTCAGCGAAAACTCTAAGAGACTTATTGGCTATACACCAAAGCAGTTGTTTGCCCTCGACAGCTTCACAGATATCCTATCCGAGGATCAAACAGACAACCTTCTGGATCACGTTGACTTCATTAGAGACGAAGAGGCAGACGTGGGCTCGAATGGTCCCGAGGTCTTTACCATGTCAATACGAACCCCGCAACGAAAGTTGCAGAAGTTGTGGTGCGCCATGCACATCACCGACAAGAACCCTGGTCTTGTAATCTGCGAGTTTGAACTCGAAGACGACCCGGTTTATCCTTTAGTTCCCCATAACGAAGGGACACCCGACCTACCTGAGGATACACTCAGCTCGAATCCAACAGCTGATGAGTTTGCTGAGAGCACAGAGATTGCGAGCAAGCCTTTACGAGTTCTACGGAGTGCTAGGAAACGCAAAGGAGAGGCTGCCGCCATGGAGGTCTTTAATGTCATGTCACAAGTGCAAGAACAGCTTGCGGCTGCGCCTAACTTGGACAAGTTTCTCAAAATCCTTGTTGGCGTCGTGAAAGAGCTTACTGGCTTTCATCGTGTCATGGTGTATCAGTTCGATTCCAACTGGAACGGTCGTGTCGTGACCGAGCTAGTGGATCCCAGGGCCACGAAGGACCTCTACAAAGGATTGAATTTTCCTGCCTCCGACATTCCAAAACAAGCACGAGAGCTCTACAAGGTCAACAAGGTCCGTATGTTGTATGACCGCGAACACGAGACTGCTCGTCTTGTCTGTCGCACTGTACAAGACCTCGAGAAACCTTTGGATCTCACATACTCCTACCTCCGAGCCATGTCTCCCATTCACATCAAGTACCTTGCCAACATGGCCGTGCGATCATCCATGTCCATCTCTATTAACGCATTCGATGAATTATGGGGTCTAATTTCTTGTCATGCCTACGGTTCCAAGGGAACTCGCGTTTCTTTCCCCATCAGGAAGATGTGCAGACTCGTCGGTGAGACTGCTTCGCGGAATATAGAACGACTTTCATATGCCTCACGACTACATGCTCGCAAACTCATCAACACTGTTCCAACATCAAAGAACCCATCTGGATATATCATTGCCTCATCAGAAGACCTCTTGAAGCTGTTTGATGCTGATTTCGGTATGCTTTCTATCAGAGATGAGACTAAAGTACTTGGGCATGTTGAGGAAACACAAGAAGCTTTGGCCATGCTTGAGTATTTGAGAATGCGCAAGCTCACTTCCGTCACTGCCACACAGGACTTGAAGGAGGAGTTCCCCGATCTACGTTATCCACCTGGTTTCCACCATATTGCTGGTCTACTTGTTGTTCCTCTTTCTGCTGGTGGCAACGACTTTATCGTATTCTTCCGCAGGGGACAACTCCGAGAGGTTAAGTGGGCAGGCAACCCTTACGAGAAATTCGTCAAAGAAGGCACTGAAGGATATCTCGAGCCGAGNAAAAGTTTCAAGACTTGGAGCGAGACGGTTGTCGGAAAGTGTCGCGATTGGACCGAGGAGGAGATCGAAACAGCTGCCGTCCTTTGCCTTGTCTACGGCAAATTCATTGAGGTCTGGCGGCAAAAGGAGGCTGCATTGAAGAACAGCCAATTGACACGCTTACTTCTAGCCAATTCTGCACACGAGGTACGAACGCCGCTCAATGCCATCATTAACTATCTCGAAATCGCCTTGGAAGGAAGTCTGGACGATGATACACGAGAGAACTTGTCCAAATCACATTCCGCATCCAAGTCACTCATCTACGTTATCAACGATCTTCTGGACCTCACCAAGACCGAGGAAGGTGGCAGTCTCACCAAGGAGGAGCCTTTCAACTTGTCTGCTACCTTGAAGGATGCCACAGATCAATTTGCTGGTGACGCGCGCCGCAAGAAACTTAGCTACGACGTGATTGAACATCCCGGTCTCCCCGCCACTGTCATCGGAGACCAGAGAAAGGTTCGTCAAGCTATATCGAATGTCACAGCCAATGCAATCCAAAACACCAAGACTGGCGGCATAAGCATTGAGATGTATGTGCTCTCTAAAGAAGAAAACCACGTTGAGGTCGAGATCACTATTACCGATACTGGCTGTGGTCTGAACAGTAAAAAGCTGGACAGTTTGTTCAGGGAACTGGAACAAGTACAGAGTGAGGTGCATGATATGTTGGACGATGAACCGGCTTTCAACGCCAAACAAGTCGAGTCAGGATCGGAATCGACCCGCACTATAGGCCTCGGTCTGGCTGTGGTGGCGCGTATCGTCAGGAACATGAATGGACAACTGCGACTCAAATCTGTCGAGAACAAGGGCTCACGTTTCACTCTGCAATTGCCATTCGATCTACCTACCAATGGGCAGAAAACGCTTGCAGGGTCCATGTCGGATGGATCTCAGCGCTCTACGCTCATTTCTGCTGGCAACGAGGGCGAGATCACTCTTGTAGAGCGTGGCAGTCACAGGCGTAACTCAACTGAGCACTCTCTCTCTCGCACAACAAGCAACGAGAGTATACATAGCAGGCGCAGCCTTCCAAGCATGAAGTCTGGGCGCAGTCATGCAAGTGAAGAATCAACCCGAAGTGAGGCGGACAGACTCATTGATGCAATCTCATCACCTGTCGATGCCAAACGNGGGGCACCTTCTCGCGGAAAAAGCTCTGGTAGTGCACAAAGGCCCAAGTTGGGCTCGCGACATAGTACATCAGCACTTTCAAACAACAGCCAAGCACTACGGCCTCGATCATCCAGCAACGAAACGAACCCACAAGAACTAACCACTGAGGTAGTCAAAGATCCGCCGGGCAGATCCAGTATCATGGATCAAGGACGACCGGTTAGAGCTGTGCGCGTGCCAGAGGAAACAGACGATGTCCCTGCCGCAGCTCAAGACCAACCATTTGAGTCGTCGCGTGTTCTTGGTGCACATCAGGAGGAACCCCCGGAGACAGCAGACGAAGCGCCTACAGCAGATCACATGCGTGTCCTGGTAGCTGAGGACGATCCGGTCAACAGTAGGATCATCAAGAAACGACTTGAGAAAATGGGTCACGAGATTTATCTTACCTCTAACGGTGAGGAATGTTCCAGCACTCATGGAGACAAGAGCGGCTACTTTGATGTCGTCTTGATGGACATGCAGGTTCGTGTTTGAAAGTGATTCGCTCATGAGTATTCTCGCTAATCTCCTNNACAGATGCCTATTGTGGACGGTCTTACAGCTGCCAAGGTTATTCGTTCATTTGAGAAGTCGCATCCTTCACATTTGCTCTCTACCCGAGCATCTCTCAATGGCCGGATCCCTATCATTGCAGTTTCTGCATCTCTTCTTGAGAGGGAGCTTCAAATGTATATCGACGCTGGCTTTGATGGTTGGATCCTCAAGCCCATTTCTTTCCCGCGATTGCAAGAGATCATGACTGGAATTGTCGACAAGCAAGTTCGCCATAAGAACGTCTACGTTAAGGGCGAGTGGGAACGAGGCGGTTGGTTCGAAGGATCTCAGTCGGATGTCTGGGAAGCCGAAACAAAACCAGACGACGACAAAATCGCCATGTCTGGACCTAGCGATGCTGTGCAGAAAGAGGCAGCTAGCGATGATCCGCAAGAGAAGGGAGATGACAATGACGACAGCAGACAGACCCAGGAGCAGCACAGAATAGCTGCTGTGCAAGACCGCGATGCAGGAATCGAGCCTCCTCCGGAACAACAGGACAAGGATGACCCCGATGTGAACGGCGAACCACACGATTTCTAAGGACGATATCCTTCGGTTGCTGGATATGCGCAAGAATATACATGGGCTTTTCAAGCTCTGTTCTTTTTCCTTCCTTTCTGCTTTTTTATTTTTATGTTCAGGAGTACTCGATATGACTCGGAGTTTGAGCATGTCGTGGTGTTGAGGGCGTTTGCTCATCCATGGGAGGTTGCATATGTTCAACTTGGCTATCAGAAGCCAATTCATGCAGCGCTTGTTTGTTTGGATACCAACATGCTGATTGCTTCTTACTTTGTTTAGAAAAGGACGAAGCCGACGACGGACCCTTTATCCTGCAACGCACACTTTTGTTTTATTCTCTTTTCCTGCCTCTGTTGTTCTGTCTAGCTTCGACGACTAAATGTGCGCAATAAATCCATACCTCACGCATCTTAACGAGGAACTGAATTCCACTTTTCTTTCCCTGTTTTTGTTCTCTTCACCCTCTCTTTGCATCTTTTGGAACACACCTGTTGGTTTTCTTTCGTTTGAGGATTTTTTTAGACAGCGGGCGTTGGACAGCTACCAGTGGACTAGCGGATTGTGTATGAATAGTTTACGAGTATAGGGCTGATAGGAGACAGCAGCAACGCCATGCACAGAAATGCCAACCTTCCTTCCCAGCAGTTCGGAGATTTTTTCTCTCTGTGACATTTTATTAATGCACCTTCCGTACAAGGCATGAACGGGGACGATCATCGTATCGAGTTTGATGGGATTCAGAAGGAGTTGCCGAGCTGTATGGTTCATTAAGTTTATCATCGCTGATCGTTACCTCAACCAAGTGGAAGGTGCTCCACCCTAACCACTCCTTCCCATGTATCAAGTGTCAAAACATGCCGATCCGAGCAGCCCACGGAGCCCCATGGTGGTATAAGCACAGTTACACGAGTACACCGAAACCCTGGAAACGAAATTTGATTCCCAATCCTTCCTGGATGCCTTCGCCTAGTTTCCTTTGCCTACTAAGATAACCTTTTATTCTACCTTATGCACGGAAGAGTTGCGGGACCTGATTGAAAAGTATGTTAGCGAAACAGAACGGCAGGGTAAAGAGCTTGGGAACGCAGCCCAAAGGGAAAGAAAACACTAACCATCTTCTGAACGTCTTTCCCTTGTAGTAGAACAAGATGCCGAAGAGACACCACAACAATACCAACGAGCCGTTTGTCATGATTGGTGGGATAAATCCAGCTTCTTCGACCCAGGGTGTGATGAACTTGGAGAAACCATAGCCCCAGACGTTCTTGTTGACCGTGACGGCAACGAAGAGGGGGCCAGCCACTGGCTTGTACGAGTCTACGGCGTAGGTGGACACGATGGAGGGGATTGAGGCTACTTGGATGCCCGCAGCACCGAAAGCAATCACGACGATGACTTGCCAGGGCCATTTTCTCTCCATGCCGATGGCGGCGACGATGTTGCCGATGTACATGATGATCACGTAGGGAATCATTGCGATCAGACGCATTTCGGNGCTAGAAAGCACACATCTGTTAGCGAAGCGAAGCAGAAGTCGGAGATTGTCTTTTCTTACCTCACGGATACCTCCATTTCTCTTTGTGGCTCTTGCGGCTACCCAATCGCTCAGTTTTCCGGACGAGGCCAGACCAATGATGGCACCAATCAGGATGGCGAAGTTGAAGAATCCAATGGTTTCAGAAGAGAAGTTGTAAGGTGGTGCAGCAAATGCTTGAGCTTGGGTCAAGTTGAGAGTCAAGAAACTTGAGCAAGACCATGAGCAGACAAAGGCAGCGAATTCGACAATGGGGAATGCAAACAACTTCCAGGGAAGCCAGAGGTCATTGGCCATGCTCTTCCAAGGATGGTCGTTGTGTTGCCAGAGCTTCCATTGTGCCTTTGAGGGGTAGCCCTTGCCGAGGAAAGGGTCACGGTCTGCTGTCTTGGTTGCTGCTAGTGAAGGCATGCCAGTCCTTGATTCGATTTGCTGGATTTCGATGTCTTCGACATGGCCACCTGAAAGCTTGTCCGGCACTGGTAGTGTTGAGTTGCTGTCATCGAAGTTGCGAGTAGTCGGGGCTGGGATTTCATGAGGGTGGGGACGGTGGTATTTGGTCTCAGGGAAGCAGAAGACGACCATCAGGAGCGACACAGTAACGAGACCAACGTTGAGCCACCAGAAGGAGCGCCAGCCAAGACGATCTGACATGACACCACAGATGATAGGAGCAACCATCAGCGAACCCATGTATGCAGTCCAGTACAAAGTGTTCTGGAAGCCACGGTTGTGAAGGAAGAAGATGTCAGCAATGACAGCAGGCTGAATAGACTCAGCAGGGCCAGCACCAAGTCCGTTGAGGATGCAAGCACCCATGAAGGATCCATATGTCTGTGCTCTAGCTCGCCAGATCATACTAGCCAGACACATCAACTGACTGGCAATATACACCACTCTGCGGCCAAAAGACGAACTCAATGGCACCCAGATGAAGTTACTGAATCCGAGAACCAGAATGGAAACACCTGTGAATTGCACAGCATCGGCCAACGAACAATCGAAAGCTTTGATGTAGTATCCGAAGGCAGGGGCAAGGGCAAGAGGTCCGAAGCCTTGGCTGAAGGAAACCAAACTGCTTGATGTGATGGCTAAGAACTTCCATTTCGCTGACCAGTTCAAGGGGTCGTGAGGGTCATCTGAGGGTTGAGGGACGAGAACACCATTGTGGCCTTTCACGAAGTGGTGGCTTCCGACATCGGTCATGATNNCTGGGATTTCTATCTCAGCAAACGTTCTTGACTGTGATAATGGAAGATGATGCACCTCTGTACCAGGCAAGATCTCCTGGCCAATCTCCTCTTCGATCTGATGCAATTCTGCATCATTATAGTTCATCTCCATCTTGACTATGGATGTGGGACTATGGCCCAGTCAGTTGAGGGATGTATAGAAGGTTGTGTCACACTGGATGTTCGGAGGATAGATGGACGAAGATCAAAGTCTGTCGAACAAACAGAGCCACAAAAAGGTTGACCAGAAAAGGGATGGAGATCTTCGCAGACAGCAACCATCCCAACTTATATGTTGACCCCAGCCTCAGCTCCTTCGAAGAAACCCATCGTCCAATCGCTGGTTCGCACTTGCAACGGCAGATGGTCGAAAAGACATCTCCAGACGCCACCATGCGCGGGGTTTGGGGTCTCCACGTGCACGGTGGATGGAAGGCGATCCGACAAGCATTTCCAAGCATTTTGCCTGTTGTCCCCCAGACTTCCAGTCTTCTCGACTGCTTTTGTGCCAATTCCTTCTGCCGTTTTGTGGCCTCAGCTCTGCCGGGTGTGCTCGGCTGGTCCAGTAAGCTTTTGGAGGCTTCAAGAGTTGACCGTGGGATCTGGGTCAAGCAAATTCATTGTTCTCGGCTGCAGGACACGGCAGTTGTGCTCGGGGAATACGATAGGAATCCGCGGGGAAATGCGCAATACTGCGTTGACTAGACTGATCTGAGTCTAACCGCTCCGTGCGGCAGTTGCAAATTTGCATCTGGACCTCCAGGATGCGATTGCGAATCGTGGGTGTCATTCAAATCAACAATCCTGGAGATGGACTGGAACACAGGAGGTCAGAGAACTGAATCGCATGGCTGGTATGTCATTTGTGTTCAGCTCATGAATGTTCTGGCTTGTCGACCCGATAGATGTTGAGCGTTGACATGGGGTTCATGAAGCCCTTGAGATCAAGTTTGGGGTTTGCAAGTCAATCGACGACAGACTAGGCCACGCAGCCCCACAACTCCGTGATGATGAACGCTGTTTCTGGACATCATACAATGTATCAAACCCAATTCACAGGACATGTTTGCCTATCTGCTGCAAGAATTGGCCTTTTCAAAACTGCAAAAGGATGTTTACAGGGCGACCCTGCTCGCATTGGAAGCTATGGATCAATCCAAGAACGATACGAGGCTCATCGATCTTCGTAACTTTAGGACACCAGAATCCTGACGAGTCATCTGAGAACGATTGATCTGATGATCGGAACGCAAAAGGCAATACTTGACGACGGTAATCGCTGACTTGTAACCGTCCATAACCGAGGTCATGACTGCCATAACCGACACCCAAGGTTATCTCTGGTCCTAACAATGAAATCCGACGGATGAAGTACTGATAGTCGCGATGGCATGTTGAGCAGTGGACGGCATTCGAGGAGAAGATACAATACCCGCCTTGCCATGGCATTGATTGTAGGGGCCTTGCTCGATATGCTTCGATCGTTGTGTTCCTCCAGGACGAAGTGCTCCATACTCACCTATTGGATCGAGATTGCTGGACGTCCACTGAGAGGCTGAACAAATGCCACTCTCGATGGAGGTTCCTTGTCCACTGGTCCAATGCTGAGAACACTGGAGAGCCGCAAGTCTATAGATGTGACAAGATGATTCCTTCGTTTCCCCTTTCTTGTCTGCTTTGTTCTCATTAATCACCTTCTTGATCTATACTGATCGGTCCAATAGCTGCTGCTATGTTCGCTTAGTTCTCTGCTTCGACCAATCGCTCGTGACCGCTCGCCCTCTATCCACTATGGCTCTCGAGATGCCAACAAAGAAGGCTTTGATACGTATCGATCGAATCAACGATATATGTTCTGGGCAGCACCAAGATGGTCGAGCTGCTTTGTCAGGAGTGTAAGAGAATTGTAGTCATTTGTGCGGTGCACACAACGACTCCAAGACGTGTCGGGTCCAACGTGTCGTTACCAGACCAGAGAAAGCCACGGAAAGCGTACACAGTTTCCGTGACGATGTGAGCCTTCGTGCGTCGCTCTAAGACGAATCTGTATGCGCAGACGTGAACAACAACATCACCAAGACTCGCTATACAGAAGCTATCAGATCGCATTGCGGATTCCTCATGGTAAGACCAGTTGAAATAACTGTATGTTCATCCTCTTGACATATTTCAGGAGAAGATGGAGAACGATCACAAGCCTTCTGCTGTCGAGCAGCTGTCCACCACAGAACCCAAGTGGATTCCGGTCGAAGATCTCGCCAAATACTATACCGACCGCAAAACCCCCGGTCGCAAATATCCTGAGCAGCCTCAGCTCGACTTTGAGACTCTCTACATTGACAACTCCTTCGACGAGATTCAGGAGAGCGAGTCGAAACTTGGCGATAATAAGGAAGCCGGCGAAAACCAGGAAGCTGCCAAGCTCGCAAAGGAGTCTACAATCAAGTCGCCGTACATGACCGAAGCTGAGATCGAGGCTAAGGCCAACTTGATCATCCAGGCGGCTACAGGCAGTGAAGATGAGGAGGAAAGCAGCGAGGAAGATGAGGAGAAGCAGGAGCCTCAAACCAAGAAGTCCAATGGCGCAAAATACAAGTCGTGCGACGAATGCACCTGGGCAAGAGTCAAATGCGTGCTTGGCAGGACGTCAAACAAGGATGGCAGTAAGATATGCCTCGAATGTGAGGAGCGTGGCCGCCGATGCCACTTCAGCGTCAAAGGCCAGAGACCCGCGAAGAAGCCATGAGCTGTCGCGTCAGCAATCCCACCTTCCAACCAGGCACCATGGCTTTCCCAAGATCGGTGGTGTGTTCGACCTCAAGTCGTCGTCGACCAACATGAATCAAGAACAGACCAAAGCTCTGCAAGGGGCTTCTTGAAACAGATGGTGGTGTCTGGAGAGCTGGATAATCAACTATCGTCGGATGGTCGCGGCATCAGATCAACATCGTTGAGCTTTCCTCTAGCACCCTAGCACCTCACTAGAACGCAAAATCCATCGCACTTGGATCGAATGTATCAAGATGTGATTGCAACCAGTCTTCTCGTCCATGCTAATCAGTAGTTCGGCGGCGGGAGTCCGGTGCCAGGATCTGCTGCTGACCGATTCCGAGATGCTCACTTGTGCTCTGCTTAACCAAGATTGTGATTGATAATCGAGGAGGTCTGATAACGCATACTCGTCTTATCGAGTCATATTTGCAAGTATTTGCACCTCATAACGGTCGAGTTGACTCGTGAAAATTTCAAGTACATGTCGAATCATGTCAACACTAGCGGACTAGAGCAGCTGCAAAGCAGTCGATAGTGTCAATAGCTACGCTGGTGTCTAGTATCGTGGGCCCTACGACTCATGAATAGTGTGCTGGGTTGTTCTACGGCTGACAGCATACAAAAGAAGCCAGAGATGAGCTTCTACAGCTGAGCCGTAGTCGACCGATCACCATGAGTCGCGATATCGTACCGAGTTTCGTTCGAGACCAGTGAGTGAGAAGGTGGAAAAACGTCTTGGGAAAACGACGTGCCCGTTTAGCTGAAAACGTTCCCACTGATGATGATTGGTAGTTATTCGAAGTTTGTCTAGTCATTGTCGAGCATGAGAAGTCGCGATGCAAGGTGGACAAGCCAAAGCGGCCAAAAGTCGTGTGCTTCGCGACTTCCCAACCAGACACCCAAGGTCTTACAAGCTTTGCTCTCTCGGGGACCTCCAAGAAAGCTCAGCACCAATTGCTGAAGAATACTTAGAGCCTGGCAACGAGTTTTCCAGCTTACTCAGTCATCATTCAAGCGCCGTTTCTATCAGATACCAGAATATCCAACGTTGAAGATGTGACTATGCCAGAACCACAACACCAGAACATGCTAGCATCGCTTGCTTGCCGTGAAGAAAGACTGCGAACCGATGTCATCGAGTTTATATACTATGCACCTGTGGAAATGATCACCCAACTCATCAACTCTGTCAGCCATCGAAGCCCTGGCAATAGGTAGCATGTGTCTTGACGTTTTCCACACCGGCAAGAAACTTTTTGGTGGCCTGGTGGTGTCTTTGAATCAGTATCAAGCTGCAACTAGCGATGGACTTGGTTCACTAGGTGTGCTTCGTGCAACGATTCTCCAAGACTTACAGGTACAGAGCGGCTCTTCGAGTACCTATCCGAAGGGAGTGAGGCAGTGGAGTTCACGTACTCAGAATATGCAAGACCAAACATCCTTGGACGTGTCCCATGGAGGATGTTCACTTCCGAAACTGTATGACATAGAATATAGACAAGGGTTCATTCGTTGCCTCCTGTCCATGCGCTCCGACCGCAATATGGCTGACGAGTCCATTGATTTAAGACAGCTCGATAAAGCAAAGCGGTTCTGGGAGAAGATCCTGCCCCTGATCTTGCCAACAACATCTACCCTGCGACGATCAGAGCGACGCTCATGGACAAACAAATAATCTAAGAGGGAACGGGAGTACGAAGGCATCAATTTTCTGAGTTGACCAAGTTTTTGACAGTCCAAATTCAAGCTTTCTATAGAATCTTCTCTGTTTGACATAACCCACACACCTGTAACGCGTCTGTCACTCAAATCCTTCGAGGATTCGGCCCTCTGTTAAGGCGCTGATGTGACAAAGCCACGGCAGCGCCTTTCGCTTGCACTTGCACCGTGCACGGCACCGAGCGGCATCAAGCGGCACGTTATATTGTGGGACATCTGGGCCACGCTTTGACCGTCTGTTCCACCACGAGGCCGGTCCGAAGTTTGTTTGCTGTCTGCAGACCTGCCGGTTTCCAACCAGGTGTACGGGTTCCTTTGGTCCTGCTTGGGTCGGACTGTGACCGAAATGATAACTCGAAGCAACACCAGTCATGACGGACGCATTATCAATCTTTGGCAGCGACGGTTCTGGTTTCGCGTCTCTTGTTTAGGAAACGCTTTTGCGTTCTCAAACGCATTGCAAGCGTTGGATGAAACTGGTGTGGTCTATCTTTGCAACAGTTGGGATGTTGACCGTTTCGTGAAGGTACGCCTGATAACTTTTGGATCATCAGCTGTCTGCCCATATCAGGCAGGTATGGGAAGATACGACTTCTACGTATGGAAGGTTTGCGCTCGCATCCCTTATTTGACTTCGTTCAAGAAGAATCAAGGTTTCCGATCTCAAGACGCGAGCGTTTCAAGACAACAACGCAATGACACCGTTCTTGCTTTTTTTGTGTGTCTGAGAGGGGCTTTGTAATCACGGCAATCGAAAGAGCATAATATCGGGACTTTGTTGCATTGAGCGGTAAGTGTAAATTCGTGAGAAGCATTAGAATGGTGATTATAATGTGGACTTTGGTCTGTCGGAAAACAGTGATTCCCGGATGGCGCCAACGCTTGAAATGCAAAGACAAAACAAATGAACAACTCTTGTAGGCTACACCCTCTCGTATGCTTGTATCGCGCGTTGTGAGGCGTTACCACTAGACCTATCATCATGTAGTGTCTCCTCGTATTGTGTGTCGATCTGAACACTGTGTAGGATGCCTCCATCGTGCAGTTTGTTCGCGCCAGGTACGAACTCTTCCTCGCTGTCGGTCCTGGAGAGTCCTCNCCATTTTGTGTCATCACTACTAGAAGCGCCTCCGCGGATTGTGACAGTCGTTTTGACTCCTCCTTTTGTGAAATCTTCTAGTGGCGTTGCTCCGCTGTTCATGTAGGCGTGAGCTCCGTTTTTGTTGCGCTTGGTCCAGGTCTTCGAGCCGGGTCCTGAAGAGCTTGTGATGCCCATGAAAGTCATGACACGCTGCATCAGTGGTCTCAGAGTTCCCAAGTTGCCAGCAGTGATGCCGATTCCAACCTCGACAGTAGTCCAGATTGCCACATCGGCAGTGCGCCAGAGAAACTCGCCCTTGTAATGTTCCAAAGTCCAGACGTAAGGTAGACGAATGATGGTCGCAGAACTTCCGACCGCAGCAAAACCGAGAATGATCGCCACGACCGCTTTTTGGTGACGCTGCATCTGCAAGTCTTTGACGATGAAGATCGGTAGCAGACCAAAGACCCAGTCTGCCACCGAGTTCAAGGCTGAGACCACATAACCCGCAACAGAATACACCGAAGCGCTCAAACAATGTCCATGGTGATCGGGGTTGAGGTCCCACCAGAAGGAGATTGGGTGGCACTGGAACAGGACGATGCCGAAGTATGTGAGACCGAGCACGGCGCTACAGTACATGATTGTCTTGATGATCCAGATATGCCACTTGTTGTTGGCGATTCGTAGAAAGAAGAGTCCGATAGAGATCTTCAACATCGATGTCGCCAAGGTGTAGAACAGCTCACAGAAGAACCAGTANNCTGCAGATCTGGTTAACAGATTGGCGTGTGTGGTAGTCAGGTTCGAACTTACCATCAATCCAATCTGGGCTGTTGCATCAGTCATGGTTGCACGATGTCTCCCGTTACCATGTGCGAGACTGCCGAGTTGGCATATTAAGTAAGCCGTAAAGAGAAGCAAAGTCGCAAGCATGGCTCCATCATCCCAGCCGACTTGTTTTAACAATTGCGTNNTCTACAGTCAAGTCAGTTGTGGACCTGTCGAGGATGGACATTTGACCCACTTTACGTATACGCGTAGTCCTACAGAAATCCAAGAAAGAATGAAGAACACAACACACACGACCAGGATCTGATTAGACCTGTCGTACATTTTGGCTGTGGGTGAAGTCGAGTGTAGTAAATGAAAGGTTCCAGGTAGATGGTCTATGATAACATGGCCTGGGGATATGACGAAAAGAGATACCGGAGAAAGAACGTGGATAAAGTCGTGGAAGTAAGTCGGAGAGCAAAGGTCAAGAGAATGTCGTAAGCGGTGGTCCAACGATCATATAAGAGCTTAGATACGTGAGAAACGGTCGGTTACCTACCGAGAGGCGCAGGTGCACATCGAAATGCAAATAGAGAATGCCGTCTTTGTGGAGCTCAGCCAACGTGCCCATCGGCCTGGTCGATAGCCACAAGCACTGGCTAGTCTTGTAAATCTCGCTACCAGGGTCGTCGGCGGCAAGCCTAAAGGCTCATGGCCCTTGCTCGCACCGTTCGCTCTCGGGTCTTGGCCAAGTGCATCTCTGACAACTGATTCTGAAACCGGATGCTCTTGAGACCATTAAAGTCATGAGTATAGTCAATACGGTAGTGTCGATGACTCGAGAAATTCCATCTTTGGTCGCAATTCGAGATAGCGGGTGGAGCGGGCCATTTGGTCGTGTCTCGGAAGGGCCTGCCGCGCCAGCTAGACTGCGACGTCTCCACGATCAATATATTTCGTTAGAAGTATTGCAACTGTCTCGACTAATATAAGATTGACAGACAGCCCAGCACTTGCCTGCTTCCTCAGGCTTCCTTTGTAACCCTATTTGCGGGTTTCGAAGTTAACAAGCGAATTGTCGATGAGACTTTTCCAGAAGAACTCAAGCACGAGCTCCAGCAAAAAAGCGTTGGAAGCCGGCATTTTCGAGCTGATATGGCCAACGTCGTTATTCTATAATCAACCGTGCATGGCTGCTCACTGGCAATGAGCACGAACTGGGTTCCTTTCTGAATCGCTGTAATCCGTACCTACGACTCGCTGCTTATTTTGACTCTCGAATGGTCGTCGCGTTGGTCGCGGCAGGCACCAGATCCTCCAGATTTTCTTGATCACGTGTGCTCAATTTATCCTGGATCTTCCGACAATCATTATGCTAACGTCGATCACATTCTTGTAGTTAGTGCGACACGAATTGTGAAGACAAACGAAAAGCATGAAAATACATCAACACCTAGAGAGTTGCCATCCTGTTAAGTCTCCATGGCCGTCGCTACTCTTCCTTGAGCATTTGCGTTCGCACATGTATCGACAGTGTGACAAACTTTGGTATACGAGCAAGAAGGATTCTAAGTACGGCTATTGTCGGCTGATCGGGTCTGGACTGCTATCTCCTCGTCGCGACCATATGACTACAACTCCCATTAGATAAGGACATCTCACATATAGCTGCCTGCGCCATCCTGGATTTTCTGTGTCTCAATTGATATCGCAACTTCCCAAAATAAAGGACAATTCAGCAAAGAACGCTCAAGATGGCATCCGCGGACAAGCCCCACGCAGCTCCTCAACCAGCCTACCTTCCAACACCGGGCAGCATCTTGAATGCCAACAAAGACTTCTACGACTCCNNCCTAGCCAACAGCAAATCCAGAACACTAAAGCAAACCATCGATATCCCACCACGCTCCGCCAAAGCCTGGAAAGTCCCCGCCGGAAGCATTGTTCGATTCTCAACTCCGGAAGGCCCTCAGGTCGGTGATTTGAATATCTGGAATCTGTCCAACCCACGTGAAAGGTTCTGGGCATCCCGTACGAGACAATTGCAGGCTAGTCATGTTACCGTGTATGATCGTCTCTGGAGTTGCTTGCCTTATCTGAGACCTATGGTTACTATCATTGCGGACTCGCTGAAGGATTATGGCGTGGATCGGTGGGGTGGTAGATGCCATGATTTGCTGGGCACCCGATGCGATCCGTATGTGAACACAATGCTTACTGGTGATCAATATGATTACCATTGTCACTCAAACCTGACAAGAGCAGTGGTGCCATACGGACTCACGTAAGCTACCTATTTCTGGTATTCTCGTGTCCTCATTGCTAACCAAGAACAACAGNNTGAGTTTGACGTCCACGATGTCATCAACATCTTTCAAGTCACTGGATTAAATGCAGAGGGAAAGTACTTCATGGAGCCAAGTCCAGCCAAAAAGACCGATTATCTTGAGTTCTTCGCCGAGCAGGATGTTTTGATGGCTTTATCTGCATGCCCTGGTGGCGACCTCAGCGCTTGGGGCTGGGGCGAAGGAGGTGCTGGTGAGGAAGGAGAGAAGAAGAGCATGCTGGACTGTTGCCGACCTCTTCGAGCGGAGATCTACAGTTTGGACGATGAGTCCCTGTTGAAAGGCTGGACACAATTCGAACCACCAAAGTACACTGGACTTCACGGTATGAAGGTACCAATTGGAGAGAATGTATCTTGCTGATCGAGATGAAATTTGAGCACGGTTTGGCATTCTCCTGCCTTGAGGCATAGTTGAGATTGGATACTATCTTGGGGTTCAGCTAGAGGAAGCATGCCCTAATACCCAATGGTCGGACTAAGGACTTTGCGAGGCCTTTATCGCCGTGTCAATATTGATGTTGCTTGGCATATTTTCGGATGTGGCGGGCATTGGCAACAAACGACAGATATGTTGGCATCATGCTGGCAAAGAAAAATGTTTGGAACAAAACCCATAAAAGGTTGACAACACTCAACATTCGATCAACCAGCGAACCTGACTACCACGTCGTGATTTGTCCGAACGCATCGTGTCGTAGTATACAACCTGATATTTTGTTCAGCTGATCAAGTCAGTACCTCAGTCCAAGCAGGTATATCTGTAAAAATTTGTAGCGCCGAACCAGTTGCATTTCAAGTATGGATTCGGTATCAGTAGGTGCAGTGAGAATCGCATCCATCAAAGCAAGCGACTTCCTTTCATAGCATTTTCACCAACCCTCCTTCTTCACTTGAAGCCCTGAAGTCTCGAAGTCTCATCACTTGGGTATTGCACTCCGCCACGCCCTCAAAAATCCTCTACCACGTGAGTAACACTACACTTTGTTGCTCTCTCGCAGCACTGCGCTTGATTATCACCTTGAATCACTTCAGAACTTACAATCTCCGCGCAGCAGTTGGTCTCGAGATCAGCAAAGGGCAGCATCTCTCACTGTCAGTTCCCACCACATTGGCTTGTTTATGTTGCATTTTCTCACATTGACTTTCTAGCGTTACTCCGCGTTTGACTTCACATCAGTCATGGTAGTTCCTCATTTGTGGAAGACATTCAGGCAACTACCTTGGCCGGAATCAGATTCCTTCAAAGTCGCAAAGGCCCAGATACAGAAGCGCGCAATAGAAATCTCGAAGCTATCACACAAGGATGCCAAGATACAAAGAGACATATACGCGCTTGAATTCGTCAGCAATAACAAAGATTGGATCCCTCAGGACCGCCAAACATGGACCAAAGGTTGCGTCTGTAGGATGATGTTTTGTACGACACGCCACTATAATCGCCGCAACAAAATGCGTGCTGTTCGAGAGGCAGAAGACAGCAATCAGCCAACGCCGCCTCCCATCCCAAACACCGATCACGGGGACAACGATCATGACGGCAATCAGGAGGATAAAGATCATGAGGACAACGACCACGGAGACAGCAATCATGAGGTCAACAATCACGAGGACAGCAACCATGAAGATAACAGTCAGACAAACCACGAAACGACCGCAACGACTGACAACGTCCCTTGCCACACAAGATCCACCAGGGTAGTGTGTATTGACCTCGATGACGATGACGACGAAGACGACGACGAAGACTACGTGACTCAAATCGAGGCTCCCATAGTCAATGACAAATTTGGCCCTGGAACACTCAAGAATTACAACATCCGACTCAACCGCTTCGTCAATGGCAACCTACAAGCAAGCAAGAGAGTTCTACTTTGGCTCTGTGGCAACGCAACAACAAGATGCTCGACTTTCGACATTGGACACTTGAGCTTCGACAGGCTTGCTAAAATGGCCAACCTATCCGAGAACGAGACCATCACCTACGCATACGCTAGATCTCCAGCCGGCTACATCCAGATCATGGATGACGTCGACTTCATAACAGCAGTCCAATACCTTATCAATCAGAACGCTTCTCCTGTCGACGATCTGGTGTTGTACATACAGAAAGCCTGATGATGTGCGGTAGAGGGCGTTTTGGTTCATTGACCGACTATTCATCACCGATGCGAGCGTGGAGCATGAGGTTCAAAGAAGAAGGGGAATGCGTTAGATGTTTGTAGACGAAGAGGGGGTGAGGCGCAAAAGATTTCAATGAAGAAAAGAAACAAAGTTTAATTGAAACAACAAACTGGCAGTTAGCCTATAGCTACCACAAAAAGAAGCGAACGCAAACAGCTACCACAAAAGAAGAGAAACGCAATCAGAAAACCAAAAGAAACTATATACAACCACCAATCTTCCTTTCAGATCCCATGCCTTACAAACACTGGTAGTACCAGTCATTTTGGTACTTGCAAGATGAGCCAGAGACACATTTAGTAGGTCCATCATATCCAATACCACCACAACGACCCCACTTGGGGACTTCAGTGTATGCAGGGCTGGGTACAGCGACAGAAGTAATCGCTGTGGTGCCAGTGAAAGTAGCAGTCTCGGTTGTAGAGGTAGGAGCAGAAGTGATAGAAGCAGAAGCAGAAGCCGAAGTCACAGCAGCTGCAGAGGAAGACACAGCAGTCGAAGAAGCCATTCCAGTAGAAGAAACAGCTTGAGTAGCAGTAGCCGAAGAAACCACAGCAGGGGAAGAAGCAGCAACAGGAGCATCGCCAACCTTTACAGCAGCAACCTTCTTGGCAGCAGCTTCGGCAGCAACCATGACGATGGCTTGGGTGTTGCCGGTAGGCAAGTCAGGGTGGAAAGAAGCGTCTACGACAAACAGGTTGTCAGTGCCGTAGACCTTTGTATCCAAGTCAACGACTGCAGCACCGCCCTTGCGACCATCGTCTTCGCCCATCTTGGCGGTACCGACGAAGTGGCTGCCAGTAACGAAAGTCTTGATCAGATCAGCGCCGGTAACGTTTGAGGAAGCAGTGAGACCGGCATCAAGAGTCAAAGTCGAGTTCTCGGCTGTTGTGAGGCTGATCAAGCGGTCGACGAAAGAGGCAAGAGCTTCCTTGTCCTCGTCGGTGTTCAACCAAGGCTGAGTGATGTATTCAGTCTTGCCATCTGCGGTAATGCCAATCTCACCGGTAGAAGTCAGACCATGGGTAAGGTAAATCTTCATCTTGATGGTGTCACTGGAAGGCGAGTTGCAGGTTCCTTGGACGAAACGCTCAATGCCATCAGTACCCTTGACCGAAGACCAGAAGTTCAAACGCTGGCCACCCTGGACAAGCAAACCGCTGCCTTGAGCAAACGCTTCGACGTCGGTTGAGTTGGGCTTGGTGAAGGCAGTGGTATCGAGAGAAGACAATGCGGACTTGGTCTTGAACTTCAGAGTCACAATGGGGTGGTCCTTGAGACCCTTGCCAACGGGAAGATCAATCCACTCAGACTCTTCGGGAAGAGTGACACCAGTGCTACCACCTTGGACAGTCTTGATCTGATCGGCAGGGCCAATGCCAGAGTTGATGAGTATACGGGGAGTAGACAGAGCGCCACCAGCAAGAACGACCTTACCGCCAGACTTGACATTGATGATTTGACGGCTACCATCCACAAGCTCAACTTCGACACCGGTGACGAAGGAAGAATCACGGACAGCACGGATAACAGTGCTGTTGAGTTGGAGGTGGAAGTTCTTCTTTGCCTTGGCGAGAGGGAGGTATGTCAACACGGGGCCGGCACGGAGACCATCCTGGATGTTCCATGGCGGGTGCGAGAAGACATCTGTCTTCTTGTTGGGTTCCTCAAGAGCGTTGACAGAGGACCATCCATTGCTGGTGAAGAAGGTAGAAAGCACATCGTAAGCACCCTGGTCGTAGCGTTGACCATCCTTGGAAGGAGCAATAGTACCGGGGTTTCTCTCGTAGAAGCTTTCGGCAGAGGCTGAGACGTCAGACCACTTCCAACCAGTTGGCCAGTTGTCGTCAAAGTCGCGTTCTTGGGGACGGACGAACATCAGAGCGTTGATCATGCTGCTACCACCAAGTAGACATCCAGCTTGATCGGCAGTGTCAGTGCAGTACTCGTTGGTGACGCCAGCAGAAGCGAGGTAGTAGGCCATGGCAGGAACATCGTATTGGGTCACAGTATCGTTCCAGGACTGGACAGCATGACCACCCGATGCGTAGGTAGAAGCGTCACCACGCTCGAGAAGGAGAACCTCAACACCAGACTCAGCAAGTCTTTCAGCGACGATGATACCGGCAGGTCCTGCACCCGAAATGATGTAGTCATATGTTGTGTTCAAGGTGGTGGCGACGGGGGCGGCAGAAGGGCTGCTCTGACCTGTAGTAGAGGTTGAGCTTGCACTGCCATTGGCAGGAGTTGTAGAAGCCGGAGCAGTTGCTTCAGCCCAGGAAGCCCAAGTATCGTAGTCTGCAGACGAAGAGCTGGCAANAATGACGGCAAATGCACCATATCCAGAGTGCATGTTCAAAGCAGTGTCGGCGGCAGAGGGCTTAGCAGGTGCATCGGAAGAGTAGGCCCATCCGAAAGCATTACCCTTGACGGTGTTGGGGAAACTGTCTGATTCGCCAGTGATGCATCCATTGCAGACGAAAGTGTAAGAGAAGTGAGTGCTGTTGACAAAAGTACCATTGGCGATGGGAGTGGTGGTCACGTTTCCTGAGTAAACGGGAGGGGTAGTGTAACCAGTTGCTTCACGGACGGAAGCCATGACCTTGTCACCGTCAGGCCATGCGACGACCAGAATGTGGTTTGCCATCTGAGCAGACATGTCAAGACCGGCCCATCCCTCAGTTGTAGGAGCAACGATCTGACCAATGAAATCCGTGCCGAGAGTCTCAGGTGTGGCAACACTGAATCGTGCTCCAGACTCGGAGTCCTCGTAACTCATGAAGTCGATACCAGTGTTGGGGTCAGTGTATGCCACGCTCTGGGCAAAGGCGCCCAGTGCATAGGCAAGGGGAAGAAGAGCTGCGAAACGAGGCATGTTGCAAGAGAAAAGAATGAATCGCGAGGACTGTTTCAAGACTGAAAAGAATGGAGAAATGGACCCTCTGGGCCTTGAGACGACTCTGGAAAGGGAACGAATTCCACCAGGGAATTGTTCAAACGAAAGACTGAGCCGTGAAGGCTGGAAGGAACGACGAAAGAAAGACGAAAGGCTGACCTACGAATGAAGATACTGGGCAGCAGCCACATTCTATATCTTATGTACCCACCCAGATAGACTCTTTCTTCGCGATAGCAAGCGCCAAGTCGGTACCTGCATAGCCGTTTCGCAGGGGTATAGCATGTTTCGCGACAGAAGACAGCGGGGCAGGAGCTCTAAGCAAATGTCGCGAAGTTTGATCGGCCAAGGTCAGCAATGTTCTACTAACAGAATACTCTAGAAGAGAGCTGTAAACGAGGCCAATGAAATTCGACCGATTATGACCGAGTCGAGAGGATCGAGGAATGAGTGCAAAGTCGATGTTGTCTGTCAGCAAGTGTGATGAGTGATTGTGGTCGAGGTTGTGCGAAGAAAGCACCTTCATCAAAGGTCAGGCTAGCGTGTTAGAAAGCAGGGGTAAGCGAAGGGTTGGCATCGGTAAAGCGATATCTACGGGCCCAAGTCAATCTATACCAGACCTGTCACGTTGCCGTGATTGGGAAGATGGAGCAAAGGAGAGGATGTTGTGGGCCATGTGTTTGTTTCATATTGCGCCACTGAGCGTAGGGCTGGGCTTGGTACTTGCGGCTCTCGACGCAGTGCCTCTAACCGAGCTGACGATTTTTCGGAGTAAGACCGAGATGCGTTGTGATATCGATGTAGATGCAGTACTCCGAGTAGAATTTCGATCGGGCTGCATAGATGGTCGACAATAATCTAGAGATGAGCTTTCTGAATATATAGCAGAACGTGGGTCCGGCGGTGGCAAAGTTCAAATGGATGCTCGGCCAGCGTAACAATCGAGTTTCAGCATGGATATTCTTGGACATGCAAAGCCACGAGGGATTCGATGCCGTACGAGGGCGAGAACCGGCGACAGACTTGGATGGGATTCTTCGACTTGTTCACTGCAGGACATGCTCTCTGCCCTATGACCGTGACCTGTTCTGTAGACATGCGACAATGATGGATCGAACTCTCGGTCCGTGTGAGATGGTAGCAGAGCCTTGAGCAATAGGTGTAAGTGCACAAGGCACAGAGCTAGATGGTGTCGGTTCTTGTTGAAGGCTATTACGATGTGTGCGTCGATGTGTGCGTCGAAGCTGAACATCGACGCAGACATCGACGCAGACAGCACTTAGGCTTTGACGCAAATATTTATAGCACCACTACCTTTCATTTTTTTTTACTATAGCAAGGCGTGTTACATTGTTTATATTATGCTTACAGATTCTACCATAAAAGATATAGTATAGAAAGGCTACAACGATATCTGCGATGATGCGTCGATGTCTACGTCGATGTCTAGCTTCGACGTAGACATCGGCGTAGACATTTATAGCACTACCACCTTTTGTTCTTTTTTGCTATGGCAAGTTGTATCATAATGCTAGTAGTATACTAATATGATTTATCATAAAAGATATGGTATATAAAGGCTATAAAGACATCTGCGTCGATATGTGCGTCGATGCCTACGTCGATGTTCAGCTTCGACGCACACATCGACGCACACATCTATAACACCACTACTTTTTGTTCTTTTTTGTTGCAACAAATTGCTTCGCATTACTTGTATCATGTTTGCAAGATCCATGAAAGAAGATATAGTATAAAAAGGTTACAACGGTGTCTGCGTCGAAGTTAGACATCGACGCAAGCTTCGGCAAAGATGGGCAGATTCTGACGGACCTAGCACCACAACTTCTAGTTTTTTCTAGAATGCAACTTTTGGATGATGCCGAGATACTTTGCGATAACAAACGGCTAGAAGCAACATGTGAAAAATGTCTGTGGCCGTCTCACTGTCGAAGTCAAACATCGACGCAGACATCGACGCAAGGTGAGGCCAACCCTTTTGACTTCGACGCATCGACGCAGGTCCCATCAATGTCTGTCTCGAAATTGACGGCGACATTAATGCTGCTCTATTTTGGATCTTTCTTGCAGCTCAACGTGATCTCAAAAGTTAATTCGCATCAAGGATTGGTTATGCGCCGCATCTATCTAGGGGGAGACACTCTCAATCGCGCTCGCGTCGATCTCGAATTGAGCATTGCCGTGCCAACCAGACGCGCGTATCTCGCGCACCGCGTAGAGTGGGATTTTGACCGCCATCTTCAACATTCATTCGTCCATCTTCTCAGACACCTGTACAGCATTCTCCCTGCATAACTACCGAATACTTAATACTGCACAATACCATCATGGCACACGTCCGCAAACGCCAGTTCCAACCCTCGAACCAGTCTTCGATCAAGTCCTTCTTCAGTCCCGTCGGCACCAGCTCAGGTTCATGCTCAGCAGACGTCGACGAGTATGCGCGCCCGCTGAAGCCCACCGTTCCCGACCATGTGCAGTCTCTACTCATCAACGTCGGCATGCGTGTTCGCAAGTCGGTTCCCGAAGGCTACAAGACGCACAAGTCGTTGCCAGTGCCAACAATTTCATACATGCACCCTGCCAGCATCTCAGCAAACTCAGAGAATGAGCTACCCGCCAGCAGCGCCCCGGAACTCTACACCAAGCCATCTGAGCTGACACCATTCTGCGGCCTTCACAAGATCGGCGGCTTCAGCTCACAGCCCACCTCGTCCGCTCCTGGCTTGTCGTACACACAATCTACCATGGCCTCTTCGGTCGACATGCCACAAACACCAAAGACAAACACACGCAAGAGAAGCTACGCAGACGATATGGAAGCAGAACTAGATTCCTTTTTCGACGATGAGGCAGAACAGAACGACTCGATGCTCGACGACACAACTTCATCCAAGCCCAGATACCCTCTCAGCCATTCTTCAATGCCCAACCTGAGCGCTGAAAGTAGTATCGTCAGCCCTCAGAGCAGACCCAAGGCTCGCATGAAGACTCGTTCTCCTCACAAGACACTCAACGACTTTTCTGACGAGGATGTTGGTTTCCTCCAGCCCATGGACTGCGAGTAACAAATGTGTAATGGCCTTTGTGTTTTCTTGGAGCGAATATACCCGGCGTGGATATTGGTTGGTTGTCTTTTTGTTGGCTTTTTGCTACTATGATTTTTTCTTGTCTCTTTGTATCATGACCTTTGCTTGTCTTTCAGTCCTACTGTACTTGTAGAGTAGATGGAGCAATCTCAATTTCGTACGTTCCCAAGAAGGCAATTGATGATGACGGGATTGTGGAGGCGGGCCGAAATGCGGAGAGACGCCAAGCATCAATCACATGCAACCTCGGAATGCATCATCATCAAAGAGACGATCGTGTTGACCGTGTCTCATGCTCTTACATGTGGCCTTCCAATTCTCTCTTGCTAATAGCTGATACCTATACCCGCTATTCAAAAACACGCGTGATGTGAGTCTTGACATGGCAGCGCAGTCGAAGTTACGACATGGCCCGGACGAAGCACTCCGGGCCCTCATAAACCGCCTACTCGAGCGTCTCCGTCGACGACTCAGAAGCACTCCGCCGGCACTACGCCTGCTGGCTGCAGTCCTGTTCACGCTTGGTCTCGTTGGTGGTGGTGTGGGCTCATACAGGTGGTGGATCGATAGCCGCAAGNNGGAGAAAGAGACGGGAAGACGGCTGCTGCGACGCAACTCTGGTCTGAAGGCCAAAGATGGCACACGAACCATCTACGTCGCATACAAATCTTCTACTGCAAAGGTCGTCATCAAGCCGACCAAGCCGACTACCTTTGACGCCCACCGTCGCTTGTTTCTACAACCACCTCGTGCTGTTGGTCTCAGTGACAGCAACCTGCCACAAGTCCCTCCTCTCCAGACCAAGCCAGGCCTGAATCTCGCCTTCTTGCACCAATTCCTCAGTCTGATGAACATCTTGATCCCGCGGTGGGGTAGTAAAGAAACTGGTCTATTGTTCAGTCATGGTGTATTCCTGCTTCTCCGCACTTACCTGTCCCTTGTTGTTGCCCGTCTGGATGGTGAGATCGTGCGAGACCTGGTCGCTGGCAAAGGCAAGCCATTCCTCTGGGGCATTACCAAATGGTGTACCATAGGAGCCCTGGCCAGCTACACCAACAGCATGATCAAGTTCCTACAGTCAAAGGTCTCAATAGCCTTCCGCACTCGTCTGACGCGATATATCCACGACCTCTATCTCAACGACAACCTCAACTTCTACAAACTCTCCAACCTTGATGGCGGTATAGGCCATGGAGCTGACCAATTTGTCACTCAAGATTTGACTCTCTTCTGTGACTCTGCTGCCAGTCTGTATTCGAGTCTGGGGAAACCATTCGTGGATCTCTTGGTCTTCAACTATCAATTGTATCGCTCCCTCGGCCCACTGGCTTTGACAGGCTTGCTAGCAAACTATTTTGCTACTGCTACGTTGCTCAGAAGATTATCGCCTCCCTTCGGCAAGCTAAAGGCTGTTGAGGGCAAGCGAGAAGGTGACTTCAGAGCACTTCATGCTCGCTTGATTGCCAATGCTGAGGAAGTTGCATTTTACGGCGGCGATCAAATGGAGAAGCTATTCTTAGACAAGGGCTTCCAAGAACTCAAGAGGTGGATGGAAGGCATCTACAGCCTCAAGATTCGCTACAATATGCTTGAAGACTTTGTGCTCAAGTATTCTTGGAGTGCCTTCGGTTACCTCATCACGTCTCTACCAGTCTTTCTACCTACTTGGGCTGGACTTGCTGAGCTTGGTGACAAGAAGGTAGCACAGCCTGCTTCCGAAGCTGCTCTTATGGCTCAAGCCCCAACAGACGAATCTGGCAGCCGAACCCAGAATTTCATTACGAACAAGCGCCTCATGCTTTCGCTTGCCGATGCAGGTGGTCGTATGATGTACAGCCTGAAAGACCTGTCAGAATTGGCAGGCTACACCTCTCGTGTGTATACTCTGATCAGCACTTTACACCGAGTACATGCTTCTGCATATCACCCGCCTCGCAACACATACCCCGAACTCTACTCTCTTGCCGACGCGCAAGGTACACTACACAAAGGCTTCTCGGGTGTTCGCTTTGAGAACGCTCCAGTCGTTGCCCCGGGCCTGTGGCCTCAAGGCGGCGAAGAACTCCTCGACAACCTCAACTTTGTCATTCAATCTAACCAACATATCCTCATCATCGGCCCCAACGGTGCGGGCAAGAGTGCTGTTGCCCGCATCCTAGCCGGTCTATGGCCCGTCTACCGTGGCCTGGTCTCTCGNCCCCGAAGTATCGGTCAGGATGGCATCATGTTCCTGCCTCAACGACCATACCTCTCCCCCGGCACCCTACGCGACCAAATCATCTACCCACACACCGAATTCGACATGCGCAGTTCCTCACGCCGGGACTCTGAACTCGAGCAAATCCTCACCGAAGTACGACTAGGCTACCTCCCTTCCCGCGAAGGCGGCTTCGACACGCGCAAAACATGGAAAGATGTACTTTCTGGCGGCGAAAAACAACGCATCTCTTTTGCACGGTTGCTTTACCATTCCCCTGCTTTTGCGGTTATTGACGAGGGTACCTCTGCCGTGAGCAGTGATGTTGAAGGTTTGCTGTATGAGACTTTGAAGAATAGAGGTGTGACTTTGCTTACCATATCTACGCGTGCGAGTTTGAAACGCTATCACGATTATGTGTTGACGTTGGGGTTGGGAGCTCAAGGTGACGAATGGGAAATGCAGAAAATTGGCACTGAGAGTGAGAAAGACAGTGTGGANAAAGAGATTGCAGAACTCAAGGAACGGCTTGAGCAAGTTGAGGCTTGGAAACAAAGAAAGGCGGAGATTGAGGCTGAGTTGGCGCAGGTGTGGGTGGAAGGTAGTGGTGTGTTGGAGACACCTGAGTATGCGAGGGATGAGCAACAGGACAAGCAAGATGTTGCGGAAGAGGTAGATGTGCTCGCAGACGAAGATGGCGAGGAAGTCGCTCTAAGCGAGACTGAAACGGAGAAGGCGAGGATTGAGAGTGCGCGTGACGATACAGGCACTGATGGCTACAACACTGACAACACCCAAGAGTTTGTCACGCCTGCCGCTACGCCTATGGAAAGGGCATCGCCGTAGACAGGAATCTCAACATTGGCATATGAACATCACGAAGTTGGCTTTATCTGTGTGATATGTGTTTCAATCCTGGTCTTGATTGATATCATGGCGTGATGTATTGATTATTACGATACTGTTATCTCATCTTGACTTTTACACCACCCTCCGAAATCTCAATACCTCATTCCTTTCTCAATATCATCCATCCCAGTAAGTGCCGTGCCACTCCTATAAGGTCGCAGCGGTATCCCACTCGCCTCACTACGTGGCGACCCCACAGTCTCAACAACCGAAGTAGGTTCAGGCGACTTGACGTAACCCATACGTGTTGGTGTCGCAAAGCTATTACGCAAATGTGTTGTTCGTGAGCCAGAAGCGTGGGAGGTCAATGTTCGTGCGCGTTCGGTGAAGTATTTGTAGATGGAGCGGGAGAGGGCGAGGTTTGCTGCTATGATGCCTAGGAGGAGTTCGGTGCTGAACGAAGGGTTAGCAGATGTATTGTGTGAAAGCATCTCAAGAGTTTATGTGTACTTGGCCCAAATCGCGGCGATGCAGTAGGCGTAGGATAGATCGTCGGTCGTGGTTCCAAGAGATGCTGCTCGGATGGCTGAACAGATTGTTGCNNTCTTCACGAATGAGTCAGCGTCGATGATGTCGAATGCGGCTACGATAACGTACACCAAGCCCAGGCTCATCAGTCCACAGACTGCAGCTTTTGTCGAAAAAGGTATCTTGACCTTCCAGACTACATGAATGGGTAGGACGGTACAGACCACATCAGTTGCAACTGAGTATGNCTGGAGGACGTCAGTATGAGACAACAGTTGTGTGTGGCGATACGAACATGCTTGAAGGTATATGCTGTATATCCGCACCTTGGCAGGCCAGCAGTGGTCTGCATATGTGCCATCCCAGTATGCTCTGAGTGGTGAGCATTCAGCAAGCAGTACCACTAGGCACTCGAAGTTCGTTAAGATCAGCCCTGTAATGACGACAGCCAGGATATATCTGAGAGTTCGTGTATCCTTGATGCGCAAGATCAAGATGCAAATCGAGACTTTCATCAAACAGATTGTCGGGAAGAGCAAGACTTGTGTATACCAGGTGAGCATGTTGATCGTTTGGTAGTCGTGATCGGAAACGAATTGGCGGTGCTTTCCATTGCCATAGCGGACACTGACTATTTGGATGGACATGCGAGCTACTGCAAGTGCTGTCGTCAAAGCCATTGCTCCATCGTCGAATCCTAGTTGTCGGTGTCCCCATCGTACCCAGCAACGTAAACTGGTCGTTATGATAGCCAGAGAGGTGAGTATACAGGTAAGTATGAGTAGAGTAGGTCCTTTGTTGTCACTCTGCGAGTATCCTCCCATCTTGAGAGTTGTCCAAGAGTCGAATCGATCTGCAACAGCAAAGAATGTTGGATGCGAACCTACCCAGTGGTCGAAGTAGTGTGTGTCCCTGCAGGAAGATCAATAGTCTTGTTCTTGGGCCAACTGTTTCCGCACAAGACTCTGAGTGCACTACATCATCCTGGCTTTAGCCCTAAGCGACTCGTGTATGCAGTCATTGCTGTGGACAAGCAACCCGGTATCCACAGGGTTGTGGTAATTTCCCTGCAGCACATCAATCTTGATCGCAGCTCCATCTAGAAGAAAGCTGGTATCAGAACTCTTCTGTCCCCTATGGCCTACCATCAAGTTCTCGCAAAGCACGAGTACGGGCCTGCGAAAGACAATACTGCCTTTGCATTTGGACATCAGAACGACGGATAGCCATGATCGGTCTTGCAAGCAGTAGATAGTCAACGAATGTTCCAAGATCTTTCCATAGTTGAGTTCAGCCATGAAGGCCAGCCCGAGCATCCAGAGTAAATCCTTTCGATGAACCGAGGCACTTGGTCTCTCGCAAAGTCTCTGGTTGGTCAGGTCGATGGTCCGACTATTGACATGAAGACGTGAATCGAACAAGGGCTTCGAGCAGACGGGTCGCAGACGAGCGGTTCATTCAATAAGACTCGCACGGCTCGGGTTAGGTTAGTGGTGGACCCCTGCAATTTAGGTGGATGGTTCGGCGGAAGACGACGAGCCGTAGGCGGCCCGCATCCACGTTATCAGAGGTGAACCACACTAGATAGAGGTGTATTCTGAAGAACATATGGCGCCGCTACAAGAGCAAAGAGTTCGTGAGCAGCGTGGTGCTTAACGACGGAGAGGAAAGAAGGATGTCGAGGTGGAGGGTTGAGCCAGAATGCCAAGGAAGTTGCCGATGCTGATCGACCTTGCATCTCTCGTGAAACCATTCCTTCGCTGCTTCCCATCCATCGGGCGCCAGAACCCTAGTCAGCGATCGAAGTGCATATTGATATCCCGACTTCCGAGCGAACTCGCAGAAAGCGTTGATCCTGGGAGTGCTCAAGCGGAGAGCCTGAAATTCATACATGCGATTATACATGCGATTTCGAAAAGTATTTGTGCTTCCCTTCAGTTGTCTTTCTCCTTGGACATTATAGCGTACACATTGCCAACTGGCAGGATGATTTTGGTTCGTTTAGGCTATTATACAACCACTACCTCAATCTGCATGCATCAACAGATCTTGGGTCTAGATCGTCGCTGTTGGGACATGAGACTTCATCTAATCCACATCTAATATTTAATCATTCATCTTATAGAGTAACCCTAGCCTGCCTCCATCAGAACTGCCGACTTTTCTCCCAGGACTTCGTCTCACTCGATCCACCAGTGTATATAAGAAGGATCTCTCTGAAGTAGAGTCTCGTCACGTATCTGCTTGCTGTCTGTTGACTTGAGCTTAATCGACATGGCTCCCTCATTTCTCTCAGCTACTCTTCTCTCGGTCCTTGCCGCCTCTTCAGCCGTGCAAGCGTCCAATTCGACAACCTCAGTCTACGACTTTATCGTTGTGGGAGGCGGTACTGCTGGTCTTGCTGTGGCCAGTCGCTTGAGTCAACATCTGCCAAACAACACAGTTCTCGTCATCGAAGCTGGTCCAGATGGCCGCGATGTACCTGGTATCTACATCCCTGGTATGAAAGGCAGCACACTTGGTGGTATTTACGACTATAACTTCACTACTGTTGCGCAACCTCATGCTGGCGGCCGCACTTGGGCCCAAAACCGAGGAAAGGTGTTGGGAGGGAGCTCTGCTCTGAACCTCATGTGCTGGGACCGTGCTTCGGTGGCTGAATATGATGCTTGGGAGCACATTGGTAACCCTGGATGGAATTGGGACAGTATGATCTCAAGTATGCTCAAGGTTGAGAATTATACGCAGAGTGTGCATCCCGGGCAAGAGATTGATCAAGGTGTTGGAGCCGATGGCCCCATCCACGCGACAATCAACAGAATTCAACCGACTGATCAGGACACCTGGATTCCGACCATGAAGAACTTTGGGTTCCCGGAAAACATGGAGTCTCTCGACGGCAACCCTCTCGGTGTCTCGCTCCAGCCCAACAATATCGACACTGCTAGGTACACACGCTCTTACAGCCCCGAATATCTCAAGGTTGCTGGAAACAACCTTCATGTTATGACTGGATCTCAAGTCGTTAAGGTCAACACCGAGAAGAGACGTGGCCAGGTCATTGCTACCGGTGTTACACTCAAGGGCAACCTTACCATCAATGCTTGCAAAGAGGTCATATTGAGTGCTGGCTCATTCCAGTCCCCTGGGCTGCTTGAACTCTCTGGTATCGGCAACTCATCTATCATTTCTGAAGCGGGTATCAAGCCCGTACTTGAGCTTCCCACTGTGGGCGAGAATCTTCAAGATCACATCCGCATCCAAAACAGCTTCAAGCTCAAGAACACGACCTCCTTCGACGAGCTCAAATACAACGCGACTTTCAAAGCTGAACAGCTGGCACTTTACAATGCAAACGAGTTGTCTAGCTATGACTACGCTGCTTCTGGCTTTGCTTACTTGACTTGGCCACAAGCACTTGGTAATGAGTCTGCTGCATTGATCAACATTGCTAAGAGTGCTACTAACGCTAAGACCTCCGTTGTCGACAAAACAAAACTTGACTTCATGACCGGAACCAAAAGTCATACTATTCCTCAACTTGAGATTATCTTCAGTGATGGGTACACTGGTCTCTCAGGCTACCCTCTTGTCAACTCTTCTGAGTACGGCTCCAACTACTTCACTCTGCTGAGTGTCATCATGCACACTCTATCTCGTGGCCACGTTCACATCAACACATCCGACCCTCTTGGCAAGCCCATCATTGATCCTCGCTATTTCAGCAACGAGTACGACCTCCAGGCTGCCATCGCCGCCGCGAAGCTCAATCGCAAGATCGCACAAACTGCACCCATGAAGGACGTCATCGCTGAAGAGTACGAGCCCAGCTCAGCAATTCAAACTGATGAGCAATGGCGAGACTTTGCTCTCAACCATACTTTGACCATTTATCATCCCCTTGGTACTTGTGCTATGCTTCCTAAGAAGGATGGCGGTGTCGTTAGTCCCGAGTTGAAGGTGTACGGTACAAAGAACCTCAGAGTCGTAGATGCTAGCATCATTCCTGTTCAGCTTTCTGCGCATATCCAGACGGCGATTTATGGTATTGCTGAGCGTGCTGCTGAGATGATTGCTGCCGAGTGGTCTGCTTAGATATGATTCCAATATAGTCCGTGAATGGATGGTAAATAGAATTTCCATTAACGACGGTTGCTAATCTCATCTGACCAACTCATACATATTTACCTCAATAACACCCATATTCTTTCGACTCAGACCGGCGGAGGAATGGCTGGTGAGTATGCATTCCTCTCAACATCCGCCTCAAAACTCTGCACCTTCTCATCCACTGGCGACGGTGCCCCATCTGATGCCGACCGCTCCAACGATTCACTCACCTTTCCCTTCTCTGCCTTGAGTATAAGTTGTCTTCTCTCTTCCTCCATAGCTTTGTGCTCCCTCTCTGCGACAGCACAACGATGGTTCAGCGCTATAACAGCCAAAGGCAAAAACACAATCTCCCACGTGAAGAGAATGGGCAAGGCTTGGTAGAGACGATCCACTGCACCACCTGACCAGATCTGAATTAGCACTTGCCAGACTTCGTGGGCGGGGAGTGCGTAGCCCCAGCGATAAAATCCAGGCGCGAGCTCGAAAGGCCAGATCGTGGATGTGACGTTGACGATCACCCAAGTCAGCACGAAGAAGGGNNGGAGGAACTTCATTGCGATGAAGCCAGTTGCGACGTCGANTCTGTTTAGGATTAGCAATCAGAACTGTTATGTTGAGGATGGTGCAGGACTTACCACTACAAAGTTGATGTGCATGAAAAGCCAAATGATCATCCAGGTGCAGAAGAATTGGCCTGCACCAACGGACCAGGTTTCACGGAATGCCCAGATGTAGCCGGCCCAGCAGAGGGAGCCGACGAAGGTGTATGACAGACTGAGTACGAGGCGGATGATGCCATTGTTGAGTACTGGGAGGTGCGAGTACAGATTGAACTCTGCACTGACTCCGTTGACAGCCATGAGGAAGAAGAACTGCATGATAATAGGCATCACCATGGCGACAGTGTTGTATAAGACTCTGGTTCCCTGGCCTGTAGGCATGATGTTGATGTCTCCTCCTTGGATCGGATTGAGGAAGACTTGGAGGGCAGCAGGATCATTCTTGTTTAGAGTTTGTAGCGCGCCAGTGCCGTTCATGTGGTTGTATGCGACGCGGACGACTGCCATGAGCTGTGACATGCTGGACTTGACTGTGCCGTCTTCCATAGCTGGGTATCTGACCTCGTTCCAGACATATGTAAGTGTATTTGTCGGGTCGTAAGCAGCAGCTGCATCCCCACCTTCAAGGGCAGCTGCAAGACGGTCTGAAGCCCCAGCATGAGTGAATACAGCAGCCCAGTGGTCACCCTTCCTGACTGCTTGGACGATATCCGCAACCTCTGGATACTTGGCACTGCTCTCAATGTCGAAAGTTGGGAATGTGTCTGCTTTAAGCTGTGTGATGGCGCCCTGAAGACTCTTTCCAATGACACCCCCATCGTAGTCGACTGTGAGGACGTGGAGGTTGTGTACCCTATGTTCTGACTTGAAGAGAGATCCGAAGAGGTATGACATGTTGACAAGAAACAGAATCTGAAGCAGCATAGCCGAGGCAATAGCTGCGATCATGAAAGGCTTCTTTCTGCCATTCCAGAACGGATCTCTATGCCCTATGCGATGGGAGGATTTCTCGGGTAGGAAGAGACTAACAAAACCCATGGTGACTCAAGACGGACGGGTTGAAGACTGTTCTGAGAGATGGAAGGTGAAACGATAAGATGATATAAAAGGTGAATTTCTGCTCAGCTCCAGAGGGCTAGTGGTGGATAGATGTGAGGTGTAATATGAATGAGTGAGAACGAGAGAAAACCTACTGTATCATAGCGACTTCTATACATATACATGTTCACACCTCCTACCTGAGAACGACGTTATTTCTGGATTCTTGATACATTGTCGGATCGTCGGAGGTTCAACAGTTCCAAGATTGCAAAATCAAGTCGGACCAGCGTCAGAGAAACGATCGTGAACGTGTGGTCCCGGGTCGGGCGTCCAAGCGCCGACTTGAAGGGCGAGTTTTAGTAGGGCTTTAGGGCTTCGGCAGCATGTTCCGAGACCTTCTTCTCCTTCTTCGTCTCGGACCCGGAGGCAGTCGCACCCGTCCATGGCCTCGATCATGGAAATTGTCCTTCTGCGATGGCAAGGTCGGCGGCCCTCGTCTCTTACAAAATCCGGCGCGAGCAGAGCTATCAGCGCCATCGACACACATAGATGCCGCGCCGACAGCCGTTTCTAGAGGCAAGGCTGTGCTGTACATCCACCATGTTTCGAGTCGTTTTATCCTTGGACATCAACCCGTCCATCGAGGAGCGATCGCTCTTCTATTTATGCCTGTGTCTTCGGACTCCGGTGGGGAAGTCTTGCCTTCACAGTGCTGTCAGACTTCTGAGTATTCTGCTGCAGTATCAAAGCCAAGAAGCTGCTCATGTCACCCTGTCGTTGAATGTTCAACAACCGTTCGAGTTGCAAGCTCTCCAATGGCTGGCTGTTTGAGCATAAGTTCAATACTGACTATAGATGTTCCAGAAATAGGATATCCGTCCGGCGTGCTGGAGTCTGTAATACTTGTATCGATCTGTCCCTGCCACCATTATCCATGCCACAAGTCACGGCGGGTCAGAAAATGTCAATGGAGGAAGCGCAGATCCAAGAGGCTTTGAGAGCCCAACCTGGAAAAACTGACGGAGGCTTACCCCAGGCAACAACAAGCATGTCCTCTGTGCGTTGCTTGGTTATTCTGTCGGTGACGCTCGATTGAGGTTGCACAAACAAGATGCAGGTGGGGGTTGCTGCACCTACCTTTTACGCGCCGCGTTTTGGCGCTTGACACTTCTCTCATCAGCAATCCATTTTGATCCTTTTCTTCAAACTTACCATCCCATCGTTGGCTCTGTCATCCTTTTCTTACACAGAAGATGGCTTCCTCGCATGTTGAACGTCTACCGACCGAGGTTCTTCTGCATATCTGTGAGCTGCTTCGAGACGACTACCCAGATTGTATCCATCACTTTCCATTGGCTCAGAGGCACATTCCTACGCCAAGCATCTACAACTTCTCCGAAACGTGCAAGAGAGTCAGACAAGTCGCCAACATCGTCATCTTCAGGAGTGCTATACTTCCGATACGCAGCCTCGATAGCGTTGAACAAGACGTGCGAGATTTTTGCGACACCTTAGAATCTGTCTCAGCTCTGGACCACATACACAAGCTGAGGCTCTGCGATGCTTGGAAGCCGCCGGAAACCAACCAAAAGATTGATAGAGCATTTATGCCTCTTCTAAATAGCAACATGGCCCCTGCCGAGGATGCTTGGACACACGATCATGTCTGGAGACCAGTGGTGGATTTGCTACGTCGATGCTCCACTCTGACAGACCTGCGCTACGAGCTAAGTCACCAATTGTCGCCATGCGTACTGAATGCGTTACACCAGTATCGCCCCCATTGTCGACTACACATGAGGACCTTTTGTGCCAAAACTTTGTTGCAACCCGAGAAAGACAAGCACGAGCTAGCCATTGCATCTTCGCCATGCTTATACAGCATCTGGTTCAAACACATGGACGAGGGAGAGGATGTGTATGCCCACTACTCCCAAAAAGTCGTCCAGCAGGTACTCGCAGCATTAGCACCAAATGTTGAGGATGTAGTTTTCTCGCGGACAAAACTCGTACAGGGACGGGCACGCAATAACATGGTACCGCAAGGGACAGAATCTAAACTCCTACAGAAGGACACATTCAGTTGTCCTAGACGTTTGAGGCGACTGGTCATCACGGCTAGTCGTTACCGTGGTGTCGAACTGACCGAGGAAGAATTGAAAGGATGGCATAGACATGTTGACTTCTCTTGTCTGCGGACCTTGGTGCTGAGCGCGCCACTCGAACGAGGTGCTTTGAGATGGCTGAGAAAGTGCAGCCTTGCTTCTTTGAAAGATTTGACCTTTCAATTGCATGACAACAACAACGCGGAAAGTGAGCGAGCCATGTATCATGCAAAAGAGTTTGTCATCAGTCTACCGCCACTTTCAAAGCTCTTCATTAGAGACCTTTGGAGAATGCTTCCGTCTTGCATCAACGCCATCCTACTACGACATGGTGCTAGCCTTCGTTCGTTAGGGTTGTACCATAGGACTGGGATATCGGTTCGTTCCGCAACTCGTATTCTTAAGTCAATGCAAGGTCTATGCCCAAAGCTCATGGAGCTTGCGTTACACATACTAAGAGAACAGGGTAGCATAAGGGAGACGTGTCTCTACCAGCTGTTTGCTGGACTTCCATCCTTGCGCTGCCTCATGCTGACTCTTGTCGCTGGAGGGGCCTTGCCTCGAGTTATACTTTTGGCGAGCAACGCATGATATTTCCTGGAAGANTCGAGACGGCACGACGACGACTTTGACCAGCAGACTCTCGACGGTGTGACTGGCAATCACAACCCTCGCTACGGCGATATTCGAAGGGCATTCATCGACAAAGCAATCGATGAGGACTTTGCAAGAAACGTCTATCGCCTTGCCTGTGCACCCAACCGCCCTCGTAGCCTCAAAGAACTCGTGGTAGTGAGTGAACCCTACTTCTTTTTGACGCTNCAGCGAGTGAATTCGCCCATCCGGGAAGTCTTCAGCCACATCTGCAGGTCTTGGACTGTGCAACCTGGTGTTCGAGATGATATGCCTGATGGACTGGTGGTACGAGAGATGGATAGACACCGAGAGATCAAAGTCGAACCTGCTCCGGAAAAGCTGGACCCTCGTGTCGAGCAAATCTTCCGACGAATATGGCCTGGGAATGAAGATGGGACTAGCGACTGGCGAACCGACTGGCACAGTTTCCTGGCATGTGAAGAAGAAACAGCAGAGCCCGAGAACTCTCACGCCGGCTAATCTTGAGTGCGTTCGTGACGATCACCCGATACACAAGCTATAGCTCTGGAGTTACTCTGATTCTGCCCTCAAATACCGCTTTAATCTTCTCGACTGATGGAACAAACGTATGGTCATGCTCTTTTGTCGAGCAAAAAGTGTGTTCAAAGGTTATTATGTCATCTACCCAAGCTGCTGCTCAATACCCAAATCCAAACGCCGTGTCCTGATCCTGTAACCAACCCCAAAGCAAATATCATGTAAGCCGTTACTGCGCAATTCTCTTGTCAGCAGAATGCTCGTTGATCTGGTGAAGAGTGCCCTGCAGCATCTTCTCCTTCTCCTTGCGCCCCTCATCTCTGACTGTCTGCAATCGATCAACAGCAGAGCTGATCAAATCGATATGCATTTCCAATGGCATCCTCCTTCTATCCACTATAGTGGGCGCAGCAACATCGTCTCTCAGTTGACTCAGATTGTTCTCGATATCCTTGAGTTTGACAAGTGTTGAGATGACGTGCTGCATAGCGGTCTTGCGGTATCTGCTAACGTCGTTTAAGGTTGCGAGTTGCTGCTCTTGTTTGGCCAGCGGACCTCTGTTACCGCCAAGTTTTGTCCATAGAAGGGCCAGTAGCTCAGCTTTGGCATCGCCGACTTTGAGGTCTTCACGATGGGCGATGTCTTGAATTTGATGGAGGCGATCGTCAAGGTTCTCGAGGACCTCGAGAAGGGTGTTGGCTTCCAGGATGCAGACCTGAATCTGCTCTTCGACCTCAGAGGTGTGGCGAATGTACTGGTCGTAGATCACATCTTCTGGAGAGTGTTGAGGTATGGTCAAAGAGAATGCCGGAAAGTACTGCGCGAAGAATCGAGGAATGATACCCTCAGAGTCTGGCGTGGCCTCAATGCCCTGAAGCACTTTCATAGTCCAGCGGTTGGCAGAAAGTATACCATCCAGCGCTCTTGAGATTCTCGAATTGAATTGCGACAGACCATCGCTAGCTTGACGAGCTGTCTCGATGAAGCCATCGAACTCATTGACGAGCTCATTGCGCGAGCCCAAGCTGGAGTGCTTGACCACTGTACGGAGATCACGAATAGACAATTCAGAGTTCTTCATAGCCAGGGGCAGAGCAGCTTGATGAACAGAAGCTTCTAGGATATCCTCGAAGTTCGACTGAGTGATGACCAGCTTGTCAAACTCGACAGGACCTCTGTGGCCATCATAATGGCCGATGTCGCAGAAGGGCAGGTTGAAGTAGCCAGCTCCTGGGATGTTGCACAGTGGTGATAGAGCATTAGTGACGCTGTGTACCACCATAGTCTTGGCGATACCCATACCAACTGCCATGAGAAGTACGATCAAAGTATAACCAAGAAGTGGTTTGAGAGCATGTGCAGCAATAGAGAAGACAGACAAGACATATCTGAGCAAAGGAAGCACAAGATTTGACCAGGCGTACTGAACATAGTCTGGTGAAGCATCCTGAGCAGTGGACTTGATGGGCTTGCGCCTTGATGGTTGAACGACTGGAGCAGCACGCTTGACAGGCACAGATTTGCGAATGGCGGATGCTCTCACGGCAGGTCTTGGAGACTGTCTCGTAGCTCTGGTCGGAGGAGTCTCAAGATAACCACTGGATTCAGGCGTAGGCATGACGAACTCGGTTGATTGGCTTATCTGGGAAGCATTCCGTTTGCGACGAGTGGGAGAAGGGTGATTCTGCGATGGATTTTCGCGAGAGTCGGCTGGGCTTCGTGGAGCCGACAAAGTAGCAGATTTGTGAGAATTGTAGTAGGCTTCACGAAGACGTGGCTTGAATTCTTCGTCCTCTGTTTGAGAATCGTCCATGTCTGCCCAGGATTCGGATAACTGGGGCTGTGTGCGCGTGCTGATGCGTGTCATGTTGACGGCGTCGTTGTCCAATCGCTTCGACTTTGTGACAGTGGGATGATCAATATTTATAGGCTAAGTCATGCAACGTGAGCAAAACAGAATCACATTGCAATGTATTAAAACAAGATCAGGTTGTCTTGCCTCCTTAGAAACAATCCAAGACGCGAAAATGGAGGGTTGACGCGAGGGGGTTGCGATCGCGTTTTGATTGGGCTGGTTTGACGTCACCGCCTTTTGGAAGTCACACACCTTCGACCTGGACCTTCCTTCTGTTTCTGCCCAATTGACATGAACTCAAGATTGAACTGTTTGTTCGCTCGCCATGTTCGACCAAATCTATTGAGACAGGTGTTGGACACGCAACCAAGGCGCGGACTGCTCATCACCACACAAGCTGTATCACTTGGACGCCCCCACCTCTCGGTACGCAGCCATGTCTTGAGAGGTCAAAGGCGTGCTATCTTTGCTGGTGTTTCGCCTTTTATCCTAGTCCCAGGTGTTTTTGTTGGCCTGCTCATAGGTCATTGGATTCACAAATGTCTCCTGATGGTCCTGTTCCAAAACAAGATCATTTACATGCCTTCTCTTCCTCCAGGCTCAAGACGTGAGAAGTTGGAAGACTACTCCAAGACATGGGCTGGGGTTTCCTGGGAAGAGAGAAAAATCAAGTCTTTGGATGGAACGAAACTCTCTGTGGCCATTGCACGTCCTGAAAGCTCACCTACAGTGACGCAAGACAAGCGCAAACATGTCGTTGTGCTCTACTTCCAGGGTAACGGCTCTTCGATTCCACCTCGGACACTAATGCTTGCAAACATCCTGAGAGCTGCAGCAAAAGACTCTCCACACGAATGGACCTTGCTCGCACTGTCTTACCGTGGTTACTGGACCTCCTCTGGGCGTGCTCACCAAAGAGGCATTGAGAAAGATGCACAAGCTTTTGTGAACTGGGCAATCGAGAATTATGGCCAGAATCGTGAGAACACCGAATTTATCCTCTGGGGCCAGAGCATTGGATCAGGAGTTGCTGCGTACGCCGCATCAAAATATCTCAAATTAGAAAAGACCACTGGTGCCGCTCGGATATCCCGACTCGTGCTAGAGACTCCNTTTGTAAGCATCAGGAGTATGCTCGCAGCCATCTACCCGGACTGGTGGGTACCATACAAACATCTCTGGCCATTTCTCCGGAGCTGGTGGGATAGTGAAGATGCTTTGCGCAAAATTGCCGAATCATCTCACCCGCCCAAAATCTTGATGGTCGTCGCTTCTGGTGATGAGATTGTCCCTCGAGTTCAGGCCGACCAATTGGAGACTCTTTGTAAAGACCTACGGCTAGATGTCATCAGGAGAGATGTTCTGGGTGCTTTGCACACTCAAGCAAGTACTCTGGATCAGGGCAACAGAGTCATCTCAGACTGGATGGCAGATCGCAATATCAACCAATGACATGTCTTTATTGTTTGTCTTCGAATTTTGCATATCTCCACGAAGCATTCACACACACACTTTGCATATTGATGCTTCATTGCAATCAAGTTGCTGAATGTCGTCGCCCCCATGGAGACGATACCCGGGAAAACATCGGCTTTCAGGAGTGAAGGAAAAATTTGCTTCACCTTTTGCACGGATACATCCCAGAGAGTTGTTGAAGCCTCGACAAGTTTGCGGTCCCAGCGCTGCCATTGTTAAACCTTCCTGGCGTTTTGACTTCCATCAATTTGGTCGGTTAGCTCAGTTGGTTAGAGCGTGGTGCTAATATCCGGTGGTTATCCACCCATGATAATGGCACGCCAAGGTCGCGGGTTCGACCCCGTACTGACCATCGCCTTCTTTTGCTCGTCAAGGACGTTGTTTTTAGTACTGGCATCATTGTTTTTGGTTGTGGTGGATGTTTGACAATGTCAAGCTGTGAAATGGGGCAGGCTTCAGTTGTGAAGCCGGCTTTTCCCTGCCGAACTTCATTATACAAGTACTGGAATGAATGAATACTCACGTCGGATATCTTGCATTGTGCCGACGTTGTACGCAAGGAAGTATCGTAGCGTTGTCCTTGGTTAAGTACAAAGTAAGCGTTAGGACTTTGGCACTTTAACAATAAGCAAATCCGTTGTACTATTGGCCCTTCTCTCTAGCTCTGAGTTGCTCTCACTCAACATGGAAAGAGCGCTTGATCAATATATCTAGCTCGAAATATCCCTAGGTCGTTTTCACTAAAGAAGCATGTGTCCGAGAGTTAACCATTGTCGTTGAAGGCCGGCAGTGTTAGCGGAAGATTTTATGCATTTCTTTAGACTCCGAGCAAGTGCTTTGTATTCTTATCTACAGTACTAAAGATTACTAAGATCATTTTATGTGATAGAGGCAAGGCATATCAGAAGTGGACCAGTCCACATGTAGCACGGACCACCTGGATCTTGAGACTTGCTACTATATCATCAAATGGCATTGCAGAAAAGAGAATCTTTCTACACTGTTAATTGCGCTCATGGTCCACGGCTAATGTCACGCAAAAGAATTGAATTCTTCTGACAGCCATGTCAAGCTCTAAGAGATCCAACTTAGGGATTAGGATTCAAGTGATGTTCCTTTCAACAAGATCACAAGTGGTTGGTTGGACTAGCTGAAAACAGAGTTGAGAAGAGAAAGTGCCATTAAAGAACGCTCAGAATATCGAATAACAGAAAGACAGAATGGAAAGGACTCGAAGTTTTAGAGACCGCAATCTAAATCCCCCTTGCTGCGATTAATCGAACAGAGAAGATGCCAAGTTAGAGACGCTCTCCTATATTGACCCACTGAGCAACTGCTCAACAGCACCTTCCACACTTCCGCCACTCATGCGTAGAGCGCGAACATTGCGATCGAACTCGTAGAAGCCCATTGCGTTGAGTTGTTGCAGTTGAGTGGCGTACTGCTCCTCTGGCGGACGGCTGTCTTGCTGTTGTGGCGGTGCGCCGAAGCCTCCCATACCTCCCATACCACCGAACGCTCCGAATGGATTCATGCCGCCAAAGATATTGGCAGCAGCTGCACCTCCTTCGCCACCAGCGCCTGAGTTGTTGTTGCCGCCGTACATGTTTTGCATCATGTTCATTGCTGAGCGCATCATCTCTGGGTTCTGCATCATCTGTTGAGCCATCTGTTGGATGGGATCTGAACCACCGCCTTGAGCACCTCCCATACCACCGAACAGACTTGCGAAGGGGTTTGCTTGTGCTTGAGAAGCGTTGGCACCAGGAGTTTGACCTTGAGCGGGAGTTCCTTGGCCAGCAGTGGGAACGGGAGGAGTGCCAGCGGGTGTTTGACCTTGCACAGCACCAGGGTTACCACCAAAGAGAGCAGCGAAAGGGTTGGCGCCNNGCTTCCTGCGCCCTGACCACCGCCGAACATGGCAAGGGGGTTCGGCGGAGGATTCTGCTGTTGTGTGTTTTGTGACGTTGAGTCTGACTCGGTAGTGTCTGTTGCGCCAGGAGCAGGGAAAGCACCGGCACCGCCCAANACCACCACCACCCATGCTTCTCTGCATGTTCATTTGCATACGGATAAAGTCGGGGTTCATGAGCATGCGACGGAGATCAGGGTTGTCGAACATCTGCTGAGCCATGGGGTTGTTGCGGAGCATAGGGTTGTTGCGCATCATGTTAATAACATCGGGGTTGTTCATGGCTTCGTTCATCTGTTGGGCAAAAGCTGGGTTGTCGAGCATTCGTAGAAGTTGGTCCGGGTCTGGTGGTGCGCCCANTCTGCACTCGTTGTCAGCAGCAGTCAAAAGCCCTGTAGAGATGGTAGAACTCACGCCTCCATCAGCGCCGAACATGTCAGCACCGGGCAATTGGTGGAAACCAGCATAGCGTGCGCCTGTTAGTTGAGCCAGGGGGTTGTGTGTGCCAGTTCCGGCAGCAATGTTGGAAGGAACATTGGCAGCTGCGCCAGCTCCAGCGACAGGAGTTGAGCCTCCTTGGTTGGCAGGATTTTGGCGGTTGTTGCTCTCAGCACCCTTGACCAAGTGGATAGTGTTGCCGTCCTTGATCTTGTAACTTGCTAGTGTCTCGTGGTCCTTAAGCACACGACCAGAATAGATTAGACGTTGACGCTCAGTCGGGATGTCTGCGAAATCTGAAGTGGCCAGCTTTTCCTTGAGTTGACTGACGGTGGAATTGGCTGAGATGGTAATGGCATATTTGGCGTCATTGGATGACTTGACGGTGAAAGTCAGCTGTTGCTCGCTCTCGTCCGACATGGCGATCGCTTGCTTGTGAGCAGATGTGAATGTCGCTTTGTCAAATGGGTGTGAGTCGGGGATCTCAGGCGCAAATGGGGTGAAAGGTATGGATGTGGTGTGTATCAGTTCAGCTCGCTGTCAAAGCAACCGTCACTTCACTGGACAAGCCAACACGCCGCTTAGAAGGCCGCAGAAGCCAAAGGACAATGACGTTGAGACCCTTGCCAAGCTCTTGTGATTGTGCGCGAGTCATGGACCGAGGCATCGATCCATCCTCCGCCTCCGCATTTCGGGTATTGTCTCTTGTCCTACCAACTGCAGCTCTACGCTCGTGCAGACATGCCTTGCTCCTATCATCTCACTCGTGCTCTGTTTTATATAAGCATACCACAATCATGAAAGGAATTCAAGTCAAGGAATATGTTCAGGTATCGTCTCCAAATCCAACTACAACCAGGCTTCACAGCTGACAGCCCATNCAGGGTCCTCAAGACCTCAAGGTCACAGACCTACCCAACCCGACTCCTAAACCGAACCAATATCTGATCGCTGTCCATGCTGCTGCCACCAACTTCTTCGACTTGCTTCAGATCCGAGGCAAGTATCAACACCAACCTCCTCTACCATGGGTGTCCGGTGCCGAGTTCTCTGGCATTGTTCTCAAAGTCCCACAATCATTGCCAGGAGGAAAGAAGCCTACATTCAAAGAGGGAGATAAAGTCTTTGGTGCATCTCAAGGTGCTTATGCCACCAAGGTCTGTGCCACCGAGGCGCAATTGAGGCCAATGCCCAAGGGCTGGAGCTATTTTGAGAGTGCTGGTCTGATGGTTACTGCTCCTACCAGTTATGCAGGACTGGTGACAAGAGCTGGCATCAAGAAGGGTAAGACTCAATGTCTCTTTTACTTCTTCTGAGAAAANCAACTGACAGTATCAGGTGACTGGGTCTTGGTTCATGCTGCTGCTGGAGGAGTCGGTCTTGCCGCAGTTCAGATTGCGAAAGCCTTTGGAGCAACAGTAGTTGCTACAGCTGGTACAAAGCACAAACTTGATGTTGCCAAGTCGTTCGGTGCAGACCATCTGGTCGACTACAGAGTAAAGGATTGGCCCGATAAGGTCAAGAAACTGACCCCTAAGGGTCGTGGTGTCGACATTGTCTATGATCCTGTTGGACTGATTGCCCAAAGCATGAAGTGCACAGCTTGGAACGGACGACTGTTGGTCATTGGCTTTGCAGCAGGCGACATAGAGAAAATGGCCACCAACAGAATCCTGTTGAAGAACGTCAGTGTCATGGGTCTGCACTGGGGCGCTTATGCTACCAACGAGCCAGAGATGATCGAGGTAGTTTGGAAGAGTTTGTTCGACTTGATGGAGAGTGGCAAGTTCCGTGGAACTTGCTATACAGACAAGGAGTTTGTTGGACTCGAGACGATCCCCGAGGCGCTGAAAGCACTTGGAGCGCGCGACACTTGGGGGAAGGTGGTTGTCAAGGTGCCGCAAGAAGGGCAGAGCAAGCTGTAGATGGCAGGTGCCGATCAGGCAGTCAAACGCAAACTTCCATCCCAAGTCGCTCCTTCCGCTTGAAGTTGAGGAAGCACCCCACCTCAAAACTCTGCGCGTCTCCCGTCTTCCTCTCATGTCTCATGTCGACTCCTCACTACCTCTGAAATATTTGATTCGTTTCTTTGAGAAAAACATGGCGTCCCAAGGAAATCACGAACGCATTCTGGCTGATGACCAGCGCCGTAGCTTTGGCTATCGCTTGCTCCTCGAAGAGCAGCAGCGCCGTCTCGAAACTCGCAAGAGGCTCATGGCGTCGTACCGTACTCCAATCTGTCCCTACTCTACTGTCTCTGGTCACTCGGACTGCTGGTTTTGTCTCGAGAACGGCCTTGTCCAGCCATCCAACGCAACCGACACTCTCTTGAGAAGCTTGACTCGCCCTCAATTCCAGGTAGATTCAAGACCACACTTTGTTCTGATTGATGACTAACGAGTAATANNGGCTACTCCCACTTCTAGAAAGGCAGAAACCCCTTATCTTCCATCTTCGGCCTCGACGGATGACACCATCAACCACCTCACCCAGCTCATCACGCCTAGATCGACCGCTTCGACCATCCCTCTTATCGACGATGGTCCGTACAACCAGGACCCATACCGCAAGCTTATCTCCAGCAAGCCTCGCATGCCTACTCTTACCCCGACCAAAGCTGCTGTTACTGCTACTGCACTCTCGGTGCTCACTCAGCCGAAGTCTGCTCCCAAGCGTCCCTGGGGAGACCTTCCTGTCGAAAAAGGCTTCGTCCCTGTCCGTATCCCACCAACTTTCTTACGTTTCTTGTCTCTTCCTACCGAGATTCGCCAGCAGATCTACGTCTACCTTGTCCACAATGGAGCTCACGGTCTTCTCATCCCAAAAGACTTGAAGGCTTACCACCAAGCCCCTATCACTCGCGTCAATCGTCAAATTCGCAGCGAGTCTATCGATCTGGTCTACACAGAGAATGCGTACAACGCTAAGACTCGTGAACTCATCAAATTTGGTCCCTCCTTCACACTTCTTGTTGGAGGTGCCCGTTTGAAGCTCATTCGCAATTTTGCGTGGTTCACAGCAAAACGCCGCCTGTACATCAACTTCACTCCTTGTGGCAACGGTTACCAGTACCAGATTACTTACGATGGTCCTAAGGGCAACGATGAGGTAGGCGCAGTTGCTCAAGAGAGAGCCTACGAAGTCTGGGAATACCTAAAGAAGCAGGAAGGCCGTGTTGATGGCTTAACAGCTGAGCATCTGCGCAAGATCGACGAAATCGTCCTGCGTATCACTCCCAGAGCAAAGACGAAGGTGGACGGAGAGTCTACCCAGTAAGGAATGCATGGTAGAGATGCGTGCTGAAGAGATGGAGATGTGAACTGTTGATGGTTTCTAACAAGAATTTTATGAAGACATGGATTATGTGCATGGGTTATGGCTGATTGCTTGGAGGTCATGAACGACATGATATGCTGTATGCGTTTTGCTTTTACAATCAACAACAATGACATGGCTATAGCTGGATGAAACAAATGAAGAATGATGATTATGCTTTTTACACTTGGTCTACTTTGAACTAAACGCGGCGCCTCCAACACTCTCGTCAAAAGCCATGGCATCGTTCAAGCCACAAATATCGAATAGTGCCTTAGGTCCAATGGGTTCACACTCATCAGTGCCCTGCTCGACCAACATCTTGTAAGCCTTCTCAAGTGGCCTGACTACAGCCTCCAAGCCCAACGTAGGGTTAATGTAGAGCTTGAAGCCAATCTCCTTTGCCTGCTTGACACCCATCTGAGGCGTCTTGCCACCAGGCACCATATTCAGCAACACAGGTGTAGGAGCAAAGATCTTAACGGCCTTCTCACACTCTTCTTTGCTTTGCAGAGCTTCGAGGAAGAGAGCATCAACACCACACTCCACAGCACCCTTGAGTCTCTCCACCGCCTCCTCAAAGCCCATATCCGCTCTTGCATCTGTGCGGGCGATAATCATCATCTGACTGCCCATCTCATCTCTCGTCTTGACCGCCGCTCTCAGTCTTGCGTAGTACACTTCTCTGGACACGCATTGCTTGCCTACCAAATGCCCGCATCGCTTTTCTTGGACTTGGTCTTCGATGTGCAGGGCTGCGACGCCGGCTAATGCGTATTGACGTACTGTGCGGGCAACCATGATGGGACCGCCGTATCCAGTGTCTGCATCGCAGATTACGGGTGTGGAAGGAGATAGAGAGGTGATTGTTGAGGCGTTGGAGAGCATGTCGTTGAGTGTTGCGATACCGAGGTCTGCGGTGCCGAGGCGGGACATGTTTGTTCCTGCTCCTGTCTGTGTGGCAGTTGTTAGTATGGGGATTTTGGATAAGAACGGAGGGATGGTGAGGTGGGCAGGACGTACCATGTAGAGAACTTCTGCACCGGCTGCGAGAGCGATTCTACCGGATAGACCATCGTAGACACCTGGTGCAACGACGATGTGGTCTTCCTTGCTCATCAACTCCCTCAAACGCTTTGCTCCAGTCATGGCCATTGTGAAGTAGGTATGTTCGTGAGATATGTTTCAATATTCCGTGATTCGATGTTTTATTCCAGATCTTTGATTTGAAAGTCGAGATGTATATGCTTTAACGTTATAGCTCCGATCCAAAAACTTCTTCAGCTCCTTACCTTGATGGACTTGGGGCTTTGAGTCCTTATACTCTTCTCTGCTTCGATTGACACCGACTTCGGAGGCTTCAGGCCTTTCTATCAGTTTTGTTTCATGACACTCAAGTTTGCACGCCCTAAAACGTAAGCAAAAGGCGAACAGACACCGAGAAATAGGTGCCCCTTGGCCGCTGACCAATGTTTTTCTAACTCAGACGTCACAGCCTTTTAATTTGTTTTAGGAAGAAGGAGAGCGGAAGACGGTCCGAGGCCGGTAATATTGCCACGTGGGAGGATGGATGCGATATCGGTGGCCGAATCTTCTCCGTGGAGGGAGGAAGGCAATGTCGAGCTTTCGCCTTTAGTTTGACTCGAGTTGTTGATACTTTGACAAGGTCGCCGTCAGCCTCTTGTTTGCTTCATGGTTTGTTTCGAGACATAGAATGGGTGCGACAAGGCTTCTTGAGACGCATTTCGTTCGACACATTCCTGCAGCACAAGATAGCAAAGATCGTCGCGACTGAACTGGACCTTACATACAAATGTCTGAGGCCTAACATTGAGGGGAACACTATGCACTTCTTGACCACTAACACTCCAAAAGTTCGAGACTTCTCGGGCACTCGAGAGAGCCGAAGCCTTTCCGTGCCCATTGAGACGAGGCCTTTGAGCCATTATCTCAGTTGATTGTTCGCTTTGTCCGATTGTAGACTCGAAACCCAACACCCACTCTTGTTAACCCAAGAGTTTGGTTGTCACGATGCTATGTATTCACCCTGGTCTTCTATCTCTGGTTCCGCTCCTTCCCAGACCTTTGTAACGTCCAGAAACTCACTAACTACTAACAAAATGCCTATTCTAGAGGCTCTCTGCATCGCTCTCTTCATCCTCTGGATTGTTGTTCAGGTTTCGCTGTACACCTTCTTCCCACTCTTGATCCCTATCAACGACATTGGAGAAGCTCTGGACTTATACCTCTGGATAGTTCCTCGTCTGCACATCTTGTGTGTTCTGATTGAGGAGATTATCGTTGAGGTTTTCGAGACAGTTGTGAGATGGGTGTTTGGCACGGAGAGATAGAGGTAAGGTAAGTGCTGTGTTTCACAGGCTGTAGGTTGGTTCGGACAATATGCTCGGTGCAAGGGTAAGTGGATTTTCTCTTTGGTTCTCTTTTCTGTTCTCTACCGTTAATCTTTGAAGAAGCAATTCAACTGTTCTTTTTCCCCGAGTACAATCCCTCTGATTTCGTTTTTCTCTCATTTGTGTGTTTCGGCCATGAGGTTGTTGTCAGGCCAATGGCAGACAACCGTGTTTCCTGGTGAACATTTCTTTCAACAAGATCTGTGTCGCCTTCTTCGGTGTGTGCTCATTATTCGTCTTTTCCCCGCAGTCGTCTTCGATTTGCCTGTACCCTACTCACATCTCTCTCCGTCGGCGTGAACATGGTAGTAGCATCTATCGCGCTGAGGCATTATCTTGTCGACAGCGGGTGGATAGTGACCGAAGAGTGCTTCAGTGTTGAGAGCCTTGACCAGATCGGTGACCGCTTCGGCAGGCCAGTGTTGCTCATTCTCAGCCGACAAAGATTCTTCAACACCGGTCAGGTACACCTGAACGTCCAGCATGAACTTTCGCAGAGGTGCAGAGCGCAGTGTGTTCTCCCAGACCAGTTTGATGCAGGTGATGTCAGGAATGACGAAAGCGACATCCATTCTCTTGAGGATGGCGTCGACGACGACGTTCTGAAAACAAGGAATGATGAACTGGTCGCCAAACAGCCAGAGTCTGATCAGTTTGCGCGAATGCAGTTTGTGTCCCTCGCCGTCGGCGAGACAGCCGGTGTAGAGGAACTTGTGGAAGAGGTCGAAGGTTTCGACGTCTACGTCGAGCAGAGACAACTTGCCCTCGGCGCCCTCCTTGAAAGAGCCGTTGAAAGCACCGCGGAAGTAGTCGGAATAGAAGGTAAGAAGGTCCTTATGGATCACGAATTGCTTCTNTTCGATTCCGACCTCGATGGTGACCAAGGTCTGGAAGCAAGCGCTTTGGAAAGTGTCAGCTGACTGCAAAGGTGACAGAACCCTTCTCAAGACATGACTCACCCTGGGGGTTTCTTCGACAGAGTTGTCACCGCTCCCGAGGCGGGTTGTTGGATGACTTGAGCGACGCTTCTCGATGTGTTCTGTTGAGCGTTGTGCGAAGACATGGCTGTGTTTTCGTCCTCGTCTTGGATCAGGACCACTTCTAAGCGGTTGCGGTTGGTGGGAAGCTCTGGTGCATTCATGAGGTCGGTCACCCAGTCCTCGGGAGGTGCAATGTCAATGCTTTCCATCAGGATTGTCTTTGGTGATGTTGAAGGAAGGTAACGTCGAAAGACGCGAAGGCGCGTGGGGGATGATGTCGTTCGAGCAAACGCAACAAACGATGCGATGGTCGAGTACGGGAGTGACTGATACACGCAACGAACGCAATATTGATAAGCCGTCGACAGCGTGCCTCAGCCACAGCGGCTTCAACCCTCAGCCGCACGAGAACGAAATGAGTCTTGTTGCACGCTTGCCAGTCTTTGTTTGGGACTCTAACAATGCCTTTGTCTTCGAGACCAACAGGATACTATCTACCATGTCTCTTTGATCGTTTCAGACTCGTCGTTGTGGTCTTTGTGTCTCGATGCCAACACACTTTCACTCCTCGTCGACCTTGTCGAGAAGACGGACAGATATAAGTACTTCTACACGCCTCCGGCCTTCCCTCTTCACAATCGTCCACAGAACAACGATTCTCGCTCATGATGATCAAGCTCGCTCTCCTCTTCATTCTCAGCTTCTTTATCAGCCTTGTGCTCTATGTGGTCAGCAACTCTCCTGCTACTCTTCTGATCGACATCATCGGCCCTGTTGAGTTCGCCTTTATGGTTCTTCAAATCATCTGGGACATGCTGCTCACTCGTGCTCGCATGATCTAAATCCCAGGCTCGAATGTTTCGACGTTACATCTTTGATGGTGGAGCAGACATGGTAAGTAGCTAGATCCTACGATGAAACAGTATTTGACATCTATACTCTCTCAAAATCACAGTCCTTCCCTTTCCCCAAACTTGACTTTCCATTCCTCTCCATGTGCAAAAGTACGTAACGTATGTTGCTATAAAAATGCACAATCTTATTTAGAAACCAAGATTTGGCCAAAGAGAGCTACTAAGAGATTGCTTCTCAGTGGACAACATCCTGCTATCTGATCATATTATGCGTTTCTAGAACGTGAACTTTACTCACCTGCTATAGTCGGAGTATAGTGGAAGTTACATCCTTAAGCACATGCATCCGCGATATTGCCGAAGCAAGGGACATCCCTACCTCTAAGGTAAGCAAGGAACATTTCACTTCCTTCGTATATAAACCCCTCTTCGTCGATATGAGACTCTCTTCTCCTCATAACCCTTGAACATCCTCTTTATACAGGAGTCTCCTCGAGAACAACCTGGACATTGCCTGTTCTGCGTGCGGTTCATTATTGTTTCTATGTTGCCGCGTCGACACCTAACGTCGCCGACGCGTACGTCGCGAACGAGGTTACGCTCGCGAAGAACCCTAGCCTGTATCTCTAGTTCCGAGCCGACTGATTTGGGAAGTGTGAACAACATCAGTAGAGGCAGAAGAGAAGTTGTTGTCTAGAAAGATATAAGTTTAGCGATACGTACCTTATAGTTGTAGTATGCGTTACCTATATCAAGTGTTTGTCTTAGAGCTAGTGTCTATCTGCTACAAAACGCATACATTTCTATAGTTACAAAAATGCACAGTACTGTTCAGATTTCTACTCAGTCCAGAGAGATCACATATGTCATATGAACGAACAAAAGATTTGTAAGATGAATAACTTGGTTCAGGTAAATATGTACAGGGTGGTAGAACCAGTAATATGGGTACAGATATAGATATACAAGAAAAGGAGACAAAGAAATGTTCGTGCATCGCTTATCTAAAGCGGGTGGTGATTATGTCGTTGAGAGCCTTTAGCATGCAATGCTAAGGAATCAATCTCAGGTCATAAGAAGCGTCATGAGATGTGTCGAGACACTTTAAATAGAAACACCGGCGGCGGCGCTGCAGGCAGGAGTGGTAGGTGCAGTAGGGAAGTACACCTTGTTGTAAACGTTGTTGCCAGCGTTGGAAGCCTGGGCCGAGGGAGAGTTGATAGGTCCACCAGTCTTGCTGGCGCTGGGGAAGAGGAGGGCGGGTGCATCGGGCGAAAGAGCGTCCAAAGCGCAGCCAAGAGCGCCAACACCGAGTGCGGGAGCGAGCTTACCGACGGCCCAGCTGGCAGCCTCAGCAGCATCCTGCTCATCTCCGGAGAGACCCAAGGGGGTGATGGAGTTGATGCCCTGGTAGATGTCACAAAGGAGGGTGGTGACGTTGAAGTTTGGTGTAAGGAGGGTAGAGGCTCCGGGGACAACGATGTTCGAGGGGTAGATCTGGGTATAGGCATCGGTGAGAGCCTGGACGGCACCGTAAGGGGTGCTACGGCGGTACCAGTTCTCAGGCCACTTCTCAGGAACGTACGCGAACTCGCCAGAGTCCTGAAGCTCCCATCCAACGATGCTAGAGACGGACTCGTAGTTGGGAACACCACCGAGACCATAGGTGCCGTTGCTGAAGAAGTTGGGGTAGAAAGCGAAGGCACCCAGAGAGACGATCTGAGGGAAGGGGAAGGCGTAGAGGTAGGGGTTGTACTGCTTGCTGAAGTCGGCGGTCTTGGCATACTGCTGAGCCATGGTTGCCATGTCGTACTTGCCGCTGCCAGCTGCAGCAATGGCAACACCTTGCTTGACAAGGCGAGACGAGACTGCGTGGTTGTTACCACAGCCAGTGTAGTAGTCCTCACGGTGGGGAGAGATGTCGGCCTCGACGGTTGAATGACGGTTCAGTCCGCCAACGTTGCCAGGGCCAGCACCGAGGTACCAGGACTCAGTAGCAATGTCACCATCGGTCAGGATGGCGAAGACGGCCAGGACCGTAGCAAGGTCGGCGCCCATGTTGAAACCACGTGCAGTGGCTTCCAAGACTTGGCCGTAGTTCACATGGCCATCACGAGGCAAGTAGCCATAGTTGGCGAGAAGGTTGAGACCAGGGCAAGGACCACGGCTGTCGTTAGGGCCAGGTGCCTGGAACTCGTAGCCAGGCTCGGGACGCTTGTCGTCGGGGTTCAAGGGACCCTCGGCGATAGATCCTTCGGAAATGTTAGCTTGGCTCATCTGATATGTAAGTAACTGCACGTACCCAANGAGACCTCTAACATCATTGACTACGCTGCTGAGAACGCCAGTCAGGCCAGAGACGAGATCGGGCTCTCTCTTGGCCATCTGCTCCTTGGCAGATCTCTCCTGAAGCATCTTGATCATGTCCTCCTTGTTGGCACCCATCATCTGGGGGAAACCCATGGCGATGGAGGGGAGCACAGCTCCTGCAATGGCGAGATTGAACTTCATAGTGAGGGACGTTCAGAGAAGTTGTTCGACTGAATGTGTGACTGGTTCACCTTGAAGAAGGGGGGAAGGCCATTATATAGACCGACCACGGGAATACTCTGGCATCGAAGATCCATAAGCGTTCTCCACGGCCAGCAGCTGTTAAACTGTTTCCGGTCAGGTCAATGCTAGCACATCTTCCATCGTAGGTACGTTGAGTAGTTTCTGCATGTCGGGAGAATGCACTGACTGGTGATCTTTCCTGATACTCGAGAGCTGGAGTAACGATCAGCGGTGACATGGGTGGCAGGATCAGCACGAGATACAACTCAATGAGTGGATTTACCAGCATCAGTATCTGTGCAAAGTACCGTTCTCGCTGATGACCAATTGACACTCTCCACAAACTCATACAATTCTTACTCGGTCGTGTAAGGACCATGTGCGGTAATGCCGCGTCTCGTTCCAAACTGTGCCGAAGTGCCACGCCTATGACGACGGGTGGGTTGCCGTTGGCACGTAGCTAAGGCTTGGAGAATGGCATCTGATCTGCAGCACCGCCTTGCTGGCGTACCAGTTCGTGGATCTGTTGACCACCAATGTTCGAGCAGATCTCGTCTCTTCTTGGGTTGGGAACGTCCTCGCAGGCTGCATCCCGGGTTTTGAATCAGGGCAGTTGTACCTTTTGCATATTGCGTCGGGAAGGTTTCGGAGATGTGCTGTGGCTTGCGGGAGAGGCGTGCAACGGCAGAGCCTCATCACCATAACGTATGTCTCAATCGTAAACGCACCTTCTAGCTGTCTCCAGATTGATGCAGCAAGAACTTGCAAGTTCTTGATCGTGAAGCGCCAATTCCAATCATGACCTCGTTGTTTAGCGAAGAGAATGGCAACGCGAATCCTCGCCAAGTTCCTCCTCCCCAGAAAATCTTTCAGCCGCACGACGATCTCTCCTTCCTGATTCTGTCACTCACGCTCCCCGATCGAGAGATCAGAAGAATAGTTTAGGTCATCATCAGCGACAAGCCTTTGTGGATACCCACTCCGTCTTCATCTATCCCTGCAGAAAATGAACGTCTTTCTGTCATCATTGGCGGGAACTCCAATGACGGTGTTGGTAATCGTCGAGCACTTCTGACTTCGCTCGTCTTAGCTTCTTGACTCGGTCGCATAGGAGATCATCCCGTCGTGAGCAGAATCTCCGATCTCGAGTGAGAGATAGGCATGCCAGCAGGAAGCCAAACCACTATTTTGTGTTCGTTGATGCACCTTGCTTCCGAGTGGAAGAGGATGTCTCTCGCTTTGCCTATGGTAGTGATCCTTCTGTACCAAACTTCAGCTTCGTTGATATGGCTGATGTTGTTGTTCCTATCCATCTTCAGTTTGTGCACTCTGCTTACCCTGTCTTGATCTACAATGGTCAGCAGTCGTGAGTTTCGATCTCCCACGGCCTTGCTGGCGGTAATTGTGTTGCGTACAAAATTAGTTTATTATGGACAGGGTCACAACTATTATTGCAGCAAAGCGTCGCAAACTGGTATGCAGATATGCAGAAGGAAGCCGCACAAGCGAGCAGAGCCCCAGGGGCACATATTCGTATCGCACCTCAACTACTGCACGTATCTCAAATGTCAAAGCACCGGCATTTATTTCATGGCGAAAACTGCCTGCATGAAGCTATAATAGCTCTGCAACCGTCAAGTCTCTAGCGTTCTCGTACGCGAATCGAGCGGAGGGGGCAAACCATCATCGAAACGCATCGCGAAAATGACTTATCAGATTATTCTGATTGGCTTTCGTGCACGACAACATCCAAGCAGACGAGATAAAAGATGCGAACGCCCTCATCGCGACAGAGTTCGGAAAGGAACGAGCAGCATCCTTTTGGGCAAGGTTCTCTCGGCACGGGGCTCAAGTCCACTCCACGACGTTGATCATGGGGATCTGCGGCGAACAGCGACATCATGAGCTTTTCTCGACGCGAATCTTTTCTGCATGCATACCGTGCCTCCTGCGGCTCCCGGGAGACTCGGCGATGATCATGTTAGATCCTGCTTAAGTCAACCTGTTCGTCCAAGCATGGTATCTCCCACGAAATAGTGGACGAGTATGCATGCTCGTCAAGCCACCTTCGTCAAAAGAAGACAAATCTCATCATTCGCAATATCGCTATTCTGTTGTTGAGCTTGTTGAGACTTTGAACGCTTGATGAAGAAAACGAGGTTTGCATGGCAACCATTTGTGCTGCTTCAAAGAAAGTGCAATGTATACGGGCTGCAATTGGGTATCTTGCCAGTGATGGAAATGCGAAAGAAGAGAGAGAACACAAAACATGCCACCCAGAAAAGATCAGATCAGGATCCTGCGCCCCAAGAAAATGCAATCAAAAAACGCGTGGTCCGCAATGCAAGCATAAACCACAAAACGACCTCTATCTGTGCCAACGCCAGGTAAGTACTAACACATGTGTTAGGAGCAAGATTGTTGCTGCTGCTGTCACGAACGCGTTGGTCGTGAGTGGTGAGGGTTGTCTTTGGCCATAGTCAATGCTCCACGTTTGCTCATGAGGTCGATACCACTATCCATTTCACTACCCACGCTTCGTCTGTCGGGCTCGCCAAAATCTGGAAGAGCGCCTGGCTGTTCGTCGATACTTCGAACGCTTTCGGCGTAATCTACCTGCGACGATGATTCGTCCACATCATCTCCAGATAGAATACGACCGCCAAGTTGAACTTCTGAAGACGCGACTTGGTAGTCAAGAGCTTTTCTTCCGTCTTTGATGAGCCCTTCGGTCCAGTAAAGGCAACGCTGCAAAGACTGGTTCATTCGTTGCGTGTCCATCAGCAGTTCACGGTGTCTACTCAGATCAAGTCGCAAGCGGCTTTCGTCCTCAGCTCGCTGCGCTGCGTCGCGTTTGGCCTGAGCCCCCGGAGACAGCGGCACAGCTGAGGAGCTAGTCGAGTCTTCGTCGGAGGAGTCATCTTCAGGCTGTGAATGGAAAGGACTCGATGCTCGAGCGCCTTCGTCATCGTCGTCGAAGTCAGGAAGCTCGACTTCTTCGTCCAATGTCGACAGATCCTCCTCAGCGTCACTTGACCTCCTCTGAGGAACGGCAAATTGGCCAGCTCGGCTCAGTCGGCGAAAGCGTTTCAGTTCAGCTTTTTGTTTCCTGAGCTCACGCTCTAGAGACTTGTTGATGGCTAGAAGTGATGAATTGGAAATTTCAAGATCAAGGACTTTCCGTTCTCGACGTGCCTCAGCATAGGGATCAGTCGGCAAGACATCACTGCTCTGTATATTATCAGAGTGTGACGCTCCAGGCGAATCATCAGCTCCATCATCTGGCACAGGTGTAGGTGACTCGAGTATGTTATCCTCGTTGACTGGCTCTGTGATGGCTGGTATCGGATGCGATTGTCGGCGGACATGGTCAGGGCTACCCGTGTCGATTGAGGACAGACTGGTGCTCCGGAGATGAGAGGTTCGCAGTGACGCGTTACTAGTCTTACGCTGGGTAGGTTGTGTAGGATGAAAAGGTAGAGGCGGACCACCGAGAGCAAAAATCTGGGAGGCGCCTTTTCTATACGAGAGGTGGATATTGTTTTTGGGCGGTGAATTAGGACTTGTGAAGTAATGCGAGGCCGACGACACAGCACTGAGAGGCGGTGAGGCTATGGTTGGCGTCTGAGCCGAGTCCGAGAGATTAGGTGACTGCACGAAGAACTGAGGAGATGTGACGGCCGATACGTTTGACAGGACAGGAGAAGAGCTTCGGTGCGAGAGGGGTCTTGTTTCTAGAGTCTGCTGCTGACCGTTGGCATATAGAANAGATGGCGTCTTTCTGAGTCTAGGCGCCTGGGCTGCCGGCTGAGGTTGTGATTGTGGTTTGGCGTCGCTGGCATGGAAGAACATGGGACTCGAGTCTTNTTCTGTCTTAGCCGAGATAGGGCGAGATGTAGGGAGTGGTGAGATCCTCGCAGAAACCGGAGCTTGTGGCTGTAGAGTTGAAGCATTTGATCTGGCAGTGTCTGGCGTTTTCACAAAGCCTCGGACTGTAGGAGTAGTCTTGGTGGTGATGGGCACGGAACGTGATGAATTGGCATTAGCTGGTCTTACAGAGCCCACAACGCTCTTTGCTCTATTCGAAGAGGCCAACTGTGGGCGGCGCACAGCAGGTTCGCTGTTTGTGGGAGATATCATCAGGGGTCTCTTTCTTGCATGACTCGGAGTATCGTCGTTGGGGGATTGAGTGGTCGGAGTCGAGTTGATTAGCTGGCCAGCTCGCGTCTTTCCAGTTAATGTTTGCGGCGTGACATGGGCGTGGGCGACCTGCGCCGTCGGACGCGTCGAGGAGAGGGGTGAAGGTGTCGGTTTGTGTTTGTTGAGTTTGGGTCTGAATTCCGACTCTTGCAGTTTGGGCCGAAAAGGCGGTGTTGATGTGTTTGTTGTTGGTGTGATGGTTGTCGTCGAGAAGGGCGTGTCTTTGGCGAGGCGAGGTGTGTTGGGTACTCGAGCAAGAGTGGGTTTCAATGGCACTCCAGAGCGGGAAGGAGCAGTCGGTAAAGGATTGCGATTGTTAGCCATGATGGCTTTTGTTATGAGGAAGGAGCGGGTCGAGTTGTCTGCACCAACGTTGTCCGCCACCATCCAATCATCTCTACAGCGATATACCTCTGGTCGAGTACCCGTGCATGGTCTTGTACTGGAGAATTGAGAACCGGCTCCTGACTATACTTGTATTGAAGCGTTAAACGTCGGTTGCCGTGGTTGTCACGGTTAGACGATGTTCAGGCCCTGGAACAATCTCCAGATGACGCTCCAGCCCACCAACGACCCGCTTCCGCCGAACTTTCTTCGCCTCGAAACATTTATTTCTCCTTTTTTCTTTCTTTATTTTCGCGACCTCCCCGCGTTTGCATGCGTTGACGTGAGGCAACATTTCGGACGCTTGCCGCTCTAGCCTGTCTGAAATCCTCTACCATCTGGTGACTATCACCAGATGCGCAACCCTACGAACAGATATGGATGGCCCTGCCCGCCATGACAGCATCCCTCCGCCTGTCGACCACTCCGCCCCTACCCCTGATGACCCGCCTAATCCCGATTCGAGTCAGCATCATACCCTGAAGTATCATCTTCTCGGTCCCTCCCTCACGAAACCTGGTCAGGATGATGTGGACCAGACGAAAGTTTCGGAAATCATCTATGAAGCGTCCAAAGGCAGCAAATTCTTTGTTCAAGAGGAGCAGAAGGACAAGAACTTGACCATCAAGATCAACCGTATCCTCGCGAAGAAACGCCAGCTCGACCAACTTGACCTAAGCCACGACTTGCGCAAGGCAGACGAATACGTACAGAAGCTCGAACTCAGTCGCGATCTCACCCAGACCATCGTCCATGTCGATTGTGATGCTTTTTACGCCGCTGTCGAGGAGCTTGACCGCCCTGACCTGAAAGATGTGCCGTTCGCTGTCGGAAAAGGCGTCTTGACAACTTGTAACTACCATGCGAGAAAGCACGGCTGTCGCAGTGGTATGGCTGGTTACATCGCCGACAAGCTGTGTCCACAACTCATCCATATTTCGCCAAACTTTGAAAAGTACTCGGCCAAAGCAAAAGAGATTCGTGCTGTTTTGGTCAAATACGACGCTCGATTCGAGGCCGCAAGTGTTGACGAGGCATACCTCAACATAACTCGCTACTGCGAAGAACACAACATGAGTCCTGAAGATGTCGTACAACAGCTGCGTGCAGAAGTACATCAAGAGTGTCTGATCACCGTCTCGGCTGGCATCGCGGCGAACGCGAAACTTGCGAAGATTTGTTCGAACAAGAATAAACCCAACGGCCAATTTACATTACCTTCAGATCGTGCCAGTATCATGTCATTCATGAAAGACTTGCCCACACGTAAAGTGAACGGCATTGGCAGAGTTTTTGAACGTGAGCTCGACGCTATAGGTATCAAAACATGCGGCGACATATTTGCGCTGCGTGCCTACATGTCCAAACTCTTCGGCGAGAAAGCTTTTCAATTTCTTATGGGCGTCTATCTTGGACTCGGCAGAACGAATGTTCAGCCGGCTGAGGAGTACGAGCGCAAGAGTGTTGGTACGGAAAGCACATTCAAAGAGATGTCAGATCCTCAACAACTTCGAGACATGCTCCGACACGTTGCGGAGGAGCTTGAAAAAGACTGCGAAAGGACCCAGTTCAAGGGCAGAACCCTGGTGCTCAAAGTGAAGTTGCACACTTACGAGATTCTAACTCGCCAGGTTGCCCCACCAAAAGCTGTACACCAAGCGGATGACCTCTACAAGTTCGCCTTGCCTATGCTCGTAAAGCTGGAAAAGGATATACCTAAATTTACTTTGCGCCTTATGGGGTTGAGGCTCACATCGCTGGTCAGTATGAAGAAAAGTAACATCGACACTTTCTTTGCACCAAAACCGCAATCTGCAGCAAGAAAGCCATTCACTCCTGCCGCTGAAGGCGAATGGGAGCAATGGCCTGACTCAGAATTCGAAGAAGCCGCTCGCCAAGAGAAGCAAGATGACTTGGATACCCTGGAAAAATTGAGTCAGGAGTACATCGAGGAGTACAATAATACTCCGAAACCATCAGCAGCCAGGCACACAGGTACAATAATAGAAAGTGTGCCTGCAGCTACTTCTGAGGATACNAGAAAAGAAGAAAGAGACGAGAAAGAAGAAACATGGAGCTGCCCTATTTGTAGTCAGCCACAACCTGCTGACGCTGTGATGTTCAACCAGCATATTGATGGATGCTTGTCAAAGCAGACAATCAAAGAAATTGTCCGCGAGAATGCGTCGCCGTCTCATTCACCGCAGGAGAAAGCTCCTACGCCTGGGCAGGGCAAGAAGAGAGGTCGACCAAAGGCACCGGACCCTCAGCCGAAGCGGCCCAAAAGCGCCTTCTTCTCTCGATGAAGTCTATCTCGTAATTAGACTTTATTCCCTTCTTAGATAAACCAACACCCTTGTAATGCTTGCTGCGCGAAGCAATTCATATTTCCGAACTTTTAACCATGTCCGAAGATTGCTCGCTTAGCCTTCTCATCCAGCTTGGAGATTGACGGCAGACTGGCAAGAGCGGATGCAATTTGTGGTTCATGGTCGTGTACCGCAGCTTATACGAGACGGCTCATCCTTCTCATATCGACTTGCAGAATCTCCACTATCGAGCCCTANTCGTTACCCGAGACATTTGCTGTGTTGTTCGCGGTGGCGGTTTTTGAGCCTCAGTTGACACTCCGCAAGAAAGCGGGGCCGCAAACCGGTTTTCAACTCCAGCTTCCTCTCTGCAGACAAAGACCGCGCCTGACATTTCTCCCANNACGCGACTCTATCCTGTGGCGCTCAAGCTACTGCAAAATATGTCGCGATTTTACAGCCGCCTCTGTACCGGCTTTGAACATGCAAGTGTGAGCTAAAAATGTGTATGCAAGCCAGCTTCACAAATCTCCGAAAGGCTAGACGCATTCNGGGACTGGCGTTCATGCAGGTCCGGACAATAACACAGCCCAATCTGGGTAGACAACACAGATATGGGTATGTCAAGTATGGTTCCAACCTATAGATGGAATATTGGCCGGGGCTTTGCTTACACTTCGTGAAAGAATTGGAGCCACGGCAAGAAGGCAGGCTTGGCGGTGCCTTCCATGCGATTTCACGACGCCTCGGACTGTCAGACTGCGAATGTGGCAGCTTAGTGCGTGCATTACAGGGAAGAAAGCTTGCTTGCATCGTCGCAGGCTAAATTTGTATCTGCACATACTGCACGTAACCCACTTCCTGCCGAACCATGCCGTGCAACACGTTGTATGCAGAGACACGTTTTGCTTTGAAACAACAGCAGAATTAGGTCTCCAGCATCCAACTGCCTGACGCTCAACGAATGTGCAATGATGGCACTCAAAGACTGCAAGAACCATCACAAAGGCCCATATCTAGGGACCTGGGAAACCAGATACATAGTGCCAGCACATCCATGCTTCAGGACTATGCTGATATCACGGCACGGTCTTGCCGGACACTAGCATAGTCTTCCGCCCGTATAAGCCCCTCCCATACCATCAACTCCTCCAGCCGAGCGGCAGTCTCTTGACTGCGTACCACCACTGGCTGGACGCGAGGAAGACGTACCACTATTCGTAGCGTAGGATTCTGGCAAGCAGATATGAAGTCCGAAGGATGCTTGACTGAGTGGATATATTACTTGTACCGAGTAGATATAAAGACAGGCCCTCACTCCCCAGATTGATCACCAGCAGATCATCCATACCTTTTCTACTTGTCCTCGATATTATCACTTCATCTTCATCATGAAGTCTGGATTTGCTCTCGCAGCTCTTGCCTTTGGTGGCATGAGCTTTGCTCAGTCAACTACTGCTGTTGCAACTTCTGCTGTTGAAGTCGATGGCCAAACTACGACACTTGTCAGCAACATTGACCCTTCAGATATTGCTGCCCTTCCTGAACCAGCAGTCCTTGGGCCTCCCATTGGTGTTTTCGAAACTGTTTCCTCCGCTTCATACAACGCAGCTGAGGCAACCGCCTCAGCCCTTGCCCTTGTTGTTGAAGCTACTGATGCTCAGACTGCTGTCATCGCTCCCGAGAGCACTGCTATTGCTGCTAGCAAGACTCCTGTGCCTGTCTCATCTGAGGCCGCTGCGGCTAACAAGCGCTCATATGTTGGTGGCCTCACAGGCAACCTCCAACGTCGAAGCGGCATGAGCTACCCTTTGATTCCTCCAACTACGTAGGTCGCGTTCTTGAGCAAGTTGAGAGTTAAAGTGATGCTGACTAAGGCATAGCATGTCCCTTCTGGCTATACACCAGCATTCGTCAACCTCCAGGGCTCCACCCAGGCTAACGGATACTTGACTTACAAGACCCTCTCAGAGTATGATCCTCAGCAATGTACTTCGGCTTGTGACAGTATCAGCTCGTGTCAGTTCGCGAACATTTACTGGGAGAGGGATCCCGACAGCAACAACAACCCTGTCGACGTGGTCAAGTGTGCGCTTTACAGCATGCCTCAAACCAACTGCACCGCAACCAACAAGGGACAATGGCGTGGCTCGTTCCATGTTTTGGTCACTGGTAGTAACGGCTACAACAAGGCTGCAGCTCCAAAGACTCCTGCTGGTTACTCTCTCCAGACTCTTCCTGCCGCCGTCAATGCACCAGTCTATGATGACGTTGGTCAGTGGAGATTCATCCAGCCTGTTTACCTCAACTCTTACGACCCTGCCCTCTGCGCTGCCGCTTGTGACAAGCAGACTGCATGGGACAAGTCTCAAGCCACTGATGACTGCAACTACAAGACCTGTGTCTACGCAAACATGTACATCTTGTCGCAGGACGGAGTTCCAAAGACCGTTGTCTGTGCTCTATACACCGAAGGCGTTGATTCAAGCTATGCTACCAACTATGGCTACTCGACCGACACGGATTCTTTCCAGGTCTCGAACTCGATCGCTTTGACCAACACCACTGCTGTCAATGCTGGCTACCCGCAGTTGTGCGCAGCTTCATCTGGCGATATCTCCTACCTGAACTCAACTGGAGCCGAATTCTGCACGAGCTACCTCGGTTATGTTGCTCCCACTGAGACTGTCAAGACCACCGTTACTCCTGGAGCAACCACTGTCTTCGCCACTGTGACTGAGGAAGTTACTGTGACATCGGTCTACTCTACTGAAACCGTTTCGGTCACAGGAGCTCCCGCAAACCAGAAGCGTCAAGAGAGTGTTAGAATCGTCACAACCACTGTCGAGCTGCCTTTCATCACTGTCAGCGGAAACGAGACTATCGTCGACTACATGACCAGCACTTTAACCGTCAATGCCGCTTCCACTTCCGGTGCTGTCATCACCCCTGCCGCAGCCGATCCTGCAGCATCTGCTGCCGCACTTGCCAAGCGTAGTGCTAGCGCCGTCCCTACTCCTTCTTCCATCCTCCACTGGCCATCAGCAAAGATCTCCTCTGCTTGCTCGGAAATCGCTACTGGCACCGTGACTAGCACGCAGACTGTCACTGCATCTGGATCAGTCGTTACTGATGGCGCCACTGTTAGNCGCAACCCAAGTTACTTCGATCGTTTCGACCGTGACCGTCACTGTCGACGGCAGCTCCCAAACACCAGTGACTCATCCGCACCCACCTCCACCGCCATCCCCGGCTGTCCCAAGACCGATGGCACTCAAGGCCAACTCCTTCTCGGAGGCTACTCGCTCGGTTTCCCCACCCCCATCACCTTCAACCACGATCCCCTGTTCTGGACACCCCTGGGAGGTTTCGGCGATGAGTTTGTCTACGACACAGCCGGCGATTTCCTCTACCACGTCGACACCGGCTACTGTCTCACTCTCGGCGACGCCACCTCCAGCACATCACCCATGTACATCGGCAGCCCCTTCACATTGAGCGCCTGTCAATGCACCACTAGCACAACAGTAACCCAAAGCTTCACCTTCAACTTGCTCAAAGTCAAGGGCGACAAGGCAAAGAAGAACTGTCTTGCCNNATCAAGGGGAGACAACAGAGGCAACAAGTCTTACTACCCCGCGCTTGTGGATACTGGCGATGATGATTATCCTTTCTCCGCTGTTTATGCTGGTACCAAGCTTGATGCTTGTATCACTTTTGAGTCTGATGCGGACATTGATGCGGGCATGAAGTGATGGGGTTTGGGTTAGGTTTGATGGTGTATAGGGAAAGTGTTTTTGGGGTTAAATGGTGTTTTTATTGTTGTGGGTTTCTTCTTTATATATATCCTTAATGGCAAATACAGTACATTACACTTCTACACAGCAGGGCTTTTGGATAAGCTCTTCCTTTGCTTGACCAGATCTAGTGAGACAATATTGCGCTATATGGTATTCTATCCGCAATAACAAAGTGACATAATGACCGTTAAACATGATTTGATTTATACGTCTGTGAATGCCAAGAAGCTCTGAGGCTATAGATGTTCCAAAAATGATAGATAAAAGTACAAATACAGGAAGGTGAAGCAAGAACCCCTCGCTCCTTCCATGAAAAGAAAGAATAATGTATAGCAACAATAAAGAGAAAGCAGCCATCGCTATGCAAAACAAATACCAAAAAAACAAGCAAAAGACTACAAACCACTCCTGTTACCGTACACGGGGTCGATGACTACGATCCCTTCCGTTCTTGTCCAATCTTCCACGTCTGCTCTTGTCGGGAGGAGGAACATATTTCACATCTTTGAGTGCCCAGTCCAGGAAACCGAGCATGTAGGAATCGACATGACCGAATTCTTCTTCTCCGTTCTGGGCTTCGTCGACGTCCATCGCATCGGCAGGTTCAGCAGGCGTGGGAGGGACACTAGTCTTTGGTGTCCTCGAATCTCTGCTTTGGTTTCCTGTGGTGTTGTTGCCGCCGGCGTCGAAGTCAAAGTCATCGGCTTGACCTTCTTTTTGTTGGGCGTGAGCAGCAGCAACATCTTCTGCGTCTTCTACCGCCTCGAGCACTTTNNTTTGGACGTTGTGTTCGCCGACATTGTTGCCGAACACTCTTTCTACAGCGGCTCCTGCGAATTCGTCTCCTAGAGCTTCATCGTCGACGGTAGCGGCAGGAGCATTGAAGTAGTCAGTCGTAAATTCTCCCTCTTGGATGACGACTTCATCTAGCAAACGCTTCTGGTTGGACTTGCGCAGGATATTGACTTCGATGGTGTGCTCAGACACAAACTTGTAAATGTGAACATCACGAGTCTGTCCAATACGATGAGCACGATCTTGACATTGCTTATCCATCTGCGGGTTCCAATCGAGATCATAGAAGATGACTGTGTCAGCACCAGTCAAGTTCATGCCCACACCTCCAGAGCGAGACGAGAGGATGAAGACGTCAATACGAGTATCGCGGTTGAAGCGCTCCATCATATCTTGGCGTTGTTCAATTCTCGTGCTACCGTCAAGACGGAGATAGCGGTATCCGTGAATGTTCAAGAACTGTTCGAGGATGTCGAGAACCGAAGTCATTTGGGTGAATATCAGTGCGCGGGAACCACGGGACTGCAGTTCGCGGAGCAGATCTGCGAGTCGTTGCAGCTTGCCGCAATCGTATTGAAGAAGGCGTTTGTCAGGGAATGCAATAGATAGACGTACACGAGATTCGTGGAAGGCGTCTGGCTCTGGTGATTGTGAGACTGACTGAACAGTGTGGATAGTGTTGCGCGGAACCATGTATGGCAGGATGTCGGACGCCACAGCATTGGGAGTGATGCATGCGAACTTGCGGATGAGAACATTCATTGCCTCGGATCTCTGGTCGACGCTCTTGACCATGTTTTGGATCATAGAAGAGGAGTCTAGGTACCATTCGGAATGCAAAGCCTTGTCTCGAGGTGGTGATTGCCGCAGACGATCAGTCGTATACGTCGTACATCTCTCAACAAGATCGGTGCCGTATACAGGTGCAAACTCTGTCCGCTGTTCAGTCAGGAAAGCACATTGACGCAAGCGATTCAGCTTATCCATCGCGGTCTTGTGGTTCTGCTGGCCGATAACTGAACTGAAAGAAGAACTGTCAAGAGAGCTAGAGCCTAGTCTCTCAACTTCTCTGCGGACAATCTGATCCATAGCCCGACTGGCCCTGAGCTGCTTGCTGCGTCTAACATGATATCTTGATCTTGACTCTCGACTCGACAAATTGAGACTCANAAAGTTTAGATCAAGTACTTCATGCGGGTCTTCATAGAGCATCTTTCTTCGCAGAAACAAGTCTTTGATCTCGAAATCTGCTGCAATTGACCGAGGTTGACGTGTGTAAGGCTTCTTCATGGCATATGAAGTGACAATAGGACGCTCTTCAAACAAATCCGGGTGGTTACAAACTTTTCTTAATGACATCAACGCTTGCGACACACTGATCATATTGCCAGACGTCAACTTCGCCTTGGTATCGGAAAGGCCCATGAACGCATCGTAAAGCTGGCGTTGTCGCTTGGACAATCTGCAAATGACCGTATGCTCGTATTTGCCAGGAAGTTGTTTCTCGACTGAAGACTTGAGGCGACGCAAGAGGTAAGGGCGAAGCGAGTGGTGCAACTTGTTGACAATGTCTTGAGCTTCGTTACCAAGCTTGCTCTTACCGTCAACGAAGATCTCGTCCACAGGTCTGCGGAACCACTCTGTAAACTCTTCAAGATCGCCCATACCTTGACCATCTTGACCAGCAGTCAAGAAAGTAAGAAGTGACCATAACTCGATGATGCTGTTCTGCAGAGGCGTACCAGTCAACAGGAGACGTGCATGTGTCTTGAGTCTGATCATAGCTTGATAACGTTGTGAGTTGAAGTTCTTGATGTTGTGCGCTTCATCCAGAATCATGTAATGCCACTCGGGAACTCTGATGGCTGGCAAGTCCTTCAAGATGAGTTGGTAAGAAGTGATGACAACATTCCAAATATCGGGGTTGCTCCAGCCTTTGCGCTTCTGTGCTCTTTCCTCAACAGAGCCGTAGTATGACAGAACTTTGAAGCCAGGCAAGAACTTTTTGAACTCCATCTCCCAGTTGAGAATAACCGAGGTAGGTACGACAATCAGATGAGGGCCCCAAATGTGATGTTCCTCTGCGAGATGAGCTAACAGAGCAATGGTCTGAATTGTCTTGCCAAGACCCATCTCATCGGCGAGGATACCATTAGTCTGATTAGCATATAGTTTCGCAAGCCAGTCGAGACCTTCGTGCTGATATTCTCTTAGTGTGCCTCTGAGCAGAGAAGGAATTTTGACCTTGGAGGACTTTCCAGGCTGTGGCGTCTCATCAGTTTCGGACATCCTGTCAGCTTCATCAAGATCAACGCTAGTGGTCGATTCAGCTTCCGTGGGTTCGATGGTGGTGTCGTCCTTGGGAGAAGTTTGACTGCTTCTATCCTCTGCGTGCGAGTCTGCTGACAGCATGTTGTGGTGGGGACTGAGAGAATGAGCATGAACTTTCTGAGGAGCATCATTTTCAGTGTCCATGTCCGCCGAAAGAGCTTGTGGGTGTTCCTGTCCTGCTGAGGCAGTCGATTTCTCCTCAGATACATCAATTGACACTGCAGGTTTGGAGTTTATGGCGGAAGGCTTTTGGAGGTTGTTTTGGAGTGGTGTCGCAACATCAGAGCTCCCGTCGATTTCCATAGCTTCTGGCGCATCCATGTCACTTTCTTTGTTGTCTTCAGCGTCTGCCTCCTCGGAAGGAATACCGTTCGTCTGCCTGGGCTCAGCTTGATCAGCAGAATCTTGAATGGTATTGGCGAGTACGTCCGGGGCGTCATCTTGGTCTTTTTCGAGTGGTTCGTCTTGCTGCCGGGCCATTTCCTCAGCGTCCTCTGATGCTTCAACACCTGAAGTAGTCTGACTCTCTTTGACCAGAGCTTTGCGTCCACCAAAGAAGCCAAGCAGACCGCCATCATCTTCGCTCTCACTCTCATCCTCCTCTTCATCATCCTCTTCGTTTTCTTCCTCATCGCTCATATCTTCATCACTCATGTTGGTAGACTCGTCGCTGTCGTCCAGAAGCGCATCATCCACCTCGTCAAGCTGGATTTTGGAATAATCTCGTTCCTCTTGAATATGATTTTCATTATCTTCCTCGTCATCGGTCCCGGCTTCGTCATCGTCTTCATCCAGATTGTTTTTCGTCGTGGCTAGCGTGATAGTATCTTGGTCTTCATCGTTTTCTATGTCGCTAGCATCGTCTTCGGATTGTTCTTGCGGTAAATCTGGTATGTTGCTGTACTTGCGGCGTAGGGCTTCTGGAGACAGATTTGCATCGTCGTCTTCCTCTTCCTCACCTTCACTGCCTTCAGATTCGGATGAGGTCATGCGGTGATCTTCGTCGAGGTCCTGGCTGGATGCATCTGATCCTTCTTCATCGCCAGAGGCACCTTCGCTGAGGCTAATATCGTCGACATCATCGTCGTCGCCGTCCACAGATAGACCAGAATCCAGTAGTACACGACGTTTATCCAGCAAATTTGTCGACTTCTCCAGCATACTCTGCATCTTGAGTTCTCGTTCGATCCTTTGCTCTTCCTCGTAACGCAATGCTCTCCGGCGATCGATTTCAGCACCAACAAGCTCCCATTTTCGTTGAACGTCTTTGACAGTTTGGCGATAAATAAGTTTGTACCACTCGTTCTCCTGCTTCTCCTTCTCTTCTTCAGTCTGAGGCTGTCTTTCTTTCCATCTTGCTAAACAAGCGTATGCGACTCTTTTGGCACTGTCCATATGCGCACGCTTCTCCTTCTCCATCAAAGATTTCAAGAAGGCACCGTGAGCCCATAGATGGTCCCAGTGGTTGTATTGTTGCGCAGGCTCTTTCTGATCATCTGGCAGGTAGATCGAACTCTTCTCTTCGCTCAAAGGACCACCTGGCTGGGCGGCTTCCAGAATTCTCAAACGTGCCAAAGCCTCCTTTTCAGCTCGCTCTTCGGGTGCCTGTTCGACTCTTTCCGGCGCACGACGCTCAAGACCTTGGTACCGATCATCTTCCTTGCTTTCATAGGCAGCATCCTTACTCTTCTGGTCATAATGGGCGATTATATCGTCGAGAGACTGGAAACGTGGTGGGTTGATAACATGACTCGGATGGCGAGGTAAGAAGGAGAATTGTGGTCGCTTGAGTTTAAGCTTGATGCGCGGTGTCGAGTCGGCTGGGTCGGACGAAGCAGGAGGTTGCGAATCAGCCAGAGGTTGAGCTTCAGCTTTGGCTGGACGGCCAGCTTTGCGCTTTGCTTGTGGAGATTGTGACGGAGGAGCAGGGTCTTNCTTCTTGACAAGTTCAGGCGATGCTTCGAGGTTCTTGATTCTGGCAGAGACGCGCGATGGACGTGGCGGAGTTTTCTCGCGCTTGGGGACAGGGGTTTCCTTTTGCTTGGGCTGACTTGTCTGTTGAGCAGTTTGAGCACTCTTCAGGGCCGAAACTTTGCTTGCCGGAGTCTTTGCGACAGGCTTCTTGTTCTTGGGCGTAGCCTTGTCGAAGACAGGGGGAGCTGGAGCATTGACACGACCTGATCTTCTCTTTCCATTGTCCAAGATTGTAGTGGGACCTTCTGCAGCAAACGACTTCCATGGCGGCGAGACAGGCTTCGAAAGGGATCGCGATCTAGAGGCAGACTGGATGTCGGCAAGCTTCCGCTTCTTAGAGTTGTTGGCCGGTGGTGTTGAAGGGCGATCGGACGCGTCTAATTCAATCTCGTCTTCAGAGCTCAGAGGAGAGTCGGAGTCGAAAGCATCGTTGTGGTCGGCAGAGACAAGTTGTGTGTTGTCGGTTGCTTCTGTATCGGGCATAGGGGTGTCGTCGACAGGATGGTCGTTGTTGACGGGCGTGTTGTCGTCGTTCTTAATCTTTTGATGAAAGTCGGGCGGAGGCGGGCTGGGGCTTTCGTGGCTATCACGGGCGCCCTCGTGTCGCAAGACCCCCTCTAACGACATGAAGGCCAATCGAGCCTCCCCTCAAAAATAGGAGCACTGGAAGCTCAGAGTCCACAGATTATCATGCCGTTCTCCGAATTGCAATATCGGTCGTGGTTGGGTCAATAATGGCCGAATAACGTCACGGGGCGCGGATTTGTAGATGTGTCGAGCAAAACGCGTTTCTCGTAACAAATCATGGAGAGCTGGAACTTGCCGCCCTCCTCCCGCTGTTCCGCTCCGCGCTAGCCAGCCAAGACTGGCGAACAAGCTGATGACCGCAGCGCATACCGATTCGACAACGAAGGTGCGAGGTGATTGAAGATTGCTGTCACCACACACCACAACGTACCCTCACCCCCGATCCTCTTCCCGACCACCCATTGACGACTATCCAGATGCTCTCCCGCAGACTCGCTGCGGCACGCCCGCTCTCCAGCGCCGTACGAGCCTCCGCTCCCCGTACTACCCTCACACAATTGCGCTTCGCTTCCGAGAACAATGCCAACAAGGAGAACTTTGTTGGCGAGCTGTCCGTTGAGGACCTCGGCATGGTGTGTTAAAATCGACTTCCGACACCCTTCAAGGACTCGCATTGACAATGGCCAAACAGNAACGGTGGATACGTCAACCCTCCGGCAGTCAAACGCGCCTTCCGTGACCCTTACGACGACTGGTGGGACAAGCAAGAGCGTCGCAACTTCGGCGAGCCCGTTCACGAGGATAACGACACTCTTGGTATCTTCTCGACCGAACCCTACACCCACTTCAAGCCCGGCCACGGTGCCGTTCTCCTCGGTACCTTCATCGCATCCGTCTTCGTCCTCATGGGTGTTGTCCGTCAATACTACCCTGACAAGCCCGCCGTTCCCAGAACCTTCCCCGGTGGTCTCGACAGGGAACTTGGCGGCGCCGGCGCTGTCNNCCCGTGAGTCAAGCTGTGTATGCATGGAAGCCAGAAATGCTGACTCTTGGTTACATAGGCCCGTACCGACGAGAAGGAGCCTTTCTAAATAAACATTTGTCCATACCCAATTCAACGTCTTTTCTTTGTCATCATTCTAATCCTCGAAAACAGCAGTCTCGTGAAATGTATTGATAACAGTCGCGCTTTAGATACAGTAATCTTTATGGAACGGAAACCTGCTCTTGCTAGCAGATATCAGTAGGCACGAAATTGGCGGATGGAAAGACGGGTTGCAATCGAAAAGATTTTGGTGAGTTGCCAAATCGTGGCTGATCGTAGAACCAATCCACATCTCATAGCAGTTGAACACATTTATGGTTCGCTTGCTGGTATCTGAAGTTTCGAGTTGTTGCTCGGAAGCGCTCACTCTTTGAAGGGCTGCGCGGCTGGCCATCGCCGCGAAACAGAAGCGGCTTCCTGTTCTGTCGCGCCTCCTACAACATCGCGCCTCCACACCGCCGTTCTTCCAAGAAATTCACTTCCAGCATAGTTGTACTTTGGCTTCCATTCTCACACTTTCATTCTTGACCCTCGATATCACCATGAACGAAGACACGCGCAACATGATCTTGCGCCTCCAAAGAGAAGATCTGACAGTCCTGTCAAAGCTATGGGATGGCTCTACTGAGGATTGCTCCGAGTACAATACCACTGTGCGCGTTTATCGTCGCCAACTAAGCTTGATGGACCATTACCTTTCGGAAACACGTCAGATCGGGACAATCGAAAACGCCGCCAATGCCAACAATGACTCGACAGTGGCATCCTCTCGCCAGATCACTCATGGTAACCCACCTATCCTGACCGAGTTTGGAGATGTGCATCAAGTTGGAGGCGTTTATGCACATTGTGATGAGCCTTCTTCGTTCACATCCACTACTTCACCTCCTCCGGCTGTCAATGCAACAACCGCATGCTCATTCGTCGAAGATCCAGAGCATCTTGTCGTCCGTCTCCCTTCATCTATACCAAGTGTGCTAGTCACCGATGTTCTTGATGAACACTATCAAGAAAAGATGGAACAGTTGATGGCTTTTGTGCCTGGTCGAGATGTTAGCGTGCTTTACAAGGCTTTACAGATCTGCCATGGTAGGCTTGACGATGCCCTTGACTACATCTTCCGCCAGGAAGAGAACCATACGGATATGGAGGTTCTCGAGCTCAGCAGTTCCACCGCAACATCAGAGATTGCAATTTACGATCCAGCTTTGCAATCCACTGAACGTCCCACAACTACTGCAACAGTTCTTGAACGCTCTGTGGACCACCCCACAACTTTCGGCGACAGTCCCCTCAAGATACAAACCAGCTTCGTCAACAAGAAGGAATCTAGATCCGAGTCTACACCGTCTATTCAAGGAACCACGATAGAGGACACGCCAGAGAATTTTCTCCAATCATCTGAACCACAATCAAGCCCGACTCTTGGTGCCAGAAATGCTGAACCTTCCAATGCTTGCCGTGGTATCCCACCCAAATATGAAATGCCCGAACCTACACCAAAATGCGATAATACAGATCAAGGATTCACGGAAACGATGTCCATGACGCCTGACACGAACCTTGATACGATGGAACCCAGTATCGGCCATCAAAATCAGCAACTCAATGATCGTGATGATCTTCATCAGCTAGGTGGCCGCTCTCAACAGCTTCAACAAGCTCTTTCTACATCTTCCGCTCTCGACATGCACGCTTTGAATCTTATGAGTCCTGCTTTAGAGAAGCAGAGGCTTGGTGAGGCTCTCTACCCCAAGGTTCGCGAGCAGCTACTCAAAATTGCCGGACTCTATCCCAAGGTTCGCGCACAATACCCCGAACTCGCCGCAAAGCTCACTGGTATGCTCCTTGAACTGAACAACAATAGGCTCCTTCGCTTGATCGCCGATGACTCTGCACTTCTCAGCAATATTGATGACGCTCTACGTGTTCTTGAGGATTTTGTTGCCGAAAGTAGGAGAGTGTTTGTTTGAGCGTGTTCCAACAACCCACTCGTCTCCGTAAAGGAATCACCACTTTTCCAAACTTGTCAGATCTTGGTTGTAGCATGCCTCACCGTACGGAACCATGCGACCACCATGTTGCTGTCAACAGTCGTCGCTCTACATTACCTGCTTCCTGAGTATGCTGCAGTGTATGAAGAATACGCTTGCTTGAAGATTAAGAGTGTTGAGATCCAGGTTTAGCCGGACATACAATCTGAAATATTCGAAGTGGAGAGACGACCTTGTTTACGAAAGTGTTTCATTTGTGGTAAAATGGAGTCTTATTGTTTTCATGACTCTTAAGAACTTGCTCGTGGCATATTGGAGTGTATGAATGGACGATGGCCGGAGGGTGCAGCTCGTTTACTAAAGATACCTTGCTTTTATCCTTTGCTAGCCGTAGACCTTTCTACAATCGTTGCACATTAAGTATGATGACTCTTCTTCGTCACACTCGAGCATTACCTTGTTGTTGATGCAGTTGTGCTATTCTAGAATCCGTCCATCGAGAATGAGTACACTGAAGATGTTGTGGATGTCCGATAATCGGTAGGTGCGACTTCCTCTTGCAGCTCACAGTCTACCAATTAGTGACTTTCGTGCTTACTCACTTCGAAGTGTCTACTCAAAAGTCCTTCTCCGTTCAATCTCCCGTCTTTAAGCTTCACACATCTTACTGGCCGAACTGTTCCAGCCTTTTGCTCTCACCTCGTCTTCACTGTTCCGTCATTGTCTGCACGCTGCACCCTCCTTTCAATCACATTTGCTGATCGTCAACACTACGATGGACGATGATGAGACACGCAGGCTAATCTTGCGCCTGCAAATGGAAGACCTGGCCTCGATCTGGGCCTCATCGACTACATCCGCCGATCATGACAATGACCTCAACGCTGATGTGTCTCTACGCCTTTATCGCCATGAGCTACGCACTGCCAACCAGCAGATCGATGACAGAATTTCTGCTCGAGCCGCCGCTGATGACGAGCTGCGTCAGAGAAATGCCATCAGAGCGGATCGTCAAGAAGCACGTCGCCTGTTTCAGCAACTCAATCCTGATGAGCGAGTTCCTGAGCTGTTGGAGACTGCTCAACTGACTCTCACTGGTCATACGGATACTTGCAGTGCCCCTATCAAGGATGAGACTTCATCTACACTTGGACATCTGCAACATCCTGATAACCCTACCATGCGAGCTTCGCCATCACTGCCCTCTCGCCAGACTATCGCCCCGACATCTAGTGTGAAGCGTTCAGCAGACCACCTTGACATGATTGCGGAACCACCTTCAAAGAAGCAAGCAACCGAAGAGATGGGTCCCGTTGCAAGACCACTCAGTGCTTGCTGGCTCCCGAGTTCGGATCGTGCCTCTGGAAAATTCATTGATGAAACTCCCGTAAATCTAGACGTATCAGCTCAAACTCCTCTCTTTCCTGCTTCGGCTTCAACGAACCTCAAACGACCAGCACAAGACGATGATAGTGTCTTTCCACCCGCAAAGAGACAAGAAGTCGTACCTAAACGCTCTCCTCTTACTTTCGGAACTATACAGCCTACCGCCGAAAAGCCAGCGTCTTCTTCTGCGCTGTCAGGTTCCCTCAACACATTTCAATGGGGTGTATCCCCTGCATTCAACCCGTTTGGCAATTCTTCGGCTAAGGCACCAGAAGCACCTCGCTTTGGTCACAGCGCTTCCTATGGACGTGGCTTTACTTCGAACGCTCCATCTGCGCGTAGACAAAACAAAAGGCTCAATCGCAAATTAGGTATCGATCGTTCAGAAGGACTTGTCTCAAAGACAGTTCCAGCGTCCAAACAGCCTGTCGCACCAGGACAACAGTCCATCAGCGAGCCGGATCAATCTTCTGAAGTCGAATGCATTGCTTGCTGCGACGAAGTTCCACGCACTAAGGCCCACATCAACTCCTGCAGCCATGTATACTGTTCAAAATAAGTTAACAGGCTTTTCAAGAAGGCTTTACGTGACGAATCACTCTGGCCACCACAATGCTGCAAAACAGAAATGCCTATTGAGATCATCGAACACCTTATGCGTGAAGATCTGATTCCTCTAGTTGAGGCGAGACAAGTCGAAATGAGTACACCCATCTCGAACAGAACTTATTGCGTAGATTGTGCCAAGTTCATCCCTGAGAACAGAATCCACGATGATAGGGGTACATGTTCTGAATGCTGGACCTCTACATGTACAGAGTGCAAGGAAAAGGCTCACATTGGCGATTGCGAAAGTAAGCTTCAACAAGACATCAAGGACCTCGAAGCGCTGGCTGAGCANAAGGGTTGGAAGAAGTGTTCTACCTGTCTGATGCTTGTTGAACACAACACTGGCTGCAACCACATGACGTGAGACAGATCCGGTGCTCGCAAAACTACAAAGACTAACGTTATGCAGATGCCGTTGCAAGAACCAGTTTTGCTACCTATGTGCCAAAGAATGGAAGAAGTGTGAGTGCCCCTTCATGAATTTAGGACTTCTTCTAGCACGTGAAGAACAGAGGGGTGTCGCTCCTGTTGGTCTCGATGTCTGTACACATGGAAACTGGGAATTCTTTTTTACCTCAGACTTCTGTGATCACTGTGGGGATCACTTGCCTAACTACCTCTACCGCTGTCGGGGATGCTACCTTCAATACTGCGAATGGTGTACATTCAATCGCGGCCTTGGTGTCACCTAAGAGGGAAGATCACGGTGATTGCTTTGTGGTGGAGGACGATTGTGGTTAGCTTTGCACTACATCGGTGCAACAAGCAGCATCTCTGGCTTTTCTTCTCGGTTTGCTGGCTTCGACTTGATGAGTCAACCACACTGTATGATGCTTAGTCTTCTTTCTCTTTGTTTGGCCAGAACTGCTCTTTTCCGTTTCATTCAGCTCTTTCTTTGGCTCAACTGGCTTTCCTTATTACAGCGCATGTATTGAACTCAGAAACTGTTAGCTAGAAAGTCGTTTATATCAAAATGGTGATTCTCTTCCCAGTATCACTGTGGCCGTATCAAACCTTCTTTAAGACTCTGCAGAGCCATTCCATCACCGTTTATCACCATCACGCCGTTCTAAAGCATATGGATCTTTCAACACATTCTTCTACATTATGCAGATTGCTAGTAACGTTTGATGATTACGTCTTTTATGTCGAATGTTTGGTATCTAAGAGCAAGATTCTATCTTTTTTTTTGTAGCTCATAGCGTAGAGTATATATATTCAGCCAGGCTGCTGGTCTTCTCAGAGATATTATAGTATTCGGGGCAGCGTGTTTGATTGACACAGTTGTATACTCCTGAACAGGGTCTATCATTTTTATGGCCCATCGGACTACAAGTCAAACCAGTCGTGATGCAAAGATTCAACGACAACGATCTTCCGCCAAAGGCCTACAGAGCCTTCTGGTATAGATTGTTCGAGTCCAAGGGCTCATGTCCAGAACATCCAATATACAATGCCATCTCAAAGTATACCAAGAAGATTCGGCAATCGTGGTTTACCATTCCAAAGATATAACTGAAATCAGCTGGCTTACACTCTCTTTATATACCTCTGGTCGATGAGGACGGAGCGAGCACAACTGTCAGGATGCTTTCGCAGACATTCGATTATGCAGCAGTCCTTCACTTGCCAATTCTATCGTTGTAGGACGCAGCAGAGCGGAAGAGAGAGTATCAGGTTCGAAAGATGGTAGAAGCTCGAGAGATATCCCAAGAAGAGTGCAGCAGGTATTTTCTCTGAGTGTATTCAGTAAGAGTTGTGCTCGATGAGCACCGATAGGAGAGCGCGTGAGGCAAGTTGTCTCCGTGGCAACACTCACTCGTTTTCTTTCCTCGAAGTCGGTCACCGACCGCTCGACACGGTTTGCCAGATCTCTGCTTCCCTCATTCCTTCTTCCACTTCTGTCGCAACACACGCAACATGACTGGCTGCCGGTCTTGCAAGATGGAGTCCGGGCTTGACGACAGCGACTCAGAGGCTCCCAATTCAGGGGAAAAACAGTTTACATCTTCGGTAAGTGTATGTTTTCTGCTTTTGTCACTTGCTCCGCGTGCGTGTTCAAGATCTCTAATGTTACAGCAGCACGACCTTAGCAGGCAATGCGACTGTTGCTTCGAAACTTATAGCAGCAAGAAGATTGTTCAGTTGCACGGCTGCGGTCACATATATTGTGCCGATTGTCTTCGTGTTATATATCGCATGGCCATCAACAACGAAGCAGACTTTCCAACATCCTGCTGTTCAGGGGCGATCGACATTCAAAGTGTCAAACATCTCCTTCACCGCCCACAAATCAAAGCCTTCGAGAGATGTGCGTTGGAGTACAATACCCCTGAGGTTGGCCGACGCTACTGTGCAGACAGTCGTTGCAACTCATTCCTGGGACGTGCAAACAATGGCATCCTCAGATGCGGAAAGTGTGGCAATCTGACGTGCAACGCTTGCAAAGATTACGCACACCCTGGAGCGTGCAAGGAAGAGCGTGGTCGAGACGTCCACAAACTTGACAAGGACCTTGAGCGTCTGGCGGCAGCAGAGGGATGGCAGCGTTGCCCTTCTTGCTCAAGAGTTGTAGCTCTGAGCGAAGGATGCAACCATATCATGTAAGTGGCCCATCTGTTTGGCTTCCCCGACTCAACTAACCAGTTTTTCTGTAGCTGTCTGTGCAAACATCAATTCTGTTACCTTTGTGGTGCCAAATGGAAGACTTGTGCCTGCAAGCAGTGGCAAGCTGATCGTCTACAAGAACGTTTACGTCAAGGAGAGCAAAATGCATATCTCCAACAACCTGAGCCCGACGAATTGGATTACGTGCGGGTGCGCCTAGGCTGGATTCGTGATCAGTTGGAGAGATTTGCGCGGTGGGATCCTCCCCTGCCTCGCTTCCCCTATCGTGCTCGTTGAGAGCTGTGTGGCACTTATGGCTACACTATACTACACGGGTTCTTCTCTTGCATGCGAGGGGATTGTGTCTGTTTGACAGGACCTTGTCACTCTTGCGAGTGCCGGCCTCGAAATCTGTCCCCGTTGATCAACTCATTCACAATCTTGTCTCTGTGTCCTTTCAGGGACAGCATCTCATCCATCAGCAAAACTTGACATCTCACGTTTCACTTCATCAAAGTCTTCAGATCACGAAGGAGGAACAAGAGGCAACTTATAGGTGGAAATCTCGCTCGTTTGCGCGAGCCTCGATGGCTGAGTCACAGAGCTTGATCTGGCAGTCACTGATCAATGGTGGCGCCAACGACCTTCGATCGAGCCGTTCACGTTTTGTGACAGTCTAGCAATTAGCTCTGATATAGTATTGTTATTCAGCTACTATATCTTGTGTCCAACCTGCTATTTTCCCGAACATTAAAGCAATCCAATATGTCCCCTTATTGTGCGGCAGCAGGGATATCACAACCCAAACACTCTGCCACACAATCGCTGGATCTTGCGTCCAATCTTCTGACCTATCGAAGTTTGCTGCTTGCGGCGTGCTCTTTCTGCTCGAAATCTCTCCAGTTGTGCTCTTTCTGCGTCTTGACGTTGATGTATTTCTGCCATCATTACTGCGAAATTTGCATCTTCGAGTCTCTGTTGCTGTTGGTATGACGTTTCAGGTCTCCTAGGTACTCGTCCATTTGTCCGTGCTCTGGCTCTCCTCGTGGTGAATGCTGTAAAGTCGTTCTTGAAATCGGTTTTCGAGCTGGATACTGGCTGCGCTCGTTTTCTCTGTCGTCTTTCCATACGGTTCAGCCTTCCATCCCCGTATTCGATTTCAGGGCAGCCATTGCATGCGTTTATGGGCCCTGCGCAGTGGTAACAGAAGCGGTATCCACATAGACAAGCAATTCTTGAGCATCCGAGGATTCTTTCGCACATTTGACCGCATCCTGTGCAACGCTTCCATCCCTCCTTGTGCGATGTGATGAGAACTTTTTGTTCGTCTTGATTCGGCAGTGGACAGTTGTCGCTCTCGTGAGCAGCTCCCTTGCAGGTTGAGCATGTGTCGGTCTGGCATGCTTCACAGCGCGCGATGCGATCTTGGGTATCTCTACGGGCTATGAAGATGCCGCATCTGTTATTCGAACAATAAACACGATCCATAACAGGTGTTTCGAGCTCTTCGATCAAAGGTATCAGTCTTCGGATATCCTCATCTTGTAGGAAAGGCTTTGCGGTATCGAGTGAGATAGTGCAATCAGTAAGTACAGTTTGATGGCATCTGACCGGCCAGTCAGTCTGGTTGCGTATCTTGGTAAATCTTCGTACTATGCATGAAGAGCACCAGTAGTGGCCACAGGGCATAGGCGTTGTGGATTCGTCTAACTCCGTCCAACAAGCTGTACACTTCGGTTGTGCAGGCTTCTTCTCTTGAACAGTTGCAGTAAGCTTTTTAGAACGGTTCTGTTGTTGGTCGGATAAGAAAATGTATCGCGGATTGTCCAGATAGTAGAAAGGTTCTGAGACGGTGGCAGAACTTTCGATGAACCTTGGGTTATCATCCTGATGCAAGTCGAGGATTCGAAAATGGCGTCGCTGATCGGGATCCATGAAGTAGAAGGGCTTTGAAGGGTTGTCGTCAGAATTTACGTCGGATCCAACGTCACTGTTCTGTGGTGGTTCGACGGCACGAGACCAGTTTGACGGATATCTTGGGACGCGGTAGCTTTTCCATCCGGACGCAGCGTTGTAACCCATGTTGTAGAAGGACGTTGGAGAGTTGTTGGGTATTCTGCGTCTAGCTGCGCTGCGACGAATCTTGCAAGGTAGGCAGCGACAAAGAGTAGAGAAGTAGAAATTCGCCGCATCTTAAAATAAGCGACAGTTGTGTGAAAAGAGGGGGAAGATATGGCTTGGGTTTGAGGTAGTTTGCTCTCTTTTGGGATGGGGTCCAACGCCACTCAAGAGTTACTCCTGCCTCAAGATGCAACTCCCACTCTGACTGAGCATATCGCAGCTTTGTTTGCACAGATCTCGAAGGTTGAAGGCTTGCGAAACTTCAATTGTTGTCTTTCTCCAACAGGACGTGATATACAGCTGAAGAAGAAGAAAAAAGAGAAAAAAAAAAAGAAGAAAAAGGGAGTTGGCATAGTCTAATTCAGCGAGCAATGACACTAATCGTAGTTGCGAATACAGTGTTGCACATGTAGAATCATCGGGAGTATTTAAGTAACCGCTTTCTGGTTTACTTTGCATCATTGTCGACAATAAGTTTCATTGGAGCCCGAAAGAAATTAAAAAATGGAGAAAAAAGGGGTTGGGTACTTGCAAATCGCATTATGCAGCACGACACATTCATCTTTGCTGCCAATCGCTATATACTCATCTCGTTTGTTGCCCTTCTTCACTTCTATCCGTGAATCTATGGCTCTCTGTATCACCGCTCAACATCTATGCAACTATGCTTAGAGGTTACGCTATCTCGGGCAAGTCTATGTGTATGATTAAAAGCAGAAAGAGACACACGTCTCGTACAAATCTTAGTCGTAGCATCTTGTAGGCATGATAGCGTACGAAAAGGAAAAAGAGAAAGACGCCGCTAGGAGTTGAACCCAAACCCTCGCTTTCATGTACTATAAATTACGATATATAACACACCAAGTTAGCCGCCTCTCATGATAGAGAACATCACAACTCCAAACATAAAGTATCGTTGCTATAAGATAGATATTAGAGACCTTGATGTATTAAGGGCAAAAGAGTAGTACCCATTTCTAGAGAAAACCTCTTCCAAGCCCTTGATTTTAGGGTACCAGATAGCGGCTACTGGCGACCAAGCTCGGCATTACCTTCGCCCATACATGGCGGAACTCGGCAGGTTTTATTACGGTAAACATGGGTGTGGCCGCTACACCACCCGAAAACTAGACAGGATTAGTTTCATGGCTGGCCAGACCACTAGACGAAACCGACTGCCATCATCGATTCCTTGTTTCCATGTGCTCCCTAAAAACATAGTATATAAAGATTTCTCAGACAAGATTTGACATTTGGTGCATTACAGTCTCACGACATTCTACTTGTATGTAAGTAAACCAAAGCCAATTTGCTCTTTTACTCGAATCGCGCCTTTTCCAGATTTAATTTCATTGTATAGTTGTCGTGTTAGGCAATTTGACTTCTATCGCAGTACGTCCAACTTGTCAGACAAGCACTTTGTCTAGGAAACACCATCATGTGTACGATCCTGACTTTTAGCCTGAACTCGAATCAACTGATGCAAGTCACATTGCTAAACAAATTCAAAACTGACATGTTCAGGTCAAACCCGAATATGATATTAACATTTCTAGACACCGTAACATCAACCTAGTCCAGGAGACGAAAACCAACTTGTTCGTACTCTAGGCACTGAGCTGGCAGTGAATGCTTGGTCAAAGTAAAGAAGATACTGAAAACATGTAAAAGCGTGGTGATAATGGAAGAATGTCTACCGGTGAGTTGATATTACACCAACTGAGCCAGGGAATATTTGACCTCTTCCATCACACTTGTGTCAAGTTGGTCTTTATGACCGTTTGACACAACTGAAATAGTAGGCGATGTTGATCACTACTAACACACATGTCAAATCATTAATTTTGTCAAAGAGCTGATTGTTAACCAGTCATCTATGTCAAGGCCATGAGGGTGTAGTATTAGACCCATCACTGAACTAGAACGCAACACACAACTGAACAAAGGATTTGAACACAATACTATTCCACAGGCCGATCAATACCAGCGATATCGCCCCTCGATTGCTGTGACACAAGAGATTGCCAACGACCAAGTAGCAACAGCGATATCGCGGTCCAGAAGCGTGGACCCATTTAGCTCTGTGTTCTCATCTGTCGTGTTCTCCCTAAATGGCAAAACTATGCCTTGAGAACGTGATGGTAGACATGAACTCCTAAAGAGGAGATTCAAAGTCAGCATCGGCCACCTCCGACACTTGGGCTGTTGACGAGCCTTATAATATACCATTTATTTCCAGGCTAAATGCTCGTTTGTGTAGATAAAGCACAAGTGCATCGCTTCACATGGATAGACTCGGCGAGCCTTGTTTACGAAAACGTCCCGGAGCTGCCTGAATACAGTCGATCTCCCATTCGTGACCAGATCTGTGGGTCCTTGGTTGTCATACTTTTCCGATCATTGACAGAGCTTAAAGATGACAGCCACAAAGTGGTAACTTCCGGAATGGCGGCGGTGTGGAAGAGGTTGCCTAATCTCGAACTTCTTGTGTTGTGGCGCAGAAAATCCAGTGGTTTGTCTGTGACTAAAGAGGAAATAAAGTGATCTTTGTTGCATCTGATCAATTGTGATACCTAAGGCCATGGACTGGAGCATGACAGTTTGATCATAGGACGTGTGGTATGCTGTGTGTGTTATTGCTGCCTGGCCAACGGAAGAGAGACCGAGACACACCTACTATATCAGAGAAGACAAGAGGAAGATTCGGTCACCTTCTACCAAATAAGACTAGGAGATCATACCCAGTGCGAGGGGTATTGGATATTGGGCAAATCGTGGGGGTGAGGCGGCGAGGTAATCAGACCGAAGAAAACTTGTTTATGGATGCACCATTACATGCACCACGTGCTAGGTAAGAACAATCAGTACACAGTGAAACCGATCGCCAAAATCGGAGGCTGAAGTGTTGACCAATGACCTTGCTGTTTATATGTAATGGACCAATCGTAGCTGAGGATGCAAGCAGATGTCGCCATTTTTGCGTATCTGGCAATCTTACTTGTCTGATATAGGCAAACCATAAGTATGCACAACACTCGGCAAGTAAGCGAAGATCTCAAGAAGGCGGACGTCCAGAGAGGCTGACTCTCTATGGATCAGGCAGACATTCGTGGCTTGCCAACACACTGTATCTTCAGCGAGAGAAATCCAACGATGTTGTGTATATCGAGATCGTGGGCAAAGTTTTTCGTCGGACAAGACAGATAGTTTGTCAGTTTTCCGTAGTGGTAGCAAGACTGACCTTGTTCGGCGACGTGGAATCACCAGCCACCGATTGTTCTCGACAGCTGACAAACCATGCCACAGACGCGTTTACCGCTAGATCTGTGCATGGGTTCGCAGGCTGGGTGATGTGTTTTCAATAACACTGCAGCTATAGATGCAGGTACTGATGCAATATGATAGGTCGCTTCGAGTCTTGTACCAAGTAACGAGCGGGGATCACACCGCCGGTTGGGTTAATGTGGCCCATTATCTCGTGGATGTTGTATGGAGAGCAGTAACAAATTGAGAAGATGTGGAAGTCTCAAGCAATACAGTAGTAATAACAGTACTAGAAGAGGACATTACAGTGAGCAATAGCAACGCTCGAATAAGCATTACAGCATGCGGCATTAGGGTATCAGCTCCCAACCAAAACGCCAAATTATAACAGGTCATCGAATCATAAAGTCGTGAGCGGCGTAACAACAGGACTACCGGCGTGCTCTCGAATCCTCTTTCGCCCAGGTGGGTCTCCTCTCCTGTGTTCGGTACCTCTGTTCGCGGACGTTGATCTCTGCCTGCACATCTGCAGCTCGGTGACGTTCCCGATCCCTTCTGTCTTCGTGACGGTACTCCGAGCGATGTTCTCTGTAGCCGTGTCTATGCTGGCGGTCTTGATCGTGATATCTGCTCTCGCGAGGCTCCTCCTGACGGTACCTGTCTCTTCGATGGTGGTTGTCTCTGCGAGCTCCCTCAATGACGACTTCAGTGCTGCTGGATCTGTGGGGTTCATCGTTGCGGCGGTTGCTATCATTGTGAACTCTGACACGAGGTCTTTGTTCTTCCTCCTGTCGGCGAGCGTGACGGATGGCAGCAGACTCTTCCAGAACACGCAATTGTTCTCGGAGGTAGGTGTATGTATGCGGGATTTCGACTTGCGAAGGTCTTCTGAAACGGGTGTACCTTTCGAAGATCTTGCCCTTCTGCATGTAGATAGTTTCGGCAATGCGCTTCGACATGTGGTTTCCTTTGTGGCACAACGGAGCACCTGCTTGCCATCGCTTGTATGGAGAAATGCATTGGCGACATTCACGAGCGTGTGTTTCAAAATCGAACAAGAGCCATGCCTCCTCAGAGGTTAGAGGTCTTGAGAAGCCGGTGACGATTGAAGAAGTATCTGAGAAGCGTACTTCTTTTGGCGAGGGAGGAGAGGAAGGTTGAACAGCAGGAGCGGCAGTAGGCATGTTGTTTCTTGTCCTGATGGGAATAGGTTGGTTGGCCATAGTGGCCAGTGTTGGAGTAAGTCTCGTCATGAGGATGTTTGGAGTAGGCTTGTTTGGTTTGTGTTGGAAGTAAAACAAGTTGTTGATGGAAAGTGTTTGTTGGAGGAAGGCAAGCGGGGTGTTTACTTATAGTCGGCAGGTGTGGAAGTAGAGAGTGGGGAAAGAGGGAAAGAACGATGGACAGACTACGAGACATTTACTTATACCAACAATGAGGAAGCAACGGTTGTCTGCCTGAATCATGCACAACTCGTCGACGTCAATTACATGCAGGCCATACCATACCGAAAATGGACGCCGAGAGGCTGCGGCGACGTATGGCTATGCATTGCGACACACTGCCGCAGCGACAAGCCTGCGGATGGTGATGCATGGAGCTACGCTAGAAGGGCTTGGAGACGGATTGACAAGAAACCTTGATTGCGTTCCAAGAGTTTGGGAAGGCTGAGAATCGCAAAGGTGGTCCGCCAATCCGTGAACGAGCTGCCTTGCCCTCTTGGCCCGCGCGGATGGCAGCGTCGTGACTCACTGCTACATGCACACAAGGAGTCTCGTGAACGCATGTGCCTCAGGAACAGCGCGCCGAGACTGGTTAGCATGGCTCTCAAGGAATTCAGCTCGTGAATTGACCAATTGCTGACGCGGAGGTGACTGGGATGAGGTGGTGACCTTGCGGCTCGATCTTCCGGTGAGGGAGCTTGGCTGTGGGGGCACAATTGAGGCTCGTTTGCAACGGACAACTGCGCCTTGCACCGCACTCTGCAGACTCGGCGACGATTGTTGTCGCGGAGGAAATGGCTGCGGGACCTTCGCATCCGCGGCCCGATCTGAGATGTTGTAGAGGACAACGTGCTGGGTGTGGTTTGTCGCGGGTAGCGGCACGCGCTTCCTGTGCTTCGGGGAAACTGATAGCAGTGTCACTGCGAACGACCGAGTGAGCGGAGTCGTACGCAGCGGTCAATCGAGGCGGCTGGGATGAATACATGGTCAGGATACCTGCCTGACATTTGGTACATTCAAGGGTACGGCTTGGGTTTGATAGCTTTGACATGTGTGCCGGGACGGGAGTCACGGTGGTGCAGATATTTGGCTCTTGGCCAATTGACGTCAAAGGTTTTGAGAAGAAATCAAAGGCATTGTCTGAGCATGTGGAAGATAACGGCATCGCGATTGGGATCTCAGACAAGGCGGATGTGTGGTCAGAGTCACTTGTCATGATGGATGCGATTGCGAGATGGTGCCTAAAGCTGGTGCAACCTTGGGCTTCGACCTCCCCTTGTGCAAAAGGATGTAACGCGTGTGGTTATCAAAATGCACGGTACTATTAGAAAACAGGACAGTGCCCGCTGAGAAGCGATCTCCTATCAGCTCTCTGTGGAGACCATATCTTTCGCGAAAACATTGTGCATTTCTGCAGCTATATTGTGACCGTCTTTTAGCACATGGGGAGAGAGTAAATCAGTGATGGAGCTCGGGTAACACTAACACTGGGTGTCCTTACGGGAGCGAGGCTATCAGATGAGGTGTTCCATAATCGATTTTCGATCCGAGTGCCTGGGAAGAGCACAAAATCTCAAGAGTGTCTCAATGCAACATCAAGATATACTAATGACCCCTTACCGTAGCTACGTCTCATACAAACATGTCTTGACAGTGGATTCTCTTGAGTATGCAGGTCTCGGTGGTGAGGGGGGTTGGATAAAGGCAAGGCTGGTGATGAGATGTGGGGAAGAAGAGGTTCAGCGGTTGACAGCAACGGTCGTACTTTGGACCGTGACTTGCAACTTAATTCGATGCTTCATCATCGACAGAATTACTTTCAGAAGCTGGACGGATACAGCAGGCTTCGATTCACATGATTATTGAGGCAGTAACAAGGCTTCACCGACGACGACAAGACAATAGACCATGATCGCCCCTACATAAGGACTCGACCAGCAGCCGAGACAGCGAAGACGAAGACAGTAGAGGACGAGACAGACTTGAGAGTCGCTAAAGAGCCATGGATACATACATGGGCACTCCCTCCAAGAGACGCTCCATCTCAGACGCGACGGCCACGGCTGCAAGACTTCAGCCCTCACCACTTCTAACAAGTCGATTGGCGAGTGCGACAAAGGATGACAGCCTGCTGGACACTTCACCACAGACGCCCAAGCGGCCTGACTTCTTAGCCAGAGGACTGTCGCTGCAGATGCCACCCAAGACGACGGCGACGACAGCAACAACCTCGATGGCCGCTCCCAGCACCATCCAACGCGTACCGCTATCTCCTCAACTCGATCCCCAGACATCCTACGCCTCGCCTCAGACCTCTCTACCGCGTCATTCGCGTGGTCTAGATTTTTCCAGAGCCTGCACCAATCTTCACCATTCCACGCTAGCCGACAACCCTTCACCCAGCTCGTCCCCAATCATGACACAAGCCGCCCGGAAGCCCAGCGTTAACAGCATGATGCTCGACTCGCCGAACCTCTGGCCCCAGGGTCCAACCGACCGCAGTGCCGTCAGTAGTAGCGTGGGCAGTATTAGCATGCTTGCCGACGAAGACAGCGACGACAGCACCAGCGACGATGATGTGATGGACGATATGGACGACCAAATCCTTACAACTCCGCAGGTTCGAAAAACTGCCAATCCGCAAGCCGCAACTCCTTTTGGCGGCCACAGCACTGTCATGTGGAGCAACAACTTCTCTCCCGCCCACGCTAGTCTGATGAAAACGTTTCAACGTAGTCGTCTGAAGAAAGGACGAAGCAGAAAAAGTTCGAGTAGTGCCAGCAACAACTCGGCCATGCCTAGTCCACGCACCACGTCGCCGCCGCCCCTGCGCAGCATTGAGGGCTCTGCTCACTTTGGCTGGCCGCGTCTCCGAGAGACCAGGCCTGAGCATCCTTCTCTCTCATCCGGTAACGACAGTGGAGACGAAGCTGTTGCTGCATCCTCAGCCCCTGGTGTTGTGCGCCGCGCTGTCACTCGTCGAGGTAACTTGCTGGTAAGTGACTGTCCATCCAATCTGTCGTCAAACAAGCTAACTGTCCCTCAGCCAAAGACAAAGAACTTTGCGCGCATTCGTGCCGCCCTGCTGGAAGAGTCTGCTCCTGTCGACAGCGAAGTCCGTCGTGAAGCAGAGACCATGCGTCAAGTCCACAACCATGATCCTGTCCCTGATCTCGAAGGTCCATCCCCTGGCCCCTCATCCTCACAACCCAATGTCAACCCTAACGATCCCAACGACCCACAACCTGACACCACAAACAACAATCCCATTAGCTTTAACCTTCACGCTCATCGTAATTCCGGTGGCGTTGACTACTGGCATAAGCTCGAGAACGAGTTACACACGCCCCCTCCGCCGGCTTTCCCTACGAGAGGCAGCTCATCACTCTCTGGAGACATTGCTATGGACTCACCTGCTGACAGCACCGTCCTGCGCTCAGCTTCTGTCATCAGCATGAACGAACCATCTGCTGCTTCAGAAACTGACACACAAAACTCTACCTACACGAGTCAAGACGCCCTTCGAAGGCCTNNTTTTGGTAAACGTCGCCGAGATGACGACTTCGACATGCAAAGTTTCAAGCGCAGAGCTGTCAGTCCTAGCATGAGTGTGCACGGTAACAGCCCTATTGTTGCATCCCCTGTTGCTTCTGCTGCCGCACGCAACCAGGGTCTACCCAAGGATGGTGCTCCGCTTGAGAAAAGTACTAGCGGTGGTAACAGCAATAGTACTGCTCCTCGAAGGATAGGTCTGCAGGGTATGGTTGACACAAACGAAGGTATCATGAGGATGAGCATTGAGTAGTAATCTTGCTCTCCTTCCATGATCCTTCCCTGGTTTCTCTTCGCTGACCTCGCGCTCGCTCTTGGTATCATCAAGACATCTCTGTCTTACATTCTTTTTGCTTTTCTTTCTTTCTGTCTATCACTTTTCTATTTGGGTTTAGGTTCTCATAGCGTGGGGTGTTGGGGTTTTCGGCATCTTCTTTTGACGCTTTCTCATGCAAGGCTGTCGCCAACGATACAATACAACAAGTATCGATACTAGACATATTGATTTCTCTTCCTTTTCCTCGTGTCCATCCCTCTTGATCAATGCAACAACGTACACCACGAGGAGAGCTTCGGGCTATGCCTTCGGTTGAATGTCGGCTTATCTTCTATCAACGTTGATGGAGCAACCCTGTTTCGAAAGTCGTCGCCTCCAGATTGAGTCTCGCACGTCTAAAACGAGTCGTATCCCGATGCATGACCCGGCGAGGGTCTCTCTTGGATCTATGCTACAACTTCTACTCGTTGGTGGCCGTGGTCGAGTGTTCATAGTCTGTTTCGAGATCTCTTCCATCCGAGCCATATAACTCGTTGAAGAAGTACCGAGAACACTCACCTTCAGTATCGATCTGATGAACTCGACCACCAAGCTTATGTGAACCCATCGGAAAGGTGGTTGTATGAATCACTAGTAGTATGGCTATCGTTGAGGTGTACTGGTGCGCAATCAGTAACTTGTTTTGCTGAACAGGTCGGATGATCGGTTTTGGATAGGACATGTTTGCTGATAAGCGGAAAAGTAATCATAATTCGCCGCTTTAGCTCATCTGGGAGAGCGCCAGACTGAAGTTAACTTCTGTCCTTCTTGCAGCCGCAAGAGTATTCTGGAGGCACTGTGTTCGATCCACAGAAGCGGCATATTGTTCTTTTGCCATATCTTTTGTTGCCTGTTGATGTGATGATATGTCGCTGCCATAGCCGCATCTTGTTTTGTCTGCAGTATTCTTGTGAATTTTGATGTGATTTGATAGTCTCTTTGAACAGCTACATAGACCTGATCAAATGGCCCCGAGAAAGGTACCAGGATCACGCATGATCAATTGTCTTCACCAACTGTAGTTCGACTGTCCCGGGCGCAGCAATGACTGCTCTGATTGCATGCTCTATTTTGTAAGTCTTGACTGGGAAGCGCGACAGCAGCCGTCGACACTCTTGGATGGAAGAACAGGATCGAAAAAGGAAAGATATGCGTATTCCTT